GGGGGGGGGGGGGGGGGGGGGGGGGGGGGGGGGGGGGGGGGGGGGGGGGGGGGGTGGGGGGGGGGGGGGGGGGGGGGGGGGGGGGGGGGGGGGCGGGAAGTGGTTGGGTAGGCGGAGGGCGGGCGGCCCCGGGGTGGGGCGGAGTTTCTTTTCTTGGGGGCCGGAAATGAGACTCACAGGTCAATGGCAGGCCGGAGAGGTCGTCGGGGTTCGGAAAGGCGAAGCGCAGGCGCTTGGTGTTGTGGTTGACTTGCTCGACGCTGTCGAGGCGCAGGTATTGCGGGTTGAAGCCGCCAAAAACGGTAGGAGGTTTGGGCTTGGCGTATGCGTAGACGAGGCCGGCGCCGACGCCGACGGCGGCGACGGCGCCCAGGTTTGCTCGTAGAGGGCGGAGGAGCTGAGCCATATTTTTTTTTTTTCCAATTCGCAAAAGGTTCAAATTCCGAAAATGGTCGGTTAGGGCTGGAATTGAGCGGGTCTGGGGTATCACAAATGCTTGAATTTCTTGGAAAAGAAAGAAAGAAAAGCGGGTGGGGGTTATTTATGTGCTTTGCAGCTGAGCTGCGTCAGCACGGCAGGGTCCTCGTAGGTTCGTACCAGGTCGGGAGTGGCTTGTTGTTCGTTTGCGGCGTCCAGTCGGGATCGGCCGAGGAGGCCTGAGTTCGCTCCCGAGACGCCGACCTCCCCGCGTCCGACCCCACGTGTGGAGCTGAAAAGGATCGCTGCGAGCTGAGGTCAGGGCATAATCAGCTTATCTGGCTGCATATGATGACTTGATGCCAAGGCTGGAAGTCGATACCGCTTCCTCCCCGCAGACGGCAAGCACGTCCGGTCCGCAGCGTTGGCGACAGGTTTAGTGCAGGAACAATTGGCATCGCACATCGCGGTCCGCCGCGTCCCGGACCATCACGTTGCCTACTCGCAACCAGCACCAAGTTGAGGGAAGATCCTTCCCATTGTACAGGCTTTGCTGTTCCATGCGGGGCCGCCGTTCGGCTTCCCGGTGTTACTGTGAGCGCGAGACGGGGCTCGGCTTATGTAACACCCGGTGCTCGGTGCCAGCGCCCCGAGCCTGCCAATCAGAGCGATCGTTCATACGGGCCGCACCGCGAGGCTTCCGAGCAAAGAAGAGCTGCCTATAGTCTAAAGTTTAGTTAAACTCTGATACGCTGTCCATACGAAATCAGTCCGGTCGGGATTGCAGCAAATGACGTGCACTTAAAGCACATGAGATATGTGAGCAATGGTATCCAAACAATAGCTTCAGCTACCCGAACTTTTCGTGATAATATCAAGCGAACCAACCTCAACAACTTTCAAACTCCATCTTGAATTCTCTTCGTCACGCACGATCAACGTGCCGTGACCTCACCCCGCCCAAGCTCCGACACACCTTATCTCCTCCCCGAGCGGCATCCTCTCCAGCTCAAGCCGTAGCTTCATCGCCTTCTTCTTCGCCGTTGTAGCGGTGTTCGAGATGAAATCGGAACGGGAGTCGAAGTCCGCAGTGGATGCAGATACCCGCAGACTGCTGCCGGAATTACGCGGGACGTGAGGTTGCCCCTGCCCGAGGGGCCACGAGTTTCGGCGGGCGGTAGAACGTGCGTCGTCAATCGTCGGAGTGGCCATTGTGCCAGCCGGCTGGCTTGAGCTTCGGATGAGGACGAGGAAGTAGGCACCGTCGAAAGAGCAGTCGCTACGGAGGTAGCACTCCAGCGGGCTTTCGTCTCTGAGGATGGTGGCGCCGAGACTCGGTCCGTTGTAAGGAGACGTTGGATCTGGAGGCTGTTAGCGGAGCATGAGACAGACTACTTGGGGCGCCTTGAACATACCGGTAGAGTCACTCTCCATGTCTGAGATTGTGGTTCAAATGAAAGAGTTGAGATGTGGCGGCTGACATTGCGCCAGCTGAAGACTTCCTCTGGGATATTTTAAGGCGCTTGGCCAAACCGTTGAGGGCGTCGCGGCTATGGGCCATGCCGAGGATGCCCAATGAGAGAACCGTACTGCTGCTGAGATGATAGCTCGCTGCCCCTGGTGTTGATTTTTCTTTTTCCCGACCGGCGCCGATGCGCTGGCTGCTGAGTACTTCGCCGTGGCTTGGTGTTGTAGTCATTGAATGTAGCACAACCGTAGCCGGGGAACCAGGGCAAACCATCCGGTTGGACGGAGCCATCTGCCAGGCACGCGATGAACGCTTGGTCGTGGCACAGGAAGTCTTTTCGGGGTCCCAGCAAGGAGCTGTGGCGACGACGAGGCAGGCTGAAGTACCCAATTCGGATCAGGCGCCACCAGGCAAACGAGCGTATGGCTCACCGCAGCGCCAAGGATTCAGGCCGACAGTGCGAGGGGTACGCAGATCGAGAGCCATCAGACCGCGAGGACGGAAATTCACCGAGATGCGAAAAAGGAACGTATAATGATGAACCAGATCTGCATTTGCTTCTGCAAGCCTGCGGCGGTAACGACTCCTACTGCGCCCGCGGAGCGAGGGGAGCCTGCTGTGCAACCTTGTCAGGCTCCCGGGGAACGCGGGAGCAAGAGGCTCTCCGGATGAGCCCAACTGTGCCAGGGGGGTTCGTTTAGGGCCATCGCCCTTGCCCACGTGGTGTAGGACGTACAGGAGTTCGGTAGCTCCAGATTGACAGGGTGTAGGCCAATGGGAAGTGCGGCCGCTCCCACCCCCGAGATACGTCAGATCGGGCCAGGAGCCTTGCCGCCGCGGCGGTTGCGAACGCTGTTGTCTCCGATGATGCAGCAAACTTGGCATTCTGCAGGAGATCAGCTGCCGGATGCTTCATCCGCCACCAACCCGAGGGTCCGGAGTACTGCAACTGCTCCGACTGGTGCAGCAGGATCGGATGCCGACATTTTGAAGAATACGTTGAAAGGTGTCAGCGGAAGAGGGTGGATAATTGCACCGATGAACTCCAACTCGAACCCGGTACGATGTTAAGAGATCCGATTTCGTGCCTGTTACCACATCGGCGGGCCATGGAGTGGAGAGAGATCGTCAGATGAAGTCACAGATCGGCGGTTTTCGCAAGAGGCTGCAAGAGTGTCAAGAAATAGCACCTAGCTACATTCTGCGACAATGCTGACCACTTAAAACTCGCGCGGGTCGCGGCCCGCCTTGGCTCGACCACGGGGTTGGAAAGCATAGTTAGACATGCGCAATTGTTCAGACCCCACCTCGGTTCTGACTCCGGCTGCTTTTGTGTATCCATGTGGGCTGCAAGCTTGCTGCTCCAGCGCGGCTAACACTGGTTGGTCGTTATCCCTGCTCGAGGCTGCAACGACGTTCATTTCGCCTGCAGAAGGTGTGTTCCCCTGTTTCTTAAAAACGATAACGGACTGAAACATAGGAACACATTTGCGGGGCAACTCGGGACGGGATCGATTGCCCCAAAAAATAAAAAAGGATCTAACATGGAAGATATGTCCCCGATGATACGTCCTCTGAGCATTAGCTCGGGGGCAGAAAAGAACTTCAGGAAAAAATAAGCGAAAATATGGATGGAGCTTAGCAGTTGTGTCGCATAAGACAAGGTCAAACCAGACGATTGGAGTACTTTCTTTCGTGCAAGATTTGTTGCGGATCCAGATTGTTACGTGTACGGTAGAGTTTTCAAGATGCCGCGTAGGACCATGAGCATTGCATGAAACACATCACCTCGCCGACCGGTGTAATTATCGCTGTAGTTCCACTGTGCATGAAATTTGAGGCCGGCAAAACTCTTTTTTGTTGATTGAGAGCAGGGGTATACCTCTCTTACCTGCAGCTCTTACTGACTCAATTCCTTGAACTTGTTCCTCAACAGCGTCAAGCGTTGCTGAGGGCGATCTCCACCACTCTCCTTCCGCGTTCGCCTCCAAGGTAATCTGCTCCTTGTTTGCCGTCACCGGCTTCCTCGAACTCGAGCTCCAGGGCGGCCTCGTAACCCTTCACAACCGTGTCTTCATCGACGCGTACGCCCGATTCAACCAGTGCTCGTATCACTCCGGCGACACGGGCAATCTCTCTTCTTGTCTCCACCGCGATATCATCGTTCTGGCTGGAGTAGACTTCCTTCGACACGCTCTCCTCTATACGGGTGATGCTGACGTCCTTGCCCGCATTCGGAGGCTCCACGTGCTTTGAAATCCAAATATAGCCATTGACACCCAGAATAATGTCAATCTCCCCACCACGACTTGTGCTTAGCGTGAAAACCTGGCGCCTTGACCGAGCTACGCCACCTTGTCTACCACCACCACCGCCCGTACCGGATACAGACAAGAAGTATCCGTTGCGCAGCTTTCCGTACTTCAAGCTTCTTGTGTGTAGCGACGCTGCTCCGTCCTGGTGAATGGTCTGAACCTCCGCTACAAGCAGGTCTCCCTCCGTAAAGAAAGTCCTGATGTTCAACTCGTCTACAGCCGTCCTCTTGCGCAGGATACCACCGGGCAGGTTGATAGCAGACAGAGGCAGACCTGCAAGCTGCGGGGCCGAAATATCGACACGCCAACGCCTGGACTGAACCTCAACAATGCGACCAATGACGAGGTCGCCGATTTCTGGTATGTAGCGCGCGCGGAGGGGAGTGATAGAGAGGAGCTTGTTCGTCTTGAGGACCGTGCCAGCGACCGTGGATATGATCTCAGTGCTGCCGTCAGGGACGTAGGTACCGTGACCTCTGTGGCAGTGCCGTTAGCATGTGCGCAAAAATAAGTGCATGGGGACGCTTGTGCGCCCACCAATTTTAGGCATACCGCATCCACTGAGGATCATCCGTTACCGTCTCTCCGGGGGTGACAATGCTCTTGTGCGAAGTGCGGGCCCGCTTTGAGGCGCGGGTCGCGCCCTCCATGTCGACGTCACCATCGGAGTCGAAGGCCTCGTTCTCCTCGTCAGACTCGGGTCGTGCGTACACGGGCGCCGCTGCGGTTGGAGGAAGGATCGTGATTGGCATGTTTTGGGCGGGGCGCAGCGGTGTGTGCGGGTGGGGGCTGGCAGGTAGAAAGTTGCGGATAGCAGCTCTGGTGTTGCTGGAATTCTTGAGTTCGCCCGCAGTTTAACCGAGAAAGCCTGCAGCTGCGCGTTGAGACAAACGGGAATGGCGACGCGGCAAGTCGCGTCATAGGCTGTCTCATCTTACTTACCTCCAGCTCTCCGCCCGCCTCCTGTTCGCTCGCTCTCTCCAGGCAGCACCATTTCTCGTGGCGAACACTACGCAAGCTCCCCAGGATCTGCGCAACACTGACCGCTGCGAGATGCTCTAGCTGGTCGGCGCTATTTTTGGTACTAAGGATCCGTTCCATGGGCGCAGCCCGCCCACTTCCTTCGTATCCAGAAGTGGCTATGTTGATGCTTCATATATGCCAGGCCCTCAACTCTAGCTAAACAGCCATCCTTCTCCACACCCACGTTCGCTACCATTCACTCGCTTTTTCGTCATGGACGACGACAGCTTGCAGACGCTCACGCGGCCTGACGATGCGACCCCGTCGGCCGCAAACGAGCGCAACAACTTCACTGACCTTGTCGCTGACTGGTCGCATTCGCTTTCCGAAAGCACCGCTTCAAACACCAACGACGATCCGAACTATTTCGCCAACGACTCCAAAAGCCTCGTGACCTCGTCACACGTGCACTCATTCCAGGTCGGCACCGGCGACAGCATTTTCGCTGAAACCTTGACACGCATTGAGAATGCCCAGTCCGAAGTCCTCTTCGTCACCTGCTTCTGGGCCCGTTCGCCCTCCTTGGAGAAGCTGTCTAAGTCGCTAAAGATCCTATCGCGCAAGTCTCACCACGCTAGAGATTCTGGCGCCCCCAAGATTCGCGTTCGCATCGGCTTCTCTTCTCGCTCGCTGTTCCAGAAGCTCCTGCAGACTGGGTCTCTCGATGGGTATGTCTATCCGCCGTCGGAATGGGTATCGAAGCTCGGGCTGCCTCCACCGGAGGAGCTTTCCGGCTTAGACCTGGAGATCAAGAGCGTCTTTGTCAGGCCCTTCAGCGTCATGCACCCCAAATTTGTCTGCGTCGACCGCCAGCTGGTCTTCCTTCCGAGCTGCAATGTCAGCTGGGAGGAATGGTTCGAAGGCTGCCTCTCGCTGTCTGGTCCAGTCGTCAACAACTTCATCAAGTTCTGGCACGAGTTTTGGGGTCGGGGCAGCGGGGAGCTTCCTCCGCTTCCGCCTATCCAGACTAAGGAGGATCCTGTCACCACCCTTAACCGCCGTCTGAGCGTTGTCCAAGAGCTTCCCTCCTGGCTCTCATACCTGAACAGCACCATTGGCGACACCATACCCACAGTCTTTCTGCCTTCACCGCACCACGTCAACCCGCAGTTCCGTCCCATCCCATGCCTCAGCGCACCCAAGCCGCCGCCCACCCCCTTGAACCTTTTCCTCCTGAAACTCTTCGAAAGAGCAAAGTTCTCCATCTACATCCAAACCCCGAACCTGACCTGCCCCTGGGTCTTCAACGCCCTCCTGGGCGCCCTCGCCCGCGGCGTCGACGTCGACATCGTCACCAGCGAGCGCCTCATGATCCTGGAACAGCTCGGCACCGCCGGCACGACGACGTCAATGCAAGTCAAGAAGCTTGTCCGCAAGTACCGCAAGCTCCCGATCGAGACGCCCATCTACGACACGGAGCGCGATCCGCCGGGCCACCCGGATATCCGCGGCCGCCTGCACATCGAATACTACGAGCCCCGCAAGGACGCCGAGAAGCAGGAGCAGGAGCCCGTCCAGTCGCACCTGAAGCTCACCATCGTCGACGAGGAGTTCGTCGTGCTCGGCAGCGGCAACATGGACAGGGCCAGCTGGTACACGTCGCAGGAGCTCGGCGTCGCGTTTTGGTCGACCGACTTGGCGGCCGAGGTGTTTGCGCTCGTGCGGAGGAACTTGCAGGGGAGGCTGAAACTGCACTTTCCAAAGACGGAATGAACGAACTTTGATGCGATCCGACCATTTGCATAGCGATGGCGTTTTTTTCCTTTTTTTTGTACTCCTTACCCAACACCGAAGCAACGACGACGACCCGAATACAGACGAGTAATGGTAATATGGTGCTATTGCGCCGAAACGACGGAATTGGCTGGATGGTGGCGTTCATATGCACGGCACGTGCTCTCTGGGCTCTATTGTTTTAACGTTGAGCACGGATATTTGCTGCTCTTATTGTACGGGTTCTATTATCAGGCATGGTTTGATTTTGAGGCCGGGCAGCATCGAGTCCATCTCTTTGATCTGCATGCTCTCCCATGTCATCTATATTGTATTCAGGGATATGGCCTGATTTCGTGAACGAATTAATATCAAAGAGTAGTGCACTGAAGTTCTCAATGGTCCAGATTTTTTTACAGTTCTACAGATGTACAATACATACTGAAGTACAAGCTCGATTGGCTTGGTGCTGCAACACTGATGATGAGGAGTTGATGCGGCCATTGGGAGATGGATGCATGACATCTGGAGGCAAAGGCATCCAGGCGAGAGCTTTAACTACGCCGATTTGATTGCTTGCGACCTCGTATCAGTCACGAGCTCCCTCTACAAAGTGCCGTCTAATTTCTCTTTCCATAATCCCGCCCACATCTTCTAGAACAACAGCTCATCATTCTTCACCTGGTCATCGAGATCCTCCGGCTTCTGCAATCTCTGCGCCACCAGGAACTCCTTCTTCAAGATGTCCTGCACATCAGTCGCCAACTTCGTCGGCTTCCGCACCATCTCGAGCATGATCAAGGCGGCGGCCACGCTAACGTTAAGGCTGTCGACGCCGACCTCGAGGCCGCGGGTGCCGCGGATGCCGACGAGGTAGTTGGCCTTCGCGCGGATGCTCTGGCGGAAGCCGGCGCTCTCGCCGCCAAGCATGAGGATGGTGGGGTGGGAGATGAGTGGGGCGTGGCTGTGGGGCAGAACGTGCACGTTATTAGGGCGCGTGTAGGTGACAAGCGGCGACGTGTTGTCGGGGTCGAGCGCACGCCGGTAGTGGTCGGATGTGACGTTGAAGTTGTCGGTGGGCGGCGGCGGCGCGTCGGCGGCGTAGACGCGCCACCCGTTGATCGTGCTGCGCGTCAGGAAGGCCAGCGGGTTGCTGACGGTGAAGAGTGGCATCGCTTCGGCGGCGCCCGAGGATGCTTTGATGGCGACGGCGTCGAGCGGGGCGGTGGCGCGCTTCGTCACGGCCACGGCGTCGACGCCAAGGTAGTACGCGGACCGGATGATGGCGCCTAGGTTGCCCTGGTCGACGATGCCGTCAAGGAAGAGGACGAAGGGGTACCGCCACCCGTGACTGTTGTAGGGGAGGCGATTTTTGGTGCCGTTGATCCTGGCTTCCTCGCGGCGTTGAGGTTCGAGGTCGAAGTCAAACCAAGGACGGGTTCGATTAGAAGGCCGTAAGTTCTTTACGGGAAGGGCGGGGAGGGGTGATGCTTCGAGAACTACGCCCTGTTGACATGTTAGTAGGTCTTTCGTTGGTCTTGAGGGCACATCAAAGTACGTTGTGAGGTCTGCCGTCGCTCATTTTGTCCATGACAGGCAAGAAGCCGTCTTCCACCATCTTGACCTCAAGTTTAGGAATCTTCGCCGCCAGATCATCCAGTGTCTCCGGGACGGCTTCTTTCTTCGATATCCTCGCATCTGTTGTATTGTTTCGTTCCGGTCTGAGAGCCCCCGCTCGTCGAATAGCCCGTTCATGGATATATAATTTGTAGTATTTCCTCCTTTTGGCTATGAGAGCTGCTCGCACGGCGGAGACTCCGTATATGAATTGGGACGCAGCCGTCGTGTATGGCACAGATATTGGGCCTTTCTCGTTTCGAACTTTTTCGACTCGACTCTCTGTCTGGGGCTCTTTTGCAAATGTCAGTAAATACTAAAATGTGCAGGACGCCTAAAGACCGTACCAACCTGAATATCCGCGCGTCTGTTGCTCATCTAGCTTTATTGTCTCTTCAAGATCTGCTTCACGATCGTAGACGCTGCGCATCTTAAGAGCGTCCCTCCTTTCCCGCTGCCTTTCCGCTTTCAATTCCTTGTTATGTTTCATATCATATGCGGCAAGTTCCTGACGGAACAGTGGGCGCCTTTTGTTCCCAGGATAGCGGCGCTCAGCGGCAGATGTGTCGCGCAAACCGCGGGCGATTGCGGAATTTGTCGAAATTGCGCGGCAACATTGCGACGTTGGGAGACATTGAAGGACCTCGCGCGACCTGGCCTGACAGGTTCGGAAGGCAGGCGAGAGCATTGCGCATGGAGTGCAAGCGCTTCGTGCAGCGTGCGAAAAGTGACGAGCGAGCGACTGCAGGTGTCGGAGAAAATGTAGCGGGCGATGATGCAGCTGCGGCGATCTGCCGACCTCATAGTAGCTCGCTCTCGTGAAAGTCGTGGCCGCGACGCGTCTTCCTACTCCGCGTTAATTGCACGTCTAACCATAACCTTTCGCTGCCCGAGTTCACCCACCACCCAAACACCAATTGAGAAGCCGATCGCGACAGGCCCCTTTACCACTCGAAGCGCACCCTCTCCATGCCAGCCACTCCGGGCACCCGCAGTTAGCTCGCCCTATCGCTACGAGTCTCGTTCCGCCGCCCGTTCCTCCGGTCACGTCAAGAACATCTTCCAAGCAGTCATTGAAGCGCACGAACACTGCGCAATCTCGATGCCTATAGCAATCCGCCATGTCGGATGATTCGGAGGTGGAGGTTGTGTCCGTTGCGGACCCATCCTCTCCACCAAGATCGCGAAGCGCATCTGCGAGCACACCAGCGCCCAAAGCATACACGCTTCGAGTCGTACCGTCGCCGATATCCGATGCGGATGGATATGAGTACGTGGAGGATTCATACGAGGTCTACAAAGTGTTAAAAGAGCATGAGGATGTGGACTCGCTCGAGTACACGGTAATGTTCATGGACACACATACAGAGAGGGTGAGTGGGTTCATCAAGTGTTTGCCCATTGAAAATAAGGGCACGTGGCAGGGCCATTTTTGGGTCTATCATCTGCTCCTGCATAATTTGCCGCGCTCGACTTCAATTGCTGCTGCACTTGCCTTACAAGTCTATATCCTATTTGCTGAACACCAATCTTCACTCCTCTCCTCCACTTCCTCTTCTTCTCACCTACTGACCATCTACCTCAGATAACGTTTGAGCGACTCTTAGAACTGGACAACGGCCCCACAGCTCTTGAACGCTTCCAGGAACATCCAGATCCATCAACTTCAGAGGACGAGTTGACAAGCGACATGAGACTGAGGTTGACAATTGACCGCGAAGATGTCGAAGCCAGTGTCACCACAAGTCGGAGCGGACGACGCGGAAAGAGGGGTATGAGGTTCAGCAAGCCCCTCCGCCGGACCAGCCGCAGAAACAGTGCAATTACCTTGGCTTCCAGCGACGACGATGACGAGGATGAGGACGAGACGGAGGAGGATAGCGACGACAGTGGTCCGAGGCGGAGCAGGCGCACCCGTCAGATGCCAAAGCGAGCCTCTCGCCCCGCAACCCGGCTCACTCGACGAGCGTACCGGCAGCAAGAGTCGGAAGATGAAAGCGACGAGGATGATTCCGACTCGGACCCATATGCGCTCATACAGTCAGACATTCTACCGCGCCGCAAGAGAAAGCGTGGTTCAGGTGCGGAACTCTCGTCCAAGATACCTCGTACCGGGACCCGCCGTTCAGATCGAGCTACCCGCCATCAAGACAACATGGAAGAGGTAGCCATTGACCTGGAGCTGTTCCGCGCCGATGAACCCAAACGTCCGGCTCCGCCGAAGGCAACTGGTGCGCGTGAGGTATTCCAAGAACTTCCCCGCAATGATCCCTTCCGCAATTGGCACATCCAGCAGTGCGATACTTGCGGCGATGGCACCACCGTTGGACCTCTTATCTACTGCCAGGGCTGCGTACTGGCATACCACAAGGGCTGCCTCGGTCATCGTACCGGCCGCGAGCATCTGGTAACAAAGGTTTCTGATGACAACTTCGTCCTCCAATGCCGTCGTTGCATCAACGCTCACCACAGGAAGGACATGCTCGCCCCCGACCTAGGTAGGTGTCAAGTCTGCAAAGAGACGGGCAAATCTTGCACCGCTTTCCGCCAGCGTAAGACGGCTATGCAAGAACAACGCGAGCGCGAGGAGAACGATGGAGAAGATCCAATCACCGACGTGGGCCCGAATCTTATCAACAACCGGTTCAACATCCTCTTCCGCTGCTCATCTTGCTGGCGTGGGTTTCACTTCTATCATCTCCCGCCCAAATCACCTCATCACATGGATATCGAGGAAGATGAGGAAGAAACTGCCGAGCGTAGGTTCGCTGAGTATTCACAGGCCTGGCAATGCAAGGAATGCTCGGATATGCCGGCAAAGGTCTCCGGATTGATTGCCTGGAAGCCGGTTGACGAAGAAAACTACATTGCCGGCACATCCTGTGAGAATGCGCATGAGGATGACAAGGCGTATCTTGTCAAGTGGGACAAACTGTCCTACTTCCGTGCATCTTGGATGCCAGGAGCTTGGACCTGGGGAGTGACCAACGTCACCATGCGCAAAGCGTTCTTTAAGAAGGACACCGGCCCTAAGATGAGGACGGAGGACGCAATCCCCGAAGAATACCTCCGGATCGATATTGTCTTGGACGTCAAATACACTAGCATCGTCGAGATTCTTAGCGAGGAAATCGACAAGGCACGTATCAAAGAGGTTGACCAAGCTCTCATCAAATATAAGGGCCTCGGGTACGAAGACGCCGTCTGGGAGAAAGTGCCTGTTCCTGAAGATGGTGACCGCTGGACCGATTTTGTCACAGCGTATAACGACTGGGTGCTCGGTCGCTACACCAACGCTCCAAAGAAAGGTCCTCTGCAAGTTCGCCTCGAGAAGGCTCGTTCCCAGCCATTTACCAAGCTTGAGAAGTCGAAGCAGCCCGATATCCTCCAGTCGGGTATGGAACTAATGAAGTACCAAATTGATGGTCTCAACTGGCTTTATTATCAGTGGTACTCCAAGAAGAACGGCATCCTCGCTGATGAGATGGGTTTGGGTAAGACCATCCAAGTCATCGCCTTCTTGGCCACTTTGATCCAGGATCACAGCTGTTTCCCATTCCTGGTTGTGGTTCCGAACTCAACTTGCGCGAACTGGAGACGAGAAATCAAGCACTGGGCCCCTTCACTCCGTGTTGTTACGTATTTCGGTTCATCTCAAGCGCGGAACATGGCGTACCAGTATGAGATGTTTCCAGAGGGCAAGAAGAGTCTTTGTTGCCACATCGTTGTGACCTCCTACGATGCTGCTGCCGACGACAGTTGTCGGAAGTTCCTCAAGAGCGTCAATTGGGCCGGCCTCATCGTTGACGAGGGCCAGCGCCTGAAGAACGACAACAGCATACTCTACAACGCCTTAAATGCTCTTAAGATTCCTTTCCGTCTTCTACTTACCGGTACCCCTCTACAAAATAATGCCCGTGAGCTCTTCAACCTGCTACAATTCCTTGACGACGATATCGACGCCGCTGGACTTGAGGAAGAGTATGAGGAAATGACGAAAGAAAAGATCATAAAGCTTCACGACCTAATTCGCCCATACATCCTCCGCCGTACGAAGGCGCAGGTGCTTACCTTCTTACCTCCGATGGCCCAAATCATCGTGCCTCTTTCAATGAGCGTCCTTCAAAAGAAGCTTTACAAGTCAATCCTGGCGAAGAACCCAGAGCTTCTTAAGGCTCTTTTCTCTACAGATCGCCAACTCAAGCCCAACGAGAGGTCTAATCTCAGCAATATCCTGATGCAGCTACGAAAGTGCCTCTGTCACCCGTTCATCTACAGCCAGGAGATTGAAGAGAGGACCGACGTTGCTGCAATTTCGCACCGGAACTTAGTCGAAGCATCAGCAAAGCTCCATTTCCTTGAACTGATGCTGCCTAAGCTCAAAGAGCGGGGACACCGCGTCTTGATTTTCAGTCAGTTCCTCGACATGCTCGACATTATTGAAGATTTCTTGGATGGTTTGGAAATGGGCTACCGCCGACTTGACGGCACTATCGGCTCTCTGGAGAAGCAGAAGCGCATTGACGAGTTCAACGCTCCTGATTCGCCTTTGTTCGCATTCCTGCTGTCTACCCGCGCCGGAGGTGTTGGTATCAACTTGGCGACTGCCGACACAGTTATCATCTTGGACCCTGACTTCAACCCTCATCAGGATATTCAAGCTCTTTCCCGTGCCCATCGAATCGGCCAAAAGAAGAAGGTCCTGTGCTTCCAGCTTATGACTCGCTCCAGCGCAGAGGAAAAGATTGTCCAGATTGGACGCAAGAAGATGGCTTTGGATCACGTCGTGGTGGAGTCATTGGATGATGAGGACATCGAGGATAAGGACGTCGAGTCTGTCCTTCGACACGGTGCTGCCGAACTGTTCTCCGACAATGACAACCATGACATCAAGTATGACCACAATTCCATTGAACAGCTCTTGGATCGTAGTCAAATCGAGGATACCAAGACCGGTACGGACGCTTCAGCAGAGACGCAATTCAGCTTTGCTCGTGTTTGGGCCAACGATGCCGGTTCTCTGGAGGATACGCTTCCTACAGGCGACGAACAGGAAGCCCCGCCTGACCCGTCGGTTTGGGATAAAATTCTTCAGGAACGTGAAAAGGCAGCTGCGGCGGAGGCTGCGGCGAAGGCACAGGCGCTCGGGCGCGGAAAACGTGCTCGTGGTGTAAGTATTCCTTTCCCCATTTGCTGATTCATACTGACGCTTTCCAGCTCGTCGACTACAACGATCGCCAAGACGGTGCTGATGCCGCTGAAGGCTCCCCTGCCAAACCTCGCAGCCGTCCTCGACGTCACGGAGATAGCGACAGCGACACAGACTTCCAAGCTGACGGGAGCGACGATGAAGAAAGTCTTGCCCCAGATGACCAGGTTGACGTTGGCGAGCTTGCACCAGCTCCTGATGGCAAGGCCTCGGGCCTGGCTGTAGCCGGCCCAGCGTCCCAAAGGCAACGCAAGCCACGCGCCGGCCCCACTGGTGAGTCTAATAGTGCCTTTTCGTGTGCTTTCAACAAAGCCATGGCTGCTGCTCGTGATCGGGTCAGAATGCGTGGCGTGGCCTTGACGCCGCAGCTCCACCAGAAACTTGAGGCTGCGATTCGCGAAGCACTTGCTGAGAAAAGGGCCTCGGCATTAAACACCTCAACCACAAAGCAGAGGGCTTCCCCTCGCACGCAGACGCCTACCCGAAAAAATCGATCAAGAGACTAGTCATTTGCTTCATGCCCGCAATGCCCTCTTCCCCACTTGTACCACCAATAACCCAACGAGCACGGCTGCGCTTTTTTTTTTTTTTCAGTCCTTCTTTCTAACTAGCCAATCTTCTTTTTCCTTGCAGTCTCAAAGTTCCAACGCGTCCCCGAACCGCAATTCCCGCCGGGCTACCCTTCGGACCTGCCGGTGCCGGCTGGCCACGTGCGGCGCTGCCCGGCCTGCACCCGCACCCACCTCGTCGGCGCCTGCCCGCTCAAGCTCACGGGCGTCGAGCACTGCAACCTGTGCGGCCTCGCGCACTTCGGCGCCGGCCGCGCCTGCCCGCACATCGGCTCCGAGACGCAGGTCCGCGAGATGCTGCAGGCCCTCAAGCACAGCGCCGAACCCCGCCACCTCGTCGAGCTCGCCGTCAAGTACCTGCGCGGCGTCAAGGGCAATCTCGTCCAGAAGAAGAAGCAGCAGGCGGAGATGGAGCGGAGGGGGGCGGGACTGCCCGCGCTGCAGGCGGCGCAGTATGCGGCGCAGGTGCATAGGGAGCAGCTTGCGTTTCAGCAGCAGCAACAACAGGGTCAGCAGAGGCAGGGAGAAGGCAGTGGTGGTGGTGGTGCGCAGCAGCATCAGCAGCAGCGCCACGTCTTGCCGAGTCATCCAGCGTCGATGAATGTCGTCCCTGTGAGGTCGAACGCACAGCCGCCGCCGCCGGTGCAGGTTCTGCGAAGTAATGGGTATGCTAGTCCAGCAACTTCGATTGGTAGTGGTGCGGGTCCTAGTGCCGGAGGACATGACGATGCTGAGGTTGCGGCGGCGTTGAGCGGGTACTTGGCGCGGGCGCAGCAGGCGCGGGCGGGCGGTGCTGGTCCGAGTGCTTGATGGGTTTCTGGGTGGCTCTCTTTTTTCTTACTTTCTTGCTTACCTACTTTTTTTGCTTTGGGACTGGGTGCCATGGCGTTTGCTGGGGATTTGCGATATCCGAGCATGCGCGTTCGGGCGTTGGCGTTTGAAAAAAAAAAAGACTGGGAGGCATACTACGAGTGGGCATTTTGGCTTAGCTTTTACTCCCGGACGAAAAGTTGGTTAGAGGGATTGCTTGCTTGATTCGGTTGCTGGAGCTTTCGCTTAGAGGTGAAGGGCTCATAGATTACTGGGAGGCTTCGCGGCCGATGGGAACCTTCAGGTACTATCAAATAGCGGTCATTTCGTGGGGCTGGAGACGTACAGGTTGGTGGAGGTGTAGTAGAATCTCCAGACAGGACTTTGAACAATGAAATATTGCTAAGCTACCGCCACATCCCGTCATGCTCGTAGAGTGCTGAGTCTCTATTGGCCCTCCGAAGTCGTGTCTCCTTAGACGTTGCACGCTTCTTACGTAAATAGAATGTGCTGTCATCCGCAGAACATGAGAGATCAAATCTTGTGCGAATCACTGAGGGGCCGAGAATCGAAGGCAACTATTATTTTCCAAGTCTGGAAGCTGATAACTGCGGATAGAGTTTCCTGATTGGGTTTGGAGAGCTTGTTAAGCTTCATACAATATCTCCGAGGAGCATGAGGTCGAATGTTGATACTTTTGCTTTCAGTTGCCGGCAAACGAACATTAAGGTGGGGTGGACTGAAGTCAAGCGGAGATGCGGAGACAGAGTGGAGACGAATAGATAAAGTGAGTGATATGAATGATCCACAACACCCCACGATACAACTGCAACCCCACCCTTGATAACGGAACTTATCACTGGACCTTATAACCAAGATTCTCAATGAAGAAGCTTATTGTACACCATCACCCTTTCGATCAAGTGCTTCTCCGAACTCGGAAGTTCCCAACTTGGCGCACCGCCCCGAACCCAAATGTGGCGCCTCTTCAACTACTGGTCGTCGACCAGTGACCAGCAAAACACCAAAACCCCACCACCACCATCCCGCGGCCTGCCCGCATCCTGGTACCGCTCCGACAGCCTGCACCAACTCGAGCGCCGCGCCATCTTCTCGCGCAAATGGATCCTCCTCACGCACTCGATCCGCCTCAAGCAGGCCGGTGACTTCGTCTCTTTCACCTACGCCGGCTTCGCGTTCTTCGTCGTGCGCGACCGCGACGGCAACGTCAACGGCTTCCACAACGTGTGCCGCCACCGCGCGTACCCGATCGTGCAGAGCGGCGCGGCGGGCACGGCGCGCGTGCTGAGCTGCAAGTACCACGGCTGGTCGTACGGGCTGCGCGGGAACTTGGCGAAGGCGCCGCGGTTCGATACGGTGCCCGGGTTTGACAAGAGTCAGCATGGATTGCTGCCGATTCATGTCCATGTTGATAAGGTCGGGTTCGTGTGGGTGAATCTGCAGGCGGGCGAGCCGGATGTGAAGTGGGATGAGGAGTTCAGGGGTGCGGATGAGAAGCCGATTTTGAAGGAGTTTGATTTTGAGGACGAGTTCAAGTTCGATCACGTGTGGGATATGGAGCTCGATGCGAATTGGAAAGGGTTGGTTGAGAATTACAACGAGTGCTACCACTGTCCGACGTCGCATCCGCTCATTGCGGGGGTGTCGGATGTGAGCAAGTACCGCGTCGAGCCGGCGAGGGGGTGTCTGGAGCACACGATTATCAACAAGAATATGGAGGATAATCGGTTTCGGAGGTCGATCACTTTCTTCCCTCCTTGCACGTCGGTGACTGTTACGTAAGTTCTATTTCCATGCAGTGGAGGCCTGAGAGTTGCTAATGGTACTTTGCAGGGAGCACTTCTTTTACATACAGCGGATGATACCAGTTACAGCCACAACAAGTAGGATCGAAAATGAAGTGTACCGCCATAAGAATGCAACCGACAAGGAATTCAACGACTTGTGTGAATTCTACAAACAAGTTTTGGAAGAAGACAAAGAACTCTGCATTGGTGCGCAACGGAACTTGAACTCGGGAGTTTACACAAATGGAGAATTTCATCCGGACAAGGAAAAGGTAAGAAGCGATGTCTTTGAAATTTTGATTCCCGGCTGACACTACTATTCTTGAAATTAGGGTCCACTCCATTTTCAAGATTCTGTAAGAAGGGAGCTGATGGAACATCGGAGAAAAGAGGAACAGCAGGGTGGTGTAGAGATCTGGCCTGCAACACCCAAGGTTGTCGGCCAGATGAAGACGTGTAAGCTAGAGGAAGAAGAGGCATTTTGCTCAAAGTTGGAGGCGGAAAGTTGCGTAGCACGGTCGGAGTTGGCCTGGTAGATTTAATGCAGCCAAAAAGAAAAAGAAAAGAAAAGCACGTCATGTTATGGAACTTCGGGAATGGGATCTTTTTCCGCTTATTATCTTCGGTATATGCGGCCCAGCTTCTCGACCTGCCAGGCTCTTCGCCGAAGGTTGAGTGGCCATTACTGGGGCCCATCTAAGAGAAATCGCAGGTAAGATTTACAAAGGACAATTACAAAAGCTTAGTTCTCTAGTTTTTCTGAAGCATTAGTGGTCTTTAATTTCCCATAAGAAGAAACAAACACTTGTTGTACATTTTCTAGGCGCACCGTAGAGATTCGGACTCTACACGGTTCTTACGGAAGCTCAGTTATCTATGGACCCACAACAGTATTAGAAATCGAGGAATATAATCGGATACGGCTTCGTTAAAAGATATAGTAGTAACACGTGATGCTCCATTCTTCACGTGACTTCATCACGACGAATATGAGGACATTTATGGCAGATTCAGACGACAAAAATCGGTTGCTATCACTGTCCCTATTTCACAATTCTTGCATCAAATATCTAACAAGCCTAAGATCTGCCCCAATGTAGCCACATGTCTAATTTCACGTGGCGAGTTGCAAGGATTCAACTGCCCCTCATTTGTGTAACCTCAACACCATAACGTAATCTATCTTCCCCTGAACTGACAGAGCCCTTAAAAACATAGATATGTCGCAGCAGTGCGGGGTCTGTCATAATCTCGATCCACCTATGAGCTTCGAACGCGAAGTGATAGAGTTGCGACTTCTAATGAACACAGTTGATGGGAATTGCCAGATATGCGATCTCTTACGTCACACGATAGAAGCGCAGTCTTGGGACGAGTTCTTGCATGGCTGTCTGTTCTACAATCGGCCTAAAGCGGGCTCTCCATTTTTATTGGATATTCCAGCCCTCGGGATGTCTTTTTGCATCTACAGTGCCTCAGGTATACTCGATCTTCCCTCAAATCAAAACATCGCAGTTTAACTTCATACAGAAGCCACTTCTCGGATTTTATCTATACCCACTACGAGAGCTCTGAATAATGCGCTCGAAATGAATGATCACGAATACTCGTTCAATTTCATTCGAGGTTGCCTTGCGGACTGCACTGCTCGAGTAAACGGGCATGAGAGCTGTGAAAGCCACAGCCAATCACCGTTGCCTCGCCGCTTGCTTTACTTTGGGTCGTCTAACTTCAAGCTCATTGAAACTCAAGGAGAACTTGGAAGCTACGTTGCACTTTCTTATTGTTGGGGCGGGGAATCTGAAAACAATCTCAGAACGCTGTCTTGCAACTTGGAACAAATGAAGACAGGTATTTCCTGGGAGGACCTTCCTCCAGTTTTCAAGAATGCCGTGACGGTTTCGCAAAATTTGGGCATTGAGATGGTCTGGATTGATGCGCTATGTATAGTGCAGGACGATGTCAGAGGTAAGGGCCTGACCTAACTCTCGATGTCCTAGTCGAATGGGTTTTATTCCTGTATGGAAGCTGACTGAACAGACTGGGAGATAGAATCCTCGAAAATGGCGCAATACTATTCAGGGGCCTACTTCACCATCGCTGCGGACTCTTCCGAGAACCCTTCTGTTCCTTTTCTGGGTCGATCATACCCAATCTACCAGCCCATCAGAAACAGCATGGACCCCTATACCATCTTTTGCGAAAGAATTCCAACTTGGTTGGATGTATTCAGCAAAGGTTTGAATGCCTTGCGACGACGTGGATGGGCCTTTCAAGAATCGGCGTTGTCGAAACGGTCCCTTCATTATTCAGCGTGTGGTCTGGTGTGGGAATGCCAGTCAACAATGATTCCGCAGCATGAAATTAAAAATTCACAAGTGCAGACCGGAGCCTACAGCGGACCTGCGCCAAAATTTAATCGACTTCTCAGCCTAATCTATGGCACCGAACGACACGAACGCGATCCCGCCGCATGGTCCAAATCATTGATCATCCAATGGATGGACTTAGTGAGAGATTATTCTTCGAGAAGCCTCACTCGTGATAAAGACAAGCTTCCAGCACTCAGTGGGATCGCCAGCGCAGTGTCCCAAGCTACTGGCTGGACCTACCTTGCTGGACATTGGGAAAATGTCCTTCAAATATCCCTTTGTTGGTCCGTAAGAAAAGGATTCGCGGCGCCCATGTCAGGTAGCGAAGGGTCACCGAGTTGGTCATGGGCGTCTCTTAGCGGAGAGGTCGGGCCTGATAGCCCCGACTTGGATGTTGATACTGGTTCTGATCATAGAGAATGGAATGCTAGAGCTCTGAGCAGTGCGTGTGCAGCGGCCGGGCTCAATCCATTCGGCCAAACAAAAGGCGGGTACGTCACTCTTGTAGGATATATCACTGTTGCTCGCTTGCGGTTCATAGCTTCTGAGTCCGGATATCTCTTGCAGCCAATGGCGCATCGTCCTGTTCACCTCATTTTCCCCAAGATCGACACTCTTCTAGAGGAGTGCGATTGCAAAAAACCGATATTCCATGGCACGAAGACTTTTCGCAGGAAACATGCGTCTGCGGCATACGACTCGCCGGGGTCGAAAAATATCTTCGTAGAGCTACTTCTCATTGCGCAAGATAATGTCAGTGGAGAAAATGTGTATCTTGTTCTCGGGCGATCTCCAACAGTCCATGGAGCACATGTGCGTCTTGGGATATTGCGCGTCTTGGAGCGGATAATGAAAGCGTTTCACGCTGGAGAGCTTACCAGAACCTATTGTGGTGACTATAATATAGCTCTTTACCGTGTTTTATGTCTCCATTATCTTTCTCTGGTTTCGTTGAACGTTCATGATTTGAAACGTGGAAAGAGCTCCTAAAGACTTATCTCCAGTAGATATTTTGCAAACTCTTGACTGTACATAGCGTGAACTCGACGACATCCTAGATAATCCATTCCTTGCTAAACATCATGTGTATGACTTCTTGACCGTTCCCCGGGACCATACCCGATGGGCTTTTCGTTACGATCGAACTCGCCCCAAACGGACAAGATTGCTGTTGCACTGCCGCGATGCAGGGGAATCTCGATGAAGAGATGCGGATACGGTAGAGATAGGGAGCACTTGTGGTTTTCGCATATGCTGAGGTTTGCGGCATGGGCGTTATTTGAGATTTTGTTATCGGATAGGTCCATCGCGATCGGTGGTGCGCAACGCTAGAGACGCGATGAGAATGCGTTCAACACTCTATCCCCGCATCCGGCCAATGTTATAGGAAGGAAAAAAAGACAAGCTTGAGAAGCCGGCTAGAGCCAATTCAATGAGGGGCGCGCGACCCATGGATTGATTTGTTCTGAGCGAGGGAGCAGAGAAGTGCGGGGTACGTGAGCCTTCTATATATGACCCCCAACCCCCTGCTAAAATGCTGGGCCAAACACATCTCACATGCCACCCCTGCGTCCAAGGGCAAGCGAAGACGATTTATCTATATTTCACAACCAATAAAGGCAGCGCCTTCAGATATCCCAGATATGAGAATTTCATACATGTCGTCCTAGAGATTCCACCAGGATTTCCTCGACCGAGATAAAAGTTTTGTAGCGGTAGCTCAATGTGTTTAGTAGGGCCTGTCTCATCTGTTATGTTCTCCAGATCTTGGGCAATAGCTACTGACTTTTGGCATAGTGTCCAGTGACGCCAGTCATCAAAGTAATGATCTTGACGGAGTATCTGGCGGATTCCATGATATTCGCCCCTCTTTGTTTGTAATTTGCTGGTTTTTAGCGACTAGCAGCTTTTATACTCTATACTCCCTGAAGATAATATTCCATGGATCATTCTGCGCATTCTTCAGATCCTTTGGGAAAAAGCATAGGTACTGAGGGTGGAAAAGACGGGTCTTGGATCCTACGACTATCACGCAAAAGAGGCTTGGATTCTGCGGGAGTTGGCGCAATCGGCCATGGCCAACGAGTGCTTATACCAGGTCATGGTCCAGAATATTCCGCACAGCGCCATCCTCGTATTCGACCACAACATGCGCTACGAGTTGGCCGAAGGCAGCGCCATCCAAGAGCTGACAGGGCATGGCAGCAGCTTCTACATAGGCAAGCTGGCGCAAGAGGTGGCCAGCTTCGCCAACCGCGTACTTATCGAGAAAAACTTCCGTGCGGCACTCCAGGGCGAAACTCGCGATCAAGACGTGCGGATCGGCGCGCAGTTTGCAGCCTTGCACACAGCGCCCATCCGCGGCGAGAACGGCGCCATCGTACGCGGAATGGCGTTCTTATACAACATCACGGCACGCAAGCAGCTCGAAGCCAAACTGCTAGCGCAAACCGAACATCTCGAACTGCTCTCACAGATTAGCGACGAAGTGAACAAAGCCAGCAGCCTGCGCGAAGCTCTCGCCCGCTTACTGCAACTGCTGGGCGCGCGCTGGAACTACGCCGTAGGCCACGTGCTTCTGCGCAAGGACGACAGCGAGGCCGGCGAGCTGGAGTCGACGGATCTGTGGTGGACATCGGATGGGGGGGCGCGCTTCGAGCCTTTCAAGCAAGCCATCGAACAGATGGGCTTCGCCCCCGGAAAAGGGTACTTACCAGACCACGTCTTCCAAGCTCGCAACAAGCCGTCGACCTGGTCCGTCGTCGGCTTCCAGAAAGACCCCACCGCACTCGTCCGCGCCGCCGCCGCAGCGTGCGGCTTGTGCAGCGCATCCGTCTTCCCGGTGCTCGCGGGCGCCGACAACGAAGTCACCGCCGTACTCGAGTTCTTCAGCACTACTCTCTCCTCCTCCTCCGCCGCCGCAGACCCACCACCGCACCCGCCGTCTCTCATCGCCTCCGTCATGCAATCCATCACCCCGCACCTCACCCGCGTTATCGAGCGCGAGCGCCACGCCGCCCTCTCCACCACCGACGACCTCACCCACCTCCACAACCGCCGCGGCTTCCTCGCCCTCGCCCGCCACCACCTCGCATCCGCCGAGCGCACCCGCAAACCGCTGCTCCTCCTCTTCGCGGACCTGGACGGCCTGAAGCACGTCAACGACACGTACGGCCACGCAGCGGGCGACGGCCTCATCGCCGAGGCGGGGAGGGTGTTGAGAGAGGCGTTTCGCGCGTCCGACATAGTGGCGCGGTTGGGGGGCGATGAGTTTGCGGTGCTGATGCCGGAGACGGATGTTGGTGGGAGTGGGGCGGTGTTGGGGCGGTTGAGGGCGGGGGTGGAGGAGGCGAATGGCAGGAACGACGGAGGAGGAGGAGCTGGAGGAGGAGGAGGAGGAGGAGGGGAAAAGAGGTACAAGCTCGAGTTGAGTTTGGGGTTGACGAGCTTTGATCCCGAGAGGCCAGAGACGCTCGACGGCTTGCTCGATCGCGCTGATGCGTTGATGTACGAAGATAAACGGGCAAGGAAGCGCGGCAGGGATGGTGGAGCGCGCTGAAGCGATTATCCTGCCGGTTGCGCGGGCTTTGTGCAAGTGGGTCTGCAGTAACGTCGATTCTTAATGTCCGAATTTGACAACCTGGCTGGACGTCGTCAATGCGGACCCGTCAAACAAGCAGTTCTCGAAAATCGGCCCAGCAATGCAATATGATATAGGCAGATACGAAGAAAGGATGCCCTTTAAGGAAGCCACGATGATGAATCATTTGTGAATTCTACTAAGCCATGATAGACTCCAAAAGGAATGAATCTTGGGATTATCCTGGTGAAAAACGGCAGTCTAATTATGTGTGGAGTGGAAGCTATTGTCTAGAGATTTCTTCATGGTCATTCAGTCTACACGAACGTCAGGACATGTGCTCCAAATACTCACTGTTGGCACGGCAACTTTCTGAAAGGTCAGCCGACTGAAACTGAACACCTGCTACATTTCCATATCTCGTGCAATATTTTTTTTCACTGGAAATTCTTGACCCAGTGTTCAGTGACGTGTTCTGATCATTTGGCAAGAAAGCAAAATCACTGAGGGAGGGAAGACAGGGGTTGAGTGTCTTAAATCCTACGGTTCCCACCTACACTAATATCGCGCAACGAACGACAGAATTTCGACGTGACGCGATAGGCGCGACGGCCGGTCACGCTACGCATTAGACCATAAGATGGGTGATGTGGATTACGATGTTCTAAATTGCGCAAGTAGCATGTGGCCACGTCGATTCAAAAGTCGAGGCTGAAGACAGGCTGGCTGCCAGCTCTCACCGATACACCCAGTTTTCCCCTTTTCGGCTAGTTACATGACTGACTAGAAGATGATCGAAAAAGGCCTAAGGATTTTCGGGCTATGGCGGAGGCGGATCAAAACGCCACTCGCGATTGACCGGCTCGGTTCGGGACGGCGATCGCGCGGCCGGCCCGATACGTTGACCTACCAGAGTTCAGGGTTGTTGGACCCTTATTGCAACCCCCGGCTAAAAGTTAATGGAAATCAATCTTTTCTTATTAACGCATATCTAGAAGCCAAGTATGACTGCTGCTTGGCTTTGGAGGAAACGTAATTTAGCACTGTCTGATGTTTTAATACAGCGAGAACGGACGTTGACGTCACTTCTACTATACATCTGCAGTCTTCTGTAGAAGGCTATTTCTCTAGACACACCTCTCTCATGTTTCCTAGCACATTTACATCTAAAAGCCATTCGCAATCCTTGTTTCGTTCCTTGAAAATGGTATGGAGCGGTAAGGAGGACTCGCTATGGTCCTGTGATAAAACGCAGTAATGGAGCATCCATCTTGTTGTAGAACTTCATAGAAGGATACGCAGGGAGTGTCTAGAACTTTGCATATCAACGACTGATGGTGTTAAACAATTTACGGGGTTGTGGTTCCTTTGCGCCGGTTGAGGGCAAAATACACTAGCGACTCATTAGCGGCAATCATTGATGTTTGCTTTCCCAACACCGCCTTGCTTTGGTCCATGCGTCTCAAAGGTGGCATCTAGCGGCCCTGTGTGATACCGCTAATCTCGTATCAGGGCGCTACATGGCTCATGACGCCCGGTGTTTGTGGCGTTGATCTTGGTGTTTCTTTATCTTTCAGCTCATGAAATCACACCGTACAACCGACTGCCCCTTCATGTCCTACACCGCCATGAAGAAAATCAATAGATGAAGCTGATCTCTTTGTCCAGTTGACCGCCAGACGCTAAAGCTAGGCTGAAGACATGTGACGATCCCAACAACACTACCTTCATGTGGCAGGGGCAGCATCAGAGTACTTAAGAGGATATGCACTGTGCCATGTAGCGCGTCTTCACTTTCTCCGAAAGCTCTAATTTCTAACACCATGTCGATCGTTGAGCAGCTCCCCCAGTTGCAGCAAACCCAAATCCCCTTTACGGGGTCACTTTCTGTGAATACCATAGAACCTGCCGCGTTGTCAACCGCCGAGTACCTTCTTCAGTTGGAACCATTTCAAATCCCGGTCACGGCCTTCGCCTCACCAGAGGAGACCAAGAATGCATACGACCAAGCTCGCCTGCTCTGCAGGCATTTCAGTACGTTTCGCCTGACCCCCCCAAACGCCATGGCCAACTACTAAAACACCCCCAGACCTCAGCATCCACGACATCAAAAACCTGACACCCCGCTTCTGGTCCTTCCACACCTCGCGCATCCACGTCCAAACCTGCGCCGCCTCGACCCTCCTCAGCATCCACTGGAACCTCTGCATCGGCACCCTCGCCCACTACACCTCCTCCAACCGCCGTCCGGACCTCCACCCGCTCCTCGCCCGCCTCCTCCGCTTCGACCAGATCGGCCAATTCCTGCTGACCGAAATGGGCCACGGCCTCGACGCCGCGCACCTCGAAACCACCGCCACTTTGCAGTCTGATGGCAGCTTCTCGCTGCACACGCCGCGCATGGCCGCCGCCAAGTTCATGCCGCCGACGACGCCGGAGGCGGGCGTCGCCGCCGGCGCCGTCGTCTTCGCGCGGCTGGTCGTGGGGGGAGAAGACCGCGGCGTGCGGCCGTTCTGGGTCGAGCTGCACGACGGCACGTGTATGGCCGAGGGCGTGACGTCGATCAAGCTGCCGCGAAGGGCGGGCGCGGCGGCGGTCGATCACGCGGTGACGGTGTTTACGCACAAGCGGCTGCCGCCGGGTGCGATGCTGGACAACAGTGATGGGGTGGCGGCAGCGTTCGCGCGGCCGGAGAATCCGAAGAAGCATTTTTTGGGATTGCTGCACCGCGTCGCCGTCGGCACCATGTCGCTGACGATGAAGTACGCCGCGGACCTGAGGCAGGCGGCGTATATCGCGGGGCGGTACTCGCAGCGAAGGACGGTGACGGGGCCGAAGGGGCAGAAGGTGCGGATTATCGAGTTCCGCACGCAGCAGCGGCCGATTCTGCATGCGTTGGCGCAGGCGGCGGTGTTTGAGGCGGGGGCGAAGTATTGTGCGGAGCTGTTCACGAAGGCGAAGGATCATCGTGTGAAGCATGGTGTGGCGGCCGCGTTCAAGGCGGGCGTGACGTGCATGGCGCAGGAGTCGCTGGTGCAGCTGGCGGACCGGTGCGGCGCGCAGGGCTTGTTCGAGCACAATGGCATTGTGAGGGCGCAGATGGATATGCGCGGGAATTCGATTGCTGAGGGCGATGTGTTGGCGTTGAGTATTCGTAAGTGCTTCCTTCCAGCAACACTTCGCCGTTTCTCCACTACGAGGGATTGCAGGAGGTGTCAACCTTTGGCGTCTTGCGTAGAAGGCTATGGTCTTCATTTTCGGATGGTCAAGCCCTGTGTCCGGACGTATTTACGCCACATCTACATCCGGCCACAGGCTCTCCAACCATCCACAGCCCGCACCTCCTCCCCTCTCCGCTCCCCTCCCCATCCACACAACCCACGAAACCGTCTCCCCACAAAAGAAAACCGCCACTAACATCCCACACCTACAGGCCTAACATCCGAGCTCCTCCTCGGCCGCTACTCGCTGCCCCCCTCGCCCCACCCCGACTCGCTCCCATCCCTCTACTCCGCCGGCCTCCTCGCCGAAGCCGCCGCCATCGCCGCCGAAATCATGTCAACCCCTTCCCCCTCCGACAGCACCTCCTCCTCCTCCTCCCACCGCTCCGCCCGCTTCAACGCCTCCATCCTCCCCCTCGCCCAACCCCTCGTCGAAGCCCTGGGCTGGCGCCTCGTCCACGACGGCGCCGCCGCTCCCGGCAGCGGCGTCGACCCCGACCTGCTCGCGCTGTTCGAGGCGGGCGTGGCGGTCAGGGGAGCGAGTTGGTTCGTCGAGAACGGCGTCGAGGGGTGCGAGAGTAGGCGGGCGATCATGGCGCGGGAGGAGCGGGCGATTGATAGGCTGGTGGGCAGGTTGGATGGGTTGTTGGGGGGGTTGGGAGTGGAGGGGTATTTGAGGGGGAGGGTGCCGATACTGGGGGAGGGGGAGTGGGAGGGGTTTGTGGGGGGGTTGCCGAGGTTTGAGGGTGGTGGGAGTGGGAGTGGGAGTGTGAGGAGGAGGGGGGAGGCGAGGCTTTGAGGGGGTGTTTGATGGTTTTTTTTGTAGCGCTTTGAGCACGGTGTTTGGGTTGATATTTGGCGGATGGAGCCATTGGATGCTGCGGACTTATTTTCGCCTACTTAATCTATGCCTACGAGTACTGTGGTCTGTTTGCTGCGTCTGGTCCGGAAAAGGCACGGCAATGTTGTGTCTGTGTGAATGGAAAATCAGAGAGGGGAGACGCGATTCTCTTTTGAAGTGTGACTATCAACGGTCAACGTGACATCTCTACCTATCATTTCAGACGTTCCATATTCCATTCTTCTCTAACTCATTTCAATCCCAGGAAGCTGTCGCCGTCTCACTCCTTTGTTCAATTGAGTGGAAGCACCTAGGTAATACAGCTTGTTGCGTACGTCAGTCACACAAAGCGGGCGATTGAAAGAGATACGAAAAGAAAATGTCTAGTCTTTTTTGTGTCTAGCTACCATGTATCGCGGATTCTGCCCATTTCCTGTATAGCTACATTTCCTAAAAAGTCAGGAAATGGATGCTGTGAGCCAGATGAGCGCATCTTTCCCCCAAAAGCTTTTACTGCGCTTTGTTGCTCCCTTGGAGCTCTTCATGACGTGGAGCAACTTGGCCCAGCGAATTTCCTTTCAAGTTATCCCATCTCACGACAATTCCGTCAGCCACCACAGTTTTCTCACTCTTCTTCTTCTCTGAGCTTAGATGGCTTGAACAACTTCAACAGTCTCGCCGCATTGTCCCTCAGTTGCGCCGACTCCTTCTCTACCATATCTCCAAGAGCCTCCGCCTTCTGGGCCAACTTCTCGATCTTGTCAATCTCCGATTTGTATGGGTGCGCATGCTGGATCGGCTCGTTTGACTCTCCCTCGAAACTTCCAGTCTGTTGTTGGTGGGGTATATTGATGATCGGGCTGCGAATAAACCAGCCAGGAGTTGTGAACGTTGTCGCGAGAGTAGTGTCACCATTCGGCTCGTATCTGACGCTGACAGCCTGAAGCATGGCGTAAGATAAGAAGCCGTCACTATCGAGGAAGGTTGCTGTGATGGTAAGAGTGCTGTCAGGCAAGTAGCTGATGCTGACGGCATGGAGCGTGGCGCAGACGCTATCGTGGTCCCATTCGATGATGTAGCCGTCAGGAGTGGATAGGATGGCCTTGATAGCACAACCATAGAGCTCGTAAGCGGCGCTGACGGTGCTAAGCTTGGCATCGTCGATATAGTTGCTCATACGCATCTTCGTCTCCTTGCGCTTGTTGCGGTTTCTGTGGCGGTTGCGCTTATCCTGGGAAGGTGGACACATGCTGTCGCAACGGGTGTGGTGGAGGTGATGCGACGCAAGCTCAAAGGTATGAAGCGGAGTGTGCAGCGGTGGAGATGTCTGGCTGCTGTCGTAGATTGGCGCTGTACTTATCCGCGCTGCTCGAAGTGAGGCGCAGGCGTGTTGGCGGGTGACGTGGGTTTGGTCATGTGCGACAGGCTCCACAGGCTTGCCCTTGGTGACTTTGGAGTTGCAACGGGGTGAGATATTGTGGCCGAGCGGAGGTAGACTTCTCGCGCGGGAGGGGAAAGGTTTTGAACGGCTGAATACCTAGGCAAGTGCTTAAAACGCGTGACAGGTGAGCCCACGTGGATCGGGATAGAACGGACCGGGCACGTCGCGCCGCCGCAGCGCATACACAACCACTAAGTAGGCCTGCGGTAGATTGTCGGCGCTGAATATAAGAAAGGCCAGTATTAATATCTCAAGTGTGCACATGTCGGCGCTACGTTTGAAACGGGGCGCGTTCAGGAACCTGATTGGACATGCGTTCTTTTTCCTTCTCTAGAATTTGCTCATTGTTCCCTCTTGCTCCCTCAGGGCTTTCCACAATGAAAAGCAATTTCTCCAAGTGCATTTCCTTCCCAAACAAATCTATCTCACGGAACCAAGGCATTTTGTTAACTATCTTCTCTTTCAAACACCAGGCAACTTCGTAAGCTCCAACAATTCCGCGGCCGTCTCGTTCAATTGCCATGACATCTCCTCCAACATATCCGCCATCTCACCCGCCATCTCCGTCATCTCCCCGAGCGCCTTCGCCTGCGCGATCAACTCCGCCATCTTCTCCACGATCTCCCGCTTGCGTGGGTGCGCATCGTGCTCCTGCTCGGGTGGCTCGTCGTCGGCGCTTCCCGTCTGCTGCTGAGCAGGCGCGTTGATGCCCGGGCTGATGATGTAGCCGAGGGTGGTGGAGAGGGTGGTCGCGATGGAAGTGCCGCCGTCGGACCCGTATCGGATGCTGACGGCGTGAAGGATGGCCTTGGTGCTGCCTTCGCCCTTGCGCATTGTGTTCTCTGCAAATTCTTTCTCGCATTTGATGCGCTTTTGCTCGGAAGGAGAGTGCATGTTGCAGCAGCCGGGGTGGAGGTGAGGCGGTATTGGCTGGGCGGTATGAGTCGGGACGTGCTGAGGTGGTCCGGTCTGGCTGCTGTCGCGGATTTTGCGCTTTGCTGGTGCTCAGACTGAGAAAGACTGTGTGTGAGATGCTCCTCGGGATTGCGCTTGGTGATTTTGGGATTCCAAACGAGAGAAAGTGGGAAAGTGCGGTCGAGTAAGGTCAGACTGGTTTCATGGGAGAAGTACTATGTAGAGTAGTCGGACGGGCAAGTGGTTCGGACACGTGATAGGTGATGCCGTCGGGATAGAACGGACGATGATTGGCCGCAACATAGCTTACACCTGTCGCTAGGCATACACTGCGGGAGATCATCGGCGGTAGATATAAGAAGCTCTGTATCAGGGTACCAAGTCCGTATAGGTAATACTGCGTTTAAAGCAGGGCGCGCTCAGGAACCTAATGGGACATGCGTGGCTTTATTTCACTCAGAATAGAGATTGAATGTGAACAGAGATACTAACGTAATAAGTATGTATCTTCAAAATATACACCTAGCTTAGCTGTTGCAAGCAAAGATTGGAACGAGATCCTGTTTCTCACCAACGCCCCTCCTGCTCAAGACTCCATTGTGTGAGTTGCTGCCGAACTTGTTTTGCCTGCTTCTTATACTCGTTTACTAATACTTAGAATATCAGTTCAGACATAAATAAATCTTTCTTATAATCCGTTTGCACGCTTTACATTCATTCCCAATCTATCCGCTCCTGCTTTAAAGTCACAGGCAATTTCATCAACCTCATCAGCCGACTTTTATAACTGCGATTCTTTCCATTCGGCTTTTCTGCAATACCTGGTGCGAATATAATGCTCCTACATAGGTAAGCTCGATGATGTCACTTCTCCTGTAATTTACAGCTCCACTGCACTATCATGCCGTGTGCGGCGGCTGTCGTGCGAAGGCTTTTCTGCCTAAAGCAACGGCGGACTCACATAGGTTTACGTGCTTCCATCCTACTCTGAGCTTGAAGATCTCTTCCTTTTTCGTCGCGTATTACCACAAAAATGTAATCCAAAGCTTGGCTTCGACGTGTCGAATCAGCTCAGTACTGTCTCGTGGAAATTGTGACAAATACTGTAATTCGTAGGTAATTCGTCGGATAACGGCATCATCAGGCTTTGCAGATGAACCGCACAATACATGCAACATCTACAAAGGCCGCCCATGTTGTGGAGAGCTCGGCCGACCGTCAAAGCCCGAAAAGCTGAGATTTACTGCCGTACATCTAGTTCTGGATGCATCCGTTTCCCCGAGTACGCAAGCGATACGTTCCGGACAACCGTCACCGTGGCGAACGTTACGTTCCGCGCCTAAATAGCGCTCAATGGTTTCCTAAAGAGGCAAGGCAACCCCGCCACAGATCCCGAAGCGGACATCGGCAATAATGAACCCTACTCTACTTCCGGTGAATGATTGTACCGAGCACACTCTATACTTCCGTTTCAAGTTTTCGGCAACTTGAGTCCATAGTCCATCCACAGAAGAAAAGTACTATCGAATTCTTTTAACTGTATGCGCACTGATGGAGGACGCATTAGGTTTTTGATGATGATGGTTTCTTCTCCGCGTAAGGACAAATTTATAAGACATCAGCCCCTCAGCCTTGCAGTAATGCAGCGTACCTTGCAGGGGAACCGCCAACATGATGTGGCCTCACCCACTCCTTCTCATCTTTCTTTGCTTGTTAAGCATTCGATTTGCCCACGTGTTGTCCATTCCTTTAGCAAGAGATCGGAGTCACTGGGTGACGTCATGGGCTGCCGCACAGCAAAATGCCATTGACGACCACGTACCATCGGGAGAGTTTGTTCGTGAATCTTCAACATTGCTCTTATTTCAGTCCTAACGAGTGCAGGATGCAGATGGCCGGGTATTCAAGAATACTACTCTACGCCAGGACGTGCACGTTTCTCTCGGCGGCTCAAAACTTCGCCTCAAAATCTCCAATTCATTCAATGAAAATGACCTATCCATCACGGCCGTCACAGTTGCTTTCCCCGACGACTCAAGAATTGGGGGTTCAGCCATCAAACCCGACACGGTGCACACTGTGACTTTTTCCGGGGAAGAGTCCGTCACCGTTCCTCCCAACGGCTTAGAAACCTCTGACCCCATCGATCTCTCTGTGGACAACGACTCCAACCTGACAGTGTCAATGTACTTCAAGGACGGCCAGGAGGGGCGGGAGCCTTCGATGCATTCATCGAGCTACACAACCTCCTGGCTGACCCTTGGCAACGCCGTAAAGGCCAAAGACTTCACAGACAAATCCAAAAAGAGCACCAATAGCTGGCAAGTCTCAGATTTTCCCCCCGTATCAGAGCCCATCCCACTGACCTCCCTTCTTGCAGGTTCTACCTCTCCGCCGTCGACGTCCTAGCCCCCTATGCCGCATCCACCCTCGTCATAATCGGCGACAGCATCACAGACGGCAAGGGCAGCACGCTGAACGGAAACAACAGGTCAGCCAAAATCCCCCCTCCCTCTCCCCAAAAGCAAAACAAACCCCACTAAACCGTCCCACAGATGGCCAGACCAACTCTTCCCGATCCTCCAATCCGCGCCCTCCACCAACACCCTCGCCATCGCCAACCGCGGCATCGACGGCAACCGCGTGCTCCGCAACGGCGTCGGCCCGCGCGCCCTCGACCGCTTCGGCAGCGACGTCGGCGCCACGTCCAGCGTCGGCGCGCTGCTCATCTACGAGGGCATCAACGACATCCGGTCCTCCTCCTCTTCCTCCAACGACTCCGACGACTCCGACGACCCAAACACGACCAACAACACCGCCACCGCCCTCATCCGCGCCTACACGCAGCTGCTCGACCGCGCGCGCGCGCACGACGTCCCGCGCGTCTACATCGCGACGCTGGCGCCGTTCGGCGGGACGGAAGGGTGGAACGACGCGCAGGAGGCGGCGCGGCAGCGGGTGAATCGGTGGATAAGGCGGAACGAAGCGGGGTTCGATGCGGTGGTGGATTTTGATGCGGTGCTGCGTGGCGGGAAGAAGGGAGGGATGGCAGGGACGGGGCCGAGGATGGGGATGCAGGGGGCAGCAGGAGCAGGGCAGAAGGGGACGGCGGGGCAGGCGCTGAGGCCCGGGTATAGTAGTGATAAGTTGCATCCGAATGTGGCGGGGTATGAGGCGATGGCGCGGGCGGTGGCGGGGGAGGCGTTTGGGTTGGGTTGGTGATCTTTTTTTTTTTCTTGTCAGGTTTGGTGTTTTTTGTTGGCGCGGCGGAGGGGGGCCGAACGCTGTTTTGGAGGTGGGGTATATTTGGTGTGATCATAGTATGTACTTCTAGAATACAGAGCTCTTGATTCCATAGGATCTCCGTCTGTAGTGCTTCGCATATCGTAACACACTTCCTGAGATGATAGACATCCATCCAGGCCAGTCATTCCCATGGCTTGTCTCCCCTCCGGCAAGGGTCGGAACACAGCGTGGAAATCGGTAAGCAAAGTCTTTGATCGGCGACTGACATTCTTGGCGTCTGCATACTCCTGCGGGCCGAGAGTGGGTCGGCGTTCGTTGCCACGCGGGAGAATGCTGATCCATATGCAGCTGATGTGGCGCAAGATGCAATCAAGAGGGGAAATGCAAGCTGCATATGCACGCACGGCACGTGGCGCATGGGTGATCGCGCCGTTCCTGGAACCTCCCTGCGGCCAAGTTTCCTGAAATAGACTGAATCGGTTGGTTGATGACCGAGCTGCGCGTCTTGGGCCTGTCACTTCACGAAAACGCAACTGTTCCTGCATCTACTCATTCATATCGAATGCAAGCATCAGAATAGGTCACCTGCTATTATTATTCAGCCTTAAATGTTTGATATGACCCTCTAGGGATGATTTTAGGTATCAATCCTCACTCGCGCCAAGAAGCCTCTCACTGTACAACAAGCTTGTTTAGATCAAATCATGACTTGACGAAAGAATTTTGGGCAGAGCTCTGAGTAAATCAATTCTTGAAAGTATGAAGTCCAGCTAAAAGAGCGACAGTACGTGTAAAGAAACAACAAGTCCGAAAGTTCTCTGCACACGACCTGAGCAGGAAGACAAGCCGCATCACCTCCCTTCTCACAAAGTGACCAACACCGCCTCCCCCGCACCAACACGGACCTCTCCATCTTTCACCGCCTCCACCTCCTCTTCACCAGCAAGCTTGCCATCATCATCGACGCTACGTCCCGCATACGTAACGCCCGTCTTGACCTCGACGCCGGGAGCAGTCAACCGACGCACCTCAGCGCCATCCCAATCGACATCTTCGGGCAGCTTGAAGACCGTATACACCCTCTCCTCCTCTTCCTGCGTCGAGTTGAACATCTCGAGGTTAACCACCGCCACGGACCTCAGCTCCGCCCCTTCATAAACACCGTACGCCGTCTGCCTCGTCTCGTTCAAAATACTCACAACCTGCAAATCGACACCACCACCACCACCGGAACCACCACCACTCCCCCCCAGCGCCTGCGCCGCGAACAAGTTCCCATAATACAACGGCTTCGCGTACGGCGCCGTACCGTTGATCGTCGTCGGCTGCCACGGCGCATAGCGATACACACTCCCGCTGTGGAAGTACAGCCGCCCCAACCCCTTCAAGCCCGCGATATACAACACATAATCCACCGCCCACAGCGCGGCCCCAAACACATCCGACACGCCCGCCGTCCCCTGACACGAAATGCTATTCGTCTCGCCCAGCGCGTACGGCACGCCCAACTCGCTCGTCTGCGCCCCCAGCGCCTCGTGCCAGTACGCCAGCGACGTCATGTGGTGGTGGTCGAGCAGGTTATCTCGCAGCGTCGGCACGGGGGCCCCCGCGCAGTTGGCGCCCATGTAGTCGTGGTCGGCGACGGAGCGGAGCATGGGGGAGTCGCCCATGCCGAGGCGGATCGTGTTGGCGACGTTCCAGGTTGTGCTGTTGGCGAGGTGTTGGGCGCGGGGCGCGACGTACGCGCAGCCTTGGAAATAGGGCGTGTCGGACGAGTGGCCGGGTTGGGCGCGGATGCCGTCGCGGACGGCTTCGGAGTATGTGATCCATTCGGAGATGTAGTCGTAGATGGTCCAGTTGTCCGGGCGGCGGGAGGAGCTGGCCCAGCCTGGGGTGGGGGGGAAACGAAGGTTAGCCGGGTGAGGCAGTGTTTGGGTTGGGAGGAGGAGGGGGAGGAAGGTGTGGTGCTGAGGGTGAGGAAGGGGGAGGGAGGTGGTGGACTTACCGTTCACTTCGTTCCCGATCTCGTACGCGTAGAGGCTGTCGCCCATGGCGAGCCAGGCTGGAATCGCCTGCTCGACCGTGTTGTTCAGGCCCCACTCGCCCTCGTAGAAGTTGAGGCCGTAGATGTATTTGGTGCCCTTTGGGAACTGCTGGAACGACTCGAACCAGTCAGGCCCCGTCGACAGACGGCTCGGCTGGTCGTCCCACGGATTCGTGAATGTCTGGTTCAGTGCGACCGTTTGGTTGGAGTAGTACACGTTGCGGTTCTGCGTCGTGCCCCCGACCCGGATGTATGGGTACGCGCCTGCGAGCGTTCCGAGGTTCTCGAGCATCTGGATCGAGTACTCGTTTGGGTGGCTGGTCATTGTCAGCTTGGCGGATTCGTTTGCTCGAAATTCGAATTGATGGCTTACGAGTTGTTGCCGGCGTAGTCGAGCATGTAATTGAACTCGATTGAGTAGGATTGGAAGGATGCATCAACAACGTTGTGGTCATCGGGCGGAGCAGATGGAGCTTCAAGGACAATGACTTCGTCCTCGGTCTGCCGAGGAAGCACTGCGGCAGAAACCGAGAGAACGAGACTGAAGAAGGCCGCGGAGGACGGCATGTTGGCAATTGCTCGAGTAAGGCTTGAGACTGGAGTGCTTCGGAACAGTATAGCTTTTGGACTTTATATACATTTTCCTCAACTTAATTCCTTGTTTATTTTACTTTTTTGTGGGAGCTGCAAGGCCCGATCGGTTCCATTTGTACCGAAGACCGGATGTCGTGGGGCCCATGGGGAAGTACATGTACGGATCTGCAACATCCCTGAAGCCCCGCCCCCGGGGAATGCCACCAATCGCGCTGAAGCACGCAATGAAAATCCGGGGAAAGGGAAGTAACGCAATCATTATTGATGGCGATCTCAGCGGGATTATCTTATATTGTCGGCCTTGGCATGCCCTTCAGATGCCGTGTCTCAAAGACCGTGGCCGAAGCAAAAATGTTGTACCCATTGATAGGACACTCAAGTAACCGTGAAAGTATGGCAGGACTCTTGACAGTAATATTGGATAAATACCCTGGTATTGTACCGTGTTTTGTTGCATTCGCCATGTAATATTTCGCCTTGCTGGACCGCATAGATACTACAGAGGGGTGCTGCAGCCGGTGGCTAGCGCGAAGAACAGCAGGGCTCTAGAATATAGTATAACTATGCCCCAGCTCTGCTTTAGAAAAATTAACATATATAGGTAGTTGCAGCTATCGTCAGACGTGTACGTAGAATTCTTAATTCTACATTCTCGTCCGGATGATAGCTCCAGCTACCTATGATATGAGCAAAAAACGAATCTACGTTAGCCATCGGCGACAGGAGGGGACTATAAGCATGGGGAACTCACACGGGGAGACGATTTAAGAAACATTGCAGCACAATGTTAAACGAGCGTGGATAGGAATTTAAATCAAGTAAATGTAAATTTGTTTGCTTAGTCTACTACTAATGTCGAGTCCTTACTTGTTCGAAAGATGCCGTATTGCAAATAAAGATGCTCACTGCTTGTTTATGTGGGAACAGTTGACAACTAGCGCATAAGAGGCGAGAATATGATGGTGAACGTCAGGTAAACACAACTCACGCTATTTGACAATGAACGAATCCTCTTAGAGAAAAAAAAGAAAAAAAAGAACACAGTATCACCCGCTAGTGAAGCTGAATACACTCATCCTACACCATCAAACGCCACAGAAACACCTTGAAAAGAAAGGGCTACTGCACTACTATCGAAGGCGAATTTTTCTCTGCGTCTTCCGTACGAGGTCTTGCGCAGGTACAAATCCCCAATGAGCAGAGTGTCTCTCCAGAGATTCTTTAATGTAAGGAGCCCCGGGACCCCACACCAATTGTCCGTCCAGAGATTCTGCAGCTCCAAGGTTAATGCTCCCAATGCGTTCAGCCAAATCACCTATCTCCTCAACTAACAAAACTGGTGGGGGTGAATGCTGTATAGAATGGCGCAGAAGAATCCCGGTGTAGTATTTGCCTCGAAATTGTTCGAAACTCTCGTGGTCGACTCCCTGACTTGCGATGGTCAAAAGTTCCGTATCACAAAAAACATGTGTTCCATCATTCAACTCCACCTCGGCGCGAATTTTCGGGACTGGTTCGTTGGAAGACGACAGTCTCACGTCGAAAGTCCATGAATCAAGACAGATGAACTGCGAAATCCTGTCCGGCTGTTCCCTTAGATATGGCTGCCTTGCAAAATCGTCCAAAGACAAAACAGCACCACTTTGCACTTCTAGTGAAACATTGCTACCTTGACCACTATACCAACCTGAAGATGGGTACTCGACTTCACCGATCCATCCCGTCCAGGACCAGCTTGGGAAACCGGGTCTTCTTTGAAATGAATGAGAGGACGTTTCGCTTTTCTTCCAAGAAAGTCCGTAAAGAAATGTGTCTCGACAAGACTCATCTTTAGGATCCTTCGGATTTCGCCTTGCAGTCGCGCTCAGCATTGGTACTCCCCATATATGGTATATTGGGCGTTTTGCTCGCTCAAACATTCGAAAGACGGCCCAAAACGCATCGAGCACGTCGGACGGTTCGGTGAGATTTCTAGACGAATATTCGCGGATGAGGGACGTCAATTCCGGTAATCCAGCCTCGCCGCAAAATGGAAAGGAAACACGTCGAACTTGGTCATGTGCTCTTAAGTACCGCCGCTGTAGATGGTGGACTTGGGGCGGTTGGCCTTCAGACCCGTAATAGTCTGAGTTAGAAGCGCAGGAGAAATATGCTTCTCTGTTCGTGAACACAAGGCGCCGACTTGACAGCAACCTTTCTTGAAACGTCCACCCTCTTGTATTCCACGTCGATTTGGAAAGTCTCGAAAACGCCTCGTTCTGGGGCTCTAACAGTAAGTGGCGGCCGACTTTAAAGCAACGTTGTCCTTCACGGGGGGTGCTGCTGACTCCAGGAATTCCATAGTCGGCGTTGTCCCCAGCGGCCGCGATTATCGTAACCTCTGCATTATGGTAGATACGGTCCATCTGCTGTATGTATACTATCTTATTCGGATCGTTTTGGTCGATGCATAGTTGGTCGACCCAAAGATAGTTGTAGCCAAGTTCGACAGTAACAATCGCGGCGTCTTCGATCGTTTGAGGTAGTCTCTCCTTGGTACAAGTTACTCCTCCCCAGACATAGCTTAATGCAACGTATTTTACTCCAGGGCAAGCATATTCTACTTGACGAGTAGTACAGTTGAAAACCCGAAGCATGTCAGCAGGAGTCATTTTTCTTGCTCTGCAAAGGTCGCCATGTTCGCTTGTGCAACAAGAAAGGTATTCTTTAAATTCCTGGAAGTCGATGGCATGAGGCGTCTTGGGCCACTGGGACTCTCCTAATGTGCAAGGAGCGTGCTTGATCGTGTATAAGCCACAAACGGAGCTAGAGCGATGATCTCGGAGGACTCTTTGAAAGCTTCGTCTAGAAGGATCCGCCACCCAGTAGCCTCGCCAACCACCTGGATACACCATCATAGATGAGCAGAAAGTGCAATCTGGATCCATTCGAGACATGTCGAAAGAGAGTTCAAGATGGCCGTCCTCCTGGTCAAAAAAGGTGCCGAGATCAAGAGCCTCGCATCTTGAGCAGAGGTAGGAACTATCCAGATCGCCGGATGGAGAGGGCGCTACGAGATCTCTCCAGTCATCTATGTCCTTCGTGAACCAGGTGTCGAGGTCTGCTTTCGATTTGATCCAAGTAGTATCGTCCAGGTCCTGGTTGCGATGGCCTTGCAGCATGGAGCTAATCGTTTCTGAGGAGCTGCCCTCTGACGAGATGGAAGAAAGTCGTGAACTTTCATCAAGATCCGCAGTTTGGAGTGGATCCTGAGGTACAAGAGCCATCTGATCTTCTGGGGCGAAAGTGCGCACGGTGCGATGCGCCGTATAAGCCGATTCCCCCATGGCTATCGGAATCGAAAGGTTGAAAGCTCCGTATAGAACAGACAGGCGTGCAAGAGTAATTCCCCCAGGTAACAATCCAAGCCCACTGGGAGACTCGTGCACGGCAAAATGGGAGGTCTGGGAGATCCTCAGGAATCAAAGCTTTTGTATGTACGAGATAATGGATTGTAGAATAAATTGGCTTGAGTCGAGGAGGCCAGAAATGATGCGATGAAAGTGATGTGGTAGATACGGGAAACGTCCGTTTGTATGGGGCAGGCTTTGGAAAAGGGGATTCAAACATGCGACTGTGGCTTAGCGCCCAGTCAGCTAAGGTTGCAGCGAAAGAGGTGGGGCAATGCGATAAAGTAGCCAATCGTAGAACTGTACGTAGCTCGGCAATATTAGCCTACGTAAATCGTTATCAACTGTGGCACAATGTGGATGAATGATCGTATTGTGGATTCACTGAATGAGCGGCGCATGGACTCACAGGGCGCCCAACCGGGTAGTGCCTTGATATCCTACTTAGCTAGCTAAGTTATCCACAAATCCACTATAGCGTATAGTAGAATATAAACTCTAGGATATAGGAGCTTTGTAAAGCTAAAAGCTCGTACGGGACGAAGGCGCCGTGGAGGCTTGAGAGTTCAATAAATAAAAGAGCCGTACGATTAGAGATCTTTTTAAATATCCATTTGAAAAATTGTAAATTGCATTATACTGCGAGGACAGCAACCAACCTCTGACTGGAGCCCTCCTTTTATTCCTAAATCTCAGCCGCCCCAATCCGTCATACTCCACTCCGCGCCCTTCCGCGTCAGCAATGACCAGATCCAAAAACGACCCAGCCTCCCTCCAACCACGTCAAAAGATGACGTTCCCCCATCCACCACACTGCCAACCCACTCTCTCAACATACTCCTCAAAGAAACCGTCCTCGCACATGCTCCGCTCCGCGTTTGCGTGACACCAAATCCCCCACGTATCCACCCCTTACACGCACCACGACACATCCGCTCCCTCCCCATGACAACCTCCCCGAGTCACCTGTCCTCCACACCATGAAAGAAAATACCCAACATCGCGCAGCTGAGCGATGCGCGCCTTTTCTTTATCTGCGGGAAGTATAAAAACCCATTTCTCTGTCTCGGTCCGCAGCAAGTCCACTACCACACCACCGACAATCTACTCTTAAAGAAACATCCCGCGACCGCTGCAAAGAAAACAAGCCAGACGAACACAGCAACAAGAAGAGAAGAAAAACGAAAAACATGAACTACATACCAAGCTGCAGCCGCATCGGCAGGCATGCCTACCACAGCCATGCCGTTTGCTTGACGCGGCACTTCCGTGGGTGGGCGCGCGAGCATTACTGTCGATGCTGAGAGCACGCAGAAGGCGCGGTGCGGACTGCTCTGATGCACGCAGGGGCGGCTAGAAGATGGCTGCTCCTCACGCCTGGGTACGCCTGGGCGATGGGCCTGAAAGCTTCATGCCAGACACTGATGATACTGTCAAAAACCACCGGCTGGGAACAGCTAGGCAGAACCCAAGGTGGTCTACAGAAAGGGATGGAGATGAAGTGAATGGATGGAGTACTTTACATACTCTCACAATACCATTCTCTCTTTCGGCCCACATTTGCATAATTCATGATTCAGTGAAGTCCGCTGCTTAACGCTTGCTTGATTGATGCATTAGAATCGAAGTGAATACTTCTTCGAGTGTATTTGTATAACCCGACTGACAACTCGCTGCTACTAACGTATCTCACACGAGGGGAATCATACTTATCACGAGAAACTCATCTTTTCGCATACCCTCAAACGCTGTCTGCCAGAACGACAGTAAGCCAATGCCCATACTTGATTACGCAGAGTCCTGAATACCTACTTTCAGCCTGGTCTCGGCCAAGCTCAAGAAGCCCATATCTTGACTTATCGCTTTTGATGTCGGAACCCTAGCCCGTTCGAAATTAAACGCCATAGAACACCACCCACCCAGCCCATCATCAATCCAACCAAATCTCTCTCAAGCTCGTCTTTAACCCCTTACTTTCAAACACCAGGCGGGCCACCAGCTCCGGGAGGCGGCGCCATACCAGGGGGCGGCTGGAACGCGCCGGGCGGCGGCACGGGGCTAGCACCCGACGCAGCAGGTGGGATGCCGCCGGGCGGGAACGAGAAGTTCGGCGGCATGCCCGGCGGGGGCATACCAGGCGGCGGGAAAGGCAGGCCGGCCGGCGGCGAGCCGGAGGAGCCAGGCGGCGCGGCGCCACCAGCTGCGGTCGGGGGGAAGGGCGGCGGGAAAGGAAGAGAGCCGGGCGCGCCTGGCGGAGGGGCACCGGGAGCTCCAGGGGGCGGTATGGCGAAGTTCGGGGGCATGTTCGGAGGCATGCCGCGACCGCCGGGGGCTGTCGTGTTGTGCGAGCGGTTAGAAGTGGTGTTTGAGGAGCCGTAGCGATGGTAGTCGCCGCGACGATTGTCTTGGTTGTGGTTGTAGTGGTGATGGTTCTGATCATGGTGGTGATAGTAGTGTTGGTCGTGAGACTTACGTGCTCCTGGGGCGCCTGGCATGCCGAATGGAGGTGGAGGCATGCCGCCTATGATCATCCTGTCGCATCAGCATCCTGCTGCTCTTTTCCGAATGTACAAGTCCGACTAGATCGTGGACGCACCAGGGAAGCCGAAGGGCGGGGGAGGACCGAAGCCACCGGGGCCGCCTAGAGCAGCGTGCTGAAGCATAGGGTTCGCTTGACCCTCAGCGGCGTAAGAAGAGGTGATGGAGTCGATGACGCTCTGGGCCTTCTCGTGGCCAATCTGCTGATAGTACTCGACGACGTTGCGCAGATGATTACGACCGTTGTTGTGAGCCTTGCGCACGCTCATCGAGTCGTGCGTAAGGTACACATCGCAGTAATCGCCTAGAGGGTGAGGCGCGTGTTAGCGGAGGGTCAAGCGGCGCGATGCGGAGGTTTTGCGGAGACCTACAAAAGAGTGGATACAGAGTCAGTAAGCATGCGAGGAGAATCGGACAGGGGAAAACTTATATTTCGGCATGGTTGCGACTCAACGACGGTGGGGTGGTCTAGAGAATGAAGGTGAGGCTCGGAGGAGCGAAGGCGGCGAGCTCGCGTTGAAGTTCGCGATAGGATGCCGCGAGCAGCTCGCCAAGGCCGGGGTTCAGCCGCGCTATCGATAAAGCTCGGCCATGACTTCCAGCCTTCGCGAGCGGCCGCCAGCCCAGCCACCGCGTGCTTCTGGCTCCGAACCTAAAGTCCACCAGCGCGTCTTCTTCGCCTCGTGGCATGCTGTTGCTCTTCACCACACCACCAACATGCCCTCCAACGCCGCTCAGCAGAACATCTGGAAGCAGATGAACTACACCCCTCCGCGCGGGCCCTGCAACCACAAGGAGTCTCTCTTATCTCCCAAATGCCCTTGTCTGCGCTTTATGCTACACCCGCTAAAGGTACACTCGACCAGCCCCGCCCCGCCTCAACGTGGAATCTTTGCGTCTTTCACCCAACGCTTCCTCCATGAACTTCCCCGAAAGCAACCACCCTATTCCAAAGCTGCCCCCACCCAAACTCTCCCTCGAGCCCAGACCTCCGATACCAACATACATTTAGCCCCACAACCACAACACCTCCCCCAAACTAACACATCTCCTCCCTCCCTCAGGTCACATCCTCCTTCTCCTGCGACGGCTGCGGCCACCACGCCTCCTTCCACAACATGGCCTCCCCCGCCGACGACGCCGTCATTGCGCGCTGGACCTCCGAGCAGCCCACCAGCACCACCCCAGCCGAGCCTGCGCCGCGCTCCCGCAAACGGCCGCGCCGCGCCCTCCTCGAAGCCGGCCCGTCCGTCACCAACGGCAGCGTCGTCTCCGCCCCTTCCGCCTCCGCCCCCAGCCCCACCGAGGCCGAGACCGACGCCTTCGACGCGTCGTTCCTGTTCAGCGAGGACGTGGAGTGGGTGGGGAACGGCGGGAGCAGTGAAGCTGGGGGCAGCAGCAGTAGGATGGCACAGCGGCAGGGCAGCAAGACGTGGGGCGATCGGTTCAGCAGCTGGAGCTTCGGGCGCGCTGCGGCTGAGGAGCCGGTCAAGACGCCGCCGAAGCGCCAGGATACTACGAAGAGGAAAAAGAGTGGACGGCAGCAGCCACGGCACATACGGGATGAAGAGGATGAGGTGAGGAGTGAGATTGTGGATCTGGACTGAAGAGGCCGTGCCGTGACTCGGGGAGAGAGGGGCTGATATCGAGGTGTGAGATTGAGTTGGAGTCTGCATTGGATGGAGTGGAGAAAAAGTTGAAATCATTTCTTGGAGAAGAAAAAGAGTTAGGAGTCTATGGTTCGTCAGGGACGCGAACGAGGTAAGTAAATTGCGCGGCGGAGGTCCCACTCAATGAAAGTGCACGAGGGCAACGGCGTTTATGGGGAAAGAGAAAAGAAGACTTGTAGATGATACCCCTTCACACATTTCCATTTTTTTAACGGAAGACGGACCAAAAAAAATAGAACCGGTCTCGTTCCATAATGATCTTGTATTCTTCTGCCCTTGTCGCCAAGGACGAAGACTGCCCATACCCCTATAGATAATTTGTTCAATAGCTCTACGATAAACCAAATCGAGTCTTAATCTGATATTTCCTGCTGGCACATTTCTTTTTCCACTGTTTTCTTTCTTCAACTCACAACATAATCGACCTAGCCTGGAATGGCTGTTAAACTAGTAGAACATTCATCGACTCTATGATCTATACAGATGTATATCAGACGAAGACTGGCCACAGTCTTCTTGATAAGTAAGAAACAATACTTCAGTTGATCATAAAACGAGTTTATTCTCCGCAGGAATCTGCAGCCTCGATTGCCTCGTGTGAGGAGAGGACAAAGCAAGAAAGAGTTTTTGGATACACTTGGGGTGATCACTACACATCGTCGCAACCGTAAACAATAGCAGCGTCAAAAAAAAAAAAAAAACGTCATGTTGCTGTCCAGCATCCGAGCATGATGCTGAGCCACATGATCTCACAACAACGCAGAAGACCGCCATTCTCCAAAGTCTCCGCAAGCTAACAAACCAGACGGCAGCGCGGTACTCGAGTCTTGCTGCTGCGTGCTTCCCGCGGAAGTCTATTAAAGGTAATTTCGGTTTCAGACGCCGAAAGAACACGCAGTATGCCTGGTGTTGAAATAAGGCTTCTATAGATATGTAGTGCCTTTGACTGAAGAAAGAAAGATAGCAACGACTAGTTCGTGTACAATATATACGTATACCAGCGCCGAAGATTCTTGCTCCCGTTGCTCCACATGATGTGGCAGGACACATGATCCATCCCCCTACGAAGGGTGACTGAACGCAGGGCCAGCAGATAAGTCTTCCAGCAGATGACGAAGTCCCATGCGCATGCGACGGACATCTTAGCACGCGCAGCGAAAATCGGTAGTATCTGCTAGTTTCGGAAGTCTATAGGCGTTTTGTACATACAATAACAGATCAACTGGCCTTCGGCTCAGACACATGTCTGCACACGCAATGCCATTCAGTAGAAGCTTCAGAGAGAATAGGAGGTCAGTTGAACATGGAGACAAGGCAAGGTTCAAGAAAGTGAACACTAGCAAGACTCAGAATAGTAGGCGACGCGTACCATCACAAGCCGTCGATCACTCAGCACATTGCACCAACAACGCAGGACGACACATAATTCAGCACGCTACATCGCTGATTTTGCAGGAACCAGAGAAAGTCCCATAGTCAGACATCTCAACCCAGAAAGAAAGGGAAGGGAAGGGAAAGAAAAGACCAAAGAAAACGCTCATCACCAAACTCACTCCACCACCTTCCCTTCCTTTTTCGCGCCTTCACCCACCGCCGACGAGGCTCCCACACCATCGCCGTGCTTCTCAACCGCCCCACTCGGTTCACCATCCACAACACCCTCCCCCTCGCCCTTCTCATCCCCCTTTTTATTCTGTACCTGCTTGCTTCCTCCCTCAACCCCACCATCCACCTTCCCGCAATCGACCAACCCCCTCTCCTCCCCCAACGCCCTCCAATACCCCACCAACTCGGGCCACCGCTCATCGCTCCACCCATCCCAGCCGCTCCGCCTGAGCGCATCGATGAGGGGCCAGACGGCGCAGTCGGCGACGGAGAAGACGTCGCCGGCGAGGAAAGGGGAGAGGGACGACGACGACGACGACGACGATGGTAACGCTGACGTCGACGACGAGGGCGAGGCGGCGGACTGAATGCTGCCGGTGCTGCTGTGGTGGTGGGTGGTGCTGCGGCGAAGACGGGTCGTTGGGCAGGTTTCTTCGAGGGCGGCGAGGTCGATGCTGAGGGCGCGGGCGAGTTCGGGTGGGATGGATGAGGGGGAGGGGGAGGATGAGGGGGAGGATGAGGGGGAGGAGGAGGGGGGCGGGGTCGTGGTCGTGGGGGCTGGATGCGATGACGAAGACGGGGGCGGCGGCGGCGGCGACTCGTGCGATGATGGCTGTTTGGCTGCGGGTCGTTGCGAGGACATGGGGGAGGAGGAGCAGAATGGGGACTGCGGCGCGGTGCTCGTGGCGCAGAGGTACTTGGCCCACAGCCGGTGGAGGTGCGCGGCGTGCGCCAGGTACGTCTGCGTCGCGGCCGCTGCGGCACGGCTAACGCTTCCAGCAGCAGCGCCGGGCTCGCCGTCTGATGCTCGGCGTTTCTGGTCGTCATCCGGCCCGCCCGTCGCGGGAGAAGACTGGGTGGGCTGGGAGTAATGGGTTTTGAGGTAGGCGAGAATGAGGGGGCCGCCACACACTTCGGTGTTCAGGGCGTCCGTGTCGCGGAAGCAGATGCTGCGACGCTCAAAGTCGTCACTGTGCCGCACGGGCGGCGGCTCGACCAGGCTGTACTGAAGCCCGAGCTGACCAAGGTAGAGCAGGACGGCCTGGTTCTCGACGGCACTGTGCGACGTGTACAGGGTCGGTGTCTCGGGAGGGGGGTCCCGCGAGTGGAGGACGTCGGAGCCCCGGCCATACGTCTCCTCCCAGTCGAACTCGGTGGCCTGGTTCTCCGTTCCGAAGGCGCGGATGAGGGCCTCAGTCTTCTTCTCGTCGCCGTTGATGACGGGCTTGGCGGCGTCCCTGGTTTTGGACGTCGCGCCTTGGCCCCAGATTTTGGTCGAATCGTTGCTGAGGAAAGTGCCAATGTGACGGAACGTGAGGCTTATGCGCATGCCGCCGAAATCTTTCTCTGGATCAGACCTCTCCTCCGGGGGGCGCTTATCGGCGTTGATGCCGTGTAGCCAACGCATATTCGTCTGTGGACCCAGAACGAAGACAGAATTGTGTGGCATTGGTACACGTTGAGTCTGCCTAGCAGACGAAGCCTCGTCGTCAGCCTTTGCTGATCGCTTGGTACGAAGGCGCATGGTACGTTGTGCACCGAAGCTGACGTTGACGATACTGGAGCCTCTAACAATGTCCAGCGTCTTGTCGGAGTGTTCCGAGATGTAGTCTTGCCCGTCTCGGTAGAGCTGGATCAAGACGTGATTGACTGGATGTTGGACGAGCTCCTCGACCTGTTTTCGTATGCGTAACACGGCAGGGGAGAAATGCAGCAGCGGGAGTGACTGGTCCGAGGGATGTCTGTAGACCGGCATCGAACCATCTGCTCCCAGTTCACCCTGCACCGATACGAGGCGAGGTACCTCGCCTTGGTTGTGCAGCATCTTCTGCCACCGCACTTCATTGTAAAGCTTGTAGAAAACAACTTCTTCAAACGTCTTCTCTGGTGTTGCAGTCGCACGCAGCGACTCGGGGAGGAAGTTGAACACAATCCGAGAATCGCCTTCACCAATCTTGTCCGAGGGGCCTACAGTGGGAAGAGTAGCCAGGTTTTGGATCTTCCTCCTCGATCGTGATGTTGACGGCTTGGGCGATTGTGAACTGGCTGTCTCGGCCTTGGGGGCTGTCGTTTTGTCCGCTGCAGGTTGAGGCGTGTCGGGCCGCGACGATGACGACTTCAAAATCTCGCATGAACTGCTTTCGCCACCTGTGAGTTTCGCAGCTGAGGCCGCTGTTCTTTGATCATCCTTTGACGATGGTCCACTCCCCTTCTCGCCGTCGTTCTGTGGGCTATTCGACTTTTCCGGTGACTGTGACTTCTGAGGAGGTTTTCGACGTACTCGAACCTTGGATCTGACTGAGTCTGAGCTGCGTGATGGCAATTGCGGCTCACCACGTGGGCGAGAGCGGATCGAATGCCTCTCCAGAAGCAATGTAGCCTCTTCCAGCAACGCATCGTCGCTGTCGGCTACCTCGAGTGGGGTGGCCGAGATTGCAACGGCGCTCGCGGACGAGGGCTTGCTCGCAATCTCAGCTTGCTTCGGCGGAGATGAGGAACCTTTGCATTGGGATTGATCCTTGTCTTGCAGCTTGAGCTTCTTCAGCATGTCATCCAAGTCGTCATCGTTGTCATCCTTGCGAGCCTGAGAGGTATCACCTTTCTCTGCTTTGCCCGTGATCTGGGCGATCAGATCAGCGCTGGAAATGGTTTGGGCGCCCATGTACTCGACCATCTGCCGGATGGCTTCCTGGTGCCTATGCAGCTGGCGGTAGCCGACGCAGTCGTCGACCAGGTAAATCTCGATGCCATGGCGGGCAGCCTCGACCGCCGTGGCGTAGACGGAGATATTGCTGATGCAACCGCAGACGTACAGTTCTGTGATCAGTTTCGCGCGCAGAGTGAGCAGCAGGGTCGTGTCTTTGAGGGCTGAGTAGCGCGTCTTGGTGATCAGGGTGTCGGCGGGCTTGATTTCGTCCGCAATATCGTCAGCCCAGTCAGCCCCCGGGCTGCCCGCCACGCAGACCTGGCGTCCCGAGCCCCGGGTGAGAAACAACTCGTCCTCCTGCAGGGCGGCCATCTCCCTCTCGACCCTCTGGGCCCTCGCTTGCACGCGCTTGAGCAGATCTGCCGTGCGGCGGCGGCGTGAGCCCTGCCTGGACTGCGGGTCATAGTCAGCGCCACCGATGCCGTCGTCGTCGGGGCTGAGGCTCTCGTCAGGGGCGCTGGTGACAATGGCATCAGCGTCGTCGGCCTCGTCCACCGGCCTGTTGGGGTCCAGCTCGGTGCGGACCCAGATAACGTGGCCGGCGTGCTCGCGAAAGGTCGGGACGAGCCGCTTGATGCGGTCCAGCAGGCCCGGCGGCTGCGTCACGGGCAGCTTGCCGTCGGGGGAACAGAAGTCATTCTGCAGGCCGATGGCAATGAGGGCCTTGTGGGTCTGGAACTGCGGCTGTTTCTGTGCAAGCAGGTCGGCAAAGAAAGACGAGGCCATGCCGGGGAGCAGACTGGGAGAAGAGCCAAGACGGGAAAGGACGAAACGCTTCGGATTGAGAGAAACGGCACGCTGGCCAAACAAATAGCGCTGAAGGATCAGCGAAGGGGCAGGGCAGAAGCAAGCTATCGACGCCGAACCAGGAGGCCAGCAGTCACATAGTGTTTATCATGGCAGGCCTCGAGTCGCACTGGACGCTGGAGCTCCGAGGCCTGGAGGGGCTGTGGGAAAATTTCCAGCAGAGAGGCGCGAGAGTGGGCAACGTCTGGCACCCGCGTCGCTGCAGTGAGCAGCAGGGCTGACAGGGAGCGGCCGGCACAGTGCGACGGCGTGGTGGCGCTGACTCGCTGCGTGTTCTTGCGATGCTTCTGCCAGCCTTCTAGCAATGGTGTCAAACGCGCCAGCATTAAGCGCGCGCTGCCTATGCGTGTGGGATGCGCAAAACTGCCCTCGCCCACGGGCCACCGCCCCCAGCAGCCGTTTTGTACGCACACGCTGCCCCTCCCCCTTCGCTTGTCGCCGCCGCAACCCTCCGGCCGCGCCCCGCCACGAGGTGAGGATTCCCACGCCGGCTTTGCCGGATGAGGCAACAGCGTGCCACCTGCGTTTCTTTTTCGTGTGCGGTGCAGCGCCGTCGCCGTTGGGTCACAATGTCAGGGGACTTGTAAGATAGATACCTGGGTACCGCCGGCCTGGCCAGGGGGACGGCAGCTTGTCGCAGCATCACCTCAAGAGGGAGCACGCCGAGGGCCGATCCAACAAAACGCAATCCGAGGCGGTCCCGTGCAGCTTCGCCGTCAACTGCTGCCGCGCCATGCAAAAAAGAGGGACACCACCCAACGATCCAGAGTCCTGGAATTGCCAGTGCGAAGCGCCCGTCGGCCTCTCTGCGGCGCCGCATGCGAGCACTCATCGGTCCCCCTGTGCCATATGTACAATGTTCACCTTCCGTACCACCCACCTGCTATTCTTCACCAACACCGCCCCGGTTCACGCCCCCGGAGCATGCAAAGACTCGACCCGCAGCCCAATCGCGCCCCTCCGAGATCCCGATCCTATGCGCGCAATTTCCCATGCGCGCGCCGCCACGGATCTCGAGCCTCCAGCAAACTATTGATGCCATTGTGTCGGATCCGATCGTTCGATGCGCCAGAGACCCGTGACCATATAAATGACTCTGTCCCTTCAAACACGAACCGCAATTGGCGCCCGCCAATTATTCACGCCGCATTGGTCCAGGCAGCATCCTTCGAGGTGCATGAGTGAGAAGACGCAAGCTGGCACGTCAGGTACACGCGCGGCAGCACACCCGACTCAAACCTTGTGTAGGTAGTTGCTCCTTCTGCCTGTCTGCCCGACGCATGTGCTGCCCATCTGCAGGGTCTTCGGCGATCCGCCTCTTCTTTTACCCGCCTCGTCTCACTTCCCGAAGAAAGCCGTGATTTTCCTGCTACCGTCGCCCGCCGTCGCCGGGCTAGCCTTTTGCGTCGAGCCATTGCTGGTGGCGCTTCTCGTCTTTCTGCCTGCCTTCGTCGCCTTGCTTTTGTCGGGAGAAACACTGGCCTGGCCTGTCTTGGCTGCCTTCTGGAGCGGCGGTGAGCCTGGCGTTTCACCTTTGCCGTCTGCGTCTTCGTGCTCCCGCTTGATACCACGCTTGTCCTCGTTACCAGGGAGAGTTGGCAACGGTGCATTGTCCTCCGTGCCATCCTCGTCCGAGGTGCCACGAGCCTCACCTTTGACGTGCCCAATCTTGTCGATAACCGGGTTTCCCTGCGTGGCGGTCTTGGCCCCGCCGCTACTGTTTGCTGCCTTTCTCTGCTTGTCGAAGAAATTGGAAATGTTGTTTTTGTTCTCCTTGGAATCGACCGGAATGATGAACGAAGGGGAGTCATTTCCGACCTTGCCGACCTCTTTGTTGACGGGGTAGTACTCCAATTCGCCGTCAAAGGGCTTGAGAAGCGACTGCAGGTCTCGATTCCACTCGGTCCGGTCTGGATCAAGCCACTTCCACAGGGACTCGGAGCCGTTATCAAAGATGACAGGCATGCGATCGTGCAAAAAACTGAGCTGCTTGTTAGAGTCCGTGGTGATGATCGTGTAGGTGTAGAGCTTCTCTTCCGATCCTGCACGTCCAGATTAGCGGCAGCCCAGTCGCGCAGTGATGTAACCCGCATGCTGTACCTTCAAACCTAACGCAGTCCCACAACCCCGCGAAGCACATCAGCTGGCCATCTTTTCGCTTCACGAAGTAGGGGATTTTCTCCTTGCCGCCGTTCTTCTTCAGCCATTCGTAGAAGCCCTGGCACACGACGATGCACCGCTTCCGATGTTTCATCGAGTTCCAAAGCCCCCGGTTCTCGGCGAGCGAGTCATCACGGCAGTTGATCGTTTTCATCATTGATCCGTAATCCGGTTTGCGCTTCATCCAAGATGGGATGAGACCTACAAGTCAATCAGCAATAGTTTATTGGAATCTCAGTCACACGAAGCCTCAACGGTCAGTATTTGTCAGAATACGCCATTTAGAACCGGGCCTCCATCGGATTGTGCGGATACAGTGACGTTTTGGGCGAATAACAGGTCATGATTGTCTTACCCCATTTCATCGCCTGCAGCTTGTACTTTGGATCCTGTGATGCGGTGACTTCCCCGGAGGCTGGGACATTGTTCGTATTCTCATATTTCTCATCGGACTTCCTGGAGCCAGAATCGGGTATTGCAGGTCTGTAGACGATTCCATTGTGCCCAGGAGCAAAGTTGTAGGTCGACCTGACTTGATCGTCGTCTGGAGCTTCCTCGGAGGGCATCTGCGACTGCTCCAGCTGCTGGCGGACCTCGGCGGGGCGCAATCTTAGAACATATCTCCCACACATTTTCGCTTGACAACGTGAATCGTTGGTGTGGTGAAAAGGAAGCAATGCAGAAGCTCTGTGATGCTGTTGCCTTTGGATCGCGTCGTGCGGACGTTAAAGGCGGCAGCGGCGACCTATGACGCACGGGTTCTGGGATCCGTGCTCAGGACAGGCGCGACCGTAAGGCTGAACAAAACCTCCACTTGACGTTCCCGCGCCAATCTCTCAAACCACCACCACAAACCACCATGCTCTCGCGGGCAGCTTACAGAACGGCGCTGAGGGGCGCTCAGCGCTTCTCTACCGCCAAAGCACCCGCGACCGCAAACGCCCGCACCTTTGCGACGAAGATTCCCACGCGCCCACGCCTGCCTCCGCTGTCGCCGTCGTCACGCCTCGGTCGCCGCAATGGATCGACTATCGAAGGAGCCAAGATTCTCTTCAGGAGACACCCAATTTCGATGACTATAGTGACAGCAGTCATTTTGTTCGGCTTCGGTACCCTCCTCTACGCGCCATATGTCTACCACTACTACATCGTTGGCGCATTCCACAACTTTCCGGAACCGGTCGCAAAGAAGCTTCGCCGCGCCCTATACTTTAGTCAGGAGAGGTCTCTGGACCCAAAGCTAGCGATCAAGTATTACCGCGAAGCTTTGGCCGCGGCGGATGAGGAGGGCATGGACCCGTTCAGCAACGAGGTTCTCGGCATCAAGTTCTCGCTTGCTCAGCTGTTTGAGCAGCTTCAAAACTACCAACGAGCCATTGATATCTTGGAGATTGTGAGGAGGGACTGTCTGAGATGGGTCGACGAGCTTGGTGACAAGCATTGGAACGACGGCAAGAGAACAAGAGTGCTGGGCAAGACGATTGGCATCAGCGTCAAACTCGGCGATTTGTACTCGAACCCGTACATTAAAGAGATCGAGAAGGCGGAAGAGAAACTCGTCTGGGCTGTTGAGACTGTTCTCAAGGAGAAGATGAGACGCGAGAAGGAGGGCGTGAAGGAGGGTGAGGGTGACTGGATCACCGATCAAGAGATGGGTGCATCGATGGAAGGTAAGCATCCCGAATGCTACATTCCATCCATAACTCAATTGGTACTAACAACTCACAGCACTTGCACACCACTATGAATCGATGAACCAGCACTATCTCGCTACTCCTTTGTTCCTCCAGGCGCTTACTTTTGCTGACCCCAAGTCATGTCACGCTGCCACGCTCATGAACAACATCGCCATATCAATCTCACAGCAGCGTCTGCCTCCTGGCTGGGGTACGCCTCAAAACAACATTTCCGCTCCCAACTCGCCCACAAACCCCTCCACGCCTGAACCGCTCCACACTCTACCGCCGGTGACCGAGCAAGCTCGCCAGTGGGCTACTAAAGCTGTAAATCTTGCATCTGTCATTGCTCCCCCGGAGCGTAATGAAGAGTGTGATCTCGCATGCGCAGTTGCCACGCACAACCTTGGCGAATTTGCAGAGATGGAAGGCAGGATTTCAGAGGCTCGGAGAAGATACACCGAAGCATCCAGCTTGGCAAAGGCCATCGGCTTTGATGAGGGGTACCAGAATTCTGAGAAGGGTATCAAGAGGCTGGAAGGAAAAGAAGACAAATAGTGACACGACGTTTTTCATCACTACGGAGCAAAACCAAGGCCGAAGCTCTCTTTACTGGGTAATGCAGCTAAGGACTAGAAAAGTTTCATCTAGCAAAATTAGCAATGCAATAGCAACATTCCTCCGCTCACATGCTAAGCTTCTCCCTCAACCACTGCTCCACTCCCATGGACTCGATGTTTCGCTCCGCATTTATGGTCTTTTCCTTATCCCAGGCCACGCCCTTCCCCTCTCCAAACAAAACCCGATACTTTATCGTCTGATCCTCCGGATTCTTCTCCAGCTCCGCCCGCAAGTACTCCAGACTCCACTCCTCCCTCTGCACCTTCGCCCTCCTCCCCACCACCTTCTGCACGACATCCGCCAGCTCCGCATACGACACCGTCTGCCCCGCCGCAAACACGATACTACCCGCATCATCCTCACCCTTCGACTGTTGCTGCTGCGGCGGCGCCGCCACCAGCTCCGCAACCACGGCCCCGATGTCCCGCACATCCGTCAGCGTGACGCGCGTCTCCCAGCTGCCCAGACACCGGGCAATGACCCTGCTGCCCTCGTCGCTCAGCGGCTCCGGGCCGCCGGCCTTGAGCGCCGCGCCCAACCCCACGACGACGCCGAACCACTCCTCGAACACGAAGCTCATGAACATGCCGGTGCTGACGATGGTCCAGTCGAGATTTGCTGCGGCGGCGCGTTCGCGCAGCAGCGTCCGCACGCCGCATTGCTCGGCCATTATGCCGTGCGCGGCGTCTGGCCCCGTCGCGTCGTAGTCGGCGCCGAATTGCCAGGGGAAGAAGCGGAGGCGGCGGCGTTGGGTGGAGGAGGAGGATGAGGAGGATGCGGCGGCGGCGAGGACGGCCCGTGCGATCAGCGTCTGCGTGCCGCTGGTTGCGGTGCCGGAGCCGCTGGTGGCGAAGCCGGTGCAGCAGATGACGGTGTCGAAGCGCTGCCCGCCGTTGAGGATGAGGGCGGTCAGGTCGGCTTCAGCGGTGGGAGCGGCCAGGTCGAGCGGCGCGAAGGCGATGGGGTTACTTTGCTGGCGGGCTGGCGGGGCGACGGCACGGAGGGCTTCGAGGCGTGATGAGGAGGAGGTGACGGTGGAAGGCCGCAGGGCGACGGTTAGCTGGGTTGAGGCGAGAGACGGGTGCGCGGCGAGGGAGGTGAGGATGGCGGTGCCCAGTTCGCCGGCGCCGAGGAGGAGGATGGAGGTTGGCGGCTGTGACGAAGTAGAAGACATGGTTGTGGAGGTGGTGAGTGCTTTGGTGAGTCTCTAGTAGGTTTTCTTTTCGTGGTTGTTATCTTTTGTTTTGGTTTGAGTGAGGGTTGTGGTTGAGATTCAGAGTGAGCAACTATGCGAACGATTGAGTTGTGAAGAAGTGATCTTGAGATCGCTAGAGGAAATTAAGAAGTTTGAGATGGTTGTAGTTTAAATAAAGACCCCGCTACCCCTCCATCTAAGCGTGGTGCAGGCGTTGGAAACTTGGCATTAGGACTCTTGGCTTTCATTAAGCACCTTCCGGACTTAGGATATAATGATACATGATTATTCAGCCCACCCCGCCGATCATGTCACTTCCAGAACCATGATTGGCTGCAGAAAAGCAAAATACTCAAGAACGGAAGTTTTGAAGAGGATATGGGGATATACAAGAGCGTGGATTGGTAGCTTCTTACTTGAACACCGATTCTCCGTCTATTATCTCCGCACTGCCCCACCTTTTTCGTTCCTTCATCCCCTCCTCCGCGCGATTTTTGGTGTCCAGGGTGCGGGTTGCCACTCCTGACTTTTTGCTTCATCCCACGGTGAAGGCGTCTTCTCCTTCTTCTTCTCGCCTTTAGAGCGCCCCTTATCCACGTTCTCCTGGTCCTCCATGCTGGCCTTCACTTCGTTCGGCGCAGCCGCAACGTTGCGCACCCCTTCTCTTTCTTCAGGCTCTGTCTGCGGCGCGTTGGCTGCCGGATCACGCGACTGAAGCTGTGGAGCGGGTTCAGGTTGCGGCGGGGGGTCTAGAGCGGAGGGCTTGGCGGCCCAGCGGGCATCAGCGGCGGCAGCGAGCTGCTTCAGCTGCGCCTGGCGGATCTCATCGAGTTGCTGTTCGGCGATAGTGGGCGGGTCGGACCGGGTGTGACGGAGCCATTGGATCCATTGTGCTAATAAGGGCGTCGTTAGCGTTGGTGGATCATCCGTGCATATATATAGTGCACCGCTTAAGGAGGCGAGATGGGCATGGTACCGAAATGGTACGTGTTTTGGTGCGCCAAACTTTTTTCCTGAGCTTTGGCATGCGGCTGAAGCGTCAGGGAGACTACATGGCGGAGTTCTCCAAAGAATGGCTTCCAAGAGAATTTACTGCTTTGTGCGCGCCAATGTTTTCTTTGGTGCGTGTTTGCAGGAGAGCGGCGCATGAATTCCATTATTGTGCCATCTCGCTTCCAGATTTGTCTTGAGCTTCGACTCAGAATATAGGGGTGGAAGTTGTGGCGTTGACATGGGCGAGAAATTGGTGGAAGGCAGGTAACGTACGGGTCAATTTAACGTCGCCGTAGTGGATGCGGCGGCTGTACTTGACGATGCGACGGAAGCGCTGGGCGCCGTAGGTCTCCTTGAACTCCCAGAAGCTGTTGCCCGCCAGGTCAAAGCCTTGTTGGGTGGTTGTTAGCCTTGTCAAATTCCAGCGACGGGGGTGATGCCTGAGCAGAGAGCATACCACGTAGCCATTGCTTGCGCCAGGGCAGGTCGAGGGCCTTCCACCTAAACCACAGTTGTCTGAGGCGCCCGGGTTGCGGCATGCTGGAGTGTGAGTGGCATCGTCGGAGAGCGCAGAAGTCGGCGCGGCGAATGGTGATGCATGCATTAGACAAGCGGCGTCGGCGGCAGCGGAGCTCGTGCATCCCTCCGATGCCTGCCGCCGTGCCGCCGCCCGCGCTGTGGCGCGTCGCTGCCTGAACACTTAGGCATAACCGATGACGTTTACTCGGTGGTCAGCCCCCCCCAGGGGAAGTCGCGGCCGCTACACGAAGTTGGACATTCCGCGCATCGCGTCGCGCCGCCCAACCAACAAATCCGGTGGCGGGTCTATAACTGTTGCTATAGTGCCAACACACGTCTCTGACGGCGTAGAATGCCAGGCCCCAGCCACACAACTGCTCTTTTTCCCGGGACTATATCTTGCGCCCGACATCACGTCGTACGCCGTCAGCTCCCGCCCAAGACCCGCACTGGCTGCGGCCGGCCACGACTACTACGCTTACCTCGGGCGCATTCCATCCCCCCGAATCCCTGGCCGTGCCCAAGGACACGCCCCTCCTTCTTCCGGCCCTGAGCCACGATTAACACTCCTAATTTCTCGCCCTCAAAAGCCTCCCTCTCCCTATTTTCTCTCGGAATCGCTCCAAAGCGCATGATTCTACAGAGCAACCATGGCCAGCGTCAGCAGTCTCGACCAGGATATGCGCCGTCTGCGCATGCAGAAGGCGAAGGACCCCGCCGCCGTCAATGAGACGACCAAATGGATTGAAGACACCCTGGGCCAGAAACTGCCGCCGGGCGACCTCATGGACGCTCTGAAAGACGGCACCGTCCTCTGCCAGTACGTATTTTCCCTCCCGCGCCCGCCGCGCCCTCCGGCGCATTCCCGCGCGCAACTCTAGGCTGACACATATCTTTGCGCCCAGACTTGCCAGCCTCGCGCTGCCGCCGCCGGGCATCAAGTTCAAGAAGTCCGCGATGCCGTTCATGCAGATGGAGAACATTTCGCACTTCCTCAAAGCCTGCGAGAAGGAGCCCATCTCGCTGGCCGCCCACGACCGCTTCCTCACCGTCGACCTGTTCGAGAAGAAGGACCCGGCGCAAGTCCTACAATGCTTGGGAGCGTTCAGCCGTGTTGCGCACGCCCTCGACCCAGCTAAGTTCCCCACGTGCATCGGCCCCAAGAAGGCCAACGGCAGCCTGTCGCCGGGTCTTCCTGGTCGCGACAGGGGGCTGAGCAACGCCAGCACTGGGAGCGGATCCAACAGGCCCCCACCTCTGAGAGCCCTGAGCCCCTCGGGGACCGGCGGTTCCAACTCGTCGAGTGGCACCAAGTCGCCCGGCCCAGTCAGCAGCTGGAGTAAGAGGAACGACGAGGGCGTGACCTCGCCAGCATGGAACATTGCACAATACGGTCAGTACCGCGGCAACGAAGAGTTGATGAAAAGCTAACCGTGTTTGATATAGGTTACATGGGTGGCGCGAACGCAGGCAACCAAGGTGTAGTTTACGGCGCGAGAAGGCAGATCACTACGGCAGCGCCTCACGTCCCCAGTTTTGCGGAAAAGGAGCGCAAGCGCAAAGAGCAGGAAGCAGAGGCCGAGCGCAAGCGCATCCAGGCGGAAGAGGCGGATGCGAAACGGAAGGCAGAGGAACGCCAGGTCCAGGCCGAAGAGGAGCGTCGGTGGGAAGCAGAGACTCGCAAGCAACGAGAGCAGGAGAAGCTGAAGGTCGAACAACAAAAACGTGAGTGGGAGGAGCAGGAGCGTAAGTGGAAGGCCGACGAAGAGGCCAGGCTACGCGCAGAACGAGAGGCTGAAGAGCAACTGGAAAAGGAGACACAGCACACCAGGGCTACCAGCGACGCTAGGCTCCGAGGCCAGTTCCTAAGCCAGTACCAAGCCGAACAAAGTTTTAAGCCCCGTAGCCGACAAGTCAGCCGCAACGATCCGGAACTCGAGGCCGAACGACAGCGCGTCGCCGAACTCGAGAGACAGCTGGCCGAAGCCAAGGAACGGGAACGTCAATATCAGCGCGAGCGTGAGGAACGCATCCACGGATCTCGTCCCGGTTCGGCACGTCCTCCTTCTCCCCCTGAAAGTAATGTGTCATGGGCAGGCGACGAGCGCGAATACCTCCGTCAACAGTGGGATGAACATAACCGTACAGCTCCAGCTCTCCCCGCGCGTCCGCTCCCGGATCCCGCCACCGTCTCTCCTCCGCCCACCTCGCCCCGGCCTCTCCCTAACCCTGCAGATTACGTCTCCGCCAAGAAGTCGCCCGTCTCGCCGCCGACTCCGTCATCAAATCGCACCGACCGGTTCCTCGCGTCCAACCCCGCTCCTCTCTCGCCGCCTCCAAGGAAGCACACGGCCGCCTCCGAGATCGGCTTCAGCTCCGCTGCAGAGCGTGCCGCCGAGGATGACCGCCGTGCCGCATCCCAGCAGAAAACCAGGGCCGGCGGCTGGGCCAGCAAGTCGCTCTTGGAGCGCGAGATGGAGCGGGAGCGCCAGCGGCAGAAGGAATGGGAGGAGGGCCAAAAGCACTTGAAGGAGACGCCGCGCGACGAGACGGCCGGCAGCAAGCCCGGCCAGAGCTGGGATGTCAACCAATACGGCTTCACCGGCGGCGATAACCAGAACAGGGTGGGAAGTGGCATCGGGTTCGGTGGACGGCGGCAGATCATCGGGCCGCGTCCGAGGCCTTAAGTGAGGGATACAGTTTGACGACGACTTGGCTGCTATGCAGGACTTTTTAACGTGTTTCATGGTACGACATAAGGAACTGGCGGGCGGGTGCTTGGAATAAACGTCATGGTTAGTAAACAGGTAGTGTGGAAAAAAAAAATAGGGGGGGTTCAGGGATGGATGAGTGGGGTTCTTTCTATTTTTCATCTGGGTTGGATAATCGGAAGCGGTTAGAGAGATGGTTGGGGGGTCGGTGGTCCTTGATTCTTTTTTCACATCGCGTTTGCCGGAGCTGGTGGATATTTGGTTCTTCTCCTTTTGTCTGCCCTTTTATTGCTTCCATACCTCTCTACCTCTCATTGTTTTTGTGTCCTTTGGCCTCCTTCTCCTCTTTTGGGTGGCGAGGTCCTTATCGGGTGTGGTCAGGCAACAAGACCACCCGGGCTGCGCGAGATATCAATTTGAGCTTTGTGTTTCCCTGCCAGAGACTGGAGATTGGAAATGTCGCCGACTGTCAGGTGTGTAGTGATGGTATGGTGAGGATTAGGTCTGATACCTTTCTATTTCTGTTGTATGTTCATGGATATGTATCTGGAAAGTGAAGAGGGTGTATGCAAAAGGACGATGTCCAAGATGGATGGATACTCGGAGGATGTCACGGCATAGTGGATTATAAAAGAATCCCGCCTCCCACCTGTCTTACAAGAGATACTACACTCTGTTCAATTAGGTAGTTGGTTTCACCATGCTAATTGATTGATGCATTTGTAAGATTTTCGAGTCCACATTTGCGTCTGTGTATCTGGCTTCAACTCAGGGGGTGGAGGAGAGCAAAACAACCATCGACCTTCAACCTTGACCTACGTCGAATGGTAGGCATTATTCTGTCCTATAGAGTTTACAGGGAACTGTTGTCATTGATATCTGATGGATTGGATCACAAATGACATGGTCACGTTTGGCAGAGGATTCACCACGCCCATAAAACTGATCATTGTACTTTCACTTCCTTCAACATTCATGGAGGCATCCGTAAAGATCTTATGACTCAGAATTGATTGGTAAAATAGCCAATTCCCTTGCATTGAGTCCTGACGTCGAACTATATACAACTTCCAATGACATCCAACCTACCTGTACAAATAGTCCGAGCCTTTCTGTGGAATACCATTTAGACCTCTGGTCAGAGTCCAAGTCGTGTCAAGCTTCACCCGCAACGCACGACAGCCCCGTGAATGAGGGCCTTCAACAGAAGACTTGGCAACTCACCAACCGCATTACCTCCGGCAGTAAGTTGCAAACACTCAGTGAAACAACCAATCCCAAGCTAGCTTCATAGCCACCAGATCGCATGCATACCAACTCCTGTCACACAACACGTGCTGAAGAGCAAGAAAATGACAACAGTCTTCTGACCCCAGCACTCACTTTTCGCCCTGACACGCGGCACGAACCTGCATCACCTGTCCACGCGCCTACGCCACCACCCACTCATCTGCCTCATCCTCCAACCGTGGGCGCAGCTGCCACCCTTCCCGAACCCGTGCGTCTCCCACCGCTGACACCCCCGAATGCCTATATAAGCCTCCTCTCCGCTGCCCTTCCAGCCCCGAACCGACATCTGCACCATTTCCCTCGCCAGCGACGACTTGCAAGGGGGACACTGGCCTGCCTCTGCTGTTCGGGCGGAGGCGCAACCCCAGAAATGGAAGTCACTGTCGTGCGTGTGTGCCGTCCGCTTCGGCGAGGATGTACATCGAATACCCGACTTCGTCGGGGGGGGCGTGGCGGGAGAAAGCGTACGTACGCGCGTTCGAGACACGAGGTGCGTTCAGTCCGCTGAACCTGGTGGCCCGCGGCATCAGTAGAAAACGACGATGATCTTCGTTATTCATCGATGCGCGAGAGCATCAGATGATTGATTTGAAGGTAGGTTCGGAGCCTTCGTGATGGGTAAGCCGAGTGTGGAGCAAAGCAGGCAGAAGTGCGGACAAGAGGGGCCAGAACACGCGCGACAGCGCCAGTCTGTCCGAATAGTGCCCTAATGGTGTAGAGAGTCGTTGCCGAACCCCGGAGGTTGTTTTACCGAAGACATCATTAGCTCACTGCAGTACTACTCGGTGGATCTACTAGGGAGCGTTTTTATATCAGCGAGGTCTGGCACTCCCTCGACGGCCACCTGCCACCTGATCTACCGAGTTACACGTGGTGCGGTTGACCACGTTACCAAGACCAAACTCTTCCATCATGGGCAGCTATAAATTGGGGCGTCTGTCGCCGCATGGTGCTCTCCCATCGCACATCATCAGGCAGAGGCTTGAAGCCAAGTGGATCACGAGAGAAACTCTCCGAGTATTTAGCTACATTCACTTGTCTGCTGTCCGCGCCGGCGTTCCACTATCTAGCAAGTCTCTCTCGCACACTTCCATCACCACCGCCTAAGTCAAAAGCATGAAGACCTTCATCATTACACCATGAAGCTCATCACCAACGACCCACAGTCCGCAAGCGCATCAACACTTCGCAATCATCACAAGCATCAAGCACACAACAACCTGCAACTCCAATCCTCTCCACTAATCACGCAACACACACGCATATCAAATGAGCAGAAGACATCTGTACGTACTTGCTTTCCACAGTCAGGAAAACCGCATATCGATAGCATTCCTAAACTTGAACTAAGAAATAAGTTTTCCCTTTGCCCCTTTCCATCCATTTTCACACCCTATACTTTACTTTCAAAAAGAAACAAAGAAAAAAAAAACTTTGGGTGCGGGGCTACATTTTTGTTGTACTCCGGTTGTTATGAGGGTGGGGTATCTGGATCCTAAAATGGATATCAAAAGCGCAAAAAAAGTAAAAATGATTCCAGAACCATATAGGAATAAGCTGAACAAGTAGAGACAGTTCAAGAAAAAGCATAAAGTCAATATATCCCCCAAAGAAAATCTTTTTCTTAAGCGGGCATGCAGAAACGTAAAAAAACAGAAAAAAAAAAGACGTGACGATGCTTGTGTGTATAGCGTAGCAACGTGCGCCAAGCAATGAAGACGAGATAAGGAAAAGGACTAGGAGATCGAGGATCCGGACCAAGACACATAGGAAAACCAAAAAGGAAAAAAGGAAAAGTGGCGATGGCCAAACCCCTATGCTCCAGACCATGTACCAGGTGGAGGTCAGTCACCAATCAAGACTCTCTAGCTTTTTCCACAACTCTACTGTACCTCACACATCACCGCTCTCTCTTTTGACAACATCATCATCACATCACCTCTTCCAAAACCTCGAAATACCCCTACTCTTCTCCTTCTGCCCAGGCTCGATCGGATTGCCATCCTTATCGAACTTGACGAACGGCAACGGCTTCTCGTCCCAGCTAGGCGGGGGGCCAGAGTTCTTGAGGAAATCCGCCATCTCGCTCAAGCCGCCGCGCTCGTCGTCGTTGCCCGCGCCCATGCGCGCGCCCCTCGCGCCGCTCGACGCCGCGCGGAGCGTGTTGCTGCGCTTGGCGAGGCCGTTGCTGCCGCCGAAGCTGCCGTTCGACGCCGACGAGCCGAGGCGGTGGTTGCCGTGGCCACCGCTGATGGTGGTGACGTAGCCGTTGTTGTAGGAGCCGGGGAGGCCGATGCCGCTCGCGCCCATCGACGACGTCTTGCTGTGCGACGACGCGGCGCGGATGCCGTTGGCCGACGCGGCCGTGGCGGAGCCGCCGTTCTTGATGGCCTTCATCGTCGACTCGGAGAGCATGAAGGGCTGGACGGGGGCGTCGGTGACGGCGCGGGTGGGCGGCTCGTTCGACAGGAAGTCTGCTAGCTCCGAGGTGGCGGTCTTAGCCTTCTGCCTCGAATGAGCCGACTCTTGGTGGTGGGCTGAGCTTTCCTCGCTCGCGCGCACGAGACCGCTCGGTGGCGTCGATACGGGCCCGCCGGTGCTACCCGGCAGCGCCGTCAGCTCGTCTTCGTCTTCCTCGCCGAACTCTTCCTCCAGCTCGTCGTCGTCCGGGATGGCGTAAGGGTCGATGCGCTTCTTGGGCCGGTTCTTCGTGATCATTGGCCCGTCGGACATGCTGCCGCTCAGCGACGAAGGCTCGTTGCCCCAAGCCGGGTGAACGTTGTTACTGTGGGAGAGCAGGCCACTGCGGGAGTTGGTCGTGGTCTGGGAGTGGACGGAGGGCGCAACGGCGGTCGAGTAGAGTTCCATCTGTTCGGAATCCATCGTGTCGCGGAAGGGCGCTACGGTGCGGGGGATGCGGTGGTCTGAACCAGGCGGGCCTTGACGTATCAAATCAATAAGATCGTTGTCGACGTGAACTGGACCGGCCGGGCTACGGGCCTCCAGTTTCTTGCGGTTTGGAAGTGAAAGAGACGAACCCTCGCTAATGGAGTTCTTAGCAGATCGAGAACCAGTCTTGTGCAAGAATCCTCTGGAAGTAGGAGTTGTGGTAGCGGTGGCCGGGCTGTTGTCTGCGCTGTGGGAGAAAGCAGAGGTCTCGAGAGGGGCGATGGGCTTGTTGTTGCTCGAAGGGGTGGTCGAGATGAGAAAGTCCCGAAGATCAAAGGTCGGGTCGGTTTGTACCCTCGGCTCTCGGGGCATATACTTGTTGCGCGTGTAGATGTTTCCAGCTTGATTAATAGGGGTGGGCCGAGCTGCCTTCGGTTCCTTCGCAGAATCGTCGGAAATTGTGCTCTTCCCATGCTTACTACTCAACGAGCCCCGCGAAGAGGTGTTGGAACGCTGCAACTGTGGGCTCGAGCTCGAGCCGGATCCACTGTGGGGCACACGTGGAAAAACTGAAACCTGAGTCGCGGTCGCAGATCTCGCGTGCGAAGACTGGTCTCGGGCCTCAGCCTCGGCTCTGGCGTTCATCTCGCGCTCCTTACTTACCTCACGCATGCGTTCCGGGGTGAGCGTGTAGTAGACCGTGTCGTTTTGCGCAATCGCCGCGTCGAAGTCCCGCGCACGGTCGTCTTCCGACTTCCTCGAATTAACTGGGTACCGGTTAGGAATGCTAGACTCAGAGCCGCGTGACGTATGGAGAATGGAGGTTCCAGCCGAGGAGATCGACGACACCCGCTGGAGGCCGGCACGCTCCACCCCGTATTCAGTCCTACCTCTAAAGCTTTCGTGGGACCTACGCGAGGTAGAACTATCCCGGGTCTGGGAGGAGAGGGCCGAAATCGAAGGCGGGCCTTGAGGAATCGTCTGGGATGCTTGGGTAGAGACAGTCTGCGAGCGAAGCGCTCTGCTCATACGGTGGTTTTCGATGTCTTTGCCTAGTTCAATGGGGGTTTGTTTGGAGTTGGGGACAGGCTGAGGCTCCTCGAAGGCGAAGTCTGCCCGAGTTGGAGTACCGCTAGGCGTCTTCTCTCTCGCAAAGGGCGATCCCATGGCAGGGATGATGACTTGATTCATCTTTGCGGGCGGAGGGAAGACGGAGAGACGGTTGGCTCGCTTCTTTTCTTGCGGGGCTTCATTGACTGCAGGAAGGGGCGACGAAGGCGCGGTCTTGGCAACATCCGTCGTCCTTGCCACCCCGATAGCTTCGTTCGACGTTCTAAGCTTGAGCTCCTTGTTTCCTCTCACCGGTGAGTTCGACCTCGACTTCTTCGGCTTGATTTCGACTTTGCTCTCGACGGGTTGCTTGTTGCCACGGGGCGAATCTGGACTCGGTTAGTATGCTGAAGAACAATCACTACACGACGGGTTAAACGCACCCGCAGGCTTTGCAGTGACAAGAATATCCCTTCCAAGCTGCAGAGGCTTGGGAGAACGATCTCTCAAAATGCTCCGGCGATTGATCGGGGGAGCAGGAGGAGGCGACGCAGCTCCGGGAAGGGATCCAGTCTCAGCAATGACCGACGACACTTCATCGAGTTGATCCGTCGAAAACCTCGCCGAGTTCGCCTGGCTTTTCCGCTTTGTCTCGGCAACTTTGTTACCCTCAGCGATATAATCCTCGTGCTGGTGGAAAGTTTCAACGGGGGTATGGAAAGGGGGCGTCTCAGATGGCGGCTCTTCACTGCTCGTCGACGCCTGCCTCTGCGCCAACTGCTTGATCGAGGGCATCGAGTTGGAACGAGAACGAATCAGGTGACGGCCTGACCCCGGCGCAGCGAGCCAGCTCATTGGGCGCTGCTTCTTAGTGGGCGGCGGCATCAGGGACGCGCTCTCGTCGACCACCTCCTCAACCTCCTCATACGTCTTGGCGAGGCCGGGAACCTCGATTTCAGCAACATCATTCTCCCCAATTGGAAGCGGGATGTTCGACGCAATATCGCGCTCAGAGTACTCGACCTCAGGCACCTCCTCAAGGGCGGCCGCGCTGGGGGCATCATGCGCATTGCCAGTGCTGTACCTGCGGTGGCCGCTGCTGAAGGAAAAGGAGCGGCTAAAGGGCGAGCGGCCAGTCGCAGAGATGGGGGTGATGGGTGCACGGTTCGTCTTCTTCCATGTCCGCCAAAGGCGGCCGAGCGCTGAGTTCAGGGCGACCTTCTCCATATCGAAGTCGTTCACGACGACGCGCTCCAGCTCTTCCAGCTCATCCTCGTCGGTCACACCCTGCTGGACGGATCTCTTCCGCTTGGCGCGCATGCGTTTGAAAGCAGCTTGACCAGCCACAATGAGGGTCTGCTCAGCGATGTACTCGATGACAGAGGTAAGGAAAATGGCAGCAGCCCAAGAGACCAGGCCGGCCTCCCTGGCGGCCTCGTCCTCGGCGTACACTTCATCTTCGTCGAGGAAGCGCTCCTCGTCCTCGTCCTCGAGCTCGCCGAGGCGCGTGTACACCATTACGCGCAGGCGCGTGCGCTTGAAGACGGCCTCCAGGCTCCACTTCTCGCCCTGGCCATTGGGGATCTCCTCGTCCTCCTCCTCGTCGGCCATGAGGCCAGCCAACTCCTCGTCGGCGGCCTTGAGAGCCTCGCGCGCAAGCTTGGGCTTCAGGACCTCCTGCACGGCGGGGCGGATGGCCATGAGCGAGCGCGACCGGCCGGTGGCCAGGATGGAGAAGAGCAGCGAGTCGAGGAAGCCATTGAGCAGGGCCAGGGCTTGCTCGGAGAAGCGCGCGCTCTCGGCGGGCACATTATCGGCCTCCTCCTTGGTCAATTGGTCGAGTAGGGTCGCATTCTGGTGGTCGGTGACGATTTGCGACGCGGCGGATACGGCGACGTAGGCGGGCGGCGGCTGGAAGGCGGAGGCGGGAACGTAGACGGCGGCGACGGTGCTTGTAGAACCGGTGGTGGACAGGTGATCGCTGCTGATGCTCGGGGCGCGACTGGAGCGCGGCGAGGCGAGCGCGCCGTCGTCCTGCTGTCGCGGCAGGCGATGCATTCCGCGGTGGTGGGGAAGGAATGCGGTTGTTGCAAGGGAGAGACGAATGGGAATATTAATGGCGGCTCAAATGCCGACAGGGCTGGTGGTGTCGGCTCTCACTGGTGGCGGTCGCACAGGTGCCTGTGAGATGGGGACAGGGGCCGAGCGAGCGTAACGAACGGGACGAAGCGAGCGACTTGGGCGGGGATTTTGTGAAGGTTCGGGTCGGCTATGCTCGCATGGCTCTGGGAGGGGCGCGCTGCAGCTCGACAACTTTGCGACTCGCTGGCTGCTGTAGGGGAAGCGGACTCGGGGGGGACAAGGTCGGGCCTCTGCTCAAGGGCTCAGGGCTCGAGGGGGGTGCTGCCGCTCCCCGCGTCGATCGGTATCCCGGATGGCTCAAGCAGGCGGCGGTCCAAGCGGCCTGGGTGGGTCGCGACACTCAGGGCAACGTGCAGGGACAGGGATGCACCACGCGCGCCAGGGCAGTTCACAGCAGATAACGGACGAGAAGGAATGGCTGTCTAGACGGCGGGCGGCCTTCACCAAATAATGCGGCGACACGGGGAGCTCTCCCATTATGTTTCTTTTCTAATCAGCACCTCCTGAGTACCTACGCGTAGCACGGCGGGACGCCTGGCCCTCCCAAGCGGCGGCAGCTAAGCTAGTAACTTCACCTAGCTCAGATTATCACGGCTAGGAACAGGCTGGTGGTGCTGGAGCAAATGTCTCGAGGTACCGATGACCCCCCGGCGCACCTGTGTGCGGCACAGCAGCAAGCCCCATCAACCTGTGACGCGCGCACGACTGCTGAAACTGCTTCTGCATGGCATCGTGACCGGCGCCCCCTAGCAGCCAGACAGCCAGCCACGCCGGCCACGACGACAACGACAACGAGGAACGACGCCCTCGGTTCCACCTGGGCGCATCCAGGCTAGCGAATTGGCGTTGCGCAAGGCCCAGCGCCCCCGTTTGTTCATTCGCGCCCAAGAGCTAGGCCCCTAGCAGCGACCGCCCGGATCGACGGTTCGGGAGATCTTCCCTGTGCGCGCGCAGGCGAATGAAATAATTAATGATGCCTGCTCTCTCCACGAGCATCTCACTTATCGGCGTCAGGGGAGGCGTAGTTTTCTTCAACACCCGCCCGCCACAGCCCTCTGCTGAACAGCCACCCTTTCGCAATATACACAGTAAACAGCGATCGACACTCGCTCGCCAAGCTGCCGAGGAGCACGCCCCGTCGCCGCACCTTGCTCGAGTCAGGTAGTTTGCAAGTCGAACCATCTCTGTGCTCTCCCACGTGGCGGCCTGCCGTCAGGCCGTGCATTCCTTCGCCGCTCTTGAATTTCTTTTTTTCCGCAGAGCAAGCCACAGGCGTCAAGCTTACCAGCTCCCCCACGTGGTTTTTGCGCGGCGCAGTGCGAGACGGACACGAGGCCCGCAGGTGAGCCGCGCCGAGAAAAGCCACTATCGGTGTTAGCGGACTTTCCGTGCAATGGTACTCCCCCTCTTTTCTGTCTGTCTCCTTGCCCGGCCGAATTATATGGCCCGATTGCACCTTTAGGGGAGAGGGTGTGGTGGCAGTGTTCGGTGGCGGCGAGCAGACCGAGAAGGAAAAAAAAAGGGTTCACGGTAAGGATTCGAGGCTTGCAAAAATAACGTCTACAGCGGGCGCGCTGCCTGACTGCCTGCATGCCTCAGGCTGCATGAACTGAAACACGCATGCCTTGCCTATATTGGCAGTCAGCTATGAACGCAAGTCACCGTCAGTCGAGCAACACAGACGCTTACCCCTTTCCGCTCATTCGCCCCGCCTTTCCGAAGCCCACCCGTCCTATAATGCGTGCCGTTCTATCGATAGGCTGCTGTCATCCATGTGAAGAAAAGGATCCGTTTACTTCCTTTTTTGCGCGCGTTTGTCCCGACGGTCAACCCGAAGAAAGGTTGTTTTCAAAGTCAAGTCAACGTGCTACGACAGCGCTGAGCTGACGAATTCCGCTCCGTCTATTATTATTGCCGGAGCCAGCTCATTGCCACACGTATGGCCGGCTAAAGTTCACCAAAGTATCTTGTTCAAAGAAGTCTCCACAACCGACTTTGCGGCCTGACACGTGATGGCGCGTTTCGCGGCACAAGCCGTCTTCGTTTTGTGTTCCCCTCAACTTTTGCTGCCCCGGCTGCACGATTGTTCGCCAAGGCAAAGCGAAAGAGCAAGAAGACTGATTCGGGTGACATGTCGACGGAAACAGCCGGATGCAGCAACCGAAAAACTCTATTATATTATAGGTCAACGTGGGGGAAGCAGAGTATTGACAGGGCGACATGTCATGCAACGCGGATAGTGTTACACGGTATGGGTCCCCCCATGTTCCCTTAAATCTCCGGGAAGCTCATATCGCTCGTTCGTGATCAGCGGTGCGACGTGCGCTGAAAATAGACGAGGGCAAAGGGAAAAAAAAGCTTGGTCACACTTCGCGAGGGCATCGTCACTTTTTCGCTTCCGACCCGATGATGCAGGAAGAAAAGAAACGAAAAGGGATCACGGGCACCTTGTATCAGCGCCCGACGAGATCTGCAGCAATATCCGACCCGATGTCCCGGTTGGCTGTTTGGTCGAATGCGTAGAAATGGTGTTGGAGCTCTTCTTCCGGACTCTTGGATCAAGCTACACTGCATCAGATGATGCCACACCACAGTCGTCGTATACGCGTTCGCCATGCAACCGGTGAAGAGAAAAAGAACGGCGCGCTGGGCGGTCAAACCACGGCGGCGCCTCGAGCACGCATGTAATCCTACATCAGCCTGCAGTCGCCCACGTCCATGGATCAGGCGCTTGACCCCTCCCAACCCAACGCAAGGCCGACGACCTTGCATGCGACTTCGGCAGCTCGAGAGCTGCGATGCCGAGTTTCGCGCACTTGCATGGCCCCCCGGCTTGTTGATCAGGCAGAGCGAGTCAGAACCAGATAGCCAGCGTTTCGATCTGTCTGTCGCATCTGTGCCGATCATACAGTGCGGGTTAGGATGTTTTACCATCTCGATTGACCCCGCACGAGGCTCTGAGCGGCCGTTGCGGGGGGGTTTTGGCGTTGGAGGAGGTTATTCAACCGCTTCCGCGGTCAGGTCCGAGGTTTGAGGATGATACAGCCTCACTTGACTTGAGCCGGAAGATGTTGCGGATGGACGGCTGCTATCCGATGCACCACTTCTTTCCGGTGGGAATGGATTGTGACACCGGAAGACCGGCCCTGCGGACAACGCGCGGTTTCAGCGAAGGCGTGGGCGAGCCAGGTGTCCTGCAAAATGAAAACTTTCAGCAAAGTCTGCAAGAGTATCCGTAGAGTAAAATGTCAGAGTGGGGTGAAACTTCTCAAAGAGGGCCTCCTCTCGAAGTCTTCACGCAAGGCCGGCGGAGGCCGATGTCAGTCTCCCTTAACCACATTTCAATTCATCTACAACACCTATTGCAGTAAAAATGCCGGGCGCCTGTACGGACAAGCCGGGCCCATCTGTTTGAATCATCTGATCAAAAGCACACTGGTCAAGAGTCGACTCATAGCCTTCCTCAAAAGACATCACCGCACCACCTGACGTCCAAACTAACTCTTACCGGTACTTTCACACGGCAAAATCGGTGATGCATGGACCATTCCAGAGCTTGATTTCAACTACCCGTACATCGGGAGCCAAAACTCTGGAGAAAAAAAGGTTAAGAAGACTAAATTCCATGAAAGTGCAGGGATGCTCCGGCAGAATACACAATATTACTTTAAAGAGTGATAACCTGAAACCAAATTCCCCCTAGTTTAGCCACAGTTTTCTTAACTTCAATTTAGAAGAACATCGCCTCGTTGCTGAAACAAAAAGAAGAAAAACGCACACAGCGGTTTCTCCATCAAAAGACTATTTCCACTAAGCTTAAAAATTTGACATCTGTGAGTGATTCACTTGCAAGTATTGTTTGAACGCATCACACATTGACTTCATTTAGCAAACAGAAAGATTTCGTAAAGTCTACTTTTAGTACTATGCTACTGAGGCAATCTGAATGCTCTAGAACGCTATGCGTAAAACAAAACAAAATGCAAATCGCTATGCTTCGCTGAAAGTTGCAGGAAGAAAACAACCACAAAAAAAAAAAAAAGAGAAGAAGAAGAAGAAGAACACATCGCCAACACATCAACCCCTCATTCCCACCGCAGAGCCATTAGATCAAATCAGAGCGCTCAACCCGGAGGCCCGTCTCATTCTCAACAACACACATGTCGACTCATCGACCCATTTCAGCCAACAACAACAACAACCACCTCCTCCTCCGCCAACACTCCCACAATCCCGCCCACTCCTCGAATCTTCCTCTCCCTCCTCGCCTGCACCCGCTTCAGCTCCTCCCACGCCCCCTCACTCAGCCCCGCGAACGGACGCCAACTCCTCTTACTGCCACTGTCGCCATCAGAGCAACCGTACGAGGTCGATGAGGAGGAGGAGGACGACGACGACGACATCGTCATGTCCGAGTCGACTGAGCTGCGCCTCTCCGCGCCCTCGCCGTCCTCCTCTGATCCATCATAGCCTTGAACCACCACCTCCTCGGTCCCAAAAACGAAAACCGGACACCGCCGCCTGTGTCGCGCGCACTCTGCGCACTCGCCCGCTTCGTCGGCGGCGCCGAGGTGGTCGGGGTAGTCGCATGGGATGATGGTCACGGTAGTGTTGTTGTGAGTAGTCTCAGTGCTGGTGGTGGGTTGTGGAGAAACAGCTACGTGCCGCGCGCGCACGCAGGGCTCGCCAACGAAGCGCGGCCGCGCTGCCCAGTGCGCGCAGGCGTGGTGGAAGACGGACTCGATTTGGCACATGGCTGTTGCTGTTTTTTTTTCTGGTGGCTTGCAGTCGTCTGGTCTGATTTGGTCTTGGCGACTGACAGACAGATGGACAGAAGGAGCGGTGGCGGATGTATTTGGGGTGGAGGTAGGTTCGGTGGTGGTGTGGTGGTTTGGCTGTGGTGGTGATAGTTGGTTGGGTCGGGTAGTTGTGGTTGTGATGGTGTTGAGACGGGTGTTGAAGGGAGGTGATTTTGGCGGTTGAGGTCGTGGAGGTGATGGTGTCGATGAAGAGGAGAGAGAGCAAGATTCTCGCTCCTCTTCTACTCCTCCAAGGCTCCAGTCTGAAGGCCTGTGCTGGTGTTTGGGACAATAGGTTTCTTAACAATGTAGTGAACACTTCTGAACAATGTTGAGAGCTAAGTGAGCAGAAAACCCAAGACAACTTGGGAGGTGAGAAGCGAGAAAAAGCCATGATGAGGTTTTTGGGGTGTGATTCGTTTTGAGAGAGTGTGCGCGTGGGGTATTCCATAGCTATCGTTGCGGATGTTGTGTATATGGGCCAACATTGCAAAGGTGGAAGAAGTAGGAACAGCGGCACGTGCGCTGATTGGACGTTAGGCGGGACGTTGGCAAACAATGTCTTTGTGTAGGAGTCTGATACAGACAGGTTCTTTGTTTCTGTCACGTTGACTCCGTACCATATGCGAACAAATACACTGTTACTGAACAATGCATGGATAGCGCACAGACGGCAAGTAAACAACAGTGAAGAATTCTACAGAATGGAGAAGCAGACACACAAATGCGCTTGCAAGTAGGCAAATGCTACAAGCTGTGGGAAGCCATCAAGGTTGAACCTCCTAGTCCAGTCCTGACTCTTCAAGAAGGCCAACGAAGCGTCACGCAATTGAGTGGTGTTCCCTATTCTCTGCAGTATGCAACTGAGCAAATTTAATTTCTCACTGTACGTCCGACGAACTTGGTGATGATTCAGATATCACAGTTCGAGCAGTGTTTCTTTCTTTTTTCCCCCCTCTCCATATTCTTAAATAGAAACGAGCCATGGCGGAGAAGTCCAAGGAAACAAACAAGTAAACTCTGACACAATGGATTGGTTCGTAGATTTGTTGGATAATGGTACGTTTGGCAGACTTTGAAGAGGAGAGCTTTCGCTTGCTCTTTTCAGATGACTTAGTGTGGTGAATTGAATCGCAGCTTGCGCCACATACGCATGCGAACAGACGGCACACACTCTTTCAAGATGAACACCCCTAACTACGTGGGTGCCTTATCTTACTTTCATGCTGCGAATGGCATTAGAGACATGGCATGAGGAGTATCCCAATTCAACCGCCAAGCGGTCAATGATGGACAATCCAAGCATTGATAAGAGTCTAGGGGCAGCTTAGACCCCAAAGATAACGTCCAATATTTGGCCAATCATCGACCCAGACCAAGACCTGAGGTTCACATAAGCTCGTGCTTACCACATTAGGACGAGTAAGCGAATTGACAGGCGCTGAGGTCCAAAGAAGCAATTCTCTAGAAGCGCGGCGGACCGCTGCGGGAAGCAGTGGTCGAAGGAGGGGAAAAGAGATCGGAGCCAGGCCAGGGGGGTTTATATACGGGAGAAGACGGGTACCGACTCCAGGTCCCCACCCGGGGCCTCCGAGTCCGGATGGCTCCACCGGGGTCGGTGCGCGGCGGAGGTCCAAGTGGGTGTTTCGAAGGGAAGGGAAGCAGCAAAGATACAGACAACTTTAGCTCTCTTATCTGTCCGACATCGTATCACAGAGCACGTTTGCAGGTGTGGAATGTCTCAACCTCCGCCGTTTCCCGCCCGCTGCGGTGCCATGGCGTACAGAGGGGACGGTCGGGCCCCCACAGATGAGGCGGGAAAGCTTATCACTCGGTAGTAGGACGTGGTATCAGCCCTGTCCCTGTTCCAGACCACAGCTCAAAAAAGACTAGACCCTGGATGGCGAACAACTCCCATGATGGGTCCGCACCATGCGCGGAGCGGACCGCCCGGGAGGGGCGTCTCCTCAGAAACGCCTTTTGGTCGAATCCGCAATTGGGATCGAGGTCTCGAGCGAAGAGTGCCTCGCCAGGAGGCGGGCAGATCAGATGCTGAGGCCACGAATTGGCTTTGGATTGGCCCCTTTGTCCCACCCAACATGATTTTTCAATTTTTTTCTCATCGAGCACGAGCAGGGGCGCGCAAGGGACGGGCGGCGACGTTGCCTTGGCAGTGGCCAAGAATTATTTTTGTGTTGTGGGCAGAGGTCAGTCCCCGCCATGGGGAGAAGCGGGTGGGCGACCGACCTGCACCCGCCCGCAGAGCGGAAGAGCGACATCGCGCAATCTTCTCCACACGGCGTCTGTGTCGGGCAGCAGGGGCTTAGCGAGCGGGAAGCGGAGCAGGGCGATTGCCCAGAGCGTTGAGGCTGATGTGCTTTCCCTAATCCGCTTGCCAATCCGGAGTGCAGATGGAGCGGGAGGCGGGTGTTTGCGGGAGGCCTCGTGGCTGGAGCGCATGCGGAGGGGCGGGTTCTCCGGGCGGTTTTCGTGCCCGTGCTTCGCCTCGCAGGCTTCTGGAAGCAGGCTGTGGAAGCCCAGCAGTCGCAGGTACCGCCGAACACCCATGAAAACCGCTCGTAACAACAATGGAAGAGGCCGTTGATCTTAGTCGCGCGCCCGACAACGCAGCGGCGGCGTCTCGGAAAAAAGGAGGGCTGGCCTCGGCCGGTCAAGCGTTAAAGGACTGGCTTGCACGTAAGCGGGCTATTCTTAGGCCTATTCGCAGCGCGCGGCCCCTATTCTCTCGCAACAAAGGGCGGCGATGTGTAACAGCAACGCCAGTCACACGACGCCGTGGCGACCGGAGCGCTCTGGCGTCTGAGGCGGCGGACCATGCGCCGTGGTTGAGCACGAGAATAGAGCAATTCGTTCAAATCCGGCAAGCAGAACGCCCGACGCGCGCACAGAAGTGTGGATTCGGGAGACAGTGAATCAGCGCCGATCTTCCCGAACCGCGTTTAGCCGGCCGGCCAGCGGTTTTCTTTGTCATCGCCGCCCGCGCGGCCAATGGGGGGCCGCGATAAGGCCAGAGACCCTTGGGCTTGGCCGCCAGCCAGCCACCCGCGGGTGCGTCTAGGGGTGCGAGCTTGCCGAAGTCGCTGCGCCGATGAGGCAGCGGGGGGCTCGAGCTTCTGCTGCGGCAACCCTCGCCGGTTGACGTCGGGCACGCCTGGGGAGAGGCAGCGCGAGGCCAGTGGTGGCGCAGGCCCGCTGGAGGCCACTGTTGCGGCCGGAGCGCGCTGCTCGCATCCGTCGCGAGGCGCTGGGGGCGGGAGCTGTTCGCAGCCGTCAGTGAGAAAGCGCTCTCAGCGCGGGGGGACCAGCATGGAAAAGAGAAAGAAAAAAGTGCGCGTCGGCGGAGCCTTGTCGCGCATGCCCACCGAGCATCCCGGACGCTTGGCTGTGACGAGCCAATCTCTTGCGGGGTACGTCGCCAACCGCTGTAAAAAGCCGCATCGTCACCCGCCGCGCACGATGGGGACGATGGGGGCCATGGCGGCCTGGGAACGATGTCCCTCTTCTGCCTCACGATCCCGCGAGCAGCGGACGGATGCGGCACAGAGGCGTGGCTGCCGGCGGCTGCTGTTCTGGGCAGGAACGCCTATCTGCTGGATCGCACGACGTGCGCTCCTGAGATGGGGACAGGCGAAGCCGCAGCACGGCCGCAGATAAGTCGCCCGCCTTGGTGCAGCTGCAGGTCCCCAGTGCGCGCCCAGCCCGCAAATCCACAGCGGCGGAATCCTCGCAGGACACGGCCGCAAACGAGCCATCCTTGCAGCGCCGCCGGCCTGGCGGTCAGCGGTCGTCCCAACGCGCATCTGGGGTCGCTGGCCTCTTCATCAGACTTCCAGCCGCCAGTAGTCATGGCGGCGGGGCCCTCGCCGTCGGCAGTGGGCAGCCGGAGCGCGGGTAGAGATAGCGGAGGGGGGGCGCACGCGATATCGTCGTCAAAGACAAAATAGTGATTGGCTGCGCGCGTGCCTGGCCCGGCGGTGGCTCGAGTTTGGACTGGATCGGTGTCGAGGCCTGGGCATGGATTATGCTGCGTGGAGCCCTTGGGATGCGCGCGCCGTGGGCACTGCCCGTGTGGGCGTCAGGGCAGACGAACCCTGACGCCGCTCGCGCTGCCTTTAAAACATCCGGGCCGCCGCTCTCACCACGCTCACAACCACAACCCTTTTTCCTCCGTCTTCTCCACCCCGTGCAGACAGGCCCCAAGCCGTCGCCACTCCCATACTTCACACTCCCCCAATACCGCTTGCCCTCCGCGCCAGCACCGCACATTCCAGTCATCATGGTACGCCCAACGCCCAGTCTTTGTCCCAACGACGCCTGATTCTAACCCAGCCTGCAGTCTGAATCGACAATTGTCTCCAACACGGCCAACGTAAGCCGCAGCTGCTCGCGCGCCAAAGTTGTGCACCCGCTAACACGCAGCGCAGCTTGAGAAGTACCTCAAGTTGAGCCAGAAGGGCTCCATCATCGCCGAGTACGTCTGGATTGACGGCTCCAACGGCGTCCGCTCCAAGTGCAGGGTGAGTCACAGTCCTCCCGCACCGGTCAAAAGTGCCGAGTGCCAGCATCGGTGGTGCAACGCATGCGCTGCCCCGCTGATGTTGTTCCTTCCTTATCGCTGTGGTGCTGCCCGATAAGAAGGCGGCGCCACTCTCCCGCACACCCGCGTCCTATTGGAGTCGCAAGGATCGCGTGGGATCGTGCGCCCACACCCCACCCACTCGATCGCATCGCATTCCGGGAATTCACGCTGATCATCCATCCGCCCGCAGACTCTCAAGTCGAAACCCTCCGCAGTTGAGGAGCTCCCCGAATGGAACTTCGACGGCTCGTCGACGGGCCAGGCCCCCGGCGACAACTCTGATGTCTACCTCCGCCCCGTCGCCTTCTACCCCGATCCCTTCCGCCTTGGCGACAACATCCTCGTCATGTGCGAGACCTGGGGCTCCGACGGCAAGCCCAACGCCTACAACTTCCGCCACGATGCCGCCATCGTGATGGAGGCCCACAAGGAGCACGACTTCTGGTTCGGTCTCGAGCAGGAGTACACCCTTCTCGACCAGAACGGCTGGCCCTATGGCTGGCCCAAGGGTGGTTACCCCGGTCCCCAGGGCCCTTACTACTGCGGTGTCGGCACCGGCAAGGTCTTCTGCCGTGACATCGTTGAGGCTCACTACAAGGCCTGCTTGTACGCTGGCATCAACATTTCCGGCACCAACGCCGAGGTCATGCCGGCTCAGTGGGAGTACCAGGTCGGTCCCTGCACGGGCATCAACAGTACGTAACATATCTCCGAATGACGCCCCCTTTCCGTCACTAACACTTGACTAGTGGGCGACGAGCTCTGGATGTCCAGGTTTATCCTCCACCGCGTTGCTGAGGAGTTCGGTGCCGTCGTCACCTTCGCTCCCAAGCCCATCCCCGGTGACTGGAACGGTGCCGGTCTGCACACCAACGTTTCCACCAAGGAGATCCGTGCCGAGGGCGGTATGAAGCACATCGAGGCCGCCATGGAGAAGCTTGCTCTCAGGCAAGCCGAGCACATGGCCGTCTACGGCGAGGGCAACCAGGCGCGCATGACTGGCAGGCACGAGACTGCGTCGTATGACAAGTTCTCTTGGGGCGTCGCCAACCGTGGCTCCTCGGTCCGTGTTCCTCGTGCCGTCGCTGCCGAGGGCAAGGGCTACTTCGAGGACCGCCGCCCCGCGTCGAATGCCGACCCCTACCAGGTCACTGGTATCGTCGTCGAGACCCTCTGCGGCAAGGTCGAGGGTGCTGACGTCGCCGGCAAGGCCGCCGAGACTGCTGAGCTCGAGGCCAAGGCGTAAACAATGTGTTCTTCACGTACGGAGTTTGTAGACGGATAAACTTTGGGTTTGGGCTTTTCTTTTTTGAATATTGGCGAGTAGGGGAGAGAGAGACATCTGTCTGAATCATCGGACATGTGGAAGAGGAAAAAAACACACTCTAGATCCTGTGGCTATACCCCACAGCCTTCGGACTACCCCAGGAACATAACCACCACCACCTCGTAATGCTTGCTTATACGCTTGCACACAAGCTTCAACACGATTCCCCCATTACGCAGTAAAACTCGTAGATCTCATGATTGCGAGAATGAAGATTTTCTATTACCCGTTCAAAATTCGCGCTTTTCGCAAATTGCTTCCGTTTGTGACATCACTCCTGGAGTCCGACCATTTATTGGTGCGTGACTTTTGCTTTGATCGATTTGCCAATCGGAATTTGGGAGTGTCCCCATCGGAAACTTGCGAGGGCACTTCTTACGTCAGAGCGGCACCACCCTCCATCATGCACACACCCCACGTTCTGACCAGCATTAGCGAATGGGGTCGATCAGGGATCAGCGCAAGAAAGACGTCAGTCAGTCAACGGGCTGTCTGTCATGCTGCATGTACCTAGGCATGTACTATGCAGGTCATGTACCTTTTTTCGCCCCGCTCGTACTTTGATCATCCACGCATGTACCGTGACTTGTTCTTCCAAATCCCAGCCCTCCCAGCCTCATCACGGGTGATTCCGGTTTCTTCTCTTCTCCTCTCTGCCTCCCGTGCGTCTCGCCGCACGGGATATTTTTTTTTAGCTTCTCGTTTTCATTTCCTTTTTTTTCTTGTTTTTTTTAGTTGATCGCCGCTCGGGCTCGCCCCCATCCCCTCCCCTCCCGTGCTCCGCCGGCTGCTCCGCCGGGGATGCGGGTGTGCTGGGTTTGGTTAGTCGGGTTTCGCGTCGTTAGTCGCGCGAAGATCTGACGGGTCGTCTCGGTCTGGGGTATGGGGCGGGGGGAAAACGCGGGATGTGGATGCAGGATTGCGGGGGTATGTGCGGATACGTATGGGATGGAGTGAGGTGGAGATTGGGGATTGAAGAGTGACGAGGGGTGGTGCGGGAGGTGTTGGGTTAGGTATCTTCTCCGTTACGAATATATTAATCGTCATGAAACTGCTTGTTGTTTTCGTTTCTTCGGGCGTGTGGATGACGACGATGCGCTGTGGTGCGGGCGAAGGGGCCCACGTCTCTCGTGAGGTAGTTTGCCCCGCCGTCGCCCATGCCTGGCTGGCCCACGAGCCGGTAGACCGGTAGGCGGCCGGTGAGCTACTACGGGTGGTGGTTGGTGATGATTTGAACTTTCTATTTTACTTTGCGGCTGATGTAAGCTAGAAAAAGGCGGGGGCAACCTACGAGAAGGGAGTAAGGGAAGGAAAAGTCTAGACTGAACTGATTTCTTACTGTGTTAGACGTGTAAGGTTAGACCTATTGCGGCTTCTGTTCCTCTTTCGCTTTTACTATTCGTTAATCTTGTCCTTTTGCTTCCTCTGCTTTTTTGCTTTGTCTTTTTTTTTTTTTGAGACTCCCTCTTTTAACTTTGGGTTGGTCTGCGTAGCTATGTGTGCCCTTTTCTTCCTTTTCTTTTTTTTTTGTTTTTGTCATTGACTTGTTGTAGATGGTATGCTGGTGATGCATAGCTCCGTCCAATGATAATGAGTGCCGTGATTAGAGAACTCTATTCACGTGTAAGAGACGACAAAAATTGAATTAAGCTTGCTATGCGTTCACACCGTGAGGGGATGGAGGGAAAGACCCTGGAGCACAGTCGTACCGTCACACTGCATCCGCTTCTCTGGACTTCAAGTGTTGACACTACTCCTATCGGAACGCTCCAGAGCCGTTGAGAAAAACAAATTTGACGTGTCAGAAAATTTCTCACCAGAAATAAGCATTCCACGTATGAGCAGTGGGATGCACTAGCCATATGTATTTTCACATTCCCAACCCCCACATTTACGTCCAAACATTTGCTCAAACAGCTAGTCTTCTGTTCGGCCGTGGGGAAAAAGCTCGTCTGACTGGTGCTCGAAGAGCCAAGCAGGCGCGAAAGGTTGAGATAGCTCAGTTTGGATTGGGAACAGCAGACGCGTCCCACACACCGGACATCTCCGCGTGCATATACGTATTTTGATTGTTAGCGCTCGCCTAAGGTGGAGGGTGGAGTAAGGATTCGTGATGATAGATAACGCCGTGGATATTGCGGCACGGGGCCACAGTCACGATCCCTCCACTTGGTCACGCGAGGCACAAGATAACATCGAATTTCGAATGTCTATGAAATGATTAATGCATTTATCTGTATGCAGTGTGTGACTCGAAAAACTTCGAGTTTATGAGCCTAAGCCAGTGGGATCGCGTGAGCTAAGCCTTCGCGATCGATCTCTTCATCTAATTATAGCCATGACTTGGCGATGTCCCTGTTGCGCCGTTGTATGATGGGGAGGGCCATGATCCAGGTTCCCCGTTCTAGATTTTGATGGTCTTCATCTTTCTTGTCCCGTAGCACAACCAGCGCATTTGTGGTGCACTGTGGGCTTGTGCCTATGCTACCTCCTTTCTCTTGTTAGTGATGAATGTGCAATGTGCAATATGCTCGTTCGTCCACTCGAATGAACACTTGGTTGGCGAGTGCATGTCAAAAGGGCTGGAAGGAGGTTGGATGGTCTCAGGCTGATATCTGTAGGAAAGGAGCGCTCTTCTGAGAGGTGAATGGGTTGGGCGGCAATCTGTGCAGTTGCTGCGTGTCCTGTACGCTGGTCTGTCCCAGGAATGTTGGGCCAGAACATTCGTCACGCCTTGCCCAGACTGGCAGGTATTCATCTTCAATATGTGCCGCGAGACGCACGGTGCGGGGTCCAAGCGTGGAACGTTTGTTTGGTTCGGGGATACCGTGCGTCAAACGTGGTACGGTAGCGCCGTACGTCATCGACCAAAAATGACGTCCAGCTGCGTGTTCGTGCTCCTCCAATCTCAAAACTGTCCCATCAATTGTTGGCGCCTGTTGTTTTTTTGTTTTGAATTCTTTTGCCACGATGGTGCATATCTTCAGCGCTGGGTTTCGCCTTGGTTCGGGCCGCCGTGCCTGAGCAGATTTCCCGTCGAGCTGTTTGCGCTGACCGAATTGTCAGTCATCATCTGCGGCGGCGGCGGTCCACCTTCGGCGCCAGGACCGGCCAGCGTCTCTTGGTAGTCGGGCGGCTTGTTTCCCTGCGTGTCGCGCGACAGGGTGCGCATCGGAATCGTCAGTCCAGCGTCACTCTGCCAGCCGGGCGGCAGCGGTGGCGGCATAGCGACGTAGCTCGCACCGGGGGCGTAGGCTGGCTGCGGCGGACCGCCTGGCGGCTGGTTGTAGGGCGGCGGCGCCTCGCCGCGTTCGTTGAGCCCTTCCTCGGGCGCGCGGTGGGTTCCCGATGCTCCAGCTCCGCCCATCATCCAGCGACCAGGCCCGGGGAGCCAGCGCGAGGTGTTGTTGTTGTTGTGGTGGTGGCCGTTGATGTCTTGCGCCAGCGCTGACTGACCGTAGTTGCGCATCATGGCCTTTCTGCGCTTCTTGCGGCGGTGCAGTAGGAGGAGCGCGACGACGAGCAGGATGACGACGATGGCGATGAAGAGGAAGTACAGGTTGAGCAGGCCGTCGCGCGTCAGCGAGGAATCCGAATCGCCGTTGTTGTTCTCGTCATCGCTGCTGGTGCTGGTGCTGGTGCCTGGGGCGGGATTTGTTCCTTGGGGGAGCGCATGCGCGGCGGGCGACAAGAGGAGCCAGAGGAAGAGGAGCGAGTTTATGGAGGCGGAGAGGTTGTGCAACGGACTGGCGCTGCTGCTGCTGCCGATGCAACAGCTCGGCGGGTGAGGCGCTTCGGCGGTCATTGTGTCATGGATGGCGCTAGCGATTTGGTATGGCCGAGAGGCTTCAATGGCGGAGGGAAGAGGTGGGTGTTGTTGTGCGGGAGTGTGGTTTACGGAGGCAGGCAGCTGGGTTGATAAAGCTGAGACAAGGCGACCCGGGAATAGAGGGCGGATCGCTGCGGAAGGCAAGGGAAGTACCTGGGGTGCTGTCTGGGATTCCGAGAGTGGATGTGGCTCACGGCACTACTGCGCGCGCTGAGTGGCTGTTGGGCCTGCTCACCTCAGAAGTCTCGTTTTCCGCGGCTCAATCAGTAGTAGGATGCGCATGTTATTTGAGATTTCGCGAACCTGTGCTTGTGACGCGGCTGGACAATTTGGATCGTCGGTTTGCAGGTTTCGCTGGCTGGGATGTGGAGAGATTGCAGTGAGCAGCACACGCTCACCGCGCGTCGTCGATTGACGCAACTGAGGTGCGCAATCATGGCGTGCACCTGCGGCCGAGCCTTCGCCGCAGCCCTGCCGGCCGGCCATCGTCGCTCACTTGGCTTTCTGCAAGATCTGCGCCGCCTCGAGCTTACTTTCTCTAAGCTCAACACTGGAACCCTTGCGCACCGAATTTTCGTTTGAGTAATAATCGTTTCGCATCCAGGTCCCGACCGTGCATCTGCCGTCAAAACAACCCGCCCCGACGACGTGCTCGACCGGCCGGCCTGACAAAGCTGTCGTGTGAGACGTCACTTTCCCTTGTTGGTCTGCCCTGCCTTCAGGTACCCACACTTTTCTCCTCTCGCTCCGCACCACTCTCCGATCTTGCCCCTACGGGAGAGTCCGCAGATTTCCAGCCACCCTCTCCGGCTACACCCATTATCGACATCTCGGCCGGTCGCTCTGCCAAACATGCCTAGAGCTCTGAGAGGTGAGCAAGAGACCCTTGCGCCGTGGAACTTGTGTTTCCGCGACGCGTCAACCTCCTTTATACGGCATGGTGCTCATGCGGAGGCCTGAAGGTATCCTCGTTCAGTGCGACGAGTCGATTAAGACTATTATCGTCAAGATTGATTCTGAGCTGAACGACTTTATCATCGAAGATCTCGACGATGAGACGCTCGTCATCAAAGCCGAGAAGCTTCCTGAACTCAAGCGTAGGCTGAATGAGGTACGCATATTGGTGTTGCGGGCATGGCTTTCATTGCTGATGAACCGTAGGTGCTGAAGGACGCTGTTGGAATGCCTCCGGAAGCTGCGAACATCGACTAAGACGCTCAGCTTTCAGCGTGCAGTATCTTTGAGAGAGAGCGGAAAGCGAATAGCTGAAATGCTAGCGCCTAGTTGCACGTGCCCCGTATCTATATTTGGGCAAATTGGAGGGATGGAAGTCTCAAACGAGGGAATCGTCATTGGTTCAATCTAGCTAACATGCAACACCCCAACACCCACCAACACCACGCCTGTCTACTGCTACGCCACAAGTCCACGCAAGCAAAAGTTCAGACTAGAAATATAGCCTAGTTCTGCTGGGCTCCTGGCGTTTCCGGCACCCACTCCACACGGTGCTTGACGTACAGCTCGGTCGTGGGCTTCGCCTTGTTGAGCGCGTCATAGTCGTCAAGGACACCAACCTTGAGGATCTTCATGTTGGGGAAGATGGCGCCTTCACGGAACAGGGTCGTTCCGCAGTCGCCGCAGAAGTAGCTAGTAATGGTGTTGCCGCTATCGCCGGTTTTGCTAATGCTCTTTGGCGTCCCCTGCGTGATCTTGAAGCCGTCTTCGGGCACAACAAGGTTGGTGCTGTAGGTGCTCCCGCTGATCTTGCGGCAGTCGAGGCAGTGGCAGGTGGCCTAAACACGTTTGTGAGCTGGTCTGTTCTCGATGGCGGTGTTGTGAACAAACCTTGGCAACTGGCTCGCCCGACGTCGAGATCTTGATATTTCCGCAGAAGCAGCTTCCGGTGGCCATTGTTGTGACTTGATGTGTGTTGTGTTCAAGGTCTGTGGTGCCAAGGTAGGTCTGAAAATTGTGTGCCGAAGCAACAAGGCGGGGCAGTGCTCGGGGTTTCTATAGTCGGACAACTCCACCTATTTGAAATCATTCGCATGAATGGAACGGCTGTCAGCTAAGCTCATGCGGAAGCACGCCGCTTACGGCCAGTGCTTCACCGGCTGTGTTGCCTAGAAGGATCTTGGAATCGCCAGCTTATCGTCCAGTCGGCATCATCGGCATTCGGGTTGTTTATGATGATCTCGGACGTGGTTGGAGTCCCTAAGGCCGAAATGCGGGGAACACAGTTGGATACGGAACACCATCACCGTAGCAGAGGCGCTGGACCAGCTCATCGTGGACTAGACGTTGCTGACGGTCTCTTAATGATCAAGGTCAACATTCATAAGCAATGACTGTGCAGAGCGGTGTCTTTCCGCTTATGGTAGTTCATTTTGGTAGTACCAGCCAATCAAGACTTGCCCCGTACGCGTGCCGCTGGACCGCCATAAAGGATTCTGAGCCATCCACATATACAGTCCCCTCTCGCAGCCGATGGCTAGCGTGGATTTTTCGCTCATGTCATGGGTAGTTGAAGCTCTCGTCGGGACGAAAATGTAGAATTAAAAATTCTACATACACATCCGGACGATAGCTTCAGCTACCTACATATGTTATTTTTCTGAGAACGAGTTAAGGCATAGTTACGCCTGGGGCCTTGCTATTCTTCACGCTAGCCATCGGCTGCGAGAGGGGACTGTAAGGGCGGATATTTCAGCAGTCATATGCACTGTTCGCAAGGAATTCCATAAGTGCAATAGAGTTGACATTTGCAAGCCTGTCTTGGAGAAACAGCACCCCACTCACGTGGGTAGTCGACGTCTACCAGAATGTCTTTATGTATTTTGCCGTTTGCGGCTAGATGAAAATATCTGCTTCGACTGCACGGAGAAAATGTCTAGCATTCCCGCGAGGCAAGAATGGAATCTTCGTGATCGATCTCTCCGACGAATCTCTAGGTGGACTCAGCGGCTGAGCTGCGGGACCGAGAGGTTTCCCATGCAAGCAACTCGCGGACCAGGTTGCAGGTGACACCGGACGCGTCGCGCGACACCGGGGACGCGACTGCAAAGACGGCAATATTCCTGAGAAAATTGCGGCGGACCCCGAGAGATTTCTAGAGGTGCGCCAGGTCCGCCCAGACTTCGACCCTACCCGAACGAGGCTCGCGGGGCGGGCGCTGATTGGCCCAGCTAGCGAAACTCGCGTCCAAGCGTCAGCACACACGCTCGACAACTTCAGATCATTTATCGCGGAGCTCGACACCACCTGCAGCGAACTTCGACAATCCCACCACCAACAGACACCATGGCCGAACAACTTGTGCTGCGGGGCACCCTTGAGGGCCACAACGGCTGGGTCACTTCGCTGGCCACCTCGCTCGAGAAGTGAGTCTGGAGCGGCTGCGACGGCGCGCGAAAATGCGCAGAGGAGGATGAAAGGCTAATTCGCTGCTGCACAGCCCGAACATGCTCCTGTCGGGTTCCCGCGACAAGACCCTCATCATCTGGAACCTCACCCGCGATGAGCAGGCCTACGGCTACCCCAAGCGCAGCCTGAAGGGTCACTCCCACATCGTCTCGGACTGCGTACGTCACAAAACACCACAGAGCAGCGACGAAAATTGGCGCTAACTCGAGCGGCTGCAGGTCATCTCCTCCGACGGCGCCTACGCTCTTTCCTCGTCCTGGGACAAGACCCTCCGCCTCTGGGAGCTCTCCACCGGTGTGACCACCCGCCGCTTCGTCGGCCACACCAACGACGTCCTCTCCGTCTCCTTCTCCGCCGACAACCGTCAGATCGTCTCCGGCTCGCGCGACAGGACCATCAAGCTCTGGAACACCCTCGGTGACTGCAAGTACACCATCACCGACAAGGGCCACACCGAGTGGGTCTCCTGCGTCAGGTTCTCCCCCAACCCCCAGAACCCCGTCATCGTCTCCGCTGGTTGGGACAAGTTCGTCAAGGTGGGTACAATTTTCCCGGCGCTCCCCACTCTCGGGCATTCAAATGATGCTACGCATTCTCAAAGTATTTGCTACTTCAGAGCCTCACGGCGATGAGACAAACATTCACCATTGCACTGATCCAAAACCCCTTTCTCCGCTTTTTCTAGCTCAGAAAAAACTAGCCCAATGCGCGCAGGAGCTAACGAAAGCACAACAGGTTTGGGAGCTCGCCTCTTGCCGCATCCAGACCGACCACATCGGCCACACCGGTTACATCAACACCGTCACCATCTCCCCCGATGGCTCTCTCTGCGCCTCCGGTGGTAAGGACGGTACCACCATGCTCTGGGACCTGAACGAGTCCAAGCACCTCTACTCCCTGACCGCCGGTGACGAGATCCACGCCCTTGTCTTCTCCCCCAACCGCTACTGGCTCTGCGCTGCCACTGCCAGCAGCATCATCATCTTCGACCTCGAGAAGAAGAGCAAGGTCGACGAGCTCAAGCCCGAGTACGTCGAGGTTGGCAAGAAGAGCAGGGAGCCCGAGTGTATCTCCCTTGCCTGGTCTGCGGACGGCCAGACCCTGTTCGCTGGTTACACCGACAACAAGGTGCGTAAAATAATCCTGCATGCCATGGAGTCTCATGCTAATTCGATGATAGATCCGTGCCTGGGGCGTTATGAGCAGGGCTTAAGTTTGGTGATTTCTGTTGGTGGGTGCGAAGGAACATGCTCTTTATGGCATGATGGATACGATAAGGGCGGCCGTGAGGTAACGGGCTTTTCTACCTCACAACACATTTCATGGGCATTGTACTTCCACGGCGCTCTGAGAGAAATCCAAAAAATTTCAATGCATGGGATTGTAATCATCAAGCATTCCACACATTTGACCTCACGATGAGATGGTGATGAGCCGACTAACATGATTGCCATATAAGGTAATGCCCGACTCTTCATTGGTGCGGAGGATAAGCATTGCAAGAACCAGGGCTGCCATTATGGTTGCGGCGTAATGATTTTCTCATCTCCATTGAAAGAGGTTCAACTTGCTTTGAGCTTCGCTGCAACATTCGGTGAGTCGATTCTCTACCATTCATATGTCTGCTACAATACAAGTCAAGTATCTCAAAAGGCTCACTGGGAATTGCTTGAAGGAAAATCACAGCTTCGCGAACTTCGGCTTCGTCTTCTTCAACCCCGACATCAACGCGTCCTTGATGTCGTTCGTCTGGAGCATGGCGCTATTCCAAACAGCCGTATACCTGAGACCTACACGCAACGAAGAAAATATCCTTGTCAGCTAAATATTCTCAACTGAAGTCTGTCAGAAACTTCTGCACAGCGAAAGTGCATCGAAGTTGGGATAGAAAAAGGAGAAAAGAAAGGGAAGGAGGAAGAAAACATAACACAACCCACCTTCTTCGGTCGTATGATCACGACTATAATTCAACAGCTCCTTCGTCCCCTGCACCGCGACGGGGCTCTTCGTCGCGATCAGCCTCGCCTTCTCCAAGCCGGCCGCCACGGCGGCGTCCTTGGACGGATAGACGGGGCCAGACACGAAGCCCTCGCGCAGGGCCTCCTCGGCACCGAAGACGCGGGCCGTCAGCGCGACGTCCTTGGCCCACGACGCGCTGCCTACGCTCTTGGGCAGCCGCGTCAGCGTGCCGATGTCCGCCGCCAGGCCGATGTCGACCTCCTTGACGGCGAACTGTGCGTCGGCGGCGCACAGCCGGATGTCGCACGCCAGCGACAGGTCGATGGCGAGGCCGTAGGAGATGCCGTGCAGCACGGCGATGACGGGCTTGGGGCACTTTTCGAGCGTGCTGATGCAGGCTTGGAACTCGCCGATGTGCTGGATGTTGTGGAAGGCGTGGCGGGCTGGGTCGAGTTCGCTAGAGGAGGAGTCGGCGAGGATGCCGGATTGGGAGGCGGCTTGGACGTCGAGGCCGGCTGTGAAGGCGCGGGGGCCGGCGCCGGTGAGGAGGATGGCGCGGACGGAGGGGGAGGTGGAGAGTTGGGTGATTAGTTTGGAGAGGTTGAGCCACATTCTGAGGGGGAGGTTAGGTGGTTGGCTCTTTTCATTTCATTGTATTTCTCTTTTTTGGTTTGGACGGAGGTAGAAGGGAGGTTTTTGATAGAGGGCAGTATGGAGTGGAGTTTATGAAATGAGAATACATCTTTCTTTTTGCCCGGATGGACACGGTATGAAGAAGACTGAAAGAAAAGGAACTGGGGTTCTCGAGATCATGGAGTTTGAGAGGAGAAGGAAACTTGAGAGAATACGTACGCCTCTATGAAAGCATTCAACTTCGCCGGCCGGTTGATCTCAACATGGGCCACGTATTCCTGAGGGAACGTGACGTTGAAATACTCATAATTGAAATCACTAGCAGACATTTTGTGTATAGATCTAGACAGACTGGACTTCAAAATTAGGCAAACGAGAAAAGGCGACAAGCTGCAGAAAGAGGAAGCTGTTGCAGAGCTGAGGGGAGACGAACAGCCGGCCCGGCTCTCACATGCCTCGGTAAGTGTGGCTCACACCGCCCGCAACGGTGCCTAGGCATGTTTGTTGATTTGTCAAACAGACGCGGACGCGGCAGGCGGGCCCGCCAAGCTCCTGTCGCGTTGTGCATTGTCGAGCTTACCCGCAACCCTGGCGTCGCATACTGGCGACCAAAGCCTGTCGCTCTTCAAATCGCTCAGCCAATTGCGACACTCATTTTTAACTGCAGCTGAAGCTTCAGCCGTGCCATTGTTCGCTAGCACCGTCCCCCCCGACCGTCTCTTTCGTTTCCTCGCAGCCTATCCGCGACACAAGCTCAATACATGACGTGAATCCGAGGTCTCCTACCGCACCTTTACCTCCGTCGAAGCTTCCCCACAGCTGCGCGCGCGCGAGCGCTACGACCCAATCACCATGTCGACGCCGACGAACCACCCAGCACGCCACCCGCCGCAAGCTCCCAATGCCGCCGCTACGCCCTCGCAACAGCAGCACCTCGGCGCCTTCTCCTCGCCAGCCCCCCGCAGCGTACCCTCACCCGCCGCCCAGCGCAGCACCCAGCAAGCCGGCAAGTCGCCCTTCAACACCACCTCCGGCGCGTCGGGCTCCGCAATGGCCGCATCAGCCAGCCAGAACCACCCGAGCTCGAAGACACTGATCGGCAGCTCGCCGGCCGCAGCAACAGGAGGAGGAGGCGGGGGCGGAGCCGGCAGCAGCGGCGCCGGCGCGATAAGCTTCGACTCGCCGGGGGCGCTGAACATTGGGCTGAACGCGTTGGCCGGGCTGGAGGGCGGGGTGGGCATGGGCATCAGCATGAGCGGGATGAGCGGGCTGGGCCTGGGCATGGGGCTGACGAGCTCGATGGGCGGCCGGCCCGACGACACGGAGCAGCGCAAGCGCCTGGAGGCCATCATCGCGACGCTGCGCGCGCGGCCCGGCCGCGTCTCCCGCGAGGGCATGGAGCGCCTGGCGCGCCAGCTCGGCTTGTCCAGCGAGGTCATGTCCGACACCTACTCGGTTGCTGGTGGCGCGGGTGAGCAGCAGCTGCTGCTCGCCCACACGAGCTTCATGCTCGATATCACCTTCCGCGACGCTGCTGTTGCGGGTGTGACGCTGCAGTTTGGAGAGCTGTCGCAGGGCGTGCAGAAACATGCTGCGTCGGCGGCGAAGGTGTTCAAGGCTGACTTGGAGCCGGGGCCCGGGGAGGCGAGCATCAACCTTTCGCTGGATCGGTTTGCGAAGAACTTGGAGAAGCTGGCGAGGCTGGATCATCTGAGCATATTTAAGGATGCGAAGCCCGAGGTCAGCTGCTTTGAGGCTATTGCCGGGGTTTATAACAGCTTGCAGAAGCTGTTTGAACATGAGAAGAAGGCTGCCATGCATCTTTTTGATGTATCAAAACCGCACGCGCATGAGAAGGCAACGAGAGAGGTTCTTTGCAAGAAGAGCGGAAGGCCGAGGATGAACGCCAACTCGGCAGTGGGATTGTCTCTGGAGTACTGGATGGAGAAGAGATTGGTCTTTCAGAAACCAGACAAAAAAGAGAGCGGAGCTGAAGACACAAGCATGGATGTTGACGACGAAGGCGATCAGTACGATGAGAGCGCGAATAGGATATTTTCGCTGACTATCGAATGCGAATCCTCCCCCGCACAGCTCTATCCATCAATGCGAGTCAGCGATGCCTGGGTATCGGATGCGGTAGAAAAACCTTCTGATCCAAATGATCTTTTCGGCTCGCCGGTCATTGACTGGTTGGATCCTCCTCCAACATATGCAGGCGGGTCAGAAGCAGCCCAGAACGATCCCATGGCACTGGATGGTAATAGCATTGGCAAGCTTCCAAATGTGCGCTTCGTGGCAAAGTTGAATCCGCCATTGGTGGTCCCTCTCAGCACGGCGCAGAACATCCTCACCTCCGTCAATGTCCAAATGAATCAGGAATCGCTGAAATGGTCGACTTCCCTAGAAGCATTGGTATTGAAGCCAGATGATGAGTCTACATCAGGTCTCACTACGGATATTACAAAGGAGTATCACAATATTCGGAATGTGTTTGTGGTGGACAAGAACGGCAAAGAGCAGGACAGGCGGCACGAGGCAACGCTCTACGTGAACAAGGCCGAGGTTGCATGTGTGTTGGACGAGATACCCTTTGATCACCCCCGGCAACTCGTGCAGATACTCCCCGTAAGTGACGTCCCTATCTACCCCCCACGCAGCTTGAAAGATGTTGACACACCGTTCAGGTCCTCCGCCAATACGCCCACCTAACCTCTCTCCTCCAATCCGCGCTCCAACCATCCCAATCGCCCGCCGACCAGCTTACCCAACACGGCGGAAACATCCCCACCCCTCCACCCGAGAAAGCCGACGGTCACCAATCCACCCTTCCCATCAGCATCGCCCTCGCCGGCATCGACCCATCCGGCGCCTCGTCCCCAATCCTAACCGTTACCTACCCCCGCCCATCATCCTCCTCCGCCTCCGGCCAACCCACCATCAACACTCCCATCGAATCCCTTGACGACCTCCTCGGCGGCCTCTCCTTCTCGCTGCCCGCGGATGCCGCCGCTGCTGCTGGCACCGACGTCGACATGGCCATGAGCGGCACCGAGTCGGACCTCTTCGGCGATGGCGGCTCGGCGTCGGACAAGAAGACGTCTCCGGCGTTGTTCGACCCGTCCGCGCCGCCGCCGACGATCACGCTCGCGGCCAGCATCTTGCCGAACGCGGACGTGACGATTGCGGCGCAGGACTTGTTGCCGGAGCTGCAGCATCAGGACGGTGGCGGTGACGCCGGGAAGACGGCGAAAGAAGAGGAGGTGGCTGGTGCGGAAGGTGAGGCGGGGGCGGCAGAGAAAAAGGCGAAGACGGAGGAGGAGAGGCGGAAGGAGCAGGAGGAAGAGGCGAGGCGGGTGCGGGTGTTGGGGCGGATGGGGAGGGCGCTGGAGTTGTGTGGGGATGTGGGGGTTTGGGTGGAGTGGGTGGGGGATCGGATTGGTGGTGGAGAGGAGGGAAGGTGAGAGAGGAAAGGCTTGATTGGCTGGGTGTTGGTGCGGGTGTAGGATTGCTTGTGGGGATATGAGAGTAATCGGGGAGAAAAAAAAAAGGAAAGGAAATGAAACTGTACGATGGTCGTACGCGGAGGAGACGGGATTTTCTCCCAAATCAAGACATTACGTTGACACGGAGCTGTGAATATGCTTGCGTGATACGGATGTCTTGGAGCTTTCTTTCTACCGGGTCCCCCACGCTCCACAATATTTCTTGCAATACGTCTCGCCCTTTTCCTTCATGCGTATTTTCCAGTCACTTCAACACCAGGCATAGTGCTCATTGTTCATCCACAGCGGCGCCGGTCCCGCTCCGCCGTTTTCATCGTACCACAGACCGCTGGCAATGGCGTCTTCCTCCCGCTCGACCACGGCATGCTCCAGTCCGCTCTGCGTTATCACACGCCGCACCCACGGCGACGGATTCCACATCACCACGCGATCGAGCCGCCACTCCGCAGCCTCGGCCTGCGCGGCCTGGAGAACAGCTTTCAAGGAGCGAGCTTGCTCCTCCTCTTCTTCCTCTTCCCCCTTCCCCTTCTCCTTCTGGTCGTCCCAAACTATTCCGTCCGCGCTTTCATCCCCTTCGACGACAAGCCGGAGGATGTAAAGAACGTTCTCGTCATTGCTTTCGGGCGACGTCGCCACCGCGTCCGGATGCGAATAGTAGCGGTGCGTCCAGATCGCCCACACCCGCCTCCCCTGCGCGCCAGCTATCGCGCCTTTCGCTCGCGGAACCTTCCCGAACAGCCTTTCCGTGGCGAAGGCCTCCTTGGCGAGGTGCCAGAGCATGTGGTCGCAGTCGGGCACGATCGACGCGCGCTGCTGCATCTTCTTCTTCTCCTTCTCCACGCCGTCCGGCGCCGGCGCCAGCGGCCTCGCCATGGCTTTCCGGACCATGGCCTCGTCCTCCTCGCAGAAGGCTGCGAGGTCCCCTTCCGCGATCGCCTTGGCTTGCGGCGGCGACGACGACGGTTGAGGGATCCCCTTCTGCTGCTGCTGCGGCGCGAAGGCGACGTGCGTGTTGCGCGGGTGCGGCGCCCAGCCCAGGTTCGCGTAGAACGTCTTGCCGATGTCTGAGTACAGGATGCTGCCGACGACGGCGACGCGCTTGCCGTCCTCCTCCGCCGTCGTCTGCCAGTCACGCAGCACCCGCGCCAGCTCTTTCATCAGGCGCGCCGCGTAGCCGCGGCGGCGGTACGGCGGCGCGCAGAAGACGCTGGCGACGCCGTGGACGAGGGCGTCGGAGACGGTGCTGCCGCCGGCGCCCGCGTCGCTGGTCAAGCAGCGCTTGCGGTAGCTCTCGCATGAGGAGAGGATTGGTCGCGCGTTGGGCGGCAGGCGCGAGTCGACGAGGATCCAGGTGGTTAGGCCGTTGTCTTTTGCGAGGGGCACGGTGGACAGGTAGAGGGATTCGGCGAGGTAGTCTGGGAGGGGGAGCGTGTCGTGCCAGGAGGAGAAAGTGTTGGTGGAGATGTGGACGAGTTCTTCTGGGGTGGGGTGGGCGAGGTGCAGGTGGGGGGAGGTGGAGGGGGGGAGGGGGTTGTGGTTGGTTGGGTGGTCCATTGTGTGCTTAGTATCGGAGGTATTCAAGAACGTGAGGGGTTGAAAAGTTAAATCTGCGAGTGAGGAGCGGAATAGTTGAGGATTTGAAGTTCTGTAGTTTGGTGCCCCGCATTTTTTCAAGCTACTTTCGCATCCATCGGAAAGTGGGGTTGAATTTGTCTCTCCATTCGATATCGAGATAATACTCGGGCTGCTGAAGTACTAAGTGATCCATTCCCTCTCTCATTTCGTCCGTTCATCTTCGTTACAAGGAGTAAGATCAATACAGAGTCCGCAAGTACTAAGAGATTTTCTAAGGGTGAGTTTAGAGAATATCTTTAATAATTGCTCGAGATCGCTTGCTTTATTATTAATAACGTTGTCACAAGATCTGGTGTTAGTAACTCCAATGTTAGTAATTGCGTTGTTGCAGACTAGACCGTGGGCAATTCTGATACCAGAATGGCAGGGTCTATGAAATTGCTGCTTTATGCATATCGACATGGATTAAATTAACATGAAAGTCTTTGAATACTTATATACATTGGAGAATTGGAAATGAAACGGAATAGCCTTACTGGTGTCAGCCATCGCCTCAAGGTGGCCCTCCTAGAAATCAAAAACTCAGGTACGAAAACTGATTTGAGGGTCGAATCACTGACGGAGTCATCAACAAATACTCAAGACTTCATTTGGAGCCTCATCGTCCTCAAACTCCTTGCTCGACCCAATATCTGCCACGGCAATGAACCGGTACATCCCTTCTTCGCCCTCGATATTCCTGACGATGATCGGTTTCCTGAATGCCTTCGTGATGTACAGTCTATCGCCAATCTTGGTTCGAAGCGGCCCCAAACCAATCTTCCCACATTTTGTTTTGAAAACCCTCCAAAGTCTGAAAGTATGCAAAAGCAGAGAAACTGTGGAATACAGTGCATCACCTTCAAATAGATCTAGATGACTGAAGTCATCTCTCTCCTTTTCGCTCTGATTAAGGTTTTCGATGAATTGGTGTTTCTCCTCTTCGCCCAAACCATTTAGTTTCTTCTTCACCCAAGTTACGAAACACTTGTTGCTTTTAATCCAGGAAGAGAGATTTGTGAGATACGAGTCAAACTCTGATGAATTGTCTGTGCATTTTTGACAGTCTTTATGCTCTTCTCCCAGTGGATGACCATGAAGAGCTGACGATAAGCCGACTGAGATCCTATGGGCGCGCCATGACCTGTAACCCGTGAATAATGTCGCCAGCCAGGCGAACGATTCATCATTCAGCATCTTGATCTCAATGAATGACCGGAGCTTTTCCAGGTGCGCGCTTGCTGGTAAACCCCTGATAAGGTCCATCAAATGACTTCCCATATTGCCTTGGAGTTGAGTAAAATTTGGACCACGACGAGAACTTATCAACGACCGTCTGGGCTCTAAAGGTACTGCGAGAAATCTACAGATGTCGTCGAATAGAGGTCCAGCAATTTCCACGTACCGATCTAGAGACGAACGTTCCATGCCCAGCGGCCACCAATCCAGTCGTCGATCCAGTTGTTGACCCTGCCGTCGAGCTAGCCTTCGAGCTAGCCGTCGATTCATCCGTTGATCCAGTATTTCAACCAGCTTGAGTGTTTCGCTTCTGATGGTAGTGCTCCCCAAACTCTGGACGTTGAATACCTCATCGATCAAACATCCATTCACTTGAAGAATATCCCCTACAATACTGCAAGCTCCCTGGTCTATTCTGGTTGGGTACCAATCATGGATAGATCCGACGCATTCAGCGACATCTTGAAAATCGGACATCCAATTGGGAATCCAAGAAGGGAAACGCAAGCGCTCCATAGGCTCTGGATCATGTCCCGCAAGATTCAAGAGCTCCATCATGTACCCATTCTTTGCAAACACTTTTGCATACCTTCTCACGGTTTCTTCAACAGGTTCGTCGTAATCTGGATCCAGCTCCGAATTTGGCATATCACCTGCGAGGGACAGCAGCGCGAACAAGTGGTCGCTTGCTCTCGTGCACGCATGTCCGCGAAAGTGCTGGAGGATCCTGATCAGCGGCCAACGCTGCTCTTTCTCAAAATAGCTGGACCGTAATTGAAACAGCGTCTCAACGATATTGGTGGCTGTTGAGTTCATTTCTCGTGACAGGAAATTGGCTGACCTCAGGAGGATGCTGTGACCAGCGTACCAGGAGCCGCATATAAAAACCACTCTTTTCGCAAGAACAAATTCCTGTATAATCCAGACCCGCGAAAAATAGCTCCGTTCAAAAATGGCACGCGTTGCAGATTTTCCCATTGAAAGGCTAGTGTAGAACTTGGTTTGCGGTCCTGTAGCGTGGAAGAGCGCACCATCATCCTCAGAGGGGCCCCCTTGAAAGGAGCGCAAGAAAGCGAAGGCTTTATCGGAATCATTCGAATCTTCTCCCAGGTATGCCCAGACCAGATTTGCGGTGGAAAAGATTCTGCCCATCAAGCGGACTTGATGTGCTTTCTCGGTGTTATTTTCCTGATTGATACAAACTGCGTCGGCCCAGACCGTGGCAGCTGTGGGGCGTTGGGAGTGTCCCTTTCTATGTCTGGGCTCATGCTTGTTCTCTTCATGTGGCGGCACGAATTGCCGGATACGTTTCAGGGCGGCATGCAAAGATGCGGTGATTCGAATGCATCCTTCAGGGGTGTGGAGAACTTCGGTTTTCTCGGGATCACCCCAGACGTACGAGAGGGCTTCGTACCGGGGGCTGCAGTCTAGAGAGACCACCGAGAAGTTTCCCGTTAGGGGCTCGGAATTGTCGGCAGGGTTTATAACCAGAAGCCGGATTGCATCTTGCATTTGTGGTGGTAGCGGTTCGTATGGGTATTCGTTCGGAGGGAGGGCCATGGTGGTATCGACGGAAAGTGGTACATAACCAGTCGAAAGGTGCAACAGTGAGGTTTGCAGGGTCTGAGGAGAGGCTCTTTTGTGGTTATCATAAGGACTTGAGATGTGAGGTTGCAGATCCTCAGCTCCGGATTTGCTTTTTCCAGCCCTCTTGTGACACCAGACAGCTCTCGTATTAGCGTGGAACCGGCGACCAATAGGATTATAAATAGAACGAACCAGAGCAGGGCATTGGCAGCCATCCTAAAACAGACGTTGCTGTCCAAGGTGTTACAATTGTTATGGTAGAACAGAAAAAAAAATAAAAATCTCGTATAGCTAAGTTGCTCCTTATCCAAAATCTCAAATCCACCTTTTGCACAAAACGCCTTCCCAACCTCCAACTCTCAATCCCACCCCGCCCTCCCCCAATCAACCCCAAACCTCCTCAATTCACCTCTGATGCCGCCATCCCCCCACCACCCCATACTAAACCCTTCCCGTTCTCCCCCTTCTCCCCGTCCAACCCCCTCAAAAACCTTTCCCCCAAGCACCTCCCCATCCCCCCACCACGCCACCCCCGGCGCGCCTGTCCCTTTGGTCTTCTCCCTCGCCACCTCCGCCGCGCCCCTCACCACGCCCGCATCAGCCACCAGACTCGCCGCCGCCGCGACGCTGCACGGATTCTTCGGCAACACTTCGCGGACGTCGTCCATCAGCGCGCAGCCGGCGACGAGGCAGACTGCTATGGCGGCCAGCAGGGATTCGAGGAGGCGGGTGGAGAGGGAGCTTTGTTTGAGGCGGAGGCGGTGGGGGTTGGTGAGGGTGGCGTTTAGTACAGTCCCAGCGCTGGTGGAGGGGGAGGAGGGGGAGGAGGAGGAGGAGGAGGAGGCGGAGGAAGAGGAAGAGGAAGCAGCAGCCACAGGCACACGGAACTCGCGGTTCACGACCTGCGCGAAGGCGAGGCGGAAGACGTGCTGGAGGCTGCTGGCGACGCGGGGGAAGGCGTCGGGGCCGAAGAGGTCGGACGCGGCGGTGATGTTGGGCGCGGAGTCGAGGATGGCTTGGAAGGTGGTGTCGAAGTCGCCCAGGGGGCTCCCCGTAGCGTTCGTCGCCGCCGTCTCGCCATCATCGTCGGTGGTGCTCGCGGCGTCCGTGTACCCCGCGCCAGGCAGGATGTCAGCGAGGTCGAAGTTGTTCCAGTCCCAGCCTGTCGCCGCCGCATCGTACGGTTCCGCTGTACCTTCTAGGGCCACGGCGTCGACGACGTCGTACCCCGGCAGCCGCAGCGTCAGGTTCACCTGCACCTGTTCGATCGACGGTACGCAGGCGAAGCCCTGGGCCGTGGCGTTGTCGGCCGTGGATGGACCGTAGACGCCGCGGATGTAGCCGCAGTCGCCGATGACCGACTGCGTCCAGCCGAAGGGGCGCGGGGGGAGATTGGTGCCTTCGAGGGTGGAGTAGAGCGGGGTGCAATCGCTGTTGTTGGCGAGCAGGGTCGGCGTCGCGGCTTGCGTGAAGGCTGAAAAGTCATCGGTGAAGACGTAGATGTCGCCGGGCGGGAGGTAGGTGCAGTTGAGGGAGGCGCGGGGCGCGGGGACGGTGAGGTTGATGGTGGAGCTGTTGAAAGAGGGGGCGGAGGCGTTGATGGGCTTGCCGGTTTGTTGGATGGTGTCGAGGCGCAGCTGCGGGAGGGCGAGCTCGCCGTACGTCCAGGCGGGGTAGGAGAGGTTGCTTTGGAGGAGGAGGCCGATGACGAAGGCGCTTTGCATGCTGATGGTGGCGTCGGTCAGGTTGAAGGCGTCGGTGAGCTTGGCTGTGACGGCTTGCGTGTATTCTGATGTTTCGGGCGAGAAAAGACCGGAGGCTACGATGGTTAGGAGAGGAGTGAGGAGCATGGCTAGACTCATTGCCAACAGTGCAAACTGTTTGGTGGGAATTGCGGTGAAAACCGTCTGGATGGTGACATGGGACAAAGGGTCACTGAAGAGCGCCTTTGCTGGAACAGGGCCCTTTCGGCGAAGTTCATGAAAAGGGGCGAAGATCTTTGATACGTCTCCAATCATGCCGACAAGAAGCTGGGCAATGAACATGCTCAGGGCTGGTATGTACGACCAGGTGTAGCGAACATAGCTCTCAGTCTCCACGTCGGCGAGGCCATCGTGCTTGACCGAAGCTTGATAGGTGGATTCCAAAGCCGCAATAAGCAGTAGTAGGTACAACGTAACCCCAGTCTTGGTGACCCGCGACATGGCCAGCGGTCTCCACCAACGAATCTTGTCTTCGCCTGATTCCGCGTCAGAGGCTCTCACTGGTGCAACGGGATTACCAGGAGCCATAACGACACGGAATTCAGGCCTGCCACCGGACAGCTGCATGAAGCTCAAGGTACTGTAAGTGGAAAGGCGGCTGCGCAGAGTCGAGATACCAGCGCTTCCGCATCGAGACAAGGACTGGTAGAGAGATGGACTTTCTGCCATTATCGCGGCAAGGCCGCCAATGGATCCCGGATCTCTGCTGGTGTTGTTGCGCGGTGCCAGGAAATAGAGTGCAGCGGCAATGACGATGAGAACGCCAAGGATGACCTCCATCATGTAAAACGACAAACCCCGAATCCGCAGGCGCTGCTGATCTGCCGTTACGTCTCCGGATACCTCCCTGTCCGAGGGAACCATCAGGTAGTCCTTTGCCATCTGGGCGGAAACGACGTTGTAGAATCTTTCGCTTTCTTTTTGCAACAGATCAATGTCGAGCAAGTCTGTGATGTTGCTCGGGTTCAAAAAGGCTACAAGGCAATACATGAAGCTGTCCAGTGCTGAGCGAGTAGACCCGTCGGAGCCGATGTCTTGGATTTCGTTTGCGGGCCCGCTTGCCGCATTACTTGCATTGTTTACCGAATCCAGGATGTTCGTTACAAGATCCCACTGTTGTATTGGTTGTTGGTCCTCTCCTCTGGAAGTCGACGAATTTTGAGGGCCCACAGAGACCAGTTTTCCCGAACCATCCATGACGATGTCTCGAGAGTCGATGGCGTAGCTCGGCTTACACAGGAGAATTGGTGCAGGTTCCATAGAGAGTTCCGGACTGGAATTTTCCGGATACTCGCCGGTATAATTTCTCCCAATCCCGTATCGGATCATAGCTATCACAAGACGGTTATCCGAAGGGGCATTGGTGCAGTTGGCAGTGACGCCAACTCCGTATACGCCTGCTTGCGAAGTTCCGGATATCAATCCTGCCTCAAGGTCTTTAATTTGGCACGAGGAAGTGTTGAAGCTGACTTTAGGCATGGCGCTTTTACAGTCTCCGTAGAAGCTCGAACCAACAAAGCAGTCGTCATTCCACTGTGGGTCCTGAATTACTTCGCAACCAAGTCCGGCGTGAAAGACATCGACAGTCGAGGAAATGCTAAGATTTTGTGCGTCTGCAACACGTTCAAGTAAGCACGGCTCTGGAGTGTTGCCCCTCTCTGTTCCTCTTACCTGAAATATTATGCTTGAGGCTCAAAGCCGGAAAGGCAAGGTTTTCAGAAGTTCCAGCCGGGTATGAAAGGTTGCCTATTTCGAAACATTTGTTAGTTCAGGTCGCCAGTATGGACATGAGGATATTTTACCATTGCTCAATGCAATCGCCGACAACACAGGCGCAGCTCCAACGGCAAAATTGTTTGCCGGTTCGGAGGCAAACTCATTTCCGTAGAGCAGAGCAACGCCTGTATGATTCATCATCTCGCTCTGAAGCTGGAAAAGACCAGTAGACACGACCGTCAACAGCTGCAGAAGCAAGGTCCCAACAATAGCGATCGACACCGGCCAATGCGTCTTCTTCAAAGACACCCACAGCGAAGTCAGCCGTGCCGGCTCAACATAGTCGAGCAGCAGGGTATCCGCCGCCGGCGACGGACCCTTTCTCAGGATTTCCCACGGCATCATTTGCTTAGTCCGATGCTCAACCTGGCCCCAGAGCGCGGCCACGATCGTCAGGACTGTTCCGAATCAGCAAAGCCAGTCACAAAAGCGGATGGATACTCGGGAAAGCACACGCACCGGCAGTAGGACCGTAGGTCCAGAGATAATGCCTGCTCGATTTCGAGGTGGCCAGACCCTGGTTCCTCTGGTCCAACGCTCCCAGGACGACGAGTGCCACCAACAGCACGACATAGACGAGGGTGAAGCCCAGAAGCGTCATCCGTCGCAGGTAGAACGGCGTCCACGGCCGAGTCGGCGCTTCCACCAGCACTCCTACTCCTCTTTTCTCCGCGACGTCAACAACAACCTCGTCGTCGACTTGCGGCACCATCCCGCCTCGGTCCTCGACCAGCGTCTCGGCTGACTGCTGTCCCTCCGCTGCTGCTGTCTCCAGCGACCTCCGACCATCATGGATTCCGTCCGCTGTAGGGTAGACGCCGACGTCGCTGGAAGCTCTGGACACGGAAACGTAGTCATCATCGTGATACTCAGAGGATGATGCGTGCTCCTCCGGATCATCGCCGTCTTGTAGTGAATGACGTCGACTTGATGATCTGATGCTGGAAGCGGGGCTGATGATGCCGAAGGCCGGGCCGTAGTGCGTGTCCGGGAGCATGCTGATTCCACCCGCCATGTACTCGAACTCGCCACTCGACGCTGACAAAGACGAGCGTCTCGAAGAGGCTTCAGCGTCGGCGTTCTCATTGTGGCTGCCTGTGGTAGCAGCACCACCGGTGGCGTGTTGGGCATTCCCCTGCGGCGGGAGGAGCTCGTACTCGCTCGTGGGCCGGGCGGCAGCATCCATCGCGGGCTCTAAAACGTCAGCAGCGGACAAAACGAAAAGCGATGGACTGCCATATCCGTGAGCGGGCGCTAAGAGGAGAGCGGCGTAGGGGATTATTTCATCGGCGCGCGGTGTTGCATGTCCATTTCAATCGGCCCCCACGTTGCTTGCATTGTTGATCGGCTGCCTTGCACGGCCCCCAATTTCTAAAAAAAAAATATCGAAGCCTTCTGCCTTGACGACTTGCTACAAATGGCTGGTCGTGTGCTGCCAGGTCGCGATAGGACCTTTTGCCGGCAGGGCTGAAACGGATGCCGGGGTGGGGTTGCGCCCGGGTGTGGTCGTTACAGTGGGCGCAGCCCTACGTAGCGGCCAATCGGTAGGGCTACTGGGATCACGACATATGCATGAGAGGCAGCATTTGTGGGATGGGGCGCAGCAGGGTTGGCAGGGATGAAGGTGGGGGCTCAAGTTTGCTCGATTCGTGGGACCCGCGGATGACCGCATTGCCGGAACCCCCCCAGCAGCACCGGAGAGCAGATATAGCTACAGCATGGCCCTGTCCGGACCCGCTTCGTATCTGATTTTAGTTGCGATGCCTGGTGCATGTGCTGCTCAATTTGCCCTTGCGGACGTAACGCCTTCTGACTGATCAGAAGCGTTGATATCGGCAATGGCCTCAATAAGAAGGACGTCCAGAAAGTATTTGCATATCCAAAAAAAGAAAGACATATGAGGAACCAAGTAACGGCAACAGAACTCAGTCAGGCTTCCTAAGCAGCCTTGGCAGCAAGAATAGCGACAAAAGACGTCAGACGACTCTGCTCCACCTCCCCAAACCGTTCAAGGCGCAACTGTCAAATTGTTCCCGTCAACGAACTTATTCAGCACCTCTGAACCCGAATTCCATACACGCAAGTGTTATTCCATGGATGATGTCATGAAAGGTATCGCCTCCCCACTGCTTATGCTTGCTGCTGATCATCTTGGCAAAAACGAGAAAATGCGCCAAAGTGTACACTGCGTGTCTGGTTCGCTGTGATGACAATCTCCTGCTGTCTGCAGTATAGCCGCTTATTTTTCCTTTTTTAAATAAAGAATTAACCATCTCAAAACAAAAATATTGCACACATTACATGGGTAGCCGAGGCTAACGTCCGGACGCATTTGTACCATTTTTAAATCTACATCTACGTCCAGAGGTTAGTTTCAGGTACCACAGTATGAGTATATTTCACTGAAAAATTTCAAATTCGAAACACATAGCTCCCCAGACTCGAAAAGTTCAAATTCAGGATCTTTGATCACATTTGATTTCACAATATGGGTAATATGGCTTTTGCTCCCTTAAGGTAATCATCATTGTCTCGTATATCCTAATTGAAAGTTAGGCAGAGTCACTGGCACGTTGCTTTGCCTGCGACTGCTCAAGCTGCCTGAGCCTCTTGCGTGCCTTTGTGAGCTCCAGACGCAATGTCCAGAAGTCCATCTCGTCAATGTCATCGTCTACATCGAAGTCCTCCTCCTCTTCAGCTGAAGTATCCTGCTCCTTGCCTGAAGTATCTTGCTGGCTGACTGGGTGTTGACATGGCACAAGCTCGACAGCATCGCCACCCGACTGAGCGTTAGAAACCGGACCCCAAACCTTCTGAGCCTTCTGTATGGCGACTGTGACTTCGTTCTTGCAGACATACTTCGGTGTTTTGCTGACTCTATCCCAAACGGCCTCCCCCAAGAACCTCATGGCTTGCTGTCTCTTGTACGAGCTCGTGGTCAGCCTGGCCAACTCGGCCAGTTCCTCAAGAACGCCTCCTGGCCATCTGCTCAGATTTTGAAACTTTTCATCTGTGTAGGGGGTATCAGCCGGCACCCAGGTGTTGACATCAGGTCCCCAGCGCTTTTTCAAGTACTCGATTGCCCGGTTCCGTCTGGCCGTCTTGTCATCTTGTTGATTGACCTGGTAGGCCGCCCGCTGCTCAGTCTTCCTAAGCCGTGCTGACCAGGGGTTCTCATCCATTGTGTGCGCGGCTCCCAGAAGCATGCCTGCAGCATCAACCACCTTGCCAGCAGCCTTCTCCATCTCCATCGCCGTGTCCTCCTCAACCTCACTTGCGGCCGTATCCTCCAATTCCATCTCACTTCCGGAGGCGCATTCTCCCTCGCCCTCGCTGCCTGAAGCGTCCTCCTCTCCCTCACCCTGGCTTGTAGTTTCGTCTGAGACTTGTTCGGGTGCGTTCAGCGCGGCGATCCAGGTGGTGTCCAGTTCTTCGTCCAGGACAGCTTCCTCGGCTTCAGTTCGAGCGGTATTGGGATCCTTGAAAAGTGTCGCTCGGTACTTCGCGTGGCGGCTCTGAGCTTCGTTGGAGCTGCGCATGTGGATCGTGTACGGGCTGTACTGGGTAAAGCGTTTGGCCAGCGGCCGCTCCTCGTCCATGGCGAGCGACGATGCTGGCGGCGGCTTTTGGCGCGCTGGTAGGCCTGCGTGGCGTCGATGGTGGGTAGAACGACGGCGGACCATGGAAGGACTGGAGGGTGGAGGAGGAGGAGGAGGAGGAGGAGGAAGAAGAAGAGGAGAGGCGATGCGCCAGAAAAGCAGTGGATATTTATGCGTGCGGCGCAATGAGCCCGCCAGGCGGTCCACACGTGCGACACATACTCGTGTCTGTCGCATACAGCAGGCGCGCCCCGTGGGGTACTGGTCGAGTGACACCGCGCGATGCTGCGGAGGAAGGCGCGCCGACCAGTGATGTCACATACTGGATACCCAAAACTTTTTCTTTTGATAAGCGATTCAGCTCTCATTCGGAGATCCAAATCCTGGGACATATCAACTCGAACACAGTAGAAGAAGAACGGAGTGTTCTCCTGAATGCCATTCCTTACTATCCGCACGTTAGCTCTAGATCGTGGAGCGGGTACTAGCACACCGTGTATGTCCTCTGCTTTCCCGCCAGCGCCTTCGAGCAGTTGTTGTTGCAGCTTGGGGCCATGGTTTGAAGTCCTCGAAGCCGAACCGTACCGCAACCCCACCCAAAAACCATGACAAGCAGGGCCTGCCCTGCCCTGCTACACATAGATGTTCCCGCGCTGGGGACGAACGCTCTATCTTGACGGAGAGGCGGCTCGTGTGGCTGGGCTGCGGTCGAGACCAGTCCAAATGCGCAGGATTCATACTGTTGCGCCACTGCAGATCTCGCGCTGGCATGGCTTGAAGGCCGCGCAACTCACCTCACCTCATCAAGCCCCAGCAACCGAAGGTTATCTCCACATTTGACTATACAACAGGCCCGGTCGGATGATGTTTCCCTGGCGCCAATCTGCATCCTTATTGCCATCCATCGGTGATGCACAAATTCGGAGCGGAACAGGTCTCGAGGTATTTTTCGAAATTTAGAAGGCGTTCTTGATATTCGTGCAGAGCTCCCTGCCCCCATATACCAGCCGGAACTCCTCGAAGTGTTCATATCGTTTCTCTTTCCCACCTACACCGGCACTTTTGCGCTCCAATCCCTGCATAACTGAAGCCTTCAAGACCGCATTGCACGAACTCCTCTACGCCTTCCCCAACAGCCACCCGAAACCCTCCACAACCTTTCCAACCGCCTTCCTCGACGCTTCCAAGTGCGGGAAGAAGCCCCAGAACGAGTGCGGCAAGCCGGGATACACGACGAGCTTCGTCTTGACGCCGGCCTCAGTCCGCAGCAGCCGCTCGAACAGCAGCGCGTCATCGCGCAGGGGGTCCAATCCTACAAGATAAAGGAGAGCAAAATCGTCAGCCATGCCAAAACCCCCTTCCCCCCCAACGGCCGGTCACCCAAAAAATTAAAAGGCACAGAGACTTACCACAAGCCTGGATGAAGAACGGCGGAAGCCCCTTGTGCCCCGTGGGCCAATTGAACGGGCTGAACAGCGGCGACGACTTATCCGGGTTATAGTTCGCTGTTTTGCACACCCACACGTCAGCCCCATGCATCATCCCCCAATCCCCCCACAAACCCGACACCTAACTCAACCCCCACAGAGACCACTCACCAACAAAAAACCCCAACGCCCCCGCATCCAGTCCGGGCGCGTTCTTATTCTGCTCGCAACTCTTATACTCCTCCTTGAACCGCTCGGGCACGACCTCGGCGGCCAGCACAGCCGGGATGGATGCCGAGACGCCCGTCAGCGGCGGCGAGAGGCCGCCCTCGTCGCGGGCCAGCAGCGCCAGCACGACGGCGATGTTGCCGCCCGCCGACTCGCCGTGCACGATGAAGCCAGCGGTGGCTGGGTCGGCGTTGATGGCCGGGCTGGTGGCGTTGGTCGCGATCTGTGTTTTGTTTCGTGCTGGTTAGTCTTTCGGCAGGTGATGGGGGAGGGGGGGAGCGGGATTGGGGGGAGATGGAGAGGAAAGGGAAGCGGGTTAAACGCACCCATTTCAGAGCGTCCCAGGAGTCGTTGATAGCGGTCGGGAAGGGATGCTCGGGCGCGAGACGGTAGTCGACGCTGATAGCGACGGCGCCGTATTTCTGCACGGCGTTGACGCTGCAATCCCCCAAAAGCCATCAGCACACACTCCTCTTCTCCAAACCGGAGCCACACCAAAAAAAAACAAAAAAAAAAAAAAACAAAGAGAGCGCAGCACAACCTACCAATTAACCTCCTCCATCTCCGGCACGCCCAAACACCACCCACCGCCATGAAACGCCACGACCAACGGGCTTCCCGCCTCCGGCTTCTGCACAGGGCGGTACAGCGCGGCCGCGATGCTCGCGCCGTCGCGCACAGGGATGGTGATGCGGCTCTTCTCGACGCCGTCCATGGTCGCCGGCGCCGTCACGCCCGGCACGACCGGCTTGTCGGCGGAGGCGATGGTGGCGCGCAGGGCGGCCATGGGCGGCGGGGCGGACCCCGCGTCCGAGAGGCTGGGGAGCTTGCCGCCGACTGAGTCTAGGAACTACGCATTTTTTTTTTATTAGGAAAGGCGGGTTTGTTGGGTAGGAAGGGGGCGCGTGCTCGATGCTGGATGGTAGGGGGAGAGGCGAGGACGCCGGGCGGGGGAGGGGAAGGGGAAGTTGGGTGGATGTGGGGAGAGAGATGGCTGAGGGCGTACGGCTTGGAACTCCGGGTCCGGGGTGGAGAGATCTGTCCACTTGATATCGGCCATGATGGCGTCTAATGGATTTTGTATCGAGCTTCTATTTGAATACTCTTTCGGTAAGTGAGATGCGTTGAAAGTTTGGTTGGCGTTCCCAGATGGCGGGGTAATGCCGCGACGTCCCGCAACTAAATACTGACGTGCGCCGGCAATCAAGGTTCCGGAGGTAGATGGTGAAAGAGTCAGATAAGCGAGGATTCTCAGTGAGCGATACTGAATACAGCAAGAAATGCAGTCGGTCGGTGTCAATCAAGTGGCGCGGGCCCGGAAGTCTAGAAATGCCCGACCCGGCCGAGAGATTTGCGTTCCGATTGGCTCTCGCTGAATTAAGGAGTTGCCTTTTTGGATTCGCTAAATCTTAACGCCTAGGTAATGTGAATAGCCGCTAGCCAGATATTAATACCGCTGAAATGGACAAGCAGTAAGTCTGAGGATTGGTGCATAAATCAAGATAATTACGAGAGTGAATTGCGCTGCTTGTGCATGACGATGGCCATCTTTCATAGGCTATTTTTTTTGCTGCTTAGCAGCGCAGGGTATCCGACGTGTACCGTAATAGAATCGTACCTCAGTCCTTCATCTCCACGTCTCCGAAATCCTCGAGCTCTGAGGAATCATCTTCCGATTCTGATGGAACCGATGAGAGATCAGACACGGAGCCGGCACGTGATCCTGCTGCTTGAACCTTGGGAATAAGGTCATCCCTCTGCGGGCGCTCTGTCGGTGGTGCATTGGCATCTGCAAACATTAGTACCAGCCATTAATGAAGAATGCACTTCACTCACCATCTTCGACCCACTGCACGAGTAGGAGCAGGAGCTGCTCGCTCTCCTTAAATATCTCCTTCGCTACCATCTCGTCAGACCGTATACCACCGCCACCAGACTTGTTTAGACCGCGTGCTTTCTTTCTTCTGGCACGTATGCCCTTGAGAACTTGCTCAACCCAATGCTTGCTCCACTTCATCTCCGGTAAGGTTGCCTGTACTACTTGTTGGAGCAATATGGTGACTTTCGCGTTATCTGCGAAACTATGCGTGTTCGCAGCGTAGGGAAGGAAATACTCTGCCCACTCATCTTGGGACGGGGGAACGAGATTGTACACAGGAGGTGAGTGTGGGAACAACGGAAGGAGCGTGTTGGCGGCCAAGACACACATTGCAGGTGTAGGAAGCATCGAAGTACGGATCAGTGTGGCGAACGTCGGGGCAGGCAAAGGACGTAAATATTCGGTATAGGAGTCGAAGAGATGCTCGCGCGAAGTGAAGTAGGCTGGAAGCCTTTCTGCAATAACCGGGAGCTGGTAGGTTGATGTGGTCAGCCGTGATACTCGCGGAGCGACGAATGGTCCAGGTAGTGACTCACAAAAGCAAGGATGCGTTGGCGCAGTCTGACAGAATCAATCCCTCCAAGGCGGTCAGTCGGTGATATGCTGTCGTCTTGAGTATCTTCGGAAGAATTAGAGCTAAGAGAGATGATTGACGGTCGTCTGGTACTGGTGTTTGTGCTCCTGCCGCTCTTCCGTATTGGCAAAGCCGAGCCGTTCCCGGCGTCGGCATCGTCTATGTCATCATCTTCGTCAGGGTCAATTCCAAGATCGCCAAAATCTCCTTCATCAAGCCTCATCTCCTTGATTGGTTTGACGCTTTCCTCCTTCTTCCCCTTGAGTTCATCCTTGAAGACTTCTTTGAACTCGCTCATGGATTTGGATCCGCCGTCAGCAAGTATGGCACTGAGTAACTTCCTCCGGCCCACCAGTGAGTTCGCATTGGCGCCGATCAGGTATTGGACGATGATACTTTTTTGGAGCAACTCGTCACTTGCCGTACTGTCCTGCTGCTCGTCGTATAATATGTTGCGTTCCTTCCAGTCGTCTTCCATGATCTCCAGCATCAAGTCCAGCCAAATCTTCCATCGCTCCCACCTTGCCTTGTATTTGACGGAGCAGTTGAAAGCCCAGCCCACGACGCGCCAGAAGTCGTCAGCCTTGGCCCACAGACTATTCTGCTGTGCTACCGCGGACTTGATTGGTCTCTCATCCTCTACTCGTTTGCTGTCGCCATTTATTGGGGAGCCCAAGGTCCCGCGTCTCCTCCAGCCACGGCTCTTGGGACTATTAAGTCCGGTAAAGACAAATGCCTTTGCGAAGCCAGCATTCACTGGCCCGACGACGCGGTTTACGTCGCGGAGATATTTGGCGGCGGCGTTGGAGGCCTGTAGCTTGTCGGGAGTTGTTGCCCTGGTTGTGGCGGCAGGATAGACAACGAGAGTTGCGGAGAGTTCGAAGAGCTGGATCGGTGGGATTTGTGCAGGCAGGCGATCTGACGGGCTGGACGACGAGCCGGATCGGAGGAGGCTGGTAAGCAGACCATAACCTTGGAGGTCTGCAGATGATCAGCGTATGTAGTTATTTGAGGTCCGAGCGTTGTACATTGACCCGACTCCAGATACACGCTAGAGTGGTGAGCGAGCTCGAAGGGCAGCTGGGTCGCTTGCCTATACCGAGCAGGAGGAGCACTCGCTGGCGAGTTTCGAGAGGTCTGAGTGGTTGATGGCGGGGTGAGGAAAGCGGTCTCGCCATCGCGAGCGGTCGTAAACGAGGAGGGCGATCCGACAGCCATGGTGTGGGGTGTGGGGATGAGGTTGGAAGACGCGTCGGCGCTCGGCAACGAAAACGCGCGGGCACGTGTGGCGCTTGGACTCACTGAGCAAGCGGCAGCGTCCGGCCGATGCCGGCGCGTCATCGCTTCTGCGCGGCGCGGCTGACCGCCCACTTCTGACACCTCCGACTACCACCTGACACCAGCAATAACCAATCCCGCGGAGAATGCCTCCACCACACACTAAACATGTGCTGCCTCCGCTAATACGTGGTGTCGCACAACCTCCGCCTCCCTAGACCTTCCACTTTTCTTCACTCTCACACCTCATTTCACTACTCCCGCATTCCCGGATTTGCCCTTAGCGCACATTCATCATGCCGTCGACCGCAAACCTTCGCCGCATCACGCAACACAACCTGCAGACTTTCCGCGATGCACCGCTGAGCGAGCTCTCTGGGTCGCTGGGCGACCTGGGAACTTTACTCCCCCTACTCGTGGCCTTGACTCTCACTCATTCTATTTCTCTGCCCGCGACTCTGATATTTACTGGCGCTTCGAATATCCTGACTGGTGCGCTGTTCGGTATCCCACTTCCTGTGCAGCCCATGAAGGCCATCGCCTCTATCGCCATCGCTCGCAGCTACAGCCTCCACGAGACAGCAGCTGCCGGCATAGGCGTCGCCGTCGTTGTCGGCATCATGAGTGTGACTGGCTTGCTGAGCTGGGTCACACGCGTTATTCCTATTCCGGTCGTGAAGGGGATCCAGGTCGGCGCTGGACTCAGCCTCGTTCTCTCAGCCGGAGAGAAGATGCTCAAGCCCCTTGGCTGGACAGGACCTTCCCCAGTCGACAACTTGCTCTGGGCCCTGGGCGCTGCACTGGCGCTGCTTGCCTGCACACGCGCGCCGCGAGTGCCCTACGCGCTCCTCATCTTTATCCTGGGCCTGATTCTGGCGGGCGTGAAAGCCCGCGTGAGCGACATGGATAGCTCCAGCATCATTCCCAGTATTCCCATCGTGGTTCCTTCGTGGGCGACCTTTGGCCGCACTTTTGTGACTGCTTCTCTCGGCCAGCTTCCTCTGACTACGCTTAACTCGATTATCGCTGTGACCCATCTCTCCGCCGACCTTCTCCCGAACGTGCCAACACCTACCGTCACTGCCATTGGATCCTCCGTTGCGGCAATGAATCTTATTGGATGCTGGTTCGGAGCTATGCCCGCCTGTCACGGCTCCGGTGGCCTTGCTGCTCAGCACCGATTTGGTGCACGTTCCGGCTCCTCAGTTATCCTCCTTGGTGTTATTAAGATGATTCTGGGCCTCGTCGGAGGCGAAAGTCTCGTCCGTCTCCTCGCGAGCTTCCCGAAGGCGCTCCTGGGTATCATGGTGCTCGCCGCGGGCGTGGAGCTGGCCAAGGTCGGCGAATCCCTGAACGCTGGTGCCAGGGACTTGTGGGAGGAGGCTGAGATGGAGGCGTCCGGTGCCGTGACGTTGGGCAAGAGGCTACGTGATCCGAGCGAGGCGGAGCGAAAAGAGCGATGGGCGGTCATGATGGTTACGGTTGCGGGGCTGCTGGCATTCAGGAACGATGCTGTCGGCTTCGTTGCAGGACTGCTTTGGCATTGGGGCCAGAGAGCGCAGCTACCGAGGCTGCAGAGGCCGAGCTGGTGGCAGCGATGGAGAACGAATGGGGAGAGGCGCGCGGCCGGCGAAGAGGGAGAGAGCCTGCTGTAGCCCCCGCGCAACGGGTACTTGCATCACTGTCTTAGAACAAACGCGCAGTCACGTGCGCAAGGCACTTTCCCATCTACCTAGGCCTTTCGACTCTCGTCTCTGGTGTTCTTCCGCGATCATGTTTCGTTCCAGTATGGGCACCAACCTCGCGAAGCCATCAGATCCCACTACTGGGCAGCATCGCGCTCCTATGTCCTCAACATCAACCCTACTCCCATCGAAGATGGCGGGCAACGAAATCGACAAAAGCGCAAAGCACCTCATCTCCACCGTCATCAATAACGCCATCTCTAGTAAGGGTTCAGCACACAATTCTCCAGACCATGGACCTACTATTATGACAAAACAGGCCGCAGAACTTATGAAGAACATGCGAAACGGAAATCCCTGCCTCAGACTCTCTCAAAGCGCCCTCTGGGCCGCCGACGGTCCTATCCCACCTGACGGCGGTTTCGACAACTTGGATCTGAGAATTCAGAAGATCTGCGCGATCGAGACACAACTCAACACCTGCTTCGCCACAGTCCTAGCCTCAGACTCCCTCAGCGCGCAGGAAGCGCTCTGCATGCCGATCGAACTCCTTAGCGCCATCGAGTACTTCTTCAAGAGCTGGAATCTCGTCTCGTTGGACCGCTTCCAACAGCTGGCGCGGCGCAAGCTCGATGACACTAAGAGCAGCTCTTTGACCAAACCCATCATCATCGCCATGGAAAGAGACCTCGCAGACGGAATGCTCTTCTCCTTCAAGAAGAGGCCCGCGAAATTCTCCAGCAGCCGCATCCCCGCTTCGTGCGCAGCATCAAGCGATGACGCCGACGTCGATGCCACCATCAACTCCACGTCCAAGCCCACTCCCATGCCCGACACCCCGACGCCGATGCCAAAGACAACCGCCGCTGCAGCATCCGCTCCTCCTAACGACACTGCCCCTAATGGCAAAGCCGCTACCACCACCAGCGATCCCACCACCACCACCACCACCACCAACAGCGGTAGCTTCGTCGCCGCCCGCCTCCCCAGCTTCGCCACGCCGGCAAAGCGCAACCTATCCCCCAACGCGACGCCCGCGCCGCAGCGCCACGGCCGCCAGCCGTCGGTGTCGTCGACGCCGCTGGCGCAAGCGTCCGAGACGATCAACCGCGTCCTCGCCAGCGCTGAGGCGGAGCACCGGCGCGAGCTCGAGGCCGCCGAGGAAAAGCGCATGGACGCTGAGCTCGAGCTCGATGGCGTCAAGGCTGAGCACAAGAGGGAGGTGGAGGCGCTCCAGGCTGAGCACCAGCGTGAGCTCGAGGTGGCCGAGGACAGGCGCATAGCTGTCGAAGTCGAGATCGGGGACGTCAAGGTTGAGCATGCGAGGGAGCTGGAGGCTCTTGCGGCCGAGCACCAGAGGCAACTCGAGGAGCAGCGTGACGAGCAGCGCCAGCAGTGGGAGGGGGAGAAGTCGGAGTTGGTGGGCAAGAAGGATGAGGCTGAGGAGGATCTGGGGCTTTTGGTGGAGAAGTATAAGACTCTGGAAACTCGATCTGATGAACTAGAGCGGCGGAATGAGGCTCTGGGAAAGTGGGCTAGAGACCTCGAGACGGACATGGAGCTGTCTGAGCCGAAGATTCGGGAGCTGGAGAAGAGCAAGGCATCTCTTCAACAGGAGGTCAGCGACTTGCGGAACGAGAGCAAGGCTCAGAAGGATGACTTTGAGAAGACGTGCGCTGCTCTTGAGGACGGAAAGAAGAAGCTTGCGAGCAACGTGGACAAGCTTGAGGACGAGAAGAAAGAGATGCAGAAAAGGATCGACGAACACGCTCGAGACAAAACGAGCATGGAGAACACAATCTCCGGACTGCAAACCGATAAGAAGAAGCTGCAGACGGACCTTGATAAGATTAGGGAGCAAGTTTCTACCGCATCGCGACAGTACACCGCCTTGCACGCTACTCTGATTAACAGTCTGAACGATGCCACCGCGTTGGGCGGATGTCTGCTCCGGGGCCTTGATGACAAGGATCCTAGCACTAAGTAAGGGTTGCCCCGTTCTCGGATTGTAGACGGTCTTGTCCCTTTTGGTGGTTTCTTTTTACTACTAGCCCTTACTCCCGGATAGAACTGTTCGTAGCCCTAAATGAAGGTTGTCATACGGAGTTAAAACCATTGTCCAGACGTGGAACAGATGAGTCCGATACTTCCTCTCCCTGCTTTTAGCAGTCACATTACAGAAACACGATGTAGTTCAATGGGGAACTACACATCATTTTCGGCGACCTCATTGAGAAGCAGACCGGAACAGTTGTTCTTGCGGCGAAGCATCCCCTAAGATTTCTCGCGGGCTCATAACACAAAAATGGTAAAGGGGAAAGTGTACAGTGTCAGTGTAGGCGTTGATAGAGACCCGTTAGGTATGCCTAATTGTATTTGAATGCTTGTCTCATGCGAGAATCTCTACGCCGTGTTATGACCTCTGAGTACTTCGCCGGAAAGCGTTGAAGTGGACCATCTTGATTAAGAGTCTGTTTCTGGCTGGTAAGACATCTCAGAGATTGAGAGCTTTGATATCAAGCCCCTGAAATAAAGGCGAACAAGGTCCGTATGGTATCTATAGAATACCTCTACGTATTATAAAGTATATACGCTCCCAGGTGACTGACACCAGCAAACAGCAAAATGAAGATAGGTGAATAGTATGAGATCTACCTTATCCATCGAAAAGACTAAAGACTTCCAGAATAAGAGCGACTCTTCACAAGGCTGGGACTTGTCCAATTTGGAAACGACGAGAGTGATTGGACCGGGTGTTCCGTAAACAGATAGAATCTGGAGTTGACCAGCTGATAAGATCCGCAGGTGGTACCGGTGATGGGATAGAAGTGCTGGGCAGGCCGGAGTGGCCAGAATGTGGAGCTGCGGCCGAGGTGTTATCGCCATCCGCCCCCGATGATTGCCTCCACGGCCCTTCAGAGCGCCCGACATTCACCTTCTTCGCCTACCGAGCACGTGCCGGCGGTCTTCCCACTTCGCAGAGCCCACCTCTTAAGCTCGCCGGGGCAGACCACTCCTCCCCTCTTCCACTCCCACCCGACAACTCTGGCCGGTCCGATTTCCGACGTCCACCTCGCCGAGAAGGCAATTCGAAAAGCAATATTCACAGAGTTCTAATTCCCATCCACGCGGACGTCATGCCGTCGAACGACGATGCGGACGCCAAGCAGGTACGCGCCCACTTTGGCCATTGGCAAGGAAGAGTCTGTCGCTAACCACTTTGCGTGATATCAGAGGACCACCCTCCTACAGTCCACCGGAGCCTCCTGGCCTGGCTGCCCCCTCCAGGGTTGGGTTCCGCAAGACCATCGTCTGAGCAAGCAACCCGTCGAGAAGTGGCCGATCGCTTTGCTGCGCCTCATCGAAGAGCTCGCTAAGATCAGCCCGTCCCAGAACATGAGCAACCAGACGCGTCGCCGTATGTGTATGGTCATCAAGGAACTGTACCCGGTCTCGAATACCCTGGAGGATGCCATCCGCGATGCGAAGGACAAGTTCATGAGCCTCTGGCCGACCAAGAAGCCCTCTGACATACCAGTCAGCCTGTGCTACCCCAGTCCTGACGCGATCGAGGACTTCGGCGCCTTTGACCAGCCCGATGTGGACGCTCAGAGTTTGGCGGATAAGGCCGTCCTCCAAGCCTACCAGAACGCCGTCAATAATCGTGGAGCGGCCTTCGGCGATCGCAGCGCGGGTCCGACGATCTCGACCCACCTGACTGTTCACAGGAGGAGGGACTGGTCCAACCCGGTCCGAGTCACTGGGGAGCTTTGGCAGAGCCCCGAATTGCCGGTCAAGAGCGGTTATGGCGACATCACTGAGAAAGTCAAGGACATCACTGCCATCGAAGCCCACTTCCAGATGCCGTTGTCTCAGTTCTGGAAGATAGAGAAACTTCGTCCAGAAGAAGCGTACTTCATCCCGGCAGCGGTCCTCCGTGGAATCGTCTGCATCACTGAGAAGTTTCCGACAGTCAAGCATGACGAACTCTACAAGCTCATGGTTCAGGAGAAGGCGGAGTCTCGGAAGCTTTGCCGCAACGCCAACTCGAAGATGTGGCTCAACATTACGCAGGCCAACATTTTCAAAGTATTGGCGAAGCTTCAGCAGCTGTACGACAAGACAACATCGCAGACCCAGACGCTGGACAATGGCGCGACTTCCCAAGGCTTCGACAAGCGCAACCACAGCCTGTCTCCCAAGCTATCGTCCAGGAAGGCCCGGAAGCTGCCCCACACCGCTTCTACCGGCCATGCTACTGGCCTTAACTCAAGCACTGGCCAGTTCCAGAGTTCGGCTGCTCGTCAGGAAGCTAAGAAGAAGGAGAAGGAGCTGCGCCGCGAGGAGAGGGAAGGGGAGGAAAAGATGAAGGAACTCGAGGATCGGATCAAGGAAGACCAGGAGAAGCTCAAAAAGCTCCAGGACAGACAGAAGGAGATTAAGGAGGAGAACCCATTTGCCTTCACCTGTACAGAAGGCAAATGGGTTCGGGAAGCACACTGTATTACGCTGAAACTGCCAGTTGGCACTCATTGAGCTAGTAACAAATCATACAGAATCGTCCCATAGAAAACCGCGCTCAGTTTGGTACGTATAAAATCTTCCTTGATATCCTACGCATGGTAAGATCTTCAACGAAAAAAAAGTGTCCTCAACCAGTAAGGTCAAGGGGATCCGAAATACTGAACACTCTGTTGGGCAGAGAATCGCTTCAAGCACGGCAATTCAAACATGACGAGCATGATGAACACACCGCACTTAAAGGAAAAGGAGCTCGTAAGCCTAATAACGCTCTCGCTGTAATACAGATACTGAAACGTCCGCCAAGCGGAGTAGAGAGAGGGTTCCGGATTAAAAAAAAAAAAAAGAGGGCTTGTAAAGGCCCATGGCCCGGGGGCGATCAGTCAAAAATCCCTGAGCCCTTCATGTGTAGTGTAGCTTCTCGGTATCTTGGAAACTACAGTGACTCGACGCAAGGCCACTGCACCTGGCTTCCCCAGCACCATCCGCTTCTGGTTGATGTGGGACCAGCACATGAAGGGAGTAGAAAATTGACTCAGATATTGCACAGTTACCACCCAGTGAACCGCTGCGCTCAATAAATAAGAGCTTCAACTGAACCTTTTGATGGCAAAATGTCGAAAGCACCCAGCTAGCCCTTCGTGCGTGTTGTAGCTTCTCGGTATGTTGGAAACTACAGTGACTCGACGCAAGGCCACTGCACCTGACGCCCCCAGCACCATCCGCTTCTGGTTGATGTGGGATCAGCGCACGAAGGGAGTAGAAAATTGACTCAGATATTGCACAGTTACCACCCAGTGAACCGCTGCGCTCAATAAATAAGAGCTTCAACTGAACCTTTTGATGGCAAAATGTCGAAAGCACCCAGCTAGCCCTTCGTGCGTAATGTAGCTTCTCGGTATGTTGGAAACTACAGCGACACGGTCGAAAACCACTGCACCTGATGATCCCACATCTTCCTATCCAGGTCGATGCAGGTCAGCGCACGAAGGCGGTAACTCTGACCCAAGATATTGCACCAGTTACTACCGTCGGAAAGCCGATGGACTCGAATAGAAAACAAGAGATCCAGCAGCGCCTTCAATAGCAGTGTAATCGGTAGTCCTGAGCTCTTACATGTTCGCAGCATCTCGATATGTCGAATGCTGCAGCGACACGGTCACCTGATAGCCCTACACTCGCCCATCCAGGTCCGTGTAGGATCAGCATATGAGAGAGTAACTCGGACGCGAGATATTGCACCAGTTACCAACGTCGGACACTGCGAACTCGAACAGAAAACAAGAGATTCAGCAGCACCTTCGAGGGCAGTACAGTTAGAAGTCCTGAGCTCTTATATGTTGGTAACATCCCGGTATACCGTATGCTACAGCGACACGGTCGAAACCACTGCGCCTGATGGCCCTACACTCGCCCATCCAGGTCCGTGTAGGATCAGCATATGAGAGAGTAACTCGGACGCGAGATATTGCACCAGTTACCAACGTCGGACACTGCGAACTCGAATAGAAAACAGGAGATTCAGCAGTACCTTCGATGGCAGCAGTCAGAAGTTCTGAGCTCTTATGTGTTTGTAGCATCCCGATATACTAGTATACCGTATGTTACAGTGACACGGCCCAAGGCCACCGCACCTGATAGCCCTGCACTCGCCAATTCAGGTCCGTGCAGGATCAGCACATGAACGAGGCAACTTTCAACAAAGATACTGCACCATGTACCATCTTCGATACACCACTGCGCTCGAAAAGAAATCATAAGCTGCGGCGGGATCTCCGATGGCAACAAAAGTGTTTCAGCTAGTCACAACACCTCGACCAAAGAGGAGGAAGTGAAGTGACGTCATCGCTGAGCGGAAGTGAGGTTTCGTTCGCGGGAGGAGGATGATCGTAACGAGTTGGTGGCCGTTTGCAAGATTCTGTAAACAGAGTTAGCAGCCGAGCCGGTGAGGTGGAAAGAACGACTTCTTCCGAAATATTAGTCGTCGCCCATGAGTTGCGGGTCAGGCGGTGATTGTTGGGGTTGAACTTGCATGCGCGGTAGAAATGGGTGACGGAGGCCGACGCGGCTGACAAAAGTGAGTGACTGGGATGAGAGGCAGCGCAGCAAGGGTGGCTGTCGAAAATGAGTGTCGGATGGCGAGGTGAGCTTGAGGAGGAAGAGGGAAGAAGGAGAGGAGGAGGGCGAAGGACGGGTTTAAGTACCTGGACGGGCGAACGCACGGGCCTCACCGCTGCCGGCCGCGCGGGCAAACACCAGGCTCCGGCGGCTGCCATATGCGAGTGGTTCGTGAATGTTTGACAGTAACACGCCTGAGAGCTCGCGCAGCCGGAAACCATGGACACGCGCACCCACCGGCCTTGGCTTGCATCATCCTTGCACCCCGGAGCACCTCGACATCAAGCAGAGCGCGTCAACACTTACCTGCACATGGCGAACTGCCATAGTCAGCCAGCATTTGAGCGCCCTGGCCCGAGCGGGTTGCAGCCTTGTGCTTGAGTCCCTGCTCAAACTAAGCTCCTTCGCGCCGCACTGAGGATGCCTACTCAGCAAAGACTCCCTTATGTGAAATGAATGCGATGATTGATTTAGATATCCGACGCAACTGTCGCGTCAGCGCGGTTTTTTGCGAAGCTCACCTGCTCCTCTTCAAGACGGACACCGGCCAACTATTCTTCGCTTCTTCGGCGCCCGCTGCAATACCATGGCCACCTACACCGCTTCTTCACCTCTGCGCTGAAGGCCTATAAGCCCACCGACATCTCGAGCTTGCATTGCGCCATCAACTTCTTGCTGGCTTTCACCCACTGCGTGCAAGCCGCTGCGCAGAAAGGCGGTCCAGTAATTTCTGTTCTTTCCCAGTCGTACGGATATTTAGCAAAATCTGACGCCATTTCCTCATGTTCTTATTTGGAATCGAGGTCACCTCACCCCGCGGAGGCGCAGCCGCCGCCGCTTGTGCACGAGACCGCACTACTCAGGAAATGGTCCGCCGCTTGGAGGATGTAAGCTACGTTATGGACCAAGACTAAGGGGCCCAAAGCTAGCCCGGCGTTCCCCTTCGCTTCGGTTCGCAAATAGGCATGCTCTTTTGATATAAACGACTCCTTGAACAACCATGCGCAAACTGTGGCCCTACGCTCAGGTCGGGACAAAGAAATCTATCCTAGAATCATATTACTCGGTACGTACACTATTGCCGCACACGTTCTTGTCTAGTCTTGCAGCTGAAGTTATCATCGTCTTCAAGAAATAAATGTATCATCGTAACACCGCTGATGGGCACTATACGCCTTCTGGGTTTGATTTCTTCAGCGTACAGAGAACCCGTCGGCGATGCTGGAGAGTTGGTTGTAGAAGAACAATGTCTACTACTAAGTACTAACACACTTCTGGAAGTCACGAACTGACCAAATTACTGTGAACCTAGACCTGACTATCTGGTGGGGGACTTGCCAGCCCCGCAGAAGACACGATGCTCATGCGCTTGGTTCAAGTCGACTGCAATTCCACAATGAAAGACATATGTCGCCCGAGGAAAAAGGAAGGGTAAGCGTTTCTGCACAGGACTCCTATCATCGTGACTTTGAGGAGCCATGCAGGAATTCGGTTTCACATCAATGGTGCATGTGCAGTCACGGGCCTCTCGGAAGGTAAAGACGCAAAACGCCAACGGTCCAAACCATACTATTCATAAACCTACAAACCCAGCCCAGCCCATCTGCGGCCAACGCCGTCCCGTTGTTCCCTCGCACCAGCAACGCCACGAACCCCCCCAAAAAAAAAGCCATAACCCCAGACAAAAACAGCACCACCTACTCGAACCCCCCACCCCCCAACACGCCCAGCACGCTCCTCCCCCTGCCCTTCACCACCTTCTTCCTCAAGCCCTCCTCCCTCCTCGCGTCCACGGCCTCGACCGCCTTCTTGCGCTCCGCCTCGCGCGCCTGGTAGTGGATGTTGCTCTTCTTGCTGCCACCTCTCCTCAAGCCGCCCGCCTCGGCCGCAGCAGCGCCAGCGGCGGTCGCGTTGTAGTTGCTGTTAGTAGTGGTGGTCGTCGTCGTCGTGGTCGAGCTCGCGTTGCTCAGGTTCGATGTCGCGCGCCGCAGCAGGGCCGGCACCCTGAAGCCGTGGCCGGCGGGCTTGTTGCCAGCGGCGAAAGCGAGCGGCTTCCCGGCGGGGGCGGGCTGTTGTTCCGTCGTCGTCGTAGACGTCGAGGATGCGGCGCTGGCGGAGCGCGACAGCGTGAGGCGGTCGACGACGGTAGTTGTGGTACGGCGCTCGGTGAAGGAGGCGCGGGTGGTGACCTTGGTTTGTTGCTGCTCTCCGCCATCGTCGCCTTCGTCTTCGTCTTCGGACGCGGAGTATTGGGTTTCGCGGACGAGCGGCTCGTCGATGAGGAACGAGACGTTCTCGCGGATCTCCGCGAGTGTGGTTGGCTTGCGGTCGGCCGCGGCGGCGGTGCGGCGCTGGCGGGCCGGAGGCCGGTTTTCGTCGTTGGATTCTGTGGCAGGCGATTTGCGCTTGAGCGGGTTTGCTTGGCCAGCTGCGGCAGAGGCACCGTCTTGGTCGATCGCTGTGTTTTCCTGCTGCGCTGCCTCCTGCGAGTCGGGAATGGATTGGGACTGAGACTCGTCGGGGCCGGTGGAATCCCTGTACTCGAAAAAGTCGAAGTCGTCGTCGTCGTGGTCCTCGATGGCGCGGAGGAAGGCAAGCTTCTTCGGGTTTTCGGCTGTGGACCATCATGTTAGCCAGACCCCTTGAGGAGCAGAGGGAAGACTTACCAATCTTGCCAATGTTCTCGTCCGCAAGAAGCGCCTTGCGCATACGCGCGAACTCCCTCTGCTTTCTTGCCCTCCTCTCTGCAGCTTCATCATCCGAGTCATCCAACGAATCAAAGTCTCCACCACGTTTCCGACGCAGGTTGCCGCTGGTGATGTCCTTGTACAGCCTATCGATGCGCTTCTCATCTTCCGCGCGCTCCTTGTTTCTATTTACTAGTCAGATTTTGGGAGATATCGTAAGGAGAATAGGGTAACTTACGCATGAAACGCCGCAATCTCCCTCTCGTTGACCTTCACCTTTGTCTCGTCGATCATGTCTTTTAGCTCCTCATCCATCTCCCCGCCACTTTCATCATCACTAGCACCACCAAGGCCCGCGTATTCGTCCTCAGACTCCTCGGCCTGCTCCTCGACCATCTCCTTGGCTGCGCTCTTCTTCTTGTTGAAGGCGTCGACCTTCTTGGCCTTCTTCGCACCCTTTCGCATAACATCGAAAGCGTCTGCCGAGATCTCAAAGTCCTCATCCGACGCGGCGTCATCTTCCTTGGTTTGAGTGTCCTCCTCAACATCCGACATCGATGTAGCGATAATCTCGCGACGGCGCTGTAGACGACCCTTCTTCCGCTGAACGATCGGTGATTCAGGTGTCCCATCTTCAAGGATAATAGTGTCCACTGTTTTCTGACTTGACGAGGGCAAAGGAGTCCTGTTGAATCGGCCTGGCGTTCGGGAAACAGCAAAACCACCATCCTGCGTGGGCTCGGGGATATCAGACATCTGGGTATCGAGATCTTGGGGTTGCGAGGGGAACTGAGAAATGCCAATGTTGATGTCGTTGCTTCCACTTTCTGCTTGGGATTCTTCGGGCTGACTATCGCGGATGACAGAGTCCTGGCTGGGACCTGCAAAGTTGTCTGCAAACTCAGGAAGTGTCGAGACCGGGATGTTTCGGAGAAAATCGAGGGAATCTTGCTGGGTGCTTCCCGCCACTGGCATTTCGGCCTGGGAGTTCATGTCTGCCATTGTGCCAGCAAACATCTGGCTAAGACCGACCGAAGCGGCATTATTGGCAAACCCAAATGCAGCCATAGTCTCATCCTGGGCTGGCGAGGGTTGAGCTTGTTGATCGGTCGGCTCGGAGCCCAGTTCGGCCATTGTGCCAGCAAACATTTGACTGAGACCCACAGGAGCAGCATTGTTAGCAAAGCCAAATGCAGCCATAGCCTCGTTCTGACTCGGCTCTGGTTGAGGTTGCTGCTCAGCAGCCTTAGCCTCAGACTCCTCCTCATCCTCGTCATCGACGACGCGTTTGCGGTTCCGTGCTGCTGTTGCACGCCGTGCAGGCGCTGCGTCTTCATTCTCGGATTCCACATCGTCCTCGGCCGTTTCTATTTCAGGATGCGCTGCAACATCATCCTCATCCGCCATCTCTTCGTCGTCATCTTCGCCGGCTTCATTGTCGATAAGACCTTCACCGTCAGCATGTTCGTCTTCCTCGTCCTCGCTGCCGGAAAGCTCAAGCTCCTCGTCTTCTTCCGCTCCCTCAGCATCCGATCCGCCCTCGACGTAGCTCTCATCATCTTCGCTATCAAGCAAGGCATCGCCGTCCTCTTCGCCGTTCTTCTTCGCCTCTTCCTTTTCCTTCTTCGCCAGCTCCTCGGCTTCCTTTCGGGCTTTCTCCAGAAGGTTCTCCAGCTCAAGCTGGTCTTTCTCACGCTCTTCTTCCGTCTGAACCATGATGCCCTTTGCCCGAAGCTCAGCAATCTTCTCGTCTTTTTCCGCCTTCGCTTGTTCGCGGGCTCTGCGCTGAAGTACTGCTTGTAATTCAGTGGGCCCCATAGAATTCTTGTTAGTTTGTCGGCTCTTGGTTGGCGAAGTCAGATGCGCGAGGTGGCGGAGTGTGAGCAGATGCTTGGGCTCTTTCGCCTGGCGAGCGGGAAGGTTGTCGAAAACCGGAAAGCGCGTGTCACGGACAATCTCCAGGTCATCGTCATCGTCGGAGGCGCCAGCGGCAGGTCTTTGCGGAAGTACGACGCGGAACGTGCGAGTTTTCTTCTCTTGGACGGGTGCAGGAACGGCGGGTTTGACGGTCTGTTCCGGCGCGACTTGGAGGGGGATTTCGCTAGATGGTGATACGGCACGACCTTTGCCCTTGTTGATCTTTGACTGTGGGGGGATCTTTTGTAGATCTGGAAGGTCGACATCTCGCTGGCCAATATCAACAACCGTGTCTTCAGGAAATCCGTTAGAATCCAAGCCTTGCTCCTGAGCGGTTTTCTTCTCAGCTTCATCCGCGCTTGGTGGACTCGTAGGCGGTGTCTCCTTCTGGGCTTGATCAACATCCGAAGACGCAAGCTCAACAGGATCCTCTGCAGACCCTTTGGGCTGACCAAAATTGAATTTCTTGAAAAGGTCTTGCGTGGTGTACTTCTTCTTTGTCTTCGCTTGATGTGCCAACTGCATGTTCCTGTATAGTCTTTGCGTTTCGCGGTTCATCTCCTCTCTGGCCTTCTTTCCTGCCTTGCGGGTTGGCCGAGATTGTTGTGTCAACTTCTCAGCCACGCCTTCCTCGTCGTTGCTGTCAGTTTCTGAGCCGTTCAGCTCGAGGTCGATTTCTCTTGATTTTCTTGCGGCAGCCTTTGCTTTCCGGCGGTTCTCCTCGCGTTCCTTCTTCTCTAAAGCCTCCTTAGCCTTGCGCTCGGCTTTCTTCTGCGCGACCAATTCCTCCAAGCGGGATTTCGGTTTGAAGTCAGACATATCAGAGTCGGAGTTTGAGTCATTGTCCAGAGAAGCGACAGACTTGGCTGAGGATGGCTTCGATGGTGACACGAAAAGTCCAGGCGAAGATGCTCTTGACGCGGGTTCTGCAGGATTTGGTGATTTGCTAGCTTTTCGTGCAAGCCTTCTTGCCTGCGCGGGTCTGCTGAATGGCATGTCCTCGCCCGAACTCGAGTCGGCATCCGATGCAGAGCTTGGCTTGCTTGACGATTCCTTCTGCTTATCCTTAGCGGACATGAGCATCTTCCTGACCCTTTGGTATGCATTCCCATCCTGCTCGTCGCTGCCCTCACTCTGGGCGTTCTGATTTTGTGCGAGCATGCGTGCTGCCATCCGTCCAACTGGTCTTTTAACAGGAACAATATCCTCGTCCTCGGAATCTGAAGGGGCGCCATCCTGGACGGGTTTCGAGGCTGCTGCTGCAGGTTTTGCCACGGGCTCGGTGGGGTTTGAAGGTCCGTTGGAAGGCTGCGCGGAGAGTTCGTCCTCTGAATCATCACTCATACCGGCAGCTGCAAGCATGGCTTTGACTTTGCTCCGCGGGGTCAACTCGATGGGAGATTTGGAGGTATTCATGGCGGGCGAGGAGGCTGTGGAGGACGCGCGAGCGGAGCGCGCCGGGGTGGAGGGCGTAGAAGACATGTCGACGGGTTTTTGAAAATTAGAATGCGTTTCCGTCGTTGCACTGAATGCGAGAATTGGGGTATCAAATTAGGCTGTCATTGGAGTATAGGGTGACGGCTGAGGTAGTGGAGTTGGAATGTAAAGGTTGACGAGCGCGCGACGCGCTCTTGCGCGCCTCGCGTCGCGTCAATCCCCGCTTAAGACCGAGCGTTCACGCTATCCCCGACGTTTACCCAAGCGGTAAGAAACAACATCACCTGAAGCCAGAGACATCAACTATTCACCATGGGACTTGAAAAGGGATTTTTCTACGCGCAAAAGACGCGAAGATGTCCAGCATCTTCTTCTGATTCATTCGTTATCGTCTCTGCGTTGGTATCGTCGTCGTCGTCGTGAAGTCTATAAAGCTGAGCCGCAGCTCCCAACGACCGCTGATGCATGGTGGCCTATTCACCCCTTGGCCCCAGAAGCAAACCACCAGAACCGTTACCACCGGCTTCCTAAACCGGCATTTCGAAAAAACAAAAACTTTTGAATCTCTCTCCCCCAAAACTCCTCCCTCCCCAAGCACCCCAACCCCCCAACCCGGAACACTCCCCCTCTCCCCTCACTTCAAATACTTCCCCGTGAACCCCTCCCACCTCGCATCACCCCACTTCTCCCCAACAACCGCATATCCGTCGTAGGCGCTGAAGTGCGCCGTGCTCAGGAACCTCGTCGTCTGCAAATTCCCCGCGGGGACCCTGATCCCACCGGCCTCCCGCGCCACCTGCCCGGGCTTGATCGCATTGCGCCTCGCGGCGCGCTGCTCACGAGCGGACGGGCCGGCTGGCGGCGCGGAAGGACCCGACTGCGCATTCGCGGAGCGGGTGGGCTGGGTCCTCCGAGAGGAACGCGTCGCGCGCGGCTGCGAAGCCGGCGCACGAGCGGCAGGACGACGGGCGCGCTGGACGGGACCGGCGGCGGGTGCGGTGGTGGCGGAGGGAGCGGAGGCTGCGGGCGCGGAGGGGCCACTCTCCTCGGCGGTGGCGGTGGCGGCGGCAGCGGTCTTCTTGTTGCGGGCCGTCCTGGCCCGCTTGGGGGCAGGCGCAGGAACGGCCTCCTCCTCCTCGTCGGCGGTGGTGGCGGGAGTGGGAGCGGCACCGGGAGCAGCAGCAGTAGCAGCGGCGGCGGCGGCAGCGGCATTGGCGGCGGCGGTGGCAGAGCGCGTGCGCTTGAGGCTGCCAGCAGCCGGAGCAGACACGGGCGCGGAGGAGGAAGACGACGACGAGACGGCGGCAGCGGGCGGAGCGGCGGTCGCAGTAGCAGCAGCAGGGGCAGAGGCGGGCTGAGCAGGACCAGCGCCAGCGCTGGCCGAAGACTGGCCCGAGATGGTGGTGGTGGTGGTGCCGGCAGCGTTGGCAGCGAGGGCAGCGCGACGAGCAGCGGTGTCTATACACATGTCAATTGGAGCCAGGCAGTGAAGGGGTATCAAGCGAAAATGATTCAAGACGTAGACGAGGTAGAGGGTATACACCAAGATTAACTTACCAGCCTTGAGAGAGCGGCAGTACCGGACCTGGATGCTGCCCCTGGTCTTGTTCGGGAAGTGTCTGGCGATTTCGGCCCAAGTCAGGCTGGTGCCCTCCTTGAGGGCAATGATGCGAGCGTCGTCAAGGACGGACTGATTGACAGTAGAGGAAGACATGGCGACGGTTGATAGCGGTGGGTAACGAAGCTTTTCAGTGGTTTGGAGGATTCGTAATGCTCGCTGAAGCTGTCAAGACGGCGGATGTGGATAGGCTGGAGTCGGAGGAAAGAAGATGGCACGAAGGAAAGCAGGAGTATTTGAGCGGTTCGACGGCAGCTTGTGTGCCATTGTTGTATTGTTGCTATTGTTTGCGTTCACCTCCCCTATTGTCGTGTTTCAGGTCAATGCAGATTGTGAATTCAATTGAAGTGAAGTTGAAGCTGTGGGCATACCAGCCACTCGCTAATGCCAAGCCTACATGCAGGGCTTCCACGCTTTTCGGAATGGCTGTACACAACGGCTGCATTGTAATCATATTGTTATTCTTGCGCTCAGCGCTAATGGGGGAGAGGAGTTGGATCTAGCTAGACTCCTTAGCATGGCCCGTATAGGCCAAAATTCTACACTTTGATAATACATATGGTGGAATGACTCCTTTTCGCAGGCGGAACCTCAACGTCTCAGACACGCTCTGATACCCAAATAGCAGCCCTGCATCCTCCACGGATGACGTTGGTAAGCAGCTCGTATGGCCTAGCCTCCTTTGCATCGTTTTCAACCGCATGATCCAGATGCTCTAGCTCCTCATCACGAATCCGGCGCAGGTCCTGTAGCAGTACCTGCAAATCCGGGCTTAGCTGCTCGCCCTTTGCAGTCAACTGTTTTTCCCATTCCAGCAGCTTGGCGACCTGCTCGTTGTAATGCGAGCCAATCTCCGTCTCCACGGCCTCCGTACAAGCCATTGCGGCCTCGCGACCCATGACTCCTGTGCCCCATCCCAGAATTGTTGCTGCGGCCTTCCATACCGGGTACATGGCCGTTGGTCTTATGCGGTGTTTGGCAATGAGGTGGTTGAACTGGTGAAAGTGACCTTCCTCTTGCTCAAGCATGTGCTTCATCAACGGGCGGAGTTTGGGATGGGCTTTAATGATGGGCGGGGTCTGGGAAAGGTAAATGAGAACGGCGGCGAGCTCGCCTGCTTGGTTGACGCGCAGCTACAGCAGGAGTCAGCTCGGCTGAGATGTTTCGAAACAACATAGCGGGATGACGGACAGCGCTGTCAAGGTAGTCCTTCTGCTCCTTGCTCAATGGAGTACGCGGCTCGCCATTGCTGCGTGATGTCGATAGCAGAGCCTCATTGTCGGTGGGTGTTTGACTGATGGTAGCGGAAGAGGCGCATCTTCTGAATCGTACGACACCCGGCGCGGAGGATCTGGAGGCGGATAGAAATTGCGGGCGCAGCGCGCGAGCGGCCACGGCAACGCGAGGAGAGAAAGAAACGGACATTATGGAACTATGGTACACGGAGATGGGAAAGAAGAGCGACGGGGAAGGAACGGACGTAGTCGCGGCGGCGCGGGGGCGTGAGGCGCATCTTTGATGACATCGAAGAGGAAATGCTCTGGGCGCGCGGCCGACATCGCGCCGCCGATCGACCACAGCCGCGGCGCGCGCAAGTGGCTGCGCTGCAAGCAGGGATCCCACACGCGCGTGGTTGGTCCGAAAATTTCCCGGGGGCTGCGAAGTGGCAGGCCCAAGTTTGGCGGTGCACCTGGCACTGCGACCACGACTCTTAAACCTCGCCCTCCCTCAACCAACCTGACCCTCTCTCTCACCGCACGTCATCCTCGGCGTCCTCATCCTCCATCGCCAGGTCCATCTCGCAATCCGTCGCCTCTTTCGCCCCCGCTGTCCGAATTCCTTCTTGCCCCGTCGTCGCGCCCGCGCCAGCTCCACGCCGCCCGTCCCAGCGACTCCTGAACCGCGGACGACGCGCTCTCCACTCCGCCATCGTCTTGACGCGCCTTTCATCGCCGAATCGCGGCTGAATCACTCTTTCCATCGCCGAAAAAGCCCTTGAGCCAACTCACGAGCACCATGTCTGACGACGGCCTTGATCTCGATGCTGAGCTGCTCGCCCTCGCCGGCGATGAGGTGGGCAGCGATCAGGAGATGGATGACGCGAGGCACAGCCCACGTACCAGCCGCTCGCCGACCCCCCGTTCCTCACCTCAACCCTCCGATCGTCACAGCTCGCCCGAGGCGTCGCCCCCGCGTCGCAAGGTAAAGTCGCGCAAGGCCAGCGGTCGCCGCAGGAAGGATGACTCTGAGGAGGAAGGTGAAGCGTAAGTTGTGGCCTCTTGTTCAACCTCCTGGTTGTCATGCGCCATCGAGCCTGTGCGCTAACATTTCGCAGCTCTTCCGCTCCTGGTTCCCCCGACTCTCTGGGCTCTGGCGCCATGGAAGAGTCTGACTCCGACGCCGCCGTCGACGCTTTCAAAGAAGACAGCAACCCCTACCCTGTCGAGGGCAAGTTCACCTCATGGGAGGACAAGAACCGGATCATGGGCTTGTCGGAAGTCGAGCGCGAGTCCATTCTCGCTGAGCGCGCCCAGGAGATTGAGCGTCGGAATCAGGATCTCAACCTCAAGCGCTTGTTGCAGAACCGCCAGGCCAAGGAAGAGAAGAAGCGCAAGGCGGGAGCCGCTGATCTGGATGATGACGAGCGGAAGAACAGCCGGCCGAAGACCAAGGCTGTGAACGAGTCATTGGAGAACTACAAAGCCGAAAGAGCGCGGAGGAATGATCAGCGTAACCGTCGGACCCGCGATCGTCGTTCTCCATCTGCCGAGAGCGACAGGATGCAGTCCGACGTCGATGCGGAGGGCGAGAGCGACGTTGAGTGGGATGCGCGCAAGAAGTCGCCAGCCAAGGAGGAGCCACCCGCTGAGCTCAAGGACTTCGAGCGCGTGAGGGTCGGACGGAGCAACTTTGCCAAGGTCTGTTTCTACCCAGGCTTTGAGGACCACCTCATTGGCTGTTTCGCTCGTGTCAGCATCGGCATGGACAAGAACACCGGCCAGGGCGTTTACCGGATGTGCCAAATCAAGGGCTTCACTGAGGGTACGCCGTACGCGATGCAGGGTTCTAACAACAAGCCGGTCAAGACGGACTTGTACGTGCTTGTGGCGCACGGCAAGGCTGAGAAGGAATGGCCTTTCGTCATGTGCTCGGACTCCAAGTTCTCCGAGGTAAGACAATTCGCTCACCCAATGCTTTGACAAGTACTGACGTCATTGTAGTCCGAGTTCAACAGGTGGAAGAGTGTGTGCGAAAGCGAGGGAGTCAGGATCCCAACTCAAAGCAAGCTCAACAGAAACCTCCAGAGGATCCACGAGCTATTGGATAAGCGTTGGTCCGAAGAGGATATCGCCGAGAAGCTCAAACGCCAGAACAAATACGCCCCCGAGAAGGCGAAGACCGGCTTCAGCACCCAGTCCGATCGCCATCAGAAGCTCCAGACATTGAACAAGAGCATCCGCGTCAACAACGCCACTCAAGTCCGCCAAGCCCTCATCGCCGAACGTACCGCGAAGGCCCAGGCCAAGGAAAAGGCTCGTCTGCGCAGGGCCGAGGAAGAGGCAAAGAGGAAGGCTGCCGAAGAGGACGCGCTATTCAATGGCGGCAGCGACATCAGCCGGACCGGAACGCCTTCGGAGCAGCCCAAGAAACCCAAGGTCGAGCGCAAGGGCATTCCCACTTTCACCAAGAAGGCTATGGACGATGAGCTCATCGGATCTATGGACCTTGGCATCGATATCGAAATCTGAGATTCAGCTATAAACGGCCTGTTTGCATGACCCTAACCTTTCTTCTTCCCCTTCATTTCTTCCCCTTTTCTTTGGGACTTTGGCATGGATAAGCGATGGGACATCGGTGGGGGTATTTGGCGTTTTGGGATGGCTTTGCAACGGGAGAAAAGTAGGAGTTTTGATCCGCACATGCGAGGGCGACGCGGATAGTTTTGATGAGTGCGGATGGTGGTTGGTGGCGGTGATTACCACACTGGCAAATTCTCGGTCGTCACGGGCATACATTTAGGGGAGGATCGGAGGGAGCCAGGCCTGAGCTTGCCGACCCATCACGCTCACTTGAGAAGCTTGGGAACAAGGAAGTCTCTCGATTGAATGCGTGGCTAGCTGTCACGACGAGGGTTGGTCTCGATGGGGATGTCTGAAAGGGCTGTATGCTATGCTATGCCATGCTGTGCTATGGTCTCCTTTTGAGGAAATAGAACGGGAGGTTCTTGATAGCATTCCCACATCTTGACGCCTTTTTCTTCTGATTTGAAGGAAAGTAGACGTGAGTCGAGCAGACGAAAAATGGAGAACCTATCAGAGCGACGCATTTCTTTCCCAATGTGCGTGCAACTTGACAACTGGAGAAAAAAAAATTCTTGGGCGTAGTGAGTTTTCAAATGGCAAAATGCACCAGGGCGTTGAATCCAACAACCCACCAAAATTTATGACATGATAGGTCTGCGTAGAATAATATTTGTGAGTTGCACCTGCCTGCATCCAACAACCATATCCAAAGCAAGGTGTCACTACCTCCTTCAATTCAACACTTTTTCAAGCATTCGATGGCTTTACATAAATTAGCGGCGTAGGGAACAGACTACAGTTGCTGTATCATAGATGAACTTTGAATAGACTCAAACTCGAGAAATCATCATTCACACACAATTTCTGTTGCAAATTAATCACGGATACATTGTCCAAGGGTTATTGAAGATAAAAGTACCTCTTGATTTTTGTAGCTAGATACGCCATTTCCCCATTGTAAGAGACACGGCCGCCCGCCATCGAAATACCAGCTGTCTGAACATTGGTGACCGATGGTAATATTACAGACAATTTACTGCACAACGTGAGCTCCCTTGTCTTTGCCCCTTTTGTCCTTCTTTTCTCTCTTCTTTTTTGCGTGAGCTCTGTTAGCGGCTATGCCTCCATTCACATCGCAACCTGCGTAACGAGGGAAGTAGAAAGAGAGGATGGAGAAAAAGGGGAGGGAGGGAGTCAAGCAGGGAAGAAACAATAAGTGACAAGACAGAACAGACGCTCGCACGTTCAACCAACACAATGCACACACGCAGTACAAACGTAATGCAGAACACGACCGTTGCAAGAAGACCAAAAGACGGAAAACAGATGGTAAGAAAATGATGAACCATGCAGGAAACATCAGGTGAGAAGCAAGGTCAAGGAGGATGGAGAAGTGCAGATAAACGTAAGTGAGCAGAAAGGGAGATCCCATCGATTAATAGCGGAAAGGCCAAAAGAAAAAGCAGAACCCGCTGGATATCATCCGTTAAAGTAATAATTGAATCCGCATCCTTTTCACAACCCAGTATAACCCCGGTCCGATCTAGTTAAATTCCCTCCGGATAGTGTTCGTAACCGACTTTCCATGCTTTTTCAATGAAAAGATGTCATCCCATACTTCGAATGCTCCGTCGAAATAGCCGTGGAGGATGAAAAAGAAGTGCTGATGAGAAGTGTACTTGAGACACCCAAAAGCAAAGCAGGAGGTCTCCCCAGCCTCCCTGGAAAAAGCAAGAAGATGGGAGGGAGAATGCTGTTGTACATAATGTGGAAGAAAACAGGCAAAAGAGTTTCGTTCGTCCACCATCGCCGGGAATGTTTGGATAGAGAAGAAATAGTCGTAGCAAAAGGCGGTGCGATCAAGCACAGACCTAGAGCTGCATTTCGTATCGGCGGAAGGGTTTCGTGATCGAGACGAAGACCGGATACTGCTCGCGCGTCGACAGGCGAAAAGAAAGAGGGTGAAGGCATGGACAGAGCGCCTTAGTCATCCATGATGCCGGCTCCGAGATCGCCACCGTTCGCATCTCTGTCCATGTACCTTTTTCCCTTCTTCCTTTTCTTTTTCTTTCCTCCACCACCACCCTGAGGCAGTGACGTCATGCTCTTCGGGGCAGTAGGAGCGGTAGGAGGTGGTGAGGCAGTGGCAGTGGGAGGCTTGGTAGAGGCAGGAGAGGAAGAGTGTACAGGACCTGTGAGAAATCCCGTGTCAAAGTAGCCGCCTTTTGAGAAAGTAGAAACGGAGGAGGATAAAGGGAAGAAAAAGCTTACTCCTCGCAGGAAAAATGGGGGTTGGGACATCATTCATGCAAAAACGTACACTTGTCTCCCTTCATGCACTTTCCCTCCTTCCAGAACTTGCATGGAACCACGAATTGCGGTGGTTGGTAATCCGGGTTGTTCTTGTTCTTCCACTTCTTGTTGCGGCGGTTGCTGCCCCAGCCGCGCTCGCCTCCGTGGTCGTCGTTGCCGCGCTGGCGCTTGCTGCGTTCCTCTTGGAACATCTCCGACTGCGATGGTAGGGGTTGGTGGGGGTGTTGCTGTTGTGCCTGTTGATTTGGCAAAGGCATGCCGAAGGCCGGGACAGCAGGAGGTGCACCGCCATTGCCAACACTCTGGAGAATCGCTGCAAGGTCGAAACCAGAGCCACCGCCAGGGTTTGCATTCATGCTCGGGAATGGAGCAGGCGGGGCCTGCTGCGGGGGCTGCGGGGGTTGCGGGGCTTGTTGTGACTGCCCATTGAGATTGTTGAGGCTGGCAAGGATGGCTTGGATATCGACGGCCGGTGCGGCGGGAGCAGGCGCCTGGGGCTGCGACACCTGCGGCGGCGGCTGCTGCTGCTGGGGCATGAACATCGAGAAGGTCTTTTCAAGCTCGCTGGTCTGGGGCGCAGGCTGGGGTAGCTGCGGTGGTTGCGGCGGTGTCGGTGCCTGTTGCTGTTGAGTTCGACTAAGAATCGACATGATGCTGCTTAGGTCGGGCATTGGAATGTCTGCGGGGGCAGCGGGTTGTGGAGTAGGGTCGTAGCGCGGAGCGCGCCGTGTGTAAGGCGAATCGTCGGGAGGCACACCGATAGACATGGGTGCCTTTGCGTCAGTGTGAGGTTGCTGTTCGTCCTCCGGAGGCTCACGTGGGCAAAGTGGGATATCGCCGGGTGAGGGGTAGAAGACGAGAAGGGTGTTTGCCTCGTGTTGTTCCTGAACCGCCTTCTCGGCTGAGTCGACCGGGAGGGTTCCTCCGCCATATGGCTCGTAATTGCGTTCTCGTTCGGATTCCGGAACGGTGCTAAAGTCGACAAGCGAAGGCGTGCGCCAGGGACGGAAGTCTTCCTCACTTGGGCGATCATCATCATCGTCCAAGTCCATCATGTCCTTGTGCTGCTTGAACATGCGTCCTTCGCCGCCGACGTCGGCTACGTCACGAACCATGGCTGCATCGTGGCCAAGCTCCTCCTCAGGATCGTGGGTGAAAAGACGGACAGACTCAAGTTGGTCTTTGTTTCCAATGCCGTTGTCAGCCCACTTCACCCGCAGCTTGCGGCGCTCTTCTTTCCTGAGGCGTTTCGCCTTCTCCTCTTCTGTCTCAGGCGGGCGGTTCTCCTCTGGTTTTGAGGCAGGCTGCTGCTCCTTTGGCTTGGTCAGATTAGCCATGGTCTCGGCAAAAGAAAACCTTGGTGCAGCAGGAGCAGGGGCGGCAGGTTTCTTCGGTGCTGCAGTCGTTCCAGCAGTGGGCTTCTGGACAGTGGCATTGGACCGCTTTGATGCAGACTGAAGTCCCGCGAACATGTTGGGCTTTGAGACCATCTTGGGCTTGGTTGCCGCCGATGCTGCGCCATTCGCTGAGCCAGTTGTGGTTGTAGCACCAGGCTTCTTCAACCCAGAGGCAGCGGTCTTGACACCAGCAGTGGCAGTCGACGAGGGTGCTGCTGCGGAACTTGTCTTCTTGGCTGGCTGTTGGGCGGAACTGTCACCAGGACGGGGCCGTTTGACGCCAGCGACAACCGGAGGCTGCGGTCGCGCACCCGGCTCTTTGGAAGCTTCTGCTTCCTTCTTGACCTCCACCTTCTTTTCGGATGCGCCGTTGGTAGTGGCAGCGCCAGACTTCTTCGAGTTTGTTTGAGCCCGCTCTAGGATCTTCTCCGCCTGCGGCTTGGTGCGGTCATCTCCCCTGTTGAGATAACGCTTCAAGGCGGTGTTAAGTTTGGTGCGCTCAATGTGTTCCATGGTGATGTTCTCGCTGCGAGAGAGCAACTATGGGGCAAGTCAATCATTTGTTCCATTACATTAAGATCGAGATTTATTACCTCGATTATAGCCTTAGAGAAAGAGTCGTTGTATTCATTCTCTCTAATACGGTCTGCCAAGAACTGGTATGCGAGGAACAGGAGGGGCGCGTTGCCTCCGAGTCTGTAACGGAAGGGTCAGTTGCGCACTTTTCAAGCAATTAACCGCGAGTTGCGGTAGCAGCGAATAGTATTAAAGCCTCAAAGTAGCCGCAAAGGTGAAGTGCTCCAAATCCCCGCCTGGGGTGAAGTGTGCATTGATCACAACACGCACAAGGCACGTGATCTGGCCAGGGGTCGGCCGATCGCAGACAGGGATGTCAATCACAGCTATGCCAGGTTGCATATGCAGCCTTTAGGCCTTGTCCACCGTCGCCGCAGGGCATGGAGCTTCAAAGGTGAAGCCCCAGCCGCGTCTCCCATTATGGCAGATGACGGCGCGGCAGCTTGCTTGCAGCCAAAAACTAACCCGAACAACCAGTCCAGGGTGCTGTGGTGGGGTGGGCTCGGGGGATTCAACGGGGGAAAACTTACACTCTGATCACATCTGGGTGTCCATGCTCAAGCGCGGATTTCAGGGCCATCTCCATCAAGGAACGCTGGTCCTTGACTCTGCCCTTGAGCAGCTCTATGTCTCTAGAGTTCTTCTCCTGCGCTTGCTTCAACGCCGCCGAGTCCTCTTTCCATCTGTTGCGGACGGCCTGGAGGATATCCCAGTAATCCTTTAATGCTGCTCTAATCTCATCAGCTGTAACAGGCAGGTTACGTGGCCTCCAGGTGGCCTTGATAGTGTCGTATCTCATGGCAGGAAGGGCTTCGACGGGGCGAGTGCTAGGCAAAGGTGAGGGCTCAGGCGTCTCATCATCAGAAGACTCGTAATCAGAATCATCCTCCGAAGTCTCCGTCTCACTTGAGGAATCGGAAATCTCATCCTTCACACTTGAAGGTGATCCATAAGAAACTGGTCTGGTGCGCGCAACCTTGGCGGCGGGCGTCTTGGCCTTCTTCGAAGCCTTCGCGATCTTGGCTGTAATGAAGTTAGCTGTAGAGCCTACACGGCTAGCTGGAGTGGAAATACCCCGTAATCTCTCGTCGTTGGCCGCCAGCTTCCTCAGTTCGTTGCGAGATTTGCGAGCCTGGTACTGCGGCAGCGATGCTGGAGACAAGTCAGTGGGGGCACAAGAGCTAATTGAGCATCTGAGCTTACACTTCATGATCGGCATTTCAACGGCATCATTGCCAATGTACAGGAACTCGTGCAAGCGCACCGAGTTCGTGTTTGCGGCGAGCTCATTGGCATCGATGATGTAAAACTTGCCCGACGGCTTGCCGGCAGGAGCATCAGGATACTTAGCAGGGGGTGCGGGAATGTATGCTGGCGCAGCAGCGGGCGGGGTGCTGGCTAGGGTTTGCTGCTGGCTTGCATTGTTCTGCCGCTGCTGATTCTGCTGCGAGTGAATTAGTACTGGCATATGACCTTGGTACGGAGGCGTAAGTACCTGGAAGTCGGCCACGGGGGGCGTGCTAGAACTGTAGGAGGCCTGGCGCAGAGCTTGCGGGGCAATAGTGTTGGCTTGCGCGGCCGAGTTTGCGTACATGCGCATGTTGGTGTTGTTGAAGTTGGGATGCTCAGCAGTGGCGGTGGACATTAAGGCAGGATCCAGGTTATTTGACTGGAACTGCTGCTGGTGGGCAAAAGTCTGACCGCCGTAGGGGGCGGGGCTGTTGGAGAAATCGCGGCCGCCGTAGAAGGCGCCGCTGGAGTCGAAAGTGGCAGGCATGGGCTGCTGGTGAGGCTGCTGCTGCCACTGCTGCGGCGGCGCGCCCTGCTGCTCAAAATTCCAGGCGCCGGCGTCAAAGGTCTGGTCGGCGTGGGCATTGGAGAACAAGTTATCAAATGCGTTCAGCTCGGGCCGGGCGAACATGTTGCTCTGCTGGCCGGCGTGGTGATCATCGAGATGCACGTGATTGGAGGCCATGACGGCGAGTGGCTTTGCTTGTCTTGCAGCTCCGGCGGGCGGCGCAGAGTCAGAGGCGCTCGACGCAAAGCCCGTTAATTACCCGCTTGCAGCTAGGGCGGCGATCAGCGGACAGCGCTGATTGGCCAACACTGCAGGGGCGCCGCAGACACTAGGCGCAACGCGGCGAATTTGCTGTCTCTTTTGTGCGAGCTGAACCGGCGGCGGAGAGGCCCAGGCCCCGTAAGGTGCTTGCTGCGCGTGTGCGAAGGGTGTCCCCCTGGTAGAGAGGCGCGCTGCTGGACGGCCTGCAGCGCGCGTTTGCCTTGCGTGGAGTGGTGATCAGAGAAAACGCGTGGCCGGCGACCAAATCCCGGCCCCAGCCCCCAGCACCGTCGCAGCTGTCTGCCCTGATGGCGACGCTGCGCCTGTTTCCGCCGGTCGTGCGGACGCGTGAAAGGAAGTGGCACAGGAAAAAAGCTTGCAGGCCGCGCCTCTACGACCCGCCGACAATCTGCGCAGTATGAAGATACCTGATGAGATTGGCGTCACGGCGTTGCGAGATGCTTTGCCTGAGGAGCTGGCGTCACTTCCAGCCAGCTGTCACCCCCGACCGCGCGAAAAGCCTGCTCAACCCTCCTCCAGAGCCAGTTATCTGGCGGCGCATGCAGCAATTACGCCAGCAGTCGGAAAGTTCACTATGAAGGGGTGCTTTGAAGGGAGCGGATGGAAAGTGGGCGCATAGCCATGGGCGAGGCGGAGAGGTTGTTGTGTGATGAAGGGAGGAGAGCGGCGAGCGACCGGCGAAGGCGAAATAGCTGGCTGCACGTGCTGCCCGCGCTAGCCCGTTTCGGCCCGCGGTTGCCCGCCTGGTCGCAGCCCGGAGCTGCGCCGTGGCCTCTCTCCAGCTACGTTGTCAGTCGGCAGTGCTGCCACACGCGCGTCGCGACGGTCCAGAGTGCTGCCTGTTGTTTCTTCCGCCGTCTGCGCATGAGGTAGCTCTGTTTCCCCGCGAGCGCACCGCGCACCGACTTCATTAACCAACACGATGGCGACCGCGTCCTCCCACCACAGCTTGAGGGACAGGCAAGTCGGTAAGCTCTACCGCCCTCCGCACGCGGAAAGCTTCGTCGCGAGCTAATGTTACGTGCAGCTTCAATCGAGAAGATCCTCAATTTGAACCAGACCTCCGAGCAGAACGCCGACGAGCACCACGACCCCAATGCGAACGGCCTGTTGCCAAAGTCTACCCCGATCCTGGACGCCAACGGCCAGCCGATATGGAAGGTGCTGGTGTTCGACAACTTGGGCAGAGATGTCATCAGCAGCGTCCTGCGTGTGAACGACCTGCGAAGCTGGGGAGTTACGATACACCTGTAGGTAGCCACGCTCCCCCCGCCGCGGGAAGCCTTCAAGGGTGGTGACGGGAGCTCCAACTGATGCACGCATGCAGCAACATTAACACGACGCGCCATTCGATTCCGGACGTCCCTGTCATCTATCTTGTGGAGCCGACTGCCCAGAACCTCGAGATCATTACCTCCGATCTTGCGCGAGGCCTGTATTCTCCAGCATACGTCAACTTCCTCTCCTCGATACCCCGACCCTTGCTGGAAGACTTTGCGGCAAAGACGGCCGAACATGGAACAGCAGAGCATCTTTCACAAATCTTCGACCAGTACCTCAACTTCATCGTCAGCGAACCCGACCTCTTCAGCTTAGGCATGGGCAAGGAGACATACTGGACACTGAACAGCGCGCAAGTGGCGGATGAGGTTCTGGACGCTGCTGTTGATCGCATTGTGAGCGGGCTCTTCAGCGTGGTGGTCACTACGGGTACGTTCGCAATTTCGTGCGTTGATGCTATCGAGGCTGACTGTGGCAGGCACGATCCCTATCATCCGCTGCCCGAAGGGCGGGGCTGCGGAGATGATCTCCGCCAAATTGGATCGCAAGCTTCGGGACCACATTCTGAATTCCAAGGATAACTTGTTTTCCGGTACAAGTCAAAAGATCTCCGCAACTGGCACCGCTCCTTCCTCGAGACCCGTTCTTATTATTGTGGACCGCAATGTCGATCTAATTCCCATGCTTTCACATTCCTGGACTTATCAATCCCTCGTCAATGACGTCCTTAAAATGCACCTGAACCGTATTACCGTGGAGCTACCGGCCGACGAGACGAACCCAGCCAAGGGCGTAACGAAGAAATCCTACGACTTGAACGCGACGGACTTTTTCTGGTCAAAGAATGCCGGTGCACCGTTCCCCAACGTCGCCGAGGCCATTGACACGGAATTGCAGAAGTACAAACAAGACTCGGACGAGATTACCAAGAAGACGGGCGCCGCCTCTCTGGATGACCTTCAGAACGATGCCAGTGCCTCAGTGAAACAGCTCGGTGCTGCCATCACGTTGCTGCCGGAACTGAGGGAGAGGAAGTCTCTGCTAGATATGCACATGACTATCCTGACGGCATTACTCAAGGCAATTAAGGATCGCCAGCTCGATAACTACTTCCAGCTCGAGGAAAACATAACGAAACAGACAAAGCAACAGATTCTAGACATCATCAAGGACGAGGATAAGGGGAACGAACCGTTGGACAAGCTGCGTCTTTTCATCATTTGGTTCCTGAGTACAGAGCAGGAGGTATCCCGGGCCGATCTGGATCGCTTCGATGAAGCATTACGGGCTACAGGCGCTGACACATCGTCTCTCGCCTACGTAAAAACGTGAGTGCCGCCGTGACTAGGTTTGAGACAAATGGCTGACAGATCAAATAGCGTCAGAGAGATTACGCGGATGACAATGATGTCGTCGGCGCCCGCCCAGCCAGCGCAGTCTGCATCCAGTGATCTGTTCCGCGGCTTCAGCTCCATTTCCAACCGGCTTACGGATCGCTTCAAAGATGCAGGCTTGGGCTCGAATTTCGAGAACCTTATTTCCGGTGTGAAGAACTTCCTTCCTGCGAACAAGGACCTCACTCTCACCAAGATTACGGAGTCTCTGATGGATCCGCAAAACGCGTCTTCGTCTGCGATCGCAAAGACGGAGAGCTACCTGTATTTCGATCCCCGTAGTGCGAACGCACGTGGAACGATGCCCCCTGCAAGCCAAGCGCGGAACCAGCAGGGTGGACTGAGCGGCGTTGGCCGTGGCATTGAGGCCAGTTTCGGACAGCGCAGGCAGGGCTTCAGCGAGGCCATTGTGTTCACTGTAGGCGGCGGCAGCATGGAGGAATATGGAAACTTGCAAGAATGGGCGCAGAGAACCAGCGGCACCGGCGCGCCAGGCACCGGGCCCAGGCGGCGGGTCGTATACGGCAGCACGGAGCTTGTGAACGCGGAGGACTTTATCAACAGCGAGCTGGCCAAGTTGGGTAGAGAAAGCACGTAGACAATGGCTGTTAGAAGCATCTAATGCAAGTAATGTCCAGCCAAAACGGGCGGGCGCGAAGGGCGGGTTTTGCAGGCATAGGGCGGCGTGCATGTGTAACGCGGTGAGGGCAGCGGCGTGGGCCACGGCGCGACTCGGATGTTGGGGCGCGCGGGCTGGGGTGCAGGCCGCGGCGCTCTCTTACGCTGCCAGCTCACACGGCCGCCCGCAACACGCGCCTGGACTTCTCGAAGATTCGCGTTGACCGGTCGCGCTCGGGCGTCTGGACTTCCATCGACGGCAGCTCGCATTGCGCAGGACCGCGGGGAGCAGCTTGGCCGTGCAGTCTCGTGATGAGTGCTGATGAAGTGACATTCCCCGTCGCCAGAGCTCGCTGGGCTCCCGCCATGACATGATTTGCCAAGCCTCTGCTCCGAAACGTCGACGGTGATTTCTCGACCAACGCGCAGGCAGAACACCAACCTCGCCCAACCCACCCCGCCACTCCCCCTCCACCCACCATGGCCCCTCCTCGTCGGGCCATTGTCAGACGGCGCAGGCGCGATGCTGAGGAGGCTACCGAAGATGAGCGCGGAGACTCGCAGAGCGAGGCCTCGTTCTTGACTGACGAGGATGCCGACGCCGACGCCAGCGATCTCAGCGAGAGCGAATCTGTCGCCACGAGGAACGGAGTCCAGCGGCCGCCAAACGGCCAGGCCGCAGCGCCGCCTGCTCCAGCGAGCGCCGGCCCAATGACCGACACCGAGGCCATGATGAACGGGCTGAAGATATCGCACGATGCCGACGCAGTAGACTTCGAGTCGCTGCCCGCCGAGCCCCAGGCACCGGACGCGCCTGCCCAAGACGCACCCGACGGCACCCAGCCTGCACCCGCGAAGCAGGAGACATTGGCAGAGCGCCGCCGGCGAGAACATGAGGAGTACAAGAAAAAGAGGGACGAGGACCCGGCCTTCATTCCCAACCGCGGCGCCTTCTTCATGCACGACCACCGTTCGCAAGGCGCCGGCTCCAACGGCTTCAAGCCGTACGGCAGAGGGCGAGGCCGCGGACGTGGAGTCGTCGGCGGCCCGTACTCGCCTGCAGGGTACGTCATCTCACTCTCACCGTTTTCCGACATGAAGGGACCACTTTTGCTAACTTAGGCTCCAGCATCATGGCCCGCGAGGAGGCCGCAACCAGCGCTCCCTGGACCCACGACCTGCACGAGACCCTCGAGGAGCCCGCCCCTCATCGTCAATCAAATCCGCCGGTCGATACCTCGTCAAACCAGCCCGCCAATGACTCACAATGGTCGAAGCCGCCCGCTCCCAACGCCAAGACGCCTCCGGTCAAGTCGTTCTCGTCGACAAAACTGGTGGGGAACGCCCGAGTACGACTGTTTATCCCTGGCATGCAGGCTCCCATACACTTTGCTGGCGTCCCGATCAAGGAATACACCAAACTCCCGAACCACCGTCCGCCGCTTCGTCGAGACAAGCCAGTCCGCATCTCTCTGCCCGACCAACCGCCCCGCTACATTTTCCCCGCCACAGAGCGTTCCTTTATTTTCATTCCCCGTGCATTACGTCCAAACCAGCAGGGCTTTGGCAGAGGCAGAGGGCGTTTTGGCTCGTATGGAGGCTTCTCGAGCAGAAGGACAAGTGCGTATGGAGGAAGTGTATACACCCCAAGTGTGTTGAGTCGAAGGTCATCGCTAGCAAGGGACTATCGCGCAGACGGGATCGTCTCTCCTGCAGGTTCCATCATGTCGAGGCCCCCAGGAGGACCCGTTGACAACCGGCCTGTCGTTCGTCTTCCTCCCGGAAGTCAGCCGTTCCCTGGATCTGGACCGCCCAGCCACCCACCATCTGTTCAAGGAGGAGCAACGCCCGTTGTCAACATGCCGCCACCGCCTGGAGCTCCCATGCAGCAAAGACCACCGTTCAGAGAGAGCTGGGGCGGTCCTCTGCCCATGCATCAACCAAAGCCTCAGAAGACGGTGTCTGTTGCGGGTATCGAATCACCAGCAAATCTGGCCGTTCATGCACCGCAACAGCAGGAACAACAGCCATTCCACCAACAAGTGCCGCAGCACGTCAATGGGGCGCCGCCACCTGTATATCCCTCAAACGTCTCCACAGGCACGCCTTTATCAAACATCCCGGAGCGCGGGGTCCAAGCACAGCCATTCCAGACTTTCCAGCCTGGTTATGCGCCGCAAGGGTTCGCGCCACCGACGTACTACTATCCCCCGCCAGCAGGAGCCCCGCAATACCCTGCGGGCGCGGTCGTCCCGATGTATATGCCCAACCCTCAGCAGGGTGCTTACGCAGTACCTGCCGGCTCAATGCCTGCTCCTGCCGCACCGGTAACGACTGCGCAGGGACAGATGGTGGCGCACGAACAGAATGGCATGGTGTACTACTTCGACCCGTCGCAAATCTATGCGCCGGTTGAGGGATATCCGCCAGCAAGCTACACGGTGCCTGGAATGGGCGGCATGATGACCCCCAGCCCGGATGGCTATTACTACCCACAAATGCCTCAAGGCGGGATGGTATACTATCCCACGCAATGAGACATCTGGGGTCGGCCGTAGCTTGGGTCTCTCAACAGCTCGTCGACTTCTTCTCTTCGCTTCGGGGCATCAGAAACGGTGCCCCTCTTTTAGGATCGCCTTCGACTTCTCTCATCCCGATATTCAGAAACATTCAACCCTTCTCGATTACACCTTTCACGCGACGGCGGGATGTCTTAGCTCCTAATACTCTGGACTTTTTTCGTTTATCATATACTCGCGCGGTTCCGGCCTTGATTTTCCATCTGCCTTGACCGAAGATGCCCCTTATTCTTTTCTTCTTCGTGTTTCTTCTTGGGTTCCTCCTTATGGGTTTCGGCAGCACCATGGTTTGTTTTACTTCATTCACTGCAGCTCTCAGCGTAGGGCTCAACATCTCACACTCACTCCCTTTCATTGTGTTGTACTACTGCGAAAAATGGTTCATTTGTTGCGGGTCTCGTTTTCTTGGTGCAGCGAGCGACGGAGCAAAGGCGATTGGGTTCGGCAAGTGCTAGTTGATTGATGCAGTCGCGTCTATCGTGCTTTTTTGATTTTCATTCGGTTGGCAGCCAGCATTTCATGCGTGATCAGCCATAGTCAGCTGCAGCCTTTACGACGGGTTGGGAGGCCGGATGGTGGCTTTTATGGACAATTGAGAGACCCAAGCATTCGTGCTGAATAGTTCGCCCCCCATGGCCATGATGTATTGAGCGTGCGTTCCAATGGCTGTTGAGGTCTATTATTAACACGGCCGATCATGACGATCGCGGACGCCACCAGCCACACGCTTCCGCCGCGGACAACGGCGCAACGTGCTGACGGCGCGACGCTGGCTAGCGGCGGGCGCTTGGCAGGCTTACAGAGAAAACAGCCTGCAGTGAGCTAGGGCGGTGAGGAGGAACCCGGATTTCGCCATGACGTTGCCTCTGCAAGCAGGATTTGCGAGGTCTGGCTTCGGCTGCAGACTCAGTCCCACACGGCAACCGGCAATCCGGCGCCGGGGTGTTTCCGTGCCGCAGAAGGCCGCGGGGAAGCATGCGTTCGGCCGCGGCATTTTGCCTCGAAATGGCTTCTTGCGTCGCGCATGGCGGCGGGTGATGACGAGCGAGCGACGGAGGCGTTCTCTTGGCTGCGCCCCACGGTAAGGCTGATTGATGGGCTGTCAGGCGCTGCAGGCAACCTGGCACGCTGCTTACGGCGCGTGGCTGGTGACTCCTGCGATGTGGACACGGACACAGGCGGTGTTGGAGGAAGGATGCGGCTGGGGCTGAAAACAACAGGTAGCCTCAGCCCGTAATCCCGCCGGTTCCGAATAATATCTCGTCGCCGGTGTTTCACGCGCGGAGGCTCAAAGAAACAAAAAGGCAACAGTAGCGCGTCCCCTAGCCCCGAGTCCAAGCTCCATGCCCTGAAGCTCGAGCTCGCTCACTTTCTCGTCATCCTCGCTCCCTTTCCGCCCCGACCACCGACCGACCGCGCATCCCTACCCCCCGGCCGACAGCACGACCAACCTCCCGGCGCACGCCCTCTGCCGACCTAGGACCATCTCGCCCTCCCTGCTCCCTGCCCTGATTTCTGTCTTTCAAAGCTAAAACCCCGCACCCCTACTTTCCGGGAGTCCCTGTGACACAGCGCCCGTCCTTCCACGCAGCAATTAAGCTTAAGACGATGCTCCTCGCCCATTGAGAGCCGCAATAGCAATCGCGTCACCTCACCAACCCTCGGATCCCGAAAACCTCCGTTGAGCCTCCCTTGGCTTTGTCATCTGCCATTACCACAGCTTAAGAGCTCATCCGGCCCCTTACCCCAGATTCGAGCATCCGCCAGCCGGAGAACCAGACAACATGGCGGGCATGGAGCAGCTGCAGATCCACAGCAAGGTACGCGTCCGGAGCGCGCGATACTTGGCGCCGCCCGCGGTCGATACTCTGAGATGCTAACAGCACCGCAGTCTTATCTTGTACGCTGGATCAACGTCCCCGCCGGACACTCGATCTCCTGGAGCATTCAGCCGCACAAGAAGTCCGTGAACTTCGGCATCTTCAAGCATCCGGGAACAAAGAACGGCGAGGCGCCCAATCTCCCCTCAACCGTCGCCGCCGGTATCAACGACGCTCCGCAGACCGCAGCCGGCGGCGAGACTGCCGCGGGTCGGCCCCGCGGCTCCTCCATAGGCGCGAACGGGATCGGCGCGAACGCATCACGGAACGACAGAACACTCGTGGTGGAAAAATTACAAAGTATAGGCTTGAAGCCGGTATCTTGGACAGGAAAATGCGAAGCGGATAAAGTTTCAATGGGCCGTTACGACGTGCCCCAGGGCGAAGGAGGCATGTACGGCCTGGTCTTTGACAACACCTTCTCCAAGCAGGTCTCGAAGACGGCGACCTTCGTGCTCATGACACATCCGACCAACGCCGCGCCGAAATCTGGCCATCACCTGCACTTCTCGCAAGCAGTCGGCGGCGCCAGCCCTAGTCTGCCCCCAGGAGATTTCGGCGAGTCGACCGATTCTCTGGCACAGGAGCCCATGGTCGCGGCTGATCCCCGACCCCGTTCCCGCCATGTTGCAGAGGCCACTACGCCCGGTGGCTCTCTCTTCTATACCGGCGTCCTTCTGAAGAAGAGGAGGAAAAGGAACCAAGGATATGCCCGCCGTTTCTTTTCGCTAGACTTCACTTCGTCGACGCTGTCGTACTACCAGAGCCGGAGCTCCTCGGCATTGAGAGGAGCCATTCCGCTCTCCCTTGCTGCCATTGCCGCGGACGAGAAGACGAGGGAAATCTCTGTTGACTCGGGCGCGGAAGTTTGGCATTTGAAGGCTAATAACGCGAAGGATTTTGAGGCTTGGAAGGATGCGCTGGAGCGGGCATCGAGCCAGGCAGGAAGCACCGAATCTCCTGAAGACACCACGGAAAAAGACTTCAATTGGCCGACTCCTGGCCAACCCAACTCGGAGCAAAATGACCGCGACTGGGGACGGATCGAGGCTTTGGTTGGACGTGTTTCCGGAATCCGTGATGCTGTGAGGAGATTGGCTAAGGATACTGATCCGAAGAATTCCTCGACCGCACCATCGGGTGCGAGCAGCATCAAAGGTGGAATCAGCGATGTCACGAGCCCAGCCGAGTCGGCAGACTCCGGGGACTACTTCAAACCCCAAGATGACGACGCCCGCTCGGAGAAGAAGTCTTCGGCATTCTGGAAGAGGAAGCCCAGCGCCTCGGCGGGCAGCGTTCACCGTAAGAGTATCACCTCGCAAATCGCACCTGCTTCTCCGCCATCAGTCCCGCCGGTACCGCCGATCCCCACTACGCCTGGATCGAACTTGACTGTCCCCAAAGTTCGTGCGAATGGTTCTGGGGTCTCAGACGAGAACATACATGAAAATGTTCTGGCCATCCTTCGCGATCTGGATTATGTTGTGTCGGAGTCTGCTAGCCTGCTGACACAGAGCCGGCTCAGGCGCGCACCCACCGGATCACACGCCGAATCTAGGAGGAGTATTGATTCTGTATCTGAAGATGAATTCTTTGATGCTACTGGCGGAGATGAGGATGATCATGCGCAATCTAAACTGCTCACCATCCGCCGGGACAGCAACGATGATACGGGAGACAAGAACGAAGAGGTCTCTGACGGTGAGTCTGAGGCCAGCAGTGAAGGCGAAGGCACCGGAGCATTCAACCGCGCGAGTCTTGAGGGATTGCCTGGTCTCTTCCCACCTAAGCCGAAATCTCTTACTCCACTGCCTCTCGACAAAGTGCAACGCCGCACGACAATCGCTGCGCCCAAGGTTGCTCCTCCCAGTTTGATCGCCTTCCTCCGCAAGAATGTCGGAAAGGATCTCTCCACCATCGCAATGCCGGTTTCTGCAAACGAGCCTACCAGTTTGTTGCAGCGTGTTGCCGAACAGATGGAGTACTCGGAGCTCATCGACGCTGCCGTCAACGCACCTGCCGAGGATGGCTCACGCATTCTGTACATCATGGCTTTCGCCATCTCTTCATTCTCCAACGCCCGTGTTAAGGAGCGCGCCATCCGCAAGCCCTTCAACCCGATGTTGGGTGAAACGTTCGAGCTCGTCCGCGAGGACAAGGGATTCCGCTTCCTTGCCGAGAAGGTCTCGCACCGGCCGGTGCGCATGGCCTGCCAGGCAGAGGCGAAGGAGTGGACGTTCCTGCAGTCGCCCATGCCGGTGCAGAAGTTCTGGGGCAAGTCGGCGGAGCTGAACACTGACGGACGCGCGCGCGTCTTCCTGCACAACCCCAACCCGAACAACCAGGGCGAGCACTACAGCTGGACGGTGGCGACGTCGTTCCTGCGCAACATCATCGCGGGCGAGAAGTACGTGGAGCCGGTGGGCACGATGACGGTGGTCAACGAGACAACGGGGGCCAAGGCCATCGCGACGTTCAAAGCCGGCGGCATGTTCGCGGGCCGCAGCGAGGAGGTGACGGTTCAGGCTTTCGCGCCGCCGGACCAGGGCGGCGCGCAGCTGTCGCTGGGCCTCGCAGGCAAGTGGACGGCCGAGCTGCACTTTACGCGCGACGGCGCAGACACCAAGCAGACGGCGTGGAAGGCCGGCGGGCTCGTCGACCAGGCGGAGAAGCGCTACGGTTTTACTACCTTCGCCGCCGGCCTCAACGAGATCACGGCTGTGGAGGAGGGCAAGATCGCGCCTACTGACAGCCGTCTGCGCCAGGACCAGCGCGCTGTTGAGGAGGGCGATCTCGATCGCGCGGAGGCGGTTAAGGCGAAGCTGGAGGAGCGCCAGAGGCAGCGTCGTCGCGTCATGGAGGAGCATGGCCAGCAGTGGAGCCCGAGGTGGTTCGTGAAGGTGGCGGGCGGTGAAGGTGCGGCTGAGGATGGTAGCGGCGGCGAGGAGGAGTGGAGGTTGAAGGCGGGTAAGGATGGCTACTGGGAGGAGCGTGCGGCGGGTAAGTGGACGAATGTGGTGGAGGTTTTGGATGCGTAAAGAGCACCATCCAGGAGGTTCTAGGGTGTATTATATGACGGGGAGGGGAGGATACGAGGGTATGGGATGATGGTGTGTGGGAGGGTGGGTTGCTTCTTCTCTTTCTTCTTTTGTTGGATCAGAGGAGCTGTGTAGGGGGTTTTAGATACCATAGAGTTTGCTGTAGTCCTTTGTCGAACCTTATTCTTGTTCATCATCATTGTTGCCACGTTGCATCATACCACCTCTTTAGAACTTGATGAGTTTAATCAGAGCAGCAGTGTGACAGTTGATCAACTCGTACTGTTTAACAGGCGATTGTGTCTTGTGTTTCTTTTTGCAGACCTGAGAAAAGTTGTAATATGTCGTACGGTCTCATAGGTGCATCAACTCCTCAGTCCAGATGTCTCGCACTACTTAGTATACAGGAAGACCAGCTTTAGGGTGTCGTAGATCAAGATGAGATGCGAGGAGTAAATAGAGGCGAACTTTTTGGAGAAGTCTTCCTGTAACAATCGTGCAGTGTCTCGAGCATTTTACCAACATAACTTGTAAACTATATACACGCGATGCCTCTCAAGTCTCAAGCTAATTAGGAAGAACAATGACTATCCCGCTGAGCAAACAAGGCCCCCCATCTGATCTCCGCTCAATCAAAAGGCAAAATTATCCTGAAATTAAGATTACGAAGTACACCTCCGGGGAATTACATACGTTTACGCTCCGTTGATGATATCAGCAGCGATCTTCTCCGCAATCATATCTGCAAAAGCTCGTCAGTCACAGATTCCAGAAGCATCACCGCATTAGAGGCAAGGAAAAAACATACAAACAGTACTCTGCGGATGTCCCGGCGGCAGCGTCGGGAAGCTACTCGCATCCACGACCCTCAACCCCTCCACACCATACACGCGGGCCTTCGAATCCAGCACCGCGCCCTCATCATCCTCGGCGCCCATCTTACACGTGCACGACGCGTGCCACACGGTCGTCAGGCTCTTCTTGATCTGCGCGAGTATCTCGTCGTCCGTGCTGACGGCGTCAGTGCCCGGGTAGAATTCGTCGCCGATGACGACGCTCGCCATGGCGTCCGACGCCCAGATCTCGCGCATGCGCTTGTACATGGCGACGGCGAGCTCGATGTCGGAGGTTGTCGTCAGCCAGTTCGGGTTGACGAGCGGCAGGTCGGAAGTCGAGGCGGAGGACAGGGTGACGTTGCCGCGCGAGGTGGGCGCGACGATGGCGCCGAGGATGGTGGCGTGTTGGGCGGTTTGCGCGGCGACGTCGGCGACCGGGTTGAGGAAGTTTTCGATGTAGGCGTTTATGGTGAGCCACTGTTGCCCGGGGTTAGTCGGTGCCTGTCCTTGCTTTTCGGGGGTGTTTGGGGGGAAGTGTTGTTCAACTACGTACCTCCGCCTCGGGCCAGTCGTCAGTGAACTGTGCCAGCTGCGCCTTGGCCTCGTCGGAGAAGCCGTCGGCGTAGCCGTCAACCTGCGACAGCTTCTCCCAGCCGAGGAACTCGACGACGTTGGAGGCCAGCTCGCCCGTCTGGGTGGCTATGTAGTCGGCGAGGCGCGTGGCGGCGTACAGCGGGTCGCGGATGACGCGGTTCAGTGTCGTCAGGCCGACCTCGTACGACGGGCCGAACATGATGTGGTCCCACATGTTCTGGCCAACGCCGGGGAGGTCCTTGACGACGTCGATGCCGAAGCTTTGGAGATGCGCGGCGGGGCCGACGCCCGACACCATGAGCAGCTGCGGCGACTGGAAGGCGCCGGCCGACACGATGACTTCTTTGGTTGCGTTGAGCGTGTACGTCACGCCTGCCGTCTCGACCTGGACGCCCGTGGCTTTCTTGGAGGAGTCGAAGATGATTTTCTTGGCCAGGGTGCGCAGGTAAACCTTGAGGTTGCTGTTGGACGCGGCGCTGGTGATGAACTGGTCGGAGCCGCTGCGCGTCGCGTCGGTGGGCCGGATCGTTGTCGACAGCCACTGCTTGCCCAGCAGGCTGCCGCTGTTGAAGTCGGTGATGGTCTTGATGCCGACGGCCTCCATGCCCTTCTCCAGCCACGTCGCCGCCGCGCTGACGAAGTTGGAGTAGCCGACCTGCACGGGGCCAGAGGTGCTGGCGGCGAAGGCGTCGGCGTTGTAGGACGTCGTAACGTTGGAGCCGCGCTTGGCGTCGTCGGGCGCGGTGAAGGTGAAGCTGTTTTGGAAGTGTGACTGCGTGTTCGCCCAGCTCCAGCTGTCGTCGCCGAGGAGTTCAGCCCATTCGTCGTAGCACTGCTGTGTTCCTCTGCGATCCCTTTAGCATCGGTGCTTATTTTTGTACTTCGGGATGGGGGGGCTTACCTCTGGTAAATCATGAAATTCAACGCCGAGCTGTTCCCACCCGTCAGCACCTGCAGTCAACCCAAACACTTCAACCCACAACTTAACCTACCTCCCACCAAGACACTTCCCGCGCGCATAATGAAACGTCCTCCCATCCGCGCCCGCCTGCGGCTCCGTCTCAAACTTCCAGTCGACGAGCGACACGGCATCCGACATGTCCATCCCGATGTTGAACACGTCGCCCGCCGGCGCCGTCGTCAGCAGCGGCTTCGAGATCTGGTAGTAGCCGCCCGCCTCGACGACGGCCACCGTGTGGCCCGCCTCGGCCAGCCGCACCCCGACCACGTTGCCCGCCGTCCCGCCCCCGACTACGACGTAGTCGAACGATGCGGTTACGCCGGCGGCGCCTGCGATAGTGCCGAGCGTCGTGTCGACGAAGCCCGCGCCGCCGATGATGGTGCCGAGGAGGTCGGTTAGGGGGCCGAGGACTTGCGGGGCGGCGAGGGCGGCCGGGGTGAAGAGGGGGAGGAGGGGGAGGGCGTGGGGGCGGCGCATGGTGGGCGGTGGTTAGGAGGGACTGGGAAGAGTGGTGTCAGATGAATGGGAATGAAGGGTCAGAACGAGATGCTCAGAGAGAGCAGCAGGGAATGAAAGCAAACGCTGCCTGAAGAAATCAGAACGCGGATGCAGACTGGATATATATGAATTTCAAGGTCAGCACCGCGGTTTTGGAGGCACATGAAGTACCGCCGGAGTCAGCTGGGCAAAGGTCAGCCTCGGTGAAGTCATGCAAACTCGCCATTGGTCGTTCCACCACAAGCCGTTCGCCAAACCTAATTATGGAGGGCTACCATGGTGGGGAAGACGATCTAGAGTTATTGTTTTGCGAGGAGCACGGGACGGAGATGGCCTAACCGGATCGGGGTCGCGGGTATATCGAGTGTTGCCGACTCAGGCTTAGTTCCCGCTGATGAACGCGACTAGCGGAGGATGGGCCGGCCCAGGTTGATCAAGATGGAGCTTAGCGCCAGCCCAAGCTGGTTTCAGGACACGAATGGGTGCAGAAAGTCGCCGTTGAATGGCAACGAGGATACTCCATTCAGCCGTTGTCCCGCTGACGAAACTTTCGCGTGGCGTATTGTCGAGAGCGTTGCGGCCGAAAGTCATTCTCGAGCTTCCCTTGACCTCGCCCTTCCCTGAGGATCTATATCTTCACTAGGAACGTTAGCATCTATAAGGGCAACTTAATGCTCATTTCCTTTGCATTCAGCACTTCGAATGCATTTAGCTGTGTTGGTGAGCCTGTGAGGATTTAGGAATTAACCCAAGAGACTGCTTGGTCGGAGTGGCAGTCCGGGCCGACCTTCCAAGCAATTTGGTGGGGCTCAATTTTTACAGCTGCCTTTTACCCGAAGGCGTTTGTGATCTGGGGTCTACGTAATCCTCATAGAAATCCAAAGACATTGTACTTTTACGAGTCATGGAGGAAACGACAAAGACACTTTAACAAATTGTTTAAAGGAATGAACTTCAAGGTTGGAGGCTATGAATGCGCAAACAATGTGCATCTGCTGCATGGGAAGAGCAACAGAAACGTTAGAATAGACTCCTCACAAAGTAATGCAATGCAGCCGAAATCTAGCATGAAGATGATGCTTCCCAGATCGATCCGATCTCGACCCACCGCACCACGTCACCGTACATTGCCAACACCCCTTGTCCGACAGATCGGTAATCGGCACAGCCAGCCTAGACTTCAGCTGCCACTACAATATACGAGCTTGCCAAGAACTTTTGTCAACGCCCAACCATTGCTTTTTTGTCTTCCGTTTTCCCTCTTTGTCCGGCGTCACGTCGTACCTCGTACCACCCGCCCTATTCTAGCACTCTCCCCGACTCAAACTAGACCCTCCGACCCAAACTAGACCGCTCTTGCCCCTTCCTCTACTATTCCAGCCTGCTGTCCCGCTACAACTTCCATCGCCGGCCCCCACTGCTCATCTCCACACGCAGTGGTGGTCACGTCCGCCACGACAAACGTCCACGTCGGCTTGAACACGCTTCCCATCACTGACTCGATCTCGCCACGCCCGCGGTGAGCGCGCGCGCCACATCAGGTTATCCACCGCTGTCGCCGTCGCGCTCGCGCCGCTCCGATGACGATGACGAAGGTGGTGTTCGACGACGAGTCGAGGTCGATGGCCCGCGAGCGCGCTGTTGACGGGTGAAGCCGGCCGGCGGTGGCGGCGAGCGGACTGACACGAGGAGAAGCGCCAGGAGCGGGCGGGCGGGCGGACAGGCGGGCGGTCAAGAGTGGGCGGCGGCGGCGGAGTCTTGGCGGGAGGAGGGGAGGAGCGAGGCGCGCGGTAGCGGTGGGCGACGCTAAGGACGACGAGGGCTGGCGGGGCAGCGGAGCGGCGGGCATGCTGCGGAGGCGGGGCGCGCGCTTAATGGGGGAACGGTTAGAGCTTGCCGGTTCAATATGGCAAGCCGGCGATGCAGCCGGATGCCGTTGGGCAGAAAGGCGGAGCCCAGGGCGAGGTCGTTTTGAGGTAGTAGAAGGAGTAAAGGCGGGTAGAGATAGACGAGGTCATTATACTCTAGACGGTGTGGGTAAGAGCGCCTAAAACAAAAGGACTAACCTGGAGAAGTAGATAGAGGTGCATGGCAGAAAGATGAACTTGGCAGTTCAAGAAACCTCTATCTACCTGGCTGCCTTTAAGAGAAAAGCAAAAAAAAAGTCTTTTCAGCATAGAACTCAACCCGCACACCCTGGGTGTTAAACGGCCACCCAACTTTCGGAGCCATAGCCAACCACGATGCTTTCGCACATCAGCTTTTACGCAAGCCCCGGGGAATTCACACCACGCGTGGCAGGCCGTACTAGTTGCGGGAGGCAAGGTTGAGGTCGAGCACGGATCTGAACCGAAGCCCTAACTCCGACCGAACAGCACAGGGAGACCTGATGGTTAGCCAGACGCCTCCCCTGGCACTGCCGTAGACCCACTCCGGTCACAGGTCACGAGCATGCATGCACAACGTCCAAGGAGAACTTACCAGACTTACCGTGTAATCCCGTGTCGGGATTCGAACTGTCGTTCGTGGGAAGGGAAGCCATGGCAACTTCGCAATAGACCTGCTATTTGTTAGTGCTTGATGCTGCCACCGGCTGCGCTTTTATACCCCATACCCACCCACGACCACCCTGGACACGCATGTCGGGGAGTCACCTCTGCTCACCCTACAGTCGCACTGCAGGAGGTCACCGTTGCCACCTGATGGACCGTTGACATCGCAACTCTCACCGGAAAAACTGCAAACACATGCACTTTGAGAACGAGGGGATAAAACAACCGCTGCGACTGAGCGATTCATCTAGCTCTACCTGAGAGCACCTCGCTTCTGTTGCAACTTCAGCACCAACTCGACTAGGTATCGTCACCCAGAATTTAAGCTAACAATGTCCGTCTCATGACAGACCGACATTTCAATTACTCGAGCAAGTCCCAATAGTTCAAGTCTATCTGCAGAACAGAATGTCCTTCTACCATACCCACAAGCTTACATCGCATGCCAGACTCCACGAGCCTTTCAGTTAGTTCTACTTGTTTCAAGTACCAAGGAATGTGCTTGTCTCTCGCCAAAGGACGACTTGGAGGAATGAGCTTCATTTTTAGGCTTTCTGTGCCTCTCTCTTTCAGACACTTGTCTCGTAAAGTGCCTTCACAATCCCAGACATAATTTCCTGTTGCCGTATATCCAGTGATATGTGCAGTAGAAGACCCATGGCTGGCAGAAGCTGTTTGGTTTGTGTTCCCTTCTTCTTCCAAGGGCCTCACATGTGAATATCACTAGTCTTGGATTCCGTCTGGGGAAGACCTATTCTAACGGGTGACTCACTTCGATTCTCCTTGAGAGGGTTTGAGGTGAGGTCGAATGCCTTTCTCAATGGAGCGAATATATCACTTCTCCCCCCAAGCGCCACGTAGCATCTCATAATAAAGAGAGCTAGCATACGAAGATTGATCTTGGGCTGAATTGGAAGGGGATGGCCTTGGTCAACGACAGCGCGAAAAATAGATGCCATCAACCGCTCTGCCATTTCATAGTCGCGATTGAAAAAGTAGAAGCCAGATGCAAATATCACGAGTAGGTATGCTGATTCGGGCTGCCGATCCAGTGACGGAAGCGCAAGATTGAGAACGAACCGGACCAAGTCGTCGGTGAACGCCTTGTTATAGCAGACCCAATGTCTCAACGCAGTCAATGCTTTGTAGTGACCGCACGAAGCGTCCAGATTGAAGCCTTGACACAAGTCGAAAAGAAACGTAAAGTCAGACGTTTCCTCTGGTAACACTCTCCTGCATGCGAGCTCCTGAATGAGTTCTACAACGCAGTTGGTGTAACGGTTCACCCCGTACCAACTCAACAACACTCAATATGACTCAAAGACTAACCATGGATATCAACAAGAGCCTGTTGAGCTACTACAGGCCACGTTACATAGTTAGGTTCACATATATAAATCAATCAATCCTCAGGCGAATATGCTCTTCAGCGATTCGTTCTGAATTCAACTGTGCTCAATATTGTCCTTAGATTCAAGTGTGCTTTACAGTTGGCTTGCGTTTGTAATGTGTTAACTTTCCCGTCAGGTGGAATAGCTGATTCACGTCTTTGAGTAGCATGGCTTGCGTCCGGAAAGGACCCAACGTTATGCTTTGTGGCAAGATCGTCAATGTCTAGGTCCTCTTGGACTCCAGCTGGTGAGCCATGTGGTGTCCAATATGACAATCCTGGAGGGGTCTCTATATTTCATGATTCATTACTTCATGCTACGAATGGCGTATGGCGCAGGATGCTTGTGAATGTGTAATACTTACGGTCCCTAGAAGATTCGTCTGTATCCTTTGCGGGGGTGATCCTCCACCCTAGTCGGCTCGTGAAACGTGTAAGTTTGCTTGGGTTAACAGGCTTGCCGTGGAGCTCGAATTGTGTTTTTTTGGTGGATTTTCCTATTCGCGGCGACTCGTGACTCGGATCATGGCCCAGTACTCGTTTTCTTTGATGTTTTTGTTGTTCATCCCCCATTTGGAAAAAAAAACTTCTTATATCGATTGATCCTTCAATAATCAGCAAAACTTCTAGGGCATTGCCTGTGATGAATACGAATGTGGCCTTGAATCCGTGCTCTAATTCCATACGAGACATACCATCAGCCATGGTGCTGGACATATAAATGTCGCAAATCGTCTGTTTATGCACCTGCCAATCTTCGCTCTGAGGTACCTGCGAAGTGTTTGCCACCTTCCTGCCTGTAGGAGACCTGCCCCTCGCTGGGTATTTCCCGCATGCTTCATCCAAACTTTGGAACAACTGCGGCAACTCGTGGGTTACAGAGACATTTGTAAGCAAAGTGATAATAGTGGAATTTTTCGGCCAAATTCAAAACTTCCACAAGGCGCTCAGAATGTCATGGCTGATGTATAGCTAAGGGTAACGGCAAGGGTGAGATATAAGATGACATTGGGGCCGAGCTGAGCGAGGCTGAGCTGATGATGAAACGCTGCATGGTGGGGTCTTGGCCTAATGATCTTTGGGTGTTTCCAGACGTAGCCAGTCGTAAGCCGCTGCAAAAGTTCCATGCAGCCGCGTCTCGACTAACTAGCCAGTGATTAGCTATCGCCAAAGGTTCCGTACACACATCAGTCGCGTGTGGAAACTCCCGGGCACAATTACCCCACACACAAAGGTGCCCAAGTGGCTTCATACGTAAGTTCCTTATGCACGACACTTTTGCTACGCGGATGGATCGAGTGAATCTGGAAGATGATGCGAGCTATTCTCCTAGAGCCTCTTCGGCAAGTTTACCCAATAGTGGTGTCCGATCCAAAGGTTCCATGCATATATGGAGGACCGTGGGGTTGTGAATCTGATTGTTTGCCTAATCGAAGCTCGCAACAAAGGTTCCTTGCGTAACATTATGATCCGGCTTCAAAGAATGAAAATACGAGATCGTGGCGAGAGTACAAGAATTGAAAGGGCTTTTGGATTATCCGTGATCATGAGAGGTCAGCACGACACGGCGTGGTACAGAAAGGGAAAGGGTAACGAATTCTATCGAGCCTAGTCGTGCGACCACAGACAGTTGCAGCCAGCCGCAAACAATAGATAAGAGTCACTCACCATCAGTGGGGCTCTTATTAGCGCTCTGCCAGTTCCCATGCTTAACCACCGTTTTCGGGCCATCGATATCTGAACCATCATTCTATCAAACCACAAATTTATTCTTGTTCGGATTTCTTCAATAAATGTTGCATCGGGTGAGGCTAAATCCTTTGCCCTTGTAGAGCAACACGAATCTGACAATTTATAAAGGACCATGGCAGATACACTTACACTTCCTGAAGTATATCTGTGCTATGATCATTCCATCTATTTCTGGCACAAGATCAGTCCCTGTAGAGTTTGACGACCCCACTAATACTACTTTGGTAAATGGCGAGTTTCCTTTACAGTATTCAGCCCTACTAATAACGTGACTCTGCCAGATGATAATGCCGGCAGACCAGCCTCGCAAAAAGTGCCCTCTGGATGGTCTGTCGAAGCTTATTTATCACTTGCTACACTACTCGCAATGATCGTCATACCATGCCTTACCTACATGTAGCGCAAAGGCTATCCGCAGAGTATTAGGGATCGCCTGTACCATACACCCCGAAGAGCATATTACGACAAAGGTAAGACAACGCAAGAGGATCACATACATCTTTACGGCTAATAAACGATAGGTGTAACATGTACGCTTTCGTTCCACACTATTCAATGTCCTTTTGAGGCTTCTACGGTGGAACGGCGAACTGGGAAGAAATAGCAAGCAACCGGGATGGTTAACAAGCTGTGAAGCACGTTAGTATCTCCTTAACACTATCATAATTCTGTAAACAGTTATTACCTGTTATCTTCCTAAAAAGCCGAAAGTCATTCGTTACTTTATCTCGTTTGCTTTGCTATTGCTATAGTATTGATAAGCAACCTACAGGGCACGCTGTGCATTGCTAATTGCTTGCTTATTTGCTTGGCCTGCTTCGTAGTTACTATTAAGTTGTTTCTTTGTCTTCTACTTTGCTATACTTATTATATACATGAGTGTTGAAGAGTAAGAAAAGAATTGCTAACCATATACATGTGCTCGTATATAGTGGGTATAATAAGGCTTTGTGCTCTCGTAGAAGTTCCCATTGTATCCGCTTCAGACAAGCGCTTCGGCTGTAGAAGCCAGTACCCATTGCGTATTTGAGAGCAGGTGTCTCGCGAAATTTGGCACGTATGGGTTTCAACATGATCAAGTGTTGGAAAGGCGTCGACATGGCCTGTCTTTTGGAAAGGCAACGTACGGCCTAATCAGAGGTGAGAGTTTATCTTTATTTCCTTATTGCGGAAGGGTGAGCATGGAATACAGTTGAAGGAAGTGTGCGAGGTGCCCAGGCGGGTGTACCAGCTATGTCTGTCATAACGTGAGTGGAGGGTGGTAAAGGTCCCCCCTTCTTGTTCTTGACTGAGTGCAGCGATTACATAGATTGATAACACGGACCTGCGAGTGACGAGTGTCCGATCCGCGCCAAGTCCGGGTGATCGATATGCCGTCCTAGAGGGGAAGGAGGCCCCGGTGGTGGTAACTGCCGGCGCATCATTCACCGTTCGGTGTCGGACACTTGGACCGCACTTCTTCGGCGGGCCAACTCTCTACAACGACACCCACTCTTCCGAATCCCAACCTGATCACCGTCCAATTTCCACACACTTTCTATCGAACGCCACCATGTCGGACGACAAGTTGACGCATAGCGCCGAGGTAGGCTACAATCATTCCTCTACCTGCGCGCCTAGCAATGCGCAACACCTGTATAAAACTAACATATCGCGTTCGCTGTAGGGAATGTATACGCCGGAAGGCCGCATCCAGACTATCCAGGCCAACTGGGGTCGCGACACCAAAGCCTGGTTCCCTGAAGGCTGTCACGTGGAATCTGAGCCCAAGGATTGGCCGCTGGAGTTCCTGATGAGAATTGCTGAGCTGTCGCAACTCTCTGGTGCTGATGGCCGCGAGAATGCTGTTCGTCTTATGGCGGAGAGTATCGCAAAGCGCGGTTGGCACAATGTCACTCATAAGTGGCCGGTCACCAGAGACATCAGGTTTGCGATTTTCGAGTACTCTGCACTTATCGCTGGTGGAGGTTCCGGCGGCAATGTGGCAGAGGGCGCCGGTGCTGTTTCTACGCAGCCCACCAGCGCGGATAATGGTGTCGCCTCTGCGCAGTCTACCAACGAGGACAATGTTGCCGCCTCTGTGCAGCCTACGACCGCGAATAATGTTGTTGGCGCCGCTACTTCTAGCACCACTGCAGATAAGTGGTTGGTGCCGATTGCAGAGGAGGACAAGGCCGAATTCGATCGCCTTCTCAACCTTGCCAAGCGCGAACTTCCCAAGGACATGGCGCCGTCGGCCACCAACCTCGAGCCGTTCTACCTTGAAGCAGTCGCCCGTGCCTACGTCAACGGCGGTACTCGCGGTGCCGCCTTCAACCAGCCGAAGCAAGGAGCCACAGTCATGACACCCGAGACTGCTCAACTCGGCCCGTACCACGGTTTGAAGAACAGCACCGGGCCGTTCATCACAACTACCACCGGGTACAAGAACATGGCAAACGCGGAGGAGAACGAGAAGGCAATCATCCGCCTCGAGACAAACTTCCACACTTGTCTTGCCACCATCCTCCAGGACCCCGCGCTCAAGGCGACGGAGATCTTCAAGCTGCCCGCGGATATCCTGAGCAGGCTGGCAACCATCGTCGAGGACTTTGAAATCACCTCTCTGTCCGAATTCCAAGCCCTGTTGGACCAGACGCTGCGCGAAGCTACCTCGAACAGGTCCAACAACTGGCCCGATGGCAGGAAGCCCAACCTCAGCATAGTGAATGTCCGGCAGCTGCAAGTCAACCTGGACAGGCAGAGGAGGGAGGGGTTGGAGGAGTTAGAAAGGGCCGAGAAAGAGGAGTTGGAAAGGGCCGAGAAAGAGGGTGAGTTCATCATGATTGTCAAGCTCAAGGCCCCAAGGGCTTTCCTCCAAGGCCTTTCAAGCCCTGACGAGTTCGCAGAGGAGGCTCGCGCCGCTACTGCTCATCCTTCGCCTGCGCCGTCGACTGGCAATGCTCCGACCCACCCACAACCTGACGGCGGTGCTGCCGCTTCTCAAGAACAGGAAGACGCCAACCAGGAGGTAGCGGGCGCAGCAAGCAAAGGCGACACCGCAGAAGACCCCATCACGATCACCTCGTCCGACAACGGCGACTCCTCCTCATCAAGCGACGATTCGGACGCCGACAAGAAGGACGACGTCCCGACCGGCGTCCCCCACGGTCGCCGCCGCTCGCGCTCTCCGTCCGACGACGACCACCCCAGCAGCCTGCACCCAGCCGCCCAGCGGCGCCGCCTCGAAGACGACGACGACATCGAGGACCTCATCCGCTCCGACCCCGTCTTCGCCCAGCAGCTGCAGGAGGTCAAGGACATGGGCAACAAGCTCAGCGACTGCGTCACCGCGGCCCACGAGCTGACGGCGCGCAGCCGCAGGCTCGAGGACGAGCTGGCCGTCGCCAGGCGCGAGCTGGCGCGCCGCAACCAGGAGCTCGCCGGCGCCAACCACGACAACGGGCAGCTCCGCGAGCAGAACCGCGTCTTGCAGGAGCAGCACGCGCGCCAGATGCGCTGGCGCCAGGGTCAGGCTGATGAGCTGAGGCGCCAGGTTGAACGCGTTGAGGGGGAGAAGAGGGTTGTGGAGGAGCAGAAGAGGGCTGCCGAGGAGCAAGTCGCGGCGTTGGAACGCAGGCTGGTCGAGGAGCAGCGTGGTGGTGGTGGTGGTGGTGGTGGTGGTGGTGGTGGCGCCGCCGTCGACCAGCAGCTCGTAGATAGCGTCGGCCGTCTGACTAACAGCAACGCTGAGCTGGCCATGGCCGCCCACCAGGCGCAGAACACCATCACCGGCCTCCGGCTTGAGAACCGCCGGTTGGCGGAGGAGAATGCGAGGCTCAGGGCTGTGGCTGTGGCGAACGTGCTTGGCAGCAACCGTGCTCCGGGCGGACATGCGGGTAACCAGGCTCCGGGCGGAAATGGGGTCTGAGTTGTGGTGTTTGGTTTCACAGGCGGGCGATTGCATTGTGGGGAACTCACAAGCAGCTCTTGTTCGATGAAAAATGGCTTGGTGCGGGTTCTTTGGAGTTCATGGCTGGAACGGGGGTTTCTTTCTTCAGTCTTCTTTGTTTGCAAAGGCTGAATCGGGGTACGATTACTATTCAGTGATAGACTGTCACGACAAGCTCCGTTTGTGGGCGAAAAGCGGACATGGTATTCACTTTAGCTAGACTCATTAGCTCAATTCAATTTTCCTTGTGTAATATTACGCTGCCGCTTGAACTCTTCTCATCTGTTTTAGTGTCTGACGCTTGTATCTCGCAGCAACGCCCAATTGCCTTTGGCTTGGCTCTCATTCTGGGGCGACATCTGCGCAGCTAGGCGGACACCTCTCTGTCAGTTGAATGAGTTTGTATTGGCGCTTTCTAAAAGTAGCAGGCGCCTGATCCCTATTCGTCCCGGCGGTTACTACGAGGGAGGTCTGATAGCGTGGGCCATTGTCTTTCACCATGACCCGGCACTTAACTGTTACCCGGGCGTCCATTTCTTGTGGATGAAAAGACGGCATAGTCTAGATGCTGAATATGTTGATGTCGGGACAAAGAAAACCAAAAGACGGCGGACGTAGCATTTGCGGTTGACAGCTTACCAAATGCAAGCAGGGCCTTGGGGGCTGTTTGAAAGTAAAAGAAAGTTATCGAAACAAGCAGTACTCATTTCGCCTGAATAAAATGATAGTTCAACAAGTATATGACGCATTGTAGTAGAAGTGGGCTGTTCTAGATGAACAAGTGTTTGGAGTAAAGCTGTCGAGCCGCCGGTATCTTGAAGAATGACCAAGCCGACCCAGAAAGACCTCTTGCAGGTTGCTTCTCTTACAACAGGTAAGACAAAGGCATTCTCTGCGAGGTCCGAGTGTATCTCATGCCTATCATATTTCTAGAGAGTCAAACAGATTGTCATACCAACAAACTGACGACGCCGCATCGAAAACCAGTGCAGGTTAACTGGCCAGAAGCCTTGGGTCTTACGCGTGTTAGTCAATATATAAGAGTCAGTACTCTGTCTCTTTACTAGCCTACCTTTGGAAATATAATCAATCTCGTTTCTCTCGTTTGACTTCAGCAATACGGAGAACATTATGGACAGTTAATTGGTTGAAATTTGAGAACGCGGCATGTTTATTCTTTGACATACTCGCTAAAATTTGAATCAAGAAGACATATATAAGGTATAATGGGTACTCTGCTATTTATATACGGGATCTGCGTGGAGTATGAGTGCCTCTGAATGGCTCGCTCTCTGAAGTCTATGGCCTCCTTGACACCCAAATCAGCGACCGTACAAGTCGAGGGTGATCCGTGACGTAACGGAGTCAGAAACAGGGCGAGGGAAGTAACACTTTCCGTGGACGCTGCTTTACAATCACTGAACGTTGCTCGGCCACCAGCATGCGCGCCCGTTGCCACTGAACAGCCTTGACAACGCTGGCCTTAAAAGCTTCGCAATGCTCGGTCTCCGACTCCTCTACACCCACCGCACTCCAACAATTTCTGACGACCCGACCACTCTTTCTCTTCGGTCAATCACATCGATCAGCATCTTATTCTTCCAAACAACTAAACCATGTCGAACAACATGTCTTCTAACCCTACCGCCTTCAACTTCTCCCTCGCGAGCGCGGAACAGACCAGTGTCATGATCCAGAAGTGCCCTCTCCTCCAGAGGGTCGCGAGTTCTTGGGGCAACACTCCCGCCGACTGGTTCCCCAACGGCGTCAACAACATCAGCGACATCTCCAAGCTCCCAAACGCAACCAAGCAGCTCCTCGCCCAACTCGCCGAGAAGAGCGGCCCGGCAGGCCGTGCCACCTCTCTGAGCCTCATGGCCGAATCAGCCCAGCGCAGCAGGCCCCGCGGCAACCAGGCGCACCGCATCCACCCAGCCGACATCAAACACGCGCTCACGCACTTCACGGCCGACAGCAACCAGCCCGAGTCCGCTGCGCCCTTCGTCCACCGCGGCATCCGCCGCCCGCGCTCGCCCTCGACGGACACCTCTTCCGACTCCGACGAGGAGCCTGCTCCCCAGCGCCGCCGCCTCGAGCAGGCTACCACCAAAGGAGCCGCGGCTACCGCTTCCAAGTCGGCGGCTCCACTGGACGAGCGCAGTCTGCTGGCGTTGAAGGACCTGGTCATTTCTGGTCACGAAGACAAGCTGAAGAAGCTGCAGGAGGAGAACGACAAGCTGGCGGCTGAGAACGCGCGTCTGAATGCGGAGAATGCCCAGGTCGCCAAGCTTGCCGGCACGTTCTGCTCAGCCTGGCAGATGGCCGCCCTGATCAACGGCAAGCAGAGGGACAGGGCGTCGGCGCCGCCGCCGCTCAAGAGCGAGGATATCGATGGTGCGCTTGCTGCGTTCGAGGGCGTCAAGGACAAGCTGGCGCCATTCCTGCCTGAGGGCCTGCGCACTGTCGACGGCTTGGGAGCGCAGTTCGACCGCCTCGTTGCCGACGCCATGGAATTCGAGGACGATGAGGGCGACTGCGATGACATGGTTGATGACGTCGAGGATGAGGAGGAGGAGGTTTGGGGCTATGCCTCTGACCCGGAAGATGAAGACATGGATGACGACGACAGTGGCAACGGCGGGTTCCCGTTGCGTCTGTTCCGGGATGAGCTTGCCAGGGCGAAGAAGGGGACGGAGAAGCAGTGGGTGGTGGATGAGGATGAGGATGACGAGGCGGAGGAAATGGATGACGAGTAGAATGGCCTCCTTGTATGCTTTCTATAGGAAGCCTTGTTGATTAGAGATTGGATTAGCTCTCTAGAGTACCATTCAGGATTGGTCTTAGCCCAGAAGAAAATAGACAACATGGAGTTGCTCATTGATTGCCATCGGACAAGTGATGTGACGTATGCACGAAGTATCTTTGCAGGGCTCTTTTCATACATTCTTGCTGACAGAGCCTGATCGTTCACTGAGAAACGGGAGTTTTGGCTCTACTACAACGCTATCAACACATCACATGTTGGGGGGTAAACTCACCTGACCGTTCGTATAAAGCCTCATTTGAATATTCCAATCGGGACTTCGGACCTCGCTCTGACTACATAATAACAGGGACTAATGAGGAACTGAGGCTCTTCAACAAGCAAGGCTGTTAGTCCAGACCTGGAGAGACTTGACTCATCATGATCCACATCTTGAAATGACAAGGCTCCGTGTATACGTAGTCCAATCACAAGACAATCTGCTGGGTAGCATGCGTCTTGCTCGTCAGCTTGCGTCGCCACAATGCACTGCGCTGGGCGAATTGCATTCTTGGCGCGGGGAAAACTCGCCCTCAGCTGACAGTCCCACCAATCAGAATCACTTCAAGGCTAAACCTTGTTGCTGAGAAAGCACCTTGGCGATCATTGTGTCGGGTCCTCAGCCATGTGTCCTTTTCTTGGCTGCTGACGCGGGATTTTCAGCCTTGATCCATCCTCCCAACGAGAACCAAATGCCACATTTCCATTCTTCATTTCACTCATCACATCACAAGCTATCGAACTCCTCAATATTTGACACAACGTCATTTTTTGACCATAATGGAATCATCGAACCGCCTTGCCAGCCCCCAGCTATACACCGTCGGGTGGATCACTGCTCTCGACAAAGAACTGGCGGCAGCAACAGCTGTTCTGGACGAGGAACACAAAAAGCCAAAAGGTTTCAAGAAGCATCCGAGAGATGATAACAACTACGCATGGGGCCGAATTGGAGAACACCACGTTGTCATCGCCTCTATGGATGCTGGACGTTATGGTATCGTGTCCGCAGCGACAACTGCCATGCAGATGGTCAGCTCCCTCCCCCACCTAAGATTCGGTCTCATGGTTGGTATCGGAGCCGGTGTCCCTAGACTGGAAGAGGGGATCAACATTCGCCTTGGAGACATCGTCGTCAGTCAGCCTACCGGAACAAGCCCTGGGGTGGTGCAATACGACCTCGGGAAGCTAAAAACTAACGGCAAATTCGAGCGTGTTGGCTCTCCCGCTGCCCCACCAGAGGTTCTCCTCAAAGGGTTAACAACTCTGAAAGCGTATCATAGGAGGAAAGGCTCTCAGATACCCAAGATATTGGAGAAGATGTTCAAGGAGAACGACGAAATGGGGAAGGATGGCCCTGATGGCTTCAGGCATCCGGGGGCCCAATACGATCAGCTGTTTGAGACTTTCTGTCATCCTCAGAATACCACTACTGTCGCAAACGTATCTGGCAGCCGGGGCACAACTTCTGCATGCCTTTCTCCCCCATATGAACGAGAACGCCCAGATCCACCTTCGGAAATGCCTCAAATACACTACGGAATCATCGCATCCGGAAATTCCGTGGTGAAAGATGGAATTGCCCGAGACGAGATCTTGAAGCGCATAGAAGACAAGTGTATCTGTTTTGAAATGGAAGCGGCTGGTTTGATGAACAACTTCCCATGTCTCGTAATTAGGGGAATTTGCGACTACGCAGATGAACACAAGAATGACCGATGGCAAAACTATGCCGCTGCAACAGCGGCTGCATTCGCTAAAGAGTTGCTCGATGTCATGGACAGCGAAGATGTCGAGAGTACCTCACCAATGGAGAATGCCATCAAAAACGGTTAGTTTTACAAATTTTCCATGTGCTGTATCAAGACAATTAGTAACTGGAAAAACAGTAGTTGACACAATTGCCGAGATGAGAGTGGCACAAGATAAAACCAACGGCATAATACGATCAGAAGTCAAAGAATACCACACAAGGAAGCTTCAGAAATGGCTCTCCCCTCCAGATCCATCAACAAACTATAAAGAAGCTCTGAATCAACGTCATCATGGCTCAGGTGATTGGTTCCTCCAATCGTCGGAGTTTTCAACATGGAAAGCAGAGCGAGATTCCTTTTTGTGGCTCTACGGTATGCCTGGGTGTGGCAAAACGATTCTCAGTTCCACAATCATTGAAGACCTGATGGAAGGTCGTTCAACATCAGAGGATCCAGCGGTACGCCTGGAATGTAACTTTGAAGGTAGAGGGCGTAATTGCGTCAACGATGACAACTCTGTTGCATATGGTCGAACCAAGAAGCAAACGAAGAACTACGGAAGAGACATAGGTATGAGCAAACGGCAAGAAACTCGCCAGCCTAAGTCGACCTTAAAAGAAATGTGCTTGTACTTCTATTTTGACTTTACCGACAATCGGAAGCAATCTCTCGAAAACATACTGCGATCGCTTATCAGCCAGCTACACAGCAAAAGGAAGGATCTTGAAAGCTATCTGGACTCACTCTACTTGTCGTATAACATTGGAAATAGGCAACCCAGCATTGAGTCGCTTCGCAACACCTTCATGAGCATGGTTGAGGAAGCTGGTGAAGTTTGGATTGTTATTGATGCACTCGACGAGTGTCAAACACGGAAGGGTAATCTAAAGGAAGGGCTACTGGGGTGGATTGAGGCCCTCAGCAGCTCTCAGGATGTTAATATCCACTTTCTTGTTACGAGCCGCCCAGAACAAGACATACAGTCGGCCATTGATAAGTGGGCTTGCAAAGCAGACTCCCGTATAGTGAGAATTTCCATTGAGAGTGATCGAACTGCAGAGGATATACAAGACTATGTTCGCGCGAGAGTTACGCAGTCTGAGGGTTTGAGCCGATGGCATTTGCGACCAGATGTTCAAGAAGAGATTCAGACCACGCTGACCAGCAAGGCACATGGAATGTAAGATTGTCCGACCTTGCTTTCCTGTAGATCGACTAACACAACATAGGTTTCGATGGGTCTCGTGTCAATTAGACGTCCTTGAAGACTGTTATGATCCACAGACATTACGGAAAGCACTTGTGTCCCTGCCACAAACATTGGGCGAGACGTACGTGCGGATCTTGAGCAACGTACCCGACTACAACAGGCATAACACGATACGAATCCTGCAATTTCTGACTTTCTCACAGCGGCCGCTGCATATTGAGGAGCTTGTCGATGCAATCGCAGTGGATCTGGACTATGAACCCTCCTTTGATATCAGAAACCGAATGCCGGTGCCTATGGAGATCCTGAGATCCTGTTCGAGCCTGGTGGCCTTCTCTGAGGACACACGTGAGATTCATTTGGCTCACTTCTCAGTAAAAGAGTTCATAATCTCGCAAGAGGAAAAGGGAATATTCACCCAATCTCTCAAAGAATGCACAGCGCACGAGTCTATCATCGAGGTCATCGTCGGATATCTGTCAAGCCTCACAGACGTTGACGTGGAACCATATTACGACTTCGTAAAGACTTACCATCTGGCGCGCTACTGTGCAGAGCATTGGATGGACCACGCTAGACTTGTGGAGAATAATAGTCCAAGGGCTCGGAAGCGACTCATGGAGCTTTTCTCGAACAAAAAAGCATGGTTCAAATGTAACAGGATCTTTAATCTGGACGACCCAGAAGATGATTGGACCTTCGGGATAAGATGGCCTAATAACATTGTCGAGCCACTATACATCGCATCGTTAAGTGGATTAATATACCTTGTCAAGGATCTTTTACGACAGGGAACCGACATCAATGCAGTCAGTGGCGCGTTCGGTACCGCGCTTCGAGTTGCTTGCCATGAGAGACATTCCGACATAGCAAGAATTCTCATTGAAAATGGGGCCGACGTGGATATTGTCAGCGGATTCGATGATGGCACGGCACTTGTGACTGCTATCGACAAAAACTTGATCGAAATCGCCTGCATGCAAATCGATCGTGGCGCAAATCCTGGTACCCGAGGCAGCTTTTTGGATGGAGACTGGATGGAGGTGTACCCTCTTCACCTTGCGTGTATGAGGGGAGCCGACAAGGTAGTTAAAGCCCTGATCGACAAGAATGCGGATATCAATCTCAAAGACGGAGCTTATGGCACGGCTCTAAGGCTCGCATGTTATTATGGGCATGAGAAGGTCGTCGGATTGTTGCTCGAGCAAGGAGCAGATATCCACGGACAATGCCAAGGACACACTCTTTTACACGAAGCAGTAACATGGGATCGTGAGCGTATAGTTCAGCTGCTACTGGAGCAGGGCGCTGATGTCAATACGCAATACGATATAGGGGTTACTCCACTACACAACGCAGTACGTACAGGTTGTTCTAAGGGTATTATTCAGCTCTTACTTGGCCACGGCGCTGATGTCCACGTGCGAGATTATCTGGACCAAACTCCTTTGGAAATAGCTGAAAAGTGGAATTGCGAAGATATCGCTCAGTTGCTTCGAACGGCAGAAGGTGCTGCGCTTCCGTCCTCAATTGGTGCTCAAGAAGACACCGTTGAAGGGCTGACGAGTTCGACGTGAGACTTCTGTTTAATGGTAAGTGGGGGGAAACCGAAGATTTTATGTCAGGAAATGATTCAGAGTCTGATGAATGTTTCAGGGACTCAACTTATGGCCGGCAAAATTTCAAAACATGTCCTAGGCCCAAACTATATGGATCATCGCCTGTATTAAAATCTTCCCCAGTCGCCGATGACTCTGGAGACTGAGTAGTGGGCGGGACTTTTGACCAGAACCTTTGAGAATCAGCGGCGACACCCACCAGTCACCAGTCACAGGACCGTTACCCTACACATTTCAGTTTCGACCAAGGGCTCTGCTATAAGTTCGCACATCTCGCAAACCAGTTTTGCTTCTCATCGCCATCCAAAACAAACCAAATATCAATCGTACACACGAACTTCTAACGAATAAAACAAGATGCCCGGCGCCGAGAACCCCAAAAAGATGCAGCCCAAGAAAGATCCCTCCTGGGTACGCACCGCCGACAAACCCTCCCTGTCTGAGTAAATGAACTGACAAGAAACCGTAGCCCTGGATCCCGCCGCTCCAAGAGCCCCTTGGACCGAGGGACCGCGACGATGAGCTAGAGGAGCTGAAGCTTAGCATAAAGGCTCAACTCGAACAGAATGGCGAGCATTGGACGACGACTGTCAAGCGGATGGGAGACTCGGTGGAGGCGCATAAACGCTACCTGAGGATGATGAAGGGTGGAAAGTAGCGCTGCTCTGGGCTGTCTGTGAAGCCGGTGTGTGGCGGTGGGACGCTGGAACAACCCAGGGCCTCTTACGGTGCTTTGAGGAACACCATACAACTACAAATTTGAAAATTTCCAATTCCCACATTCAAGCATTGAAGTGCCGTCTCCTTGATGACAATACGTGACAGCGCATTCTGCCAAGTAGCCATCCCCACCAGCATCCCGCCTTCCAACCAGCCTCACGCATCCCTCCCCTCCACCCCGCGCCCACGCCCACGCCCCCTCTCCCCCTCCCCCTCCCCCTCATCCCCCCTCAACACCCTATCCGGCACCCACACGCACCCAAGCAAACACACCGCCATCATTGGCACAAGCATGATAAACACAGCCCTCACGCCCTTCATCTTCGCCTCGAGAATACCATCGACCCACACGCCTCCCCCCTCCTCCGCCTCCGCAGCGCTCCAGCTCCCATCCAGCACCTGCGTCTTGAGCGATTCAGGCAAGTCCGCCGGTAGGGCGGCGCGCATGACGGCGAACTGCACGGCCGTGGCGAGGGCGACGCCGACGACGGAGCCGAGGGCGCGGAGGAGGTTGCGGGTGGATGTGGCGACGGCGCGGTCGTGGGGTTGGGAGAGGGCTTGGAGGGCGACGAGGGCTGGGGTGGGGATGTTAGTGGCTGGACGTAACGGACTGTGGGCTGGAGAAGGGGGGCGGTGATTGAGGGAGGGATTGGGATGCCACGGACCTGGCTGTAGGACGAAGCCGATGCCGGTGCCTTCGATGACGAGGGTTGATACGTAGAGGCCGAGCGGCGTGGTGCGCGAGAAGAGCAGCTTCATGCTGGCGCCGAGGAGCCAGAGGGTCATGCCGGCGTAGAGGACGGGGCCGTATCTGGAAGAAGGAGGGAGGCGTAGTTAGTTATGAGGTGCTTTGTCCATGGCTTGTCTGCGCCATGTAACTGAGTGGTATTCCATCTTACCTGGTAAGCTTGGTCATCAGCGGGCCTGAAAGGACGCCAGCAACGCTCTGGAGTAGGAGCAGAGGCATGATGAGCGTGGCGCTCTGCAGCGGTGCGAAACCGCGCACGTCCTGGAAGTAGACAGGGAGGAAGTACATGTCGACCTGCCAAACGCAGTTATACAGCGCGCTTTGCAAATAAATAACAGTGGTGGAGCGCTGGCCGAAGAGACGAGGCGGGATCATGGGCAGCGCAGCGAAGCGCTTCTCCACGATGACGAAGAGGACTAGCGAGGCGCCGCCGATGACCAACATCGAGATGATCAAGGCGCTGTTCCACGGCCAGGTGCTGCCACCAGAGTTGATCGGAATCTAGCGAGAGGAAGGAGGTTACTACAGCGACCTCCAAAAAAAAAGTGCCAGCGGTCCTGGCGTCCTCAACTTACCAGCACAAACAACACCCCCACCACCGCCGCCCCCAGTCCCACCCAATCAATCTTCCGCACCTTCTCCCTCCACCCCCCCTCCACCTTCTTCAGCGGCAGCGCCACCCACATCGCCCCCGCACACGCCGCCGCCAGCATCGGCGGCACCCAAAAGATCCACCGCCACCCCTCCTGCTGCTGCCCCCCAGTACTACCCCTCGCCAGCATCGCCGCCGCGAGGAACGGCCCCGCGCTGGACCCCAAGCCGATGGCGCCGCTCAGCAGGCCCTGGTACTTGCCGCGGTCGCGCAGGCTGACGAGGTCGGAGACGGTGATCTGGACGAGCGAGCTGATGCCGCCGCCGCCGACGCCCGACAGCGCGCGCCACGCGTACAGCTGCGGCGCCGATTGCGCGAAGCCGCAGAGGACGTCGCCCAGGATCAGGAAGCCGATGCAGGCGAGGAGAAGCGGTTTGCGGCCTATGATGTCGGAGAGGCGGCCGTAGAGGGGTTGGAAGCTGTGGGGAATTTTTAGTGTGAGTGGGGGGCTCAGTGGGTTTCTTAGGACAGGCATGAGGGAGGAGGGACTTAAAGGAGAGGCGAAAGTGGGGAAAGAGAGGGAATGAGATGGGAGAGATGGGGCTTTGCGTACGCGGTCTGGCCCATCAGGTAGGAGGCACCGGCCCAAGTGATGCTGGTGCCGGCATTGAGCGAGCGCGATATCGCTGGCAGGGCATTGGCGGCAGCATTTATGTCGAGAGATGAGATGAAGTAGATGGCAGCTAGGCAGGAGTAGGCGGTCAACAGCTTTCTGAGAGGGAGGCGAGAAGTTTGGTCGTGGATCTCGTGCCGATTCGCGTCTGCCGATGGCACTGCGGTCGCGGCGGTTGCTCGGTGGATAACCTCGGAAGATGAAGATGCATTTTGAGACTGAGGAACTGCTGGTGCTGTGGGTTGAAGTTCTAGTACGACTGGTTCTGAGCGGACTTCTGCTAGAGAGCTTGCACGGGATGAGGCCAGCGTTACGGTGGTCATTCTGCTGTTTCTCAGACCGATTGGTCCTCTGAAGCTTGCTTGAGCATGAAGGCAAACGGTTCGCTGCGGAAGATAGAATGCATGACAATGAGGGGTAGGGTGGGTGACTCAGCAATCAGGAACGCTTGCTATTCGCTGGTGAGCATGGCGTCATTCCGGGCAAACCAAATGAGACGGAAAGAAGAAATGGCTGCGCTCAATCTACACGTCTTCAAGAGTAGACGGTGGAAAGCTCAATCGTTTCGTGATCATGCTGCTATTAGTGTTGGCGTGACGCGGGTGTAATCATGCATATTTTTCTTAGGCGGCGTCTTGAAAAGTTTCCCCGCGCATTGCCTTCAATTCAGGCGAGAAATAAAGCAGCAACGGTCGAGAGGCGCCTTGACGGGCTGAAAAGCATCCAAATCATTGCTGGTAGGAGGCCTTCATCATCACGCTTGCATTACCTGGAAGTGGCTGGGCTTTTCACCAACACCGATTGATCGATGGTCAGTTCAGAAAAGCAGGCAAAAATCGTTCGGAGAAGGTACAGACAGTATGCAAGGAATATGAGGATTCACATCCACATTGCGACCCATTGGGTCTCGCGATGTGGGCCGAGCAGCTCATTTTACCTGCTTATCAAGAGCGGAGGTTCATGACTCTCGACTCTGATCGCCCGGAGATAAGATGGTGGGTTGCAGCGGAAACACCGCAGAATCGGGATCCCCAGATCAGGCGGGGGATCGACAATGCTGTCTATTCTCGGAACCGCAGATTTGGAAAGCTCACGAAGAAGTTGTCTTCATGGGTGTGTACGCAGCATGGCAAAATTATGGCGCAAAAAGCAGCCGCCGATAAGAAGAAGTTTGTATCTGGGAGAGGTGGTATGTCATCGACTTTACGTTGTTAATGGACTTGATGTGGATCGGCATAGATACATGCCGCTGGAGCACCGGAAGCAGGACTCAATGGCGGCGACGTGGCAGCTTCCCGAAGACCTGGCGCGAGGATGGCGCGACCGCGCATTGGCACTGGAATCGAAGGCGAGGGGAATTGATTGGAGCTCGGTACTGTATGCGATCGCAGTAGTTGCCTGTGAAGGGGGCTCGCATGCGGCGCAGTACGTAAACTCGCATGGGGATGAATGAGAAATGGCCCCACAAATGAGGGGCTCAGGCACGGGGTGACAAAGACAACGTCTAGCGAGACGGCCAGGTGTTCGGGCAGGAGGCGGGTGGAGAAAGATGAGACGCTGTGGAAGGCGCGGCTTTGATGAGGCGGAAGAGTCCGGAGATAGGCTGTCTGAGAAATGGAATGGAGCTGACTGGCCGGCTGTGTCGCGTGCGCGCCGAATGCAGTGGGCGTTCCGAATACCGGGGAAGCTCGAGGTCAGGGAGTGCGGTCGCGTTCGGCGCGTGTGGCAGCGTCGCACAAGGCGGCTCGTCAGCCGCGCCAGCCGGCGACAGCGTTGAGCAGCGAGGGGCATGGCGGGGTGCAGACCGCCTTTCATGGTGACGTCGGTGAGGGTGGAGCGTGTTCGGGTCAGTCGGTTTGGGGGCGCGCTGAGAGGACAGCCGCCCGAACTCGGCGAGGTTAGCGTCGATCCCCCACTGGCTCGTCCCTCAAAATCTCAGCGCGCCCGCCGTCCAGCGTTTGACTCCTACGCTGCTTTTTGGCACGCGTCGCCAATACCCCCCTCTCCTTTGCATTGACACGCGCAAGCGTCGTCAATCCTATTCTTTGTCGTTCGCCTCCTCATCTCGCTGCTCCCGTCCGCCTGGCTGCCCGCCATGTCGACCACCGTCGTCTGTGGTGCGCAATGGGGTGACGAGGGCAAGGGCAAGCTGGTCGATATCCTCTCCTCTGAGGCCTCGCTCTGCTGCCGCGCCCAGGGTGGCAACAACGCTGGCCACACCATCGTCGCCAACGGTATTACCTACGACTTCCACATCCTGCCCTCCGGCCTTGTCAACCCCAAGTGTGTGAACCTCGTCGGCGCCGGATGCGTTGTCCACGTCCCCTCCTTCTTCAAGGAGCTCGAGGCCCTGAACGTCCACGGCTTGGACACCACCGACCGCATCTTCATCAGCGACCGCGCTCATGTCGTCTTCGACCTGCACCAGCTGGTCGACGGTCTGGAGGAGGTCGAGCTGGGCTCCGGCCTGATCGGCACCACCAAGAAGGGCATCGGCCCAACTTACAGCACCAAGATGACTCGCAGCGGCATCCGGATATGCGACATCTTCGACAACGAGCAGCTCGCCAACAAGCTGCGCCGCATCGCCGACGGCTACAAGAAGAGGTTCGGAGACCTTCTCAAGTATGACGTGGAGGATGAGATTACCCGCTACAAGGTCAGACGAGACGCTCGCGGAAAGAGAAACGTTTTCTAACCCGTTGTAGGACTACGCCGAGAAGCTCAGGCCCTATGTCATTGACCAGGTGCCGCTCCTCAAGTCGGCCAAGGCTCAGAATGCCAACATTCTTGTCGAGGGTGCCAATGCCCTCATGCTCGACATCGATGCCGGCAGCTATCCCTTCGTCACCTCGTCCAACACTGGTCTTGGTAAGCGGCCCTGTATTAAATGAAAGAGTTGAACATGAGGCGATGCGCGGAAACGCGCGAGCCCATGGTCACTAATCACAACCTCACAGGCGGTGTCCTCACCGGTCTCCCCCTGGGCTGGCGCGCGATCAAGGAGGTCATCGGCGTGGTCAAGGCCTACACGACTCGCGTCGGTAGCGGCCCCTTCCCCACGGAGCAACTGAACGAGGTGGGCGAGAAGCTGCAGTCGGTCGGGCGCGAGTTCGGCGTCACGACGGGTCGCAAGCGCCGCTGCGGCTGGCTCGACCTGGTCGTGGTGCGCTACTCGCACGACGTCAACGACTACACGGCCATCAACCTGACCAAGCTCGACATCCTCGACGACTTCGAGACGATCAAGGTCGCCACGGCCTATCACCACAACGGCCAGGAGCTGGAGAGCTTCCCCGCCAACCTCGACATCCTCGAAAAGGTCGACGTCACGTACAAGGAGCTGCCCGGCTGGAAGACCAGCACTACGGGCGCCAAGACGTTCGCTGATCTGCCTGAGAACGCGAAGAAGTACATTCTCTTCATCGAGGAGTTCACCGGTCTCAAGGTGAAGTACATCGGCACCGGCCCCGGCCGCGAGAGCATGATCATCAGGTAAGATCAGGTAAGGTCCGGCCGTGTGTGTAAGTGAAATGCAGGCGAAATCCTGTAATTTACAGATGTACTTTTCTGGGTGGCTCTTTTTGATATCAGAGCTTCTGAGTTCGCGACGATTTACTGCCGTGCAAGAGGAGGCTTTCAAGAAAAAAATCGGGCTAGAATAGAATAGAATCTTGGCACTGAAAAAAATCCCTCCGATGCTCTGTGTGAAGGATCCTTCAGGGGGCGCGCTGCTAATTTCGCGGTCGGTGAGTCAGAGGCGCCTTTTTTTCCCAACCATCTTCACGTGCGAACTCGCCGACTTTTGACGTCATTTCCCCTTCGCTTTCCGTTCGGCACACGGCGAAAATCCGGGCTTGCTTGACCATCATCCCGTCCCGCTTCTAACCTTAGCTGGACCTCATGCTTTCTTCCTTTTGACAACAACGGTCTTTGGAGAGGCTCGAGGTGAGGAGGAGGGGTTTCCCTGTGCCTCTCATGTCGCCAGCGCCCTTGGATATTATTTTTATGACAAGACTTACTCCACCCGGCGTTGGGTGGGCATTTATCTGTCTTCCAGTGTTCTGACGCAAGCTGATTGCATTGTTTAGGTACTGTGGTTCGCAGGCCTGCAAACGATCTCTTCTTGTCCTAGCCGGGCTCATCGCTCAGTTGACATATTTGCCAGCTCCGCAGCATTGCATGCGCTCCGCGCCAGCCGGGTTTACATCTTGATCTCAGCATTTGCTATTCCGCCCTCATTCCGATGCATTCGCGCTCAACCGAAAGCTACTCCCTTCTACTTCCAATCGGATGTACGGCATCGACAATGCCTCCTCCTGGCAGGCAGAGAAAAGGAATTTTCGCCTGCGCCCGGCCTGCGAATCATCCTCATGGTCCTGCTCCATGTCCAGGACGTGGTTGTGCTTGGTATTGCCGGGGATGCACTGCTGTCTGTGAGCGGTGAAGCGGTCCGAAGTCAGTATTGCTGAGACACGCTTTTGTGAGCGCGATGGTGGAGAATTTCAGGCAGAAACAGCGTTTCTCTGCATTCGCGGGTGTTAGCAGGAAGATTGAAGTAAACAACAACTGGGGTGGGAAGCCATGAGCCGCGCCAAGCCAAGATGAGGGAGATGGAGAAGACGGGCAGAAGATTGCCGGGGTGAGCTTGTGGGCACGCGCGACATGTCGAGGTGGTCGCCTTGTGGAAGTGGTCGCGATGCTGAAGTGGTAGCGTCGGGCGCGACTGTCTTCCGACCAGAGGTGAGCGGCGACACCAGAGAATTTTGCGGTGGAAGATGAGCGATTCTCGAGGCCAACAAGGTGGCAGCAGTGGGTGCCCGAGGGGTGGGATTCTGGCGGGTGCTACTGTATAAAACGCCAAAGTGCGGCGGCAACTCCAACTGACTGGCGCAACAGGTACAATGCGAAGCGTCCAACGCTACCCCCTCCCGACGAGCAACAGTTCGATTCCAGGTAAGTTTCCCCCCGGCGTGTCCAGCGTTCCACCCAAGAAACCGCGGCCCCTCACTCGTGCACCGCTCCCACTCCAGTCACCAACGGTAAGACCCCGCCCTGCTACATCACAGCCCACCCCCTGCCCACAGCACCCTGCCCCAGACTAGGTACATAGATTAGCTTAGGCGGAACGGGTTCACGCCAGCGCTGTGTGGGCTGGGACGGCCCGCGGTTGGTGTTCAATGGCCTATCGGTAGGCTGATATCCTCGGGGGCGCACTTCCGAGAGGGTTGGCGTCAGGGCCGCCGACCCACCAGCGACTGTAGCGGCGGGGCGCAGCGATTTGTAGTATGCCCCGTTAGACCCCGGCTTGGCCCCCGATCACCCACTCCGTAACAAGTAGGTCGAGCCTCTGGCACGGTGCGAAATAGTTGGGCCCCTCCTTGAGAAGCTTAGGGGTGGGGGATCGGGTCGCCGGCTTAAACAATGGGACTTCGGTCATCGACTTCGTGTCACAGATTTTTTTTTTACCTTGTCCCCCCACTGCCGATGCGCGCCGCCAACGTGCGCTCTCGTTGCCGCCTTTTTTGCCTACCACCCGGGGCCCATATCGCTGTCTTTCATCGTCACACTGCCCTTTACGATGACTGACTCCCACTGTCACCTACCCCATCATTGTCGCATACTGACGCCATCGTCTACTACTGCCGTCGCCTACTACTGCTGTCGCCCACTGCCGCTGTCACCCACTGCCCACTGTCGCTGTTCCCCACTCCGCTTATCGTCGCCCACTTCTCTCATCGTCACCCGCTCTCACCATCGTCACCCGCTCTCACCATCGTCACCAACTCTCACCATCGTCACCAACTCTCCTTGTCGTCACCCGCTTCCTTCATCATCATCCACTTACTTCGTCGTCATCACCTACTTCTGTGCTCACCAGCCTTTGCTGCCCTCCACAAATCTCCAAGGCGCTAGCAACCTTCCAAACATAGCGCGCAAACTTATTTCACGCGATGGCCGAGCTGACGAGGCTTAGTCTGACTAAGAAGACAGTTCTCAACTTGACCATTCCATTTCGCAACACGCCGACCGAGAAATCAGCCCACATGCGTGCCAAAGCTGAATCGCCCCGGTCGGACATCGCTTTCGACAGCCGCGACCCAAACCGGAGCGCACGGCGCCAAATAGGCCCTGTCAGCCAAGAAGAACGCGCGCGCCGGCTGGAAGAGGCCCTCTGGCAACATCAGCAAGACACTCAGTCGTGGGACGGGAGGCAGCGGGTCGGGTCCACAAACAAAGAGATGATGCTACGTCGGAACTGCCATGTCGCATCGAGCGTCGGACAACGGGCGGAAGCGCACTTCAAAGGCGGAGGAATCTGCCATGTCACAAGCTGATGTCTCTGTTGGGAAGCATAGGCAAGAAGTTCCACGAGAAGCGGAGGAGCGACAATCGCGGCGGCGAAGATACTGTCAGGCGATGCTAAGCCGGTGAAACGAGGAACCCGGCGTCGTGGCCATGACAGCTAATGGCACCACAGGACAACGAGGAGGGTGAGGCGGCGCACCATGTCAGGAAGAGAGAGAGAGACCGGGGATGGCTGAATCACGATCCTTGGAGCAACAACATCGACGCGATCCTGGCCAAATACCAACCAGGCGGCCTAGCGTACAGCTGACACGAACTGTCGGCAACGCATCCCAGTTAACAGTCATACTGCGAAACGGCGCAAAGCTTGATGGAGCAGAACGACATCTGACATCGAAGGACGCGCCTGCTTCCCTCAAGCCCATGGCGGCGATGCAACTACCCAGACAAAGTGGCGGAAAAGCTAAGGAAGGAAAAGTAACCCGATGCGCTGCCGGCTAAAGGGCAAAAGGATATCGCTGACATTCTAGGATCTGCCATTGTAGCGGGAAATGCCCTCGACGGCCACAAGATCGGCCCCTTCCAGTCTTCTGGACGCAGACGCAGCTTGGGCCTCGGTTCGGAAACACGGGGCGAAGCTGGATTTGAAAACGGAATGCGAGAAAGAACGACGCGCTTCATAAGAGGCATGGTGAAGGGAAATAGGCTTACTCTTTTCGAGAAGACCGCGCGCCTCCCCAATAAGAAGGGTGTGAGCATCGGGACGCTGTCGGAAAAGCAGCATCCTGAAGCCGCAGTAGACCAGGTCGGCGGAGCCGAATTTGCGGAGGGTTCGGATGAGGATTCCTTGGCTGAGCAAGGTTGGCGCATCAGTCTTGTCAGCTTCAGCCCGGCGCATTTGCTTCAGATAGCGATCGGCTTCTTAGTGCACCCTTCTCTCTCTGGGAGGAAATACCAAACATGTGCGACAAAACGACACTGTAGACTAACCTGCAGGTTTGACGAAGACCTACCGGGCCCCCCATTGTGAAAAAAAAAAAAAACAATGCGCAGTAATAAGCAAGCCGAACAAATCGAACGAGCGATACATGTGATTCACCGGGGTCGGAGACGTGTCAATTACGTGCGTCTTCCTCTCATCATTACCTCGTTCCCGTGCTATGCCTATATTCGTCGCGATTCTTCTCAAATGCGGCAGCGGGAGAGCAGGTCTGTTTCCGGATGGCCGCCGCCGCGAGCCATGCTCCTCCGCGGCGCGAGTGACCTAGTGGCCGGGAGTGCCTCGATAGGATGGCCGGTCGGCTTGTAGCGATATCGTGCTGCTCGCATGCCTTTTGCCAAAGAATGAACGCGCATCGGTGACCGGGATGAACTGCAACCCTCGGGCTGCATTGATGATGTCGACTACCACTCGGTGCTTCTCCATCCGGGCTCCATCTTCGAGGGTTCTGCGCCACGCAACGAATACTGGGAACCCAAAAGTGGCTATGCTTCTTGGTCCGACTCACTTTGCTTTGATCGAGCAACTTGCTGAACTATCGATCTCAGCTTTCTCTCAAGCGGGTAACGGGTAGACCTTGGCAGACAGCCTGGTTTCCTCCTGCCATTTGTCCTTGAGTGGGACCGGCGTTTCTTCACCCGGGCGAATGTCAGCGAAATCCGGCTCTCCATCCACCGGTTTGAATATTGGTTCATGGCTTCTGCTAGCACCTTTCGCGCCGGCTCGTCGCTGTAGATGGTCAGTTGGGTTTTGAGGTTTGAATTTGCGCAGAAAATTGTGCCAAGGACCTTATTTTGTATATAAGGTGGATAGATAGATCAAGGGACAGCAATGAGCACAACGATTGTGAAAACTAATAGCTCAAGTTGCGATCCGTCTGGGATTCAGACATTGTTTATATACATCTACTTGAGCTATGAAACATGTCCATATTCGTGACCAAGCACTCAAAAAGGGTCGGTGAGCGAAGGAGGTCCTCATTATCCTCGGCAGCCATGGAGAGTCGGACGGCGAGGAATACAAGCAGAAAGGCGACGGCGAAAGGCTACAGGCGGTGGAAAGATAGGAAATCAAAGCATACGAGGTCATTCAGGAAGAGTACGGCAACGGCGTGAATCTGAGCGTGTTGGGAAGGTCATTGGGCACTAGTATGCGGGCATGAGGTAAAACGTGACAGCGTGTTGCCGTCTATCCATGATGTCAATCAAGTCAATTCACTAATGAGAGGCAGCATGTAGCTGCAGACCATCTATGGCCGATCACTATGGAGACCACTACTCTAGAAATCAAGCCGAGTACCAGTCAGTGACGCCGATCCGTGGAAAGTAGAGAAGCTCAAGGAAACAGACAAGACGAAGGCGCTTCTACTCCTCCATCTCCTCCATGTTCTCCTCCTCAAGGTCATCCTTGAACAGGTCGAACGGGAAGTAGCCAACGCTAACGCCACCATCATCCATGTCCATCTCCTCATCGTCGTCATCATCAGGCTCAGAGCCGTATCCTTCCACCTCGAGCTCGTCCTCCTCGACATCCTCTGGGGCAGCCTCAAAGTCGACTTGGTCCTTCTCAGCGTAGCGCTGGTGGTACCAGAGGCCATCGGCCTTGTAACCATCCAGCGTCGCGACCAGGTGATTGATGCTGTCGCGGGCAGCGCCAACCTTGGGGATGACGTCGTGTAGACTGAGCTTGTGCTGGAGTTCGTCAATCGAGGTGCGCATGGCCTTGTTGATGTCGGTGGTGGCGATCGGCGACTGCTTGTAGTTGTTGATGTTCATCGCGGCGGACGACGAGTGCTTGTTGTTAACGAGAGAGGCCAGCCACGCCTTGCAGAAGGTGATGGCGAGCTCACCAAGCTCGCTGTTCTCGGTCTGGAGCTGGGTGTTCTCAGTCTGAAACTGGGTGCGCTCGCCGTCGAGGGTCATGATCGTCTTGTCCTGGTCCTTGATGATCTTGCTCTGGCCCTTGATGGTCTCGTCCTTGCTGGAGATGTCTAAGGTCTGGAGCTTGAAGTTGTTGCGCTCGGCCTTGAGCTGGGTGACCTCCAGCTTGAGCCTGTCAATGTTGGCAGTGAGGCTCTCGATGGTGTCGGCCGTCTTGGGCTGCTCCAGGCGGCGGCACTGGGGAGCGCGCGCGTCGGGGGAATCGCTCGACTGGGACCGGGCGCGGCGGACGCCATGGGGGACAGAGATGTCATGGTGCTTGGTCTGGACCGTCACAGTGGAAACGAAGGTCGGCTTGAGACCGGCGGTGGTCGCGCGAACGGTCTCATAGCGGGCGAGAGCCGACTTGATGTCCTCGACGCCGGCGAAACGGTTCCAGCTGGACTCCTTACGCTCCTTGATAGCCTGAGCGACCAGGCCGACAGCGACGGCACGGTCCTTGGCACCGGCGGCTTCGGCGAGCTTGAGAAGGGCGTTCTTGTAGTCCGCCGACAGCTTATCGACCTTGCCATGGGCCGGAACAGCGTCCTTCGGGAACCATTCCTTGGAATCATGTCCCCAGTGACCGGCGATCCCGCGAAGAAGCGGACACGACTAGCTCTCGAGTTAAAAGTGTCACAATGCGGATGGCAGCTTGGGGTCGTACGTAAGAGATGCCTTGGATAGCAGGCTTGTTGGAAGAGTTGCTGGCCATGTTGCTAGCCAGGATGGATACAGTAGAGTATCACGGGAAGTTCAAGTGCAGATAAGTCAGGGTGCTTTTGCGAAGGAAGAAAGTTGGATGAAGTGGAGAGGTTCGGTATGCACCGGCGGGATTTTGTAGGTGCGGCGCGAAGTGCCCGTCCAGGCGGTCCAGGTCGTCCAGGTGATCCAGGTGGCCGCGCCCGCGCGCGTCCCAAAGTGGAAACTCTCTGAATGCGAGATACTGCACCCTTGAAGTGCTTCCGCCATTGTGCTATATGCACTTTCGATGTTGAGTCATGATCCATTGGCCAATACAGACGGCGCAACTCTTAGCCATAGGCAGTCCCAACAGTCTGATATAAAACCACCCGGACATCAGCAGAACATCCCGCCATTCGCTAGAGGTAAGAGGCATCAATGACTCGTCCCAGAAATCAAAATACAAGAGCTATCAGAACCGCTAAATCAGCTTATGCGCATTGCACAGTATTGTCCCATCCAGACCACTCTACTTATCCTTGCGCACACTCTTCTCACACGTAAGAAGGAGCCTCTTAGAAGCGCATCAATCACCACTTTCAGAAGAGTTAGAAACGAGAAGAGAGATATCACTTCCTCAACAGAAGGCCACAAGCTACCGTCCGAGTCTATGTACTCCTAAAACAAATGCCGCCAAACCTGTGCTCGCCTAGCTACTGCTGCACGCATTTTCCGCCAGCGTCCGAGCTCTTTTGGATTGTACTGTCTTCTGATATCCCCTAGCCATGCTGAGATGTTTCTCTCCGCAGAGCCGACCTTTACAGCTCCTTTCCTGATCCTCTCTTCTGCAGCTTTCGTGTCCAAGCTTGGCAGCTCCATAAAGCAATGGTCTTCTCCACAGATGGGCTTGCCTAGCTGGCCTCCTAGAAGGGTCCTCCGACATTCGACATCTAAATGTACGTCCGCGCAATCCCTGCAGACGTAGAGGGTCTTGTCCGAGAGATTCCTCCACGCCGAGCCACAGTCACCTTGACAAACCAAGTCCTCGTAAAGACCATCTCGGGTGACCAGCGACCAAGCTGCCCGTGCATTGTCCTCGTCACCCAACGCAACAAACACCTGACAGAGTCTCCAGTACCCTTCCCAGTCATTGTCAACTGTGTCATCGTTCAGTAACGCGAGGGAATCGAGTACGTAGCCGCAAATGTTCTCTTTAGCGTCTCCTAATCTCTCGGCGAGTTGGTAGACGCGGCTCAATAAGAGCCTTAGCTTGTATGGCACAGGAATTGAAACATAAGTAGGTTCAACCACGTTCTCAGCCCTAGATACAAGCTCTTCAACGCTCGAAAACCCACACCGGGGGTTTCTGAGCATCTGAATGTATGCCTCAGTCAAATTTTCCGCCGTCTTGAGGTAGATTTGGACAGTTGAGCTGTCCCTGGAATCCGCGTTGTACAAACGATCCAGAATATCCTCGATATTTTCTTCCCATCTGAGCACCGCTTCAATCAGACGATGGTGGTGAAGGAGAGCTCGGCCGTAATAGAAGCGGAGATAAACGCGCTCATCTGGATTTTGTGAAAATTTTATCGAGTCGAGGTAGACCTTGTTGAGTCCACCCAAGTCTTGCTTCAGCGCAATGAAGACTCTGTCATGGAACTCGGGAGACTTGGCTGAATGATGAAAGAGTTCGACTGATGTTTGGAAGCTTCCCAGGAACTTCCGGTGTGTTTGCAGGTCCCTCTCAGTTTGGCTCGATTTGAAACGCTCCAGCGCAATCTCCTTGGCCTGAAGGTCGTTTGTGTGCTTGCGCCAAAGATTTCGGGACAGAGCTGTAGCATCATCGGTGGAATTCGTCTGATCATACAAACTCAAGAGCTTCTTGACCATATCACTCCACACTACCGTATGGGCCTTCTTGAATTCTGGGCTGTACACCTGCTCTAAATTCTGCTTTAGCAATGTTAGGGCTAGTTTGTGGTTGTCTTGAGATTCATGGGCTTGTGCTAAGCACCACCGTGCCCTCCAGTCTTGACTCGCTGCTCCGAGTTTGTCACATCTTTCAATAGACTTGGCGAAGTGTTCATATTCTCGGAAGGTCTCTGCGACTCTTGTGTGATGGAGCGGGCTTGGTTCGTCGATTTGAAGGACGTCGATCGCCCACTGCTCAACTTTCTCGATGCCCTCTGGTGCGTTTGGTAGCGATCTGTAATCCTTTAGGTACTCTCGAGCTCTCATCGACTATATAATTGATGTATCAGCGATCAACATGTCGTCTGAAATTTCGTAGCTCTGCTTACCTGCGACGAAAAAAGCCAAAAGTTGTGATATGCATCTGAAGCCCTGCATGCATCATCCTCCAGCCACTTGGAGGCTAATTCCGTCATTGGAGTTGCAAGGAGGTCATCCTTGGTATACTCTTTTCTCTTCGTTTGCTGATCTGATTCTCCCTTCTCATTTTCCGATTCCGGATTGGCGCTTTCCGCTGGTGGTATGTCTGAATCTTGTTGGGTAGGGATTTCATCGTCGACAGTTTGTTGCACCCATCCGAGAATATGCGTCCAGTTCCGAGATAATCTCCTATAATAGTACGCTGCATTCTCGATTCTGTCGTTTGAAAGCCAAATCTTTACGCATTCTTTGTCCGTAAAGAACTTCAGCAAGTAGTCCCCAATACTCTTTCGCATCTCTTCACTAGACCCAAAATGCTCATCTGGATGGATTTCCTCAAGATGCTCCCACATAGTCGTTGTAGCGTAGTCATGGAGACACTTACAGTCTTCTCGCTTGGTTGAACAAACAGCTTGAAGAAGACGCAACGTAATTTTCATGTGGCCCTCGATCCTGTGAAACTGGATCGTCTGAGCATTTCCAATGGCATTCGGGCTCCGGAGAGTTTCAAAGTATTCATTGAATCGAAACTTTTCGAAGACCTCGTCTCCACAAACGGAATGGATGATCTTCTCAACCGTGTCGACTTCAGATTGGTGGAATCGTGCGTTGGAGCCATTTGATTCCTTGCTGACATTCGCAACTTTCTTCCTTGAGATTTCTTTTCCATCATTCAGCGCGCTGGTTTCGAGGGAGCGGAAGTACTGCATGTCATCCCAAGTGCAGCTGACGGTCTCTTCGTTATCGTTGGAGACTTCAAATAGATGAACGCAAACTCTTCGGATCCGTTCTTCTAATTTGTTTTCGGGGGTCTCTTGAGATGACTCGCGTCCCAATTCCAAGAAGGCCTTGAGCTGTTTCACACTGGGCCAGATGCTGAGGAGTACCATGCATACCACGATATCATTGATCTCCGAAACCTCGTCATCCCCAAGCACCTCAAGTTGGAGCTTGTCGATTCGCCATTGCATGTCTGTCTCTTTCTCCAGGATCTCTCGAAGTTTTGACATGCTTTCTTGTGCCTTGTTGATTTCCTTCAACCAGGACATCGCTTCCCGGAAATTTCGGCCGTATTTAGCACAAAGCTTGTCCGAGAGCTTTTTGAAAAGCTCGGTCTTGTCTTTGTCGGAGTCGTGGCGAGTAGTAAGGTCGGCTATTTGACGCTCGATGACTTGTTTGACATCCTTGCTAATTGCTTCAGAAATGTGAATTGTTTCAAGCGTTTCTTCCGTGTTAGGTGAAAGTGTATGTAGGATCTTTTGAGTGCCTGAGAGTAGAAGCCTGACTTGGGAGGATGTTTGTTGTGGCTGAGCTGTCTGTTGGATAATTCTCTTAAGCTCCGAATCCTTGGCCTGTTCCGTCGAGATGCCGTCAAGCACGATGAAGAAGATTTTTTGAGTTCGTGAGTTCTCCAAGAAATCCAGAATTAAGTGCTTCCAAATCTCGGCAGCAGTTGAGAACTGACTTAATCTCGACTCTGATACCTTGGCGACAAAGCTTTGGTACATGGTGTCAAGGTTCGCAAGTTGCCAGACAATCGATGCTAATGCATCCCGAAGATTGGTCTGCGGCTTCTCCTTTCCTCTCGAATAGCTTGTCCCCCCAAAATAGAAATGGGCGACGGATACGTGTGATACCAAGCCCGCGGTTGCTGATCGACCTTCGCGCTTTGCGTGTAGCTTCTCGATAACCTCCGAACATAGGCTGCTTTTTCCAGAATTCGGTTCTCCTTCCAGGGCGAGAATACACCGCGAGCAAGTATCGCGAATATTCTCCCAATGCCGGAAAGATTCGTTCTTGGCAAGCCAGGTTCCGGTATTTGGTATGAAATCTTTCCGAAGTTCGGCGTGCTTGTCCAGCCACGAGGTCAACGCCGGGTTGTCTCCTTCCAGAAAAAGTTTCTTCCTGATCAATAGCAGCCTCTCTTTCGTGATCGCATCTTTGCTTTGAAGGTCCATGTACGAAGACATGACCTTCGTCACAGCCCAAGTATCCATAGATAGAATTTTCCTTTCTCTTTCTTCCAACTCTTTGATTTTTTCCAGATGCTCTTGAATCTCGCCAACGTGTCCGGCAAGAGACTTGATCCCATTTTTCACCCCACCAATTAGAGTTCTTGATTCTTTGCTGACCTTTGTGTAGATAGCACACATCAGCAGAAAATGTTTCAAGCGCTCCAGAAGGACTTTTTTGAGCTCGTCATCCATGTGGGCACCTCTCCTCATGCTGTCCACGTATTTTTGAACGTCTTTCAGTACGAATAAAGTGTCGTCTAAAGATTTTCGAATACCCGTCCGCGTGAAATTCTGTTGGTATGTTTGTGTCGCTTCCACGAGTATCTGAGTAGCTTTGAAACAGATAGCAGCAGGTGGCCAGACCTGTAGCAGATGGTAAGCCCAATTTTACAAAACGCCACGCTGCACAACCGACGATGGCATAGCTTACACTTGAAACCCCACCAACAACCAATTCTCCAGTCTTCAAGAGCAAGTCAAGCCCTGTTCGTGCAGCTTGCCGAACACTTCTGTCTGTGCTTCCAGTGTCGATTCTGGCCATTTCTTTCCTCATGCTCTCGATAGTTTCATTTTTGAAATGCTCGATCTTCACTCCTGTCCTCTTGGTGTATTCCTCGACCGCATCGTCAAACGCTTTTTGGAATGCATGGACGTCGCCCGTGGGATCCACGTTGTCCGTCATCGTTGGACCATGCAAGCAAAGAGAGCGAGAATTTATTGGAATGAAATCAGGGTAATTTGAGAGAACGGTCAGCCTACTTAGGGGACAGAACTGTAGACTGAGGTAGAGCTGATGATACTGCATTTTCCAGAGTAAGCCCTGTTTATGAAGTCTTGTACATATGCGAGGTTTCGGACTTCGGCCCCGAAATCGCAGCCCTCATTCCATGAGATATTTCCGAGGTGGAGAAACCACTTCCACGTACATTTGATTCAGCTGGCTTGAGTATGCACGCTCTGTCCATTCCGATGTAAAGATTGGCAATGTCTGATCTACGCCTGATCAACGACGCGCGTGATTGGATCTCGGCAAAGACTGTGGCGTTCAATGCGCTTGGCACGGTGATTTTTTTCGGGGGAGATTTACATCTTGCCAGGGCTGATGAAATTTCTAGCAAAAAGAAACGAAGACAATAATTCGTGAAGATATGCCTGTTAAGGAAAGATAACAGCGACACGTCGGCAGCTGAGGTTCCACCGAGACTGGTCAGGCCACAGTAAGTTCTGTGCGCTTTTGGGGGCGGGTACAGATACGAGTACATACATTGCCGATCAATCACATCTTGGCCCCCAAAGGCACCCTCCACATGTAGGTAGAAACCACCATGACAAATTACACACGTCCAATTATTCCAACACAGTTATAAAATGCGTGTTTTATCATTATTGATAAGCGCACTGCAATTTTTTTTCTGTCCAAATTTTCCAATGACATGTCATTGAACAGAACATGGTCCTGGAGCGAGAAACCTACCATCTTCAGCACCGCATAGATATAGTGCTCATGGACTGCGCGAGGCTGACATAGCTTGCGAGGTGGAGAACCTTCCTGACAATGCATACCGTTCATGCGGCCGAGGGAAAAGCTAGCGCCGAATATTATACTCGCTCATCATTCTAGGCGCAATTTGTTACCGTATTCTTTACTTTTTCCACCCTTCGACATCATGTACCTACCCTAGTTCTATATATACATCTACATATTTAGGACATTATATATGTAGTATACGTCCACGATCGTTCCACTTCATTGGCTCTTATGCATTAAATCGGATCTTTCGTTTTTTAAATCAAGCAGTGTCTAGGTTCACAGATTTGTATTGTTCAAAAGCTGGTTCCCTTTAGAACTCGCTGGCCGGTCGGATCGTCGAGCTTTCCGTTACGCAGGGTACCGGACCGCCATTCTGCCGCAGTCTCATATAAATTAAGCTTGTCCGACCTCTCTTGCCCTATACGTTTCACCAGCGGCGAACACCCACACTGACGTACCCCTCAAAATTGCAATTCATCTTTTACACAACAGCACGATACATACGACCATCAGAGCTGATATCAAAACTTGATTATCCTCTGTCAAAGAAGACCTAAGAGCTCCCGCAATATCCATTGGCTCGAACACACATTGTCTTGAGTGCTCCAACAGAATGCGCTCCCGCTTATTTCAAGTCGTTAACACCCTTTCTCCTCGGGCTCCACGACAACTTGTTACAAGAAGCATTCTCCCAAATCTCTCCATCAGAGCAAATAGTCATCTACCGTCTCCTCGCTACCTGCGGACCGGCAGTCACGTCTGGAAGGATGTCGACTTGACGGAATAGCGGAATTCAGGACTTGGACATCACATAGATGACTCGACGAGAAACAGCACGAGACTGGCGGTTCCATCGGATGAAGAATTCACTATACTGGCTAAGCTTTATCTCAGCGAGGTTCAGGAATTTGCCAACATGGCGGAAACTCTCCGCAAAATCCGTGAGAACAAACACTTTGACGAGATGAAAAAGGTCGGCGCCGAAACCACGCAGGCTCTGGGCAAATCATTGGAGTTTTCTACGGATCTCACTGTAAGACCTTGAATCATCCTGCATTTCTAGGTTATCCTTCTTCCGAAACTACTAAACGTGCTGATATTTATTCTTTTGTTTCCCGCACAGGACGATCGCTTGACCATCTCCACCCCTGCCGTCGGGCCCTACATACTCGAGATCAACCACCCCGGACAGCAGATAGTCTTCACGTCGCCCTTTTCGAACGTCAGGTACTTCAGCTATGTTATAGGCTTCAGCCGGAGAGAGAATTGGGACGGGCAAGACGTCGAGGAAGACGGTTGCAAGGATGGAAACAGCGACATTTTCCGAGACGGAAAATGGCTGGACCGCACGGATGGCGCAAGTCTGGCGGATTTTTTAAGGGCTGAGATGGGGTTGGAGATACCAGTTGTCTTTGAGCCGGGGGAGACACTGTCTATTCCAGTCGTATCATTCGGCTAATCTACTGTTCAAGCTACACAGTGGTGGACAGCAATTTTGATGCGAATCTGTCTAGTGTGCTCTAATATTGCCCAAAACCCAGTAAATTATAGTCCAATCACCATCTATTATCCTGAGCCAATGTTCCAGAGTCCACTCCTCCAGAAGATGCGCCGGTAAGTCCAAACCCAGCTCAAATTAAACTATGAGATCCATCAGCGTCTTCAAGCCCACCGGTCCTATGACGGAATAGAGAAGATAATGGCGGGGAAAAGAGAGATAGAACGGAGGCGGAAGATTGAACCCACGATCAACGCGCACCCCACCGAATTGACCGGATCCACATCGCATATAGCGGCGCCAAAAGAACTGAACCATGGAACTAACTTTCGTATATAGCTCACCACGCGGGTACTTGAAGCTACTGTCCGGACGCCGATGTCAAATTATTAATTATACATCTACGTCCGTACAGTAGCTTCAACTACCTACGCAAGTCACATTGCGCAATCAGGCTGTTTGAAGTTGCAGCGTGGAGATTTCCGAGTTTAAGCGTTGGGTAGATGACGTATGAGTGGCAGCTGTACCAAAACAAAAGTTGCCAACCAAGCAAAGATGACTAGTCGAAACAGAAATTGCCAACCGGCCGCAACCTTGTCCTCATAAAAGCATCGTAATCGCTCACAGCAGTGCAGCATCGCACATCGCACATCGCACATCGGACTCGAACTCGAACCTAATCCTCCGCGCCTGCAACAAGAACACGTACACCACGAACCATGAATTTGCGCCTAAAAGATATCACCGACAACTTGCTTCTCCTCGATGTCCTCGACGATGAGGACGCTGATGCGGAATTCGAAGAAAACCTCTCGCTCGAACAACAACTCGGACGACTTCTATCCACTAGTTCGAAGAGCTCCACGACATGCAGCTTTACCGCACAACAACAAGCCGCCTTCGACGAGTCAAGTTACAGACTGATTGGCTGGGGAGCATGCGGAGCCATCTACGCCAAAGATGGATCCTCGCACGTTCTGAAGCTGGCCAAGACGGACGACCTCCAGCTCTGGAACGATTATCTAATGCATACTCGGGTATGGGAAGCGATGGCACAAGTTCCTGACATCTCAGGGGAGGTTAGAGTACCTGAACCGACCTTCTACGTTCCAAAGGACGAGCAGGGTTGGTGGGCAAAACGCTTGCCCATGTTCCCCACCCAGGACATCGCCGTTAATCTTCCCACGGCTGTACTCTGCACCGAACGGATCCATCCGCTCCCTATACTAGTCAGACACAAGCTCATCGAAAAGTTCTGCGCGCCTCGGAACAGAAGAAAAGCACTCCAGTCTCCCGGCAACAAAGATTGCCTCGTCCGGGTCTATCTTGGCAGCCGGCAAGGAAAGGCCAGCGCCCTCTTCTTCTCGCTCCGCAATTTCAAATTGCACCTGAACCAAATGCTTGAGCTGGAAATGAACACGTTCGAGCTGGCGGGTTGCATGGCTGGCGCACTGGCTGCCATGCACTGGAAAGCAAAGATTGATGCAAGAGACGTGGAGTTCGTTCTTGGGACTGCTCCGATCGCTTACCCCGCCAAGCCTCTGACGTCCGTCGAGCTCGCAAACATGGAGCCCAACACCTACACGGAGATGCGGGTGTTCACAGGGTTGAGCTACGTGCAACGCACCACGCATCTTTGGGTGCTTGACTTCAACCAGTGCCAACCAATTTCCATGGACGAGGCCGGCGTCTCCCAAGCAGTGGGGGCATATATGATCAACGACCCCTACTATCCCCGACCGCCCGTTGAAGACGATGATGACCATGACAGCAGACTGTGGAGCACATTTGCGATTCGATACATTCGAATTTCGGATCGGATTCTGCGGAAGAACCCCGAGCTCCGCTCGTTGCCACGGCTGTTCATCAAGAAGGTGATGGCAGAGCAGGCTGAGAAGGTGAAGAGGCAGGAGAAGTTGGAAGCGACCACTGGCGAAGCTCCTTAAGGGCTTTTGTCTTCAGCATTTCATTTGCTCTTTGAATATCACTATTGTTTCGAGCCATCCGAAAAGGCATATTGTAGTCACCACTTTTTAGTATCAAGCGTGCGAAAGTGTACAGTCCAGCGCCGAACTTAGTGCAAGCCTCAGGCTTACCCACTACGCCACGCCAGTTGAGGGTGAAAAGCTACCGGAATGAACTGAATTGTTGAGGTTTAATGTGGCGTTGTCAGTCAATATAGCAGTCTATGACACTTAGAGGTGGCCTACTAAATTATTTGGCGGATATTCCCCAGTTCATGTATCAGAGAAATTCACTCAAGAAAAGGCAAATTCTTTTGTATCCTATATGAAAGCAGTTTAGAAACTCATAACCCGAACTAGAACAAAAGGGCGACAGCTGTTACGAAATGAAAATCACGACAAAGAGCTGTAGGGTAGGTCTCAGCTCAATCTAGCCTAAGATTTGATCGGTGTTTCTCTAGCAGTCTTGCTGTTGCATTGTGACCGTTCTCTCTTGCCCTTTTCACTGCTCTCTCGTACTGCAAGATTCCAAACTGAGGGCTGTCAATATCCGCCCCAGCGCTCAGCAAAAGCTGGATCATATCGATCCTTCCGTACTCAGCGGCGCCTTCGAGGGCTGTTCTTCCTTCTTTTTCAGCCATCGGAGCATTGACCTCTGCTCCAGCCTCGAGCAGTCTGATTGCGACACCGAGGTACCCTGAAATTGCCGCAGCCTGGAGCGCAGTAACCCCACCGCCTTCAGCGGCGGGTGCGTTGACATCGCCTCCGGCACGAAGAATCAGTTCCACGTTCTCCAATTTTCCATGCTCGGCGGCGTTCTGTAGAGGCGTTCGTTCGAGGGTGCCCAAAACTGGCGGATTAATAACTCCACCTGCTTTCAAGACCGCTTCAAACACAGCTGTACCGCAGTTTGCAGCCACGGTGCTCATGACGGATCCCATTTTATCGACATAAAGACCGCTATGGTACAATCGGAGTATAACCCCACGGTAGCGTGGATCTGCTCCGTGGTCCAATAGAAGCTGCACTGCTTCGTCATTGCCGGCCAAAGCAAAATGCTGCACGGGACATATTCCTGGTTCCCATAAACTCTCCCTAGGTGGCATGCAAGAATAGCTTGCAAGGTCTGGAGGAACGTTGACAGGAATATCGGCTGCAAGAAGCTTCCGCAGGATTGGGATATTGTTCGGTTCACACTGCTGGATTGCGCGGACAGAACATGGTGTGGCGATCCCACCACACTGTTTTAGAACAATCTCAACCTTTTCCAAACTCCCACATCGAGCAGCCGCGGCTAGGGCTGGATGATAGAAACATGGGCTACGAGATTGACTGTGAATGTCCTGACTCTTGAGAAAATCGTTTAACGCCGGAGGTTCCATTTTCTCAGCAGCTGCTTCGAGCACGCCTGGGTGGTCACGGCGTGCGCCTCTTTCTAGAAGGAAGTCGATAATTTTCGCGTCCTCTCTCTTGATCGCAACTTCAAGTGCTGTGGGAATTGCGTCAGGATGGTTGATATCTGCACCGGCATCGAGAAGCAATGAAATCATCTCGAATTCTGAGTCAAGGTCAATCGCCAAAGTCAGCGCAGTGTCGCAAGAGTCGAAGCCGTACTTATTGATGTCTGCCCCTGCATCCAAAATACGTTCGACTAGCTCCACGCTTTGCCCTAATACCGCATAGAATAGTGCCTCTTCGTCGAAAGACATTCCATGGTCCAAAAGAAGCTGAACTATAGAACAATGACCATAACGGATGGCAAGATGAAGTGTTTTGTTGTCCACGTATGCGCTGTGTTGAAGCAGAAGTTCAACTAGCTCCGTGTTTTCAGTCTCGATAGCCCTTGTAATTGGTAGGGCCTCGTTGGAACCGACTAATGATTGGCCGTCATCGGGGTCGGCTCCATATTTCAAGAGAGTGGAGTCAGGTCAAAGTCCCACTTGGAAACAGCACACAAAACAATGTGATCCGATACTGAGCCGTCTGCCTCATCTTTGAGCTTTGCGCCAAGCTCTAAAATACGGTGTACGAGCCCGAGGTTTTGATGCTCCACAGCAAGACGAAGTGGTGACTTGCCGTGATAATCGTGAACGTTGACTTCTGCTCCAGCACTAAGAAGCAGATGCGCAATGTGAAAGTTTGCCATCTTTATTGAGAGAGTAAGCGCAGGCCCCCCGAATCGAAATTCTCTCGTATCTGGGTCAGTCCCTTGAGTCAAAAGCATTTCGACATCAGCAGATAGCCCTAGGCAAGCCGCCCTCAGCAAACCCGCTGGAGGATCGGGAGCCACCCATTCTCCCAGAAGGATTTTCAAAAATCTCTGGCGTGCTGTCCAAAGCAAGATAAACCATCGTGCAATTGTGTTGTCCGGTGGAAAAGATGTTGGCACCTCGCCTGACAAGAACACGGACCATTGGAGCATTTTTGGCCAAAATCGCTAGCTCAAGCGGAAGAACACCGCCTGCATTCAAATTGAATGTCTCCCAGTAAAGTGCATAAGGAAACCCCCAGGGACCGGGTAAAAGTTCGTCCGCATCAACCTTGAAGCACTTAAGCAAAAGATCTGCGAGGGTGACATTCATCTCCAGAAGTGCCTCTTTAAACATGATTTCAGAGAGCGCTTCATTTGTCTCGTCGTGCTGGATGATGAAAGAATTCAATACCGAAAGGTTTCTTCGAGACTGAAGATGCTGGAGAATTGTTTTGCCCAGGTCTTGCTTGGAGCGGTCGGACGAAGGAATGGTGTTTGCAAAGACATCGTACATGCGGTTTGATACAAGTAGAACTGAGAGCGTAAATTTATCAAATCCAGATCCTTGAGTGATATCATGGCAGATGTTGGAACTTGTCGAGTCTTCAAGCTCGAGTTGTGAAACTGGAATAGCGGCGCGGATAGTCTCGGACCACACAGGCCTGCTTTGGTGACTAACGCTACGTTCAGTCCTGCTGTAGAGCCATCCTTCGGATTGTAGATGCGATTTCATCGTGGTGTAGAAGTTGAGCCATGGCAAAGAGTCCGCTGAGAATTTCGGAGATGAAAATGCAGGTGGCGTGTTGATAGCGAGTCCATTTGGCGTCGGGCTGCTTTCGCATTGATCTAACAAGTATTAGTAATTGAGAACATACTCAAGAAGTGCCGAATTACCTTCTTTGAGAGTCCGTTGTATCGTTTCTAGTGTCGTTCCTTGCCCATACCTCGAAATGGCTTTTTGGACCTTCTTTCGTGGGATTGAGATGCCATCGATTTTCAGATCACTTTCTTTTCCTTCTCTCTTTCTCTTTCCAATAACGCGCGAAGCGTATTGCCATTCTTTTCTTGTGAGATTCTTGCGAAAGTTCCATTTCTTGAATTGGCGTTCAAATTGGCCCTCACTAGTGGGGAGGCTGTTAGTTTTTCTCCCTCTAATAAGGATTCATCCCGGAGGACAGTGTGCCTTACTCAGCTTTGAATCCCCGTCTGGCCATTTCCTCAACAACCTCATTTTTTGTCATGTCCCTGACCAAGTAGAGGTCTCGAATCGTTGTTTTGTGCTTCTCCCACAGGTGCTCCATGTTTGTTTTGTAATGTGTCGCTCTTGTCCGCTGCGTGAAGCTACTGCGACACAACGCAAACCCTATTGGGGGAAAAAGAAGCAGTGAGCTAAGCTCAGATGAGAGTTAGAGCCTGCTCCAGCATTTTTGTGGAAGGTTTGACTGTTGAAGCGACGAAGGAAGATGGAATGAGGAAATCCAGTGTCAGGAAAGGCCACACTATATGTAAGGCACGGCCCTTTCTTCTGAGGTAAACGCCTGCTGCGACTCGCAGGGTAAGGCTTTGAAATTTGTCTGTGATTGGCGAAATGCAAAATCTGTAGAAACGAGGTTAACAACCACCGTTGCCCCTCATTGGCTCTTTCCACAATCTGGCGGAGCAATCAGTGAGCGGTGGCGGAGAGTTTGTCTCACCATGTCAGCGCTTCAGCCTGCTGTGTAACGCATACAGCTCATCGATGTCACTGGTACTAGCTGTCTAGAGCACACCGAGGAGGACCTTGTGCTGCAAGGCTTCAACAACTGCGCGCATGGCGCCGAAATCGTCCGTCGAGAGCTAGTGCTTACCAGCCATGATGGTGTACCACGTGTTGCAGAGGATGTTTACGAGCTGAGCAAGCTGGCAGTATCTGATCTGCAGCTTCCTGCATCGTCTACTTGTAGGTCGGGATAGTGAGAGCCTTGTGCGCGCGTATTTTTCATCTATTATACAGCCAGAGAATGCAGCCTGAAAGCTCCGTTCGTCGCCATGCCTAAATAGAAACTACTCATGCAGAGGTTTCAATAACCTCCGACCGAGATCAACAGGGGTTTCAGGCGCCAGTGCAGAACATGTCCCAAATACTCTATTCCTGGATCTAACAACCTAGTTCACCCCCGCTTCGCCGTCATCTCCACAGACTCTACCCCAGCCTCCGGCTCCGCCGGTGCTTCCTCCTTCTGCGGGCCTCCCTCCCTCCCCTCCTCCTCCTCCTTCCCCAAATCCACATTCCTCAACCCCCACATCACGCCCACCATCGGCGCCAACGCCGCCGTCGCCGCAATCGCCAACACCCGCTGCGTCTCCCTATACGCCCTATCAATCGCCTCCCTCTCCACACTCCCCTTCTCATACTTCTGCGCCACAACAATACTCTTATACACCTTCGCCGCCACCCCCTTACTCGCGGCGGGCAAATACGCCTCCAACTTCTCCGGCAGCAAATTATTCCATATCGCGCCCCCGACACTCGTCCCCGCCGCGGCGCCGAGGTTCATAGCCGCGAAGAAGACGCCGGTAACGACGGCGACGTCGGACCGCGCCACGACGGCCTGGATGCTGACCTGCGCGGCCGTCTGGTAGCAGGCGCGGCCGACGCCGACGAGGACCTTGGCCGTGATGAAGGAGGCTTCGTTGGTGTGGGCGCGCGAGACGAGGTGGATTTGCAGGCCCTGGCCGAGGAGGCAGAGCGGCACGCCGAGGAGGATGAAGGGCTGCGAGCGCTTGGTGTAGCGCATGGCCAGGCCGGCGAGGACGGAGGCGATTTGGAAGGAGACGCGGAGGGAGTTGCTGTTGTTGCAGGTTTTGTCAGTATTGGTGGTGGTGGGGGGAGGGGGGAGGGAGGAGGGGACTGCAGAAGGCTTACTCGATGCGCGTGGCGTGCCCGGCCGAGTAGCCGCCCGCGACCTGCAGGTAGCTGGGGAAGAAGGTGGTGAAGCACGAGTAGTGGAAGAAGTCGAGGGCGGACAGCACGCACGCCGCGACGACGGTGCGCTCGCGCACCATGCGGAACGGGATGAACGGGCGTGCCGCCACGCGCGCGTCCCACGCCACGAAGAGGCAGAGCACGAAGACGCCCAGCACCAGCATCGCGATGAACGACCCGTTGTGCCACCGCCCGCTGTTCTTCGCGCCCGTCAGCGACAGCGGGATCAGCGTCAGGCCCAGGCCGACGACTAGCAGGAACGCGCCGAAGAGGTCGAGCTCGGTCCAGAGGAGGTTGTATAGGCGTTGCAGGAAGGAGTGTGGGGTGGAGGCGTCGTGCAGGCGGCGGCGCTGCAGGCCGTTCTTCTCGGCGCGCCGTTGCAGGACGAACATGGTCAGGATGAGGGGCAGGGCGCAGAAGGGGAAGATCAGGGCCCACATGCCGTAGCCCCAGCGCCAGGTCGAGTGCTTCAGCACGCTCTCGCCGACGATGGAGCCGAGGTAGAGGGTGGGGATGGCCGTGACGGATTCGGGCAGCGACGACCATAGGCCGCGGTCGATGAGGCTCGTCGTGTCGGCGATGAAGATCTGCTGCATGATGGTGTAGCCCGTGTCGCCGATTGACTCGAAGATTCCGCCAGCCTTGGGGAGTTGGTGTTAGAAAGGTTGAGACTCCTGAGGAAGGCACTTACGATGTAAGTCCCGATGTTCTGGCACGCCGCGTACAGCACCTGGGATAAGACCATGAAGAGTATGGAGAAAGAGAAGCCTTCTGCCCGGCCAAACACCTGGTGTATCGATCAGTTCCTGCCCAGCAATTGCGATTTCCGTCCACCCACATCCGAGAGCTTGGCCATGATCGGATAGACAGCCATGTTCATGATGGTGTAGACGACATTGGCAGTGGCAAGCGCCGAGTGTTTAGAAAATGCGCTGGTTGCGTATGCATCGTAAACCTTGGTCGAGTACTTGATGAAGGAGAGAATGAAGGTCGTTGCGAAGAGACTAGACACAGTCAGCTCCCTCTACCAGTAGGCAAGGGGTGTAGAGTCATACCCCGTGAAGGCGACAATCAGTGCCTTCCGCGACCAAGATTTCCTCAAGATCTCGACCTTGGTCAGTCCCTGTTGCTGCGGCGTTCCATCTTTCGCTCCCGGATCCACCGACGCCGGGGTGCTGGAAACCTCAAGGCTCGGGTTCTTCGTCATGATGGCAAGGAAGATGCTATGCTTCCGAAAGCATCTCGACACCACAATACATAGTCACCGTCGCTCAATAGCCGAGATCGGCTCACCGGGTCATCAGACGCAGCAATTTTTCAGGCTCGACAGACACGCGTCCAGCGATTTAACGAAGCCGCATATACAATGACCGCTTGCCTGTTATCAGATCCGCTCCGCTGCAAGTGTCTTGGCAGGGTGGAGCAGGTTGGCTAATGTGGCTGGAGACAGGCGCCATTTCGCGAGCGCCAAGCCGCGTGGCGCTGCGGAAAGGCAAGCCCGTGGAACGTTGCGCGGCCGAAGGATCTCCGGGGTGGGGTGATGAGACAAATGTTCAAAAGCCGACCGAGACATGTGTTTGTGTACGTGTTTTTTGTTGTCGACGACAGGGCGTGATCTAGTCTCACCTATCTCGTCCCTCGGCAACCGAGAACAAGAAAAAAACCTCGGAAGCCATGGACCCTCTGGAACCTGCCGCCGCGCCCAATACCTGCCAGCACACGCTGCGCACTCGCCGAGGCGACTACCTGATCCAAGCGTCGTGGCCGCCCGCCTGGGGCGAAGACAGGAAGAGTCCAACCGATCGGCCGGTGCCTATCGTGTAAGTTGTCATCCGTCCGCCCGCCCACCACAGCGCCGGGAACCCGCATCATGCACGGGTGAGCAGATCATCGATCATCGCTGACCATGCCACTGCTACACATAGCTACCTGGTCGACGGCAACGCCTACTTCTTCTCCGCCACCGAGCTGGTCCGCCGCATCCGCCACCTCCCCAATGGCGCCGGCAACGCCCTCGTCGTCGCTATCGGCTACCCGGCCTTGCGCTCCGCCCTGCACCAGCCGCGCCGCTCGGCCGACCTGACGCCGCCCAGCCCCACCTATGCGCCCGTGCTAGGACGCGATGGCAAGCCTCTTGCCGCCGAACATGGCGGCGCCGCAGAGTTTCTCGACGCCATCGAGAAGGAAGTCGTCCCTTTCGTCGCCAAGAAGGTGTTTCCGGACGTGCGCATCGGGCCGCAGGCGCTGTGGGGCCACTCGTACGGCGGCCTGTTCGCGCTGTACGCGCTGTTCACGCGGCCGCGCTTGTTCGATACCGTCGTCGCGGCGAGCCCGTCGGTGTGGTGGAATGAGCGGCGGATCGTGCAGGTGGAGAGGGAGTACAGGCGTGGAAAGCGGAGAGGAGAGGAGGAGGAGGAGCAGAGGTCGCATGCGCCGCAGCTGTTTGTCATGTATGGATCTGACGAGCAGTTTCCGAAGCGCTTCCATCATGAGTCGGAGGAGGAGTTTGCGGTGAGGAAGAAGCTTGCGGCGGAAAGGCGGATGAAGGACAATGCCATTGAGATGGGTAGTCGGCTGAGGGATAGCGGGCTTCTGAGGAAGGTCTGGCTCCAGGAGTTTCAGGATGAAGACCATGGAAGCGCGGCGCTGTGCGCTTTGAGCCGTGGGATTACTGGCTTCCTTGAGGCGTGTAGTTACTAATGCGGGGTGGAGGGATCTGTTTCGGCGCTTCTGGAGGCATTGAGAGGCCGGCTAATGCTCAATGCAAGCTTCAGGGCAAAATGCCTCCATTTTAGAGTAATCCGATACCATTGCGCAAGGCGGTTTCGATTGTATTTGGAGAACTGATTTCCTGATGGATGAAAATTTACCACCCTCAACACCCAATCCTGTGTCGAAAATTAAGGTGTGGCGCGCTGTCAGACGGGCGCGTTCCTGGAGGATGCACAACCACTAGCAGCAACGGCGCCAAAACACCACAGATGTGCTTATTCTGACTCCATAGCTCCAGTTCGCAGCACCTTCCCCAATTACGAAAGAGCAGGGGACCCTATCTGCTGTAATATGCACGGACACTTTCAACCCCGCATGACGCCACTTTCTTGCTGACAACCCGCTTCTCAAGTCTTACGCCCCATATATGATTCGCAAGGCCAAGTATTTTACGCCCAGATTTCGCTCTCGGCACTGAAAATCTGGCGGAACATGTTCTAACTTCCTGACAAAGGATGACTAAAGTCCCTATCAATAATGCGGCGGAGTCGCCGAGAGCTCCATGCTTGCTTGGCCTCCCGCACGAGACGAAGAAGCTTTCACCTATAAATAACGTCCGGGTAGGGTATCAGATATACGAGCGAAAAAGCTTCTCTCAACCGCCCGGCAGCGTCAATACAAAAACAACCCAACGCATCCCCACCATCGTCACCCGCTTCCCCCCTCTCTACTCCTGACCGTCCCCGCCATAAAGAGGACCACACCCAAGAAAAGCACCACAATGTCCCAAACTCCCACCAATACCCTCTCCAACATGGGCACCGACTTCACCCCCACCATCCACCACGACACGTACCCCTACATCTCCCCCGCTTCCATCCCATCCATCCCACCCGGCCGCTCCGTCTTCATCACCGGCGCCTCCAAGGGCATCGGCGCCGCCACCGCCCTCGCCTACGCCCGCGCCGGCTTCTCCCACATCGCCGTCGGCGCCCGCTCGCTGCCGGCGCTGGCGCAACTCGTCCCGGAGATCAAGGCGGCCGCGAAAAATGCGGGGAGGGCGGAACCGCGGGTGTTAGTGGTGGGGGTGGATGTGACGAGGCGAGAGTCCGTGGAGGAGGCGGCGGGGAGGGTGGGGGCGTTTTTGGCTGATGAGGATGGGGAGGGGGAGGACGGGGTCGGGGGCGGAGGAGAAGGCAGGGGGAAGGGAGGAAGGCTGTTGGACGTGGTGGTCGCGAATGCCGGGTTCCTCGAGAGCTTCGTCCCCGCGGCCGAGGTCGAGGATGTCGACGAGTGGTGGCGCAGCTACGAGGTCAATGTCCTGGGGACGTTTCTGACGTACCGCTACTTCGCGCCGCTGCTGCTGGGCCCGGCGGCGTCGTCTTCGTCTTCAACCTCAGCCGAAACGAACAACGCCACCACGGGCAACGCTGAAGAGGTGAACGGAGCGGCACATGATGGCGACAACGCCAGCCTCAAAACCTTCCTCATCCTCAGCAGCATCGGCGCGCACAACCAGCTCGTCGGCGGCTCCGCCTACCGCAGCGCAAAGCTCGCCCTGCTGCGCTTCGCCGAGCACGTCGCGTTCGAGGAGCAGCGCCGCGGGCTGCAGGTGATATCCATCCATCCGGGCGGCGTGCCGACGGAGCTGGCGTGGCGCATGGGCGAGGAGCTAGGCCGGCAGGTGCTGGTCGACACGCCCGAGCTGGCCGCCGACACGATCGTGTGGCTGACGTGGGAGCGGCGCGGGTGGTTGAATGCGCGGTACGTGAGCTGTAACTGGGATATGGAGGAGTTGGAGGGGAAGAGGGAGGAGGTTGTGAGGGGGGATTTGTTGAAGGTGAGGATGGCGGTGGAGGTGGGGAATTGAGTGGTGTGGTCTGATCAGCAAAGTTGAACAATTTAAAGCAGCGCTCCTTTAAAGGTGTTCAAATATGAGCCAAACAGAATGCTTCAGCCACTGGTTAATTTTCTGAGCAATATGGAGGTCACAAGACGTATTGACTAGCACAACTTCTTAACGATAGAAATTATAATAATGATCGAGCTAACTCTCATGTATTCGATTTTTTATCCAAGACCGTTGACCCACTCAGGCTTATGTGTCCCAGCAGCATCGTAACACATGCTATACCAAGCAAGTGATGAAATAAACGTGCCGACAAAGAAACCAAAAGCATTGAATGAGTTCAAAATACTCGTCGCCCTAGCTTTGAACGTGATTGTTGAGTCTCCAGCGAGGATTCGACGCTCGAGAAAGAGCACGTGAATCTGTATTCGCTTTGATGACCAAGAAAGAAAAAACATCAGGCTCCAAATTCCAGTGAACATAAACCCCCATAGCAAACATTTCGACAAACCTTCAAAGCCTTGATACGCTAGTAAAGAGGCATTCATATCCAGAAGAGTTGACAAGAGGAGTATACATATCAAGAGTACACTAAGAAATAAAAAAGAAATCAGAATGAGAAACATGTCGTCTGTAGCTATTGAAGAAAAAGAAGGATTTACATACATGATTGGAGTAGTAAAGTGTAGACCAAGGAAATATAATAGGAAAAGAAATACCCTAAATGATATATTTCGGAAAATCAAATCTTGTGAGCATTTGGGGTTAAACAGTAATGAGTGACTAGCCCATATTATTAAAATCAGATGGATGACGATCGAAAAAATCCCCAGGGCTACTTGAATTGTTGACAAATATTCCAAAAGCACAGGAATATCTCGAGCGATAGCGTTCTCTGCACCTCCATCCTCGCTTTTTGCAGCAGAGAGTAATATTTCGATTGTCAAAAAGGAGCTAAGGTATAGCCCTGCCCATAGTTGCGTCAAAGGTATGCCCGACAGTGCCATCAATTTGACGACTTGTGGTAAAGTTCCGAGACAGAACAGGAAGGCTCTGACAGCTCCCGCCCTTTCAATAGATTGGACGCCTTCTCCACTAGGTTCACAGACACCGTTTTCGATTCCACGTGCCGTCAAGACCGCATGCGCAGCCTTCCGTGGATTGATGCCGGAGCAGATCAGAAGTGCCAGATGCGTGATCATTCCGAGGTTGTCGGCCGCGCATACGATAGGAGAGCACCGCATGTAGGTGCGAAGTCGCAGCGGGAAATGGCAGACTTGCCCGCAAGGCTGTGTCATGACGGAGAGAAGGAAAGGCACAAGCGCCCAAAATGCGCTTTGCCATGATACGCAGTCATCTATATCTCTAGTAAGTTTCCAGACTGATTTCAGTAACGTAAATATCGTACCACAGCTTTCAGGGGTTGAAGACATTGTAGCAGAGTTCAGAGGAGAGTTAGAGTGTTGGTGAAGCTGTGAGGCCAGCTCCAAAAGCGGGGCGGTCAGCCTTTTGACGAGTCCAGTATGAAATTAGACTAAAGAATGTGATGTTCTGTGATTGGAGTTCGTGCAGATGTGGCGCAGTGCATAGAACCTTCAAGATTGTGCTATCCCGGCAGAATAATCAGCTTACGTTACACAGAAAGACAAGTTTTCTTGAAGCCAGGGCTGTGTGAATCCTTGAAAAACCTGAAAGATGGCTATTGGTGGGAACAGTGTGTGGTCCGAAATAGTCCTGGAGACACGTTTCCAATTGGTTGGCGTTGATTGGGAAGGCCAATGTGACTCAACGTCGACAAAGAGAAAGTAGACTGAACAAGAGTAAAGCAAAGTTTGCGGTGTAGTTTAAGGAAAGTTCCAGATATTCTGATTGAACTGGACATTTCAAGCGTCTTGGCTGGTGCTAATCGCAGGAAGGCAGTCTAATCATATATGCATTCTCTTCGATACTCGATGAGAATGCCATTTCGAACGGTATTGCCTACGTGACCGCTGCCAAGTAAAGGAATCGAATACTTTAGAATATTGTGAATGACTGAGGCTCATCCAACCAACTCTGAGAAGAGTTGTTTCCCTCCTCGTGGACTGTACCATGAGATCTTCGTGGATTTGAAAAGCCTGCCATCAGTGAATATGATTTTGATGCAGTCCAGCTTTTCAATATTACCCCGGAGTCTTCTGACACCTTCACGGCGATGAAACTTCCATCATCCTGCCCCTGTTTTGTTGATCCATCCAAAACCATTACAGTACCCTGACAGACTTCGTAGGTCTTGTCGTCGGCCAGCCTGACCCTCAGGAGTGGCACAGGCTCCTCAGGCAGGTTAAAAAAGCCTTTGAGCATCCTTTGGCCCTTGATGATGAGTAGATGGCCATCAACAACAGGATCTTCGGCCAGGTATATGGGCTGCCTGGGGACTATCCTTTCGGTCCATCTGTGTATCCAGGTGTGTGGTGATTTGGGCTTGCCCAGTTGAAGGTCAGTCAGCACCCACAGCCCCGGGGGAAAGATGATGCGAAACCTCTCCACGAAATAGACCGAGAGCTCGTATAGGACCTCGAACACACTCTTGTTGTAATCAGGTACAATCCCGACAGTGGCGCTCTGATCGACGAGGCCAAGGACGGCAAAGATGTGATCGAGTGGCTCTGATGCCTTGAACGTCTGAGATGCACGGAACAGCTGGGGAAGCAGATCGATAGGCTGCGGCCCTTGCAGACCACCACACAGCATCATGGCTGCTGGATCGACAAAAATGCGCGAATCAAAGAACGGAACGCCATCCCGTGCGGCATCGCTGATTGACCCAATGAAGAACCTGGACAGCGCCTGCCACTTGATCGTTTTGCTGCCACAGATGATGATGGCGGCACGGGCTACCACGATCTCTTGCAGGGCCCACAAGCGCTTGAACCAGTTGCGCTTGAACAGCTCCATTGCCAGCTGCACTGCTTCTCCTTCCGGAAGCCCGTGGTTTGCCTTGGGATTGCTCAAGTAGTCGAAGAGCCTATCGCTTTCAAAGGAGCGGTTGCCCAGAAACACGACCACTCTGAATGCTGTGTGGTAGATTCTGAACATCAGATGGACCTGGTGGCTGCGCTCGCGGAGGTTTGATTGGTCGATGCAGAGGGCGTCGATCCATAGAAAGCGTAGGTCATCCTCGAGGCGCAGGCGAAGCAATGCGGCTTCGCAATTCTTCGTGATGGCAATTTTGCCGTACTCTGGGCCGCACCGGATTTCCTGTGTCAGAGAACGGTCGCCGTTTGCGTCGTCCCAGGTGTACGAGAGAGCTTCATAATCGGGTGGCTGATCCAGTTCGCAGGTAATCAAGTCACATGAAAGAGTGTCTGAGGATGTTCCAGGATGCAATACGACGAGTCTGATGCTGTTTCCATTCTCTAAAGACCGGTTGGTAGATGTGGTGCCACCTACAATTCGAGACTGGGCCTCTTCTTCCTGCGACATGGTTGATTATGGATGGTCTGAGGAGCTACCAACCCCATTTTGCGAGAGAGCGTGATTTATTTCCTGCTTTGCTCCAGGCAGCACTATGCGCCTTGAGATGCGCGTGGAAATCCTTCCGCGTATTAGAGCCAATAAGCGGGCACAAAGCTGAGTGGCAAAGCGTTACAGGGTTGATCGCTTACTGTAGATCATCTTCCAGAACGGCATCTCACGAGGTTCTAAAGCTGCGACTTCATTGAATAGAACGTGGGTCGCACATTTGAAAAAGTTGTTTAGATAAATGCAATGGGTTGCTGCCTAGGTACTAGGCTTTGAATGCGGTGTTCTTCATAGAAGCGTCTGGCATACTCCTATTCATTATTGAGAATCTCAAATCATTATTGGCTAAAAGAAAAGTCCCTTGTATGAGTCCAGAAGCTTCGTTTGAAATAAGCAAACACGTAAAGAAGTTGGTTATGTCATGGTATCGGGGGTGGTGTGCTTGAAGGAGTTGAAAAACGGCGATGGGAAAGGGGAGTTGTGGGCCTTTGCAGGGTTGTCGAGGGTTGGGAGCTTAAGGAAATTCCCGCCGGCATACGTTGAGGTGGAATATATGTTGAGGCTGAGGCTAAGACTGAGGCTGGCAGCAATTGGTCAGGTATGAGTGAGCCTGGGCTTGTGGGCGTGGACTGTCAAGAAATGGTATCGGGACATGGATGTACTTTTAACAGGAGCGCGGAAAATAGTCGAAAGGGGACATCATGCTTTGGAGGCCGTAATCTTGGTCCCGTTGGCATGAATGCGAATTTTCAATTATTGAGACATGCGGGATATGTAGTTAGAGGCTTTCTTAGCTTTCTTCGACGTCGGTTGTATGGTGAGCAAGAGCGGTGCCGCGAGCTTCTGGCATCTGCCAAATGTTCGCACGGAATGCTATGGAAAATAGGGAAACAATGACATGAACAATAAGACCACTAGCTGTGCCCTAATTCAGATTTGGGGATCAATGAAGCATAGAATCACGAAGGTGGTAGTATTGAGATGGGCAGGCGTTCTGAAATGCAATTGACGTCCCAATTGGTTGAGGAGTTTGGGGTACTGGGGTGGAGTCGGTGCCAAGCGCGCGACATAGGTAAGAGCATGCTGCGCCCGTCTCCGCGACAACGTCGTTGCAACCGTAAAAGCCACTGAGCCTGACTTTCGAAAATAGACTGCCCATCCACCACTGCTTTCCACCGTTGTCGGGCGCATCGCTGTTCGACGATGCCGCACCAAAGGACCCTGTCTGGCACTCCGCTCCGCACGATTCCGGAGGACCGTGCCATCACTATCACTTCGGTAAGCCATCGGAGGCCCACCTCGCCGCAGGATGTCTGACTGATGGAAGCTCATAGGCTGTCGATGAGGCTATGATCAAGCAACACCCGCGCGACGAATCGGCGGACGCGTTCCAGAACAGCTTGGCGATCCACCTGCTCGAGAAGAAGTTGGTTCGTCTAGTCGAAGGCAAGGAACACGTGCGCATCAAGCTACAGCTTCTCAACTTGCACTTGGAGAAATGTCGTCGGGAGCTGAGTTCTCTTCGCAAGGCGGTCTACGACTAACTCAATCCACCAATCCCCGCTCCGAACATCGCGTAAGGATGACAATACTCAGCTCACCTTGGTAGCCCGGCGATCACCAAGCGGAACTTCTCAGCGAAGAGACTCAACATCGATATTTGGGGTGTCCGAAACCATGTCGAAGCAGACACATATTCTGAGGCTAAGAAGCTGGGGGACATGGAGAGCAAAGCGCGGTCAGCCGGCATTTTCTTCACCTGCCACACAGCACAAGCCGATGGTTGTTCCCTTCATTTTCGCGTACCACAACTACGTGATTTTCTCCGATTTAACCAATAAGAGATGCCCGATTGGTCTTCGAGCTTTGTCTGTGATTTCGTGAAATACGTGAGATGGACATACCAGGACAGTAAGGATGTCGCTTCAACAGCGACCCGGATAGAGCCGGATAAACATGAAACAACCCTGAAAAATCGGATCACCTGCATGCTTTCCACAGCACTGGGAGAAAGAGTGGAGTAAGGCCGACCGTCACGAGAAGCTATACGGGACGAGTCATGATGGCATTTTGAGTTGAGGCTTTAACGAATGAGGCAATTTTCGCATCAACTACGGCCCGTCACCCGCCCGCAAGGCGTATTTTAGCCAAGTGAACCCTGTGTGGGGGCTCATTTTGACTCGTTTTTGTTGTAGCACTTGGCGATGGTGGAACGGCGAATCACGGCCAAAAACGCCGTCGACGTCCGTCGAGCGGCACGATGCCCAGACCGGAGCGCCTGAGCTGAAATTTCCGGCTGTGGTCTCGAGTGTTCCTTATGCCGGTTCTTTTACGTATTTCCGTTGTAGGATTCCCTCTCCGGGGCGCTACTCCATTTCTCCGCACCCCAGAAGATCTTCATGTACCGATGGATAAATGCAGAGTGGACTAAGGAAGAAGTAGAGGATAAACCGAGAAGTGTTGAGCTATCACACCATAAAGAAGCCTCGGCTACGATTCCAATCTAGGACGGAAGTAGCTAAAGCCGTCGGTAGCGCACGCCATTGTTTCCAAACCGAGTCATGACCCTCGCCTAGCACCCGAGAGGTTCAGCCACACCGTAAAGCCGTAAGGAGGGGAACCGGAAATAAAACCAGTCTATCATCCTGTAAGTAATAGGTAGGAGATGGGAAGCGTAGAGAGTTGCTTCGCGATGAGCGAGATATGTTTGTCGAGCAAGGATGTCTGTAGCAATGGAAACACAGTAACAATAAGGTTACTTCTAGAAGCTCTGTGAAACATTCGGATCAGGAGACAAATCGATCAGTGTATAGAAGACCTTAGCGTGTTCGATATACAGCCTCGCCAAATCCTCGGTCCGATCACCGCCACTGTCGCAGCCACGAATTATGCTTTGAAATTGGGGGCTTTCTTTCAGACTATCAACTCGACAACTAGCACCTACATATTCTACAACGCAAATGTGCGGAAGAATTTGCCCTTGAAATCCACAGTACATGTATCTGCCCTACCTCACAGCAAGCTGCTGCGATGCCAATCATCATCTGGGATGTTGGATGAAATGGACAGCCTGAAGTCTCCCGCTCACGTGGTGAGATGATATCCACTTTTCGTCGGACCATGTCCCAAGGGAGTACTGGAAATGACTCGGAGGTGCATACAAAGGGTAGGTCCGACCACGCCACCCACCCGAGGAGCGGACTTGGCGTCTTCCGACACGCCAAGCCTTCTCAGGCTTTCCTTTTCTGGCTAGGCAGTTAGCCCCTGCAACTCCGCCCGAGCAGCTGTCTCTTCGATCGGTACGGAGATTTTCTATGTGGAGTAGCCAAAGCCTTGCAGATACGTTCATGCATCATCTGTTCCGTCACCCTGGTAGCAGTGAGACATCGACGCGATCCGATGAGACATGAACAATGGTGGTGAAGAATAGTAGGTTTGATATCCCATCTAGAAAACGCTGGAGAAGACTACAACTTAGCTCTCCTCACCAAGCCCCGCAAGCGCCTCGTAAACTTACTAGACTGTCACTTGAACACAGCTTGGCATTCACGGCCAGCCACCTCCGCGATTCAGAGAACACGAGCCGTGAGCATCGTCCCTGAGCCAAGATGCAAGCTTCTGAGTTGGTTGTTTGAACCACCCGTTCTGGACGTGTGATGAAAGCTGAGCGAAATACACAAGAAGTGTTGGCATACCTTGGCGGGGGATATAAAAGACTCGTCCTGGAGCGGGAGAAAGAATCATCACCAACTCACAGCTACTTCATCACTCTCACTCGATCTCTGATCCATCACCTTCGTTTCCAATCCAACCACCACCATGCAGCTCAAGCACATCGCTCTCGCCGCCACCCTGGCCGCCGTCTCCTCGGCCCAGTTCAACATCCCCGCCGCCAACGGCAAGAAGCAGGTCCTCAACGCCCCTCGCCCCATCTCGGGCTTCGTCGACCTCAAGTTCCAAGAGTTCGACCGCGGCAAGGCCTGCACGTCCGACAAGGACCAAGGCAGCGACGAAGCCGTCTTCGTCCTCAAGAACGGCGCGACCCTCGCCAACGTCATCATCGGTTCGGACGCCTTCGAGGGCGTGCACTGCGAGGGCTCGTGCACGCTGCAGAACGTGTGGTTCCGCGACGTGTGCGAGGACGCCATCACGCTGCTGGGCTCGGGCAGCTACCGCATCACGGGCGGCGGCGCCCAGAACGCCGTCGACAAGGTCATCCAGCACAACGGCGTCGGCACCGTCGAGATCAAGGACTTCACCGTCTCCAACGTCGGCAAGCTGTACCGCTCCTGCGGCGACTGCACCAACAACGCCGGCAAGAAGCGCACTGTCGTCGCCTCGGGCATCCGCGCTTTCAACGTCAAGTCCGACCTCATCGGCATCAACAGCAACTACGGCGATACCGCCACCGTCAGCAACTCGTGCGGTACCACCAAGAAGGTCTGCCAGGAGTACAAGGGCGTCAACAAGGGATCCGGCAAGAGCGAGAAGCTCGACACCCCCACTGGCGCTTGCAAGGGTGCTCAGGGTGGTCTTGCCAAGCTCCCGTCTTGCTAGACGCTCGGCCGTAAGAACCGCGTTGATTCATAAAGAGTTTAGTCATTCCAATTGGGCTTTATGAAAGGGGACGCAGCCACACTGGGACTGGATTCCAGTAGAATCTTCATGTACATACAAAATATTATTCGCTCTTGTTTCTCATCACGATGATCGTATTGTTGCCATGTGTACAAATGTTATGGAGTCAAAGATTATTTCTGGAGTCACTCATGTTCTAGAGCTATTCTCATTGCAGTCCGAATTGCGCTGACTAATGGGAATATTTCAAACCTCGGACCATGTTCTGTGAAACAAGTGGTGGCCTCTTGAGGTGGAGGAGAAATTGATTGACATCGTTCTCGAAATCCTTAGATCAGAATAGCAGTTTGATCGGGCAGCAGTTGATTGCGAAAGAAAACCTGTTAGTCATCTGGTTCTTGGCAAAGAAAGTAAGTTTCCCGTCAGGATCATGTTCACGTAATCCGAGAAGAGACCATGCGGTTGTAGAGTTTGTATTTGTTGCTACATAGATCTTTGAGACCAGCTCAGTAATCACAATAGAAAGAGGCCAAACTCAGTTCTTTCTCTCCGGAGCGTCCCTCTCCGGTACGTTCAGAGAGCGACACTGGTCAGATCAACCCTCCATACAAAAGACTGAATCACATCAAAAGAAAGACGTGGCAGTGTGTCGCTCCTCCGCCCGCTCACTCGTCGCAAATGCCGTTGTCGACGAGGAAGTCGTTGAGAGCGTCGACACATCCAGCGCAGTCGCAAAGCTGTAACATCTTAACACGAAAACTGTAACACTTGGGGAGGGGCCGCTACTTACCACACCTTCGCCTCCAACGACGCAGGCAAGAACCGCAGGGACGTCGGCGGTGGCAATTCCAGCAGCGATGCAACCAGCGGCAGCAACCACACCGACGCACGACAGGACATCGCAGTCGGCGCGCTGAACGGCGAAAGCGATTTGCTCAGGGGTGACATTGGGCGCTTGACGAGTCAGTATTGAAGATGGGTACACGGAGTGCGGAAAACGTACTAGTGTTGGCCTGCCTCTTGGTGAGGACACGGTTGGGCGCAGCGGTGGCCGCGACGGCCAGGACGGAGGCGATCAGACCGGTGAAGAGCATTTTGGCTGGAGTGAGGGGCTGGAAAAGGATTGGAGGGAGCTTTTGGGGGTTGCTTTGATGTTCTGAGCTGGAGTGAACGGCTGCTGGATGTCGAAAGGACTGGTGGGAGTCTTGCGGGCTTTTATAGACAAGCTCGTGGGACACTGGCCTCTCCACGGACAGCTTTTGGGCGGAGTTTGTAGTCCGAGGTCCATTGTTGATCCCACTCGGTGGCGTGAAGAGTGATTCGTCTCTCACACCCACTTGTGTTCTACACTATCGACATAAGCTGACTGCATCGTGGATCCGGTGTAGACAAGGTTGTGCATCACAGCCTCTCTGCTAACAGTGATGGAGGAGAAACTTCCACGACCTGTTGTTACGGAGCGTGCACGGGAGATTTGAGCAGCTACTTCACCAGTTGTCAGTGATACTCTTGTGCTAATAGCCAAGGTCCGCCATAAAAACAATATACCGGAGTATTTCTTGATGCACAGAGGTCTCTCCTACAGCTCTCGATGAATGGAAAGAAAATGACAGAGGGCTTCCGCCAAGAAGGACTCCTTCCCCCATGGTCCCTTTGTGCCTGATTGATACTAAGCTCTATGGATACACTTGGCCGGCGGTGGCTGCTTATCTGCGTCGGAGGTTCTGTAGGAAAGCTTTGCACCAAGTGACCTTTATGGCAAGTTTTGTGTCAGTTCCCACTTGCTTTATTCTCAAGTCAAACGGGACAAAGGCTCTGGTAAAGATGCTAGGAATAGAGCATAAGGGTCTCTTGCGATGCTACGGTAACTCAAAACTTTCTTAGTTTCATCCCACACGCGTCTTCCTAGTGTGATGCTGCCGTGATGTCAAGACAAGTCATGAATCCCTGCCTCAGCCACCAGGCCGGCTGAGTGTCAATAGGATCCGCCACGCTCTGTGCGAGAATTCCTAGTCTTGGGTATGCCTAGATCCGTAATCGACTGTTTCGGCAGTTCTCTGTTGATCCCTTGCAGGATGACTGCAGCCAACGGGTGAAGGAATACGAAGACAACGGTTATGAGCGACCTTGTGACTCTTAAGCTTGGCATTCAAGTAGTTCAACTGGTGTTGGCGATGGCGTTCTATGAATATTTAGTCAAACATTTGCCGTGTGTAATTGCGCAAATATGATATTAAGACATCTCTATGAGGTGACTGAGTATCAGATGTCGTTAAGCACATTGTTTAGAATATTTGAGGAGACAACATTTGAAACGCTGGTTTTATTAGCGTATCTCGTCTTAGCTGCCAGATTGTCCAAGCCGCATGATCCGTAAGCACGCTCGAGTGTCTTTATCTTGGCGGCCATGACAGATGGGGTAGCAACATGCAAAGAGCATGTCCCACGTGTGGCTTTTTACCCAGACCAGCCTTGGCACCTTGTACGGAGCTTAATTCCGCCCTCATACTCGGTTTCTTGGCAGATGTTGTAGAGTGTATCTTATTGGCTTACTGAGTCCTGGGATGCGGAGAGGCCCGATGCGAGTAATAAGCGAACCGCAGCCCCGCTTCAGTAGACGTCAATCTTACGAAAAATCGCCCCTCTCAAGCCCTAGTGCCTGGCACACGCACATCCATTGTGTGGGTATAGTTCCTATTGTGGCTATTTAGACAGTGACATGCATGCTTACCCGTTGGTGGCCCGGCGATCATGGCACGCCCCCATGCTTCACGCCGGAGCAAAGTTCCTCGTGAAGACAACGGATCGCCGATCTCTGCCTGAAGATGTCGAGATGGATGCGGAGGAGATCCCGATTCAGCCTCCTTCTTAAAAGGGATTGCGCCACCACACGTGATGAATGTTCTGGATGCAACACTTGTCGCTAGACTTGTGCCGATTACCCGTTTAGATTGCCTTTCAACCGTCTTCGTCACACCTTCTGTGATCCTTGAGTAACCTACGAGTTACCAGCTCTTGAATGAAAACTGACGATCTCCGTCGCTGTCTGACCAAGCCCGGTGTTGGGGCCCAAGTTATACGACGTGGGATTCACCGTACTGAAAATCCCACCAATACCTGTGGTTGCTCTTGACTCTTAGCCCCCCACTGGATTATTTCTTAGTGACGATCAAATGGGATTTTGAAGGAATGCCATGTTCGGTGCCTTGAGCAGAAGGCATTCAGCAAAGGTCACTTCGGAGCAGTCCTGACGAAGTATCCCGGCCTTGCCTGTGCATGCATGCCAGGAACAAGGCTGACTTAAGAGTTCAACTTTAACGATGCCCAGAAAATTAGGCGCCCCGCACAGCTATGCCAATATGCACCGGTAACAACCTCTTTGACGTGAGCATTGGCGGCTAATTCGGCTACTGCGGCTGCCAGTTACTTCTGCCTACCCCAACCCCAACACGACCCTCGCCACACCATCCAATATGCCCCTGTTATTCTGCTGTTCAGTGATGATGAGCTTAGAAGCACTAGTACGGAGAAAGGAAGAGCTCATGGTTGTTTCTCAATCAATTGCCTTTGCCCCGACCTCAAAGTCCAAGGGTTTGAGGAGGATTCAAGAAGCCTTTACCTGCGTAGCTCTACCTACGAATCTCATTACACGTTACAAGGATTTCAGAATAAAACAAGGGCTTTGACTGACTGTCACGGGAGGCACTACCAACAGGGAGTGCCCAACTTCAACTAGATCGTGATTATTAATGTTTTGGAGATACTGTGTGCTTGCTTAGCTGATGAGAATTTGGCACTCTTTTGGTAAATACTCCGGCCGGTTGTTTCGGGCTGTCTTGCACATTCCTTATCGGCTCGCGGCGGCAATAACTGTACGGATTTAGTGGCGGCTGCCACCCTGGTAGTAATAGAGTGTCTGTTCAATTAGAAAGTCCCATGTAGCTAGGCAGCAGCGCATACAGGGAACTTATCCCATGAAAACATCGAACGGAGGTTTCGAAAGCATCCGTTGTTAGTCGTGTCTTACAGGGACGCAAACATTGAGAATACGCAGTTACAGTTCTCTGTAGCGCTTACTTTCGAAAGATAGTACGAAGATTATGGCAACAAATGTCGTCGGGAACTTCATTGCGTACTACAGCCCACAATGTGAGCGGGACATCGGCTACAGCAACTTTACAAGCCAGCAGACTTCTTTAATTACTACCCATCTACACAGCGTTCGCTATTTGAATGGAATCTCTGCTAAAGGTATTACTGCTCCTCAAGGGACGGAAGATAAGTGATGGCATACGAGAGCATGACCCTACCGCCAACCTCTCACCCGGCGGACACGGGCACTCATCCCATCATTGTTTCGTCAAGGCAAAATCCACGAGAGGAAATGCGCACTCACCTGTAAGCGCCAGAAACCACTTTCAAACCAGCAGAGACCGTCTGTGATGAGCCGCGCGCTCGAAAGACGCTGCCGTGTGAATTCGTGTTCCAGAACATACCCCTGTCCGCTTATGCAGGTTTGCTGCGGGTTCGGGCAAGAGCCTCAACCACGTCAGCGAACGGCGAGGCACCGATCTTCGCTGGGGAAGAGAACGGCGGGCTGCGTGCGACAGCCGCTGGTTTTGGTTTTCTTTCGTCAGCCCCACCCTCTCCATGCACGAGGCTTTGGTTTTGTGCGTGCATTCAAGCAGTTACTCGTTGAAAGTGCCAAAATCAAACCACATAGTGAGCCTTGTGTTTGATTTTTATTTTTTCAGAGCTACGGAACAACCTGTGTAGCCTTTCTTGAAGTCGCCGACCAGCCTTATGCAGTCTCGCGTGGAGCCACAGACCAGCCTAATGCGGCCTCCCGTGAGCCGCATACCATAATGTGCGGCCTCCCGTGAGCCGCATACCATGATTTGCGGCCTCTCGTGGATACTTAAGAGAAGGATAAACTGCATCGGGATCAAAAAGATTCCCCTCTGATGGCTCAGTTCCCGCTCGCCGCCAGAATGCCGTCCATCCGCCGCCGAAATGCTATCACGAGCTCTTCCGCTGACACCTCCTCATGTACACCACTCAGTACCTACTGGAGATAACAGCCATCCGGCGAAAGGAAACAAGGACACGATGGGCAAGTAAAAAGGCATAACGAAGCGCTCGGAGAATTTCAACCCAGCCGCCCGGGACTTGGCTCGCTTGTGTGTGCAGGTTCCGCTGCAAGTTCAGCCTCGTGCCGACATCGCCGCAGTCACTGTTCGTGCTACCCCCTCGTCGTCCATCCACGTGAATCTCACTGCTAACTCGCACATGCTCGTTACCAGAGACCAAGGAGGCGCATTCGTGCCCTGCACTGTGTTCCGCAGCTGCGCACGCAGGCCCCCTGCTCCCCGGGCGCCACCGGCCAAGCCTCCTTGGTAATTCGCAATCGAGCGTCTCGAAAACCCAAAACCCAGAACCAAAACCTCTCTATAGTGCCGTCCTTTCTCTCCATTCAACGCGCAAGATGGAAATGGCGCACCTTTGGCGCTGCCATCTCCTCTATGTCAGAAAGTGGAGATGGTTTTCCAGTGGTGTTTTCTGGGTTCTCGTCCTGTACATAAGGCCTTCTCAACGATGCCTTCTCTCCTCTCCCTACTCTCCATAGAGCTGCGACCAGAGAACCGGTTCCTCTTCAATCAACACCATCATTGCTGCCTTCCGGATCTCTGGTCCTTCCGTAGCTCTTTCCCAAACCGGCAACAGAAGCCTCGCCATGTCTGACCGCCGCCCCCATCAGCCCCAGTTCACGGGCAACAACCCGCCTGCCGCCAACGACGATTGGAGCCACAGCATCCTGGCTGCTCGCATCGACTATCCGCACGGCCGTCTTACCAACGTCAACAATGGCCGTGGAGCCACGGCTACTCATGGCCCCAATGAACCCACTCGAGGCAACCCGCCGCCGCACCCAATGCCCGTCCAGTACCCGCTGAGCAACACGTCCACCATCTCGCACCGTGCCGTGTCCACCACCCACCACCACCCCAGCGGGGCCCAGCGCTTCCCCCACGGCCAGTACAGCCAGAGCCAGCAGCCACACGACGCAATCGCCCTCAACCCTCCCCCCGTAATGCCACGCCACCCTGCCGCCGCCCCTGGCCCGGCGCAGCAGCCTTCAGCATGCGAAGTCATCTTCCCCTGCTGCAACAAGGGCTACAAAAGCGAGTTCGCGCGGCGGCGGCACCAGCGCGAGAGCCCGGAGTGCCCGTACTGGACCGGCGAGATCCTGAGCTTCTCGTGCCCGTTCTGCCCGACGCAGCCGAAGCGGCGAGCGGCGCTGGTGCAGCACGTGCAGGAGCGGCACAAGCAGACGAATCAAGAGGCGAAGGACCTGGTGCATGCGTGGTACAACCGGGATGGGAGCGTGAGGGGGCTTTGATGGGGGTTTCGTGGTGGGGGGTTGCTGGTGTCGAGGGTTGGGAGAGAGAGAGAGAGAGAGAGAGAGAGAGAGAGAGGTGATGAGAGATGATGGGGAGATGGTAAGGGCAGAAAAGGGCGGTGGTTTGGTGCGGCGCTGGAGGGCGGATGATGTGGGTGGTTGGGGGTTTGTTTCCTTTCGTGTTCACGTCCGGCTACGCTCGTTGCAGTATACCTCCTTAGTTTCCTTCTGTTTTGTTTTATTGTGAGCGTTAGGCGCGCGGTTCAGCTGTTTTCTATAGCGGAGTGATTGGTATTCGGCAAGTCATTGGGAGACTGGGTACGTTGTGGTGTTTCTCAGATGGCCGGGTCAGTGTTGCCCGTGTCATCCAGGGGAGTGTGTGGGGAAAACAGGGTCAGGATTGGGCAATGCATCACACATCTGTAGCTTCCATTGATAATTGCATATAATTGTGCTTACAACATCTGCATTTCATACAGGATTTCCATTACGACTACTTTGGGCACAAAAGAATGTATTTACTGCGACGTAGCACGTGCGAAATGCTGCTCCTCTGACATACGCTCTTGTATTACCAGCAACTTAAGTGTCGAGAGCAGAGCCACAGCTTTATAAAAGCTAACCCAGAACAACGGTCTTGTGTTCTCGTTCAATTGCAACCATTTCGGCAGGTGGACCTCTCCTAGTCCCAGGCGCCTAGCAATGCCATGTTTGCGAAATATAAGCATGACCCGAACTACGAGCGGCGAAAAGTCACTTTCCTCTGAGCTGATATCCGTATACAATGGGTCGTTGGTAAGAATTTTACAGACATCGACCGTATTGATGCGTCCAGGATCTTGCCATTTAAGATACTCTGCGCCAGGCCTAGACGCTTTAACCCACAGATCATGGGCTTCCGTATCAGGAGCGTGAACCTCCGCTACCGAGAGTGCCAAGAACTCCATTTCAGAGGACACCTGTTGACTCTGGTCTCAAAGACGATATGTGCCGCGTATTTCTGCAGATATATATGACCGGCAAATGCTCCATCTAGCATCCTCAAGATGCATAGATTATAAGCTCGTCCGTGTTCTCCGGAAACCCCTCGATGCGCATCGCTGCCGACTGAGTGAAGAGTAGGATTCGCCCTGGGTCCGAAGCTAACCTGAGGTCATCTTCGAAGACCCGTGGTTGCAGCTTTGAGGTAAAGATTTGCATCTCTGCAGGTGTGAGGTCACTTGGACAGTGACAAAAAGCGACAGGCACCGTGCTCTTCAGACAAGTACGGCCAGGCGTGGTAATACCATGGCATTTTTCCAGCACTCGTAGTAGCAATCCCCAATCGGCGAGGCGGCCCCTTCCATACGGGCGGGATACTCTTCAGTGAAGCATCCCTGTCGCCATACCAGGGTCATTAAATGAGGCCTGGTCCTGGCGAACATTATGTCTTCATGAGCATGGTAAGAGCCCATCGCTTCGAGGAAGCAGTTTCCGGCCTGATCGGCTTTGGAGCGCTTCAATCTCCTCGACCTATAGGATGACGGATAATGCTGTATACGTTTACAACAAAGCTTAACTATGTCAGAAGTCTAAAAGAAGAGGAAGAAGACCTTCAGCTGTATAACTCCCTCTGCGATAGGATCTCTAACTAGCCTCCCAACATCAGCGTGACAAACATGAGAGCAGCAAAGCTACTCCCCTTGGTTTTCGTTAGATTTCTCAAAGCTGGAGCTGTCCAGTGATCTGATTGTGTGGGATGCTCCTTTCTCCTCTTTCTGTGAAAGAAGTGGGTATCGCAACAACAGAAGACCATATCATCAATCGAATTGATCGCGCCCAAATGGACGGACGATTGACCACCCTGCCCCATCATCGCACACCCACTCCTGACACTCCCGACATAAAAAGCCCTTACGTCCCATAAGCCGTTCGGCCCTTGCTCGGCTCGAGTTCGAATACGGCAATAGTAATGACCAGGAAAAGATAGAAGCGCTGCAACCATCTGGTAGGACTCTCAAACCAAAGTAAAGATTCCCTTTTCCAGCTTGCCGTTCCTCCACATTTCGGTTTCTTTTCCGTTCATGATCCCCTAGACATAGCAAAGCCTGTAACTCCCATCTGCCTGCGGCCGAAGGACAAAAGGGACCTCTGCGCCAAATAGTAGGTCTTGCACATTCCTTCTCGGCTCGCAGATATCTTTTACGCTTGGTAAGAAATTCTCTTCGTAATGGTGTCTGCTCTCATTCTCTGGTGCTTCTTTTCTTCCAGAAGCGGGTCTGGAGCGCCGATAGCTATGAGGCATCACTCTCTCGGGAAACTCCAGTAATGATTTGATGCAATACTTGCCTACCGTGGAAGTTTCCACTTTCAAAGCCCTTCTCTCTTGACGTTTCACTATGATCCAAGGTAAGCTGATTAATGAGAAGACAAAGTTTCAATTAAACCTTACATACGCGAGCCCTGAAACGGCTATACGTCAGAAAAAGTATATATGGCAATAGCACAAGCCAAACACAATTTTATTGGGATACGAACGAGATAGTAGCGAAATGCTCAGCAGTAAGAATCACCAGCAGCGAGTGACCCAAACTAAAAATCAAGATGGAGATTCGGCATCAACATAACCAGCAGTGAATTGTTACTTTCAATTTTTCTTCCGTATGGGCATGGATCTAGCCATCTCAGTCTTACGCATATTCTCTCCCTACGACCGGCATGTTAACTTCCTCACTACTAAACGAACAGTGCCCAACCGTCTCATCTCCACTTCCGTAATTTTGCTGCTGGCGTTGCTGCGTCACTTCGGCTCCCCACTGCACAGGCTTTAGATGATGCATTCCGCCCATTTCTCCCTCAGGATGACACGCCGCCGAAATGACAGCGCTATTGTAACCAGATGTCAGCGCCACCATACCGGGCCTGTTTCGCCTCCGACCCCACAGCACTGCCGCTACCATGGGCAAAAATAAGGCGAACATGAGGACATGAGCAGCTGTCTGCGAGTAACCAAGACCAGTGTAGTCTGAGATTATTCGCCTCTTCCTCACCCCATCCGCCCCGACGTCGTCGCGGTAGTCATAGTATATGCCCGAGCCGAAGTATAGACTTTTTGATACGAGATAATGCAGAGATGCAGATGTTGCCATAAGAGGGATGCTAATCTTAAGCGGAAGTTGAAGCCAGTACGTGGAGCGCTGTGTGCCTTGAGGTGTCGAAGTGCGCAAACTTTTGCGTCGGTGCGCGAAGAGTGACCATTCGCGTACTACAGCCATGCTAGTAACGAGGTGGTTAAAGAGGAGGTAGTCAATGGAGATGAGTAGTTGTGGGATGTTGGCGAGGATGAGAAGGGATGATCCAGGAATGCCATGGCCGAGTGTGAGCGAAATGGGTGAGATTGAGCTGTTGAAAGACAAGTCCAACACTTTATTTTGGTTATACCCTAAGACGAAGAGGATCGAGGCGGTGAGACCGGATAATGCGAACCTGCCATATGTGTCAGTCACATATACATATTTCTTTTCCAGGATGACTGGAAGAGAAAAGTGGGCACAGGCGCACAGAGTGTGGAGCTACACACATTGTTGAGGTAATTCTCCATCGTAAGTAGGATGCTCCAGCTGATTGCCGAAGCTCTTCGCCCTTGGAAATCATGTAAGGTTTAGGTCGGGGGTTCCAGGTCTCTGTTGCAAAGTCTTCTTTCGTGCCCAAACATAGCCCTCGTGTGGTTGGATCTGGTGTCTCCAGGAAAGAATCGATAGCGTCGCCGACGGTAACCAAAGCCGGAGTTCTATAAAGAAACATCGTCACAACCATGGCTATTACCTTAACCAAGTTCATCGCGATGACGACCAGGTGGATGTTCCTACTATACTTAAGCGCGCATAGTGAAGTAACCTGTTCCGCCAAACAGCGTGAAGTTGGAGGATTGTCCCAGGGAAGGATTTGACTACAAATCGAGTTTGGCCATGGGTCCATGACATCTTCCAAACCGTGCCACAACGGGTCTTCACTACTTGGAATCCCGAACGTGCAGATCAATAAGTGGCTGGTAGGATTGATAGAGGTGGAGTAATAGATCCAAGCAACAGATCCGTTAGATGTAATACCGTCACTAATTGCAATAAGGTTTCGGTATCGCATTTGTTGAGGATTAGAAAAGTATGCGTGAAGGCATTCTTCTTTCGTTAGCTCTTTCAGCTCTTTCGTCTGGGCCTTTTGCTGTAGTTCAAGGAGAATTGAATCCTGTAACGTTTCGGATGTAGAGTCCGGACGGTGTCCCCAAATAGGAGGAGACGAAAAGGTAGCGCCGTTTTGGAACTCTGGTGATATAAATGCCACCATAAAGGAAGTTGTACCTGTTACTGGATACAAAACAGAATTGCATCTATCTGGGTTAGATGGCGTATTAAAGGGTGTTGGTAATAGTAACTTACAGGAGATGGAGAGGCAACGAAGATATGGCAAGAAGAAACCAAAGTAATATACGATGAATCCCGATAGAGTAGAGGTTTTCGAAAGAATGAATCCCTATAACAAGGGTCTTTCCCAGTCGATGCATCTTATCCACCTCAGATCGCTTTGGACTGGAGAGAACCTGCATCGTGTAATTACTGGCGCTCAAAAGCACGGTGCATAAGATGTTGACCATGGCGTGGCTGATAACTGAGAACTTTTCTGTACTCTCGCACTTTATGGTAAATGTGGAGTTATCAGAAGCCCATATAAGAAAAGACACATTTGTGACCAAACCATTATCGCTAAACATGTATTCAGGAGGAGGCCGCCTCGCCATCCACTCGGAAGGCCAGGGATGCAATGACAGAGTCGTGTCTTTGGGGTAAGTGGCAATTCCTCATCGCGACTAATATCGAAATGGTTGGGGTGTTGGTCTCCAGTTCGTCCATCGCAATACGGGTGTGCATAAGACCTGGAAAGAAAGATTAAGATAGGCTTGCCCCTATTGATGTGGCCATTTTGCTTACGAGTTCTCTGTACGCAGGAATCTACTTGGTGAGGCCATTTTTGCGCGGAATGAAGCTTGCTTCGAGAAGAAATGTCGAAAAGGAGATATTGTTCGCTACCCATATACCCAACGAACACAACTTTGGCAGAAGGATGAGTCCCTTGTATCACACTGTGCAAGGTTGTGCGGATTTCGAGGCCACCCTTAGCGGGCATACCCAGAGAAACTCACATAGGAAGTACTCCTTCGTTTGCCTACTAGCATATATTTTTTTCTTGTGCCTCTGAAAGTTTGATTGCATATTTCAGCGGGCTCTACGTATCACATGATTCTTCTAGATTCAATTATTCTGTTCTAACGCTCTACAATTCCTCGCAGTAGCGGTGCGCTGCGATGCCCTTCCGTGAAATGGTTGACAGGGATGAAACTGCATAATTGTATCACAGTATTAGCCGCCTTTCTTTACCGCCCCTTCAAAGCCTCGGGTGGAGCCATACTGCTTAGCAAAGAACCTTGCTTCTCGCCAGGGTGGTCAATCGTCCGTCCTGGTTCAATCGCGCGTGCGATTGGCTCTGAAGCATCAGTCGAATTACGCGCTCCCAAATGGACGGACGATGAAACACCCTGTTTCTTACAAGCTCTCGGACGGTAGCGGTGTCACAATAACACTAATTAGAGGCAGAAATATCACGGTAACATTCACTCCAGGTAGCAGCAGTCCTGTGCGAGCCAGTCTATCTTACAACCATCACAAAGGTGTCTTCATTCAAATAATGGATGCTCTGCTACGTTGGAGTGGATTCCAGAATATTCTCCACGTTCACACTTGGAATCTCAGAAGGCATTAAAAAACAGCAACAGCATCGAGTTACTCATTACAGGTTCGTGATGGAGTCATGGAGCAACCCGGAACGACCCAGCGAGGGACATGGCGTCGAAGAAACAAAGTTTTCAGGAGCTCAAACAGGAGCTCCGGAAATCCATTCGATGCGAGCTACAAGACCCACGCTTAGTGTAAGGTCTATATCCGTACGTCAACTTAGGTTTTCACAGATCAGCATCGGCCAAGAAAGCTGCCAGGACCACCAACGGATATCTCTCTGGAGTAACATACGGCTTCAGATCCTGATCTGGGTACGTAATAGGAGACAATGGGTACATTCGCGGCATTAACGACGTATCATAGCATTGCGGTCTATTATATCGTATTCTTCAAGGCTTTGTGTACATCGCCATCGCATCGCCTGCATTTCACCTCAACATCTCCTCCGACTACGGGCCTTGCTGTATGCAACCTCACCCAAGCTGTGCCGCATGTATATCTCATCCTTTTAACAGTGCTCCCTATGACAGTCTCTTTTGCAGGCGCTCTTGGGTGCTGCTTTGCCGTCACACTTATGATCAAAGCTGGAGTCGCACCAATCACACAAGTAAGCTTGTTCATCACAGGTGTGTAGCTACCTTATAGACCTCGCCACTGGAAACTAAAACTGATTAGGCACTCTTATTTTCATCGTATCCTTTTTCTACAAACCGGGCACAACCCCTAGAGGCCACGTATATCGCGATACAATCAGTCTACACGGACCATCAGACTGGTATAGTATAGCTATAACTGTAGGGTGCTCGGTTTCCGGATTAACAAGCTCTGCACTTACTCCTGCTGCTTTCCTACTCATAGCTTCTAGTTGCTCCCAACAGACGCAACCGATCTTTCTGCTTGTTTGGGCAGCTATGGGACTAGTTGGGGACATTGCTATTGAGCTTATGTTCGTAGCCACTGGCTCCGACGATTTATATTGGGACCCAATAGTCAACGTTGCGATGGCTATCCAAGGGCTTTACTTTGCGGCTTTCTCACTTAGTGTGAATGCGCTTTTAGACACCGCAGTCCATCAAGCTATTTCATTAAGAAGTATAAGCAGCTCCTCTTATACTTCATTCCGTCGAAGAACACAATACAAGTGCGCACCTCAAGTATGTATCGCACGGATTAACCCCGACTTTATCTTCTAAACAAGCAACTAACGCAATAAAGCTACTGGTCACATTGAAAGATCCGCAGACCTACTTCTTTTTACTGATCTCGATTTTCGACGGCTACGTTAAGATGGAATTCAGCCTTGAATTTTGCATTCTACCTTCCATATACTCACAATTAGCGGCCATATCACTACATGTAGTATGTAGTCTGGCATTTTACAAATTGTCTCAACTACGGAGTACCTATAAGCCTGCTTTCCCCAATTGCTTGAGCGTCTAGAACTAACCGGAAAATAGTTACTTTACTAGTCGTCAGTCTCACTCTCAATATGGTCTTTCTGCGTCTTGAGAAAGATCACTATGAAATAAGTAAGTCAGAATGCTTCACCAGAAACTTCTGGGTTCCAGCAATTGCGGCTGGGGTGAGCAATCTTCCCATCGTATGTAAGTCAAAAGTAGAGAGAAGACAAGCTACAAGAATATCAGTTAATGGATTGTTAGGTATTGCGAGCTTGTTCGCCGCGAACATTAGTGGATCTCTGAGGAAAGCGATAATCGTTGCAATTATCTGCACGGGATACAGATTGGGCCCAACGTTCTGGTTTGTGCATATTACGCTTCAGCTGTTCTTTCGTCATGAAGCAACGGTGCTACCCCTATACATCTTTTCTGGCGTCATGATACTGGCTGCGGCATTATATGGAGCATGGCTTTTCTACCAGAACAAGAAAAAGAGGAAAATCATTGCAGAGCTGGGACTATCAGAAGCAGAGTCAATGCGGTTGAATTCTATTGCAACAGACTCTGGGATGACTGAAATTGAGAATATTCATTACCGGTACTGTTTTTGAAGTTAGTATCTCATGATTATAACTTCGTTCTTTACAACCAAATCATATTCATTTCTTCTCTACACAATCCTCAAACTAAGCACAACCTTCACCGTCTCAGCTCCACGTCGCATTATACGCCGCCACCTGCCTCCTCTGCCACCCCATCAACGCATCCCAATCCACACACGAATGCACAACACCCCAACTCAACCCATCCTTCCAATACTCCTCAGGGCTGCCGGGCGGCGAGTCGCTCTCAAACGTCAAATAATCCGCACACGTGACACTCAGCCTCAAGTACTCAAAGCAGTGCTCCAAGTGGGTTATCCAGTCCTCGTCGATGGGGGTTTTGGCCAAGGGGTCGGTCGTGTCCGGGTGGTAGACAAGGGCGTTGTAGCGCATGCGGATCATGTTGACGCAGTGCAGCTGGTGCAGGTTGTTGAGGACGTAGAAGTTGTTGATGTTGGCGGCGTCGGAGGCGGCAGAGGGGGGCGGCTCGGAGAAGATGAAGAAGGGCGCGTGGATGCCTGGGTCTTGGAGGCCGTAGCGGGATGGGTCGGGGAGGTAGATGGAGTCGGAGCCTGTGTGTGTGTGCCATTGGTTAGAATTGAGGGGTATGGTTTCGGTGAGGGGAAGGGGATTGGCTGCTTGCCTTCGGTCAGCTTGGCCCAGTTCTTGTTGACGTGGTGGCCGGGCCCCATGTAGTCCGGGTTCGGGCTGAAGGGGACGTCATGGCGGTTGGTGAGGATTTTGCGGGGGATGGGGTTGTTGGGGTTGATGCCGAAACTTTCTGCGGAGTCTTCGCTGGCAGCGCGACATAGGTAGCCGATCAAGAGACCAGCGACGATGTTGAGTAGGGCGAAGGAGGTGTAGAAGAAAAGGTTGTGGGGTAGTCTGCGGCGGCTTGTCGTGGGCGCGCCATCTTCCTCTGGTGTCTTTTCGTTGGTTGGCAGCAGACTGTCTGCTTGCTCAATCCCCGCATAGTCTTGCTTTTGTCTGAGAAACTTGGGTAATTGCATTGTGAGATGAAGTTGAAGGGAATGAAGCTATGAGAACTGTTCAATGCCAGTGGGAACAAGCCAGACACCGAATGGAAAAAGAGCTCATTTCCTTATTTCCGTATTTCCACTATCTTTCGAGCTCTGACCGGCTCGACTCGACTTGCAACAGAGCACTGCATCCTCCATTAACCCCGGCTTATCGGCTGGGGGCCGAAATGTCGGTCATTGGGTGTATGAGACAACCAACACGTCCAAGCGCTGACAAGCTCAGAGCGGTTTGTCGACGGTGCGGGCGATCTAGATATGGCGTTCCACGATAGCGAATACGGTGAAGCGTTTTATGCAAGCCAGCGGAGGAAGCGGGGCAGGGATGGCGATCCATGACGCGGGGGGCGGAGGATAAGCATAAGCACCAAAAAGCCCGGGCCCTGAGCCGTTGGCCGCCGCCCCGAGTCAGGGTCAGACCGCCGGGTCGGCTCCGAGCGCGGACACGCCATTTTTTGACGTGGCGCTGATTAGGTAGCGGTAGGACCACCGAGATGCTCCATGTGACGAATGAGGCAACCTGTCGCTCTTCAAAGGATTATGCTATCATGTTCGCCCCCACGCTCGCCAGAAGCTGCTTCAAGGGCAAGAGCTCTCGGGTATCTCTACTTCCCCCGTCTTGCTCACGGCAAATCAATTCATCAATTTCATCACCACCATCATTCTGAACGGCATCATGAATTCCAAGAAAGAGTACCAGCAGATTGCTGCAGACGAGGAAGCCATCCATGAAGAGCCCAGAATTCGCCGCCCGACCATCTGGCATTACATCTGCATTTTCGTTCTTGCTCTGGGCTGGGCTGCAACAGTAGTACACAACTACCGCACGCAGCCAGTGGAACATGAACATGAAGAAAACGAAAGCACGATGTTGCATGTCTACCACAACACGCCGATTCCAAGAGAGGTCTTCAATCCGGTGAAGAAGGTCTTTGACAAGGACCCCCGCTACATGGGCGACGGGCCTGAAGTGAACCATTATTGGGACAAGCTTGTTGCAGGTAAACATTCCCGCCCATTGGAATTGAGAGTATTTTCTAAGTTTATCAGGCCACGACGCTGTATGGATCGAGAATCCGGAAGAATGGGGCCTGCCAGAGGGTATCGTTGCGCCGTATGATCATCCGAACACGCCGAACCCCAAGCCCACCGACTTCTACGTTATCTCCATCCTGCACCAGCTGCACTGCTTGGTAGGAACCTCTAACTTCCCTAGAACAAATAAGATGCATATACTGACCGGCCTTAGAATATGATCCGCTTCCAGTACTACCAGGAGAAGAACCGGGTCGACACGTCGGCGGACCCGGACGCGTTCAAGTGGAAGGTGCACGTGGAGCACTGCTTCGAGTACCTGCGGCAGGGCATCTCGTGCGGCGGCGACTTGATCATCGAGGGCAGCAGCCCCATCAACGTCGGCAAGGGCCACGCGACGTCGGTGACGGGCTGGGGCGTCGAGCACGACTGCATCGACTTCGACCGGCTGCGCGAATTCCAGATCGACCAGGAGGCCAAGTACAACGAGACGTGGCAGCACGAGTAGATGAAACATTCCAAGATAGAGGCACTCAAAATGTATATTTCCCGTTCAAAAGAACCCAACCCTCTGCTATGCCGTGACACCGTATTATCAAAGCCCATAAACCCCCAAATCCCCCTCCATCCCCTTCTTCGTCCACACCGCGCCCTCGACGCCCCCAAACACCCTCAGCGTCCTCGCCCCCCGATCCTCGAACCCCAAACTCCGAAACACCCCCTTCGACGCCTCGTTCGCCGGATCGAACAGCCCGAGCACGGCATCCACCCCTCGCTCCCTCTCCGCCCATTCCAACAACGCCCCCGCCGCCTCGCGCGCGTAACCTTTCCGCATGTGCGCGGGGAGAATCGCGAAGCCCAGGTCCGGCGCGGCGTACGCGTCCGGCGGCGCGCCGCGCGAGAGGGAGACGGTGCCGATGGGGGTGCTGGCGGCCAGGTCGTCTTCGCCGGGTGTCTCGGTGGTGGCACCGGGGGGCTTGAGGGACACGAGGTAGGTCCCGTAGCCGTTGCGGGCGTGCTCGGCGACGAAGCGGTTTTCGATCATCTTGCGCGCCGCGTCCGGGGTGGTGATGGAGGTGGGCTTGCCGCCGATGGAGGCGATGAATTCGGGGGTGTTGTAGAGGGTGACGATGAAGGCGCAGTGGGCCGGGTTGGTGGGGAGGAGGTGGGTGAGGTAGAGGCGCGGGGTGGCGATGTGGAAAGTTGGGTCTGTCATGTTTGCTGGGTTGAGGTTTGTTTGGGTTGGGAGTGGGGGAGGGAGGAAGTGGGTGGTTGCTTCTTTATGTGGTTGCTGCTCGAGTCATGCACGTTCGGGGCAGTTGCCCGGCGAGGAAAGTCAATTGCTCGATGGGGTTACATTCAATTCTCTCTATTCGCTAAAGGTACAACGATAACAACTCTCAATCAATCAGTGATGGTGGTGGCCGCCCTCCTCCGCCTCGTCCTCGTCAAAGTCGTTCCGGTGGCCGGGCGTGTGGGTGACCTTGCCGCCCTTGTAGCCCGATCCGTGCTGCTTGTCCGACCTGTGTTCGTAGGCCCAGCTGAACACCCGCTCAAAGTCGCGGCACTGGTGCGTCGCGCCCATGCCGTTGATGCCGACCTTGGTCAGCGGCTCGAAGGTGGCGTCGCCCGCGCACATGATGGCCTGCCGGATGTAGTCGAGGCAGTGGTCGCGGTGGAACACGACCTCCTCGGCCGTCATGTCCGTCACCGCCTCCGGATAGTAGGCGAACCGCAGGAAGTTCAGGCAGTGCAGCTGGTGGAACATAGACACTCCGTACACCTTATGCGTCTCCGGGTTGTTGGGTGCGGGGAGAGAGGCAGGTAGGTTGTGGGTGAACTCGTTGGGCACCTCGACAATGCCGTCGCCCGGCGGTGACAGCCGCTGCCACATCTCGTCTGTTGCGTTGCTGGGTGCGCCGCCCATGTATGCGTGCGGCTGGAAGGTGACGGCGCTGTTGTAGAGCACTGTTGACTGTTAGTCGACTCCCGATATTGGATGGATGTAATTCTTACAGTCTGGCTCGAAATGGTCCACCTCGGGCTTGGTATCGCAGCGGAGGCTCTTCAGAAGCACAATAACGTGCCCCCAGACAGACAAGCCGCCGACGAAGAGGAGCACGTTGAATGCCACTGCTGCTGCCTTCCAATTCACCCAGCTGCGACTTCTCTTTGGCATTTTGAAACCACGAGATTCATCGAGCAGGAATTGCTTGTCGTCCTCCATGCTGGTGGATGCGCTTGAGAGCTGCTCCTCGGATGAGTTGCGCCCCTGTGTTGGCTTGAACTTGTACATTGTGAATGAGACTTGAGAGAATGATTGTGGGAGGAGAAGTTCAATTGGGAGCAGAGAAGAAGTGAATTCATCATCCGGAAATAGAGACTGCGCACGGTGTCGGACCGTCCGACCTAACGCGCGTTGCCACTTCACGCATTATTACTGAAAGAGGAAAGCGGGGTTAGGGAGCCAGCGTTGGGTTCGCAGGATCAGGATCCAAAACTAGCGCAGACCATGACTAGCAATCATTACTCCGCAAGAAAAATGATTGGGCAGCTCCGGACTACCGGAATAGGCAGGGAGGGATTCGCGGGACGGGCCCTCCGCCCCCAAGCCTCCGAATCCTTCAGCCCCCACAACTGTCGATCCCCAAATGTCCCTGCGTCTGCGGGTGATGCACATCCTCGTGCATGCACGCGCCTAAAAATTATGCTTACATGTGCAAGACATCGCGGGGCATCCAGAGGATATACACTCAGCTCCCCTCCAACCATCGCCCAACTCAGACTTCATCTTCAACTCCATTCAACCTCCTTCCTCTACACCATCCGTCTCAATGGCCTCCCCGACCAAAGCCAAGTCGTCCAAGATGGCGACGGCAGCAGCAATCCTGCTGCCGCTCCTCCCCTTCGGCTTCCTGCAATGGCAGAACATCAGCTCCAAATTCAACCTCCACAACATCGACATCACCATGCCCTCCTTCTCCTCCGCCACCACCGCTTCCCCCAACACCACCTTCACCGCCATGGCCGCGCAATACGCCGCCGCCTGCCCCGCGCACACCATCAGCCCGCACATCTTCAGCAGCGACCCGCTGATCATCTACGTCGCCGACTTCCTCACAGCGGCCGAAACCTCGTACCTCCTCAACCTCGCAACACCCTACTACCGGCAGTCGCCGGTCTCGAAGGGCTACGCGCTGGAGACGTACGACCGCGAGATCCGCAGCAGCATGTCGGCCGTGGTGCCCGACGATCCCGTCGTGGCGTGCGTCGAGCAGCGCGCCGTCGACTTCCAGGGCTTCGCCCCGCGCGACCGCCTCGAGGACGTCCAGGTCGTCAAGTACGGCGTCAGCGACCACTTCCGCCCGCACTTCGACTGGTTCGCCGGCATGGCGAATCCGCGCGTCTCGACTTTCTTCGTCTATCTCGCCTGCGATGATGGAGAGACGGGGAGTGGCGAGTGTCAAGGTGGTGCGACGCAGTTCCCGCATTATGAGGGCAGGTTCCCGGCAAAGTGGTGTGGGTGGATCGATTGTGAGGATGATTCGGGCGTTGGGGGTGTGGCGTTCGCGCCGAAGGTGGGGAATGCGGTGTTTTGGGAGAACTTGTATCCGAATGGGACGGGCCATCCGGGTGTGTGGCATGCGGGCATGCCGGTGAAGAAGGGGAGGAAGGTTGGGTTGAATATCTTTACGAGGAGGGACAAGTGGGTTCCCGAGCAGCAGTAATGGTTGTGTTTGAAGTGTACTTTTACGATGTCAATTGAATGATGACTACTTTTACAAATGTTCCTCGTTCTCTACTCGTGCTGCATTCGGATGGTGAAGAATTACACTGAGATACGACGAAGAATTGAGAGTTGGAATTTCGCTGCGCGATTCTCACATTTTGATGTAACTGTCTATTGAAAGAAGCAAAGTAGTTGTCTTCCGGAAAGCATCACAAGTGACGACTCAATCACTGTCCGGAAGTAGCTCCGCGGCTGCGGGAATTCGTCCGCCACGAGAGCGAAACACCCCGCATTGACTCGACCTAAAGCTAACATAATTCACGCGCAGCATAAAAGCCTTCATAAGTCGATCCCGCATTCGCACTCGGCCAGACTGGTCGCGCACCGTTACGGTTACAAGTTCAAACCGTCGACCATGGGCATCCTTCGGTGTCAGCACTACGACTAGTCATGAATCATTAGACACTAAAAAGCCTTGGTCGTTTCTTATCGTGAACAAGCACGGTTTTAGTTCGTTATCTCTAGCGCTGACAGGGTCCAAGCGCCCCTTACAGCTGTGGCTGTCGTGGCGCCGTCATCCCTTGACAGCAATCCCCCATTTCTCGGTTCGGCGCGTTGCATACATGCGAACCATCAGTCGCCATTACCGGTGAGCCTGCAAACCGGCCCATACTTGCATATACCGCGCATTCGAGACGCCCGACTTGCGTGCTCGGCCCGTTGACTTGGTGTCATTTCCAGACCGCTCAAAAAAGCAAACCTCACATGTTTCACCAGTCCAACCAATCAGGCCCTCTAGTGGTGTTCTATTTTTTCTGCAGCCTACTACCGCTGATCTATCTCCGCGAAAAAAGCACACATACGGCGCGCGGGAGCTTTTCCGTATAGTCGTCTCACTGATCCAACCGTCATTCCGCCTAACACCTTACCCGAGCTATTTCTTTGCGGAGGAAAGGATCAGCTTCCAGCTGCCCGTGCCAGAACGTGCACCATCCGGGCCCAACTTGCACCCGCACCGCCCATCATTCCCACTCTCCACGAAGGATTGTCCTGCCAGCGCACGAGAATCACGGACCCCTTCTCCCAAACACCGGGCGATAACTAAACATATTCTCGATACTTTCCAAATCAGGAAAGTGATCCTCATGGAGATAGCTAAGTCGGCCACTTCACTTCAAGCCACCAACATCGTCCTCGCAATTATTGGGCGTTCTGATGCAAACATCGGACCGTACCGCAGTAAGCCCTCAGTCCGGTATGCCCCTTCGCATTGCCGCAATCAGGAAGGTGCGGCAACCGATCGTCGTCGACATGTCTGGACGTCCGTGATCCCCGTCACCGGGGATGGCGGTTAGTCGTTGCGATGCAGCCAGCAACGACGCTAGATACGCCGGATGTATCCGAAGGCGCGCCGGGAATAGTCAGCAGGAACCGTGAGAAAGAGACTTGCGGGAATTGTCACGAAGTGAAGGAAGAAGTGCTATAAAGATTCCTTCTTCTCACGCCACCACCACTTCAGCATCACTCCACCAGCTTTCTCCTCTCCACACCTCAGTGACGAGCATCAACTCTTCCCTTTACAGTAAGCCTCCATTCCTTCAACCAGAAAAGCAGGCCGAACATCAAAGCTAACCCTGCACCCTTAGCCCAACAACCCCCCCAAAAACAGAAAAACACATCAACAATGAAGTTCACCACCGCCGCCACCCTCTCCGCCCTCACGGCGTCCGCCATGGCCGCCGCCATTGCCGACCCCAAGGCCAACCCCGTCATCGAGGCCGTCAAGCGCGACGCTGCTCCCGCTCCCGCCGAGGAGGCGCCCGCTTACGTCTGGGCTTCGTCTGCTAAGGCCAAGCGTGATGCCGCCGAGGAGGCACCTGCTTACGTGTGGGCGTCTTCGGCCAAGGCCAAGAGGGACGCTGCTGAGGAGGCTCCTGCATACGTCTGGGCCTCATCCGCAAAGGCTAAGCGCGATGCCGCTGAGGAAGCTCCCGCCTACGTCTGGGCGTCGTCGGCTAAGGCGAAGAGGGACGCTGCTGAAGAAGCTCCTGCTTACGTCTGGGCATCTTCCGCAAAGGCGAAGAGGGACGCCGCTGAGGAAGCCCCCGCCTATGTCTGGGCATCCTCTGCAAAGGCCAAGCGTGATGCTGCCGAAGAGGCTCCCGCATACGTTTGGGCATCATCTGCTAAGGCGAAGAGGGACGCCGCTGAGGAGGCTCCCGCCTATGTCTGGGCGTCGTCTGCGAAAGCCAAGCGTGACGCTGCTCCCGCCGAGGAAGCTCCTGCCTATGTCTGGGCTTCGTCTGCGAAGGCCAAACGCGAGGCTGAGCCTGCTGAGGAAGCTCCCGCATACGTTTGGGCTTCGTCTGCGAAGGCGAAGAGGGATGCCGCCGAGGAGGCTCCTGCTTACGTTTGGGCCTCGTCCGCTAAGGCGAAGCGTGACGCTGCCCCCGCCGAGGAAGCTCCCGCGTATGTTTGGGCGTCTTCGGCTAAGGCTAAGCGCGATGCTGCCGAGGAGGCTCCCGCCTACGTCTGGGCCTCTTCGGCCAAGGCTAAGCGTGATGCCGCTCCGGCTGAGGAGGCGCCTGCTTACGTTTGGGCCTCGTCCGCTAAGGCGAAGAGGGATGCCGCTCCCGCTGAGGAAGCTCCTGCCTACGTGTGGGCTTCGTCTGCGAAGGCCAAGCGCGACGCTGCTCCCGCTGAGCAGTAGAGTGGGAATTTTGATCGAGATGAGGAAATGGTGATGAAGATTGTTTGTTCAGCGTGAGAAAGAGAATGAGGCGGCGGGAGGGGAGGCGATGCTGTCTATGAGGCGCAGAACTATGTAGTAGCTGCAATGAGAAAATGCCTTTCTACGAGAACTTGAACTTCTTCTTGAGCAGCTGATTCGAAGGCATGGCCTTTTGATTCCCAAGACGACGAGTAGGAGATGGAGATGGAGAATACAAATTTCAATTCAGTTCAAAAGAAGAATCTTCCCAGAACCTTGCAAACCGTATATCTAGATGACTACGGCTTTAACATTGCGTACAGACAGAGTTAATCAATCCGTCGGACTGGACTACTCGTCCTACTGTCGGCGCCACGACCTTTCAGCCGCCTTCTAGGACGGCACGACTTATGAGCCACCCTGAGCTAAGATCGCGCTTGCAAATGAGTAGATAATCCAGACAGCCGTGAGGGCCGCAACCTTAGGGGGGCAGAACCTACGTCCCGTTAGCTATATGACCAAAGTATATGCCTAAATACGTACTCTTCCGAAGTCAGACCAATAAAACCACCCCAAAAGAGCCACTGCGCAATCCAAAGAAGGAACATGGTCATGGCTGTGACCGCATAGACTTTCGCCGGCTCCTTTCGAAAATCCGAGCTACCTTGGCTTCGACCCGGGATAGCCCCATACGACGGCGTATAGACTGTTTCCCCGCCAAATAGCGACGATGTTTCTCCTATGGTACTACCGTCGCTCCTTTCCATCCAGTAATTCTCCAACAGCTCCCCAAGCCACGTGCAAGGACCCTCGAACTTTGCAATTAGCATTTCGTCAATCCTCGATATTGGTCGCTTGCTTACCTGCCGCTTTAGCTTATCGCGATTATCGGATCCAGACGTCCGAAGTGTAGCCCAGATTGGCCACACGAATGACACGATAGTGATAACCAGCCACAACAGTGCTCCAGCATACATGAGCCTTGCAGATTGTCCTCCTTTTACGCCGTCTAGACTCCTGAAGTAGAAGTTGTGCTGGAAACCATAAACGACGGTGAGAACCATATAATATGCCGATAGCGCCTGGAGGATCAGTTCCGCATACAGAGAAGCCCTGGCTGCAGAGAAATCCACTGCGTCGAAGGGTTGAAGACCAATCAGCAAAAACGTCAGCCAAGCGAGCCGAGGCATCGAGCACCAGAGAAACATCAGTTGAGTAACGGGTATATCCTCGAAACCAAGGGTTCCTTGGATGAGAAGAGCGTTGATCCAGTTTACCAGCAGCTGCAGACCAGCTATTGAAATTGCCGTGGCGAACCATGACGACTGTGAGAGCCGCGGGAAGCGAAGTGCGAATCCATGGATTTCTGCTGCACGACCGTTCAATGCGGCAAGAAAAGTAGCTATGTTGACAAGGACGAAGCTTCCGAGAATCCATGAATTCGAGCCGCATTTGGTCTCATCGTTGGACGGTTTGATGGTCCATTGCCATGGAATCATCTCGAGGACGGTGGGAGCGGCTAACTGCCGCCAATTGTCTGGGAAACCGTGCCAGCCTTGCACCTCGCCGCAAAGGTCGTGGAGCCACTGTGCATAGTCTATCCGGGTCTCAAAATTCCGGCATGAATCTCCGCAGGTTTCGAAGCTGAGGTTGCGGCACATGCAAGCCCTCTCAACGGTGCGCTTGACTTTGCAGTAGCCATCAGAGTCGATCCCACAAGCATCGGTTGCGCAATGTTGAGGAAGCCGGGTCACCCGCTCTGGCAGATCCTTGACGCACGAGGGCCAGTGCCAGTCTTCCAAGGGGATATAAGCGAATCCTGTAATTTTGAGCGAATCCGTCCAATTGTCGGGCAGGGACGTCGGCCCGCAGGTGACTTTCATCCATAGCTGCTCCTGCGTCCATTCCAAGGACCCAGGTCCTGAACAGTGTTCGTTGTCGATACTTATAGCCAAGGTGCGGCAGAAGCATTCTTTATCGAAGTAATCGCCATATCGGATATAACCCCGGGTGAGATCGTAACCGACGGTTTCAAAATCCAGAGCAACCATGGAATGTAGGTCTTGACGATATTCCCAAGGTCGATCGGCCCTTCCGGTGTGCTGGGTGGTGCTCGTGAAACTGCAGGAGGCCATGACATGTTCGAACGGTTCCATCGATCGAGCTGAAGCCGAGGCTGTTAGGCATGTCGGTGCGTGGTGTGTGACGTTGACCGCCGCATATCCTTCAGGCAGGGAGGCCGGGGAGAGATTTTGCAGCTCGTTCGCATCGCCGACATTAACGAGCCACGTTCGACCGGTCATGGCGTGGATCCACTGATATAACTGCGCTTTCGCGAGAACCGATCTGCTGCAGTATGGGAGATAAGATTCGACAACATCGGGAGAAAATCCAGTGCTGAGACAGCTGGCCTGGGTCAGCCATTGGTGATGGGTGCAGATGACTCCGAAGTGACGGGTGCATCTTTTACTGGTGCATTCCGTCATGGCATTCAGCCAGGCGGATGGGTCCTGCTGTGCGATGCACTGTGGCATGGAAGGAAAGTCTTCAGGATTGACCCAGCCATTGCGGTTGTGTTGTGGGGTCGGGGTATCCCTGCTTATAGGATCAAAGCTAGTAGAATAGAGCACTCCTGCAGTAGTTGTGTTAATGCTGAAGACAACAAAGCTATTTGGCGGGAGTTACTTTTCGCAGCCACGATCAAAGCCCAAGCCGTCAACAGCATGAGGCATGCACTGAGTGCTCTCATCGTGCAGACGGTCCGAGGGGTCTCCCGCTTCAGTTGAGGTGGAAAGAGTCGTCGTCGGGTTCGTTTTGTTTCCGTCGGCACCCGGCGCCTCTCAGACGCGACGGCCCTGCTCGAGTGCGATGCTTCGTCTTGGGTGCGGTGATGGTCTGAGGTGCGGGGTACGGGGGCTCAGCACTGGTGGATTATCGATTATCCGCTGTGGCACAGCCCTGCGGCGTGGACGCAACGCTGTCTGCCTGGAAGCCTCGGCGCTTATTATGAAGATCTGTGCTCTATTTTACCACTCCGCTAACCTATCTTGCAGTTACTTACACCTTACAAGCCCCGCGCGTGCTCTAGGTGCTGCTGGGCCACTTCGTCGTGCGGATTGAGGGTAGTGAGAGTAAAGAAGGGAACACATCTAAGGCAAGGTGGACAATGAGTTAAATATGCAGATACATGATACGGCGAGCGGCACGGGCGCGTAGAAGGTGGCTGGGGAAACGAGGCTGTGCAGAGGTTGCTCTATGTGACAGACTCCAAGCATACCGGCGTCTGTCCTGCAGAATGTATCATTGAAGCCTATCGGGTCGTAACTCACCCTTAAACAGCGAAAAGCTCTTGAACACACCCCATACTGATACGGCGTCACCAGATGGGTCTTATTGCACCGAGTCCTCAGCATCCGAAGAAAACGCGTTTATTTCGCAGCCTCTCTGACGCCCCGGACAGTTTCCCTTCGCATCTCTCGCATCTGTATCCCATCCTCATCGCCATAGCATCATGACTACTGCCCTACTCGACACGACGACCAGCGATTTCTACGGCTGTTATTCTATTCAAAACTATAGGCGTGCACTGGAGGAAGAAGTATCCTTAAATCAACCAATAGTGAGGGGAACGCGGTTAGCGAGAAGGTGGTCCGTCGTAGAGAGCGGACGGGCTGTGTATTAGTCCAGCAACGATTGCTTAGCATCGTCGGAAGAGAGAGGAGAAAGACGGAAAGATTACCAGGAATGGATTAGTGTGTTGGCAGCCTTGCGTTCCAATGTCGAGCTGCATACAGTGGGGGCGAAGTCTACCCAGCCTTGGCGATGTTCGGTCATCGACTCATTAGGTAAATGGTGATGGCGATAGCCTCTTAGGTCTGCAAAGCGGATACTCTCTATGGTCTGGAAAATATCTTGCCCTGCCGCGCTCCGCTCCGACAAAGATTGAATCCACGATCTGTCAACGCAGGATATTATGGAAACGGTGATTTACGCCAAAATACCCCAAACAAAAATACCTTCCAGACCACATTAAAGCAAGCATAGCATTGGCCGAAGAGCCGCTCACATGTGTGATATGGGGCACCTGCGGCACAGGGCTGTGCCTTGTGTCTAATAAAGTGCGTTATTGCCGTCCTGACCAGGGTAGGCCCACAAATATTTAGGTCACAAGGATAGATCGCGCGAAGATCTCCAAAGATTGCGCTCATCTTTCAAATCACAACACAAAGCTTCAACGCGGAATCTGAAGGCTCGCTATTCGTCGCCGTGTCAAGCAAATTGGATGTCATGCCTTAGAGCGGTACCGAAAGTAAGAATCAAGCGCCAAAGCTGACGTTGACCGGCCATATACGGCGAATAGGAAGCCAAATGCGCAACGCCGATCGGTCACTGCCAAGCCAAGCCGTGTTTATCACTGCCTACTGGACGGATATAGCTGCGGGCTGAGAATACGACAGCCCGCTCTGCACATGCCTGACAAGACCTCCTTCCCAACAAATGCTAGTGGCAGAGATGTATAAGCTCATGAAAATAGAAATGATTTACTCACTACTGTAACATAAGCTCGATTTCTCGTCATTCAGCCTTTTAAGAAAAGAGCCCCTCCGCTCGCGTGCTTCCCCAGTCTTCCCATCTTCTGGGTTCGCCTATCCTGAGCAGCGATGGAACGGCATAAGGACCACCACAATCATTACAGCACTCTTGAGGTCGACCAGGGCGCACAACTCCCCGAAGTCAACAGTCATGACCTGCCCCAAACTAAATTGGACAACACGCTGCCTGAGGCCATTTCCAAAGATGTCTATCCAGAGGTCGTGCAGTCTAAGAAGCGATCGGCAATATGCGGTATTCGCAAGAAATTTTTTTGGATAGCTCTTTGCGCGATAATCACAGCTGTGGCCATCGCTGTTGGGGTTGGAGTGGGCGTGGGCGTGGGCGTCAACTCCGACAGCTCGTCGGCGTCCACATCCACCTCCACAGAGGATGCCGGAAATGAGGGAGGTAGTGCAAATGGAGGAAATAGCACAGGGAGTGTCGCATCTTTTTCACAACTCGCAGCCGAAAACTATACCGATAAACAGGGCGTGGAACGCAGCCTTGTGTACTACCAGGACAACGCTCTCGATATCTGGAAAGCCGACCTTGATACCTCTACGGACAATTGGAGTCTTGCGAAGGTCAATACGTTCGATATGGATCCTAAGAATGGGACGCCTATTGCGGCCGTCAACTGGGTCAACGAGTCGGTGGGTGAATCATTCGTTCAGGGATAGCCCTTCGACTGACAGCCCATACCAGCGCACCGATTTTCATCTCCGTTTTGTAGGTACCAACCACAACGTCAGGTCTGTTGGAGTGGTGGACAGGTTGATTGAGGAGGACTGGATAGAGGTCAAGATCTATGACAATCTGTGGACGGTGACGGACAACTCGGCGCTCGTAACGTACGACAAGGTGTGCAACGATGTATGCGATATCACCGCCCTAAATATCTTCCGGTCTGCGAAGTCCAACGAGACGGCGTTTGCTTACCCGAACGAACGCCCCGATTTCAACACGTCCTCTGCAGCTTTGAACGTCACAGCAGACGACGATACAGCATACGCACTGATGCCGACTGTGGCAATACCGGAGCTCAATGAGACACATCCATCGATTGGAGTCTTTCTGAGCGCGGAACGTAAGCTAAGGGAGTTCTACTTTGCGCGTGGATATGGATGGACTCCTGGAAGCATGGACTGTTCGTGTATCCCATCTTTCAACATTCCTCTTCTTCGCTGACTATCTTACACAGCAGACGTGCCCGTGGATCCAGGTGCCCGGATTGCTGCCATGTGGTACACATACGACGGTTTGCGATACGCGCAGGTGCTCATGACTCGGAGCAACGGGAGCGTAGCGATGGCATACCTGGATGGCGGGCCTGAGAACGATTGGACTTATACCGATAACGTGGATGGTATGGAGGACGTGGTGCCATTGTCACCCATCTCTGCGACAAAGACTGGACACTTGTTCGCCCTGGAAAATGGAGTGAATGGGACGGAGATCGTTCACTTTCGGAGGACTTCAGTAACGGGGACTCCAACCTTTGAGCGGGCGGGACCGGTGAGCGGTACGATTACTGCTTGAGGTTTGGTATCTCCAGGCACCTGAATGTCACCAGCATGGGAAAGCTAACAGTGTCCGGATTGGTAAGTTTAATCCTGCACATACCCAGATCCCAGCCTATATTCCCCAGGAGTTTCGGATACTTATATATTCTTAGCACAATGGCGGATCCAACCAGAAATGCTTTAGATACAGAGAGCAGTACTAATGATCAAACTGCAAAAGTCATTCATGTCGACTTCTCTGATCTTCATCATCCCTGAGCAGTGAGACTCCAATAGGATATCTTCGTTTGTTTCATACGCTCTCATTTGTCCAGCACCATGATGGAGCCTGCTCATGGAAGAGCCGTATGATTGCGATTCGTCTCGACTTTTCGTTCAGCAGGGGTGGCGATGGAATCCAAGATCGAAGGAAGCGTAAGAGCCTAGGCTAAGCCGGAAAAGGCAACGCTAGTGGATGCTGCCTGGAGATCGTCCCAGCACAACGCCACAGTCCAGGCAACAGAGGCATTCGGTGCTCAGGATACCACATGGACGTCCTTTAGTCACGGGTGCACGCGTTCCTATAACATCGCGACCGGGGCGCGTCAATCATCATGCACCCACGCAAGCACTCCACCACCAACTCCACCCTCGCTCCCCACAAAATCGACTACCCAGAATGGCACGAACAAAGGCGACAGCTCCGGCAACCACGGCCTTAATCAGTCTCACCAACCTCAACCCCGGCGAGACCATCCACCAACGCGCCCTCCTCCTCAAAGGCCGAATCCACCTACCCCCCGGCTCCATGCCACCACTCACCAGCTCCACCTCGACCCCCTCCTTCATCACCATCACCACCACCTCCTCCGCCGGCGACCCCCTCTTCCCCGACCAAACCTGGCCCCTCACACCCTCAGGCCACTTCAAAGCGCTCGTCTTCCTCACCCCAGGCCCCAACACGCTCTACCTCGTCTGGGACAACAGCTCCGGCTCCCACAACGAGCTCCACACCGCCACCCTCGCCATCCCCGTCACCTACATCCCGCTCCTGCAGACGCCGCCGCTCCACCTCGCCGTCCTCGTCGCCGCCGACTCGCCGCTGCTGATGGACTGCCCGCCGTACAAGGGCGCCGGCATCACGTCGGCGCATGCAGGGCTGGACGCGGCGGTAAGCAAGCTGCGCATGGCCGCGTACATGTGGCAGGCGGGCACGGCCGAGGACATGCGCGGGAAAGGGCTGGGGCGGCGCGCGTTCCGGCTGGAGGAGGAGTGGGGGCGCGGGGTGGATACGGTGTCGAGTGCGTTCGTGAACGATGCGTACGAGCTGGGCCATCATGATCATCCATCCAACTTCACGGCGGCGGGTGATGGCAGCGGCGGCGGTGCCGGTTCATGCTCGCCCTACGGACCCACGGCCAAGGTGCACGTCGTCAGGACGGAGCGGACGGTCGCGGAGCTGCGGAACCCGGGGAACAGGATGAAGTTGCGCGACTGGTTCTGCGACGCGCTGGCAAAGCATGGCGGGGGGCCCTTCGCGGGACCAGCTGATACCGTCGTCGCTGGGCTGGTGCTGGACTCGCACTACTCCGCCGCGCAGGACGCCGTCCTGGCCAACCCACCGCAAGGCGTCGAGAAGAACGTAGCATCCGGCATCGCCCTCGCGGCATTCGGCTCGCACACGTGCTGGGCGTGGCCGCGCTTCGTCGAGGATGTGGCCTCGTGCCTGCTCGACTCGACGACGACCTATTCTTCTACCCGCAACGTCGTCAGCACATCCAGCAGCGCCACCGCCGATGCAGACGGCAGCGGCGCGTTCGAGTACGGCGCCGCGTGGCAAGCCTGCGCCGTCGGCCATGCGCTCATGCTGCGCGGCGTCGGGCGCGCGTTCGGTTGCTGCTCAGTACGCCCGGCCGGCGTGGATGTTGTTGAAGATAGCAGGACGTATGCCACGCAGCGCAACTACGCCAGCGTCTTCCTGCCCAGCATCTCGCGCCGCCCGGGCCACCACCCGCTGCAGCTGGTCGACTACGGCATCAGGGGGAATGAGGAGATTTGGGACCTGCGGGACGCGCTGGCCCTGCGGTGCGTGCCGCACTTCCGCATCGTCGGCGACCCGCGCGCGGCGGTCGTGGCGCGGCAGGCGCGGAGCGGGGCGCCGGTGCTGCGGGCGTGCGTGCGGGATGGCATGTTTGTGCTCAGGATGAGCGTGGAGTGGGGAGCGGGGGGGCTGGCGCGGATCACGGTGGGCGGGGTCGAGGAGGAGTGGCCCAGCGTCGCGCAGCCGGTGGATGTGCGGGAGTGGCGGGTCGATCGGTTGGAGCGCAAGTTCTGCAGGGAGAAGCCGTTGGAGTTGCGGGCGGTGGCGATGAATGGGAAGGAGACGGTGGTGGCGAATGTGTGGGCGTTTGTGGCGCGGTCGGCGTTCGTGAAGGTGCCCGGGTCGGACGTCGTGCTGCAGAAGCGGTCGGTGCGTTCGGGGGAGCTTGAGGCGCAGGACGGTGGCGAGCGGAGTGACGGGCGTGCGTACTGGGAGTGGGCAGCCATGTTGAAGGAGCGTGGAGGGGATGGGAAGCGTAAGTTTGCGGCGATTATTTTTCCACTCCGCGGCACATCACTGACAGTTTGCTTCAGTCACTCACGCAACTTCTTTCGACATGCGCGTCGGCTGCATCCTGGATGGAGGCGTCTTGAGCTACGCCGACGGCCACAAGACACACCTCGGCCCGCGGATTGATTCGTACGGCAACGACCATCACTTCGGCGGCCACGCTTCTGAGGAGATCGCCCTTACGCCTGACGTCGACATTGTGAAAGTCGAGATCCATAGGAACTCCTACGAGCTTGTTGGCATGCGCACCACCCTCGCCGACGGTACCGTCCGCGGCGAGCTGAACGAGAACGACCGTTACGGGGAGAACGTCGAAATTGTCGCGCTGGAGCCGGAAGTGGGTGAGAAGATCGTTGGGTTCTTTGGCAGGAGTGATTGGAAGCGCTCTTTCAACGGTATTCAAGAGTTTGGTATCATCACCGCGCCTCAGGACGTCGAGTTGCCGGAGTGCGTGTATGACATGCCGGAGCTGAAGAACACGGATGGGGGGCTGGAAGAGACGCGGTCTTTTTTCAACCCAGATGGGAGCAGGAACGATGCTAATGATTACATTGATGACGATGCTGATCAGGACGATGATGAGGAGTGGGACAATGATCGGGATTAGTTTGGGGGTGCTGTGCTTGGGCTTTTCATTGGCTTTGCTTAGTTCTCGGCTGTTCTTCACTGGGCCCTTCAATATATACTATTAGCTTCTGTAAGTTTCTGTTGGACATTCTTTTTCTAATGGGGGCCTTTATAAACTTTGGAGGAAACGATCTTTACTGAAAGCGTGAAATCAGGACAATCAAGATAAGACGAGTGCTTCTAGGTCCAAGGACCGCGCAGCTCAGATCATCGTGCAAGGGAGAGGGCGAAGCGGTAGTAAGGCCAAGTACCCATAAGCGTTGCGGGCGTTCCTTCCCTGTAGGGCCGCATACGTTTCTACTCGGTTCTGTATTTCCTTACAGCGCAGCGGTTGCATTCGCGCTCTCCATAGCACCAGCCCGACGCATTCAGATCACCTGGGCGAGCTGCTTTTACATCCAGAGTCAGGTGATCCAGGCGATCGACTGATCCAGCATCACCCTCAGAACCTGTAAATACCGGCCTCCTACCATCTCCTTGCTTTCTTTTCTTCCTTAGCTCTCTCTCTCTGCGTTTTAACTTGGATCGAGTTTATAGAAAGGCGCACTGGAGGCGCATGTGATGCAACGATCCACGCCGGGGGGTTTCTCAAAGCAAACTTGAAACAGTTACACTGAGTTTTATCCCTCGGGTGAGTGATGAGGATTTCCGAGCTCCCTTCGTTGAAGAGCAGGCAGAGCTGCCTTGGATGGTGCATGTTGGAATGGTGGTTTCGTTATGTCAGGCACTAGTGAATGCTATCAAGTTCCCACACGCTTTGAGCTGGCGCATGCTTAGACATTCTATGCTTGCTAATGGGGAATACTTTAACTCAGCCCAGGGAATGCGAATCGATACAATTACAATTCAACTTTCACTTTCGCGGGCAAGCGCGTCGAGCGTGCGCCGCGAAAGTCGGCGGGCTACGTCACATGAAATTGAGAACATCACATCTGTATCGTCAGAAGGGACTCAATGGATAGTAACCTCTGAGCCATAGTTTGTGGATAACGAATAGACTCGATCCAGTTACGGATGAGACGAGTCCACACCAAGGCTTCTTAGAGGATGCGTGCATACTGCAGCGGCTTTTGAACACGAATGAACTATCAGTGTGGGGACATCAACGGTCAGGCGAGCGCGTCTAACTTGGCCTGGGAGCAAATCCAGCTGGTGTGGTAGGATGGTAGGTCCTCCACTGATGTTGCCGGGGGGCGAGTGGTATGCATATGTAGCGGTCGCGCTCGTCAGCGAGCGATTTATTGCAACGCGTTGCCACCACTAGTTGAAGTGGACTTAGTCTTGCGTAAGTCTAGGTAGACAAGGGTGTAAGCATTTACGCTAGTCTCAGGCAGCCACGCTAGCCGGCTGGGCTGGTCTCTGCCAGCCTCATGCAGCCACAACCGAATTCTCAAATGCGTGCCCAAACGGACGCGTCGAACTCCTATACCTCCCGGTTGTGCCATGCAGTGGTGCAAAATATTATGAGATAAATGAGACAAGTCAGAAAACGGCGGCGTAGGATGGCGGTGTCTGACTTCTTGATTACTGCCACCATTCGATCTCTTCTCCATCAGCTTGCTCTTGCCTCCATCTCCCTTACACTGCGCCTAAAAAAGCGCTTTCTTCACAACGCGCGATAATTCTTAGCGCATTGACAGTCCTAATTTCATCGCTTACCGCCCGCTATCCTCCCACTCACTGCTTAGCAAAGCCTTCGAAAAAGGTCGCTGGCGCCTGCCCTGCCACGTTCGGTACCTGATCAACCAAGACCCCCAGCTCTTGAAGTCGGATTTTATATCTGTCAGAAAACTCCAGCCCCACCTCCCAACCACGCTTCTTACACCCCTGGCGTCTTCGTCAGCGCAGCCAGAGCACTCTGAGTTGTTCACCGCATGTCCATTTCCGTGCCTCCACTTTACTGGCTTACTAGACTCGTTGCAAATCGCTTTTACTCCTTTCAGACTTCAGACCACATCATTTATTTACCCCTAGTCCTCTTTATCATCCTCTCTATCGATACTTTGTGCTTTTATTCGACATGAGCTTCATCACGTTTCTTTTATGTGTCTTGATAAATTCTGCGCTCTCTTCCGCTATACCAAAGCTCCAGAACATCACCATCAGTGTTCCTGAAGGGACAACAAACCATGGAGATTCCAATATGCTGTGTTTTCCAACAAAAGCCTGGGATGTGGTTGCTTTCTTTCTGGGAAACTACGTCACACATATCGCCACGACAATCACTCAGCCGGGCGAACTACCTCTGGAGTCTTCGTATAAGCGTCTCACAATTCTTTTTGCACCCTTTGCAGGCATTTGTTATGGAGTGCAGTGCATCTGCAACGCTGCATACTTCCATAAAACACCGCTACAAGTTGCCTTAAAATCTTCTGCACTCTGCGAAGTCCTAAGGAATCAAAACTGGAGGCCACAAGATGGAGATATAATTCGAGACTTAAAGGTTTCACACGAGTTTGAAGAGCTGCTCTCAAAATCATTCAATCCACAAACTCAGTACGAGGAAAATCGCGAGACTGGAGAGGGCAAGCTCGAGAGACAACAATGGCAACCACCGACCCTGAGAGCTCAGGTCCAGTGTTCATCTTCCGACCCTTCCGTCTTTCAACCTCGCAGGAAATGGAGTTTTCCTGGCCGACAAGTTTATGGCATCTGCAAATTACCTGAAGGATACTCCCTGACTCCCTTTCCATCTGAGTCCGAAGTGGGACTTTGTCCGGTTCCAGGGGATGGTGTTTCTGTCATGAATCGTCCAGATACGAGCAGAACCAGGGAAGAGTGTTGGGAAATAAGTTCCTCTTGTAGCATCATCAAGCCATTGGTCGCCATTGTCCAGCTTTTATATGGCTGTCTGACTCTCTACCGTACCCAAGGGGACCAGGTGAAGCAATATGGATACTCAGCATTTGGCCTCACTGTTACACCCTACGTCATCATGTCGTTCATCAATCTTTGTGGCGCTCTCTTGACACCATCATACTCTCACATGTACCTTGTCTCGACTGCAATCATGAACGAAGCCCAAAAACGGACCGAAGCTGACTTCGGGGGCGTGGTTGGGACTGCCACTGTCCCCGAAAACTCAAATTCTGACGAGGATGAAAGCTTCTCAGGAGGATTCACCGGAATATTTGAGGTAGACACCGAAGGTGAAGTGAGGCTGCGTCTCTACAGACCCGATTCCCGTCTTCAAGATGTTGATCATGATGCAATCGACGGTCCCGACTCTCAGCATGGCATTCGAGACGACAATTTCCAACGTGATTTTGTGGTTGTAAAATTCACCGACGAGATGTATGCTGCGTCTTTTTCTTTCCTTCTCCATTCAACCTAGTATTCAAATCGGAACGCTCACAGCTCACTAGTGCATCTTTGCCGATTCTGGAGATTCCTGCTATTCAACGCCCGGAACTAAGTAAAAAAGACAAATTCTACGCAAGCATGATTTATTTGGTTGTTATCATAATTGGCTGCATACCAATCGCTGTTGTTGGCGGATTCTCACACTTTCAACCGGGAAAAAGTCTCCCATTCCAACGGGGTTGGATCATGGCATGGTTTACGGCAGGAATTGGAGTGGGTCTGTTCAGCCTTCAGGATGTTTTGACTGATAGTACTTGGATCCGGCGGTACGATTTTCTTTTGTTTTTTATTCTTCTAGTGGTTGTCATTGCGTCTTTTGTACCAGGGATTGGTGGATTCATTGTTGTTGGAAAGATGATTCGCGAATTTGGTACCTGTAGTCTTATATCTTAAGTAGAGTTTTATCCTAGCTGGTAAATTTCACTAAAGATAGAAGATTATTGATGAAATTCACTTGGTGTCTCACTCTAGGTAGTCACAGCTTCAACATCGCTCGACTATTATTTATGCTCAACACGTTCTTCAGACACTGACGTGCCTGATGTGACGACGGACCTCATTTAATGGCTTCAAATCAATGAGAATCTTCATTAAAGATTAGGGCTTAAGCTATTAAGACAAGAAGAGACCTCTAAGTCTCAAGATTGTGCAGCCTATATGGCCATACTGCTGTGCCTACCGACAGGGAATGATTTTGATCTGAGCTTGGAAACGTGGATAGAAATGAGATGTATAGAATCGTAATTCAACACTCAAAATGACTGCTAAGGGCGTCGGGCATACGCTACTAGAAGTAATAGACTGTAACAAGTGTGGTAGAGAATTCCACTGATCAAGTAGCATTAACAAGATAACATGAAAAGTAATAAATACATCTTTCTTGGCTGAGCGGTAACCAACCACATCATGCTATCGTATTTCCTTTCCTCAGTACACATCCAGCCTTCCATCCATCATCCTCATCATACCATACTTCGTCGGCAGCCAAACATGCCTCACCCCCTCCCCAAACCCATCCAACACCTTCCTCCCCGGCCTCCACCCGTCATCACCAACCCTCCACTCCACCCTCCTCTCCCCACCATCATCAACCACATACCTCACCCCCCACACAAAAATATGCCACTCATCATCACACACATCAAGAATATCACTATCCCACTCATCAGTATCCTCATCCTCCCGGTCCCGACACTCCTCATTCGTCAACACGCTGAATACCTGGGCCTCCCGCAGCACCGGCATCCGCCGCACCGCCCGCGCGAAAGCCGTCAGCAAGCGCTCGACGTGTTCGGCCGCCGGCGCGATGCGGAAAACGTATTCACGCACGCTTTCCATGCCGCTCATGCCGCAGCCGGTCCGTGGCGCCCATTCGCGATTCCAGACGCGGTCCCATTCTTCGTCTGCTGCGTCCGGGCCTATTGGCGGGTAGTGTTGCGAGAAGGAGGAGGAGGAGGAGGAGGAGGAGGAGGAGGAGGAGTCGACGGGGTAACCGCGTTCGTTGCTGCTGCTGCTGTCGTCGCTCTGGCGGCCGGTGAACCAGTATGACCCGTCCGGCCGCGCGATGTTGAGCTCGACGCGCATGCTTTTGAGGCGCGGCCAGTACGGCATTTCTGCTCCTTCTCCTGATGCTCCTCCTCCTCCTTCTCCTCCAGCTCCTCCAGCTCCTCCTTCTCCTCCTACTCCTCCTTCTCCTTCTTCTTCTGCTGCTTCTCCTTCGGCGAGTGACGTCGACGCCGGCCAGAACAGCGTCTCGTCAGCCGTAGCACGCAGGTCGAGCTCGACGAGGCCTTGGGAAAAGCGGCGCAGAGCAGCGCTGAGGGGGTCGGAGGGTAGCGGGTGGACGAGGTCGGGCAGCAGCAACTTCCCGCCACGGCGACAGCGCTGGTCGAAGCTCGGGCCGTGCTGCTGGACTTCGAAGAAGTGGAGGCGGGCGGTGCGGAGACCGGAAGGAGCGAAGGGGGAAGCGGGGGAGGAAGATAAGATGCGGCGGGCGAAGTCGTGGCGGGCGTCGCGGAGCGGGCCGGGCCAGGGCTTGTCGTAGTGGTCGCAGATGGCGTCGTAGTGGCACGGCGGGGGCCGCTCGTAGAGGTAGGGCAGGTCGAGGTCTTCGAGGTTGGGGAGTTTGGCGATGATGGCGAGGATGGCGCAGAGGTCGACGGGGCGGATCTGGTGGTCGAAGGGGCTGTAGTGGGTGTGGGATTTGGCTTGGAAGCGGAAAGAGTGCACGAGGGGCAGTGCTGGGAGTGTTTCGGGGTCGAGCAGGTGTAGGCGCCAGCTGGTGAAGCGGCGGTGATGGCAGGGCTTGTTGCCGTCGTCGGTTTGGCGCGCCATTTGGATTTCGAGCGAGAGTCGGCGGAGCTGGGATTCGGAAGAGGAGGAGGAGGCTCTTTCCTGGAGGGTGTCGAGGGCTGTGAAGAGCGCCTTGATCTGCCTTGTGAAGTCTTTGTCCATGGTCTGCAGTTCTTCTGGTATCTCTCGGCACGCGAGAGGCGCTTCTGGAGAATGTTTGAGCTCGGGGAAGGAAACTTCAAACGTCACTTTCCGCAACAGGGCTAGCCGATGGCCATGATACAATTCCAGTAGTTTGTCCAAGTTGTGGCAATTGACATCAATGCTCCTCGGAAATTCGACTCGTTCGACGGCGACATGGAAATTGCGCGACACGGTGAGAAGATTTGCGTTGGTTTGACGGTCGGCGAAAGACACGATCCGCTCCAAGAGCTCCTGCGGTAGACTCGCCATTGTGGAGGTTGTGGAGACCATCTGTGCCAGCCCTAGCGCACTTATAAAGAAATGCCAAGTTTGGGGGCTGATTTGTGTCGTCTGGGCAACCGCTATAGGCCCTGGAATAGGCAGGTGGTCTGAGCTATTGCCACACCCCAGCAATGCAGAGTAAATGCAGGTACCGCAGGATTTCCTCGGCGGAAGAAATCTTGACTTGAACTCTCGTGAGCCTACTGGTCGCTAAATACAGTTGCTCGTCACGAGCCCTATCAAAAACGTATCCCCTTGAAAAAAAAATTCCAATGAACCAATTCAATCTGTAGAAAAGAGGGTGGCCAGGATCCGATCCTACCCAGACACTCCAATGCAGTAATAATAATCCAGCCAAAACGCTGTCCCACAATTATCCCCATTCGTTCCCAGCGCCGCATTCCACTCCGCCAACTGCCCCATCGTAATCCCATTCCGCTCTGCAAACGCGAAGCAGTAATCCCCGCTCACCGCGCGGTCCCACTTATTGCAGTTCGCCGCCGCGCCTTCCTGCACCCACTCCGCCGGTGGCCGCGTAGCCGTCGGCTCCGCCGCGCTCGTCGTCGTCGTAGTTGTGGGCGTGTCGTCCCCAGACACGCCGACGCAGTACGCAGAATCCAACCAAAAGTTATCCACACAGTCCGAACTAACCGCGGGATTCCACGCCAAAAACTGCGTCAGCGATATCCCGGCCTCCGCAGCAACACTAGCGCACGTGTCGCCCTCGACGACGATGTGCCACTCGTCGCAGTTGGCCGGCTGCCCGGTGTGCGTCGGGGCACCCGGCGTGGGCGCCGTCGTCGTTGGTGGTGGTGCCGTCGTGGTAGGAACAGTGGTAGTGGGGTCGTCGCCGTCGCTCGCCACGCCGACGCAGTACGCCGAGTCGAGCCAGAAGTTGTCGACGCAGTCGGAACTCACCGCCGGGTTCCACGCCAGGAACTGCGCGAGCGATATGCCGGCTTCGTCGGCGACGCTCTGGCACGAGTCGCCCTTGACGACGACGTGCCACTCGTCGCAGTCGGCCGGCTGACCGGTATGCGTCGGTCCAGGCGGGCCCGGCGCAGCCGTCGTGGTGGCGTCCGGCGGTGTCGTCGTGGTGGAGGCGGATGGCTCGTTGTCGGGCTGGCCGTACCACGAGCCGCAGTAGCGGACGCCCGTCTCGAAAACGCAGTCGGGCGAACTGGCGTTGGCGAGGCCGGCGTTCCAGGTGCCGAAATCGTCGAGCGAGACGTCGTAGTTCACGGCGGCGAACTCGCAGTTGCCGGCCCAGCGCGTGCCTGTCAGGTCGAACTGGTAGTCGTCGCCGGCGAAGTAGGCCGAGCAGTCGTCACGCGTGCCGTTGGCGATGGGCAGCGGCGGGTAGAGGCGGACGTAGGGCGTTTCGGTCGCGTCTGGGAGGGCGGTGAAGGGGGTGCCCGTGAAGGGTTCGGTTGGAGAAGCGGTCGTGTAGCCTGGGCGGCCGGAGTAGGTGTTGATGTCGCCGACGGCCTGCACGCAGTAGCTTTCGTCGGCGATCAGGTTGGTGCAGTTGACGTTGATCGAGGGGTTGAGGAAGATGAAGTCGTCCAGGGAGATGCCGAATTTGAGCGTCAGGAGGTTGCAGTAATCCCCCGGCTGCACGTCGTACCATCTGCCACAGTTCTGATTCGAGTCGGGTGCTGCGTCAGTCGGGACAGTCGCCGGCGTGGTTGGCGTGATGGGAGCCAGGTCCGTGGTTGTTGGCGGCACGAAATTAGTGCCTGGGGCAGAAATGCAAAGCTGTGCGCCCGTCATGCTGTCTAGGTTGTAGCAGCCAAAGTCAATGATCTACGGCAACCATTAGCATCTCGAATGTCTCCGCTGACAGTCACGATACTTACCGGGTTCCAAGCATGGAGCTGTGCTTCTGTGATGTTCGAAGCTCGGGCAATAGACGTGCATGTATCGTTCGCAGTCACAGTGAAAACTTTGCAGCTATTGGTAAGACACAGATCCCCAGACGTGGGGAAGTCGGCACACCACGCCGGTAGATCGTTGTCCGATAGAAGCCACGCCGTTCCGATTCCTTGTGTGGTCGATATGCTGAAGCAGTCATCTGAGGGCTGGATTGAATACGTTGTACCCGCGCAAGGTGTAGGTGTCGTCGTCGGCTCTTGACTACAGACAGTCAGTTCAAGCTACTATGGTCGCGCGGTTGACGTGCACGTACGTGTAGAAGTCAAGAGTAGTCGTCGTCAGTGGCTGCCCCGTAACCCCACAACTCGACGTCATAGACTCGTAGAGGGACATGCTCGCGATTGCCGGCCCTTCAAAGTATGGAGACCCGGCTTGTAGGCGAAGACTTTTCAGAAAGCACGCATCACATGGCTCTGGCTCTTCCGCGCCAGATGGGATGGCATCCAAGTAGTTGAACATGCTATCTTGTTCGAACCGTCAGTAGGGGTTACAGGCTAGGAGGTGGGGCACTCACTGCCAGGATCCGCAAAAGCAGCGGCGAGGGCAGCAACATTGTTGCAGTATCGGTCGCCGTCCTTCAAACAGGTCGACTCGTACAGATACTGGTAGGTCCCTGGGATCCACAGCGCTGACACGTTGAGGTCAAAGGATCCCGGGAGGATCTCCTCTCCACATGCGTCTTGCACTGCGCTCTGATAAGCTGAAAGAGAATCTTCACAGCCGCTGGTGCAGATTCTTTCCAACGTCTCAGGGCCGTAAAAGAAACCCGGAATCAAGTTCTTGACAACCGGATCGCATGCCACATCCGACAACAACGCTTCGGAACAGGTATTGGAAAGATCGGTGGGGACGGAAGAATTGTATATGAGCTGAAGAGTGGAAGCCGTCGGGCAGAATAGGAGGACAAGAAAGAGAGCGAAGCTCCTCTGAAAGAACGACAGGAAATTGAATGAAGTCTTCTCCATGTTGTGGAAGAATTTGCAAAGAGCGGCAGTGAAGGACAGAGACTGAAGCGCGAATATCTACCGTCTGCATGGTCTTTTTCACAACCAGAGTCCTACCTCAGCCTCCGGTCAGGCTACAGCCAAGAGCAGGCTGCCGCCATCACCTGTTGGTTGAATGCCTTTTGCGGACGCAATCACCGCTGGTGCATTGAAACGAGGTGTGAAACACCACCTAGAGCAATCAATTCTGCGCGAAAGGAAGTTGGGGTCCGAAAGTGAAACCATTGTTTTTTCAGTCATCCGCTATCACGAGTCGTTTTCGTGCATAGCAATATAGAGATGCAGGGTGTGAGGTGGGGTTGTTCTCAGCTGTTTATTGATAAGATGGCTACCGTACCGGCACATCCACCTTAATTCAGACCTCGCGAGCGGATGTAGCCGGTTATGCGTGTATGCAGAGTCACACACCATGTCTGAAAAGCAATAAATGTAGGCGATATAATATACAAGCAGTTGTTTTTCACCTTGGCGTTGCGACTTGGCATGCACGACGTTAGACGTGTGGGGTCTGCTGACTGCTGACTGGACATGCCTCCAGGGATACAGAGGCGTGTTGGTAATTATCTGAATCCCCTGCTAAATTAGTGGTCGGCTGCACTACCGAGCCCGATATGGAAGTTTCACCGTGCACACTAGTGCCATCGGTACAGAGGGGCACAAGCCGATAGCTAGCGCGAAGAATAGCAGGGCCTTAGAACATGACGTAAGTCCCTCTCAATTCTTTTTTCTTCTTTCTTTTACGATGAAAAAGAACATGTATGGGTAGATGAAGCTATCATCCGGATGTAAATGTGGAATTAATAAGTATACTTTCACGTCCGGACGACAGCTTCAACTGCCGATGGTATGAGCGAAAAATAAATTCACGCTAGCCGTCGTTGCAATACCCCCGTACTTGTCCACCGGTAACTGCCTGAATTCGGGTATGCAGGGTCCCAGGCACACCAGCGGGCGCTTACCGATCAAGGAAGGTAGCTCGATTTCCGCCCCCGCCAAGCAACACCACGGAATCCTACGACCCATTCTTAGTTTGTATCCAGGATGCACAATTTCACGGTGCTTCAGGCCCTGGGAGTCCACCGCCAAGCTGCTCGTCTGACACACGCCGAAGCGATGCATTCAGCTCGGCGACGGGGGATTCATGTGTCGAGAGACGGGCAGGCGACCGGCGCCACCAGACCAGAATGTTATATACAACATGTTCAGCGAGGTCTGATTGATGCATCCACGATCTCTTCATCCTTTGGTCTGACCGCAGCGCGTTCGCTGCTGGACCACAATGCGGACCTTGACGCTCTTTCTCGTAGCCGCTTTGGCAAATGCATTCCCTCATTCTAACCACGCTCTTTTTCCCTCCTCAGCAATTGAGGACACTGGCACTACCTGCCGCAATCCTGTTTCGTATGCTCCTTGTTCCTTCACCTCAATGCTGCATTGACTGACGGCTCTCAAGCTATTACGATTACTCTGCAAAGTCCCGCCGGGACCAAGCACTCCCCATTTGCCCAATTGAGGAGACTTCAGCTGCAGTTGAAGTCAGCTCTTTGTTTGCACGTCAAGTCGTCGGTGGTGACGACTATTCGTGTGCCCCCGACCGTCCCTGCAGCAACAAAGCATGTTGTCCCAAGGAAACTCTCCAGTGCAACTATGGTGAGGAGTACTGCGGCACGTCAGGCATCTCCCCGAACGAGGTCTGTTGGTCCAATTGTGATGCCAAGGCCGAGTGCGGGAAGAACGCTGCAGTGCCTGGTCAAGAATGCCCTCTGAATGTCTGCTGTGGAAAGTGGGGGTTCTGTGGCATGACAGAAGACTACTGCGAGGTCGAGGACAAGGGCACAACTGGAGGCTGTCAGTCGAACTGTGACCAGCCCGGTCCCAAGAACAAGGCTAGCACTCAGTCAGACAGGATCATCGGCTACTATGAGGGATGGCGCTACAACAGCGTGTGCCAAGGCATGGTATGTGAACAAGCTCCTCTGATCTTGATCTCCGCTAATAGCATTAGGGCTTCGATGATATTCCAGTCAACTCTCTCACTCATCTATACTTCTCCTTCGGATACATAACGCCCGGTGATTTTAGCATCGCCGGCATGGACGGTCTTCCTTACGAGCTCTTCTCAGACTTCACGAACCTGAAGAAGAAGAACCCTGGGCTCAAGACCGTTGTTGCTTTGGGTGGTTGGACGTTCAACGATCCTGGCCCAACCCAGAAGGTTTACAGTGACATGGTCAGCACGAAGGAGAACAGAGCCAGGTTCATTGAAAACCTCTTCTCCTTCATGCGCCAATACGCCTTCGATGGCGTCGACTTTGACTGGGTAAGTCCATTAAGCTCCATGCGCATCCCTAAGCAGATTCTCATTGCGGTATATAGGAATATCCGGGTGCCGATGACCGCGGAGGAGTTCCCGATGATGGGAAAAACTTTGTCACGTTCTTGAAGGAGCTCGACGAAGAGAACAAGAAGCAGCCGATGCATTATATTGTCTCTTTCACGGCACCTACGAGCTACTGGTACCTGAGGCATTTCGATTTGAAGGTACTTTCAGAAGCTTCATCTTCACAAGATCTCCACTGACCACTACAGGCTGTTGACTACGTGGACTTCATCAACGTCATGTCATACGAGTAAGCATCTCCCGTTCCTTTATAGACTCAGCTTGATGGCTTATCATTTCGCAGTCTACACGGAGTATGGGACCGCGAGAATCCCATCGGCTCGCACATCTACGGTCACACCAACCTGACAGAGATGAAGCTGGCCTTCGATCTGTTCTGGCGCAACGACGTGCCGGCCAAGAAGCTCAACATGGGTCTCGGCTTCTACGGCCGAGCCTTCCAGCTCGAGGATCCGTCTTGCAGCAAGCCCGGTTGCCGCTTCAAGGGCGGTGCTACCAAGGGAGCCTGCAGCGGCGAGTCCGGCATCCTGAGCTATCGCGAGATCAAGGAGATTATCAAAACCGACAAGCTCAAGCCTTACCACGACAAGACAGCTGGTGTCAAGTACATCACGTACAGAGGGGATCAGTGGGTCTCCTTTGATGACGACGACACGTTCAAGCAGAAGAAGGAGCTCGCGGCAGACCTTGGGCTGGGCGGCTTCCTGATCTGGGCGGTTGACCAGGATGACGCCGAGCTGAGCGCCCTTCAGTCCGTCATCTCGCCCAAGAGCCTTGGTGCCTTCAAGAATGACGCGAAGGATAAGGACTACTTTGAGGACTCCAACGCTCAGTGCTACATCACTGAGTGTAGCGGCAAATGCAAGCCTGGGTTCTTTAAGATCACGGAGCAAAACTGCGGAAAAGATGACAAGAAGAGCCAGCTGTGCTGTCCGTTGTCTTCAGCCCCGAACCCAGAGAACTGCCAATGGCGGGGTAATCCTCCCTTCTGCAACGGTCATTGCCAGGACGATGAAGTGATGCTCGAGATGAACCGGTAAGTCTCCAGGACTGAACGCTAAGCGTGAACTGACTAACCGTGCTCTAGCTGGGGTGGTGGAGGATACTGCACCGACGGAAACCAGGCGTACTGTTGCAAGAGCCCTCTCGCCCAGGAGAATCAGTGCTACTGGGCAGGGATGGGCAAGAAGTGCAACAGCGGAGACCGCGCAATGACCTTCTCCGGAACCGTCCTGTCAGAAGCCGCCGACATTGCGCAGGAAATCATCAACATTGTCGGGAAACCCACGCCGCTCCACCAGATGGCTGGAGAAGCTCTCTCAGAGTTGCTCGAGATCATTGAGATTGACACCATGAAGGTATACTGCTGTCCAGAGGAGGACACCAAGAAGTGGCAAAACTGCGACTGGTACGGCGAGCCGGGGTCGTGCTTTGACAACCATTGCCCCGAAGTCAAGTCGGTGCAGCTGACTGACAGCTACTTTGGCGGAGGAGACACCTGCGGTTGGAGATGGGAAAGAGTTCGAGGTAAGTTCCCTGCAGAATGATTCTCTTGGAACAACCAAACCCTGACCCTCCGTTTCACAGTTTTCTGCTGCGAGCCTACTGGCGGGGAGCCGCTCTTCCTGCCGGTCCCTCTAGAGAACCTCTTCGAAAACCCCCCTACCGGTGACGGCATCGACACTGATTTCAGTCTTGAAACCGATGACACTTTTGGCGACGGCCAGTCAGATACCAATGATAACCCTAGCGACGCCGCCTTCCAATTTGTCGTCTTGACGTCCCCAGAAGACCTTCAGGTATCGCTTGACAAGCGAGACGGCTCACACTGGGACATGTTCAACTGCAAGGATGCCGTGACTGAGGGCGAACACACTGTGCAGATGGTCTGCACAGACACCTCAGAGAACAGCAATTGCTACAAGATTGGCCTCGGCCACGGTGTTCCCGGCACCATCCTCCAGATGCCCAAGGGCTGCGGTCCCGGGAAGTATGCCGTAGCAAAGAGCATGGAGCCGTCCAAGAATACGCTGTTACCACGCCATCTGTCTCATCTGGGCGAGCGAGCAGTCGTCTATGACCTGACATTTGACTACAACTTCCAAAGGGTGCCCCGTGACTTGGGTAACACTCAAATGCGTATCGACTTCTCGAATCAAGACAATTACTGGGACGAAGTCGTCAAGGCGACAGTAAGTAAGAAGAAGAAGAGCAAGAGGTCCCTGGAAGACTTCGGGGGCAACCACGTCCAGTGGCTGGAAGAGGAATACCGCGACGACCACCACTTCGGTGGCCTGAGCACGCGGGAGCTGCATGAGCGCTGGTTCGGAGAGGGAATCCTCGAGTGGTTGACTAGGATGGTCAAGCCCGAGATTAAAAGGGAGTTTACAAACAACATCCACGAGACGTTCACTGCTAAGATAGTCGACGAGAAGTGGTCGTGCACGAAGGGAGACGTTAGCTACGATGGCCACATCCTGGCGCAGGCAATCCTCGACATGTCTGTCGAGACCAGCTTCGGATTCACTCTCATCGTCACCAGCCTCAGGGATCTCGATCTGAAAAAGAGCTACCTGACGTTCTACAATAAGGGTGAGATCTCTGGAACAGTCACCCTGGAAGCCGTAGCCAAGGTCTACTACAACAAGAAAAACACCATCCTCAATCTGCCCTTCCCCGGTGCATCATTCAGGATTCCCGGAATCGCCACCATCGGACCTCAAATCACGGTGCAGGGCGAGATCAACGCACAGCTCGGCCTGGCTGGCACCATCGAGACGAAGCTCCAAATCGCCTCGTGGGAGACACGACAAGTGCTTCCAGACACGAGCGAATACAAGCCAGATGAGATCGGAGACGGTGTCAACTTGGACAAGACCGGCAGTTACCAGGGTGGCCGGGAGCCGGAATTCTACGCGGGCGTGAAGGTCTCGGGCGATGTGACTGCAAAGCTCTCAGCAGCCGCCGGTAAGTCTTCCCCCCACTCTCCTTTAGGGGCAGCTGAGCTAACACATCCATAGAGTTTGGCATCCGGTTTGACGACAAATGGGACGTGCCGTACGTCGGCGCCGCCGTTGTGGGCGAGGCAAAGGTCTTCGTGAAAGCCGGCTCGGGTATCTCGACCCAGGCCAATTGCCCATTCACCTATTCCCTCGACGTCGGGGCACGCCTGTACGCCCACATTACCGATGGCGATCTCTTCGGGTGGGGCATGCAGGACTTCGATATCACGCCGGCATGGAACAAGAACCTGGCCAAGTCCGAGTGTCCAGATCTTGGCCCGATTCCTCAGAAGCGGAGCGTCATTCCGGGCCTGCCAGGAACAGTGACGGACAACATCACTTCTGAAGTGGGCCTTCACACGTTCCAGAAACGAAGTGGCGTATATGGGCCTGCTTTCAGGATTCCCGTCGGGAAATTCTTCTGTCCAAGCTCTACAGATGATAACGAGGACGAGTCGGGCGATTGTTCCGATATCGTGCCTTATTGGGACGACGACGAATTCAACACAAACGATGGCGAGCGTTACAAGTTTCGGCGTGATAGCATTCACTCCGGAGAATTTGACGAGGCTAACGTGTACACTAACGAAACTGAAGGGGGTGGTTTGTTGGTACACAACCTCCAGAAGAGAGTAACGCCCAGAGATGACAAGATTTGTGGCCTCGAAATCATAACAAGCCACCCTAACGGCGGGGAAGCTCCCGGTTTAGGAGAATTGCCTGTAAGTTATTTTCAGATTCTTCCCGTCTTCACAGCCTCGCCACTCGGCCAGCCAGACCCCATGACTGCAATACAGGCATCCGCTGGCTGGTTTGACTTATAAGTAGCAGTCAGACAGACACATGACAGTATCGCAGCTGACAACGGACGTTATTGTAGAACGCGCCTGTCTACGGATGGGAAGAAGCCCAAGTTTGCAGCAACTTTGACTGGGGCGGGCCTCTTACAACACCGACCGCGGGCCAGATGTATCATGCGGAGCATGTCATGGAGTGGCAGCTGCTGGGCCTTTTCTTCGTAGAGGAAGATAGGAACGGCGATTACCCTACCTGGCCACATCCAAACCCGACTATCAACCGCCAGCTTAATTTTTGTGAATACGTCAAGGAGTACTGGGACCATGATGTCGCGATCAACGGTGTCACTCAGAACATTCCACAGCATCTTGCAGATCAATACCCTACTGAAAACACATTCACAGGGGACTGGGTGCTCTTGCAAAGTGAGATAAATACACCAGCCAAAGCGAAGGTATGTTCCGTTACTGTTGCATGAAATGAAAGATGCACATCCTAACAGATCGTCCCAACAGGCATGGCTTCTGTATCCAAAGAACCGCTTCATCATAAACCCAGACAGAGCTCAGAGGCGCATCGCACGCAACATAAACGAGGCGAGAGAAGTTCTCAAATCGCTGAGAATGCTCATCGGATCCGCGCACTACCACATGAGTCCCGGCATTATCGACATCCTCAAAAGGCAAAAGGGTCGCATACAAACCATGTTGAGCACGCTCGACAACCAGGTCCTTCCTGCGAATCCGCCTACCTACAACGGGAATCCCGGAACGCCTTGGACGCCGATGGGTTTGGCCGACAAGTGGCATCAGTTCATGCTTGAAAAGTACTGGATTGCCCAGAGCAAGACTAACAAGGCCGTCAACGAGCTCCTGCCTGTCATCTCAGAGCAGTATGCAGATCAGCAAGCGAGGGACAATGCGGTCGACCAGCCTGGCGATGACGCTGATACGCTGGCACGGAAGCAGAAGGAAAGGGAATTCATCGATGACATCGACGCAACGGCGGAGCATTGGAGATCAATTGGTGCTTGGCCTAATCCGTTCTTTTAGGTAGATAGAACATCTACCAACTTTCCTTTTTGTAGAACCTTTACAGAAAACTACTATACCACCACTCCCAGCTGACAATCAAAACGGCTGGGTAGCCTTTTATACCGTAGCAAAACTCATGTCTTTCTTAATTGGGAAGGAGCCTTTTCGGAATGGATTTTGGGATTACCTATTTGGACCTTTTTCCGCGTGATTCACCGTCCAGGTGGTGTGAATGATAACGGCCGCCCGTCAGACGTTCGCTTACGCGCCACCGGACGTCCAGAGGGGCATTGCATCCGAAGGCCAGCGTTATTTATTTTAGCTCACGTAATGGGCAGTTGAAGCTATCGTCCGGACGAGAATGTCGAATTAAAAACTCTACATACACGTCCGGACGATAGCTTCAACTACCCTTGTGTTGTTGTAATTTTTCTTTCTTTTTCTTAAGAAAAAGGGCAGGGCAAGAGTTACCCTAAATCCGAGGATCCTGCTCTTCTTCGCGCTAGCCCTCGGCTACAACACCATCCGTACGAATGACACCTTCCCCGCTCGGGAGGCCTTGCAGAAGCTGGGGTTGCACAGGATTCAGGATTCAGTCAATACGACCTTCGCGGCGTCCCTTATAATCGCGCCCTCAGCTCTTCTAGACACTGTCTACCAACTTGCGCCGTGGTGCAGTAACCAGTGCTACCATGCGTTTCTTTTCTGTCGTAACGGTCTTTGTCACCACTGCCCTAAGTATTGCTGCAGCCTCTTCTCCAGGAGCGCAAGGCTTAGTTGACCTCGTGAAACGACGCATTCCAGCACACGTTGACGACTTCGAGTTCATCCTGACGGAGAACAGCACCGCTGGCTATGACGCATACGTTGTATCAACGCCTACCAAAGGACATGTGTGCATTAAGTCCGGTTCTCTCAGCGGACTTGCGAGCGGGTAAGCAGGCCTGCTGATGAAGACTGTGCCTTCCTGAGTTCTGAAATTTTCTCAGGCTGTACCGCTATCTTGCCGATGTGGTGGAGGTAGACATCTACTGGTTCATTGGCTCTCGATTGCATTTAGCGCCCTCTGAACTTCCTAGTGTCAATGGAACACTCTCCGGGGCCAGCACCGTACCGTGGCGGTATCACTTCAACACAGTCACCTTCTCCTACACCACGGCCTTCTGGAACTGGACTGATTGGGAGCTCGAGCTCGACTGGCTCGCACTCCGCGGCGTCAATCTGCCTCTGGCATGGGTTGGCGTCGAGCGGATCATCTACGACGTATTCAGCGAAATAGGACTCACGCACTCTGAAATCAGCTCCTTCTTCAGCGGACCGGCGTTCCAGGCGTGGAACCGTTTCGGCAACATCCAGGGCTCCTGGCCGAAAGGCAGCGAGCTGCCCATGTCATGGATCGACGGGCAGTTTGCGTTGCAGAAGCGGATCGTGCGGCGCATGGTTGAGTTGGGCATGACGCCTGTGTTGCCATCTTTCACCGGCTTCGTGCCACGCGCAATCGCTCGGGTGCTCCCCGACGCTTCGATTGTGAACGGGTCGCGGTGGGCCAACTTCACGTCCGAGTACACGAACGTGACGTTCCTCGAACCATTCGACCCGGCCTTCTCGACGCTGCAGAAAAGCTTCATCGACAAGCAGACGGCCGCATACGGCAACGTCTCTCACATATACACTCTGGACCAGTACAACGAAAACGACCCGCTTTCCGGCGATCTCGACTACCTCAGGAACGTCTCGCACGGCACGTGGCAGTCGCTGAAGGGCGCAGACCCGCAAGCCGTGTGGCTGATGCAGGGCTGGCTGTTCTACGTCAAGCAGTACGACTTCTGGACCGACGCCCGCGTCGAGGCCTACCTGTCCGGCGTCGAAGACGACGCCGACATGCTGATCCTCGACCTCTTCTCCGAGAGCTTCCCGCAGTGGCAGCGCACCAACTCGTACTACGGTAAGCCGTGGATCTGGTGCCAGCTGCACAACTTCGGCGGCACCATGGCGCTGTACGGCCAGATCGAGAACGTGACGGTCGACCCCGTCGCGGCCCTCGCCGACTCCGCCTCCCTCGTCGGCTACGGCCTGACCATGGAGGCGCAGGAGGGCAACGAGGTCATCTACTCCCTCCTCCTCGCGCAAGCCTGGTCCACGACCCCGATCAACACTACGCAATACTTCCACGACTGGGCCGTCCGGCGCTACCGTACCTCCTCCACCACCCCGAACAACCCCCTCCCACCAGCCATCCACACCGCCTGGTCCACCCTCCGCACAACCGTCTACAACAACACCGCCATCCTCGCCCCCGCCTTCGCCTCCGTCCCCAAAGCCCTGCTCGAAATCCGCCCCTCGCTCACCGCGCCGTCCCTCGTTCCGCCGCCGCTCGCCCCGGCCGCCGTACTTTCGGCCTGGACCGACCTCGTCGTCGTTCACAGCTCCTCCTTGAACACTACGCCGCCGCAGACGGACCGCGTCTGGCACGACAACCCCGCGCTCGCCTTCGACGCGATCGATCTGACGCGGCAGGTGCTGGCCGACGCCTTCGCGCCGCTGTACGCGGAGCTGGTCGGCGCGTTCAACGACAGCGTCGCCACTGGTAATGCGTCCGATGCCGTGGACGCTATCGCGGCGAAGGGGGAGAAGATGGCGGGGCTGCTGGGGGCGCTGGGGCGGGTTTTGGGGGTAAGTCGGCATTTTTGTTTGGGGCCGTGGGTGAGGGCTGCGCGGGGGTGGGGTGGGGAAGGGGGAGAAGGAGAAGGAGGGGTGGCGGACTACTTGGAGTATAATGCGCGGAATCAGATTACGCTGTGGGGGCCGAATGGCGAGATTAAGGATTATGCGTCGAAGGAGTGGGCGGGGTTGGTGTTGGGGTTTTATAAAGAGCGGTGGAGGATTTTTGTGGAGGAGCTGGTTAGCGCCGCGGCGGCGGGTGGGGGGGCTGCGTATAATGAAAGTGCGGTGCAGGAGCGGTTGATTGCGTTTGAGCAGGGGTGGCAGATGGAGAGGTGGGGGGAGGGGGATGACGAGGGGGTGTGTGAGGGGGAAGGAGAGGAGGTACGGGATGTGATCACTCAGGTTACGGCTGAGTGGCCGGATGTGTTTGGGTTGGAGTAGAACGACTATTCTGTCTCTATATTGTTCTGGTATTCATGTCAAGTGGTAAATCGTAGCTATTTCTACAGCTACTTACATTACAGATCCAGATTACAAGCCTATATATCAATCTAAGCAAGATCCCATTTCTGTCCTCCTCTTATCCTGAGAACCTCAAAAGTATCCGTTCCTCAAATCGCTTTTTGTCTAGTATCTTACAGCACTGAATTTGATAATTAATTTCTGGTGGTATCAAAGGCATCCAGAAGCACGACTAACGGTTATACGCTCACCTTCTCTAAAGTTACTTTCCCGATATACCAGGAAGTCTTCCATCCCTTAAAACATTGCCTGAACATTGTCAAGAGGTTCTGGGCTTCATGAACTATCGCATTCCTGTCTTAGCTCGGTGAACGAAGTAGAGGTGAGATTTCCATTTTTGCTCATGCTAAAACTTTACAAATTATAGTACAGACCCAGTCGACTTTTCTATCGCTTGTAGTAAATGATAGTAGGAATTTCCCATCCTACCATCCCGAAGCCCTAACCCAGACATCCACAATCTTCGAGCTGTTCAGCTTATCGCTCGAGTCCACCACCAAATACCAGCCATACAGTGCTCCAGTGATGCATGCGTGATTCGGATAGATGCGGACGGTCTGCCCAACCTCCAGCGGAATCGGCGGCAAGCCTTCTGTCGTGTCTTCTCCAGAGGCTTCCCAGGCGAGGATTGCATGCTCCTGGCTGATCCTCTCCACAATCAACCGGCGACCGTGCCCATTGGAATCCAGCGAGGTGTACGATCTGCTCCCGACAACGCCCCATCCCTTGTAGAACGGACAAGGTTCCCTTCCCAGACCCAGCGCACCAACGGCCACAAGCGCCTCCGGCTGCCCCCTCTCCCCGTCATTGTAAACACTGCACACCTCCGCCACCACCGACAGCGCGACTTCCTCTTCCACCCCACCCAGCCCCGTCCGCGCATTCGTCGACAACTGCTGCACATCCATGACCGAGTACACGCCCGCATGCAACTCCAGCCTCGTCCTCAACCCCCCAGCCATCCCCTCTACCACCTTCCTCAACGCCTCCTTCAGCGCCTCCGACCCTCCCACCTCCCTGCCATCCCTCCCCGCAAAATTCTCAATCGACGTAACCTGCGGCGACGCCCCCACACTAATCACCACCTCCTTCTCCTTCCCCCTCTTCCCCAACACCCCCGCATTCTCCCTAAGCGCCTCCAAACACCCCTCAATCTCCCCCGCCAAATTATCCATCGCCGCCCCCGGCCCCTCATCCTTATAACTCAAACTACTATGCGCATAAACCCCCCACAACTCCGCCTCCCCCTTCCCCGCCGCCGCCGCCTCCATCCCCACCACCCTCTCCACCAACCCCCCCTTATTCAACCCCCCCGGCGGCAGTCCTGCGCGGTGGTACCCCGTATCAACTTTAACATAAACACCGGCGGGGAAGCCTGCCAGCTGCGCGAAAAGCGCGAGCGAGGCGAGCTGCGAGGGGTGGTCGAGCATGACGGCGACGGTGCCGGGGCCGAGGGAGCGGGCGAGCGCGGCGAGACGCGGGACGTGCGAGGGCGGGAGGGGGATGCCGTAGAGGATGGTGACGGGGTGGCGGCCGGCGGCGCGGAGGGAGTGGAGGGCGGGGACGAGGTGCTGGATTTCGGGGAGGGTGGAGGCGATGAAGTGGGCTGGTTCGGAGGTGGAGGAGGTGGTGGAGGAGGTACCGCCGGCTTGGAGGAGGGCGAGCTGGGTGGTCTGTGGGGTGTTGTTAGCGGGAGGTGTTTTGTGTTTGAGGTGTTGGGGGGAAAAGACTGACCTTGTGTGTTTTGACGTGTGCGCGGAAGCCGACGCCCAGGGCGCGTGTGGCGTCGAGCATGGATTGGCAGTGCCGCCGCGCGATGGCTACGTCGAGGATGGCGGCGGGCTTGGGGACATCGTTGATGTCTTTGCCGACGTAGAATTGGCGGAGTTCCTCGATGGGCGGGCTGAGGCGCTGTGGGATTGACATGGTGCCTTCCGGGTAGGGTGTTGGTGGGAGTGGTCGGGAGCTTTGACGCTTTGGAGAAGCATACTCAATTCAAGGAGCACTTCTTTATATAGACATATTTGACGGCTAGCTTGATGTGACTCATTGAGCACCTCTATGGCTCATGACGCTGTCTCCGGCTGATAGATTTACCAAAGGATCATTGGTGTTCTCGGCTAATTTATTAACCTGGCTATTTATTGATGACTTTTAGAAAAGCTGTAGAGTCTACTGAAGCCATTCTTCGTTCCAAAAATAGTATCGCAGCGTAAGGCAGGCTCAAGGATTGAAACTCCCGTAACCCTGCCATCGTAGGGCCATGATTCGAGAAATGAAATTCGTCTTCAGCGTGAAACCATGATACGCTCTCAGCTGACCTCAAAAATGAATTTATGCGGCGGAAGTCACAAGGCTGACCAATTGAGATGCCTGTAAGCAGCCATCATCCAAGTTCTTACGAAGGATTCTAAAACAGCCGAGTTTGACAGACATAAGGCTTCACCCCACCTCGTATCTGACCCAGTGCTCAAACATTTACCTCCCACCTCTTTTACCCACCAGCAACAACTCGACCATGGAAGAGACCGAGAGTACAAGCAATCAGCTATGCCACTTCTGCAGCCGCTTACTTCGCGAACACTGGGTACCCGGGGGCCGCCACGTAAGCCATCCAGCCTGGCGCGGTATAGAACGCTCAGCACGCACATGCAAGCTCTGAGCCGTTATATGGAGAGTCATAACAGCCTCCAAAGGGTTGAGGAATAGCATGGGTCTCCAATGGATGGAACGGAACAGGTGCATTAGACCACCGTTCAGCGAGTGGGCAAGTCTCGACATCAAGGGTGACTGTGACGAGGATACTGGGGCCTTGCTGAGGCTTCATGTCGTAGCCAGGTGCCCTGTATCGGGTCTAGAACCCGATTTCGTCGGTTCTTTGGAGTTTTACAGGATTGACGAGGTCCCCTGTAAGTATTTTGGTCGCTGGAAACTGTATGAACATGGTGCTGACCAGCGTACCAGGTATGAATCAGGGCGCATTGCCATCAAGCAGTGATTCCGAAGAGGTGTGGTCGCTTGTGGAAAACTGGATGCACACATGCCGAACCAAACACAAGGAGTGCAATATTGTCCCACCAGCAACGTGGAGGCCCACACGACTTCTGAACGTACGTTCTTCCTCTGGCCGCATCAAACTCTGTGAAGGGGATGACATACCGTATCGACCTGATTACGCTACTCTAAGCCATTGCTGGGGAGAAGGCGGACATTTGACGCTCAACAAGCAGACCGCAGCGTGTATCGGATCCGGATTGCGTGATGACGAACCAGATCCGACTTTCCAGGATGCCGTGCATGTCACAAGAAAGATGGGGTCTCAATATTTGTGGATCGACAGTCTTTGCATATACCAGGACTCCTTGGAAGACTGGAAGCGAGAGTCTAGCCGTATGGGGGAAATCTATCAATTTGCATCCTTCAACATCGCCGCATCAGGAGCAGAGAATGCGAAGGATGGTTGCTTCGCCCCGAGGAGAGTAGACACTGACCCTCCGGTACTCATACAAAGTGATGACATCAAATATATATGTGTAAGGCAAAATGCATTCTGGTGTCGCTTCAATTGGACACCGTTCAGCCTGCGGGCGTGGATCCTTCAGGAACGGTTCCTCGCCCCGCGGATAATCCATTGGGGTCTTTCAGAGATGGTCTGGGAATGCAACCATCATTATGCTTGCGAGAGATTCCCGCTGGGTCTCAAATATTCCGGCCATGAGTGGCCTAGTAGCCATTACAAAAAAGCCAGCTCAATTGTACCTTCCAAGGGTGACGCCAACGGTCTCACGCCCGACGAGTTTGAGCGGGTGGAGGAAGCGTGGAGAGTGTTCGTCGGCAAGTATTCGGTGGCGAAGTTGACTTTCGAATCCGATAAACCGGTAGCTTTGACGGGCATCGTCAAAACTTTTCGCAGCCTGTTCCGAGCTCAGTTTTTCGCCGGGCTTTGAGAGGACCACATGGAGCTGGAGCTTCTCTGGCAAACGCGCTTCGACTGGAAATCTGAAAGACGAATCAACCACATACCGACGTGGTCATGGCTTTCTCTGCGGGAGACTCCTATCTTCCCAGCCACGACTGGAACTTTTTCGGTGAACAAGAACGCCGTTCTAAAGCTGTGCCGAGTCATTGAAAAAGGAGGGACTGGGGATTGCGGTAATCAGTTTGATATCTCTGATGCTTTCTTAAAAATACAGTGCTCGCTCGCTCCAGCCGCCTTTCTGCATATCCCGAAGGATCATTGGGTTGGGCACACTTATATTCTTTGTTGGACAGCTCCTGAGCAGCCAGAAAGAGGTCTATGCTGTGCCTCATTCGATACGGTGGGGAATGCCCAGTTTTCTGGTATCTGGTGTATGCCCGTGTCCCAAGATACACACAGGTTAAGAGGGCTGCTTGTCGCAAATGGGGAGGATGAGCCACCCGACGCATACCACAGAGTTGGTGTTTTCTGGACCTTCTACAAAGAGGATATTGAGACCCTTTGGAAATCTTGCGATTTCTTCTCCGCATCGCAACAATCACCATTGCGTTTTTGACAAGATTTTACGCTACCACGCTTCGCATAAGGAGTCAGAGAACAGCACACACCCTTCTACAGCAGGAACAAAAAATCACATAGACTCCAACGCCGATAGAACAGAAGAGAAAGATTTGAGGTCGAGTTATTGGGAATGTGACGGGGTACCTCAGCATATCATAACCCTCAAGTGAACGAGCTCTAGAGCAGAATTCAGCCGTTTATATCTCAAGGAAGACTGCACCGGGCGTCTCGCTAAGTTTGATTGAGGGATTTTTCTCTCAATTTTCACATGGTTTGGTTCGAATTGCAATCGATATTTACAACATCTGTCTATCAGGCTTGTAATATGTCCTACCCCATCCATTTCACTAAAATTTCAGGTCATATTACTTGCAGACAAAGCCTTTCTTCATCAGCCCTTAAGCAATTGAGGTGGATCATCTCCGTTGTGGTCTAGTGGCTAGGATTTGCCGCTCTCAATTCGAGAGTTCTCTCACTTGTAAGTGCCGGCAAGGCCCGGGTTCAATTCCCGGCGACGGAATTCCTCTTTTGCTGTCGTAGCGGAGTGCTACGACTTCTTTTTAGCCTTGTTTGTTGGCGTGGAAGAAATTTTTGATGATGGTGGAGGTGGTCAGGGCCTATTGTGGACCGTGCGTCAGCGGCCCGGCGGAGCGGGGCGGGGCGGAGCATGGCAATTTGGTGCAAGACGAGAAGGGGCGAAGCAGCCAAGAGGACGAGCCTCGTTTTTGTATTTGGACCCTTGTCCTTGGGAAAAGGGGCTATGCCGTGTTGGACGCAGCGGAAGCGGGTGCGCGGCCCGCGGAATCCGTAGGTGGGGACAGATCCCTGCTACTCACTTTGTAGCCGACTCTTTTTTGACGCGTCTTCGCGTGCAGACGCGTCCCACTTTCCTCTGTCAACGACGCCTGCGTGCCGGCTGCTTTCGTTATCGTGGTGCCATCCAAACGTGCATCAAATATCTTGACCAATACTGAAATTCAGCCGAATTTACGGGCAGCCGCAAACACGCCATTACCGCAAGACCCACACTTCATCTTTTCCCCACTCAATCACAGCGTTGCGGTAGTCTTTTGACCAAGACCGGCCGCATTTAGAAGCCAACCCATTATGAGCAGAACACGGGAACCATCCGTCACGTACTTCGACCCCAATGGCGACACACGGCTCCTTCTCAAACAGGCCAACGGCAGTCCCGATAAGAAAACCTTTGTCGTTTCGTATAAGACCATGTGTCTTGTCTGCGACTCATGGGACCGAATTCTCAACCCGACTGGATATTCCAGAGAAACAAGGCACGGCCACACGATCTCGCTTCCCCACGACGATTGGAAAGCACTGGAGATCATCCTGAACATCGCGCACCTGCAATTCGACTTAGTGCCGCGCAAAATCGACTTCCACCTCTTACTCGAGGTGGCCGTCCTGACTGAAAAGTACGGCGCAACAAAGATTGTGCGGCCTTGGTACCGAAAGTGGATGAAGCATAACAGAAAGCTTGGCACCGAACCCGGTCATGAAGAGTGGCTCTGGATCACCTGGGCGTTCGGGGAGGACCAGAAGTTCGAGAAGCTCACGATGAAGCTCGTGCTAGAGCTGGAAAAGCTGCCGGATGGTCGATTCGCACGCACGTCAGAGGTAGTGCTGGACCCCAACGATCCGGAACGCCATTTCCCGCCAGGTATACTAGGTATTTCAGGACTTCATCTTGGATTTTCACTTTCAAATTTACTAAAGGTTCACCAGAGAGCATCTTTGAGACTCGGGAATGGATCATCAACTACCTTTTGCGAGAAGTTGACAACGAACTGTGCAAGTATTCCGATGCAATATCAGAGGGTGAGACGGTTTGCCAGAGAGGTGGGCATTTCGCTAAAGCATGTGACGCTATGGTCTATGGGTCGCTGCTTTCTGAGCTGCACAGAATTGGAATGCAGCCGGGCAATTTTACCTCTATAGAGATGCCAGTGAGCGTAAATGAGATTGCCAACAGGCTCCTATCCATAAAGGTGATCGTGCCAGCCGGGCAATACCGGATGGTGGGCGACCGTCATGACCACTCTAATTGTTCCTTTTGGGAATCGAACATCCAAGCAACATGTGACAATATTCTCAGTACGTATCCTGGGACTACCGTTCGGGACTCACACAGAGATCACATGGCGAAGAGAAAAGCCGAGCTGCTTGGACGCTCTACCGACCAAAACGAAATTCAACACGGTCAAAAGCGAAAACGGAGCGCAATTTTTGAGGACCCAGTCAAAGCAGAGTCCAGCACAGCGGCTTCAGACTTTCAAGACCAGGACAACGAAGAAGAGGAGGATGAATCGGAGGAAAGTGGCCGTCGAATTCTATACACGATCAAGGGCGAGGATGGCGAAGATCATGAACTGACGGAGGAATACGATGAGGAAGGCTAAGATGCTACTACATTTCAGCAATTGGATGAGGAAGGTGTCGAAGAGTATTGTGAGGAACGGGGGGAGGATAGCAAGCCTGTAGATGATGATACGGGACCTTCTTGCAACACGTGGACTACAAGGCACACATCACCGGAACGGTATTAATAAAACATGACCGAGGGCTGATTCTTGTTGGTTGCTGGATAGATTGGGGTCTTTCTGGGACTTTGTTATTCAGGGCTAGCGAGCGGTTGCGGGCTGTTTCGTAGTACTGAGACGAAAAGAGAGATATTGTTCCATTTCACTGTCCTTTTCTTTAGGCTTCTCCGTTCTTCTGCCTACCTCCGATCAAGCATCCCAACAACAGCCATTATCCGGCGGATCCCGGTAGAGTTGGTTGACTTTGGTTTTCAAGATGTACTAAGTCTAGCTTTGTTTCTGGGTTCTGCCATGTCGTCGATAAGGTAAGGCTTAGTGATTGAGCGAGGTGCATCTTTCCGATGTTCGGTTTCAACTTAGCGCCCACGGCTTCGGCACGACAATCACCGAAAAAGCGAATACGTTCGCGTTCGCATAGGCGGTCCACAGGACGTAGCGCGTTTAAAGCACACCCATGCACGTTATTCAGAGGAGTATTCGGGATCCGCATTCACCTTCTGTACCCACTTCCGCTGTATTTCTGGACCTTTGGCTGTCTCATCTCCGAACCCTACTTGCCCAATAGCGGCTTTGACGCCGACAGATAGGAGACCCCCCACATCTATTCCCAGAGCATAGCGCCAATAGGGTCGCGGATGAGGGCGGGAACCAAGCAAAGGTGTTTGCGACTCTCCTAGATGCCAAAAGGCTAGAGCCCGCGCTGGCCTTCCCGAAGGGGACTAGCGTTACTTAAAATAGAAATAAACGCCCTGGTTACGGGGGTCAATCTTACGACACTTGGGTAGAATGCTGCTGAAAGCGAGCACAGCCGCTTCCTTGGGGCTTGGAAGAGCGGTCTGTGGCTTGGTCGAGGCTCTGGCGCCTACTGAGGGATGCTGCTCTGGCAAAGATTTGCTGACGACGGTTGCAATTTGGTTATCACGATGCGGCGGTTTCACTTTGGATGGCGCTGGCAGCGGCTCACCCCTGAGCAGAGCCGATCATGATGGACGGGGCGTGTTATATACTTATGGTGTTCTGTCGGTTTGTTCATCGTTGTTGCTGCAGTCATTCCCTTCACTCCTTTTTCCCTTGCTTGGCGACATTCAAACAACATCACTCTTTCACGGCACTCTTTTCCCGGATCATCCAAATACAAGCGGCACGACTATTCTGCTTTTACATTCTCTTGCGGATTACAAAGAGCGACAAAACTTTCCAGGCTTACATTGCAGCCCCTTTAACATACACTTAGTCCTACCAACTGTACGTACTCGCTTTAACGCACAGCAAAGCGTTTGCTAATCAAAGAGAACAGAGAATCCCATATCCGCTACAATGTTCGAGAGTACCTTCCTTAACATCCTCATGTTGTTCCTTGCCTTCACCATCGGCATGGGCGCAATCTTGGCAACAGTACATTTCTGTGGCGTTGCTCGTAGGGGGTTAAAAGAAAAGAAAACTACAAGCGAAGTGTAGCAGGCAACCTGGAGGTGTCAATGGGGTGAAAAGGCGTTACTACGGCGATGACGATCACATATTTCCGTTTTCACAATCATGTTTTAATAAGACGGGATACGCATGGCGCAGTTGTATACGGAGGCTATTTTCTCCGGGAGTCGGATACTCATGTCGAGAGAACAATTCGAGCTTAAACATTGTCGAACCATGCCTTTGTGCGCCGAGAGAGCACACCTCTCAATATGCATTACCATACGAAATACGAATCCGAACCGTAACTTACCCCGGGTGGCTGAATCGCGGTGTGATGGACGGCTCACTTCCGGCATGACCGCTACATTGTGGGTTGGGATCGGAACATACCACAGCGGCAAAACTACACACGAGTGTAGTTTTCGGTGTTTTAGCCGTCTACGGAATCCATGTAGCTGTGGCTTGGGGCCCACTGGCGTTTGAGGGTTGCACTGCCGATCATTAAGACTGCGGCGCAGACATAGAAGATCTTCGCAAAAAGTAGATGAGTTGGCGGCTGCGCTCCCGCGAACTGCCGCGCTGAAGTTCCGCAAACGCCGCATGTAACGTAAACAAGACAAGCTGCTCGTAATCAATACCAGTCAAACAGAGAGTGATCAAGGCCAAAGGAGGAAAGGGAGCGGGGTGCTTGAGGAGCCAGCCAAAAAAGCCTGGACAGCCCGTGAGGATACTTTAGCTCAGCACGAAGAAGCTGGTAGTCAAGGCTTGGTGCAACTCAATCACGAGGGCGAAGATGACATTCAAGAAGACGATCAACGCGGGAGAGATGTCGAAGAGGCCAATGAAGTGTAACATGAGGATAGTCGGGAAGGAAGAGATGATGACTAATCTTCGCACGGTGAGGGTCAACCTGGAGAAGAAGACGGGCCTGTAACAGGAGAAGGGGAAAGAGAAGAGTGACTAGCAGTACTTCTGAAGTTAGTTAGCACAAAAGGGAAACTGAGGATCGTGCTGGCAGGCACCGGTAGGCCGGCTGCGTTTGCTACAACACGTTTATTGCCCGATTAGGCTTAGTGTAGTTTGCTTTGAACGCATATCGTTCAAACCCACCGTAGCTACTAATCGATCATCCTTCAACCTTCATCAGAAACCTATTATCAGGGTATTGAGGCGGGCACTACGGTGAATATGTTACACTTTTGTAGGAGTCAACGAGGAAATGGCTAATCAGGTAATCAATTGTCACTCGAAAATAGGCTCGAACTGTTGAAGTTCGCATTCGGGTTTTCGGAATCAATAGAGCCCGAGACGGAAAAGTGTAGCTCCGCTGGACAGCAAAAATTGCCATATTTCATTTAAACCTGCCTTGAACAGCCCTTACTTGAAGTCTGCTAATGCTGACCTTGTGGACAGTTGGACCAGATGAGCGGGGGGGAAGACCATTGACACAGAGACAGTTACACTTAGGGCCTTAATACTCAAGTTAGCCTTCCGCCGCGATACCCCTCTGTACTTTATTAGAAAATAATGGTTCGGATCTTGCTGCGGTACATCGCGAAACACGAATGATCCCTGTAAGTGGTGATGCAACACTCGGATTAAATATCGGACGCGTTAGTTTCGCGCCAAAACGCGGCTCCCCAACCCCTCTCCTCGCCACCAGTCATCGCGCCAGCGCCTGCCGCTTGTTCGTTCAGGCACGCCGAATTCTTCTTCTATACAACCACTGGCAATCTCTCACGATGGAATCGGGTGGCTCGAAGTCGAGCAACGAGCCAGCGGTGCTCTACTTCGACGAAGATGGAGACACGCGACTGTCGTTGACCCGGTGCGATCCCGAGCGCACATACGTCGTTTCATCAAAAGCCATGTCTCTGGTGTGTTCGGCGTGGAAGAGTATGCTTTCGCGCAACAACGGGTTCAAAGAGGGCACTCTGGTGGAAAGCAATTGCGCTATCCCGCTTCCAGACGACGACCCCGAAGCACTCGAGCTCCTGCTAAACATTGCGCACATGCGGTTCGAACGCATTCCCAAGACTTTGACATTTGATGACCTCCTCGCTGTCGCTGACTTGACGGAGAAATATGGGGCGGTCAAGATCCTTCGGCCATGGCTCAAAGATTGGCTCAAAGACATCGAGCACCTGGTTAAGGAGCCTGGGTATGAAGAGTGGCTCTTCATCGCATGGGCATTCGGAGAGGAAGAAATATTCACCAGACTGTCGAATCGTTTGGTCCGGGAGGTTCACCTCGTCAAGGACGGAGAAGAATGTATGACACCCGGCGGAATATTTCTGAATACATCATCAAGCGATGGCAGATTATTTCCACCGGGAATTATTGGTAAGCCTCAATAATGTGTTGCTCTATCTGAAAGATAATGGCTAACTACACTCCAGAGAACATCCTCGAACATCGGCTTCGTGCAATCGATGAAATGCTTAGGTGTTGCTACTCCCACATGGGCGAGTTCATGAATATGCATAGAAATGATCCGAGAAAATATGCATGCAAACATCGTTATTCTTGCGGGTGGGAAGTGGTGGAAGCCTGTGAAGCCTTGACATTCGGGTCCTTTGTGCTAGCATTCCGCAGAATTGGCCAACAAGAGGTCGGCGTTCAATTCACGCGGAAAAAGGTGACGGATGTGTTCGAAAGCTTTGAGGAACTTGAGAGATGTTTCCAAAAAATGCCGATTCGCAATCTCGGCAAAACCCCTCGTGCATCGAATGGCCCTGGCCACTACGACCATTCCCACTGCGCACCCGAGCTAATCCGGAACCTGAAAGATATACCAAGCCTTGTGGAACATTTATTAAACCCCGTGGACGAGTCTCACCGTAGCCACATGGAGCAAAGACGACGCAAGCTGAGACAGACTGTCCAGTCGGATTTGGAAAATCCCGATCAACCATGCTCGAGTTCAAGGAAGAGGCGCCGTCAATAAGCTATAGGAAGGTAATGAAACTCCATAACGCCTTCTGTGTCCTGTATGTACGAATGGTCTCCTAAATAGTGGGCCAATCATGTTCAATTGGCTCCAATTCGCCCTTTCCCCGGAATACCTCCAGGATGTCTGCTTGCTCCGGTAGCATATGGCGGTCAATATGACATCCTATCCGTGCAAGGCCCCTCCATCTCTCAAAATCTTTCGAATTACGTTTATCACCATGCGCCTCCTCCGCATGCTCCCAATGACCTGCATGTATCATTAGCCATTTATTTCTTTTTAATCACAGAAGCTGTTTTACCTTTCGAGAATGCAATCAACGTGGTAATCTTCTTGTTCGGAATATCGTACACCAGAGATACGATCGTCCCGGTTTCTGTGTTCACACGTATCAGCACCGTTCAGCTTCTGGATGAAAATTCTCTGCACCTGCCTTCCAACCAATTGCACTGCCACAGCTCGCCGGGGCGGATGCACTGGAAGCTGCAAGTCTGGTAATTGACGCGTCCTGCCATCGGACCGCCATGGATCTTGTAGACGACGCGGTCCTATCACGTCCTTATCAGCGCACCGCCGAACAACCCCTGGACGCCACCTTCCGCACCAATCACCACCATCACCTTATCACCAGCAAGGGCTTACCTCCATCTGGAACCAGATCTCGTATCTCCACTTCTCGGGGTTTCCGTGCTCGTCCTGGGCATTGTAGTCGTAGACCATGTGCAGGTCCTTGAGGTCTTTCTCCCAATGCGCTCTCGTCTGGGCGTTCATGATTTCGATTTCCCTTGCTCTTCTCTTCGCGATAGCCGAAAATGGTCGAGATCCTTATCTCTTCACTATCCGTATCTTTCAAGCGGCAATATCTTCCGATCCCGGTCGTTGAGGGAAGGCGTCAAGGTTTCGATGCGAGATAGACGATATATGTATGTATGTCGCAGATCCACGGAGTCTCAAGCCGTCCTCCCGCCACCAACGCACACATATATATACCAAGCTTCCCAACCCCTGGCGCCATCATCAGGCTTCCCGCAGCAATCCCGAGGACCCGGATCACGGACGATATGACGAAAAAGTCCCGCCGTAGGTTCCAGAGCACATCTCCTGACGTCACACGATTTTTTGGCCGGCGCAGGGCCGAAATACGGAGGAGCCTCGATCTCTCCCATTTGTGATCTGGCGCCGCCACACCCGCACGACGGCCCGACCGCCGCTCGAGGAGGACCCGCTTGCCAACAAGTGCCGAAATCTGGAGCCGAACTCTATTGTCACTCCACGGGGAAAAAGAAAAACGTCGTGTTGTTTCGTCAGATGGTGCGGTGTTTTTTTTGCTTCGCTGTCGTCGGAAGGGCGCAGCGAACTCGGCCGAACGCGACACCGAGCTGAAAAAAAAAAAAGCGCAAGCAAGGGATGATATTCGGATCGCGTGTTGAAAGAGCGACGGCCGTTGCACTATCTGGACACATGAGAGGCGTGATTGAGCATGTGGTTGAGGCTACCTGCGCCGGACACTGACTCGTTTCCTTTTCTCGCGATGTCTCGCACGAGCGCTTGACGCAAAATTTTGCGACCCTTCACCGCAGCGATGCAGGACGCCAGCACAGGTCCAACACGACTGCCTACAATGATATCAGAAGCCGCAAGAACAACAACGCAACCTGATGACAGAAGTCAAAACGTGACCACAAGTGGGACTCAGCAACCATGTGTCCTCACAAGGTGGAGTCAATCGTCGGGTCGCCCACCAGTCGAACAATCACAGCTCATCAACCACGCGCAAACCTTCATCGAACCAAAATATAAATTACGAGAATCTGAGAGATACCTGTTCTCTATATACGTCATCATTATAGTCATCATATCTACTGTGTACGTTAACCACCCATCCCTCAAACCGCCCCCACCGTCCTCACCTCCTCCACCCTCGCCCTAACCGGCTCCTTCGCCTCCGCCCCAACACCACCACCAGCACCGCCCTCCTTCCTCACCCTCTTCTTCCCCTCATTCGACTCCGGCGCTGGCTCCGCCGGTCCCGCAACAACGACCCTCGCCCCCACCGGCCTCACGCGCTCCCACACCTCCCTCACCTTCGCCGCGCCAACCTCGCTCCCCGCCACGACGACCTCCCACGGCCGCTCGCGCGCCGCGAGCCCGAGCACGACGCCCGCATCGTCGCAGCGCGCCAGCAACGCGTCGACGGCGTGCTGCTTCCCCTCCGCACCATCGCCATCCCCCTCGCTCTCCAGCACCACGACGACGCTGCCCCTCGCCGCGTGCGCGAAAACCGCGGCCAGCGCATCGTCCATCCCCCCGGCACTCGTCGCAGCCACGACGAAGATGTGCGCGAGACGCAGGCGCGCGGCGTCGGCCGTGACCTCGACGGTGCGGTGCGGGTGAGCGTGGAGGGTGCGGGCGCGGGCGAGGCTCTCGCCTGCCGAGGCGTCGAGGGGCGTGTAGACGAGGGTGCGGTGGGAGGCGCCGAAGGCGGATGCAATTGTGGTATCATCAGGGCAGCCGACGAGGGCGATGATTTCGGGGTGGAGGGAGGAGGCAGGGTGCGGGGGGCGGAGGGTGGTTGGGGGTGGGGCTTCGATGTCGGTGGGGAGGGTGGCGGTGGTGGTGGTGGTGGTGGGAACGGGGGTGGCTTCGTCGCTGTCGTCGGTGGAGATGACTTTGCGCGTCTTGCCCCAGCCGAACGAGTCCATGTTCCAGACGGCGTAGAAGAGGACGGTGATGTTGATGAAGGGGCCGCAGAAGACGTAGAGGCAGCAGCCGGCGAGGTACTGGACGCGCTCGCGGAAGGTGCGGGGCAGCCAGAAGGTGATGCAGAGGTAGTAGGTCAGCGGGGTGACCATGACCGAGGCGAAGGCGAGGATGATCCACCACGGGACGACTGGGAGAAAAGTTAGTGATATGCTGGCGAGTGGGGTTGTTGCTGGCGGGGGACTTACCCAAGATGGAGTGGATCAGACTGGCCAGGCTGGCGAAGATGAAGACGTTGAGAGCCCAGGTCATGCAGTTGGCGAAGGCGAGGATGCGCTCCCACCACTGCACGCCGGGCGCCTTGAAGAGGAAGAGGTCGTTTGACGTGGCGCCCAGCGTCCAGCGGCGGCGCTGCGACAGGAAGACGGACCACGACTGCGGCACGTCGGTCATGGCGCGCGCGCGCAGCGCCTGGCGCGTCTTGCTCTGCGGCCGCGCCGACAGCATCAGGCAGACGTGGTTGCGGTCCTCGGACGCCGTGGCCCGGATCTGCTTGATGATGTTGTCCGCCGGCGTCGGGCAGTACCCGAACAGCTCCACCAGCACCCGGTCGCCGCACGTCTCCTCGCAGATCTTGAGCAGCTGGCAGCAGCCGGGCAGACAGGACACCTTGTTCGTCACGATCGACTGGTGCAGACGCCGCAAGCCCTGCGAGATGGTGTACTCGGACGACTGATACAGGCTCCAGGGGTTCCAGTTGCGGTTCTTGAAGTCGACGGCCACGTAGCCGCACACGCCGACCGTGTTCGGGTAGTGACTCTGCTTCAACAGCTCCGAGATGCAGTCGTCGGCGAAGACGGTGTCGGCGTCCATGCCGACCAGGTGCGAGACGTGGTCGATGCCCGCGTCCTCGCCCAGGAACATGGCCATCTCGGCGAAGAAGGCGGGCCGGAACAGCATCTGCGGCTTCTCGGCCCGCGTGTTGTACTTGTACAGGAACGAGCGCAGCGCGATCAGCCCGTCGCGCTTGCCCTGGTTCTGGTGCTTGATGATGCAAAAGTACGGCGTGCCCTTGTAGCTGCCCTTCTGCACCGTCACGTCCATCGGCTGCTGGTCCCACGCCGTGTACGCTTGCTTGACCACCTTGCGCTCCGTCTTCTCGACGAGGATGTCCTCGAGCAGATACTGCGCCGTCGTCTTTTCCATTCCCGCGCCGCGCACCCGGCCGTCGCAGATGATCATGATGGCTCTCTTGTGGTTTTCCAGGTGCTTCTGCGCTACGAGAGAGTCGAGTGATTTGGTGCACTCTTCCAGATTCTCGTTGTAGCAGGGCAGGAGGAGAACGAGAGATTCAGGTGAGGTGGGCATGATGACCTTTTCCGGGAAGATGCGGTGCTTGATGGTATGGAAAATGATGGAAGCGACCATGATGCAGTTGAGGGCAACGGTGAGTGTGATGAAGGGAAGGTACACGTAGTAATAAGCCGGCCACCACCAGGTGGCAAAGATGAGGATGAAACTAACCGGCGTTAGACTGTTCTGACTGGGTGTTGAGAAGAGAAACTCACTTTGCACAGACCAATCCACCCGTCAGCAGCAGCTTTTGCTGCGTGATCATGCGCCGGCCCAGTTTGCTGAACTCCGGAGATTGTGCGGGCCGCGTCTTCGCAACCATCTGGTTGCAACAATCCGCAAGTGCCTGGAAGCGTTCTTCTTTGGCAGAAGCCACTCCCGTGATGGTCGCCACATCCTGCCGCGACGAAGCTGCAGAAGGCGTGCGCGGGTGAGATGCCAGCGGATTTTGCAATTGATGGCTCGGATGCGGCGCTGGCACCGTAATTATCTTTCTCGGCTCTTCAATGGCAAGAGGAGGGATCTGCGGAGCTGGCTCCTCGTCTCTCTGGATCTCTTGGTGAAGCTGACTTCGCGGATTCGGGACTCTGGCAGGAGAAAGATGCCGCTTGCGCGGATCAAATTCAGGCTCAGGCTCCGAGTCCGCGACGGACGACGGGCGTGTTGAGGTGCGGGTGGTCTGCCATCCTGAAGAAAGATACTCGTCTGGGGAAGACACAGAATCATCATGGCCCGAGAGAGATGCAGAAGATGCAGCTGAAGAAGAGCCCCTTGTGTATACAGGGATGGGATATGACAGCTTGGGATCGGCTTCAAGAACCGGGGGCCGCCATGTCAAGGCGGAATCGGGAGAGCGAGCGGAAGGCATTGGCAACGATTGACTGACCAGCAGGTGCTTGGTCGACGAGATGAAGACCCGGTGTCCCAAGAGGAGCAGCGCAAGGACAGTCCGCCGCCGCCAGAATTTTATAGGGTCAAAACTTTTTTGGCCAAGGAGACCAGGTGGGCTCTGGCAGCCGGAAGTGGGTGGAGGGGCGAACGAGCTTCATGGCTAGGACTCAGTCTGCATCCAGCCACCGCTGCATTGGTGCCTTCTGACAGCACTACTCGGAGCTGAGCTGACGGGTCACGGAAAGGGCACGATCATGCGCCGAGACAGCATCGCGAAATGCTGGGCGAGTGGGCCGGGAGGTGGCTTGGAGCAGGTGGCAGCTGCAGCTGCAGGCCAAGAACAGCAGTTGGTAGCCGTTGGGACGCGTCGGGAGCCGTCCAGCCACGTTCGTTGCACCACGTTAGCAGCCGACCGGCTTGGCGAGCTTCTCTCCGGCGCCGATGGATCCCTGCCGGAGAAACTGCAGAGCACGCGCTGCTATTCTTGTCGGACTAATCCGCAGCTGACCCCGCCTCCCCTTTCGGCCAAGGTTGAGAATTTCCCGTCCCTGGCGCTTTGCGTGCTGGCTGCTAGCGATCTCCTCATATGACGTGCAGCACAGGGGTCTGCGCACTATTGACAGATGCATATTGCATCCGCGCCAGGTCCACCGCCGAAGCCTCAGCCGCGCCCTTCACTTGGGAGTCAGGCGTTCGGATATACGTAGTCGAATACGCGTAGGAAGACATATACATTTCGCCATGGCCGTATCAAATCGCCCTCACTCTCCACACTCGCCTCGTCTCGTTGTTTGCTTCCAACATGCTGTCCATTGGCCTCGCCACCTCAATTGTGCTCCAGCTGACCCTGCTTGCCGCCGGTCGGGCTGAGGCTGGCCCAAATGCCGCGGAGCTTGGCCATGCAGGTAGCCTTGTGTCAGGTACAAGGTTCCCGCTCGCGGCGAAAGACGTAGCCGCTGCTTCTCCACCAATCGACCTCGGGCTCGATCGTCGCCAGAACGCGGGCGACAGCTGCGGGCCGACCGCCGGAAATGCCTCCTGTGGCGCCGACCTCTGCTGTTCTGCTGCTGTCCGTCTCCAATATACCCAAATGAAAAGCCCGCCGGCTAATCAGCGCTTCCTCTGCAGGGCCTTTGCGGCACCGGCCGCGACTTCTGCGACGCTCCGGCCTGCCAGTTTGAATATGGGCCGGCCTGCGATGCGAACGCTGTGCCGTCCGGGGAGAACACAACCTCGGTCCCGAGACCCAAATTTGGCAGCGTGCTGTGGGGCGGCGGCGGTGTCACCCAGTGCAGCGAGCCAGGTACCATCGCAATCACGTACGACGACGGCCCGTACATCTACACGTCCGAGTTGCTGGACATCCTGAACGACAATGGCGTGCCAGCCACATTCTTCATCACGTCCGTCAACCTCGACAAGGGGGGGATCGACAATGAGAGTACCGACTGGCCTGACATCCTGCTGCGTATGCGTGACGACGGCCACCAGATCGCCAGTCACACCTGGAGCCACCAGAATCTGAACGACATCACCAGCGCCCAGCGCTTCGATCAGATGGTCAAGAACGAGATGGCCTTCAGGAACGTGCTCGGCTACTTCCCCACCTACATGCGCCCGCCGTACAACACCTGTCTCAGGACGGCCGGCTGCGTCGACGACCTCGAGACGCTTGGCTACCACATAGTGAGTTTTTGCGCCGCCAATATTTCAATCTAATATATTCCTGATCAGCCGGTGCATAGATCAAGTTCAACGTCGACACCCTGGACTACGCCAACCTGACCCCGGACACGATCCAGAACTCCAAGGATATTTTCTCCAACGCCCTGGCCGGCGGGGATCCCGCCACGTCCAGCTTCATCGTCGGCAATCACGACATCCACCCGCAGACAGTGACGAACCTAACCCAGTTTATTATTGACGAGGGTAAAGCGCAGGGATATACCTTCAAGACGGTCGGCGATTGCCTTGGTGACCCCAAGGGCAATTGGTACCGCGACCCCGCGACGGGGAATGCCATCTCCGCCGCCGCTGCTGCTGCCAAGAGGGCGGACTCCGCATCATCCAAGAACCTGGTCGTCGCTAGAGCTGCTGGAGCCGCGTCCGCAGCGGCTGAAAGCACTGCTGCTGCTGCTGCATCTGCGTCGGCGTCTGCTACTGCCGAAAGCGGAAGTTCTGGCCTAATTGCTCTCGGGAAGAGGCTCGGTCTCACCGTTAGCCTCGTCAACGTCGCGTTTGCCCTGTTGTAGACTAGTGGTGCCGAGTTACATACATTACATTGCTGCGTGCAATGGTCACGTCTTTTCTGCTAGTTTGGTTCCACGTGTACGCGGATGGCTAGACTGTTGGAAGCACGGGCGCGGATGATTGGATAATAACTTAATTCGTAGCGCTGGGAGGAATCCTGGCATGCTGCAGCCTCAATATTCATCACCTTTTTTTTCCAAATACTCAGACCTCATCGCTGAAGAAAATGAGGTGATTCTTTGCTCACCGCTCCGCAGACGTGTCGTCAGCTCTATAAGCTAAGGGTCGGTGCGTTTCCCCGGACGGCTGGCTGCTTTGATTTTTGCCGGGGATATTAAAAACTCGGTAGACGAGCAGAAGCGTTGCTGGGGGTGACTGGGGGGCCTTGCTGCAGGTGTCCCTAAAGAGGAATCTGCGGAGACGGTTCTGCGGCAGTGATCGTCATCATTCGGGCGGCGGCTCAACTCCGATCCAACGGGTGCATCTGTTTCCCCCCGTACCCGAGCGAAAACAATGGCTTGTGAAAATTTGTTTTTTTCTTTCTACCCAATGACTTGGCAGAGCACACGTCGTGGGGCGAATGTGGGCAACGCACAGTTGGGTATTCTCGTGCAGGCTGGAGGATGCAAAGCATCACACATACATATTCGCCCACATTTTCGTCGCATCTGAGAGGCTTTTCCTGACGTATCGATCGTCAGCCCCCACCGGCGGATGCGTACAACAATACGAGACGTCGACCCCGCTGGCACTTGTTCGACTCCAAACAATACGAAATGGCCACCCCCGCCGGCAGCCCGTTAAGTCCGGTCGATTACCCGCCCGTAGTCCCCAATAGCAACACGGCAGCAATCCTTCGGTCCGCCGATCCCCCTCTGCCAGGGCCAGGGGCTGCACGCTGACTGGCCAGCTGACTTAGGCGGAATTTGTATAATATAGATTCGCTCGGGATCTCTATACGCCTTAAATTTTTCCCGCTTTGGCGCGTGCACGAATTGTCCGCGTGCGGAGACGGGACAAGGGTGTTTTGCGTGTCTTAACGGCGGCGCAATATGCCGGATCTGCTGAGGCTCGGCCGGGGGATTTTCCATTCATCAGCCTTGTCGATGGCGCGTGAACCCCTTCTCTCTGATGAAATTAATGAACGAGCAGCCGACACCGGACGCGAGATCCATTGCAGAAAATCCCAGCGTTGCGGAAGGACGCGGAGACGCAGCTGCCGTGTTGCCTTGTTACGAGGGTAGCCCCTGGGATGTCTACCTCTGCGTCCTTTTCCCGCCGCCTACCGAGCTAGCCACGCGCGGGCGGGAAAGGCAACAGGTTTCAGGTGACTTGGCGAGGCTTGGCTGCAGGCGCGAGCTGCCGTCTGGCTGACCGGGGGGGGTTGCGAGTTTTCGTAGACATGCACCCCGCCGACCACGAAGGGGAGCTTAACCGAGACACAAGCATCTCGAGCCAAGCCTTTTCCCCCGCCAATTACTGCTCTCCCGCCCCTTGACTGTTCTTTTCCGCTTCGTATACACACGTCCCTCCCCCCCTGGCCCTAGCTCCGCTTTTTTCTTAGCTGCAGAAACTACCAGCCTTCCGCCGACGACGTTTCTCTCTCTTTCTCTTCTGACTTTTCTCCGCCTCTCTACAGCAAACCCGCTGTGGGGCCTGGCTCTTCTTGGCTTGCACCCGTCGTGCACGCCCTACGAAACTCCTTCAGGCCGCGTGCTGCTTGCTATATGCAGGTCTCTCAGATGGCGCTACTCACTAAAAGGTGACGGGTTCCGCCCAGCCGTGACTGACGCGATCATCGGCTGGAAGCTTTGCATCATTGTGCCTGGACTGCTCCTCATCCCCCCATGCCGTCCCCGTTTCGGTGTCATCCATCCAGCAGCCAGCATCAGCAACCCGCCGCACGGGGCTCAGCTACCTGCGGCTCAGCCCAGCTTTTTCCAATATTTCTTCCGCAAGAGAAGGAGGGAGCGAAGGAAGGCCCAACCCGACGGCTGGATCGTATGCAATCGGCTCTAGCGGGATCATGTCACCTCACTGCCACTTGTCCCCATCTCCGGAGGGCGGGAACGCGCGGGCTCGGGGCTTGAGGGGTGTGGTAGCTGATGCAAGCGTGTTGTCGACGTGGGAGGATGCATTGGAATTGGGCACGCAGCTCTCGGCGCAGCCCAGGAGAGACCAAGACAGTTGCTCCTTCCCTACCAGCGTGGCCCAGACATGCTTTAAAAGGTCTGAGCCCAGCGCCGGGAAAGCGACGAGGAAGTGTCTGATTTGCGTCTCTCGCTGCATTTCTATCTGTGCGGTGTCTCTGCATGCCCTATCTCCCTTGCTCCTTTCATTTCTATCTTGATACGATCGTTTCCCGCATCACTTCTCCCCCCTGAACACTTGTAAATATGCTCCCCGAACTCCCCACCCCACCAGCCAGCGTGGCTCCACCGCCTCCCTGTGACCGCATGCAAGACTCAGTCGGCGTGTGGAGCTCTCTGGGGCCCTCCAGCACCGCCGACACACCGCCGCCAGAGTCAGTGAACGAGGAGTTCTTCCACTCCGCCTCTGAGCTCGAACCACTCACACCCATCTCCGCTTCCGAACCGCCGCTCGTCGCCGTCATCGGCGTGGGCTACGTCGGCCTGCACCTGGTGACGACGTTCGCGGCCAAGTTCAGCGTACTGGCGTACGACGTGTCGAAGGCGCGGTTGGAGAGCCTGGCGGACGACATGGCAGCCTACCCGTCCGTCACGCTGACGGCCGACCCGGCGCAACTGGCGCGCGCCACGCACTTCCTCGTTGCGGTGCCGACGACGCTGCGGCCCGAGAACAAGCGCGAGATCGACACGTCGTTTGTGCGCGCGGCGCTGACGACCGTGGGGACGTATGCGCGGCCCGGCGCGACGGTTGTCGTTGAGAGCTCTGTCGGCGTGGGCATGACGCGCAAGCTGCTGGGGAACTTGATGAGGTCGCGCAATCTGAAAGCTGGGATGAGTCCTGAGGTATGTTTTTTTCTTGCTGTCACTCGGTTCCTCCCTTATGTATCCCCCACACCCCACCACTCTACCCGACGACCACCCACCTCAACCTCCACACCAACCACTAACCTCCTCCGCCCCCTCCACACAGCGCGTCGACCCGGGCCGCACCGACCCCCCCGTCTCGACCATCCCCAAGCTCATCTCCGGCCTCGACGACATAACGCCGCACTCGCTCTCCTCCATCCACGCCCTCTACGCCCGCGTCTTCGCGCACGTGGTGCCCGTCTCTAGCCCGGAAGTCGCCGAGATGACCAAGCTGTACGAGAACTGCCAGCGGATGGTCAACATCGCGTACGCGAACGAGATGGCCGACGCGTGCGCGGCGCTCGGCATCGACGCCTTCGAGGTCGCGCGCGCGGCGGCGACGAAGCCGTTCGGCTACGCCGCGTATACTCCCTCGCTCGGCGTGGGGGGACACTGTATACCGGTGAATCCGTATTACCTGCTGCAGAGCTGCGCGTTTCCGCTGCTCGAGCAGGCGGCGGAGAAGATGTGGAGGAGGCCGGGGGAGGTGGGGGATCGGGCGATGAGGGAGGTGTGTGCGCGGATGAGGAGGGGCGGGGAGGGGGAGAATGGGAGGGGGAGGGAGAGGTGGCCGCGGGTGTTGGTGGTGGGCGTGGGGTTTAAGCCGGGGCAGAAGGTGTTGAGTTGTAGTCCCGGGATAGCGCTGATGAAGCATCTGTTGCAGGAGTGGGATGTCGACGTCGTGTTTGCGGATCCGCTGGTCGGCGAGGAGCAGGTGCCGTTCGCACCGAGGCTGGATGTCGAGAGGGAGTGGAATGTCGAGGGGCTGAGCGGGTTTGACTTGGTCGTCGTGGCGATAAGGCAGCATGGACTGGACTTTCGGGTGTTGGAGCAGTTGGAGGAGGGGGTGGTGAAGTGGTGCTGTGCATGATGTGGTGGATAGATAGATCGGGTCTCTCTCCTTTGGAATACTTTTATTGTCTTTCTACGTACAAATAATCTTGCAAGTCCTGAGTATATCTAGTTCAGAGGAATGCAAAATCTTCCGTGGCTTAGATGAAGCAAAGTGTAGTCTATTAGTTCAACCATACAGCCCCTCATACCCAGCCCGGAGCAAGCTCCCCTCCCCCTTCTTATCCGCGACCCCGGTCCAATAAAACAAGCCCCCCAGCCCCCTCTCCCTCACATACCTCGCCTTCTCCCGCACCGTCCTCGGGCAATCATAACTCACCCACTCCTCCGCCTTACCTTCCTCTCCACCCCCACCACCACCCACCCAACAACTCGCCCCCCAAACCTCCTCATCAACCACCTCCTCCGCCCCCTCCCTCGGCAACTCCCTATACTCGACAACTCCCCCGGCCTCCCCGCCACACCCCACAAACGCCTCCCCCGGCCCCCGCACGCCCAAAAACGACCGCCCATAAACCGGCACCCCCAGCACCACCTTCCGCGGCGGCACACCTTTACTCAGTACATACTCGACCGCCCCATCCCCCGACCTCTTCGCATACGCATCGTACGGCTCGCTTCCCGCGAACAGCCTCGCGTGGTGCCCCGCGCGCCCGGCCGTCCAGGACCCCGCAAAGTCATACGCCATCAGATTGACGTAGTCCAGCACCTCCGCGACGGCAGCCAGCGGGATGTTGCGCAAACACCACTCCCCCGCCGGCAGCGCCGCGCTGAGGACGTAACGCGGCGCCGGCAGGGCATCGCGTAGCGCGCGGAGGAGGGCGAGGAAGTGCGTGCCGTCGGCGGGCGAGGCGGGGTGCTCCCAGTCGAGGTCGACGCCGTCGAGGGCGTGTAGGTGGACGAAGGCGGCGAGGGAGGTGGCGAGGGTGGTGCGGGCGGTGGGAGAGGAAGCGAGGACGGGGAAGGGGGCGGAGCCGCTGCCGCCGCCGAGGGAGAGGAGGAGTTTGAGGTGTGGGTGGGTGGTGGCGCGGAGGTGGGTGAGGGCGGGGAGGCAGCCGGGAGGGCCTGGGGGGATGGGGTGGTGGAGGTCGGCGTGTTCGTCGAGGTGCTGGGTGAATTAAATTAAGATAAGTGATGTAATGTGGAGAAGGGGACTTACGTAGATGGTACCGTCTTCTCTTACGCTGTGGTGTGTTATTGCGGGGACTTTTTGGTGTTCTTTTTTCTTTGGTGTTTGGTTTTTTTTTTTTTTTTTGGTGTTTGGAGTCGCTTACCGTATGAATGCGTAGTACACGTGGGTTATGATGTCCAGGTCCATGCACGACGGTGGCTGTTTCCTGTAGATCTTCCAGCTGGGGTAGTATGCGCCGTGTACGAACGGACGTTGCTCCGCTGGCACGGGCCTCATGGGTGCTGGGATAGAGCAGTCGGAGGGCGCGATGGCTGGTGTCATGATGGCCGTCGTGTTGATCGTCGGGCTGGTGGATCGTGCGCGTGCGTGTCGGAGCGCGTGGTGAGTGTGAATGGTATAAAATGGTCGGTACAGGTTTCGGGAGCGTGCAGCTAGAGGATGTGGATTCGTATGAATGAGCTTGGCCTGCAGGCACGGCTGTGGCTTACGCAATCCACTCAAAGTCCGGAGGAGCGGGGTTTCACATATGCATGCATGCACGGCGGGAAAGTACGTACATCCGCTGCCCTAGGATTTTTTCGGGAGTAATCAAGCTCGTGCTACAAACCACGCTGTGCAATCGTGGCGTTTTCGATTCATCGGACCACGCGAAGAGGCATATATGACGTATTCCTGCACCTCTGCAAGCACCGCATTTGTGTTTCAACGTGGCTTTGCCGCTTTTCGGCAAGTGCTCAATCTGTCAAGCCTCGGCACGCGTTTGGTAACGTCAGTGTACCTGAATTTAGTTTATATGTTATCGTCTGTACGAACCTTCGCATTGACGTTCCAAAAGAAAGTACAAGATGCTGATCTACATCCGACAACTTCGGGTCATGACCCTTGGCCTTGGGTTTCAATTCTGGCACTTTCCCGAGCTCACAGAATTGGCACTTCGAAGCATGACTTGCACGAAAAAATGTCATTCGATCAGTCTCATCTTGCCGAGACAGCAGTCGATGCAGCGTGACTGCCGCGTAAACATACACATGTCTTGCGGTGCTACAAGCAACGGGAAATTCCGCTTGTCTCGCCACCAAGCTATCATGAACGGAAATTGCCAGGAACCGGTATGTGAGCTTCGCTTCTCTTGCACAACTTCTACCATTGGTAATCTGGGTGTAACAACGTCCGAGATATTCTGAACTCGCAAATGTCTCGCTCTCAACCGTGAGAATAATGATCAAAAAGAAAAGGTGTCCGCTTCTCACGCATCGTCCGGCATCCAATACAAGACTTCTGAAAAATCAAGGCTTTGCCTGCAGCTATGAATGCTATCAACAATTGCATTGAACCTTTTCCTTAACCAGAGTACTATCCAGCACTGGATGGGCTCTCAATCAATTCTTTCCGCTCATACTTGAACGGTATACGTCAGAGCGGAAGCCCGTAATAACTACAACACCCTCTCTATGTACTTGACAACTCTGTGGCCCTTTCCCTTTTCCAGCCTTCCCTATTCTCTGCTGGTAACTCTTGAACTGATTCTGCATGGAGCTCCCGAGGCGTTTCATCCATACCTAGCTGTGTTGTCGGATGAGCGCGGCGTCTTCTTCTCCTGCGGAGCATCAGGAAACCTCCGGCACAAGCAGCAAGAATTAGGAGGCCGCCAATCGAAGCCCCAACGCCAATGCCGGCTTTGGCACCGGTACTAAGGCCAGATGATGATGAGTCTCCGTCGTTCGCAGCCGCAGAGGAGGATGTTGTGCTGGTGCTAGTAGCGGTCCCTATACTTTCTAAAATGCTGGAGGTGGCGGTGTTGTCCCTGGTCGGCCAGGTAGGGTCGTCGGAAGCGCGGCGCACGATGATGCCGTAGGCGTAGGCAATTTCGCCGGCGCTGATAACCGTCGTGATGGCGGCCGTCTTGATCGACGAGCCCGACGAGCTGATTTCATAGCTGCTGATTTCCGTGGTCGTGGTTGCTGCAAAGCTCGACGTGCACGCGAGCTTCTGGTCGGAAGCGCGGGTCTGACGACAGCCCCAAGAGCTGGAGGGAAAGTGTGTGAGTGACGTTTCTTCTTTTGAAAAATGTAATGGAAGTCATATCCGTGAGTGTATGTACATACGTGGGGCAACATGTAGCTATCGTCACCGCTACATTGTCGATTGTTGCAGTTTCTCTGCAGGCGTCACTGTGTCCTGATGGGCAGATCCCGGGGGAGTAGTAGCTAGAAGGTGACCAGTCGTAACTTGTCGGTAAGCACGTGGATTGCGATGTGCCGGGCAGGCCCAAATTGATCCCGGTTAGACCTGACTCTGCTTTGAAACACAAAGAAGAGATACACTCGGGCGCAGCCGGGGTGAAAATGGTTGTCAAGGGCCCTATATTTACTGACATGGTCGGCCGAGAATCGATCAAAGAGCGGAAAGACGACGCACAAGACAGATGAAAACCTAGAAATGTGTAATTCTGCAAGACTTGCAGAAAAGATCCCTTATGACTAGAAGCCTCAGCTCATCTCACCACGTGCGACTGTGCCTGAGCCTGGATTGAGCTGACCTGCGCCAATCCCTCATACTCTTTAGCAGGGGCACAGCAGATCTCATTGGTGCGGTGCTTATCGATTACTTGGCAATGCTCCCTTGGCAGCCGGCCATCCGTACACAACCCAGTAAACACCAGCCTCCATTGAAGTGTCCATACCTCATGATTGGTCCACTTTGCAGCCTTGTCATCCCCACTTTCTACCTGATTCCTGCCCCGCATCGACTACAGACACCTCAACCCCCTGCATTGTAGGCCAGATGTATGTAAGCTGCTCATCAGCCCTATCTGGGGAAGGCTCTAGTACTGATCTCCACTAATTAATCACGCGCATCGCCCGCTACGCGTATTCATCATTTACCTCATTCGTCTAGTCCACGCCCTACTTTCAAACTGTTTTCGTCCTAACCCACTCATGTCTGCATTTAAAGTACGCCATACTCATGCATCTTAAGCAGCAAATTTCTTAAAGAGATTTGAATAGAGACCTGGAGCTGTAGGGCCTCCCGTGTTCCGCCCAGGTTTTCTTAATTCTCACAGTGCGCTCATTAACACGTCCTGAACTGCCAAGAACTTGGTATTTAACTTTTGGTACTACACTGTAGCTATGCTGAGTCTACATAAATCATTGCCTTCTAAAACATGTGCACTTCTCTACCAGACTTAAATGTCGCAGGGAGGAAATCCTGATCCGCATTCAAGTTTTCTACGGCCGGCTGGAGCTCTTTTGGAGTGTACTTCAAGACGGCAGCGGTCAACTGTTTGTCCAAGATGTCGGCCCTCAACTCGTAAAATTTCTCGCGCAAGGTCAGCGTCGTCAGCTGCGCCGCATTCTGCACCGCCGTCATGCCCAAGTCGACAAGATGCCCCAGCGACCCGTCGGCCGCAGGATGGGCCCCCTCCGCATCATCTCCGTGGCTAAAGATCAGATCCCTAGCCGAGCACATGGCCCTACCCTGGAGGTAGTCGCGGAGGATGTAGCACAGCTTGCGCTTCTTGCGGTTCATGTAGGCCACCCAGACGTTGATGAGGCCCGGCTCGGGGATGGCATCGCTGAAGTCGATGCGGTCCGTCGAGATGCGGTGGCCGTGGAAGTTGTGCGTCGAGCCGAGCTCGAGCGAGCAGAGGAACCAGTTGGCCCCCTTGACGTCCGAGAAGCGCGCCAGCACCCACTCGCCGGCGATGGCCTCGAGCGACTCCTCCTGGATGAAGGCGATCATGCGGCTGACCTTCCGCTCGGCTTCGGTGTGGTGGGCGGCGTGCTTCTCTTGCTCCTCGTGCTTCTCGTCCAGGCCCATGATGCGATCGCCGCGGGTGATCTTTCCATTGGCCGTTTTGAGAGGATCATCGACTACCTTCTTCTGGATCACTTGGGCGATCTTGAGCTGCTTCTCCAGTATATGCTTCTCGCATGAGAAACTGACCATGACTCTAGCGAAGCCGGTGCTGATGCTACACCAACCAGTGATCCTTTGCTTCGGGCTGACAGCCCTTTCCACTTGATCCCACAGCTTCTCTTCTTCATGAAAGGTGATGACCACACGCTGTATGTCGAAAACGCCCCGGATACCTGAATTGTTGACGATGATGGGGTTTGGCGAGATCATGGTGCCCGGTTCTTGCTGCTTGAGGTTTTGCTGGTCGTCCTGCTTGCACTCCGGCTGATCTATTTGCGTGAGCTGTTCCAGGACTTCTTTTGGAAGTGTGGGGACTCTTTCGAGCCTTGGTCGACCGTCATCGTCCTTCCCATTACGGCTTCTGATCTCGCGAAGCGAATTCTGGCTTTCCTGCAGGTATTTTTCCACTTTTTCAGTCAACTTTTCAATGGCAGCCTTCAATGACGGCTCATCAAAAGGATCGACAATCGTATCCGTAGAGCTCGGTGTCGGCGAAGCTGGGGTTCCGTCTTCCGTCTTGACTCGTTTGGAAGAGGGGCTTAGGTCGCCCAATCCGAATCTAGACCTCTTCCGGTGCAAACCTCCGAGAAGACCCTTCATGGGGTTCTTCGCAAGGTCCGCTACTGAATCGCCGAGACCCAAGACTCCATCACCGAGAAGATTCGCAGGCTTTTTGTCCTTGTTGGCCCATACTTTGCCGCATTTGTTCTCGACCCACTTGAGAATCCTTTCGAGGTCGTGCACCTGCGGGTCCAGCTCTTCAAAGTCAGCAGCGTAAATCAATTGGATGATCCCGATGATCCATTTCATGGGAAGATGTCGGTGGTGGTCCTGCTCCTTGAGAAACTTGATCGTGTTCTGCAGCATCGACGTGATTCTCCGGAACGTCCTCATCACCTCGGTTCGCTTGGTCTGCAGAAGGCTTGCCAGCCGCTTGTTGGCCATCGACTGCCCCTCGACTCGGTTTGTGTCGAATGCTTGAAGGGAGGATGGGTACAGCGACCGGCCGCGGATGTGGCTTCCCATCTGCCTACCCGTCCAATTGAACACCGAGACATCGTTCGACAAGGTCAGTGTTTCGTCAAAGAGTCGAGCCAAAGCTTTGGGCAGGCCTTCGGCGTTGAAAGTTGGGAAGCGGACTCCGAGCAAGCCCATTAGCGAGTACGCTCGATCGGTTTCGACCGTGGTTCTGCGGTTGCAAGCGAGCGACATGACCCTGTGCGTGGAGAAGTTGGTCCGCGCCGTTCCGCTCTTCCACCTTTCCAGTGTATCTATATTGCCAAATTTGGCAATATACTGCCTGTCTTTGATGATCCAGTCCTTCGTTTCCGCAACAAGGCATTGCAGGAGCAGGGTGATGACACGTCTCGCATCATCCTCTGGCCTGGAGCTTTTTTCCGTGTTGGGATAAATGTAGGACTCCAGACGAACGCTGAGGTTGTGATGCAGGCGCCATTTGTTGCCGTCTTCCTTCGTCACCTCCTTCCTCATCCCCCCAGCTGCGAGATAAATGGCGTGGCCTATCAATGGTACTGCTGTCTCCTTGTTGATGCTTGCAGAAATGCTGAATTCAAGAGCGTCGAGGATGGCGATCAGATGTTGCGCAGCATTGATGGCATTGACCTTCTTTTCCTTATCTTGAACATCTTCATCACCATCGTCGTCATCAACGGTAACAAATTTGGTAACCTAATAATGGAGTCAGAATCATGGGGGCGCATTCGGCTCGGATCTTAGAGTCTTACCTTGAGTTCGTGTTCCTTCACTATGCTCTCCCAGAGGCCTCGCAGCCCCTCGTGGTCTTTCGGCGCCTTACCACCCGTGTAGAGCTCAATGAATGGGCAGAAGAAGTAGTAGGGACCAAGCTTCTCTTGCGGTCTCTCCAGCCGTTCCCATGCGGAATTTACGTAGAATGTTGTCTTGCTCAAGACAAGTTCCTGCAGTGTCCAACCACGAGTGGACCAGGCCGGCTTCCCTTTGAGAATCTCACTGTACTTCTCAATGTTGGGGTCCGGCAGCGCAAGCTTTTCCTCTGTTGATTCCAAGTACCGCTTCCACTCATCATTCCATTCATCATCGCATGGGGCTGTGTCGAGGTGAACAAGACAAAAGTCAGCGTTGGTGTACCAATCACCCATCAGCGAGAGCGAATCGACAAGCTCGCCAAAGTCCGTCTTTTTGATGCAGCATGTATCGTTCCAGAGATAACGCTTTCCGCCCTCTTTGAGAGGAAAAAGTCCTTCTTTAAAGATGGCTTTTGCGCGCTCAATGGATTGATCAATCTTCACGGCTGACTTCCACCGGTTCATCAGCTCGTTGAGTCCGTCGACGGCTTCTCGAAGTAGAGTATTGTCCTCGAAAAACTGGGTTGCGTCTTCGACTTTCTTGCTGTCCTCGACCTTCTTGTCACGGTCGGCTCGCGCGGCGTCAAGAGCCTTCTTGGCCTTCTCCACTTCCTCACCACCAGGGTTCTTCTCTCCTTCACCTGCCTCGGAAAGCATCTTAGAGCTGCGTGATTGATGGCACTCGTCGGGCGAGACCTTCTTGACCATTTCCTTGGCAAGATTTTTAAACGCATCCGCCTCATTCTCAGCATGATCGAAATCTGCTTGTGCCTTGGTGAAAGCCTTGTTGGCCCACTTGAGCTGTCTCTTGGCCGACTTGACCTTGATGCGTTCTTCGAGTATTTGGCCGATGTCGAATTTGGATCGCTCGCCCTCGACACTCTGGAGCAGTTCCTTGATGGTGTCTTCCTTCTCCTTGATCTCCTCTCTGCAGAGGTTCTTGATCATGTCGACGTCGTTCTTCGCTGCCGGCTCCTTCGCTTTGATTTTTTCTCGGTTGCGCTCCTTCGCTTTTTCGACGTAGGCCAAGTCGACTTCGGTATCCTTCCAGCTGTGTGAAAGCATGCAGTATTGGCCGACGTCGTCAGGCTCCAGCCGCTCCACCATGTTGCCCGTGTCGATATCGAACATGCGCGAAGGGATTGACGGTGTTTGTTCCGAGGCTGGCGCGAACGCCTGGAAGCTGGCCTCTTCCGAGGGCTTCTTGTCGATGAAGGTGGGTTTGAATTTGGGTGTGAGCATGAGGTTCAGCAGTGCCCGCATCCTCTCTGGGTTGTTGGTGACGACACCCATGAGGGCCTCGCTCGAGTCGATCAAGTCGGCGGCTCGGTGCTTGAGGCCATCCTTGAGGCCGTCCACAAAATCCATTGTGAATGAAGGAGAGGCCCGTCCTGCGGAACTGTTAGCAGAAGTCGAGAGCAAATGTAGGTAAGGAACCTTACAAGTACCAATGACAGGGAGAATAGAAGGAATGGTGGCTCGGTGAACCGACGCACTAAGGAAGGCTGTTCAGCTCAAAAGCTACGAGCTGTGAGTATTAGAACGCGTGTTACAGCCTCATTTTGAATGGTCTGTTGAGCCTCATGACGGCTGATTGAGGATATCCAATCGGTGTAGGTTGATCACCGCAACCCTGAGCGACCAGGCAAACAGCATGTGGGACCAATGCATGTGGAGGCGTTCCGGGGGCCAAAACGGCCGCCGTAGCGCGGCTTCGAAGCACTACTCTTACCTTTGTGAGCCATAGCGTTGGTTTCTTTTTTCTATAACCGAGAGCTGAAAGCCGGGTATCACCGAAGAAGCCCCACAAACTCCGCCTCGAAGAGCCTCCGATGTGAAATCAACATCTCGCGTGCGGAGACCCGAGATCGATGCGTTGTCCTGAGCCCCATTGAGAGCTCACATGCCATCCAATCGCTTGCACTGATGGTTTCTCACCGCGTGGCTCAGCTTTCTGCCTGATATGCAGGGTTTGCGGTGATTGGCATTCGTGTATCAGTGCGCTCTGCAAAAATTGCCGTTCTCGCTCTGATCGGCGCACGGAGCTGAACTGCTGCGAGTCAAGCGCTTGGACGCTCGTCAATCACGTAGCTCGTCACGTTGACAACGTGCAGCTCTAGTACATGCAGCGCTGCCAGCAGATTGCAATTTGCTTCTGCAGCTACACCGATTATTCGTTTTTGTGACATCCACCCTCTTCTCCCCCACTGCTCCACCCTGCTCTCAGCTGTGTCTCAACTTCATCACCGCTTCTTCGTGTGCTTAATTTAGTACGGCTCAAGCAGAGTCGTCCGGTTCTCGGACCTTCGAAAATACAGCCTTCTTCTCGCTCGATTGTCAAGCCCAAGCCAGAACCCACGACTGTACCAATTTCCACCCTCACTGTTTTGAACCTTGACTAGCACAACATGGCATCCTATCACAGAGTACTCAGGGTCTTTGACAGGACTGTCAAGGACAAGAATGTCGAATGCGACTGGTGCGTAAAAGCCCTTTGCACTCGTTCAAGGCTGACGAAACCCTCCGGAAAGTGACATTCACTCCTGGGAAATCCTAATCAATGGCCAGCGCTGGTTTGGCAAAATCCGCCTGATTGGCTTCGTCGACGTCTTCTTCCTCATTTGCTACTCAACCAATGACCGCTTCGAGCACGGAATCATCATATACAGTACGTCCCATGCAGCTCATCGCTGCCACACGTCGTCCAACTTATCATTGATCCATGGAGGCTAACGACTAACAGAAGAGGACGAGGTCATCTGCGATACCCTCGTTGCTGCTAATAGAAGCGCCGAGGATCTAGGCCTAGATTTTGTGAATAAGAAGGAGGTGGAAGGCAAAAAAGGAGGTACTTCAAGTCTCGTTTCTAGTCGCGCCAACACATAATCAGCTAACGCTTGTATTTCTCCCACCACTATAGTAGCCAAAAAGTACTTCAACTTCATCGACGAAGCAGGAAACCTCGACTACATCATCACCAGTCTCGGACACGAAGTCGACCTGCGCACGGACTACTCGCCGTCAGAGCTGAGAAAGTTCGAGATCCGGCTTCGCAGGACCAATGATCCGCACTGGAAAGGTGTTTTTTTCCATTCTCGAACTGATAAAGACGTCGAAACAGCTAACACGCGGCCCCACCTACGCAGGACCGATTCACCGCGGTATTGCCCAGCATACCGTGCCGGAGCTCATGCACGATGCCATCCGCTACGGCATCATCTCGAATGCTGAAATGACGGCCCGGATCATGGGTCACTTTGCGGGCGGCACACATACTGAAGATACGATGAGGAAATGGGCGTCTGCCATTAGCGGCGGCAACGTGGGCCATTCGGCAATGGCGTGAGATTATTCGAAGAGACTGAGAAAGTGTAGGTAGCATCAGGTGCTTTATCTTCAAATTCTCATTATGTTATTGTTGTCGAAGGGAAAGGCGTGCGAAAGATTATTTTTTTATTTGAACTTCTTAAAACAAAACATAATACTGCCTGCAAAAACGAACTCCTTCACGATTTTGCTAATGAGCCTGTATCCCCCGTCGTGTGAAAGGCAATACCGCTTCATCTTGAATGTGTCGGATTACGGAAGTCACTAAAGTGCAACGCGCTCAGCTGCAGAGACCTTTCTTTCGTGTGAGGTGGATTTGATGAGATTCCTGAATAGGCGACGGAATTTTCCGGACAGTTTTTGCAACTTTGGACTGGAGCGCAGTCTGGAATGAAGTGCAAGACTCGTGATCGGAATCATCATCATCGCACTCGTAGATCTGCATGGATTGTACTTTCTCGGCTATTGTGTTGATGCTCTCTGTGATGCTGGCCGACTTTCTCCGGTCGATGGTAAGGCCGAGTTGTAGCAGTGTGAGGGCAAGAGAGCCAAAAACTAAAGCGTCGCATTTCCTCGCATTGGGTCCTTTGATGCAAAATCCGCTTGATAGCCCTGGGGTGTACGCTACGCGATACTGGTCGACGTATTTGTAGATTTCATCCAATATCTTGTTGATTGTTTTCGTTCGGGCCTTAGCTATGCTTTCTACCGTGCATGATATCATCAGTCTGCTGATTATCTCGCGGGGGGAGTATACGGCTTACCGAGAAGACCAGGAGGGGTTGCAATCTCTGGGTCCTGAAGATACTGTTCAAGGTCGTCGCTATCTTTAAGGAGCCACTGGACTGACCTGTTGAAGAGGTCCTCATCTCCGAACTCCCACCCGATCCAGAGCCATTTGATATCATGCCATTGTATCCGAGAGATTTTCAACGGTTCGATCCACTGTTTGATCCACGGCTTTACCAAGCTGGTAGCAAAATATTTGTCCGTCAACACCGCCACTTCGTAGAGTGCGTCCAACGACAAAGCACGAGGGACTTCGTTGAACTTCAGGTGAGCAATTCGCAGGAGAAGAGCCAGGGCATCAGGATCGTCCTCCATTGAGATGTGTTTTTTGCCCTCCGTGTCATATGATTCCCAGAACAGCCCACTGGGCGAAAGCATTTTGTTCCAAGCATCGCAGGCAAAGCTCATAGCTTTGGAAGAAGCGACGAACTGTGCGACCTTTTCTTCATTGTAAGGATGATGAACGAATATATATACGTCTCCGTCTGGATCAAAAAGAGTTGGATCCAACATTTGGTTTTCGACCATGCTTTGCTTGGGGAGAAAGTTTTGAAGTTGAGAGAAAGCAGAAGAAGACAATTTCGTGGACTGGATTGGAGATCGTGAAAAGTTTGCAGAGCTGTGCGGGGTTACAAAACTCGCGGCCAATGAAAAGTTGCCGTGAGCGGGATGTGGTTGAGTCCATACGTTAGACTGAGAGTACCAAGTGCGCTCCTTTAGACAGCTCAGTTAATCACGGGATGTGCAGTAAAAACTATTATAACTTGTATACCACAGCCAAAAGGGAAGCGATAAATGTCGTGACGTCAGGCTAGTCGCAGCGAGAACGCTAGCCGAATTTGGTATTTCAAGGGTAACTGTCCAGGATGGTACAGAACATTTCCACACATCGTCGCGCAAGAAAAAAAAATATTACCTTTGGATCTTTAAGTCTTAATATAAATCGCATCAGCTGGTCTCCTTGCCAGAACACCCTATCGCATTCCCGTTTGGCCGTCAATTTTACAAATTCCACCACAGCCTCCGCCCCAATTGAGAGCTCTTCGGCACCCTTCCTCCATGCACAGTCCCTCTATATTGCTTTGAAATGTTGCCCAGTGTACTTATTGTAAAATGGAAGCGGAGCTCCGACTTTGACCTGTCGGGAAGTACACAGTGAGCAATTCCCAGTTTCTGCAATAAATTTCCTGTGACTGGCTCCAGCACGTACAAAAAGGCAGGCTAGTATTTGTGCCATTTTTACGGCTACGTTCGAGATTTGTCTTTTTCCCTGGTTTCTTGGTGTACAAATGGTTAGTGTATTTTATAATGGCTGAACGGGACACTGTTTTGTGTGACAATGACTGTCTAGTGAATTAGAACCATCGAAACCGAACTTGGTGGATTCAGCACGAAACTGCTTGAGCCGGGAGCGGTGAGCTGTGACGTGGCTACACGCACTGCCTCGCTTCGCGGATCGAAGTATCACCCAATGGTTTTTTGATGCGTGAAGGTGAGTGGAGCTTTGCCTTTGCAGACGTGGCTGTGCTGTGGAGACATCTCCAAACCAAAAGAACGGATATGGACGTCTGAAATGCTCATACTTTGAGATCCCAAACTCTCACAGGTGTTATTGTTGTTTCTTTGACCTCCAGATTTCATCCCACAAGTATTATCAATCCATTTCACGTTAAGCCATGGATTGCTGCGGCATGTGCACCTCGCTTCCTAAACAAGTATTCGGAATCAGTCGGACTAGTCTGGGGACCTCGCTTCCCAGACAAGAAATCGGAATGAATCAGACTAGTCTATGCATAAAGAGACGCTGTAAACCTTGCAAGTTAATTCGCAAAGCATTCGATGATCGATATGGGAGCTTGCAGCAGTGGGATGGTCTTGTCCGGGTTGAGGTGTATCGAGGGGGTGTACAGGTGAAGGCGATGTTCTTGATCTGGAACTTCAGCGAAACACTGGCATCCCTATACATTTTCCCGAGGCCATAGTTAAGGCCATCATTGAGGGTATCATTGAAAAAACGTTTCCAGAAACTAGTCCACACTATCGATCTTCCTGGAAAAGACGGCTTTCATGATCAACGCTCCAAGAGTCCGATCCACCCTACGGCTCCTCCTGGAAAAGACACTTTTCACGATCCACCCATGATCGAACCAAGACGTGTACATCCACAAATGGTGGATCTCAGCCTGGCGCGGAAATGGATTTCGAATTGTCGAAACAATCATGGAGCGCAATGTTCACACAAAGACAGAACTTGGACATCACCCAATTCATTCAGACTCATCGACGTTCGACAGCAGTGTCTGTTCCATGGGTCATCTGAAGATGAGTACGTTGCCTTGAGCTATGTTTGGGGGTGGAACCCAACAGCTTATGGCGACACACGCCACGCTCCCAATCCTCCAACGCCCAGGAGGGCTGGAAGAACTGAAAAAGCAGCTCCCTGCTACCATCTCTGATACCATAGCTGTTGCGTCAGCCGTCGATATCAGGCACATATGAATTTATGCTTTATGTATTGTTCAAGATGAAAAGATTTCAAAAAACGATCAGATCGAACAGATGAACCAGATCTATAGCCATGCAGATATGACCATCATAGCTGCTGGAGGTTCAAATGCAGATTCTGGCCTTGCGGGGACAACCAAGAATGGACCACGGATTATTCAACAGGACTCATTCCGACACGGACATTGAGAGTATTTTATATTCCAAACGCCTCTGGAGAACGTTATCGGAGAGTCACGAGTGACAGCAGCAAATCAACATCCACATAGAATAAAAGAGACTGGACCTATCAAGAGCGTCTGTATTCAGTGCAAAACTTCCAAATGTTCGATTTAGACCCATTTAATGGCCACAACGAAAAGGATCCGATAGAAGCTGTCCCAAAAGGGCCTTTACAGCTCCAGAAGTTTTTCCAGATCCAGTATTGATGAATACTGCTCAGTCGTGCAGGAATAAACTGACGCGAGTTAACCTACGGAGAAGATGTCCTAAATGCCTTGTCCAGAACTATAATGGCTTTGAACTTAGAAGGTGGCTTTGTTTTCGGGATTCCGAGAGTATTTTTTGCTCAGTGTTTGCTATGGCAGCCTGTCACCACCGTGTCCAGAAGGTCACCAATGGACAGCAATCAAATCAATTCAAAATTCCCTAGCTGGTGCTGGTCATGTTGGATTGGGCCGATCTCCACGAAAAATTGCTATTCCCGCCAGAGCGAAGATCCTGGTCTTACGGATTTCTTCGACTACTTAGCGGAAGCGGTGCCTCAGACATACCGTACGGCACAGTTTGAGAAGCCCAAGGACGTTAATGAGTCAATTGAACTTACCTTCGATCTACTGAAGTTATCTCGCATCCCTTGGCTCAGACAAGACACTCCCTTTCTAACCGTGAAGGCGGAACTGGCACGCTTTCGAATTGCGCGATCTGTATTTATTGAGAACGAAAACATCTGTACTTCTTCGATCTTCGACTGGAAGCGCAAGCGCTGTGGCTGTGTACAACTACACAACTACAGTTACATGCCAGAAGAGAGGAACAGCCGTCTATATGACTTCATTCCTATTAGTAGGGGAGAAATCGAGACAAGGCGGCTCACCAGGTTCTTTGGGCAGTTCTACGAAGGGGATGAAGCGTTTCAATGGGCGGACCAGTATATGTACCGATATCAAAATGTGCTATTGTTGAGCTGGGATGACGAAGTCGGCTATCGAGTGGGACTTGGCCGAGTGAGTGAAGAAGCATGGAAGTCATCTTCACCATCAAAAACAATAGTGCGGCTTGGCTGAGATGGAATTGTAGTTAACGAGGTTAATAGTTCATGCTGTTAGGAACTTAGCTTCAATTTCAGAGTTTTCTCTTGCAGTCCAGAGACCACTTTAGCGTCTCAACGCACGAAATATTTTGTTGGCCCACCGTTCATTTGCCTTATTTCTTTCACAGAAGAAGAGGCATACATATCAGGTTGATTTGCTCAGTTGTAGTATAGTAAGAGTAGCTGAAACTATCGTCTAGATCCCATTTGTTCACAAACGTGCCGTACATTCATGTCCGAACGCTTCAACTATCCGCCATTTGGTGCAACACGAAGACCAAACTCGAACGCAACGAGATGACTACGTTAAAGCGGACCAAGTAGGCATCAGCGTCGAACGAGGCTCTACTAACTTACTAAAAATGTCACGGAATTTTAAGCAGGACTAAGAATTCACAAGTGTGGAAATCTTCATTGTTGTTATGTAGGAGTCGGCCAATCGGCCAATGACAGAGGCGCGGGACGGGCGGGTCGGGATCAGCGCGGGGCTGTTTGCGGGAGCCCATCACCACAAAGAAACCCCCCAAATAATACTGCCAACACCCTCGCCGCCCACCGCTCTGTATCGATCCCTACACCTTCCAGCATGCCGTACTACGCCGAAGCCGAGGAATGGAGCGATATCGAGCCCATCCCGCTGGACGAGGGTGGCCCCAACGCACTCGCCGCCATCACCTACTCGGACGATTATGACGAGGCCATGAGCTACCTCCGTGCCGTCATGGCCAAGAACGAGATGAGCGAACGCGCCCTGGCCCTGACCGAGGACATCATCGCATCCAACCCGGCCCACTACACCGTCTGGTACGTCTCCCACCTTCCCTTCCCCGCACCGCAAAAAACCACACCACCAGTTGCCCCACCTTGAATGCTGACCCGTCGTCACGCACAGGCTGTACCGCGCGAAGATCGTCCTCAGCCTCGAAAAAGACCTGCGCGAGGAGCTGGCGTGGCTCAACGCGGCGGCGCTGCGCAACCTCAAAAACTACCAGATCTGGCACCACCGGCAGACGATCGTCGACACTCTGGGCGACGTGACGGGCGAGCAGGCCTTCGTCGCGCGCATGCTGGCCAAGGACGCGAAAAACTACCATGTCTGGAGCTACCGCCAGTGGCTGGTGCGCCGCTTCGGCCTGTGGGCTGAGGACAGCGGCGAGCTCGAGGCCGTCGAGGCCCTGCTGCGCGAGGACGTGCGCAACAACTCGGCCTGGAACCACCGCTGGTTCCTGGTCTTCGGCAGCGACGCGGACAACTTGTCGCAGAAGAAAGTCTTGGATAGGGAGATGGAGTATGTCTTGGAACATTCCCGCAAAACAAAGAGGGCTGTAAGGAATGCTGATTCTTTCTTCTAGTTACGCCAAAGCTGCGGTAGAGCTTGCCCCTCAGAACCCGAGCCCGTGGAACTACCTCCGCGGCATTGTGCGCTACGCCAAGCTGCCGCTCTCGACGCTCAAGGAATTCGCGGAGCAATACGCATCGATTGAGAAGCCCGACGAGGTGAGCTCCAGCCACGCTCTCGACCTGCTTGCCGATATCTACTCGGAGGAGAGCAGCAAGGAGAACGCCGCAAAGGCCCTGGATCTGCTGGCTCAGCGCTATGACCCGATTCGCGAGAATTATTGGAACTACAGGAAGTCACTCTTGGACCAGCCCAAGGTTGTTGCGTGAGCAAGGTGGCTGCTGCTGAATAGTTCTTTGTATGATACCCCTCCTGCAAACCAGGAATTGCAAAACAATTTGAAGCCATGAGTTCTGATGATGTCTTGAGATTTATCCATTCGCAAAGACTGTATTTGTAACCGTAATCTGTTCTTCCCATAAAATCCAATACAACGCCAGTTAACCTAGGAATTCGCGTCGAGCTGTCCATTATCTATCCCGTTGACCATCTTACACATCTCTACCTGTGCCCCGGCGCAGTCGACTCGCTAGGCACGTCGGCGTTGCGCGGAATCTCCTTCTCCACATCCCCATACTCCTTCCGCCACTGGTGCAGCTTCTCCACCGTAACATCGTTCCCGCCGCACAGCACGATGACGACCTTGCTCTCCTTGGTCAGCTTCTTGCCCACAGCCTTCTCCAGCCTACCGTCATAGCACAGCGCGACGTTGACGCCGCACGCCATCTCAACCATCAACCTCTCATCATCCGCCAGCCGCCAGCACCCCATGGCCGCCTCGCGATCATCCAGCACGACGCTGCGCACATTCTTCCTCTCACGCGCGAGGCGGAACGTCTCCTCGCTGACCCTCCTCGCGCCCAAGCTCTTCGCCTCACTCCCAATCTTCTCCAACGACACCAACTCGCCCGCCTCCAGCGCCGCCGCCAGACTATGCGTACCGCGCGTCTCCATCGCGAGGACACTACACTCTTCACCCCACCCGACGGCATCCATGGCCGCACAAACGCCATTCAACAGCCCCCCACCACCAACCGAGCAAACAATGGCGTCGGGCGCGCCGCGGCCCTCGCCGCGCTCGGCCATCTGCGCCGCGACCTCGTGCACGACGGAACCGTTGCCCGCCCAGATGTCCGGGTGGTCGTACGGCGGCACGTAGACGCCGTAGCGCGGGTTCGTGGGGAGGATGTGTGTCTGGAGGTACTCGCCCGCCTCGGCGAGGTCGCGGCCCCGGACGATGACGTCGGTCGCGCCGGCGGCGCGCAGCTTGGCGAGCATGCCCGGGGAGGTGGACGTCGGGCAGACGACGGTGGCCGGGCGGCCGAGGGTGACGGCGGCGGTGACGCAGCTGTTTTTTGTCATGAAGGTTAGTTGTTGGGCCAAGTGGAAGAGAAGGGGGGAAGACGGCGGGGGTCAGAGAGGGGGGGGGGGAAAGGATGGTGGTGATGGTTGTGGTAGGAGATGACTTACGCTAATCCTGCATTGCCTCCGGACGAGGCGTAGAAATGCACCTTGTTGGGCTCCGGGTGCTCGGAGAGTCGGCAGAGCAGGTAGTGCCCGATGCCGCGTGATTTGAAGGACCCGCTAGGCTGCAGGAGCTCGAGCTTGAGGAAGACTCTGCTTCTGCGATTTAGTACCCGTATCTTGAGGTTGGTGGGGTTGCTTCTTGTTTTCGTGCTGGGTTGGGGATGGGTTGTGGGTCATGGTGGATGAGGATGGGATAGGGGTAGGTTGGATGTTGTCATGAGATTAATGTTTAGGGCTTGATGGGAGGTCTCTAGGCCTTGAGGCCAATATAGAATGACTTGAATGGTGACAAGACTATAGTTGCATGACGAGGCGAAGGGTGTGTGTAGGAGAGGGAAGAAAGAAAAGCTCTTCGACCGTACCAGCCTGCGGCGCGAGAGAGCGCAGTCGACTCCATGAGTGGAGTGAGGTTCCAAGGTTTGGCAGAGGGTGTGAGGCACACGGTAGGGGGAGAGGCGTCGGCGTGCGCCGTGGCACACTCGGTGAGGGCGATGGATCCCATCTCGTTGTGGTGTTGGTGGTGAAGACGGTCTTGGTCTTCGTCGAAGGAGAATCGGTAATAGAAGTACTCGCAACCGAAGCCTTGAACGAGACTTTTGTAGTGATTGGGGGAGAAGCTGATGTTTGTCGAATGGTGAGTGCGAGGACGACGGGCAGAGACAGTGGCATGCAAACTGACAGTGTTTTGGTGGGGAAAAGGGTCGCTATGTTTTGATGAGAATTTAAAGTGCTCGAGTCGAGAAAAGAGACCTGATGAGCGATAGAAAGTAGAGAAAATCGAAGGAAAAGTGGTCAATATATATTCTTTGCGCTGCTGACAGCTGCTTTTCCCTCGTTCCCCATCACGCCCTTTGACAGACAACGCACCCATGAAACTATGTCTAAGGGCTAAACACCAGCGGCATAGTTTCGCGACGCTCGATCCTCGTACTGCCGCTCACTTTCCTCCCATGTCGTCGGGAGTCGGGATACGACCGAGCAATGCCGGATGTAGCCGCTTATCTGCAGCCCGCGCCCCCTTCGTCGCCCGCAGCCAACCAGCCGCTCGAATGACATAACGCAAACTCCCGACTATCCCACATGGTACACCTAACTCTCCCGAATGGAGCAATTAAATCCACCCCAATGGTCATCACCCCTGGCCGATTCCAGACCGAAAGGCCCAGATTGCGGGGTAGATCGCGAATTCTAGGCGGAACTTGGGAAACCCAAGCCGACGGTATAGGGTAATGAAATGAGGTACTTGTCGTCACATGGCGTCAGGATGGGTTGACGAACTCCTTCCCAACCTCCTTCGCCGCCTGGAAATCGCATCCCACCAAAGAAACGAATCCCCCGCGGGCCCTTGGCTCCCGGTCGCTTTCTCCCTCGAACCTGTCGCTCGCCCGTCCTTCGTTCCTTTCTTCCTAATCCTTTTCGTGAGACATGGCGCCCGGCATATATCGCGCATGTGAAATTGCGTCGGGATGCGCGTCGAATGAAAGCATCGTCAACGCCTATTTTCCCCACCACCATGCTGCCGTTCCGCCGACAGCAGGCGATAAGCTCCTCAGCGAGGTGCGGGGAATGACGATATCTATGCGGGACGATCCTGGTGTTTCGCTGGAAACGGGAGGAAACGCCTGTTGTGTTCCGAAAAGTTACGATGTTCGGTGGTGATAGGGGACGATTGCGAGAAAATCGAAAAACGTTGCGGACGATGGGCTGATCCACCGATAAAGAACCATGGAGTCAGCAGCGAACCTAAGCGTGGCAAGGGAGCGATTCGTGAGCCGGCTCGTTCGTGCGCTCGTTCGCCCTTACGTCGGTCCGGATCGCATCGCTTCGTCCGCGTGGTGGCCTTAGGAGAGGCTCGCAGGTGGAGAAGGCTGACGTAGTCGCGGCCGTCTGTTATCTTCCGTATACACACGACTTTGCAGGGAAGGGAGAGCCTGTGAAGCGCGTGAGGTTTGGATTAGCTCTAATCTCGTTCCACGTGGAGAGGGCTGTTGCTCGTGAGGGGATCGACGTTCCGAGTGGCTTCGACCACATGCAAGGATCGCACACCAGAGGCGAACTGCGGGGTGCCGTCGCCTGCCACAATCCTTGCCGAACCCGGAAATAAGTAGGTTGCGGAAGTTGAAAGAGACTGCATGGAAAGAGAAGCCATGACCATGTGCACAAGTGTATGAATTGTATCCACATAAGTCCAATCAGGCGCCTGCAACTCTCCAGTTTTTCTGTTACAGATCGTCCTGTGTACACACGCACTCCTCAAATGCCAAGATATTGGAACAAGAAATTAGTTGTATAATCGTTTTGATCACCCCGTGTCTGCTTCGGAATGCGGCTTGCGTAACGGCGGAAAGCAGCTTCCCCGCAATGTCTGCCATCCAATCAATAGTAAAAACTCCAAAACGCCTGGCAGACCGCCTGGAAATCAGCTGTTCTTCAGCTTCAAGATTTTCCCATCATGCGCCACCCAAACACCAAGTCCAGAGAGATCCATCTATGGCAAAAGAGAAAGTGGTAACCGAGCGCGCCCGGGCAGGGGAGAGGGAAGCCGGCCGTGTCGGGTGTTGTGCGTCGGCTGAGTAGCTTGCCGTCGGCTGGCCGATGCGTTCGTGACGCATGCGTTTCAACCCCCTAGAGTCGGCCGCGTCATCTGGGCGCTACTAAAATTGCTCGACCCAGGCGCTTGTTGAGGCCTTTAGGCTCCCACAATTGCCCCCTGGGGCCGCCGGTTTTGGGCCAGATTGACAAATCCGACGTTAGGAATATTGCCGATGGTATCGTGCGCAAGTGGAGAAGAGTAAATAACGCCAAGGCCGGATTCGTTTAGCTGTTGTACCACGGGCTCTCCTCGTAGGACTCGAGCAGAAGGTACGTCTCGTAGGGCATTCCGCGCGGTACCAGCTTCTTGTCCGAAGCCGCCCTCTTTTCGTCGTCGGGGTTCTTGGTTTCCTCCTTCCCTTTAGCCTTCTCCTTCGACGACTTGTCCTCGTCGAGCTTGACGTCAACCTTTTGCTTGTCCTTTGCCTTTTTCTTCTCAGCTTCCGTCTGCAGCTTCAGCTCCTCCTCAGACATGTAGTAATCAGGCTCGAACGAGACCTCCCTCCATGCCCAGAAGAGCTTGCGCCAGTAGCAAGCCTGGGCGGCCGGGGTCAGGTAGCGGTCACGGAAATCCCGGATGCTGTTGTCGGCGATACGCTTGGCCTCATCCTGGTGCTGCAGATAGTATTCCATCTTCCAGTGCATGTCGGAGAAATCACGTTCGACCTGGATGAAGTTCTGCTCTGGGCCGGAGGAAACCAGAACGTTGTGGAAGTTCTCGAGCCAGTGCAGCTTGTGGATGACGGTCAGAGAGTGGCAGTTGAGCAGGTACTTGAGGCGGCCGGAGTACGTGTGGCCCTCGGTGTGAACCGGGAACATGTACTTGCAGTGCTTCGACATGGGAATCAGGTTCTTGGGCTCGCCTTCACCGCCCCACACAATCTCCTCAATGTCGGCCCAGTCCTTGCCCTTGGAGACCTTGAGCAGGTCGGAGCGGACCTGGACGTGGCCAGCAGGAGCCTTGGCACCTCTCCAAATAGCACGGGGATCCTTCTGCTCGAAGGGCATCTCGTCCTTCGCAATTGCCCTCAGAAGCGCGCTGTATTCGCCAGCCGGGCCCTCCCAGCTGTAGAAGCCAAAGTCGGGCATCAGCCACAGGTTGTCGTCCTGCGGCTCGCGGGTCAAGGCCCAGGTGGTTGCGGAGGTTTCATTGTTGTAGACGGCGAAGTAGGCACCGTCGTCGACGACGAAGGAGAACTCAATGTTGGGAATGTCGCCGGGGTAGGCGGTGATGGCGCGTTGGATGGACTGGAGCACAGCGAGGGTACGCTGGCGGTAGTCACGACGACGAGCACCACGGGCGTTAAGGATGAAGAGCTGTAAACAAACGGTCAATCGAGCGTCGGCGCGCGGCGGGCAGCCATTGGGAGCATACCTGGCGGTCATAAATCATGGCGCGGACAATTCCATCAATCTTCCAGCCGATCTTCACCTCGTCGGGGGTGATGTTGCCGACTTTCTTGCGGTGGGCGACGGCGCGGTCGATTTCAGCCCACAGCTTAGGGAAGGCAGCATCGCACTGCTCCGGCGAGAGACCAAAGTTCTTTGCATCCCGCTTCGCGTCGAAGGCCCAGCCGTCGGCGGGGCCGGGCTGCGAGAGGGTGGGAGCGCCAGTCCCGGCAGCTTGCTTCCCGGGCTGGTAATCGAACGGGACCGTGTCGGCGGCGCGCGAGTTGTAGGTGGTGTAGCCGAGCAGCAAGAAGATAAAGAGCGTGAGGCCAACGAGGCCGGCGGCCCGCTGGTTGGACAGAAGGGCCATCATGCGGTGGTGTGGATGGGGGACAGAGAGAGGACGCGGTGATCGGAAGCGTGGCGGCTGGGCGGGAGTGGGTATAAGTTATCCTGTGTCGCGGGCAGGGGAAAGGCCTCACATCAGCACTGGCGCGCCGCACACGAGCGCCCGGACTCTGGAAATTGGGGCGCGGCCCTACCCAATGTCGCGGTGCATATTTTACACACTTTACCGCGAACAGCTGTCTAAGCCGCGTCAACGGGCACCACCGCTTGCGACGCCGCTACACGCCCTACTGCCAGCACAACCCCGCCCGCCTGCTGCTGCGCGGAGAACATGCACTCGGCCGTCAGCAGACCTCAGGGGTGCGGGCGAGGTGTTGGGCGGCTGACAGGGCAGTGTATCTAGGGCGGTGGCTGCAGCGGCTGACGCTCTCTCACTGGCTGGGGCTAACGGCGTTGCATGTCAGCCTGTTGCGCAGCGCTTGGCGTCCAAAAAGGGGTCCGTCGCCACTGCCAGCGACGGCCAGCGTCCAGAGCCGCGAGCGCGCGTTTCCGAAGAATCAACGTGTGCTTCATCAACAGCCGAATTCCGACTCGGCAGCCAGCGCGCGTTGGAGCGTGCTCGTGCAGATCTGGCCGGCCTGAACCGCCGTGAGATGGCTTGGGTAGGACGAGCGTTGCTTGGCCTCAACTGTAAAGTTGATGCATACGAGTGCAGCTGCGCCTCCGGTTGGCCCAGCACCGCAGCACGACGGCATCCTTCAGCACAGCCTGCCGCCTGAGTGGGCAGCGCTCCGTGCCCGCGACGGCATCTCGAGACAGCCGGGGTCTTATCGCGGCTTGCCAGCGAGCCCCTTCCCCACGTTTGCCGGTGCGAGCTGGTGGCCAGCGGAGCGTCCCTGCAGATCTGCCTCGCATGCTCGCTGGAATCCCTGCAAGAGCTCGTCAAGACTTCGCATGAAACTCTCCGCTGCTTGGCTCTGTCTGGAATCCACTGTTTGTCGCACCGTACTACCACCGCTGCGCTGCCATCCGGCTCAGCCGTGGCGTGATTGTACCAAGCCCCGAGCTTATCGTCTGTCTTAGACTCGCGCCGCGTCAGGGCGTGCGAAAAAATGCGCACACAGACCGCGCGGACGCATGCGGATGCGGAGAGATAAGATGAAGGGGCTGCCGCCGTGGATAGAAGGTGCCTGAGACGTGAAGAATGATGCGCCTTTTCGACGCAATTGGCTCGCTACCTTTCTTTACCTTTCCCAGCAAACCTTAAAACCTCGACCGTATCGCCTTCGCCTGCCCGCTGTTGAGAACACCCTAAACCCCGGTCGTCTGCATCGTGTCGTGACTTGCATGGCATCAGGTCCAATGACAGAGACCCTGAACAGGCTGCTGATGGCAGACAGATCTAAGACACGCGTCCGGCCAGATTCTTGAAGCGGCGGGTCAGGGCAACCGCATGGTTGGTAGCGAGTCCGAGTCAGGACAGCACCTTGATGACGGGACGACTGACACAGGCGACACGACCAATGACGATCAACATTCCACAAACAGAACAAAGCGGTAGAAGCACGATCTGGTGTGATGACTTTGGTGCTGAGGGCGTGAGATCGAATTCTGAACTTATCAGCACTACAATAGACGTGACGTCGTGCGGGGAAACTGCGCTGCCCCACCTACAACACCGCGCCCTACGGATGATGGATGACAAAGCATCACCACCTACTCTCTGCTACAAAAACACCCCATGTTTCTTGCCGCGCTTTTTCTTCTTCCACTTGTCTCTTTCTCATTGAATAGCCACTGACAATGGCTCCTGTGATCCTGTACGACCTGCCCAGCAAGGGCCGCTGCGCCTGTTGGTCGCTCAACCCGTGGAAGAGTAAGCAACCACTACCGCCAAGCTTCCCGCTCGGTGGGCCCAGAAAGGAAGCAAGGACTCACTTTTCCACCCCTCAGCACGCATGGCCCTCAACTACAAGAATATCGAGTACGAGACACAGTGGCTCGAATACCCAGACGTTGCGCCGACCCTGCGGGCTGCCGGCCTGGCCCCCAACGAGGGCGGCCCGGAAGTAACCGCCTACACCATCCCGACCGTCAAGTTCCCTGACGGCACGTACGTTATGGAAAGCTTCAAGATCGCGCAGGAAATCGAGAAGCGCTACTCGTCGGCGCCTCCGCTGCGGCTAGACCACCCTGTCGTCGCCCAGATTATCGCCGTCATCCCCACCATCCAGAAGCCGCTGTCCGCCGTGCTGATACCGCGCGTCCCGCGCGTTCTGTTGAACGACAAGAGCGTGCCCTACTTCCAGGAGACGCGCAAGGTGCGTTTCGGCATGTCGCTCGACGAGTACGAGAAGGAGAAAGGTGGCGACGCGGCGTGGGTGGCCGCGAAGCAACCCATCGAGAACCTCGCCGCCCTCTTGAGGCAAACGAAGACGGCCGACGGCCCTTACTTTTTGGGGAGCGAAGGTGAGCAGCCTCTGCAACCACTCTGGACGCTGTGTTTGGTGCATCTGGCATCTCGTATTGCTGACTGGGGCACAGTGTCGTACGCGGACTTCATCGTGGCCTCGTTGCTGCATTTCGTTAAATTGCTTGGGCCCGAACTGTACGACCGTTTCGTCACTCATGACAAGGCGTTCGATGATCTCTATCAGGCCTGTGCTAAGTGGCTTGAGCGGGATGATCACTGAAGACCTGCTAATATTGGCGGTTATGAGCACGGTTGTCGTTCGTTTAGGACTTTGATTAGGCCGCCCACACTGCGTCCGTATTCCATAGGGCTGATCACTCATATGCAGCCGATAGCGTGCCAGTTACTATCAGAAAAAAAATATGCATAAACGGATGTCAAAAAAAGACTTACATTGGATCTTCAGAGTATATCGCCGAGCAAAAAAAAATTACCCGACAGCATCTCGTGTCCGTAGACGCCCGATCTACAGCTTGCTCATCCTCACCGGGAAACCGTCCCTATCCATCCTGACCAGGTACTCCCTCGTAATATCATTCACGCTCACCGTCCCCGCCAAGCCCATACACAGCTTCACCTCATCCCTCAACAACCTCAAGCACAGCTCCACCCCATCCTGCCCCTTATACGCCAACCCCCACAGCACCGGCCTGCCGATCCAGCAGAAGTCCGCGCCGAGCGCCAGCGCCTTGAAGACGTCAGTGCCGTGCCTGATGCCGCCGTCGACGTGGACGGGGATCCTTCCCTTGACGGCGGCCACGACCTCGGGCAGGGCGTCGAGCGTGGCGAGGGCGCCGTCGAGCTGGCGGCCGCCGTGGTTGCTGACGACGACGCCGTCGACGCCGTGCTGCACGGCCAGCGCCGCGTCCTCGGCCGTCGCGACGCCCTTGACCCACACCTGCATGCGCGGGCCGCACCGCTCCTTCAGCCACGCGATGTCGCGGCCCCATTCGAGCGTCGGGTTGGCCGCGTGCGTGTGGAACCGGATCGGCCCCGCCGGCTTGACCCTCTCGCGCCTCTCTTCATCCCAGTAACCCGGGGAACTCTGTCCCTTCTCGACGTCCTTCTGCCCCTCCTCGTCCTGCACCTCGAAGTTCGCGATCCGCAGGTGCGGCGGCAGCGTGAAGCGGTTGCGGATCTCGAGGTTGCGGCGGCCCAGCAGGGGCGTGTCGACGGTCAGGAAGACGGCGGCGAAGCCCGCGCGTTTGGCGCGCTCGATCAGCGCGGCGCTCTTGTCGCGCTCCTCGAACAGGTACAACTGCAGCACGAGCGGGATGGTTTCCGTACGGCCCAGCCGCCGGCACTCGTCGCGCGCGGCCGCCGCCACGTCCTCGAGCGACGTCGTCGAGAACGACGACAGGCCCATGGCGACGCCCGCCCGCGCGCACGCCCGGGCCGTGGCGATCTCGCCGAGCGGGTGCGCGAGGCGCTGCATGGCCGTCGGCGCGACGCCGACGGGGATGGCGTTGCGGAAGGTGGCGGACGTGTCTCTCCGCGGCGCGAGGACCGGGGTTGTTGTGTCGATGCGGGAGATGTCGCGCAGGACGCGCGGGCGGATGCGGTATTTGGCGTAGGCGCTGATGTTTTCGCGGAGTGTGGAGTTGGAGTCGGAGCCCTGGATGAGCTCGTGTGTGAGTAATTCATCTCTTTTCCTTTGTTCGTGGTTTCCAGGAGGCCGTAGCAATCAAAGGTAAGAGTTCGAGGGTAGGTGGAAGAAGGTAAGGGCATAGAATGAACGGGGGAAACGTACCTCATTGTAGTAGTCCCTCGTCTGCTTATCCATCTTATCCCTCGCTATAGCCTCGAGCTCATTGATGGTGAGGCAGTTGAGATCATGCTCTGTCGTGTTCTTGTGCGCCATGATGATGACTTGCTTCTTTCTGTAACCAGTCGAATTTAACTGAATCTCTGACACTCTATCAAAAGGTCAGAAATGCTGGCTTCATAACCTGAAGGAATCGAGACAGCTAGAGAAAAGCGGAAGGTTGAAAAGGAAAGAAACCTTACCTTTTGTAACCTAAACCCACACTGAAGAAAAATCACCAGCAATGACGCTAATCGAACCCCGAACGCAAGTCCCGAGCAAAAGCACGACCTTTTCCAAGAGAGAAGGACCGCCCACGAGTTATGAGCTCCACCGAACGATCCTTAGATCCGGGGAACCAGCACCGACTTCGGTGACAAATGATGCGGAGTTAGGAATCGCAAGTCAGGGATCCAGAACTGATTCAATTGCGCAAGACCCACTTTGGACCAAAGGAGGGAGAGGGAGAGAAGAAGCAGCAACTCGGCCCATATTTGATAGCAAAACGAGAGCTTTCCTAAGCATGATTGCCGAGAGCAAGTGATGACGCACCAGTGCCGGACTGATGGAGAAAGCTTTGGTCTCCAGCAGTCGGGGGCGTCGGTCGATCAAGCCCGCCCGCCGATTTGCGGAGAACGAGGGCCCCAATCTTCGCTGCTCATTATCCCGAATCATCGCCGATATCGTCGCTTTCGCCATCAGACAACTGGCGCTGGAAGAGAGAAAAGGGAAAAGACGCAAGAGATAAGGGAAGATCAGGGACCGAAACAAGGCTGAGTGTGACAGAGAAAAAAAAGTTACTGAAATGATATCTCTATGCTGATTACCCCGCTCCAAAGACCTTATAAACGCCGGTGGATGCTGTCCACTGTGGGCCTAACACAACTGTGCGCTTCCTTCCAGTCTGCCCAGCCATCACAGTACGGAACCTCCTCAATTACGAACTGCCCTTCGACCTTGGCTTCCTTTCCCATCCCGTCGTGAACAGCTTGCCCATCTCGAATTGGGGCAGCGGGTGGGCCTCGGTGTTGAGGACCATGTCGGTGAGGGGCAGGATATCGTCCGGACCGAAGAGCAGGTAGAGGTACTTGAGCGTCTCGGCCAGCCAGAAGCTTTCCATGTTGTCGCGGGCGGGCGGCGAGAGGTTGGTCACGTCGTTGATGGACGTGAAGCCGGAACCGTCTTCGACGAGCGTGTACTTGACGAACGCCTGGAACATCTCCCAGCCCCATTCCCGGTACTTGACTTCGCCGGTGATGCGCCACATGTAGAACAGCGACTCGACCGTCTCCGGGCGCTGCAGGTTGTGCCTGTCCGCCACCTTGATGTCGTAGTCGGACTTCCAGTTGGCTTCATTGCTGTCGTCCAGCTCGGCCGGGCTCGTCACCTTGTCGGCCCAGCTCTCCCACATGCGTGGCGGCTCGTCCACCTTGAAGTAGGTGATTTCGGGCGCTAGGCCGGTTGCGGTGACCTTGTACATACCCCAACACGTCTTCATGAGCTCCCTTGCCAACTCCATGTCGTCCTCCTGCTTCTTTCCCCACGAGGGGCTCTGACGAGCCTCTGCAAGCGTCTTACCCTCCGTTGCACCCAGAGCAATGGTGCCAGGCAAGAAGCACACCAAGTGATCAATCTTGGGCGAGAGATCGCCACCCAGACCGTTGGGCCGCTCGCCGAGGACAGTCAAGTTCGCCGAAGACGAGTAGGTGATAAGGTGCTTCCGCATGCCGTACAGGGTCTCCTCCCACATTTCCTTATAAACGGGCTCCTGCTTGGACGTCTGCAGATACTGCTTGATGAGATACTCATAGTAGGAATCGCCGCGGCTGCCCAGGCGAATGTTGTGGCCTTGGAAGACGCCGCGGTCGGGGTTGATAAAGATGGGCACGAGGCCGTCCTCAGGCTCCAAGTCATCCACGACCTTCATGATCTTCTCCGCCCTCTCCCAGTAGTGCACCTCGCCTGTCAGCTTAGCGATGTACTTCATCTCGAGCTGGAGACTCGTCGCCTCAGCCGTCGAAGAAGCACCGCCGTCGGCGTGCGACCGGATGCCCTCGCCCGTCTTGAGATTGATGCTAGCGTACGGAATGCCCGAGTTAGACTCGTATGCGCCCAGCAGACGGTCCGCAAGGTCAGCGGCCTTCTCCTGGAACAGGTCCTCCTCGCCCTCCTTCAAAGCAATAGGCGCGTAGTGGGGGAACTCAGTGCTCAGGTAGTGAGCAGAGAGCAGACCACCCAGCATGCGGATGGTCGTCTCAAAAGTATTGACATCGTGGTCCTTTTCGTAGTCCAGGGAAGTCGAGACCCACTCACGGGCATGGGTCAATTGGGTCGTCAGGTTCATGAGGATGAGCGTGTCAAGCGCATCCACGATGATCCAGCCCATTCCACCCGGCACCATCTGGCGGCCCTTCTTCGAGACGGGGTGAAACTCGTCGTAGCCTGGCCAGCGATTGATAAGTCAGCTAAATCTGGCCCCAGTAGGGGTGTGGAAGCCTAAAGGTCCGAATAAGAGACCACAGCTATCACGACGTACCCCAGGCGTATTTCTCGTACGCATCCCAGCTCAGCTTAAAGGCGTCCCGCACGCGGTCACGCCGCTCGTCCCAGTCGACGACGGCCGACGTCTTGCCCGACATCATGCCGCTAAAGAGCCCAGAGCCGCTAGTTCCCTTATTCTCCTCCGAGTTCGAAAACACCCCGAACCAGTATAGGAAAACGAAGAAGGCGAGAGCACCAAATATGAGGGTCCGTCGGCGGCGGAACCAGCCTCGACGGGCGGAGCTGCCGTAGTTGTACGGCTTGTCCTTATACATGGGGAGCTCTTTGCCGCCGTCGCCAAACATGCCACCGAGGCGGTCGGTCACGGCGGCGCCAGCAGCGCCAGCGGCACCGCTGCTGCTCGCGATGACGCCATTGTTGGTGTCGGGGGTGGGCGAGGCGGGGAAGCGCGAGCGGCCGGAGCTGGCCCAGGCCGAGTCCTCGAAGCGGCGCTGGGGGCCGTCGAAGTTGGGGACGTTGCGCGGGACGGCGAAGGCCATGGCGTCGGTCGCGGTCTGCTGGACGGCCTGCCACTGGTCGCTGGCGGCGACGTCCTCGAGGGCCTGGCGGCCGGATTCCAGGGCCTGCTGCCCGCTCTCGACGATCTTCTGCGAATAGCGGGCGGCGTTGCGCGCGGCCGACTGCTGCAGCACGGAGAAGGCGTTATTGGGAGCGATCGAGGGGCGCAGGCCGAACGGGTCGCGGTTGATGTTCATGGACCGCCGTGTTCCGAAAGAACCGCAAAAAGGGAAAAAAGGAGCGACTGAGGGCGGGGCCCGGGAATTTATTCTGGCGGCCGGAATGCGTGCGACCTTTTTTTTACTGCTGTGGAGCGCGGGTACCTTTGGGTCGTATACCTTGGGTGTTCCTGGCAGCGGAGGTTCGTGATTGGCCTGGGGTGTTGACAGCTGTTCTTAGCTACTCTTCCGGCGGTGATCTCCTTCCTCTTTCTCTCGCCCTCTCCCACTCGCGGATACGATTGCGTTTAATAACGAGAGCCGTCAACTCAGGGGCAACCTGCTCGCGAGCGCTACAGGAACGGCGGCGTAGCGCCGCTGCGGGAAGCAATCAAGAGAGCTGCTGCTGCTCGAGCTTGGTCCACGCGTGCACGCGTCCCCATTGTTGATCAAACAACCTCCGTGGAGCCGTTGCGGATATGCACACCCGACTTTGTGACGCCATCCGCTGCAGCACATGCTCTACGTGCGTCAAATGCCCCTTATGAGCAGGTCAATTGGAATGGAGTACTTCCTGGTCTCGGGCTGGCTTGCAATTGACTTCACCTTGCATGCACCACGGCTAATTTCCTAGCTTCACGACCATAACGCGCCAGGCAACCGATCTGCTCCCGGCTCAACGTCGGACGCGAGATTGCCTTCGTGGCTCAGCCCTTTCCTCGGTCTCTTCGCAAGCGAGCGAAACGGTGCTCGTGCTGTTGACTTCTTGCTTCATTTATCCCAGGCCAGCAAAGTGTAGTCACGCGATCACTTCGTAGTAGAAATTCGAAAGCAATAGCTATGCCATTGATATATATACTTTCCCAAGGCCCGCTAGAGAACTATATTTTGTGATTCTAGCAGTAAGGGCACTGATCATGCCCACAGTTCTTGCAGGTACTGCCAGAAGTCTGCTTCTTAAAGCACCAGCAGCAGGTCCACTTCATTTTGAAAGTTTAAATGTAGTCGTAAATTTACCTTCAAAGTCGTAAAGTCTTGAAAATGTTACAGAGATGGTTGGAGATTTATTCGTGAATCTTGGTCTGAATTAGCCATCTGGTGTGAATGAGAGTAATTTATACATGGCGACAAGGTATGCTGCTCAAAGATGGTACTGTAGCTGCTGTGATTTGTTAATGAACAATGCTGGTGAGTATATGATGAGGCGGCTGCTTTTGCTTCTTTGTTCACATTTCCAATCATAGGTCGACAGAAAGACGAGTACCATATAGAGTGCCCTTTGTACTCATTCAGCTCGCCACTGTGGCTGAAAAACAGGTCTAGACGTACGTAGACGTTGTCGATCGAGGCCACCTCACTGGAGATTTGAATAGAGAAAGGAAGTAATTGTGGTTGAGTGAAGGACTCTCACGCTGGTAAAGACGCATGTGTTACCCGGCTAACCTATTTATTTGGTTGAGAGCTTCCCGTAGCGTATATCGAGTTCCTACTCATTAATGTCTTCAGACTGAGCCTCATCTCGTCGTCTCATTTGATTCTCCAGCCGCTATCCTTTGACGTCTTGATATATTTCAGTCAGATGCAGGGGCCGCAATAGCAGAATGTATTACATCCGAGGTAGATGTAGAAATAGACTTTGGGTCCGGCCATCGAGGCAGAAGCCTTGTATTTACGTGCGAACATAATATGGCAGACTGAACGCGGAAAAAAGGATCAAGTGCAATTTAACCGTTTGCTAAGAGCCGTTCGTGTGTTCGTTGCACTCACGCTGCTATACAGAAGCCAGCCTGATTGTTCCACGTTGATGTTGACGTGAAAGTCGATTACGCCTAAAATAGTTCAGCCAGTAACTTCGAGTTTATGGAAGCTATCAACGAGCACCCCAAATGAGAAATTAAACAAGTCACAAGGCACGGTATTAAACGTAAAAGCGTGAGAGTATTTGAACCGTGACACAGTTTATCCCATTGATGAACGCCGGGTGTCGAAGCTATTTCTTTCCAGCTTCTATGATTTTACGAAGAAAACCGCAAGAAACCCTCCCGGTTCGGCGAAGGGATTTCCGCAGCCAAACTCCCCAGGTATCTTCTCCCGGTAATGGAATTTCTTTCCTTTTTCTCGAATCCCCGCCGCTGTCATCAACATCGTCACTCTACCACGACCCCCTCATTTCCCGTTTTAACGCATTTATGCGGTGCGCTTGCCCTTGGCGTTCTTCTTGGGAACGTCGGTGATGGTAAGACCTGAAAGATGTCACGTTAGCCGGAAGTCCTCGTCGCCTTTTGCTTCCCACGCAAGATTTCCAGTCCGGTTGCTGTCGTTCGTGGAAGGAGTTGACGTACCCGGGGGAAGGGACTGCTTGAGCTTCTCGGCCTTGTCGGAGTCCTTGAGGACGAGGGTGTACAGGTAGCGGTGGCAGCGGACCTTGAACTTGGTCTGGCTGTTCTTCTTGTTCTTCTTGATGCGCGCAGCTGTACCACGGAAACACACGACGTTAGTCACTCTTGTTCCATGGTAACGTTTGTGTGCATGTTGGTGTAGACAAATCCAGTGGTGTCAGGTCAAACGGCGGCGCAGCGATTGTCTCTCTTGACTTCCTCCAAAATGGGCTCGAGACGTGGTGCTTTCCCAGGAAAACCACGGCATTGTTGCGCTCTTTTTCACTTGAGAATCCCCCGCGACAGGGCGATTCGACCACGCTCGCTCCGCTTCGTTTTTACTTGATCGCTGCGCCCCCGCCTAAACCATCGCCATTGGACCGTCCGGATGCAGCCAGGTGTGCATTATGAGGTGAAGCGGAAAGGAGCAAACGCACAGGAAGCGTCCTTGCGGCGGCAGATCTCAATGAACTGCTTGATGTCGGAGACCTCGGAAGGCATGGTGACGGCGAGAAGAAGTGGTTCTTTTCGGGAGGGATGGGGACTGTGTCGGAAGCGTTGTCGTCCTTGAGCGGTGGAAAACCAGAGGGAATGGCCCGGCCAATTTGCTGGCTTGGCGGTGTGCCGGTGGGGTTCGCTAAGCGTGTGGGCGGTGGTGAGCGGCAGAACTGGCAGGCGCCAAGACAGGCCGATCGCTCTCTCATCTTACCATCAGACCCGCGCACTGCCGACGGAACAATAATGCATTGGCCGCGCATGGCTGCATCGAGTGCTGAACTGCTGATGGCCTGATCTCTTCACTGATGAAAGTAGGATATATGTCGCGAAAATAAGTGTCTTATTGTATTACAATTAAGCCTGGATCGCAAACGATACAACGCGCGAGTGGCCTCTCAAACTGAAGTAAAGCATTTCATCCGCATAAGGTATTTCGTCAAACATCCTCAATTTCCTTTCTCTCCTCGAAGCCAATGATACCCGTTCGAACGCGCTCTTTCCGCGTCCTCTTACAGAGCACCCATAAGACCAGCCAGCACCAGACCGAAACCCATACCCGCAGCGTTGCCCGAGCACACACCAGCGGCGCCAGTGGCCGCAGCAGAAGTCGCGCTGCTCGCCGCCGACGACGCGCTGGACGCGACCGAGGAGGCAGCGCTGGCAGCCGAACCAGTAGCGCTGGCAGACGCGCTCGCCGCCGTGGACGAAGCGGAGCTGCTGCCACTCGACGCGGAGCCGGTGGCCGAGGAGGCGCCCGAGGCGCAGGTGGCCGTGGTCGGGAGGTCGGTCACGCCTTGCGGCTTGCAGAGGTTCTGCGCGAAATCGATGACGGCTGTGATGCGAGATTTGTTAGTCGTTGGGCGCTCGTTGCGCGTGGTGTGAGGCTGAAGACGTACTCTGCTGGTCTGCGGCGTCGCAGCTGGTGGAGACGCAGCAAGCCAGGCCCGTGATCAGGTCCTTGTTGTTGCAAATGCACTCGACATCAAGAGTGCTGCAGCCGCCGAAGTCGGTACCAACGCATGATTGCTATTGTTGGCGATCGGACGAGGTCAGTATATGATCATGTTTGGGTGGAGCCAGAGTTTGCCGTGCGCCAGTTTGGTGTGCCAGCAATCGCGCATGACGAAGGCGGCCGGCGATTATACGGTAGCTTTGAGCGCGACCATTGGTGGATTGGAGCTAGGGAGTGAAAGGTTACTCACAGCGCACTGGGGGAGCAGCTGAGTCTGCGCAAGCGCAAGGCTGCTGAGGCCAATAATGGTAGAGATTGTAGAGAAGCGCATGGTGAAAGGTGGTGGGATGGGCGATTGAGCACGGAGAGAGGAGTGAAGACGAGGGGATGGCTTCGAAGCACCTAGGGTAAGTAGCGTTCAAGCTATTAAATAGGAAATCCCGGTCGTGCTGGACGCAATGAAGCTTGGCTGCCGCGGCCGGCAAAATATACGCATGGCTTGCCCCCCAAAGTTCGACGCTTAAACCGAATGAGGGCGCCCCAGTGGAGCGGGCGCACCTCTATGTCACCCGCTCGGCGCAGTCTTCCGCGTGTGGTCGTCCCACCATTGAGCGACGCCCCCGCTTCCTGCTTGCTGCAGGGGGGCGGCGTCAAGAGCTGACCAGCTGCAGGTTCAAAGAACATCTCTTCAGCTCGCCATACGATTGCAACCCGACCAAAATGCGAGGTACCCGGCGCCCTGCCGCTAGGAGCTCGAGCTTGGTCTGAGCTACTCTGGGCGTGGAGTTGGCGGCGCTGAGAGTCAGAAGCTCTAGTTTAGGCTCGCGCCGGATGGTGCCTGGTCTTCCATCCCACGCGCCATTATGCTTAAAACAGTGGGTCCTCGAGGACCACATCGTGGTCACCATGTTACTTCGCCCACGGTGCGGCACTGCTGTATAGCTTATCCTAGGACCAATCCACCTAACTTAAAAGTCGATTGGGTGCATATATGGAGTTTCGAAATCTTCAATTCACTCGCAGTATGGTCCCTGTATGATCACCTTCTCTGCTAATTTCTATTCGAACGTTGGTGCCGTTAAATTGGGTCTCGTAATACTGAGTCAAGACGTCAGTCCGCATACCAAGGCCGCAGCCTGGCGATAACGCTTGCTGACATGCATACCACCTAGTCCCGTCGTGCCGAGCCGCATCCCACCGGTTCGTCAACACTGGTCTCGCCGCTCTGCTGAATACATGCTTTCTATATTGCGATACAAGGCGAATGTATTTCTCGTCATGCTGGGCGCGCGCACGGCAGTTGAAAGCCGGCATCAATCGATCGTAAGTCACGTCGCTCTAACCCCGACGCCCACACTGTGGGTCTGGAACAGCTCAACCAGCCCGCTGCCTGCGCACTCTTCGAGAACCCAGTCGAAGCTCAAGCCATAGAACGACTTCCACTTCTTCGTCCGCCCGGGCAATACGCCGCTAAAGTCGCCTCTCGCCTTGCGCGCTTTGCTTGCCATATCCTCACCCGCGATACCTCCGTCCCAGCGTTCCTTGAGTAGGCTCATGGGCGCCTCCTTGTATCTGGACGTCTTGCTCAGCAGGCTCAGCAGATGCGCACGCGCAGTGGTCAACAACCGAAGGTACGGCCCCATGTTGGGCAGCGCAAAGCTGTAGACCCCGCCCGGCGCTTTCCTTTGTCTGTCGGTCGATACCACACCACCTCCACTAGCACCGCTGGATGTAAAGGCGTTGGCGCCCCCAACAGCATTTAGCGAGCCGGACGCAGCTTTGGCGCTGGAGCTGGCGAGCGAGCCCAAGGACGCGGCGCCGGGGCGGGAGAAGAGCTCGGCGTTCCCAGCAGGAAGGTTCGCTGAAGTCAAAAATCCAGCGCTACAGAATACTGATATTTCTTCTTTGCTGAGCTGCGAAGCCGATACGGTGGCTGAAGTCGGTTGTGAGTGCAGCAGTGAAATATACTTCTCTGCATGCGCCGTGAGATGCTGAAGTGTGGGAGAACAGCGTGGCAGAAATTACCTTTCATCGCATCATCCAAATCTGGATGCGAGCGAACCAGCTTCTCCCACTCCGAGACGAGCACCAAACCTTCTCCTACAGCAGCGTTACCGACACCTCGTCCTGGTATCACAACCTTCCGTATGACCCCAGCGCGCGTTAACTCCGCCATCTCTCTTTCTGTAACAGTGGGAGACTTGCTTAGAGCATGCACATGCGCCACAGATGCGACCGGTGGTAGGTTAATGCGAAAGTTCAGCACTTCTGCCGTCCTCTGAGCATTCATGCCGGATGCGCGCTCAGGGAAAGGCGTGAACATCCTGGCCTTGACGTTCTGAATAAACTGGGGCACATCGCGCAGCTCGAGATCGGTGGCTAACGAGGCCACGAGACCCGTGTCATCTAGCGGTTCATCAAATATCCTCTCATCGCTGCCACCGCCGACCTTGGTGGACTCGGTCGACGGCTTGCGACGCGGACTTGTGGTGAACGCCGACGAAGACGAACGGCGTAGCAACGGGTTGTTGCTCTTGCGGCGGGCGGGTTTAGTGACGCGGGAGGATTTTGCGGGCGTCGTCTGAAAGCTGGAAGACATGGGCGAAGGAAGCAAGCTGGAGGTCAAGCAGGTGTTGCGGGAGGCCTAAAGAATGTGAGCGGCGGTCTCCAGGCAGGCACCGACGGGCTGGCTCGGCACTCGCCAGGCACGCGCCTGGCAGTTGCCACCGCAGGGACAGGCACCAGGTTGGTCACCGCTGGCTTCGCTGATGCTCCCTGGTGGAGCGGTGGCTGAGATGCGGCATGCAGGGACTGTGTGATGTGCCGTTCCGGACCGCGCGTGCGTGGAGAGATGGAGCGGAGCGCACGAGTCGCGGCGCAATCACAAGCTTTTCGTACGCAAAGTCGGGGCCCGTGACGTACGTCATTTGCACCTGTTACACGGCAAGCGACATCCCGTCCCAGGCCCCATGCCGCGCATCCCAACACTCCTCAACCCTCCGCGAGCTGCTGCCGCTAGCCCCATTGTCACCATGTCGCAAAACGCCTCGCCCTCGCAGCCGCAGGACCGCCTGCAGGCCGACCTGACGCCCAAGTCGTATGCCGAGGCTGCCGAAAAACCAGCAGACGCAGGTCAGAAGAAGTCCAAGGGCAGCAAGAAAAAGAAGTCCAAGTCCAATGGAAGCCTCAATAACGCCTCTGTGCCCCAACCGCAAGATGACTTGCCTGTTCCGCAGCCTCCAGCCAGCGAAAAATCCTTCGCAGATGCAGCCGTCGCGCCGCCAGAGGATTCACAAGTAGATGGCGTGAGCAGCCCCGTGAATGGACACAGATCATCGGAGACACCGGATGGACCCAAGGACTCAAAGAAGACGGAAGACGAGAAGAAGGTCATATATGAGAGGCTCGAGGGTCCGCACGGCGTCCGTCTCACCAGCGTGAAGCCTGATGATGAGTTCGAGAAGGAGCACCGCCAGGACAACAAGAAAGAGGAGAAGCCCGAGCTTACAAGCGGGAGAGAGGCTGGCAAAGGATGGGAACGGAGCAAGTACGTCTCTATATACACACCGTCAATGGCTCATCGCAGGCGGACTGATAGACCAACAGGATACGATGGGCTCCTCTCAACGTGCCGCTGCACCGTCGCCTCCAAACTCTCATGGTTCTCTTGCATTCGCTCTCCATCGTCGGCATGCTGACCATCTTCTTCTTCCTCTGCTCCATTCCATTCCTATGGCCTGTCCTTTTCCCATACACACTATTCGTCCTTTTCTCCAACGCCGGACAAGACGGAACACTCAGGCACCGCAAAGAGTGGCTGCGGCGCCTGCCCATCTGGTCGCTCTACGCGTCCTACTTCCCAGCTCGCCTGCACCGCACCCAAGAGCTGCCGTCGACGCGCAAGTACATCTTCGGCTACCACCCGCACGGCATCATCTCGCACGGGGCCTTCGCCGCCTTCGCGACCGAAGCGCTGGGCTTCTCGCAGCTCTTCCCTGGCATCACCAACACGATCCTCACGCTCGACTCCAACTTCCGCATCCCGCTGTACCGCGACTACGCGATCCGGCTGGGCATCGGCAGCGTGTCGCGCGAGTCGTGCGAGAACCTGCTCAGCAAGGGCGGCCCCAACGGCGAGGGCATGGGGCGCGCCATCACCATCGTCATCGGCGGCGCGCGCGAGTCGCTCGACGCCGAGCCGGGCCGCATGCGCCTGGTGCTGGCGCGCCGCAAGGGCTTCGTCAAGATGGCGGTGCGCACCGGCGCCGACCTGGTCCCCGTGCTGTGCTTCGGCGAGAACGAGCTCTACGAGCAGCTCAACCCCCAGGAACACCCCCGCGTCCACCGCTTCCAGCTGCTCGTCAAGAAGCTCATGGGCTTCACCATCCCCATCTTCCACGCCCGCGGCGTCTTCAACTACGACGTCGGCATGATGCCCTACCGCCGCCCCCTCAACGTCGTCGTCGGCCGCCCCGTCCAGGTGGTCCAGAGCCAGAAGCCCGACCCGGCTTACGTCGACGAGGTCCACACCCAGTACGTGCAGGAGCTGCAGCGCATTTGGGACGAGTGGAAGGATACGTTCGCCAAGGACCGGACGGGCGAGCTAGAAATTGTGGAGTAAATTCAAAAGAAATCATTGGGGCATCTTGGTTGAGAACTCTTTTTGCAGAGAACTTGGCTTTTTTACTTTTGTACTAGCGAAAAGAATTGCGGAAGACGTCAGTAGCGAATGACTGTTTTCGTGCTGTACTACATAGATCGGAGGGGTATGTATTTGTTAGGTACATTTAGTGGGAAAAAATAATTGTGTTCAGGAATCATTGGCATGTGAAATCCCTCGCTTTGCATGTGACCAGCTCCCTTGGATACCCTTCCCGTCCCCCATAGCACGGATTGGACTCGGCAGAGCATCTTCAAAACGATGGCCCCAGTATCCATGCTGGATATCACCCCAGCAGACGCCCCCTAGGAGGCACTGGTCGACTGCTGCTCAGACCAGCTGAGAGGTTAGGAAGCTGTACGGTAGGCAGTAAGCAGAATGAAGGCGTTGAGACATTTGTCAAGGGGGCAAAAAGAAGAGACGCAAGCACTCCAACGAATATAAGTTCCAGAAGAAGACAAGCCACCAAGAGAGAGAAACAAGCGCCGGTCTAATCAACACAAGTCGCGTTTTCTTTTTTCGTTATGGTAGTCCCCCGCTTGTCGATCAGTGAAGCAAAGCAATGGCAATGCGGGTTACAAACGCAACTGGAAGAGAAGAAAAAAAATAAAGAGAGAAATACAAGCACCAGCCCGGCTTTTTGCTCACTCTCCCATCTCCTCCGAATGGCAGGAATTTTGTTTTCTCGCGAAGAAAGAAGCAACGCCTGCGAACTGCTATCTGATTGCCTCGTCTGATGACTGGCCGATGACCGGGTACCGTGGGAGTCTTGTGATCCCCCGCGCGAATTTGCCCCCACTGAGACACTCTTCCTTTCGGCACATGATATGCTCCCTCCTTTTCTCCTTCCCTCCTTACATGCCATCCCAAACATCTTCATCATATCGTCAACATCCGTATTCGTACCGCTCCTCGTTTAGGTACATCGTCGTTCGTGCAGGGCATTGTTGGGGAGGCGGGGGGCAGGGTGGGTGGAAGGGGGGTTGTACACGACGACCTCTACTGCTGATTCTGGCGATCCGACCCTTTTGTGAAAGAAAAAAACACATTAGTCGTCGCCGTCGAAAGTTTTTCTACATGCAAACAATAACGTAAAAGAGGAGACAATGAAATCTGGCGGAGCGAAGTTGCTGGCGAGATTGTTCTCGGTTCGTAATTTTTCTCTTTTCCTCGTCGAAAAAGAGATAGCAGGGAAGAAGACGCCGATCATTGATCGTCATTTTCATATTCTGCAGCATTAGCAGGCTTGGGGCCGTCCTTACGAATGGGGATTTTGATGCCTTGTGCGGCAAAGCACTTGCTGAGCGGAGTGCTCTCGATGACTCCGGGGAATTTCTTCGCGCTGTACACCTGGAAAGCGTCGCTGAAGCACGAGGCGAGGACGGGCGCCTTTCCGGTGTTGAGGTTGTTGCCGCCGCCAATGTTCTTGCCAACGTCGACAAAGTTCATTTTCAAGCTGCGAGACCAGCGCATTAGCCAAGCCAACCACGGATATATTTCAAACCTACCGGAACACTCCTTCGGTGCGGACGGACAAGTCCTGGAGGACGAACCAAAAGCCCGTCTTGCCATTGGTATCGTTCAAGCGGAATGCGTTCACGCTCAAGCTGCCAATGAGGTTGCGCGTGAACATTCCGGTTGCAGACGACGTTGCCGGGGCAGCGGGTGGCATGACTGGCATTGCTTGGGCTGCTACAGGGTAGCCTTGATGTTGAGGAGGCCCGCCGTATTGGGGCGGGTACTGGCCCATCGGAGGGGTGATTGGCGATGCGCCGGGATAGCCCTGGTGGTAACCGCCCTGCATCTGGGGAGGCATGTGCGGCGCAGGGCTCATGGCATATCCCGGAGGGCCGGTCGAGTAAGCGCCGGCCCTCGGACCCATGGGCATGGCGTACGGGCCGGGATCCTGCCAGCCGCGCTCGATGTGGGGAGGGTACGAAGTAAGCGTGCTCGTCGAGATAGACACAGTTGGGGCGCCAGAGGATGCGCGGACGAGGTTCACCTCCTGGCGGGCATCAGATGACCACAGGTCCACCGTCAGGACGAAGAAAGTGGAGTCGACCTCCCTGCAGCTGGAGTCAGCGGGGCGCGCGTAAGGCTGGGGGCACAGCAACGCACTCAAAGGGGATTTCTTTGCCGGTGGTCGAGTCCCGCACGATCAAGCGGATGCACGGCGGCGGCGTGATGGGGCGACGGTCCTGGCGCGCGAGTCAGCAGAGGGCGGGTTGAGGATGGCGTCTCGTAATCCAACGTACCTTGTCACCGAAGCCGCACATGCGGGCTCTGACGGGCTGCTGCTCGACGACCAGCTCGAAGGTCTTGCCCTCGCGGGTGCCGCACGAGGGCTGGAGGGCGCCCGGGTCCGCGGGGGCGTAGGCGCCGGGCTGGGTTTGGGAGGGCGGAATGCCGCCGTACATGGGCTGGCTGTTCATGGTGGACGACGAGGCCTGGCTGACTGCGCTCTGGTGGTCGTTCAGAGAGTTGATTTGAGGAGGAGGATAAGCTGGAGCTCCCGGGCCGGGACCGATAGGATAAGGGTGCTCCCGGCGCGGCTGCATGGTCCTACGTGGCCGGATTGCGCGTGGTGGGCGAGGCGGCAGAGGCTTCTCTCGCTACCGCGGCGCGAGGTTGAGAGAAGGCGCGATGTCTGGTTCAGTGTCGTCGGCGGCCACGGGGTCCAGGCGCGCTGCAGGGGCGGCTGCGCGGTGCAAAAACGGGGCAGACAGGCAGGCAGGCAATTGGCGTAGGCGAGGAGGCGGAGGAGGAGAGCAGAAGGCTACAAGTGCGTGCGGGCGGCGGAGGCAGCGTCTTTCATGATCCCTCCCTAGACGCGCTCTGGCATTTGCAGGCGACTCTACACGCTGGGCCCGCGGGGCGCGGCGGCAAGTGGCTCTCTTCGCAGCGCGGGCGATCACACAGGCGTCTGGCGGCGTGGGCTGCAGGTTGCACGACGCGCCCAGCAGCGGCTTGGCCAACGGTCTGAGTCCTGCTTCGGTCGCAACGGCGCGCCTAGTCGGTCGCGCGGGAGCTTGGGCGCAGCGGGGTGTTGCGATGCAGGTGGGAGGAGCGTGAATCCGCGTCGCTGGAGAGCGAGTCAAGTGGGAGACAGGCAAGGCGGGGAAGGGGCGGCGGCTTGGGGCGCGAGAGGGGGGCACGCGCAGATTGGCTCGCGGACGCTGAAGACGCGCTGATCGAGGCGGGCGGCGGCCCAGGGCGGCGGATGCTACAGGGCGCGTTCTGGTGGTGGCGCAAGCTGGGAGGGCGAGCTTCAGCTGCTGCTGCTGCTCCCGCAAGCGCTGCGACGCCGGATGCTGCTTTATGCTTGGACGCGCCCGGGGCTCAACCATCTCCCACCCGCTTGCAGAGAGCCAGGAGCGGCCCGAAGTGGAGCAGGCCACCTTTGCGCCTGTGCGCCCCAGCCCGAGTCAACACCACCAGCCCATGCGACTGTGAGTTCGCTCTGCGCAGGGCCAAGCCACACCTTCCACACGCCTAGCAAGCGAAGTTCCAGATCCACGTCAGCGTGCTCCAGCGCTCCATGGCCCCGGCGCCCGAGCTCCGCGAGCGTGGGTATGGCTTGCAGGTTGGTGGACGAGCTAGCCGTCGCCCGCCCAACGAGGCTCTGCGGCTGTCGGCTCGACACGCCAGGCCTGCGCTCACGACGCCTTGGCGCCATTTGTCATCGCCCTCCACCTCCTGCTCTGCGCTTCCGTCCTGCTGCAGCAGTCAGCAGGGCGCCGCTGTCACTCTCCACCAAAACCTCCGGCCTGCATGCAGCAGCTGGCCGCCCGCTCCCGCATGATTCTGCACACGTGTTGGCTCGTATGCGCGCTGCGTCTAGTTGATCTCTATCCGCACTCGTGACGTCGTCTGTAGCTATGTTCTGTACTGCAATAGTATACTCGAAACCCACTTTTCCCCCCTCCGCCCGCCCCGGCCAGCCCAGTTCAACGCCACGCTTATGTACACGCACTAACTCTACACGCTGCGCCGTGCAGCTCGTTAACCAAAGTGAAACAGGGTTTGCTTCTTGTTCTTGTTTCCCTTCTTCTTGCCTCCACCCACAGGTTCGTCTTCGGCCATAGCTTCCGCAGGTGTTGACGATCCGCTGCCGGCTCCACCCACACCCCACGCGTTGACTGCAGGACCGTTGCCCTTGACATTGCGCACCGCACGTCCGTTGTAGCCCGGCGTGAAGACTGTCGACGCCGGCTTTTTCGCTGCGGGCAGTGCCGGGAACGCGTCGGCGCTGGGAGGCGCCGCCTTCTTGCTGGCCAGGTTCGTCTGCGAAGCCGTCCGCGATGGCACTGGTGACGGCCGGTTAGAAGACGACGACGCCCAATTGGCGCTTCCCGTGCCCGTCGCAGCCCGACTCGACGAAGCGCCGGAAGGCAGGGGAGGGAATAGGCTGGTGGAAACTGAATTCCAGCTGCCCTTTTGGCCCATCGACGAGCGCGACGATTGGGCCGTGGAGCTCTTGAGCTTGAGAACCCTGGAGCCACCTGCTCCAAGAGCGGCAGCTGCGCTGCTTGCCGGCACACCGCTGGGGCCGGGAAGAGAGGGGTAGTCTTCATTGATCGCCTTCCAGTCGTTCCACGCCTTGAGCAGGGCGTCCTTTTTCGACGAGATCTCGAAGATCTCGGCAAGCTCCTTGATCAGCTTGCCTAGCTCAGCCGACGACGTATCAAACAGGGAAAAGAACGCCTCGATCAGCTGTGGGGCCGTCACAGAGCCGTTCTTGTAGAATGAAACCTTCTGACGGAAGTCGGCAACCTTGGTCTGATCATTGCGGAGCATGTTGGCCGCCCGCTCGGTAACGGCATTGTGCCGCAACCTGCGCGCTTGCTCCTGCGGCGTGAGTGGTGCGTCCCTTGCTGGCGATGCGGCCCGTGCTTGATTGGCGGTGTCGCTGACGCTCAGCGAAGACAGGGACGGAAAGTCATCTGCAGGTCTGGCAGCCGTAACGGTGCGAGGTTCCTGAGCGCTGGGTGGAGGTCGTGCTGCATATGCCTCCGTCGGAGTGGACGTCAGCTGGCCTCCAAACGTCCTGGATGTCACGGATTGAGCACTCTGGATGGCCAGCTGTCTTTGGTAGGCAATCTCGTCTCTGCGCAGCGGCTGCGCAGACGACGCAGGAAGAGGCTCGGAGTTTGGGTCTCTTCCACGACCACGGCCGCGGCCCTGCCTGCGCTCCGGTTCTTGGGAGCCACGCAAGTTGAACCCGGCCATGTCGACCCTGCGAGCATCACGACGAGCATCCTTCGAGAGGCCATTTGGATGGGCCTCCAGCTGGTGCGCCTTGAGGTCCATCTCAGATTCGAAGACAACAAACTTCTTTTCCAAGCACTCCTGATCCGGACACACGAAATGGTCCTTCTTGAAATGAACCTCGAGCGCCTCGTAGTTGACGTAGTACTGTGGCTGGCGCCCGCCATTACGCCGGTCACAAATGTGACACCGTTCATGCTTTTCTCTGCAGTGCACATATAGCTCGTCATCTCCGTAGAAGCGCCTCATACAGAAACCGCATTCGGGGTGTCCCTTGAAGCCGCTCTGGTCCTCGGCGCCAGGGTTGTCATCGCCAAACCTCTCGTGTTTGCGCAGCTCCTGATTGGTGAACAATTGGTGCTCGTGAGTGAACACCTTTTTGTTCCGCGTGCAAAGGTCGCTGCCGGGTATCAGCGCAGTCAGGATGCTAGCAGGACGAGAGTACTTACCACATGACCTTGTGGTGGACGCTCTTGACGTGCCTGTGCAAGTCAGGCCACCCCAGGCAGGCAGCGTCGCACGAGCCATCCGGGCAGTTGTAGCGCAGCAAAAGAATGGTGTCGTCGCAGATTTCCGCCTTCTCGTATTTGATGCCCAAGTTGCTATCGGTGCTTGCAATCTCAGAATCGGAAAACTCCTCGTATCTCTTCTCGGGATCGTCGGTGAAAATAACAAAGTCGGACAGTGTCTGAGAATACAGTTAGCAAAAGGAAATACCTATCCATACCGGGTAAACTTACTCGGCAGTGCGCGCAAGCCTTGGACTTGTACAGCGCCCTCAGCCTAAGGGAACAAATGTGACAGGTACGGTGGTTACAAGGCGAAACAGCGTGGTGGTCAATGGGGGAAGCGCAGATGAAGCAGACTTCTCCTTCGTCCTCCTCCTCTGCCGCAGCAACGCGTTCTTTGCCCTTGGATTCCGCATCATTTGTGGTGGAATTGGCGCCGGCAGTAAGACGAGCGCCAAAGTTGCCCCGACTAGCCCGAGTAGGCGCATTGTCTCCAACTCCATCACCATCTGCGTCCGCATTGCGTCCGCCACGATTGCCACGGCCTCGTCCTCCGCGACGTCCTCCTTTGCCCCTGCCTCTCTCTCCGGTGGACGCGGGGTTCTCGTTGCTTTGCCTGTTGCCGCCCTGAGAGCCCCCGCGGCCGCGGCCTCTGCGCGCATTGTTGGCAGGAGCGGTGGCGTCTCCTGCCGATGTCTCAGTTGCGTCCGCCATTGTACTTGTCGTCGCGAATTTCGGTCTTCGTGGTGTATGGATGGCGGGGGTCTGCGGGCAATCGCTGAGTATTTGACGGTTGTGGCAGGTTCCGGATGCAGCGACCACTGATAAGGCGCAACAGCCGGTGGCCTGGCGTGGCTGGGAACGTTTATAAGGTGTAAGGCGGGCGAGGTTGCGGAGGTGCGGGCACGGCGAACAAAAGATGAAGATGACGCGGGGCGCACCAAGCGCAGATGATCGACCAGCTTGGCGGCCAGCTGCCACCTCCCACCAAGCAAACACCACGCTCGCTTTCACCCTGTCTCCCCCCTACATCTAGGCTTTCCAGTCATTCTGATTCATTCCTAAGCCTGTTGCTGCAGGCGCTTGGTCATCATGCGAACGTGAGTCACACCGTCCGCTGCGCCCCATTTCCCTTAGTGTTGACCGTGCTGCCGCATTTAGCATTCGCCGCAGCGCTCTCGAGAAGCTTGCTTCGCTTTCCGCCGCTTCGCCAGCCCCCGAATCTGGCAATCCAGACTTTAAGCGCCTGTACCGCCTGTGTCCGCCTCACGCGCAGGTCAATGGTGGCCATGACGAGCTGGACGGTGCCCGCGGAGGTGCCGCGAGGGTGCCTATGGTAAGCCTCCTATTCAGCGTCTTTCAGCTCATCTGACAAGTCGCAGAGCCTGCCCGAACTCGAAACCCTTCTCGCGCTATGCAAAGCTGCGCCTCAGGTCGTGGACGTTGCAACGGCTGAGCAGCTCCTAAACCAACTCGCCCCCTATCTCCCCGAGTCGTTCGCCCAGGCCATTGCGCCCTCGCCGTTTCTCCGAGACCTTGACCCGTCACCATGGGAGATTTTGACACGCAGCCTGGCCTTCGCTATTTTGTCACTTGGGAAAAATCATGAAAGGCTCAAGGAGGGCGCGGTCGCAGCTGTGAAGCAGTACGTGGCGGAATGGTCAGCCTCTGCAAGGTCCCTAACTGGGGAGCACATGAACGGGGATGATGCAGTGGACACTGCGGCCGATGGCGATGTCGGTCGTGTCCTGTGCTTGGCTATGTCCATGCTTGGTTTCCTAAGTGCTGCCTCAGCATGCGCCTCGGTCTGGAACCCGGCCGAAATGCTCGAGCTGATCGAAAGCCTCCGCAACGCTTTGTCCGAGAAACTTATAATCGCAGTCGAAGCTTCCGTTTCGAATGTTTTGTATGGCAGCCACGCCAAGAGGACGTTCCGCGAATGGCGCCGCCATGCCAAACACTATGCTGCTATGGGTCGTCCTCTTGGTGCTCTCCTTATTCATCATGGCTTCATGCAAGTCGTTGTCGCCTGCACGGCAACCATTGCTAGCCCCTCCGAGCTTGGATCTGACAAGCCGATTTTGGACAAGCTCCAAAGCGCCCATGCGCTGCGCCAGCCTCTAGATGCAGCAGCCGAGACATTGCTCGAATGTGTTGCCGGCATTGCCGAGGAAGAGCTCGAGCGGATCAATGCCGACTCGGAGTACGTGAAGCGCGTAGGAACGGTTTGGCAGCAGCATATCGCCCACGCTGTTCTGGCTGATGCCCTTGTTACGTATCTATGCTGCGCCGTCCTAAACGAGGAAATAGCCGACTCCGAAAAACTCTTGGACGTGCTCGAGTCTACCCTCTCCGATGACATACTTGCAGCTGATGAAGTACTGGCTTGTGTTGTGCTGAAGAGTATGTCGGTCTTGGGCAAGTCTTCGCCTGACACTGCGTCCCACCTCAGCAAGTCTTTGCCACGCATCATCGTCCAAGGTGGATTGAAAGAGGGTACTTCAGCCGTTGCTGCCGATTGCTTGGCTAGTGTCTTGATGCTGCTCCCACAGGATGCTGTCATCACAACTTTGTACAGCCTTGGCAACGTCCTCAGTGGTAAACAAGCGCCGGAGCGCACAAACACCGGCGGCCTGTCTCAGCTCAATGGAAGTGCGAAGGCCAATGGTAGTGGCGGCTTGCAGACGCAACACCAGACAGGAAGTACTATCTCACTGTCTCCCGCGGACGTCGACGAGCCTTCGCACGTCTATGCTACTGTCATTCAGACTATCGTTGGAGTGGCTTGTCGATGCAAGGATCAGAAGATATCTGAGCTTGCGCTTTCGATGCTGGTTCAGAAGATTGGCAGAGTAAGCGTTTCTGTGGATGCCAAAATCATCACAGAGAGCTCCTTGCTCGGTGCCCACTCTGGCCCCGGAGAGCTGAGGGCTCTGCTCAAGCTGTACTCCAAGCTCGCTCGCGATGCCATTGTTCAGGACAACCACGTGCTCCTGGATGCGGTCATGAAAGGCAGGTGCCATCTCTCGAGAGAGTTCAAGACCGGGCAGCCGCTATTTGAAATCTACCTGCAATACATGCTGGACGACATTGTCAGCAAAGGCGATGCACATGGCCCCGAGGCCTCGCCCATGGCAGACACCGAAGTCGCCGCCCAGGAAATTGCGCAGCTTTTGGGCCCGCTTGCAATCTTGATTTCGTCTAATGCCGATGGCCCCGAAGAGTACATCGAAGACGAGGCCATTGTGAACCTGCAACGCGATGCCTGGTTCAACGTTGCTGTCCATGGATTCAGCTTGACTTCTCCCCTGGGAAAGAGATACCTCAACGAGCTCCGAATACTTGCCCAACACAGCAAGCCGTTGGTTTCTGAATCCCGAGCTGATCAGCTTGAGAGTGATGTTGAGCTCAACACTGTTCTCAGGCGCGGCAAGAGCGCGGAGCATATCGTGGAGCAAAAGCGACGTCTTCAGGAGCTGCTCCCCGCATGCGAAGCAGACATTAAGTCTCTTGGCTACCCGGAAGTCGTCTTCCTCAACACGGTGCATCTCGTTGAGGGCCTTCGTGCTAGCACTGGTGACTGCACAAAGACGCTGACCTACTTCTTGGACCCTAGATTGCGCAACAAGGAAATGGGTAACTGCATGGTCGCTATCGCTGAGGCGGGTGTTCGTTCATACCTGAAGAAGACCGTCTCAGGCGGGTTCCAGTCCTTCTCTGCCCCCTACGTAGCCCAACAGCTTGCCATCTTCTTCACTGGCTGCTGTCACAGGGTTCTTCAGGCACAGAAGGTTGCTATCCATTGCGCCGACATCATCATCCAGCAAGTGCCCTCCGCTCTCTGCCAGCGCGCTTCGCTCTTTGCTCTTCTTGAGCTTCTCAGCATGATGTGGAACAGCTGCCTCGAGAAGGAGATTGATGAGTATGGGTGGTCGTCTACCTTCACGTCAGCCAGGGAAAATATCTCCATCGAACTCTCGGATAACTACAGCTTCCGCAGAAACACTCTCATCCAACTCCAGAATCGCGCAAGGGTCTGGGTCTTGAGCGTGATGGACATCGCGCCGCTCGATATCAAGGGACTTCTGCAGACCTATCTGTCTGAGTACGATGACGACGGTGCCTATGGTCACGTCTCTCTTGGAAGGTCATTTGCACTGGAGATGGGCTCCGTCATCCCATCTACAGACCAGCGCCTTGGTGCAATTGACCGAGAAAGAGAGCTTAACATCAACACAGCGTCCGATTTCGTTGCCCAGTACACCAACCGTCAAGAATACCGCTACGTGGAGCCCATAACGGACTTTAATGATGACTGGATTCGCTTCGGCAACGATTCGGATCCATTGATGCGCCGCAGCAAGCAATACGATCGCAGTGTCGAGGATGCGCGGAGAGTGCTTCTTGACTTGGAGCAACGCACTTTGAGTCGTAAGCACGTTTCGATCGCGGAGCTTCGCGATGCTCTCAGGCGGGCTGCTGCTCTCCTTTGCCGCAGTCAAAAGGACGAATGTGCCATTGCCCACCATGTCGTTGGCATTCCTTTCGCCGTCTTCAACAAGCAGTCCATCAAGCTTGGTATTTCCTTGTGGCTTAGCATCATCAAGGAAAACCCGCGCATGGAGCCCAGGATCCTCGTCGAGATTGCTGAGAACTTCGAAAAGACTGTTCGACGGAGACTTGGCCTTTTCGATGAACATTTCGATCACCCGGATCCATTCTTCGTGAAGCAAGAGTTCGCTCCATCCGACCGGACCGTCATCATGAAGCGTCAGCAGCACGCCTACAATCTGATTGCCCCCCATTTCCGGTTGCTCCAATTCCTCGAAAGCCACTTCAGCGCAACACGCCTTGGTAGCCCCCACGTCGAGCGCGTCTACCACCGCCTCATGCACATTACGTTGTCAGCGATGAGCCACACCACGAACCATCCCCTGACTCGTGAGGCCCATTTCCACGTGGTTCTCCTTGGTCTACGGATCCTTCAGTACAGCACCGGATCCAATACGTCTGGCCAGTGGAGGCTGAAGGACCGCATCCTTTCCGCGGCCTTGGCGTGGTTCAAGGAGAGGCCGAGATGGTCGTTTGGCGGCAACCGTCTGCAAATCAAGGCCGAGGCTCAAGTCCTAGTCGACATTCACAACGCCCTCCAGAACGTTGCCGGTATCGGTCTGAACACTAATGGACCCAGGAAGAGTCTGCACGCTAAGCAGGAGTTACTGTTGCTCCTGCTCGCGAGCGAGCACCAGCGTCTTATGGTCTGGCTCTTCCCTCTTGAGCAGGACAGGCGCCTTCACTTGATGCCTGGCCACTCGGGCAAGCCCCCGACCGATGCGGTGTTGTCTGGCCTCTTGAAAACGGCTTGGAATGAGGACCCCGCAATTGCGGTGCAACTGGTTTTCAGATTCAACTCGCTGCGGTTGGCCAATGAGGTCCGTTTCCTGGTACTCAACTTCCCTGAGAAGGTGCTGGACCAACCGGATGCTTTGGAAGTGCTTCTTGGGAAGTCATTGCCCGATGATGTGTCGTTCCAGCTCAAGTACCTGATGTACTGGGCTCCAGTCAACCCAATGACGGCCATCACTTATTTCCTTCCTGCGTATGGCAACCATCCTTTCGTCATCCAGTACGCCATGAGGGCATTGGAAAGCCATTCAGTCGACATCACCTTCTTCTACGTTCCGCAAGTTGTGCAAACGCTGCGTTACGATGTTCTCGGCTACGTTGAGCGTTACATCATTGAGACAGCCAAGTTCTCGCAGCTGTTCGCCCACCAGATCATTTGGAACATGAAGGCAAATGCGTACAAAGACGAGGACTCTCAGATTCCCGACCCCGTCAAGCCGACTCTTGATGTCGTCATGGCCAGCCTCGAGAACAGTTTCAGCCCTGAGGACCGTGAGTTCTACGACCGGGAATTCTCCTTCTTCAACGAGGTCACTGGAATTTCCGGTAAGCTCAAGCCCTTCATCAAGAAGAGCAAGCCGGAGAAGAAGCAAAAGATCGAGGAAGAACTTCGCTCGATCAAGGTCGAGGTTGGCGTGTACCTGCCAAGTAACCCCGACGGTGTAGTTGTGGGCATTGATCGGAAGTCTGGAAAGCCTCTGCAGAGTCACGCAAAGGCTCCGTACATGGCGACTTTCCGCATTCGCAAGGAGAGGACCGAAATCATCCCCGGCGAAGATCAGGACAGCAGCGAGGAAGAGAAGAAGGATAACTACTACGAGGTGTGGCAGTCGGCTATCTTCAAGGTCGGAGACGACTGTCGTCAGGACGTGTTGGCGCTGCAGATGATCTCTGCTTTCCGCGGTATTTTCAACGACGTCGGCCTGGACGTCTACGTTTTTCCGTACCGCGTCACAGCCACTGCGCCCGGTTGCGGTGTCATCGACGTCTTGCCCAACTCGATTTCTCGTGACATGCTCGGCCGTGAAGCAGTCAACGGGCTCTACGACTACTTCGTCTCGAAGTACGGTGGCGAGGACTCGATTCGCTTCCAGGAGGCCCGCAACAACTTTGTCAAGTCGATGGCTGCGTACAGCATCATCTCATACCTGCTCCAGTTCAAGGATCGTCACAACGGTAACATCATGATCGACGACGCTGGCCACATCCTGCACATCGACTTTGGTTTCTGCTTCGACATCGCGCCCGGTGGCATCAAGTTCGAGCGCGCGCCGTTCAAGCTCACGCAAGAAATGGTGGCCGTCATGGGCGGCTCGACCGACTCGCAGCCGTACCGGTGGTTCGAGGAGCTGTGCGTCAAGGCGTTCCTGGCGGCGCGGCAGCACTGCGAGCACCTGGCGCACATCGTTATCGTCATGCTGGACAGCGGTCTGCCCTGCTTCAAGCCCGAGACGGTGGAGCATTTCCGGGAGAGGTTCGTGCTGGACAAGACGGAGAGGGAGGCGGCGGATTTCATGCGCTTCTTGATCAAGAAGAGTTACAACAGCTTGTCGACGGGCCAGTATGATAGGTTCCAGCTGCTGACGAACGGCATCCCGTACTAGTGAAAGGAGCGGTGAAGACGCGGCGAAGGAGCCGTATGATATCATGCGGCAGGGAGACTTTCGTCATTGCGAGAATTCCGGCCCCTACAGTTTGCAGCATTATCTTTAATCGAGAATTATTTCTAAGTGTCTAGTTTTCGCGCTTTTTTTTGGTTGTAGTTTGGAGCTTTGGCACTACTTGGCAGTCATGAGCAACACCAATTTGCAGCTATCGTGACTCGCCACCCGCGTTTTCCGCCTGCCGGAAGGGATTAGTGCAGATCGGCCGATGATGCGTTGTCGCGTGCCACGGCGGCTCCACTTGGACTCTGGCCGCGTTTTGCCGCAGGACCACTTCTTCTCCGCCGAGCAACTCCTCTCGCTCCTTTTCTTTTCTGTTTCTTCTCATCGCGTGGTAGCAGTCCTCAAAAAGTTTCTTTTTCGTCCAAGCTTTTCTTCTGGCCCCTCCTCACAGATCATCGCCCCATCCTTCCCGGCGCTCGGTCCACAAAAACGACTACCCACCATGGCTACCGCCACAAACACGCAGACAGCGCAGCAGCAGCAGGACCCGACGTCGCGCTTCTCGGTCATGACCGAGGGGTCGGACGACGCGGCCATCGCGGCAGCAGTGCGGCCCTCGCAGCGGCCGGCACGCACCAACAGCCGCACAATGTCGACGCGGCTGCAGGACGGCACGGACCACTTCATCGACGACGACAACGACACGCCGGGCGAGAAGAGCCCCGTGGGGCGCACGTACTACTTCGACCTCAAGGGCGACACGCGGCTGCTGGTGCGCAACGACGCGGGCGTCGAGAACGTCTTCGTCGCGTCGTCCAAGGCCATGACGCTCGTGTGCGACGCGTGGGACCGCATGCTCGCGCCCGACGGCCACTTTAAGGAGGCCCAGCGCGAGCAGCTGGATGAGGAAGAGGGTGGTGGAGCCGCTGCCAAGGAGATTGATCTGCCTGATGATGATGCCACGGCGCTGTCCATCCTGCTGGATATCGCCCACTTGCGCTTCAGTTTGATCCCCGCGAAGCTGAGCTTCAGGCACCTGCTCGGCGTCGCGGTGCTGGCTGAGAAGTACGGCGCGGGGAAGGCGTTTCAGCCGTGGTTGTCCATGTGGGTGAATGCGCAGAGGAAGAAGGTCGGCTTGCCTGGGTACGAGGAGTGGTTGTGGATCGCGTGGGCGTTCGGGGAGCAGGAGATCTTCGCGGATTTGGCGGCGAAGTTGGTCAGGGAGGTGCAGGTGGACGATAAGGGGCGGATGGTGAATGCGGCCGGGAAGGTGTTGGATGCGGAGGGTGGGCTGGGCTGGTTCCCGCCGGATATCTTGGGTGCGTTATTGCTTCCTTTTTGCCATTGCCTCTTGTGATGTGTGTTGAGTTGGTTCACTGATTGGTGAGGTACAGAGAGCATTATGAGCGTGCGGACGGCGACGATTGCGCTGCTGCAGGACGCGTGCTACGGCTACCAGGACAGGTATCTGGCTTCGTACACTGTCCCAGATACAGCCAGCGTCTGCTGCCATTGTGGCGTGGACAATGACCGTGAATGCGACGCCATGGTCTTGGGCTCGTTCATCATCTCACTGCATCAGAACGGCCTCAGCCCGTCGAGAGAGGACCCAACCAAGGTGAAAATGAGCATCGAGGAATTTGCAGAGAGGCTCAAGCGGGTTGAACTGATTGATTGCCGCCACAACCACTTTGGGAGCTGCAATTTTGCGCCGGAGCTGTGGGGGAAAGTGGAAAAGGTCTTGGGGTCCATCCCTTCGCCAGTCCTGGATTCACATGTGCGGCATATGGAGAGGCAGAAGAGGCATTTCTAAAGTGCAGGAATCCCAGGGGCGTTCTGAAGGGTCTTCAAAAACCTGCTATTCGATCCCAACCCGGACTAGCGCGGGTCGCTACAGCTTTTCTTGAGCTTCTATCTGGACACGACACCCAAACTTTTCTTCATCTCCGCGATTCACTCAAAGACAAACGACATGCCCGACTCTAACGAGAACGTCGCGGAAAGCGCACCGCCGTCTCCCACGACCCAGGCCATTCCAGAGGTCGTGTACTTCGATGACGAAGGGGACGTTCGCGTCTTAGTCCATGATAAGGGCGTACAGAAAGTTTTCATCGCCTCCTCCAAAGCCATGAGTCTCTTCTGCGATCCTTGGAAGCGGGTGTTTGCTGGCAACTTCAAAGAGGCTCAAGCCGGCGAAGATGGAATGAAAGAGGTAGCATTTCCTGAAGACGACCCGAAGGCTCTCACTATCTTGCTTAACGTTGCACACCTCCGATTCGACAAACTCCCCAAACAAAGTCTATCGTTCGAAACTCTCAGGGACTTGATTGTGCTATCAAACAAGTACTGCACAACCATTCTCTTGAAACCCTGGATTGATGTGTGGTCGGATTACCTCCGACAGCGCTCCGGAAAATTCGAGTACGAATACGGTCGGGAGGAGTTACTTTTCATCTATTGGGAGCTCGGAGAAGAGCGAAGGCTTGAAGACCTAGCGATTAGACTGGCAAAGGAGATTGAAATCTCTGCAGACGGCAAATGCGTGGACAAGAAAGGCAAGGTCCTGGATCCAGATGAAGGCTTCTGCTATTTTCCGCCAGGTCTTCTCGGTAAGCGTGAAATATTTGTGCATGAAGATAGGAGCTAACTTCTTTTCAGATTCAATCCTATGCATTAGGACACAGACCATCGATAGCATGCTGGACAGCCTCTACCACTACGTGGTCAGATACCTATCGGCATACCAACAAAAAGATCCGAGGCAAATGTGCCAAGGAGGAAACAGCATGGAACAAAAGCGAGCCTGCGATTCTCTCATCCTTGGTTCTCTGATCACATCTGTCCAATGTGCTGGACTGGGTATCAATCGACCTCGTACCAAAAGCATAAAGTGGAGTGTGGATACTCTGCTCAGCAAGATTTTGAGCGTCAGCATATCCGAGTTCCCCTGTGGATGCGGCTCTGAAGATCACATTTACTGCAACTTTTCCAGTGATCTTTATTGGTCCATTGAAAAGATCTATGAGAAAATGGCTTCCCCGGTTCTTGAGTGCCACCTCGAGCACGCCCAGCGCCAGATGAAGCTCCTCCGCGATTACTAGTTTCTTGGACTACTGTTTGATTCAATCATGACGAGCCGTACCGATTCGGAGCATCTGTGCGGACAGGAATGGACAATTGGAAATCATACTTTGCGTCAGGATACACACTTCAGCTACCCATCAGTTCCTCATAAGATTCTTTTTGAGGGACAGCTGTCAGCGGGCAGCGGGCACAACTTTCAGTACGGACACCCGTAGAAAATTTTAGGATGAAAAAGTTGATTACAAGGAGTGGAATCATCAATCATAAAAAGGCCGAAAGGTTGGAGGGCAAAAAACAAATCTCAAATTCTTCCGTTAATTTCGCTTCCCTTGTGATTGATGACAAGTCGTCTCGGTTGTTCCCGATGTTTCGAATGAAGACATGCACGGCAGTGAGTTGCAGTGGAAAGGATTCAACTTGTTACGGCAAAGGAACAACGGCATTGCCTCTTCAGTCTTATAGACTGAATTAAGTACCCTCTGCTGATCCCATTCCGAAAATATCTTACGCGGTCCCAATATCAGCGATCATCATAGGCCTACCTCTTCTTTGCCTCTGACAAGTAAGAAGTCATCGAGTTCCTCGTGTCTGACAAGTACTTCTCCGGATCCCCCCGCTTCGGCTCTCCGAGGTACCTGGATATCGAAGTCCTCGTCATGCCAATAAAGCGCTCAGCGTCCTCCCTCCTCATCTTCTCGCCATCCAGCTCCCTCCGTACCTCCCGATTCTCCCCCTTCAACTCCGCGACCCTGGTCTTAAGTGCGGCGTTCCTCTTCTGCAGGCGGAACGAGTCGAAGTCGACGCCGTCGGGGATCTCGCCGTCGGAGCAGACGCTCCCCTCCTCTGAGCCCAGCTCCGGGTCGTATCTCCTCTTCTTGGTTGGGCGCGCTTGATTCAGATTGCCCTCCCAGTTGTTGTTGACCCACCTGAGCTCCTGCTGGGCGGGCAGCTGGTGCTCGTACTTGTTGTTGTCCGTACCGCTCTGCGCATGGGAAGCGCCGGAGAAGGAGGAGCACTTCGGCGGCGTAGCAGTCCGGACCATCGCATCGTCATCCTCCTCATCCACGTCCACCATCATCTGCGAAATGGCGTACTCGACATCGGTGCAGACGACGAACTCGCCGCCGGTCTTCATCTTGTGCGCCATGGCCCTGCGCACCGCGACGGCCGTCGCCACGTGGTCCAGCGCCTCGGCGCGCAGCTCCGCGTCGCTGCCGACGAGCTTTGCCAGCTCGGCCAGCGCGGAGACGACGTCCGGGGGCCAGGTGTGCAGCCGGTCGAGGCGCATGAGTTCGCGGGGGTAAGGGAGGTCGGGCGGGAGCCATGCCTCGACGTCGCGGCCCCACAGCTCGGCGAGTGCGGTTTTGGGGTCGTCGTCGTCGTCGTCCTTGTCCTCGAACTTCGTCTGTGGGCGGCGCGTGGAAGAAGAGCTGCTGTCCTGGTGCGGCATGTTGTTGTTGTTGCGCATGCACTTGCCGACGTGGACGTCGGTATGTGTCTTCGGAAGGTTACCGATGCTGAGATGCCGGCCTTTGGCGGAGTACGGGAGGCCGTTGTTTACGCCGGGCTATTGCTTGATTAGGAGTATCATCGACGGCTCGTTGTGGTGAGGTAAAGGTGGGCACTGACCGGACTGCTGGCAAAAAGCGAAGCGCTGTCGAGACGTTGCGGTATGGATTCGCTGGAAGTGGCCGACTCTTCGTCGCCATCGGACATGAAGTCCATGGAGGAAGGCTCTTCGTCGGACATCGTGCTTGACTTTCAGCGCGGGTGGCAATGTTGCGCGGAGTTGGTACGAGGTGAAGCGGATTCGCAGACTGACATGCGATCGAGGTTTGTTTACCTCAACATTACTCCGACAGCCATGAAAGGCCCATTGCCGAAGAAGCTCCGATCTATTAAGACGGTGATGGAAAGTTCAGGATATGTGTTAAAGACCAAGAAAACAATGGCACCGAAAGTTCCATAACATATGATCCTTCGCAACCACCCTCGCGAGGAACGGGAAGCTATCATTACAGTCGGTTTTGTAAATCTACTAGTTCTACCTTTACCTCAGGGTAATTATTTTCAACCCTATTTCCCTTATGTATCTTTTTGTTTGGTTTCCGCCGCCCACTATTAACCATCGCGGCAGCATCAATATCTAGAAATTCCCAATTTTCACCTTTTTCCGTGCTGCCATGTACCCACGCAACTTCACCATGCTCAAGAACTCCATATCCGGCAGGGTGACTGCCTGAAATGATTGTCGAGCATCATACTCAAGAATCTGGAACGCCCTCTAGTCAACCAGGATGAAGGAGTGCGTGTTGGCGTTCAATATGTACTATGTGATGATCAAGGACAGCCGAGGGGATCTCGTCAAGAATGTTCCGTACGGAAGATGTGAACTCGTCCTGGAAGTTGCATCGGTGGTGCGTAGCCATGCTCTCCGCTTGGGGGAACGTCTCAAGACTGATCGACATCAACTGCTTCTCGAGTGTTGTGATGCTCCAGTTCGTCTCCAAATTGGTCTCCCTCGGTTCAGTGACACCCATTCTACGGAGCTGTAGTAGAAATTGGCCGTATAGCAGAGCATCGCAGGCCCCTCTGTTCGCATTTTGTTTGCAGATTGGTTCACGTCCACGACCCCGTCGGTGCCCCTGTTCGTACTTTTGGATTTACTTGTAGCATAATTCCAACAGATCGTCAATTACGTTTGCTCGCACATTGATGATGCTTTCTGTTACACGATCATGTTAGTTCTCCATTTTGCTTTAGTATCACCGACGATAAAGGAACAGTTGTACCTACCGACGATTCCAGGAGGAAATAAGCCTTCCATGCAAGGCATACATTCCGATTCAAACACGGAAATGGTTTTGACGAGGTGTTCGCAGACTTGATTAAAGGTCTCAGCATCTCCGAACTCCCAAGCGATCCAAAGCCATTGCTCATGGTTCCGTATGTTGAAGGTCTCCTTTGCGTCTTCCAGCCACTTATGAACCCAGGGCTCGACGAGCCTTGTAATGCCATATTTGTCCGTCAAGATCGCGACGTCCAACAGGTTCTGGAAATCCAATGTCCTCGGGACTTTGTCGAATCGGAGGTGAGCGATGTTGAGCAAGATAGCCAAGGCTTCGCCCTCATCGTCCGGTAGTTCGACTTCTTTCATGCCATCCGCAGTAGGTTGGGCCTCCTTGAAGTATCCGTCAGGAGCCAGCATGCGGCTCCAAGCATCGCAGGCCAAACGCATTACTTGTGAGGAAACCACGAAAACCTTGTTGACTCCATCAGCTTTGACAAGAAGGCGAGTATCGCCTTCTGAGGTGAAGACGATAGAGGGTGGATCTTGCGGAGGCTCCTCATTGCTTTTGGTATCCGAAGTCGACGACATTTTTGAAGCGGTGGTTAGTAAGAGCGTGAGGATGAAAATAGATGAACGACCCGACGAGGTGCGGTTAGGTCATAAGATAGCCTATCACGTGTTTGAGCGCACTTGCCTTCTTTGCCGTTCTGCGGTGTTCTCGCTCTTTCCTTTCTAAGTCGTTGGGACCACCACGAGCAAAGTTGCTCTCACCCAACTGCGACGATATCCTCCTCATTTCATGGGTAGTTGAAGCTATCGTCCGGATCCAAATGTAGAATTAATAATTATACATTTTCGTCCAGATGATAGCTTCAAATACCCATATATGTTTTTTTTTTGGTCTTTGAACGGATAAAATAGTATTAATAAGAAATAGACCTGTGGTTTAAATCTCCTACGTTACTACTTATTGCTTCAATTAAGTGGAAAGCATTAAATACATAAGCTTGTTCCTACCTACGAATTTTATGTTCTTTATCTACTATCAACTGCTATAAGCTGGCGCGAGGAAGCTAAGGATTACCGACAACCGTACACACGGTCGGGCTATATAATGTTTTGGCTTTGTGTGGTAGACATCCTGCGTGTACCACAACTGCTGTACGGAATAAACATGTATAAATGTTCCTATCTAACATTTCTACAGATACGACGGAGTTACAAGCTACACGAAGAGCATGTCGAAGCCGATCAATCGTTCACGAATTTACGCTAGACGAGCAATAAAAACTTCCAAGTCTAGACAAAGCAAAACCGATCAAACTCAACGTTGCAAATTGTGCAGAAGTAGGGAGGTTGAAACATTGCGCGTAACTGCATCGTCGGCGATGACCGTATGACTGGCGTCGGGTCAGTCAATGGCGGTGCTGACGGGTCAGCTGCCTGGACGCTGCGTCTCGAACCTATTGCTTATCTCCGTCCAGGGCTAGATGATCTTCGAATTAGGAAAGCCTTGGCAAGACCTCTGGAAATAAAATCAAAGCCCGAGCTGAAGCCCTGGACCAATCACTGCTGTGCTAATGCTTCTGCCTGAAGGGTACGACGGTGGAGGCAATCTCGGCAGTCTCCGCGGAGAGGCGAATTCGTAGCGGATGCGAAGTGGCTTGCCGGCTTGTGTGAAACCGAAGTCAGCCGCACGCAGTAGCGTCTGGTGCCCACGCGCGTTCTGCGGGAAAGGGGGTGGGTGGCCACGCTAACAGCCCACCGCAAGCGTTTGCGCGGAACACCGGCAATTAATAGTAGTGCATCACGGCAGGTACCTAACCACCCCTTCCCGGTGCAGTCGTGTGCCTCAGGAATGGGGAAGCAAGGAAGTAGAGACATGCTACTATCATCAACGCAGCCGCAAGGGCCACGCCCTGCTCCTTCAACCACGTTATTTTGTAGATCTCCTTTCGTCGGCCCGGCCCGGTTCATATGCTTTTCCCGGCCCGAGCATTTCGGCAGATAGATGAAGCATGGCAAACGGCACTTTGGCAGCTGGACCGTGTACACAGTATATTGATACCGTTGCGGCGGAAATTTGACCCGACGAAGTGTAACAAAACCATGTGCAAACGCGATTACCTCTTCGTGCAGCAGGCTTGAGCGAAACATAATCTGTGTTTGTACATGTGTAAGCATACAGATGGCTCGAGACAACAGTGCAGGAAGTAATGAGGAATGTGACGCTGGATGATGGGAGCACATTGGCGTTGCTGAACTGCAGTAGGTAGGTGTGTTGGCAGCGATTGTTTTAAGAGTAGGGCGAGCGATCTGGAGACAACGGACTATTTTGACGATCGACGCTAGCCTGAGCTTATCTCACAAAAGGAGAGCGTCTTGTATATATTGCGAAGCTCGTTGGCCATGCCCTAGCAGATAAGAAGTTTGGCTCCCGCTGGTTTCGGGCGATTGCTCAATTAAAGGAGCCGCTACGACTAAATTGTTCGGGCCGGAATCATGGCCGCGCAAGCTTCCGAAACTTAACCTTAGTCGCAGTCTCGACCTGCCGAACACTGGCCCCCAAGGATTGGCTAGTTGGACGTCTTCATGGTCCAGAAGCCTTTTCCGTGGCGACGGTCTGGGGAAGGGAGACGAAATCCGGGGCGCAGCGAACTGCGGGTGCAAGCGACACGATTGATATGCAAGCGCTGGGGGTAGGCTCGAAGTGGCATTGTTTGCGAAATCATCTGAATGGCTTTTTTCTCTCGTCCGTTCGTCGACCGCGATTATTCGTCCGTGGTGCGAACAAACGACGATAAACAAAGGGTTGCGGGATGCCGGTTGCGGAAAAAGAAAGACTTCCAACAGGCGCTAAGGGCCTGGGCCGCAGCCGAAGGATTCGGGAAAGAACAGAGCATGGTTCGGCCCTTCGGGTAGGCCGAAATGCCGGCGTGGGTGCCTTGCGGGCCCGTAAAATCGACCCATAACGGAAAAGTTTGCGAGGTAAGCGGAGTGCAGCATGCCGCCGAAAGGCCACGTCTTTGCGGCTGAGCCCGAGGTATTTTCGTGAAGGAGCCGGAGGGCCACAGGGCTGAGTTGAACGGTGAGGGTGATGAGTCACGGCGTGTGTTGGTGCAGCTGACAACCAACTGGCGGAGCATCGTGGGGTGGAGGGGCGGAACAGAGCTACCATCTAGGGGAGAGCGGGACAGAAGCCGGCGTCACTCCGAATGCGAGCCCGAGGCCCTGGACGCAAGGCAGCACCCTTTGGCAGCTGCAGCCCTGCGCGTGGCCCTTTCCATTCTCGCATTCTTTCCCGCTTGGGGCGGCATGACAGTTGCGCCGGGGCTCCAGCGGTGTCCCGGCGTTTTGCGCGTTTGATTGGCGTTGCTTTGTGGCACGCCGCCGCATGGCGTACTTGACAGCATCGTTCCAGTTCAACATTGCGCCGCTCCGCCAATTCGGCAACAGCCTATTCCGGTGCAGGTGACGCCCGTGCTCGCCATGGCTGGTTTTTATACATCATCGCTGCCTTGCTCCTCTCTCCCTCACCTCAGGCAACCTCTCCCCCCATATTTGCCGCCGAATAAAGACGCCCCTGCTTCGGTCCTTTCATCATGGTCGGCTCCGAGGACAAGCCCGCAACAATGGACGCCCCGTCTCAAAAGTCCAGCGCCCCGCCGTCTGTCACCGACAGCAAAGACGCCGTTGACACGACCGCCATGCCTGCCGAGGAGATCCAGGAGTCCAAAGAAAAGTCTGCCGACGAAGCGTCGCCGCAGCAAGAGGACGAAGACGAGTATCCAAAGTCATGGAAGCTGGGCTTCATCACGACCGCCCTGTGTCTTTCCGTCTTTTGCATGGCCCTGGTGAGCTTTGCTTTTTCCCACAGCGCCCCAATTCCTCTCGCTAATCCGTCGAATCGCAGGACAACACCATCATTTCCACCGCCATTCCGCGCATCACTGACCAGTTCAAAGCCCTCGACGATGTGGGCTGGTACGGCTCTAGCTACCTGCTCACCACCTGCGCCTTCCAGCTTACCTTTGGCAAACTGTACACCTTCTTCTCCATCAAATGGACATACCTGATCGCCCTCTTCATCTTCGAGCTCGGCTCTTTCATCTGTGGCATTGCCCCGACCTCAGACGCCCTGATTGTCGGAAGAGCCATTGCCGGTCTGGGTTCCGCTGGAATTTTTTCCGGCGCCATTCTCATTGTCAGCAAAACCGTTCCTCTGCGTCAGCGCCCTACCTACACCGGTCTCATTGGCGCCATGTACGGAATTGCTAGTATCGCCGGTCCTCTTCTGGGAGGTGTATTTACCGACAAGGTGACCTGGCGCTGGTGGTAAGTCTAACCCGATGCTCAATTGCGCACTGGCTCTAACAGCACTCAAGTTTCTACATCAACCTCCCCTTCGGTCTCGTCACTGCAATTTTCATCTTCTTTTTCTTCAAGTCGCCCAAGATCGTCAAGAACACGGCATCTGGCTGGAAGGCCAAGCTCAACGAGTTCGATATCTATGGAACTACCGTCTTCCTTCCTGCCATCGTGTCCCTGCTTCTCGCTCTTCAATGGGGTGGTTCCAGGTACGCGTGGGGCAATGGCAGAATCATTGCTCTGTTCGTCGTCTTCGGCGTCCTGATCGGCATCTTTATCGGAATCCAGATTTGGAAGCAGGAGAAAGCTACGGTTCCGCCCCGCGTCTTCAAGGACCGAACCGTCTGGGCTTGCGCCTTCTTTTCTGCCCTCCTTGGCGCTGCCTTCTTCATCATGGTCTACTACATCCCTATCTGGTTCCAGGTCATCAAGGCTGCCACGGCTGTCAAGTCGGGCATCATGAACCTGCCCATGGTCCTCGGCCTGGTCATCATCAGCATGATTGCCGGCGTCCTCGTGTCGGTCATCGGCCACTACGTGCCCTTCATGATCCTCTCCTCCATCTTCATGTCCATCGGCGCCGGCCTTTTGACCACGCTCGCAACCGACACGGGCCACTCCAAGTGGATCGGCTACCAGTTCATCTTTGGTGCGGGTGTCGGCTTCGGCATGCAGCAGACGCTGATCGCAGTGCAGGCGGCGCTGCCGACGGCCGACATCCCCATCGGCACCGCCATCATCATGTTCTCGCAGACGCTGGGCGGCGCCCTGTTCGTGTCGGTCGGCCAGAACGTCTACACAAACCAGCTGATCAAGAACATCTCGGCCGCCATCCCCGAGGGCGGCGCCCAGCTGCAAGGGCTAGTCCTGTCCACTGGCGCCACCGAGCTACAGTCCGCCATCACCCGCGCCTTCCCCCAGTACCTCGATGCCGTGCTCAGCGCCTACAACGACGCTCTCACCGAGACCTTCTACGTCAGCGTCGCTATGTCCGCGCTCAGCTTTGTGTTCGCTCTGTGCGTCAAGTGGATCAGCGTCAAGGGGAAGAAGATCGAGATGGGCGGCGGTGCTTGAACGCGCTCGTCTCGTTCTTCCGACCACGCTCACCAGTTCTCTCCATCTCTGCTCATCGTTCTTTTCGCGCGTTATTCCTTGACGAGTTATACCCCAGGAGCTTCTTCACTTTTCCAGAATGCCTTGAATAGAAGCCCGTCGGGTAGACGGTGGGCCCCAAAAAAACAGATATTAATGTGTGTATGTACAATATCGGAGTTATGGTTGTGCATAGCACTGGCGTTTATTTTTCTTTGGGAGGGTCCCCCTTGGGTTTAGGGGACCACATTTGTTCGAAATCTTCACTCTGGTAGACTAAAGGTCGAGCCGCTTTACCCGTAGATGGTGCATTGGGCCCCGGCTTGACACCAAAACAAGCTTATTAGATGATAAACGAATGAACTCACATTGTTCTTCTTCAATTGAGGCTCTTGCCCACGTGTGGTACAAGTAGTTGAGGTACACTGATGCAAGGTGGTGCACTAACGTTAAATGCACTTGCAAGGTGTACGCTAACGCGAGATACACTACATATGCATGAATGCGCGCCTATTCCTATTCTCACCGATCAACGCGCTCCTTCACCGGCGAGCGCGAGACCATTTCGCTTGGCATCGAGGGAGTCGGGCGGGGAGGGCTGCGATTCCTGTGCAGAACAGACGTCATAAGTAAGCAACAAGTAACGAGCTAGCAATGATCCTAACCAGCGCCTCAACCGCGACCGCCCACACACCATCGCAATAATATATCAGACGAACAAACCGTCGCACAACAAGTGTATACATGTCGTCTCATTAACCTTAATCGCCCTTTCCCCATAGTTGGCCCCACATTTCGCCCACCCGCCGTCTTCCGCGCTGCCGAGAGTCCGTCTCCACCGAACCGTCCGGGACATCCGAGGGGGGGTGGCCGGCCTATGCGTAGGTAGTACCTATCTTACAGTGCCTATTGTTACGCTAGTTTCACCCTGCAAAAGTTGGTTTCTCGATCAACCTAATCGTCAATGTGTCTCCTTGTCTTCCCCTGCCTCCAATCCACGAGCATGCTTCCTCGTCTTTTCCGACCCGGCCACCGGATACGCTCGGAAAAGACCGCGCACAACTTCGATCGAGAGCGAATGATTCCGGGGACCCCCGGCGATTCCGAATTTCTTTTCTCTGGAGAGGAGGGACGGGACGAGAGGGGGTTGTGCGTGCACGCGCGCGTCGTACACATATCGCGTGATGCGGAACATATCCCCCTCCCGCTCCCTTCTTTCTTTAAACTCTCCCGAGTAAGTTAAAGTCCAGGAATGGTGCGTCCCGTGCCTACCGGGTGGTATGGGAATGGGCGTGAAGCCTATGCTGCCCTGGAAACGGGTGAGGTTTCGAACGGCGTCATCGTTTGGTCAGGATTCCTTTCCCTCCTCCGGCGAAAAATCCACTATCAGCTGGTGGCTTGGCACGTCTGGGCCGCGCACGCGCTATTGATCTATGATGCTATGGTGGGGGCGATGAGGGTGGGGTGATGCGTCGTCATTTCTAGTAAGCCCTGCATGCACATGGACGATTGATATCCTGTGGTTCGCCTTGTGCCTGTCAAGACTTCAGCGTTAACAAAAGTCTTGTCCATTAATACATTCGTGAAGCGTGATGAAAGCTATCTCGTAGGGAAAGCAAGATAGATCTACCGTAATAATACAAGTCAAGTCTCAGAAAAAGGGCCGCCCACCCTTCAATAGAATGCAGAGGTCTACTCGATGCTCCCCCGAAATGAACAAGAAAGGAGACCTATTTGTACAGCAAGGAACTTGTTGCTCTAGGTATACTCATCAATCCGAACAGAACCCCTTGGTCCCAACTTTTTTTCCGTTCCCCTCAAAAAAAGGCACAGGTGTCGTGAAAGCATCAGAGGATATCAAACATGAAGAAAGATCAAAACATCAAATGAGTCGTGCGGAATTAAGCCTTCCACTTGACTTCGTCCCAGGTCTCATATTCGCGCTTCAGACTCTTCTGAACCCAGACCAGGGTGATTCCAGCCCAGATACCTGCCCAGATGAAGGGCACAACCCAACCGACCTAATACAGTTATTATCAGAACCATTAGTTGGAGGCACAAGAAACTTACCACATAGGCTGCATCCCTCTGGATAGTGAAAATGAGGGCAGTGGTAATGGCCGCGATAGCGCAGGCACCGAATGCCCAGAAGAGCGTGAGGCGGTGCAGCATGAGGCGGAAGTGGTGGCTGGCCATGTAGCGCAGGTTGAGGCGCTGGCGGAACTCGGTGCCGCCGCTACCGTCGACGGCGCAGATGTCCTCGATGATCGAGTAGATGCCCGGGCGCAGCGGCGAGCCGCGGGGCAGCGACGAAATGCGGATCGGGGCGCGGTATCCGGCGATGCGGGCGATGTCCATGACCAGCATCTCGACGCCGAAGGCGAAGACCATGCTCGGAACCGGCATGGCCAGCAGGCGGATCGGCGGCTCTTCCGGCACGGTGCCGACGATCAGCTCGATCATCACGGCTATCCAGGCGACGGAGAGATTCCAGTGGAACCAATCAAGCTGGTTGCAGGTTAGACAGACGTGTAAGCGACAAGAAGGTGGTGCATGTAACTCACATAGAAGCGCTTGGCGCCAATGACTCGGCAAGTCGAGCCCTTCTTCCATAGCCGGTGGAAACGGATGAAGTATTCAAAGATCGAGACGCTTCCGAGGGCGCCGGTGCTGATGCTGAAAACAGCATTGTGAGATAAGCTCGTTCCGTACCAGAGACCAAAGTATAGAGCGATTGGCATGCAAACGCAATCCAGAATAATCAACAGCCAGAACCAGAAAATGCTCTTCTTCCGTGTGCGCAGGGTGTAGTTGAGCTCGGGCGGATGCGTGAAGTCCGGGTCCTCGTAGCGGACTTGGGTGTTGGCATTCATGGCGTTGATGGACGAGGCGCGCGTGGATCCGGGCCTGCTTGGCGACGGCGTCGAGGACGAGCCGGGCGTGGACTCCTTGTTGTTATTGGCATTATTGGCACCTGGGACCTGCAGAAGGCCGGCTATGCTCCCGGTAGGGTCGTATGGAGGCTGGCTGGGTCTCCGTTCCTGAGGTGGTGCGAAGTCGACCTGGGTAACGGGCAACTCGGTGCCGTTGGTCATTTTGTCAGGGTTATTTCTGGCCTTGCAATTGGGGCACGAAGAAAATAATCTGGCGTTGGAGTGGTGAGCGAGAGAGAATTACGACGACATAAGAAGGGCGGCGCCGGGATAGTGAGGGGCTTGCAGAGGGAAGTGCAGGTGAGGGTGGGCGGATATCGGGAGAAGAAAGGCTTCGATGGTCTCGCCGCGTCCGGCCGGCTCCTAACGGTGATGTTATGGCGGACAAGGAATAACAGCATGACGTAGGCGCCAAGCCTCCGCCGGGCCCGGGCGAATCACGCGCGGCGACAAGGTGACCAAGCTTCACCACGCCCAGTCTTCTTATGCTCCTCTGCCTTGCCCTCAACACTCTCCCGCCCCGACATTACGTGTGCTGACCTTCGTACGAGAATGCTCCGCCCGCGATCGCGATGCGTTTCGCTCAGCGACTCCTCACTCTGCCGTGCCTCGCGACCGCTGCCGCCGTCTTAAATCTCCAAGCGCCGCTTCAGCCCTCAGCTCCCGCCACTCTCTCGCCTAATATCTCAACAGCGCTGTTTGCCGAGCTCGAGGAGCTCGCGCGCATCGTCGACATCTCATACTGCGTCGGCGTCACTGGCCTGGGCATTGCGAAGCCGTTCACCTGCGCCAGTCGCTGCAATGAATTCCCCGACTTCGAGTTGGTGAAAGTACGGCTCTGATGAGCTATTAGGGGCCCACGCTATAGCTGACAGTCACAGGCCTGGAACACTGGTCCTCTCCTTTCCGATTCTTGTGGCTACATCGCTTTGTCGCATCCTCCCTCGGTCCCGCGCATCATCCTAGCGTTTCGCGGGACGTATTCCCTTGCCAACACCATTGTGGACTTGTCGACTGTTCCGCAGGAGTATATCCCGTACCCTGGAGAGGATGATGGAGGCGATGATGATGACGCGCCGGACGCGAAGCCTCCCAAGTGTGCAAACTGCACCGTCCATACTGGATTTTACCAGTCCTGGATCAACACGCGAGAAGTCGTTCTACCACACGTTGTCGAAGCAATGGAAAAGCACCCGGACTACAAGCTGACCCTGGTCGGGCATTCGTTGGGCGGTGCGGTGGCTGCGCTGGCCGCGCTAGATTTCAAGGCTCGTGGCTGGGACCCGCATGTGACCACATTTGGAGAACCACGTGTCGGCAACGAAGGCCTGGTGCACTACATCGACAGCCGGTTCAACGTGGGAGAGAACATGACGACTGTTGGGAAAGACACGGACATCCGGTTCAGGCGGGTCACGCACGTGTCGGATCCCGTGCCGCTGCTGCCCCTGGAAGAATGGGGATACCACATGCATGGCGGGGAGATCTACATCGACAAGGCTGACCTGCCGCCGAGTGTTGCCGATATCCGCGTCTGCTCAGCTGACGAAGATCTGGACTGCATCGCCGGCGGCGATCACGGCGCGTGGATCCCTGCGCGGTTCAAGCTCTGGCAGCTCTTCTGGGCCCATCGTGACTATTTCTGGAGGCTGGGGCTCTGCGTCCCTGGTGGCGATCCCTGGGATTGGAAGGGCAGGTACCCACCCAGTGGAAAAAAATCTCCCAAGTCGGAATGAGCTTTGGCCTACGAGGTGATTAATTTGTGGACAAAATTGGGGTAATGGTACGCTATTTGCAGACTCAGTTTGGTTGAAAACCGGGTTGGGCGGGTTGGCTGGTAATGGAAGGTGCACGAAATTGATCTCATGGAGTAATTCGGGGTGTTGTTATCACGGCATGTTAATGAACTTTTCCAGCGTCAAGTATGGCCGGACGCTGGGATGCACTTGTACAGTTGACGCGTTGCGCAGTACGTGGGTTAATAACTTCCCTACAACGGTGGAGATGAAATGCTCATTCACTGGCATTATTCTCTCATTCAGATTGTCCATCCACTGGCGGGGAAAAAAAAAGCTGGGTAGTTGCTTTAATGGGGAAACCGGCAAAAACAGTTAATACAATTAATCATTATCCCCCGGTGCATGACTGAAGGGATTACACAGGGCTTGTAGGAAATGTAAGCAATGACAACTGCTCTGGACGACCGAAATGACGGGCTTAAACTTAACCCTAAGCTATAGAGCTACTAGTACACCTTCATACAAACTACATGCTCTGTTTCCTCTTCCTCCTTGCTGTTTGGTTCGCCTCCATGTCCTTCCTTCCCTCCCGACCAACGTTACTGTCGTCAAAAGCCATAATTTCTGGAAATGGCGATTCTACATCCTCATGGCCATTGTCATTCTCAGGAGGAACTAAAAAAAAAAAAAAAGCAGCGATCAGGTCCTCGTAGAGCTTGAATGGTTTTCCGACGAGATGGCGCCTTACCTTTGAGAGTTTTTGCTAAAATCAGCTCTCACACACTTGCCCTTTAGTTGACATGGTCGAGGAATCCAGGATGACTGCCTAAGGCGACTATGATGACGGCAGCGATGCTCATTAAAGGAGTATTCTGTTGCGGAAACCCCGAAAGCGTAATTCGGTTCCCGACATATACGCCGGTCCAGTTAACGCTAGTGAAAGTGCATCTTCAGGTTATCCTTTCAAATAAATTTTTTAATACACCCCTTGACACGGCAGAGAAAGGATTTCTCCAATCTGGCGCTGCAGAGCCTTCTCGAGAGAGCACCTAGCCTCGTGCTTTTCAACAAGGGTTCACCATGGCGATGAGAAGGTACAACCGGATGTGTAGTACTCGCATGGATTCCAGAAGACGGAGACCAACTCCTTAGCGGAGGACGTGAGTTCATCATCCGTCAGGCCACGGTGTTGTCCAATAACGTTGGTGCGGCTTTTTCGAGTGATGTTGATGGGAAGGAGGGATGGCAGGGGAGTCAACACCCCGGCTCTCTTTTGAAAAGTAAAAACAAAATATCAAAAAGCCACGCGTGAAAAAAAAAGCAACAAATAAATGAAGGTTATGGAGGGTTTAAAATAACAATATGATATCATTCTAGCTCTGAACAGATGCAACCGCTACTGAACTACTGCCTTTTATCTGCATGTAAGCCCAAACTTGCCTTTCTTGATGAGTTCGATGATCAAACATATTCTTTGAGCGCCCTAGTTCTCGGTTACACCAACTGTATAATGAACTGAAGATGAGCCGAACCAAGAATATTCCTCAACAATTGTGGCAGGGACCACTGGTAGACTTCTTTGTGTCATCACAGTACCAACCTGATTGCGGTTATCCTAAAAATTCCGGATATGCTTGGAGAGTTGGGCATTAAGGATAGAGCAAACATGCGGGCCTTCAGGGTCAACGGAGTTTGCCATCGTTAGGCAGACAAGTGTTGGTGTACACGTTATACAGTTTTGAAAACTGGAATTGATCACTCTTGGTGATAGCGTGATGTGGCAGAAGGAATGGCGAGGTGGTCCCATGGGCAGGCGAAGCAGATGTCATGCAACAACTTCAGCAGGTCGGTTGCAATACAATAATTTGACTTGTGAAACGTGGTTGCGAAGGATGAAATTGCTGTATGCATGTGGTTCACCCACGCGTCTTCCACGTCATGCGCAACGAGTGACTCGTGTTCCTGGTGGGCAAGCAGGCATCTGCGAATTTTTTCTTTTCCGAAGGCGGCCACGGCTCGTATACGGCAGGCGGCACTTGACAAAGGTGGGGTGTGATTCGAGGACTCCGGTACCTGAGAGGCGCGCGGCTGGCACGATCGCTGCTCAGATCTCGGGGCGGTGCGTCGTGATATGGGGTGGCGGGAGGGTGTGCCTCGCGATTCCTTGCAAGCAGCGGATCTCAAACATTTTGGCCACGGCCCCCGCTGCATGACTCGGCCTGCGCCGTTCCGGGGCACAGCACCGTCCGCACCTCGCGCGCTGATGTATGCCAAGGCCGGGGAGATTAGGTCGTCGAGGGCCATTCTAGGTGAGACGGCGGCGAGCGGGCGCGGCGTTGGGCGACAACGCCGTGACTCTGGTTCACGTGTGCATGGAGCCAGTCATGCCGTCCACGCACGGGATGCCAGGTCCCTGCGGCGTCATTGCGCGATTTGAAGCGGAGCTGCAGCTCTATTTTCGTTGGTCAAGCTTCGAGCGCCGCCCAAAGCGTGCCCTGGATCGTATCGCGCCGGCCACCACCTCTGCGACTCTCCGCTCGCGCGCCCGCCGTCACCCCTACAACCCATCCAGGCCCCAGCACCGCCGGCCGCGACACCAAGCCCGCGAGCCCATTCCCCAGCACCACATAGCCCAGCATCCGCTACCGCTCCGCGCGCGCGCCCTGAGCCCACCTCGCGCCGCCTCAATTCGCTGCGACCCGCCCGCCCGCAGACCAGCCCACCGAGCCACATAATTCAGGGCCCGCGCCTCCAAGCTCTTGCTCTCCTGCCCAGGAGCCCGCGAGCCGCAAGCCCGCGAGTCCTCAGGAGCGCAAGTCCTCCCGCATAGCCTGACCGACCCCGAGCTGCTCGACGCCGCTGGCGCCCCGCCAGCAGCAGCCTCGCCGCACATGGGCAACGTCAACAGTCGCCAGGGCGAGGGCGACCCTCTGTTCCTGCGCGACCAGAATCGCTGTGCGTCGGGCCTTGCGCGACCCTCTCCTGAAGCCACGCTGACCTCTTTGTGCAGTCTCCATCGCCGCCATCACCGTCACCAACGCGCGCGGCCGCCTCCTCTTGAACATCACCCCGAACGCCTTCCCCGCCACCCGGTACAATGCGAGGCGGGACTTCGGAGACGACAGCGTCGTGGAATACGTTCAGGTACGCCGCCGAACGCCCGCCGCGGAAAAAAGCGGGGTTCACACTGACTTCCGCCTGATAGGACCCCGAAACCTCTCCCGCTGCGCCGCCCAGCTTCCTGATCCGCCTGCTGAACGACGATGAGCTCACCTTCAACTTCACCTTTGTTCTCCGCCAAACCAAGGCTTTCCAGACCGCGAGCAATCCCGCCATCCCCGTCAGCACGCTTGCGCCTGTGGACACCGTCATCAATGGCCTCACCTTTCTATTCGCGGGCAGCAGCAAAGAGCTGGAAAACTTGGTGACCAGAGAATTCCACGCGGACCCCAATCTGCACAAAAACCCAAATGTTGAATTGGTGGGCGATTATTCGACAATGGGCAGCCCGTCCGTTCAATTTCAATGGTCCTGGAAGTGGAGGCCTCCGCGCGTTCTGGAGGATAGAGGCGGCGGCTGGAGGAACGCCTGCAGCGTAGGTTTGCGCTCGGTCCCGTCGAGAAATTGCTAACGATCTGCCAGTTTGTGGAGTATGATCCCCGCGCGCACCGCTTGGATACACTGGCAACTTTTGCTTTCTGGGTCCAAAGTAAGGAATGATCTGTAATGTTTGAAACAATGTGCTAACTGATCCAAGACACGCAGAAACCCGCTCCTCTCAGCCCCAAGACACCGTCCCCACTCCTGGAATTGAGCGTGCCTCCCAGACTCCGCGTTCCTTCTGCTCAGTCAATTGAATCTCGTGTCAGCGACTCGGACGGTGCTGAGTACAAGGAGATCCGCGAACCCGTTTCGCCCGCGATTGAGGCCATTCCGGAGCACGCCTTGGGCCTGGTTCCGACGCACAACACATATTCGAGCAATATTCTCACCCTAACCAACACTAATAACACCAGCCCCGTCAAAGTCGACCTATCCTGTCAACGACCGGCCGAGGATATCAGTGCTTTGGATGATGGACCCGTTTTCCGCGCGAACCTCAAGAATTTCGAGAAGAACACGTCAGACATGCGTTCGAAGTGGAAGCGGGTGTTGAAGAAGGCGGAAGCTACAATGGATGCCCAGGTCATCAGTAACAATGCAGTCGCGGAGCTCATCGAAGCTTTGAAGGACACGGCGACCCCGAACTCGAACTCGGTGCAACCGGCCATTGACCATTATTTTGACAAAATCGCGCGCGAAATCCTGGCCTACGAAAAGCTCAACACCATCAATGTCCAAAAACTGATCATCGAACCCATTTCTAAGCTCTACAATGTCGATATCAAACAAGCGGAATCCAAGAAGAAGGATTTCGAAGAGGAGAGCAAAGAATACTATTCATACGTCAGCCGTTATCTCGGACAGAGGCAGGACTCGATGAAGGAGAAGAGGCGGACAGAGACGGATACAAAATACCAGACGAAACGCCGGAATTTTGAGCTGAAGCGCTTTGATTATTCTTCCTACATCCAGGATCTGAACGGTGGAAGGAAGAATCAGGAAGTCCTCTCGTACCTCACAAAGTATGCGGATGCACAAGCCAAGGGTTTCATGGCGACGGCCGACAAAGTCAAGTCGATGCTCCCGCAGCTCGAGGCACTCACTCAAGAAGTCAAGGAGGCTGACAAGGAGTTCCAACTCCAACGTGCCGAACGTGAGGAGAAGCGAAGAGCTCTTGAGAAGAGTGGAAGTGCCTACAAAGAACCTGAGCCTTCTACAATGTCAACTCTGGCGCAGGCGAATGGAAGAGCCGTCCCTCTAGATGAAGTACGCTCCGACAGCATAGCACCTGTATTCAAGAGCACTGTCTCTCCACCTCCGCAAATAGGATCTCCGCCCTCGACTGCAGCCATGCCGGTTACCCCGGGATTAAACAGCGGACCGTCCTCTGGATCGCTTCCGGCTACTAGCCCTGGTCAGAACAACAAATTCAAAGGTATCCGCGACCTTGAAGACAAAGCAGGTGGAGATGGCCAAGACGCGCATCCTCCTCATAAGGAAGGCTTGCTCTGGGCACTCAGCAGACCTGGAAGCCATATCGATCCAAAGGGCTTGAACAAGCAAGCCTGGCACAAGTAAGTGGATTTTCTGGTTCCAGGCCCTCGTTTGCTAAATCATGTGTAGATTCTGGATAACGGTCGGCGAGGGCAAACTTTCTGAGTACTCTGACTGGAAGAACAAGATGAACTTGCACATGACGCCGATTGACCTTCGCGTGGCCTCGGTTCGAGAAGCTCGCAACTCCGAAAGACGATTTTGTTTCGAGGTCATCACGCCCCAGTTTACGCGCGTCTACCAGACCACGGGCGAAGACGAACTCAGGACCTGGATCAACGCGATTAATAATGCGCTGCAAACTGCTGTAGAGAACAAGGGCATTGCCGACCCCGTGCCCACGGAATCGTTGGACAAGTCAACACGCAGGGACATCGCCTCGGTCCTTACTGGCAAGAGCACGTCGCTCTCTGGCCACAGGAATTCTGGAAATACGAGCAAAGACAAGCCTGTGTCACGTCACGCGACGGTCGGCGACAGGCCTTCGTACCGTAGCCCTGAAGCCGCTGGAGAAGCTAACAAACTCCTCGAGCAGATCCGCGAAGCTGACGCCGGGAACAAGTATTGCGCAGACTGCGGATCAGAGAGCAAGGTCGACTGGGTGTCGATCAACCTCGGAATCGTGGTTTGCATCGAATGCAGCGGAATCCATCGTTCTTTAGGAACTCATATCTCAAAGGTCCGCTCACTCACGTTGGACGTTCATTCATTCACGACAGATATTATCGAATTGCTCTTCAAGATCGGCAACCGCGTCAGCAATATGATTTGGGAGGCCAAGCTTGAGGGGACTCTGAAGCCTGGACCTACGTCTACTCGAGAGCAGCGCCTGAAGTTCATCAACCAGAAATATGCGGAGCGAGCCTTTGTTCAGCCGATTTCCGCAACACTCTCACACTATGCAACGCCAGAGGAGACGCTTCTTGCGTCTGTCAAGAAGAACGATATCCAGAACGTGCTATATGCCCTTGCGCTGAAGGCGAGCCCCAACGCGACAGACAAGTCCCGCAGCACCCCGGCTGTTTACCTTGCGCTCTCGGCCGCGGATCCGGCGTCTCCTGCAGACACTGCCTCACCCGCTAGCTCACCCGGTCAACCTCCTCAAGGTGCCCCTACCGCGGGTCGGAAATCCTTCCCGGTGGCAGAGTTGTTGATGCAGAACGGAGCTGACATACCAAACACGCCATCGCCCTTCCCGTTGAGCATATCGGCACGATTGTACCTGGAGCAGAAGCAAGACCAGCGTGACGGAAGACGCCCCGGGGCGAGCAGCACTCAAAATGGTAATAATGCTTCCAACAGCAGTGGTGGCGACACCATAACCGCTCTGCCAACTATCATGGCAGGCAATGGAAGCTCACCAGGTGAGCGTACCAAAGAAAGAGATGCCAAGTTGCAGAAGCGTGTGTCAGCGGGCGGAAGGCTGATGAAGTCCGATGAATCATATAGTTCGCGGCGGATGTTCTGAAGTTTAAGAGAGGCGTCTGGCGTTACGAGAAGGAAGGCCAGAGTGAGGAGAGTCCCCATGTGGTCACGGTTTGCTGCGAAAGTCATGTGCCTGGAGCGAAAACGGTTGGTGGATTCTTAAAGTATCATGTTTTGTTTTTGTGTGTGTATGCGAGGCGGGCGGCTCTCTGGACTTCATTTCTTTTTCTCTTTTTTTTTTCGCGCCTTTGCGAGCTTCGCGGGATTCCCCCATTTTCCTCTCCTCGGCGAGCGAAGCAATATCCTTTTTTGTTACACCCCTGTGCAAAGGCGTTTTTGGTATGATGGAACTCTGGTGTGGCAAATGTTGCTGAAAAGGTTGGCCGGCAAAGCAGGGACACGGACAACAACACTCCTCTTCGATTTCCTGCTACAGGTTTTCTCCTTTCCTCGTGGGGCCAGAGGCGTTTGGATGATCGGAGCGGGATGGTGGTTGCAGCAGCGGCTTTTCTTGCAGATCTTGCCGTTGGATAAGGACCACTCCCAGTGATGGTTTTTCTCTCGAAACCCGACGAGTATTCCTTGGATTTTATGGGGCAAGGTGACGAGAAAGGACGACCAGGGAGGTTCTTTGCTTTTCTTTTCCTTTTAATTCTTTTTCTTCTACGTTTACTACCCTTCACGCCCCCCTCGTTTGTTTTGTTCAGCAACGAGGTGTCTGTGCTAGTAGCTGCTTTATTTTCTTTTTTTTCCCTCTAAACTCCCCTTACCGCATTCGTCGGGCGGCTACTCTGCGTAATCCCCTTTGGTTGGTTCTCTGCTTTTCCTCCTCTTGCTCTTCGCTGTGTTCATTTTCTTTTGGCAAAGCTCTTACTCCCCCCCGTCTCGCTTATGTTTGGTACTCTCGACGCTTGCGCGTGGGCTCTATGCGTGCGGATATGAATAGTGGGAGGTGGGGTGGTTAAATGGAGGATAGGGAAAGGGAATGACAGGACGGTCAGGTGAAGGGAATCATAATCTGTAATGAGTATCAGGGACGCGATGCCATCGTTTTTGTGTTTTTTTTTCCCTTGATTGGAGTGGCACAGAGAGAGAAGGCTGATGCAAGCTGTGGGGCTACGGCAACAGAGCAAGAAGTAGACGAACAAAACAACCCTTCTATTTCTTTAATCAGTGCCTGAAAGTGATATTGTCAATTGTTTTCCTTTTCGGGGGTTGCTGGTGGCCTTGTCGATTTGGGTTCTGCGGTATTGAGATTGGCCATGACTTGGCCACTACAGGTTGGTACGTACATACGGACGTACTTGTTTTTAGGACCGAATAAAAAGAGGCTTAACTACTGGCGGGTCAGGGATGGTGGTGGTTCGGCAGTTGAGTCCATCTGCCGATGCTGCCGGCCGGGCCGAATGGATGTGGCTGCTGCGTCAGTTCCGGTTTCCGGGGCCTGCAGGGTCAAAGAATCAAGCAAAATTAAGCATTGGCGACGCTTCTGCGGCATCCAGGGCATCGGGACCTATCAACGTCGTGTCTCAGCGAGCTGCATTCGGACGTTCCTCCCCACTTTGCTTCAAATATCAATTGAATCTGCGTTCCAGGTCCTCTCCAGACGTTCTTCAATTCTGCTCTCGTCGCATCATCAAGCGAAGCACAAATAAAACCGCCTAAAGAGGTAGAAAGGAAAAAAGACCGTGGGAAAGCGGACACCATGCCGTCAACGCAGGAAAATCCAGCCACGACGACGACGACGGCGTCCGAGGCCGACCAGCAGCAGCAGCAGCAACCCTCCTTCTCCATCGACGCGCACAAGGCCGCTATCCGCGCGCGCATCTGGACCAAGCTGCGCGACGTGGCGCTACCGGACTCACGCTTCGACTACGACTTCTCGTCCTTCATCGCCGACTTTTCCGGGTCGTCGGCGGCCACCGACTTGCTGCTGGCGGAGCCGTGGTGGCGGGCGGCGCGGCTGGTCTTCATCACGCCGGACAACTGCCTCGAGGAGCTGCGGGCGCGGGCGCTGGCGCAGGGCAAGACGGTGCTGGCGACGACGTACGCGATACGGCGGGGGTTCGTGGTCGTGGGGCCCGAGGACGTGGAGAGGGATGGGAGGGGGCCCTGGTACGCGGCGACGCTGGATGGGATGGAGAAGGTGGGCAGGCGGGTGGGGTTGGAGGAGATTATGGGGCAGCGGTGGAAGGTGGATGTCATGGTGACGGGGACGGGGGCGGTGGGGGATTCCGGCGTTAGGTTTGGGAAGGGCCACGGCTTTTTCGACCTCGAGTGGGCGATGCTGTACTCGGTCGGCGCGGTGGATATGGGGGCCACGACGGTGGTGGGCGTCGTGCACGACTGCCAGGTTGTGGGGAGGGATGAGGTGGAGCTGCGACCGGATGTGTTCGATACGGTCTGTGATGTCGTTGTTACGCCGACGAGGGTGATGAGGGTGGAGGCTGCGGTGAAGCCGGCTGTGGGGATTTTGTGGGAGAGGTTGGCGGCGGGGATGGAGGAGAGTATACCGCCGTTAAGGGAGTTGAGGGAGATGCAGAGGAGGGAGGGAAAGGAGAGTACGGTGGAGCTTAGGCGTGGTTAAAATCAGGAGGATGTCAGCAGTGATGATAATTAGCCGGAAGGTCGAGATGTATAATGCGTATCAAGTGTTGGATAAAAGACACTGCAGATCTCACGGTAGTAGTCAATCAGTAGGGAGTCGTCTATTAAGCATCACTTTATTTTAGTGCATAACGTTAAACCGAAAACGAAAGGTTGTCTCAGCATATTGACAAATCCTGGAAGACTGGGATACGTGCCATCAGCGTGTGCTGTTGAATCCGATCAGTCCAGCCTTCCAGTCAGCCAGACTTTTGTTGACATGATCCACAGACCAGACGTAGAACTCATTCGGATCGAACGAATCCAGGTCAATTCCACTGTTCAGCATGTCGAACTTCTGGTCCTCAGTGCAAGTCCTGGCGCGAATGTTCCGCTTCAGTTCTTGCCATCGTTCCGGACCACCCGCATCCTCAAAGGGGCACCTTCCCTCGCCATCAGTGCAGGTGAAGGCGGAGGTAGCCGGTTCTCGTCCAGCTATCGTGATGCTGTGATCCCATCCATCGCCAAAATCATAGGTGTAGACGAGTTTTTGTCCTTTGTAGGGCTCCTTGTCAAGCACTTCCCAGAGCTTGACCTTATTGGCAGGCTTTTCTCGTGTTCTCGGGTGCGCATGGGCCTCATCGCCGAACATAGCTTCGGTGCGGGGGTAGATCATTCCCGGTAGGGATTTGATGCGAAGGAGGAACTGACGGGGTTCGGCGGCCATCTGGGCATCGTAGACGCTGGTGTCCTCGTCTTGCAGCTCAGCCAGCTGACGTCTATCCCTGATGCCACTCCGTCTGATATGGTCCATCAAGTTGAACGCGCGCGGCTTGAAGGCCGGGTCTTTGACGCAGAAATCCCAGTTGTGGGTATCGGTCCAACCGAAGGCGAGCTGCAACGCGTAGTGCAGCTCGAGAAATGTCGCGGTGGATGGACACGACAGGGTGCGCTTTACGACAGGGTTGGTGATTTCGCCGGGGCAGATGCAGACGTCGAGGATGCAGTTGGGACGCTTGCAAAATGGCTGATGAGCAGGCCAATGTGCGGCCTGGCAGGCTTTGGAACAGTAAGCGACCGTGCGGCAACGCGAGCAGCGATTGAGCGTTGTGGTGGCGTCTGGTAATTTTTCGCAGCTTGAGCACGTGGCTGGAGGATCATCATTGATGAACGACATCGTGTCTTGGACAAGTGGGGGATGAACAGAGCGTTGGTGATGAAGTCGGAAGAGGGGGTGTTGGGCTGGCAAACGTGTTGAGCCCGATTGCAATTTTTCGATTTTGGCGATTAGCTAAGAGTCTTGGCAGAAGCAAAGCTTTGACGCCTTATTAGAATTGAATCTGTTGTAAACTTGTTTAAAATGTGTTCGAGACTTGGTGCTCACATGTCGTTAACATGTTGCTAACATGTGAGGGTATATTGACTTTTATTCCACATGGAAAATGGTAGTTAGGATAGGTAAGATCTGTCAAGAGATAGACGGTCATAGAGCGCACGAATCCAGGTGTTGAGGGGTTATACAAATCGAAGTGTTGTGGTGTCGTTGTGGGCGACTGCCAAGACCAGTAGCAGAGCCGCAATGCAGTGCGCCCTCCATCCTAATATTTTTGCTCGCCAATAAAAAAAAAGGTTGACGATTAAAATATTTGTATTGGTAAGGTATTGATAAGGAGTCATTTTCAATTCGATTCTGAATCGGTTTGTAGTCAATTCGTATTCAATTCGTGGTAGAATCTAAACCACTGTGAGACAATAAAGCTTAGCGAGGAAGAGCTAGATGAACATTTAAATAGTGGGTCCAACTGATTGGAAGTATCTTCCAAGCTGTGCTGAGCAAACTGGAAGTCTCGAAGAGGTGTTGGAGATGTTAAAAGATAAAGATCGAGTTCTGGGGGGGCATGACCATCAGCAAAGACTGTGTACGCTTAGAGGTGGCACTAAGCTCAATTAGACCCTCTCTTTTAGGTGATTACTATATGCGGCTCTTCGTACTCCAATAGAGGTGTATCAACGGGACGTTGTGGTGTGGACCGCCAAGACCATCAGCAGCGGCTGGCATGACCCGAGCTTCCCGCGTCAGCTTCTACTTCGCACTTCTCGCATTTGCCTTCTTCCCTTGACCGCAGTCGTGGAGCGCCCCAATACAAAGGTCTCGCGATATTTCCACCTTACAGGACGTAGACTGTGAAGCATAATTGAGCTAAAGTCTATGCACTCTCAAGAACCACACACAATAGCCGAAGCGAGAGCATCATGGCTGAAATACAGGAATCCAAGATGGCGACCAACTCGAGCAAGGGCCCCAATGGCAAGTGCAACGAAACAAGAGCTGGTCATGTGCAGAGTCAATTCTGCAGAAAGGGAACAGTATTACACGGGAACGAGGGCGCTTCGCACGAGGTAGCGAGACAACGTGAGCGATGACGTAAAAGCTGAAAATTTGTTCCACCGACGGAAGGCGCGGCACAGCATGGACGACGTTTCGCCAGGACACGAGGAGCTGCAGTATATCCCGGAGCAGCGTCACCTAGGGATCGAAAGTGCAAAAAGGGAGGCAGAAACCAGGAGGTCAGCACGAAGAACGCAGGATATCGCCGGGTACCACGTCGGCGACGAGCTGCACAACGGCCGGGAGAGGCGCAGCTGCCGAGACGCACAAGCATCGCCCGCGAAAAGCTTGAGTCGGCCCTTTCGCATTCCAGTCCACATCAGCTCACGAATGGCCCATTTGCGTGAAACGGCGGACCGCGACCAAGGTCGAAACCAGACGCTACTGCGCCTCTTCCGCCTTGCCTCCCGACCTTCACACATCGCACCTATTCAATCGGTGGCAATGCAACGCTCCAGAAACGGGCATAGCATGGGGTGACGGCTGCAGACCCTGAGCGAGCCACATTCGGACAATGACGCAAAGGGCAAGATGAGCAGCGGCTTATCTTCACCTTTCACCAACGCCTGTTCGCTAGCTTATCTCCACTATTTATCTCGGCCCAGCTCGGACACCATGCCCCGGTTTCTTTTCTATTCCCGCGACCTCCGCCCTGAAAGAAATCCGCGTCTCGCCCTCCTCTCCAATTTCTACTGCCTCGCTCCCCACTGCCTCCCGTCGGCCAGCTCCGATCTCCGCCTCCTGCCCCGTCCCCTACCATGGCGACGACGCCTCCCAAGACTGCCGAAGAGAAGGATCTCAGCGCAGGGGACATGGAGGGCCACGCGCGCCACGCCTCTGCCGCTCTCCACGCCCTCGATCTCGTCAAGAAGCACGACCAACACCACCCCGTGCACTGGCCGACGTGGAAGAAGTGGGCCATTACCACCGTCTACTGCCTGCTCCAGACCTTCGTCACCCTTACCTCGACCAGCTATGTCAGCGCCGAAACCGCTATCCAAGAGAAGTTTGGCGGCAGCACTCAGGTCGTCACTTTGGGCCAGTCCATGTTCATAGTTGGCAATGCTGTCGGTCCCGCCTTCTTGGGGCCCTTGTCGTAAGCAGCGACGATTCTGCGCGCGTATCATGCGGTAGAGCTTGCGTGTGCTGAGCTTGTCTAGTGACATCGGCGGCCGTAAATGGGTCTACGTCATTTCCATCCTAGTCTACGCCATCTTAAACATTGTAAGTTGCCCGGAGCTCGCCTAGACAAAGCGATTGCTAATTCGAACGCTTTCACTCGTCTAGGGCACCGCTTTAGCGAGGAATCTCCCCATGCTCATCATCTTCCAATTCCTGTGTGGTGCTGCTGGGAGCACGGCGCTCTCCAACGTCGCCGGTACCATTGCGGATCTGTTCGCCGACGCGGACAATGCCGCACAGCCGATGGGCCTCTTTGTGGCTTCGGCCAACATTGGCCCCAGTCTGGGCTCTCCCGTAGGCGAGTGGATCGCCTTCTTGAACCCGAACATGGGATGGAGGTGGATCTTCTGGATCAAGTAAGTGACGCTTGGACAAGTTTCACACCCTAAAATCTTCCCGCCAATAGTCAAAATCCGGGGTCCTAAGGTGCTGACATAATGCAGTGTCATCATTGGAGGAGCCTTCTCCGCCATCATGTGCTTCGTCCCAGAGACACTCCCCCGCGTGGTAATTGCCAGGGCTGTGAAAAACGCAGAAGCCGCCGACCCAGATGAAGTTGCTGTTGCCCAGACGAAGGTCAATGTTTTCCAGGAGATCCGCTTCATTTTCACCATGGCCATCAGAATCATGGTTTTGGAGCCCATCGTGACCTTTTTGGCCATCTACAACGGCTTCGCCTATGGTCTCCTTTTCCTCTACCTGGACGGCGTTTTCGACGTCTTCGTCGTCAACAACGAACTCAGCTACATTGGCGCCGACCTGACTTACCTCAACTTCGTTGTTGGTGTCACGCTCATGTTCTTGTTCCTGCCGGTCCAGACCTGGTTCTACAAGCGCGACAGGGAAAGTCGTGGTGGTACCGGCCGCCCGGAAGCTCGGTTTTTGGTTTCCCTGGTCACCGTTTGGGGTTTTCCCATCTCTCTGTTCTGGTTTGCTTTCACCAGCGACGGAAACACGAGCTTCTGGTCCCCAGTCATTGCTGGTGCGGTCTTGGGCTTCGCTGATCCCCTCCTGTATTTGGGCATGTTGAACTACATCACCGGTAAGCTCGAGGATGCGAAATTCGCAGAGAAGAACACTACTTACAAGGCTGCAGACTCCTACCCGAACGTGGCCGCCTCCGCCATCGCCGCGTTCTTGATTCCTTCCTTCACCCTTGCTGCCGCATTCGCCCACATCGGACTCATCATGTTCGAAAACCTCGGTACTACCTGGGCTATGGCCTGCCTGGCTTTCATTAGCTTAGGCATTGTGGCTCTCGTCTACCTGCTGTACTTCTTCGGTCCCTGGTTGAGACGGAAATCCAAGTTGGCCAAGTCATTCTAAAGGCTTGCACTTTTCTTTCAACATCTGGTCATTGGAGAGGAAGATTCCCACTTTGCTTTAGATTTGGTTTGGGTCAAAAATTAGGAGTATCGACAGGATTCCCGGGTGTTCACTAGCGACAAAAAAAAAAGATTCGGAAAAGGCCTGTCCCAAGGACCCTCTGAAGTGTCCTGCCGCTTATGGCATGAAACCATATAAATATCTGGACCGCCGATCTTCCACCAGCGCCTGGCTCTTTGTATTTCATAGACGTCGCTGCTGGTAGGTATGAGGGGCATCGTCCATGTCGAACACGATTCTGCGCCGAACTTGTGTCAGCCTCCGACCATAAATGAAGAGATGCAAGCGCGCCATCCTCGAGAGTTTCAAATACAGGAAAGCTACCGCTGAGGACAAGTCTGACGACTCCAACCAATGCATAATTGGTCATGTTTGTCGGGTCCGCCATGCTCACTCTGAGACGACGAAAGCACTGCGGTCACTACACTGGCTCTGCCATCCTTGCCGCAAGAGGCCATGATCATATGATCTGCAACATCTCTTCCAAGGCGGAAGTGCTCGCAGTCGCCTTAACGGGTGTATTCGTCTTCATTTGTGTGTGTTCGTGTTGGTGTCTCCAGCTCTCCAGCAGAATACCAGTTTAACACGAACATGGCTATAGAAGATTACAAGATGTTGAGATCAGCACAACTGACAGGTATATGGAAATGGACAGTTTATGACCTCTGAAGAAGCATTTTGCAGGCTTGAATACGCTGATCTTGTTACAACAAACAGGAATCCCGTTATGGAAAACTCGTCAAGAAATTCCACAAGCGTAAAAGGCCCGACCTCCAGACAATCTCACAACGTTAACCCTACTCTCTTTTCATTTGTCCATGCCGTAAGTGAGTTACCAATGCAAATTCGGTGAGCCGTCCGATGCGTATCCAGACCCGCGCTTATTGGATTCGTCTTGGTTTCCTGTCAGCTCAGCCTTCTTCCGATCAATTTGAATCTTCCAATCCTTCGTATCTTCCGAATCCAGAGTTACCCGGTAACGCTCGGACTGAATAAAGTCGTTGAGAAAAGTGTTGAAGCGAGCAAGGATCATGCCACAAGTCTCGCCGTGCCCTTCAGGAAAGGTGACTTTGAAGTCCTGCATTTTCGCAAGCAGTTCGGAAACACTCCAGTTGATATCCTCGTGAGTCTTGCGTTCGGGCCAGAGCTCTGCTTCTTGGAGGGACAGGATCAAGGAGCCCAAGGCTACGCTATCGCAAACATTTTGATGAGACTTATTCTTACAGCAGAAAATCCGTTGCTCATTAGCGATAAGGTACTCATCCACCAGCTCGTAACATGCTTGAAGTAAACGTTCCAAGGCTGTCGATCGGCCATGGTGAATGAGTCCTGGGAGAACCAGGTCAGCCTTTCCTAAATTCTTCTAATCTTCTACGCCCTTCTCCGACTGACCTTGGATAGATGGAGGAAACCGCTTTCCTTCTTCTTTGGAAGAAGACATCACAATCCCATCAGGCGTCACGCATTCTTCGTCGTAGTTCAGTTTCACCGTCAAGATCAGACGGTCCACGATCTCCCGGAAAGTCTCTTCCTCCCCAAAAGCCCATGCAACGTAAAGCACCTCCTCACGCCCCGGCATGAGCGCTTTAGATTTCACCGCATCCCACCACCCCGCCACCAGGGCCGCAACAGCTTAGTCGCGCGATATGCATGTGCTACCTGCGCCACGGCCGACACCTTTTCCAGCTCCAGCTGCGCCGGCACGCGGTAGAAGTGCAGGTGCGCTATGTTCATCAGAACCTCCATGCCGCGCGCATCGTCGGGCAGGAGCAGCGGCTCGACGCCGGGGATGGGCTTCGGTTCCGTGTAGAAGCCGCGGCGTGAGAGCCAGAGCTTGAACCGCTCCGAGATGAGTGATATGACCTGGCTCGAGACGACGAAGATGATGTAGGGCCGCTCCTCGTCCGACGTGTCGGGCGAGTTGAGGAAGAGTTGCGTGTCGCCGTCCGGGGCGAAAAAGACGGTTTCCAGCGGTGGAGTGGATGGTCGATCCTGATCGCCGTCTTCCATCCGTGGTGAAGGAGGTCCATACATGGACATGATGTATAGAACAAATTTTAGGGATGGGGAATACTGAGGGTGAGAATGGAATTCAACGTGCGGGGAAGAACACTGTCCGCAAGAGATGAGATGAAAGGGCGCCGGAGAGGAAGAAAAAAAACTTAAGGGCAGGGGTCAAGTCGACCTGGCACATGAGCAGGACTGTGGATTTGTGCTCCCTGGTGTGGTTTCATGCGTGTAACCAACACCACCACCAAATGTCGCCCATCGTTCCACCTTATTATCCCCAAGAAAACCCCAGCGCTTGAAAGATATATATTATGGACAGCACCATTCTAGAATATAATCGTTTCATTTGTAACTGCATAAGAATTTCGTCGTGCGTGGCTTCATTGTTCAAAGCAGGTGGGCCAGCGGCTTCCGCTTTAAGAAGCAAACATTAGTCCATTGCAAAGGTACACTTAGACTTTCCGCTTCTCTACCTCGCTACTTCTAACCACATATTCAAGTTATGCTTCGCTTCTGCTACAAATCTCTTAGTTCTTTGCTAGGAAATTCTCCAGCGCGATTTCTCCAGAGCGTACCAACATTTTTACCTACTAATAACTGACTGCTGTGGTATAATTGCGCATCGCCTAAGACAATGACGTTCCGTCCCTTTTCAGAAACAGAGGGGTAGAACTCTCACTTGATTGTTAGATAGCCACTTTGCGGACTCTACAACAAGATACTTCAAGATGCTATTTACCATGCACACCACGATACGATTGTAAATGAGAATCACAATGTAACATTACTAGTACTATATCCTCAACTAAATTAAAGTCTACAGTAAGAGCCCCCAGGCGGGTCTGTGAAGAAGCTCAGATATCCTATTTCGAGGGGCCGACCAGGTAAGCTTTGCACAGGCAGTGTACGCAGAGTCAGACTACAGAGCTCCTCTCAGAGACTGACTTAGTTAACATGCGTTCCCTTCTCTAGCGACTGCCAGAATGGAAGAAGCTTCAGAGAGAAGAGTTCATCGACGCATCGCAGGCCGATGGTGTTGATCTGCAGGAATGGTTCGAGGAAAGACCGGAAAATTTGCAGACAGAAGCGAGAGATATCATTCGCAGAGTACTATCAAGCCTGCAGTACACTGGCGTCAACGACAACTCTGACATGGTGGTGAGGTGGATTATTCCTGGAAAACGGTTTCGACGATTCAGTATGCCATACAAGGACCAGAACGCGTAGGCAAAAAAACTGGCCAACTCGGAAGACTGTGCGGCCTTCGTGCAAGAGTAGTAAGGAGAAGCCGGACCAAAGTAGGCATCTTTGCTAGTACCGAGCCCCAAGATATTTAGTATAGGATGCGTAAAAGGTTCGGCGAAGAGCGTCAACTACGCGAGAGACAAGGAGATATACCTACGCGGGATTTCCTTTTCTTCTCTAGTAGAGGACACAAATAGAGTGGTTCTCAATAATTCTAGCACATTTATCTTTCCACCACTGGCAGGTTTTTAAGAAGTCCGACCCTCAAATAGTTTCACGCCACCAACTTTATTTTCTTTACACTTTCTACAGTCAAAATGGAATACATGATGCGGACTAGAAGTAATTCCAGGCCAGTAGCCTCAGAATCCAGAGCCCCAGGACTTACAGCCCGAATTCATGCCCTACAGTCACTTTACTATTCACCCTTCGGACTCCCTCTTCCTCTTCAACCCATTTTCAAGAGAGATCTCATTGGGTAGCTCCAGTCTTCCCGTCAGCTCAATCTTCTTCCGATCCATATGAGCCTTCCAGGGCGAGTCTGAGTCTGGGGCCATCCGTTTGTACCCGGCCTTACTGAACTTGTCAACGAACTTGCGGAAACTGTCGCAACCCCCGTCGCAAGTTTGCCCATGAATTGTCACGACTTCCAATGTCTGCAGTGTAGCGATAAGTTTGTCGACGCTCCAGCTGATATTCTTGCAAGTCTTGCGTTCGGGCCCCAGCTCGAAATCCTGCAAGGACAAGAGTAAAGATCCCAAGATTATACTATCACAGTGCTCATCGTCACGTTCCTCCTCATCGGACGTGTCCTGACAGCAGTATCCTCCTTTCGCACGTGATTCAAAGAATTTGTCCACCAGCTTATAGCATCTTTTCAGCAAAAGATCTACAGCCGCCGACCGCCCTTTACGAACAACTTCTAAATTTCCAGGGTCAGTTTTCTTCCCAATATGAATCTTGCGCCATTTTGTGCCCTTTATCCGACTTACCTTCGATGTACGGTGGGAAGTGCTTGTTCTCATTGGAAAAGTCCAGTATGACCCCTTTAGGCGTCACTAATCTCTCCTCTTCATCCAACCTTACAGAGCGGATCAAATGATCCACCCCGCTCTTCAACATCTTCTCCTCCCCGAACGCCCACGCGATGTAAAGCAGCTCCTCATACCCCGGAACGTTCGCCTTGTCCTTGACCGCAGCCAGCCACCTCTGCCACCAGGGCCTCACCATCTGCGTGACGCCGTACTTCTCCATCAGCACCGCCACCGCCAGCAGCCGCTTGAACTTCAGCTTCTCGGGCACGCGGTCGAAGCGCAGGTGCGCGATGTTCAGCAGGACCTCCAGGCCGTCTGGGTCGTCGTTCGGCAGGGGTACGAACGCGACTGCTCCATCGGCGGCGCTGCCGACGTTCTCGACCGTCTCAGCTTCCAGCTTGCAGCGGTCGACGTGGCGCATGACCATGTGTGCCCATGCGTCGCAGACGGGCGCCATGGCGTGGCTCGAGACGACGAAGATGACGATGCGGGGCTCATTGTCTAGGCTGTTGGGGGAGGAGAGGAAAAGGTGCGTGTCGCCTTCTGAGGCAAAGTAGACGGTTTTCGGTTTTGGGGGTCGTGGTGGATCCGGGTCAATTTTCTCGATCAGCTGTGAAGAAGAAGCTTCCTCCATGATGAGGAGAGGACGAAGAAATCGCTTGCACAGGAAAGAATAACGTCTCAAGAAAAAAGTGTTTGCGGAAACCACGTCTGAAAAATTTTGAGAAAGCTGGTTTCATAAGCGTGGGACGGTGACTGATAATTTTCGTTACTCATCTAGCTGATGTGAGCAATCACAGGTGCAGGATTCCTGCGGTGATGGGTTGCATAATCGCCGCACTGCCCCTGGTGCAAGAAGGGACATGGATATAAATCAGATGGTCCCATATTTGAACGTTAGAGCGAAAGAGATATTTTTTCTCGGGTGAACATGATCCACTCGATTACACGATAGGGGGGGAGTTTTTACACCCTCTATTCCAATCCCTAGGGCGTCCGCTTCCTGTGGTGTTTCAGAATCCTGCCGCTTGCTGCAGACAATATCCTGAGAATATGACCACTCATAAGAATCGTGTCCTTTCCGCTAGCCGCCGTTTGTGAGAAGCGGTGTACACGACGGAATACAAGCTGGTCCGGTCAGTGGGAGAAGCACGGTACGTTCGAAGAGCAGGATTCCATGATTTCACGCATGTCGGACTTCTTGTACCGCTGTTTATTCGCATAGTATACAGCCCCTATCGTATCCAATGGCTAGCGTAGATTTGTTTTTCTACGTATCAAAGGCCTGTAGATTGCCAGAAACAGCAGATGCTGGCGGAACGATCTGCCAATTCGTCCGTCGTAGTCGTCCCGTATTCTGAACCTTGCTATCCTTCGCCCAGGTCATCGGCCGCAAGAAGGAAACTGTGCAGGTTACCCCTTCACTTCCGTCTCTGCCTACCCTCCACCATTTCCCTTTTCTCCGACGTTAACCCACTCATCTCAACCCACCACCCTTGCCCTCATCCAATGCCTTGGGGCCACCACCCCTCTGCCTCTTCTGCTGCGCCGCCTCGTGTTTCCTGAGCTCCTCCGGCACGCGCGAGATGCTCGACTTGCTGAGCATCTGCTTGAGATCGTACCTGATCATCACCAAATGTTAGCGATCCATTCAAGGAACCAAGTGATACAAAAAGTAGAGCAAAGGGGATGGGGGCGAGGAAAACATACATAACATCCGTATCCTCGTTTCCGAGGAAGGTGATGGCCACACCGCTCTTGCCAGCACGACCGGTACGACCGATTCTGTGCGTGTAACTCTCGATGTTGGTAGCCATGTTGAAGTTGACGACCAGCGAGACGTCTGGGACATCGATACCACGACCCGCCAAGTCGGTGGCGACCAGCACATCGACCTGACCGTTGCGCAGCGACGCCAGAGCCGCCTCACGCTGCTCCTGCGTCTTGGAGCCATGCAGGGTGACGCTGCTGAAGCCCATGTGCTTGATGTCGCGGGCGACAGCGTCGCAGTTGCGCTTGATGTTGACGAAGACGATGATGGGCGGCGCAAACTCGCCCGAGTTGAGGATCTCCTGCAGCCGCTTCTTGCGCTTGTCCTCGCCTGCCACGAACTCGACGCGCTGTTCGACCGTTTCGACTGCCTCGCCGACGTTGCCGATCGTCACGATGGCCGGGCGTCGCAGGTACTTGCGCGCGATGCGCTCGACGGCAGGAGGCATCGTGGCCGTGTACATCATCGTCTGGCGGTATCTGTCTTTGCCACCCAGATGCTGGCTCATGGCCACGGTATTCTCTGCTGTTTCGTCGTCGGGCTTCTCGTTGCCGACGGGGAGGGCATCGAGGATCTTGTTGACTGGCTCCTCGAAACCAAGGTCAATCATACGATCGGCTTCATCCATAATGACGTAGCAGCACTGGCCGAGTACCAACACGCGGCGCTCGATACAGTCAACAAGACGACCGGGGGTGGCGATGATAATCTCAGCACCGTCGCGCATGTTGTAGGCTTGCTCCTCGATGGAGTGACCACCAACAATACTAACGCAAGTGAAGCCGAGTGGAGTAGCGAACTTCTTCGCCTCGATCTCAATCTGTTGCGCCAATTCACGGGTAGGCGCAAGAATGATGGCGTAAGGACCATCGTTCTTTGTGAACTCGTTGAGAGGAGGCAACTCGGAGATGTAGACGAGCAGAGGGAGCAGGAAGGCAGCCGTCTTACCGGAACCGGTGACGGCAACACCGATGAGGTCGCGAGAGCCGAGGGCGATGGGAATGGCGGCGCGCTGAATAGGCGAAGGCTCGAGGTAACCGACGTCGTGAATGATATCCAACAACCGCTTGGGCAACCCGGACTCGTCCCATGACCGCATGGGATTCGGGATAGAGCCACCCTTTGTGCTGATGTTGAAATCCTCCTTGAAAATACGCCAGTCTCTTTCCCGCATTTGATCCAGCCTCTTCTCGCTCCAGTGCTTTTCCAACGCCGCGCGACCTCCCTCCTCCCTCCTTCTTCTCTCCATCTCAGCGATCTGGGCTGCGCGGACGGCGCCCGCCTCCTTGTCCCGCTCGATGAGAGCCTGTGCATATTTTTTGGTAGCGCTGTCCACCACGTCGTCGGAGAAGCCACCCAAACGGCCTCTGCCAAAGAATCCAGCTTCCGCGCGGGTCTGGTACAGAGGGTTATAATCCGTGCTCGTGTCCTCCTCAGCATTCCATTCGAAGTTGAATTTCTTCTCCGTCGTCCGCTTGCGCTTCTTTTTCGCTGAGAAGGTTGACGTATTTTGCTCCGAGCCCATATACCGCTGGCGAATCAGTTCCTTTTCCGCCTCCTCCGGATTCTGCCTCTTGTCCCCCGCTTTTTCACCAGCAGCCTTGCCTCCTTGAGTTATGGCGACTGATTTCGGCGGGGGTGGAGGGGCCATGTCGTAGCCCTTGTTCGGCTGGGAGTTCCGCATCGCGCGAGGGCCGGTGGGAATAGCGGCGGAGGAGCCGTTGACGCCATTTGTCGCGCTACCATTCTCTTGCACACCATTGCCGTTCCTGCGCTCGGCTTCGGTCCGGCGCTTCTGGTCTTCCACTTCCTTCTGGCGTTTCTCAAGGGCGAGCTTTTCGCGCTGGGCCTTAGACAGGAATTTTGGCTGGTAGAGTGATTCTAAGTCAGCTAGGTGAAAATAGGGAAGCGCATGCACTAAAGAGACGCTTTGTAAACAAGAAAGCTCGTTGGGCGTGCTACAAGTGGCATGGGGTTATGGCAGGGCTCAACTTACTTTCGCGGCCGCCGCATCAGCCTCCTTCTTTTTCTTGAGAATCTCCTCGATGCTGAGGGGGTCTTTCTTAGGCTTCGGCGCTCCCCATCCCTTCTTCTTAACAAGCGTCGGGCCAGATTCTGGTTCTAGCGGTCCCGAGGGCGGCGGAGGCGGAACATCGTCCAGCGGAGGTGGTGCGGGAAGATCACTCGGAGGCGGCGGCGGGACAGGGTCGGATGGAGGAGGAGGAGGCGGGATGCCGTCCTCGGGAGGCGGAGGGGGTGGCGAGGCTGCACTGTTGGTATCGAAGGCCATTGTGGAGGGGTTGGCGCAACTGCGTGAAGTCGCGGTGTTGCGGAGGTTTGGCGGAGGTCCAGGCGGCGACGATGATGGAGCTTGGGTCGTCGGTCTTGGCGCGTCCACATGCGCCGATGTCTCTTGATACCTACACCCGCCACCGCCCTCAAGCCTCAATTCACGAAAACTAAGCCCAACCGGGTGGCCGAAAGCAATCTGGCTCACTACGCGTGCTTATTCTACATTTCTCAGCATGGCAGCCACATATAGCTTTCCTGAGAAATTCTTGACTCATTTCGTTGAGAGGGCAAAAGATGTCTCTTCTGCTTGATATCTTACAATGAACACGGTCCTTCATGAACCGCAGCTGTCCATGTTGACCATACAAGGACTCAGCCGAACGCCGTATCTGTACACCCATTTTCCCTTGCTGCTCTTGCATTTCCCTCTACATCATCCACAATTCCATCCATTTTCTTGGTCACCTAAGTACGGAGAACGTTCTCCCCGGCAAAGATGTGACCCCACCAAGAGAGCCCCAGATCAAACAGCCCCAATCCTTTATTTCGGCCACTTCTTCCAACCACGACCATGACCGCGCTGCAAGAAAACCAACAGTTAGCCAACAATCCTCAAAAGTAAACCCACCCCGCGAAACATCCCCAGAAAAGTGAAAAAAAATGAAGCAATTCTGCACGTACCTGCTTCCACTCCTGGATCAACTCGGGCATCTTGAGCATGGCCTGCCTCCTCTCCTCCAGCTTGCCCTTGAGCCCGCGCTCCCACTCCTTACCCTTGACCCTCTGGCCGACACCGGTGCCCTTGACACGCAGGCCATGCTCCTCGCGCCGGCGCGCGCGCTCGCCGCTCTTCTTGATCGAGTGCGGCAGCAGATCCTCGACGCCGTGCTTGGCGGCAATCTTGCACAGCTCGGCCTGGCGGCGCAGCGAGAAGACGGGGCCCTGCCACCGGCCGGTGATGGTGTTGAAGCGCGGCTTGAACGGGTTGTGGTAGGCCGGCTCTTGCGGCTGGTCCGCTGCGGCTGCGGCAATTGTGGTGGTGGTGTTGGACGATGCGGCGGCGGTGCCTTGGAGGAGTGACGGCGGCGGGAATTTCTGGAAGAAGCGCATGAGGCGCGGAGGCAGGCTCTTGGCGAGCTGTATGTGCTGTTGTGTGGAAGCCATGGTGGGCTCAATTGGTCGGTGTGGGCAACGTGAGGTGGGTTGTCTTTACGGCGGCGCGAAATGGTGAAGACGCGCTCTTCGCCGGAGAATCTCCGGGTAGGAAGCACTCTCTCGTCGAGCAAGACGCCGGGAGTGCTCGCAACTTTTGAGGTCTAAGAGAGGTACAAAAATCGACAGTACCGATAATTCGAGGAGGCTAATCCCTTGCATCTGAATGTCTCAAATTTTACACCATCTTGTGCAGGCTTCGAAGGCGTCGGCCATGCATCTGAGTTCACGTGGCGGGTGGTCCGAGTGCCGTGGACGACTGGCGCCGGGCGAGCTCACCTCCATCGGCGGCGAGCCGCGTTACCTGCGAGCTGCCTAGCAACACTACCCACCATCACCATCCGACACCACCGCCGCATCCCCCCTCTCCCACCTCCAACCCCCGCTCAGCCGCCATCTCTCCAGCTCGCACGACGCCGTTCGCACATCCACATCCGCAAATCCCCCGGCGGCAGATAGCAGACCGAGCTAGCTAGCCATGGTGAGCTTCCCCAGCAGCAGATGTCGAGCTCCAGCTAACCCACCGCCACAACAGTCGTCTCCCTTCAGCATAAGTACAATCCCACACATCGCCCGCCGCTGTTTCAGTGCATCTCCAATCTAACCCCCCACCAGACGGCGGCGCCTGCGTCGCCATGGTCGGCAAGGACTGCGTGGCCATCGCGTGCGACCTGCGGCTGGGCATGCAGGCCCTGACCGTGTCCAACAACTTCCCCAAGATCTTCTCGTACGGCGACGTGTACCTGGGCCTAACGGGCCTAGCCACGGACGTGTCGACGGTCGCCGACCTGTTCCGCTACAAGGTCAACATGTACCGCCTGCGCGAGGAGCGCAACATCAGCCCGCAGACCATGGCCAACCTGGTCTCGTCGTCGCTGTACGAGCGCCGCTTCGGCCCCTACTTCGTCAGCCCCGTCATCGCCGGCATCAACCAGACCACCGGCAAGCCCTTCATCTGCGGCTTCGACAGCATCGGCTGCATCGACTTCGCCAAGGACTTCATCGTCTCCGGCACCGCCAGCGACCAGCTGTTCGGAACCTGCGAGGGCCTGTGGGAGCCCGATCTCGTGCGTATTCCTCCCATTGCTGCAAGAGCAGAGTTCCGCTGACGTCAATGTTTACCATCAGGGCCCAGAGGACCTCTTCGAGACCATCTCGCAAGCGCTGCTCAACGCCGTTGACAGAGACGCGTTATCCGGTTGGGGCGCCCACGTCTACATCATCGAGAAGGACAAGGTGACCAAGAGGCTGCTGAAGGGCAGGCAAGACTGAGCGGTGGGCGTGTGGCTGCTGCTGCTGTTGTCGTTGTGAGGGCAGAGTTTGGAAAGGGCGCATCATCGTATAACCCAGGCTTTAATGAGAGAATCTCCTGGGGAAAAGCAAAGCGCGAGGGCGTCATGTGAGAGAATATACTGAACGAAAGCGAGGTGACGATGATCATGCTTTTTTTGAAGTAGACTTCGCTACCAACACGGAAGAAGTGGAAGGTTAGAGGACTAGGCTTGGGGCATGATTGTAGAAAAGCATGCAACGAGTCAAGGAATTCACGATATTGAAGACATCTTTGATGGATTGCACACGGAAACTCCTGTCCATTGAATTGTCCGTCTTCCGCCAACTCTCATCCAAGTGTGAGAGGGGAGTCAAGAATGCGTATTCTGTACGTTATCTCCCAGGAATCCCAAAAAACTCCTGCCATGAATTATACCCCTTCCCATCATACCGAAAAACAGAGACTCCCGCCTGACCTTTCAATCAAGAAATGCAAACAATGCAGGGCTATCTAAGTACCAGCGAATGTGGGGTATAAACCACTCAAACCGCCATGGAAAACAACCAAGAATATCAAAACAAAAAAAAGGCAATTTCTTTGAACCAAAGCCCACAAATAAAATGACGGCCCCTTCCTCCTTACATAACCATCTCGTCATCATGCCAACCACCAGCGGGTCCAGAAGTACTCTCATAGCCGTACTCCCTCATGGCCTGGAACGCGCCGTACTGGTTCTCCACCGCAGCCTTGTACACAGGGTCCGTCGCGCCGCTGTACCCGTACACCATCCCCTGCCTGCGGGGACCGTGTTGCTGCTGCTGCTGCTGTTGCTGTTGCATCTCGTAGTCACGCTTGGCCAGCTGCTCGTAGCCGGACAGCATGTAGGGCTCGGCGCCGGCGAGCTGGTTGATGCCCATCATGCGGGGGCTGGCGAGGGTGCTGGTGGGGCTGGCCGAGGCGCTGGCGGTGCCCTCGTCGTCCGTCATCATCTCCATCTCCGTGTCGAGCCGGATCGGGCGGGTGGCTGGTTGCTGCTGAGACGACGAGTGCTGCTGCAGGCGCTCGTAGCGCTCGCGGGCCAGGCGCTCCTCCATCTCGAGGCTCGTCGCCGACGTCCACACGCCGTCCTCGGCGGCGGCGCCGCGCAGGGTGATGCGCCACAACTCGAGCAGGCGCAGCTGCTGGTCGGCGTCGGCGCCGGTGAAGAGCTCGAGCTGGCCCGGCGAGAGGTCGGCCATGTCGATGTCGTGGCGGGCGAAGATGGCCATGAGCTGCGGGTTGGTGCGGGAGGAAGGGGGCACGAGGACCGAAGGAGAGGTGGTGGCGGGTTCGATGTTGGTGGCGGCTGGGGAGTTGAGGTTTGGCGCCGAGGCCGGGCGCGAGAGGAGGTGCGAAGTGTTGGGCGTGTAGTGGGTGCTGGCGTAGATGATGGGGGCGGGGCGATACTGCTGCTGCTGCTGTTGCTCTATTTCTATGTTCTGTCCTTGCTCTTGCTGCACCTCAGGAACCTGCTCCTGTACGGCGGGCGTCTGGAAATTGAGGCTCTGCTGGAAGAGCGCGGCGAGCTCGTCTTGCTGCATTTCGGCTTCTCTGGCTGACGGAGTTCCGGGTTGGGCGCCGAGACCTGTAGATACTATTCCGCACTGTTTGCTCGCGCGGAAGTCGCGGGCTCCAGTCAGTAAACGTAGGCTGGTAAGCTACATCAGGCTTACGTGATTGCAGGTGTGGTTCTGGGAAAAGACAGAGGCGGAATAGAGGACGGGGGTGTTGTAGCAACAAGCACGGCAGTAGTGAGTGATGACGGCGGCCATTCGTCTTTGCGGGGGCGAAACACACGTATATGGTCTACACAATGCGAGGGCCTTTTTCGGGCAAGAGCAGAGTTAGTCGGAAAAAGCAAAGATGACTGGGGCAGAAATGCCCAGCGGAGCGGATCAAATGCTTCGGACCGGGTCTTTGTTTGCAGTCTTTATAGATAGAAGCGCGCTTTGAGTCGTCGGCACGTGTACTGCTCGGGCGGCCTCGAACGTCCTTGATTCTCGGCGTGGGAGCAGCGGCGCGGCGAGGGTTGGGCGCGGCGAGGAGGATAGAAGCAGCGGAGGAGTTCAGGGAGAGAAGAGCGCGTCCCCCGGGGAAATTGGGCGCTTATAAGAAGCGCGCGGGCATCAAGCGTGATGGTATGCGTCATGCGCCGCGAGGGAATGGGCGGCGGAGCGGGATGGAGGGGCGCCGCGCGATGTATCAGGCCTGGCGCCGGCGGCCAATAGTTGGGCTCGCAGACACGTGTGCTGATGAGAGCGGGCATTCCGCTGGGGCCTGTTGTGCCGCAGCTGTCGCGCATGCCCCAATTACAGCCACCCGCCCGTTAATTAGTCGGGCATTGCAAGACGGTGCTACCTGGTGGCGGGGAACCATGTTGGGCGCCATGGCGGCGATGTGCGTGACCGAAATGGTCGCCGGCAGCGCCACGTCGGCGTCACGACAATCCCTGCCCCTAGCTTGACCGGCACTTGCACCCCCAAAACTGCAACTTTTTGCACCCAGATCTGATGCCAAACGCTGTTGCTCAAACCCACCGTGGACAACACTGCCGCAGTAGGTTACGAACAATACCAATCGCGTTCCACAAGCAAGCATCGTTGTGCAATCTCGAACTCAGTCCAACTATGAATAGAAACGCTAATGTTTTCCCTTGAAAGGTGTGTCGACAAGTCCAGTGTCATTTGCAATCCGTCATGCCACACGAGAAGAATTGATCGACCTGTGCCACGCGAACGACGCCATAATACTTTTCCTTTTTAACAAATACGCAAATGCAAGTTAGGTTCCAAAACTGCACAATGAAGATCGGTGTGATGCCGCTACGGTCCCAATTCGGAACCATTCTAGATGAGCACAAATTCAACCTCCTCCCCGAACACCGTCTCCCCTGTTTGGCGCGTCAGACTGCCAATACCCAGCCGGCGGTATTCCGGCAAACCGCCACCCCCAGTTTCCTCGCTCTTCAATGCCAACACGGTAGGGCTGCCGGCCGAATCGACGTACAAAAACAGACAGTCCAGCTTGGCGTGCATGTCACCGACACTATCGAAAGTGATGTGGCCGACAGCCACGCTCTCCCCCTCCGCGCCGGATTCTGAATCGGTAGTGTATATCTCAGCCACTCGTGGTGGCGGCCACCGCGTCGAGACGGTGCAGAACCGCCCGCGCATCTTGAGCGCCACATAGTTTGGAAGTCCCATGCGCTCGGAGACTTCAACCGAAAGGAGCTCCGCCAACGGCTGACGGTCCTGCTGTTCGAAGCACACTTCGCCCTCCAGCGCCGACCAAGACCAAGATGGAGCTCGCACCTGTCCGTGGTTGCTACTGTTCTTCCCTGGTGCGCAAGCCCACCATGCCAAGGATCGAGGCGGATGCCTCGACTGCGTGTTGATCCAATTGCCATGATGGTACTCCATGTTGTTGATCGAACCAAGCCGATCCGCCAAGCCAAGGAGTGCAGGAAGCCTGTCTGACGACTTTGTGAAGTCGCAAGCGGAATATGTCGCAATGATGCCCTGCCACCGTCTGATGAAAGTCTGCTCGAATTCGTCCGCTTCCCACAGCGACGAGCTTTCCCGGAACCTGCCTCGACCAGCCTCCAAATCCGATATCGACCTCGCGAGACCGGCCAGTCCTTCCGCTCCTCCCGCCCGATGCCGGCTGCCGTCCTCGCCCAGGATCTCTTGCCGACACTCCCAGAACACCTGCTCTTTGGCAAAGTGTATCGTCCGCCGCGACAGCAGCCTTTCCTGCACGACCCATCCCCGGTGGTTCAGCCGAGCCTGTTCTACTTGCTTGAACTCGGACTGATACGGCTCCGTGACGAAATACGTCCCTTTGGTGGCGTCATCCAGATCGCACGGTACCGCAACAGTCTTGACCATTGGGCCTTGGAGAAACTCGGTATCATCGTTGGGTGCTTGTGTGGCAGCAATGGTACAGTACGCATTCTCGTATACTGCTCCCATCCTCTTCGACTCTCGTTCCCAGTCCTCAACGCTGTCCTGGACGATACAGAGGGAATCGATCCAGATGTACCGGAAGCCGAGCCTTCTCGTCACCCTTGCCGCGTCCCTGAGCGTCCGCGGTAGATCTTCGAGCGCGAAGCCGTCTTCCCGGTAGCGCTGGCGATTGTGCGAGGTCAAGCAAAACGACGCGCCGCCCCAACAATGACTGAGTGCGAGGTAGACTCCACGCCGACCCTGAGTATCCACGATCCGAGGTCGGCTCGATGTGTCCGGAGCGCCTACATCTAGAAGCCTCGTTGGCAGCGGCGGCTCCGGGTCGATATGCTTGCCGCAGATGCTTCGACGGCAGGTTGAATGATGCTCGTTGCATGTTTGCAGCCAGTCGTGGAGCATCTTGACAGAGTCAGGTCCAACACGGTCCGAGTTGACCAGCCGTCGCGGTACATGCGTTGCGGCTGGACTACCTGATTATTCCGCTTGTCAATTGGAACCCATGATGGCTTACTTCAGACAGACTTACCCTCCTTCGCAGCGAGCCCGATGATACCATGGATGCCGCTTTTCAGACCCCAGGCACCTCGACCGTTAATTACATATAGGGAATGCTCTTTTTTCCCGCCGGGATGGGCAATGTTCTTGCATTCAAGAAAGGCGAAGCCTTCAGGGTGCAACGCTCCTCGTACCCGATCCTTCAGTGGAGACAAAGTGAAGTGCCGTTCGGGGCCCACTGTTCCCTCTAAGTCTTTCTTGAAGGTATCGAGATCGGCGCCCTGGATGTTTTCAGGAAGCACTCTCGTGTTGATGTTCTCGCAGCATTCGCTGTCGGGCTTGAAAGCTCTGGCCACGAGCCCGTCGAGGACGGCACACAACTCGCAGTTCCACTCGATGTTGATCGACTTGCGATAGGCATCTTTGAAGATGCGGCTGAAGGGACGTTCGGTCTCAAGTAGATCCTCCAACCTCATAGACCTGCACCTCAAACAAAGAGCGACCCACGTGTCTCTTGGCCATTCACGGTCGAGCGAGCTTTCTTCAGTCGTAGACCCCGAGTCCGTCATGATCTTGAATGGAGATGTCGCCTCCTCTTCTCTGAAAGGATTAGACAATCGTTTTTTGCGTGTTCATGGTAAGGGTGGAGAGCAGCTGAAAGGAGGTGTCAAAACAGACGTATCTAGGCGCGGACGCCGCTGCTAAGAGCGCCACGCCATGCATTCAGCCCCGACCCCCAAGCACCAATCACAACTGTCCTGCCGGTCCGCCTGATGATGCTGCAATGAGTTCATGGAAGTGAAAGCACTTACCCGTACGCCGTAGTTGCCCAACCCGTCGTGCGCTCCACCCCACTGTTGCCCACAACGGAAGTAAAAGCAACTTCTTCTTGTAAATGCTGCACCAAACAAAACTCGAAGTCCGAAAGTCATAGCAATTCATTTCACTACCGACACTCAACCATCCGAAAGGGGAGAGGGGGAGGGGCAAAGGCCAGACGGGCAAAAACATCCAAAAGAGCGCCGTAGCAGCCCATATCTTTCTCCTCTCCCTTTCCCCATCCCATCCCATCCCCATCTCTCTATCTCGAAACACAAAAGGAGAAACTTTTGTGCGCTTTTTTTGCCAATTGCTCACACCTCCCTCCCTTTTTTCCCTTTCACCATCACTGCCCACGCAGAAAAGCGCTCTCGTCCTTCAAGTCACCATTTCGCGGTAGAAATAAAAGAAGAACAAAATTAAAGACAAGTCAAGAGGCATGTTACCTCTTGCTTTCTCTTTTTTCTTTTCTCATGGTGGGCAGGCAGGGGAATCTCCCACAAACGACGAAAAAAAAAATCGAAACAAAGGCTACCTCCGTATGCCTTCATTAATCCTCGCCCATGCTCTCTGATGCTTTCTCTATTCCTCAGGCTCGCCGGCGGCAGCCTCGGTTTTCCGGCCACCTCTCCTGCCACCCTGCTGGCCGCTGGAACCGCCCTGCGCGGCCTGCGTCGCCTTGTTCTCCGCATCCCGAAGCTCCTGCTCCTTCTGCAGGATGAAGTTCTCCTTTTCCTGGCGGATGACGCCCAGCACGCCCGTCAGGCTGTTGCGCCACATGTCCAGGCGGGACGCCACCTCGCGCCACTGGTTCTCGCCGAAGACGCGGTACGTGGCGCGGTGGATGAGGAACGTCTGGTTGAGCTGCGACAGCTTGCCCTCGACGAGCCCGGCACGGATCACGTCGATGACCCACATCTCAACCTCCTCGGACGGGATCTGCAGCGCCTTGGTGATCTGCGCGTACGGCAGCGAGCGCGTCTGGCCCGTGGCCTGGGCTGCTAGAGACGCAAGAGTGAGCAGCCGCATCTTGCGCGTCAGCTGCGCGCCGTCCAAGCCCTCCTCCTTCTCGATGAAATCCGTGTGCTCCTCCTGGAAGTCGTTGAACTCCTCGAGCAGCTCCGAGGTGAAGATCTCCAGGAGCTCGAAGTGGACGGGATCCGACTTGCGCAGGGCCTGGATGCTGTCGAGAGCGGTGAGATCCTGGAAGTCGAAGTGGGCCGGGTGCATCAGGGCCGTCTTGAGAGCGCGCACGCTCAGGTCGCGTGCCTCCTGGTTGGCGGCCTCCTCGGCAGGGATGGTGCGAAGGGCCTTGATGAGGTACTGGTACGCAATCTCGTCCTCGCCGCCTTCTTGCGCGGCATCAGCGATGGCCAGGTACAGCTTGCGCTGCTCCTCCTCGTCCGACTGCCACTGTGCCAACCACGCATCGATGTGCTTGAGCTGCGGCTTCAAGTTCTCAAAGGCCGACGAGGTCTTGACAACGCGCAGAATGGCCAGGAACACATGGTAGCGGTTGTCGTTGTCGGGCTGCAGGACGTTGAAGATAGTCGTCAGGACCGACAGAGACAGGCTAGCGCTGTTGTTGGGCGAGGTGGCGATGGGGTTCGACACGTTCTTGCACAGGGGAGGCAGGTACATGTTGAGGTTGGGCGATTGCCGCACGAGGTGGATCAGCAGGTTGTATGCCGCGACGAACTCTGCAAATTCGCGCCAATGCCGTCAGCTCTCGTGCTTTCTCAAAGGGAAATTCAATCATGTAGGCTGTGCTTACCCTTCTCCGGCGCACCGCTCAGAGACGCGCTGGAGGTAACCAGCTTCTTGAGTACTTCATCCTTCTTGTTCTCCTCCAGCAGCTGTGCGCACTCGGACTGCAGTTCGGAAGACTCTTCGCCTTGGGCCTTCTTCAGGGCATCCTACAAAAACGCAAATCCAGTGTCAGGAACGGCCGTCCACACGGCGGAGACCCGTGACTCGATTTCGAAGGCTTACAAGGTACTGTGCGAGCTCGTCGACGAGCTCCTCGAAGGAGCCTTCGATGAGCAGAGTGTTGGTCGGCGCCGGCATGTTGAGGGTAGCGAGGGCGACGGTGTCCGGCGTCGAGGGAGTCGGTCGTGTCGGGGCGCGGGTGGGTGGTGTGCGATGGGGCAGTGGGCGGCGCGTCGAGTGTCGTTAGGTAGGCACGGTGGGCTTTTCGGAAAATCGCTTATCGATAGCGCTTTGGCCTGAGGCACCAAAACCAGCCCTGCGCTGCTTGGGCAATTCAATCGAGCACAAAGAAACGAATCCTCAAGGAGTCTTCAGCCAGCTCATCTGGCTACTATTGAGTCGTATTGCTTCGCCTTTTGCTAAAGTGCCTTATTTTTGTACAGATCGACAACTTCTGAATCAAAACACGTGCACGCAACTGCTGCTGCCGCGACGCGCACCTTTCCAAACGCACGACAAGAGGAAGACTTGATCCCACGCGTTCCTGCCGGCGCACCTTGCCCCGTGTCCTCTCCTCCACAAGTTTGTCATGCTGAAGAAAGAAGAAAAGAAAATAAGATCGAAGAAAACAGAGAATAAAAGGGTTCTCTTCGACGTGAATAGTCGCTACAAGCCAAGTCTCCCGCATTGTCCGTGACCAGATCTTCCTTCGGTCCAATTATGCGCCCACCCAATGCAATGTCCACCCAATTTTCGGAATTTTGACGAACACAAAAAGACTCGAATTTACGCCAGAATGCGACTAGAAAGAAAGCAAGTGCAAGCCGGTTGAGCAGGCCCAAACGCCCATTGTCCAGGTTTACCACGCCGTTGAGCTCAGGGCTTGTTGAGGTGTCCCTGAGCCGGCCAAGATTGCCAATCGAGTCACGCTGAAGCCATGGGTGACGATACTACGCAGTGGGTATTGAGCCAGGAACATCAATCTTATGCACAACTAGTTGAGGAAACCCTTGCAGTTGACAGAACCGCAAAGACACGGGATACGGTCATCACTACCGATCTCGCGCTCAAACTTGTAGTCGTACGTAAGCTCCTCGTCTGTCATTTTGGTCAGTAATCCTCATTTCGCACAACAGAAAAGGCGGTACTTACTCGTCTTGATGTCCCTAAGCGCGTAGATGACAATGCGCTTCGTGCCGTCCACCCTGATAATCTTCGCTGTGCAGTTTGGTGTGCAGCTGTGGTTGATGAAACGTGCAATGCCACCCTTCTTGGTGGCATCCACAACGCTGTCTTCGTCGATACGGAAAAGGTAACTGCTACCCACGCCCTGTTTGTCGTACTTTATTTCACGGATATCCGCCACCTTCTGGCGCACCTTCTCGCCGACGTATTCGATGATCATGTCATTGGCAGAAATATCCTCCTGGGCATAGAGACCCCAGTTGTGGATGGCTGATCGGTCGAATTTAACGAGCTTCTTCCGCTTCTTCAGCTGGTTGAAGCGGATTGCGATGTTGTCACCACCATCTGCAGCGAGAGCCTGCTTTTGGGTACTGATCTCGTTGACGAGACGGCGGTTGTTCGCACGGTTCGAGCGAGAGGTCGTCGTCGACGTCTTCGGCGCAACAGCAGGCTTAGTCAACTGCGCCAAGGCGTTCGGATTGATCTTTGCCAAAGCCTCACGCTCCTCACGAGCCTTCTGGACTCTGATTCGGTGTGGCAGGTACTTGGACTTCTCCGCTTCCAGGATCTTCTTGACGCCTTCCGTCCTGGCACAGCCTGTTGGGTTGGGTTTGTAGTAGTCCTCGATCTTGACTTCTTTGTACGCAACGCCATCGAGACCGGTGTTGAGTTTCTTGACGTGCTTCTCCTTGTATGCGAAGAGGTTGGGATCACCCACGTTCGCCGGCCGCACATTTTCAAGCGCTGCACTAAGGTAACGAAGATCTTCAGCGTCTTTGACGGTGAATTGCCAGCCATCAATGTCCATGACATAATCCAGCTTCTCCTCTATCGTCGAACGAGGTTCGTCGATGGAGAATCCCCAAATTGGATCTTCAGACATGAGGTTTTCTGTGACAATTTCCGCCACCTTCGGGGCTTCCTCCAGGGGCACAGGTTCGATAGGCGGTGTCTCTTCAACCTCAGACTTGAGAGGCGAGGGTTCTGGCTTTTCGTCCAGGAGAGCCTGCTTCTTGGTCTTCTTCTTGGGCTTGGATGGCTTCTTCTTCTCTGTCTTGATGGGGACCTCTGGCTCCGGTGTCTCGATCTGTATCTCCTCGACGGTATCGACTGGCGTAGCCGCTTCCGTCGGTGGTTGCACGCTGCCAGCACGAGAATCTTCTTCTTCGTCTTCCCCACCAAACACGAGAGCTGCATCTCGCTGGATCTTGCGGAACTTCAATTCACTCTTAGCTCTCTTGTAGAGGTCCGAAGTATGCGGGAAGGCGTGAACCACTTGATCGAGCTCTCCGTCTGCCATATCCGTCGGGTCCTTGTTGATGAGATGAGGGAATAGACGGCGGGCCTGGGCATCCTGGGTATCGGCATCACCCCACAACGGTTCCAGTTTCCTGCGTTTAGAAGGCCTGATCTGTATGATCTCGTCTTCCTCCTCAGGAGCCGCTGAAGACATACGACTGATGGACCTGCTCTCCTGCTCTTCAGTATCCCTTGTCAGAGTACTCTGTTCATCATCCGAATCCTCATCCTCAAAGCTCTGCATCTGCCGGTGAAGATTCCTAAATGCATTATGCTTCTTTGGCGGGGGCTTCCTACGCCTCTCGTCTGCGAATGCGTTGACTTCGTAGTGGTGACCACCCTTGCCTCTCCTCTGATTCTGAGAGAGGTTCGCAGCCAGAGACTTCCGTAGATTCTTGTTGCCCTTCCCGAATTTCGACTTGTGAGGAAGCACATTTTCCGCTGCGCTGAAGAGGACAGTGGGAGTCTTGGCTTCAGCGAGCGTGGGATCCCGCACGCCCAACTCTTTCCTCCTCGCAACGTGCCTGGCTGGGTCCAGATAATCGTAGATTGCCGGAGCCGCAATTCGCGTCTTGATGTCGCTCATGATCTGCTCCAGCAGCTCCGTGTGTAATCGTTCCTTGGCAGCCGTGACCGGATCCAGGTTCTCTGCCCGCTCCTTCTTCTCCTCCTCAAGATCCTGCTCCTCTTCCCTCCGAATTTCTTCTTCGACTTCCTTCTTCTTCTTTTCTGCAAGTACCCGCTCCGGACTCGGGCTCCTAACATAATTAGGGTTTCCGTATTTTTCGCACTCCATGTTCATAACATAGGTAAAAAGCGCCTGCATGTTGCACTCCTGGTAACAACGCTCACATTCATCTTCGCCACGCTTTGAGTCCTCGAATATGATGTAATAGCCCGTTCGGTCCAACCGCACTTCTTGCCATTGGTATAGTTTCAGGCGCTTCTTCAGATGCGGGATCGTTGTGCCGAGGACGGGAACGTAGCAATGTGCGATGAAAATATACGGCTTGCGTTTGATCTTATCGATGATGGGTTCGTTTTCGACGAGGGCGTGCTCAGGACGAATCGGTCGAGGCGCGACGTGCGGTCTGGGGCCCTGTCCACCTTTGCCTGAAGGTCCCTTTGGCGCGTCGGGTGGCGGTTCGGAGAGAGGTATGACTACTGGCGTTGTATCCGCAGTCTTTCTGATAGATGCAGCTTCCTCTTTCTGCTGTCGCATCCTATTCTTCTTCACGGCCTCGTCGACGCAGCGCGCCGCTCTGCGACCTTCCCGATCGAGCTCCACTTTAATTTGGCGAAGTTGAATGCGACTTCCATTGCCCTCCTTCTCTGCCAATTTGGCAGATGCCGCGGCCGTCAATGGATACTTTCCCTGTCGCGCAGGCTTGCTATCGCTGTACCGGATGGAGCAAATCCCAAGAAAACTTCCTGTCGCCGGATCGATCTTGTTGTCGAACTCCGCAATGTTGCCAAAGCTGGAGAAAAAAGTCTTGATCTGCATCTCCGGGGTAAAGGGATCCAATCCGGTCACAAGGATCCTCGTCGCAGGCTGCGGGCCAATGGTGTTTTTGTCGGGGGCATACGGCTTGACGGTGTAGGGCGCAAGCCGTAGTCTCGCTTTGTTTACCCCTCTTGCCGCATTGTGGGCTCCGGTCGTGTACCCGGCTATTGCCAGACGAGGATCTGGTGGCGCCGCGATATCCTACTCAGTCTGCATTAGCCAGGTACACGACCAGAGAAAACTCCAACATTATGGTATGATAGTATGCGGGAAGGAGACACCAAACGTACATCACGGGGTATGTTTCTGTATGTCGCCTTGCGCTTGTGTCTCTCGTTGGACGGGATCTTGGGATCTAGCGCGGGGTCGTAGACAACGGTGAAGCCTTTTTCTTCGCCGGGGCCTGGACGGGCTTGTCTGCGAGTCTGGGGCGGCGTCGTTGCGGGTGTGATCGCTTCGGCGGGCGCAACATTTTGCGAGGCACCAGGCGGCGGCGCGCTGTAAGTGTCGGTGTTTGTCAAAGACATGTGGTCATTCGAGGTCTTCGACGGTCTGGGGCTGGTCGCCTTGTCTGGTGGCGACGATTCGGTGTTTGTGAGAGGGGTAAGGGCGTGGATGGAGGTGTTGGGTCCAGGATAGGACATGGTTTGGCGGCTGCTGCTGGAGCTGCTGAAGACTGAGGAAGCTGTGCTGGAAAGTGAACTTGCCGAGCCGACGCCAATCAAAAGGTCGCCAGAGTCAGCTCGGTGCGCACCGTCATCCTCTTCTGGCTGGTGTTGTTGCTCGAGCGCTTCGGCACTCGTGTCGTTGTTTCTGCGCGGGCCGGCAGTTGCGGCGTTTTCAACGCCTTTGTCCGAGCGCAACGGCGACTCTGTGCGCGACGGCGCACGCGTGGGCTGGTGGTCGGAGGAGGGTTCCTTGCGTTTAGTCTTCAGCACTGAAGGCGCATTGGGGAAGAAGTCGGCAAAGCCCGCTGACGCGCGCGACATTCTATCTCTGACCCGCCCGCTGTGCGATCATCGCGGAGCTTGTCAGGCGGGAGTTAGTGCGTGCGCGGGTGGAAGGAGACGGCGGCCCTCGTGCAGCTTGGTACGGGCCGGGCGCGAAGTCTTTGAGACGCGGCAGGTGGGCGCGAAATGTACACGAGCGGCCGACCGAGACCTGCAGGCGCAGCGGGCTCAAACGAGGGGACGGGAAGTGAAGGAGGAGGGTCGCGCGTCGCCAGGCTTCGGGCGAACGCAGCGGCGGGCAGGGTGGCAGTGGAGAAGAGAGGTCGAGGTGGCAGGGTGTTGGCATTCCAAGGGTGATGAGGTTCTGCCCCAGGCCGCTAAAACCAGAACCACCGCTCACATCTACCGATCGCTCTGCGAGCCACAAGCACCTCGCCTCGACCACGCCTCGCCCTGCTCCGGAAACGCCTGCGGATTCCTGCGGGCCCGCGGCGCCCACGCTGGCCTCCTCGCCGCAAGCTTTTCCCTTCTCCCGCGGCGTCCTCGCGCACCCCTGCTGCCCGCTTTCGCTTTATGGCATCATAGCGCCGCTGCCAGCGCTTTTTGCCCACGCCCCTGCCACCACCGCATAACTCCACACAACGCGCGTATCGCGAAGCCAGCTCGCGCCGTGCTGCTCAGCCGGGTGCTCCGAGCCGACTGAGGACATCTGAAAGCAGAAAACGCGTCTTTGGCGTCGTCGCTGCTCACGTGAGCCGACCCTCAGCCGGCCGACACCCTAGGCACAAGCCTCCCGCGGAGGGCGAGCAGCACCGCTGACGCCAGGCCAACGCCCATCGACCGAGCAACCGTTACGATCTCGGCATCACAATCCGTTGAACAATCAATGCAAAGCACGCTGCCGACGGGCCACAAGATGCTTGGAAACAATAGTTTGGCTCGGCAGGGAGGACAAGCACCCCGAGCACAATGCAGGGCAAGGTGCCGTCGCTTTCAGCTCCTCGACCCGATGCTTTCGCGAGTTTCTATAATGGCTTGTCTATTCGCTTGAAAGTGTTTTATGCCGCGACGGTACGCACATGCTGAGCAACAGGGGAGGTTGGCGCGTGTGTCCGATCATGACTCTGCATGCTCGATTTATGCATTTACATCCGTGCCGGTGCTCGTCACCATCCTCCGGTCGTTTGTCGTCAACGTCGTGATGCAATCTAATCATCAAACTTGCCCTCCGACCATCCTCTCCTCTTGGTGCCCAGCTCCACCGCCGCACTACCCCAGTCCAATCCGTGGTTGTGTCCTTGATCCCCCTTCTCGCCCGCAATGCCCGCGCGGTGCAGGCCCTGCTCCTCGGTGAGCACGGTCAGCAGGCCGAAGATGACCGGCACGTTGGCATCCAGCTGCACGCGCATCAGGCCATGGCTGACGGCGTCCGCGATGTACTCAAAGTGCATCGTCTCGCCCTTGATGAGGACGCCGATGGCGATTATGGCGTCGAAGGGGGCCGTGGACGCGCCGCTGGGCTTCTTGCCCGCTGCGGTCGCGCTCAGGCTCGTCAGGTCGGTCGCCGACGACGACGAGAGCAGGTCGGTGGCAGATTGGACAAGGCCGCCCGCGCCGCCGGCGGAGGAGGCCTGGATCTGCGAGGAGGCGTACATCCTTAATAGAACCACCACCCACCGTCAGCCTTCATTACGACCACAAGCCATGCCACAGTGGGATCGCATGTACTAGCAGGGCGAGTGGGCACGAATCCTTACCGCTGTACAGCGTAGGGCAGCTCGTAGCTGCCCGGCACGGTCTGGATGACGATGTTCTCGTCCTTGACGCCCGCAGCAGCGAGCGACTTCTTCGCGCCGTCCAGCAGCGAGCTGATGATCTTGTCGTTCCAGCGAGCGTGGATGATGCCGATACGGAGGCCGGAGCCTAGCAATTGAGCCTCCCGTCAGTTCTCCTGCAATGTGGTGATGTGACTGGCGCCTTACCGTCGTACTTGCGGGCCTCACCCGGTCCCTTGAGCGGTGCCATAATGACGATTATTAGGGTGTATAGATGGTAGTTTAGATGCCGATTGGGATGAACTCGTCGTTCAGGAGAGTTGGGGTTGTTGCGTGCTTGTTGGAGCTTGTTGCGATGGGCAATGAGGGGAAAGGGTCCGCTTCCGCCGTACCTTACAGCTAGAGTTACCCCACCACGCTGCCACTCAAAGCTCCGCTGAGAGCAGATCGTCGCCGCACGAGCCACCAAAAATGACGCGGTTTCGTATCGGCACAAACACGACACCTGTGAACTTGCTGAAATCCCAGTCCACCGTTTAATAAAACTTGAAACTCCCAGTGACGTCTGCGGAGCACGCTACTCCATCACTGCATCGTTTATGCAACATGCCATCAGGGGCTACTCCACAGGGATGGGCCTTTTTTTTTTTTCGGGCACGCGTCTTCGCAAACGCGTTACACATGACACGCAATGCCAGAGCAAGGGACAGTCATGAACAAAAACTCATTGATCATATTACTACATCGAATTGCTTACGCAAAGCGAAACTACCGAGCGGGAACTTGATATCTTTATTTCTTTTTTTTTTCTCATATCGCAAAACTGCCCTCCTGCCGTGTCTTGCATAGAAAATCGCATAATAAATCAGGCCGTTCATTCAGCTTCCGGCATTCCATGATATCCATCCGCCCATATCCAGCTGAGCATTCCTTACACTACAAACCAATCTACCGTACGCCTTTGCCTCTAGCGGGCTTTTACATGACCACCACTTTACTCGACAGTAACCGACTTCGCCAGGTTCCTGGGGAAGTCGACGTTGAGACCCTCGCCGACGGCCAGCCAGTAGGCCATCAGCTGCAGGGGAATGACGTTCAGCAGGCCCTGAAGGACGTCAACGGTCTGGGGAACCTCGATCTTCTCAGTCTTGTCCGCAGGGAACTCCGCATCATCCTTGTTGCAGATGATGATGGGGCGACCGCTGCGGGCAATAACCTGCTGGTAGGCGTTGAGCGACTTGGGGAAGATGTCGTCACGGGTGAGAATCATGACGATCGGGAGGTTCTCGTCGACGAGAGCAAGCACACCGTGCTTCAGCTCACCGGACATGACAGCCTCGCAGTGGAGGTAAGAAATCTCCTTGATCTTGAGGGCGCCCTCGAGAGCAGTGGCGTGCTGGGCGCCACGGCCGAGCAGGAGCAAGCTCTTCTGGTTCTTGAACTTCTGGCAAAGCTCCTTGATGGACTGGTCAAGCTTAAGGATCTCCCTGAACTGGTCGGAGACCTTGCCCAGAGCCTCCATAATCTCGAACCGCCTCTGCTGCTTAGAGTACCGGTCCTCGCTAAGAGAGAGGGCGAACATGACCATGCAGACGAACTGCGAGGTGTAGGCCTTGGTGGAGGCAACACCGATTTCGGGGCCGGCGTTGATGTGGACACCGCAGTGGGTGAGCAGGGAGATCGAGGAACCGACAACGTTGACGATACCAACGGTCAGGGCACCACGCTCCAAGCAGTAGCGGAGAGCCATGAGAGAGTCGGCAGTCTCACCAGACTGCGAGACGAAGACGCAAGTGTCGTCACGGAAGACGGGGGCCTTGCGGTCAAGGAAGTCGGACGCCAGCTCGACGGAGATGGGGATCTCAGTCAGCTCCTCGAAAACACCACGGACCGCCATACACGAGTGGTACGAAGTACCGCAGGCAATGAAGATGATTCTCCTGCAACGCCTGATGGTGGTAATGTACTGACGCAGACCACCAAGAGTGACCTTCTTGTTCTCTACATCGAGACGACCACGCATGGCGTTGACAACCGACTCGGGCTGCTCGAAAATTTCCTTCTGCATGAAGTGGTCGAACTGGCCCTTCATGATCTCCTGGAGCTCGATCTCCAGCGTCTGGATGGCACGGACGTTGGAGGCGCCATCCTCCTTGTTAACACGGTGGATGTTAAGCGAGCCCTCGTGGATGTGGGCAATGTCGTCGTCCTCGAGGTACAGGACCTTCTTGGTGTGCTCGACGATGGCGGAGGGATCAGAGGAGAGGAAGAACTCGGTGGGGATGGGGGCGCCGTCGTCCGAGAGGAAAGCGCGCGACTGCGAGCGGTGGAGGAGCGACTTGTCGGGAGGAGCGAGGAGGCCGCCGGTGTTGGCCTTCTTGAGGGCAACGTTCTGCGAAGCCAGCTCGGCGGGCAGAGCGTCGGCGTCAGAGAACTCGACATCGACAAAGTCGACCTTCATCTTCTTCTGCGTCTTCACGCCGATGACAAGGGGCGAACCCTTGCGGGCAGCGATGACCTCATGGGGGTAGTGGACCGACTTCAGGAGCAGACCGAAGGCACCCTGCAGCTCCTTGATGACAGCCTTGGCCAGGACGGGGAAGTCGATGTCGGGGTGGCTGTCGTAGATGTACTTGGCCAGCTTGGCGATGGCCTCGGTGTCGGTCTCCGTCTCAAACTTGAAACCCTTGGTCTCCAGCAGCGCCTTCAGCTCCTTGTAGTTGGTAATGATACCATTGTGGACGACGGAGAACTCCCAGGTAGCGTCAGACCTAGCGTACCGGTCAGCGTCTCTGCCCGCGGCGGTTCTGCGGAGCTACTTACCGGTGAGGGTGGCAGTTGACGCGCGAGGGGATACCGTGGGTGGCCCATCTGGTGTGTGCAATGCCGGCGTGCGAGTCAAAGACCTTGGTGAGGTCGGGCTTGGCCTCGTCGATGAGCTCCTTCAGCTTGGCGACCTTGCCAACCTCCTTGTAGGCAAACACCTCGTTCCTCTTGTCGCCATCGACGGCGAGGCCTGCCGAGTCGTAGCCGCGGTACTCAAGACGCGAGAGGCCTGGCGGTCGGTTAGCAGCGGGGCAGGCGGGCGGTCGAATCGCGGGGAAACTTGCCATTGACGAGGGTGTTGAGGATGAACTTGCGGTCCTTCTCGACCAGGTAGTTCACGTAGCCGAAGATGCCACTGTTGTTGCGTGTCAGCGAGTCTCTGGGGCACGGGCGGGCGGGCGGGGCGGGGCGTACCACATGGTGCTGAGTAGAAAGGAAGAAGACTAGAAACGAGAGCGCGGTGAGTCAATGGCGGGTAATGATCGTGAAGAAGGCGTGCAGTCGTGGCGAGGAGCTGCGGGAGACGGAGAGTGTGGGCGGAGAGGGGAGGGGTCGATATGGCGGGTGGATGCGGTGAGCTGTGAGTTAAGTACAGCTCGGGGACGACGCCAAGCTGACGCAGCAACAAACCAGCGCCCGCCCCCCTAAGGCCGGACGGGCTGTTTCAGGGATTGCTCCCAAGCTGGCAAGTTGGCGACAGCGGGCGAGCCCGTCTGTGCATCTTCCTGGGCGCGCCAGTCGCGCTCCTTTTCCCCTCCCATTTCGTCACTCGTCACCACCTGTCCAGCGACCGCCCCTGGCGAGCGCGCACACGCCGCCGAGCGCGCGATCTTTGCAGGGATCGTGTGGAGCGTCGCCGCGCTGCGCCTCCAAGCCCGCCTACAAAAATAGAGCACCGCACCTAGTCGCCATCGCAGCCTCATCGCTGCATCCTGCAGGGTCGCCGGCGCTCGTATCCTCGCCGTTGCCGTCGCGTCAAGCGCGCCCGTGGTTTGCTCGCCGCGCGTGGTCGATAGCACGGATCTCCCGAGCAAGCAGCGCAGCCAGTGCGCCGGGCACACACCTCCGGCGATCATCTCAACGGGACTTTTTCCAATAGATTCCCAATATAGCAGCTCTTTGTCGGCGCCAGTGCGCAACGGCCTGCTTCGACGCGATTCCGCATCCGGCCCTCCACCGCCAGATGCAATGCCGGTGTGCCGTGGCTCGCAGAAGGGGTGCAAACAAAGCTTGTTGACGGCGCGCCACAGCAACCACCCAGCAAGAACTGCGTGTGATCTCGTCGCTAAGCCCTATCTGTGTGGAGCTTGCTCTCCACCGCTGACCGTCCCCAATCAGCTTCCCTGTCGGCCGCGTCCCGAGATCTCATCCCAGCGTCCAGGGCTCAGCCTTGTTTTGCTCTCTCACCTCTCTTGTTTCTTGACGGTGTTCCGGCGCCCGTCACACCGCCCTGGGAAGGCGTGTTCCGATAAGCTGATGTTCTTCGGCGGCCGCTAGCATTTTCATTCATTGGTTCCGACGCGGCTACTACTCAGCACCTCATGCCAAGCAGACGTCACTGGGGTAAATCCCATGCCTACTTCAGCCGTCGGAATGCTTTGTAGGACGGCAAACGACATGTGAAGATTGCGAATGAGCCAATTCCTACCCAGTAGCCCTTCGTTGCTTACATGTATTCACGCACGTGGTCGCTCCGCCAGCCACTGCCGGAAGGCAAACAAACAGCCTGCTTACGCCAACAACAGTCGGATATGTCCGAGCATCCCCAGCCACAACCGCCCCACTAGTCAAATCCCACGCCCTATCCACTTGGCAATCGAGCGTCGTCCGACAAGCCTCTATTTCTTTGAGCTTAGATCTATACGCACAGCCCTACTGATACGGAACCGAGAAGCACGGTGACTCCCCTCCTCTCGCGGGGCATTCCCTAAGCGAGCTCACCCTCCTCAATTCGGCACTTCCTGGGTGGCCTCGCCCAACTGCTCCTCCCTAGGGAAATCGGTCTCAGTGATCACCGCAGTGCCCCTCTCGCTCTTCCCCATGCCCCCGCTCTCGGTGATCTCCCACTCCCTCAGCCTGTACGCTCCGTCCCCCTTGCGCTCCTCGAAGTCGAAGACTCTGTAATCCGCATTGGCGTACCTCCGCTGGCTGACGGAGCACCTCAGGAATCCAGAATGGGAGACGACGACGATGACCTTCTCGGGGCGCTTGTGCAGCCACTCGAGGCAGGTCTGCCCGCGGGCGACCACGGCGCGGCGGCTAAAGGCGTACGGGTTGGTGGCAGGCTCGACCTTCTCGGGGTAGATGGGGTCGACCGTCTGGAAATCCACAGAGGGGAATTCCTTCTGCAGAACGGAGACAGGGCTGCCCGTGTCGCAAGGTTTGTCCGAGTTCTCTGTAGAGCGAGGGGGCGTGAGTACAGCTCTGATCAAGTTTCGTCACGTATGCAGTAGAAGCAATAGCGTGAAAGGAAAAAGTTGGCCCAAGCGATCGAGTACAGTGGTAAGAAGACACCACACGCTAGAGATATTGCCAGCAACAAGCCAATATAAGACGTTTTGTTAAAGTGTTGAAAATGAAAAACATTAAGAATGATAATGCAAGGTTTCTGGAAAAGTGCCGAGACCTCGAATTGCCGAAGCCCAAGCACAGGTCTCCAGCAGGAACCAGCAACAGGTAGCACAGAGACCCGCCGGTCCGATGGCCAGCGCACTCGCACAGCAATGCCGCCCGCACCGCATGGAGGATCAAACAGACGAGGGTCCACGCGGCTCGTCGGCGTGCAAGGCCGCCGGGGCCATTCTCCAGCCTCAACACAACCCGAAGCGGAAACAAGCGGCGAATAGAAAGAGGCAAAGAGGCCGCATGCTGAACGGACGAAAAGTCTCGACTCCGGTCCATCGCTGATATGGCCAACCTTCGCACGCTAGGGAGGGGACGATCTGCCCCGGCTGGCAAAAGAAGGAGAGGGGAAAGCAGGCGGTAGGCTCGCATGTAGGCTTCAAGTACCACAACAGAGCATGAAACTCAAAATGCAGAACCAAAAAAAAGAACGCATGAGAGGGGAAAAAAGCACGCGCACACGAAACTGCAACGAACGAAACATACCTTGCCACCCCGCATCCGGCCTCAGCGGCACGCCCTTCTCGACCAACCAGTCCAGCCCCAACAGCGCCGTCTGCAGCGTGCGGCGCATCGGGCTGACGACGATCAGCTCCGCGCGTTCAGCCAGCTCCGACACCTGCGGGCGCTCTTTGCCCTGTCGCAGGTGGTCGCGCAGCTCCGTGCATTGCTGCAAGCCCAGCTGCGAGAGGACGGGATCGGGGATCGAATAGTCTGGTTCGGGTTTAGAGTGTCAGCGGAACGTTTCGTTTTTTATCTTGCCCTCCCGCCGTTGCTTATTCTTAGGCTCCATCGCACAGGACGGGTCGGAATTGCTGCTTTTGGGCGGGGTTGTTGAGGTAGGGTTGGGTGGCGATGGGGACCAGGCTGATAGGAGAGGGGCGTATTCGTACCTTTGTCGACGTTGTGAAGTGCCTCGGCGTGGCGGATGAGGATTAGAGTCGGGGGCATGGCGGTTCGGTGATGATGTGAGTCTGGAGGTTCTGATAGAGGCAAGGGGTAGGTCAAGGGGAATGAGAAGAAGCCAGATGTCGTGGCTCTTCAGACAAATGCAGGACAGCTGGTTCGTCAGATGTCAAGTCCCCGACGCCGAAGACCTGAAGTTCGCTAACGCCAGCCTCACCGGTCATTGTAACGCATTTTCGCAGCAGAGGAACAGTCTGACTCATAAGAACGGTATCAATGATGTAGACGATAAGATGGACTCCGAGGTACCGGGAAGAACCCGAAAATCTCTATGCATGCCATTTCATAACTCAAGCTCGCTAGCCCATCATGATCCGCATCTCACATCTCCATGTGATATCATACACATCTTACTCCTCCATCCTGTCGCCCTCAGGCCTAGTCTCCTCCTCGTCGTCATCATCACCCTCCAGCGCCTTCTTAGCCAGCCTCTCGGCCTCTTCCCGCAGCGCCTTGGGGACCTCCTCGTGCCTGCCCTTGGTGGGGCCGGAAGCAGAGCTGATCCAAGTCATCTCCAGTTCGAACTCCTTGTCCTTGCTGTCCTCGTGTGCGAAGTAGATGATGCGCGCGGCCTCCTTGACGCCCTGCTCCAGGGTGAGGGTGCCTTCGTGAAGGTTGAGCTTCTCGAGCTCTGCCTTGGCGGATTGCCTGCCTTTGCCCGTCGCGGCACCGTAGTAGCCCTGTTCCCGTTAACCACAAAGCGTCCGACAGCTTCCCGCCCCGAATGTGACACATACCCAGTACAGGCCACTAGGCTCAACCATGTAGAGGAACGGGCCGCCGTGAGTGACACCCTCCTTCTTGCCTCCAGCTCCGACCGAAGGACCGCTGCCGACCTGGCCGTCAACCTCCGCGGGCTCTTCGCTATCCCAGCCACCAATGATGGACGTCACGCCGAACGGGCGCACGCTAGAGTAGAGGGTGTACGCCTGGACGAAGCTGCCCATGCGGTTGGCGAGCGCAGCGGTCTTGATGGGGCCCTTGTACATCTTCCTCCACTGCGCAGCCTCGTCACGAGCTCGGGAAACGAAGTGGCGTCCGTCAGGAACGAGACCGGAAGAGACCTGTGGTTGTAGTGTCAGCTTTGCGCACCAGACGCGGCGGCCGGGGTGAGGCGACACACGATGCCCATGTTGCGGTCGACGGTTGCTATCCGCTTGTTGGCGCCCTTCTTGAGGAGCTTGCTGCTGATGATCTTCTCGAGAGCGAGGACAACACCGTCCTTGCAGCGAATGCCGATTGCCGTGCCTCCATTCTCTACCGCCTTCTGGGCATATTCGACCTTTGGAATTGTGAGCTAGCCGTCGCACCAGGAGCGAGCTGTCGGGTGGATGGTACCTGGAAGTTGCGGCCGTCGGGCGAGAAGACGGAGTTGGAGAGATCGTAGCCGGTACCTATTGACGTCTGTTGCCGCGCTGTGCATTAGCGCTGGCGGCGGATCGCAGAAACGCGGGCGACGTACCATGGCGAAGCTGCAGAAAGACGCGGGTCTGAAGGTATTGGGGCTGAGCTACAAGAGAAACGGGCGGGGGAGGATGGGGCGGGTGGGGAGGTGGGCGTGATGTTGATGTAGTTGCCAAACGAAGCTCCAGCCAGGCTTCCTCCGAGCTACGCGTAGCTCAAATCCCGGGGATTACCCGGCAATCTTATCAGCCGCTAGGAGCATGTTGTTGAGGCCAGCAAAGCATTATTAAGATCATATCAGAGAGTTTTCTTCTCTTTAGTAAAAGGCTGGGATTTGCACGGGTCTGCACTACACTGTACTTGCGCATCACGAATTCCTAGACCTAACATCAAGCATTTCCACTGAATCGTCGTGTCTTCATCTAGTATACTCTAGTAAAAAAAAAAAAAGGTAAATTATATCCTGATATGCTGACTCCTCGCTCAAGAATGCGAATGGAACCATTTACGAGCCAAGAGCGATGCCCCTCTCGCTGAGCCTGGCCTTCACAACCTCGTAAACCTCCTCAGGAGCCTGGGTGGCATCGATCTTAACAACGCGGCCCTGGCTCTCAAATTCATCCACGACAGGCATCGAGGTCTCGACGAAGGTCTTGAAGCGCTTGCGAATGCTCTCGATGTTGTCGTCTGAGCGGCCAGAGGTCTTGCCACGGTTGATCAGGCGCGCCTCCATGGTGCTTTCGGGGCAGTCGAAGAAGAGCGTGAACTTGGCAGGGCACACGCTCTTCTCAAAGGCGTGGGCCTGGTCGAGCTGGCGGGGGAAGCCTCGGGGGTTGTTAGCCATTGGTCGGCAGGAACGCCGCGGCGGAGAACGTACCGTCGATCAGGAACTTCTTCTTGTTCTCCTCCTTCATAGCGGCCTTCATGGCATTCTCGAGGAGCTGGATGGTGACCTCCATGGGCACGATCTTGCCCTCGCGAATGTACTCCTTGATCATCTCACCGAACTCGCTTCCGGGTCTCTGCTGCTCCTCGCGAAGAAGATCGCCCGCCGACAGGTGCTTGAAGGTGTAGTCGCGCACCAGGTTCGAGCACTGGGTGCCCTTGCCCGCACCGGGGCCACCGAGAACAAAGAGGACGGTGACCTCGGCCGGGTCGAACTCGGACTTCTCGCGCTGGAGGAGGGTCGGGACGGCAGGCATTTTGGCGGATTGATTAGAACGGGCGGCTGCTGGTGTTGGAAGGCGGAGCGGTGCCCTGGCGTTGCTTGACGATTTGGACGAACAGGAAGGTGCCGCCGGCAAAGATCAGAGCGAATGGCCAGATGCGGAGCGGTGCGTACTGCGGATTGCGCGGGCGAGGGGTCTGCTTGTCGGAGAAGAGGCGAGAAGCAGAGGAGAATTGGCGGGAGCGGGAGCGAGAGAAGGGGTTGGAGGAGCTAGGCGCAGGGAGGTGGAAAGGACCGGTGGAGATCATCGTGGGACTAGATTGGGGGGGTGTCAATGGCGGGGAGCGAGATTGTCCCGCCATGAAACGTTTGGGCTCAATCCGTCCTAGTGCTCGGCGCCGAAAAGGACCGCCCGCGACCTCATCTCTTGCGACACGTTGCCATCCCCCAGTCACCTTATCTATATGCCCATTTGATCCATCATATGATCGAGCAATCCCTCGGGCGGCTCGCCGACCAGCATTCGCCCGCTGTGGCTGGGAAGCAACATGAACCACCGGAGCATTCCGACGACTAAAGCATGTATTGGTCTGCGGTGAGGACCAATTGAAGTACAGCCAAAGCTGATGATTCTTTTGCTCGTAAGCGCAGGCAATGTGAGCAAAAAGCTTCGGCAGAAGAGCCTCAGTGCTCCTGGGCGACCACCATGCTTTCCGATACAAGCAAGGCTTTTTGACATGTTTCAACTTTATAAGGGCGCACGCCTGTCCTTCGAGAAAGCTAGGCAGTGACGGCGATTTACAGCAGTGTAGCAGTTGATTCTACATCTCAACATAGACGGGAAGAGCTAGCTTGACCCTCATCTTTGTCCATGAGAGATTTTCCGCCGGGTTCTTTCTCGATTGGGGCCCGTCAATTTCATGTATATGCTTGTAGGATGGTGGCGTAGGGAAAAGCGTGGGCTCGATGCACTCAGCGCTCCTTTTCACTTCAGAGTGTCTCGGATCGTTCTTCAAAGTCTCACAGTTGCATTCCTCGATTCAGTTTTGGTTTCCCATTGTTCAGTCTTTAAGTGAGGTGGGTAGCGCTTGATCACATGTTGCAGTTCGGATTCGTTGCTTCTGGAACGTATTTCTTGGTCCCTTCCACCGCGTGTCTTGGACTGGTCACCCGGCATTTCCTGTTCCTGCACATAAAGACTCGCCGTCGGCAACCGTCCTTGCCTTCCTCCACCTCACCACATCTCGCATTGCACTTCGAGACGAAGCAATCCCAGCTCGCGGCATCGCCCACCCTTTTCCTTGTCCACATCATCCTACCGTCGCTACACCGCTATCATGAGCCCAAAGTACGACGCCGCGAAGATCGAGAACCTCAGCGACGCTGACAAGCTCCGTCTCATTTCCGCGTACCTCAACCATAACGAGCCGAACAACGTGAGGCAATCCAGATGCAATTTTCTCGAGCCCGTTCATCCACACTGACTCTTCCAGGTCGACTGGGATACCGCGGCTGTCCAGGGCGGCTCCAAATCCAAGGACTCGTACAAGAAGATGTTGCAGTCGGCTCTCAAGAAGCTGGCTCCCGACACCACTGCTGACGGCGAAGATGGCGTCCCAGCTCCCGCGCCCGCTCCTGCTCCTGCTATGAAGCGTGGCCGCAAGCGCGCCACGCCTGCCAACGAGGGCGAAGATGGTGACGGCAACATCGAGAACAAGACGAAGAAGCCTCGCAAGCCGCGTGGCAAGAGTGAGTAGCCCTTTCTGCTATCGCACAGATCCATTTCAAAATTGCTAATACGACATCAGAGGGCGTGAAGACGGAGGATGGCGAGGAGGCCGAGTCGGTGGTCTGAGCTATGGCAGCGGCAGACTTGATGCCCAACGGGTCTCTGGGGACAAAGAGCGCGAAACGGCTAAGATTTGGTTCAACTTGGGTCCATCGCCGTGCGGCTTCTCGTGATAATTACGCCAATCAAGATAACTCAATGCTGGCGTAGATAATACAACGAGATCTGATGTGTTACTGAGAATATCTTGGCCGTGATATCTTCTGGCTCTGCTGGTTACAAAGGAAACGCAAAGAATTGCACTCGGCTTATGTCGGGAGCTGAATCTATCGTTCCGAAGCTGATGTGGATTTCTTAATTCCTACATATGCGTCCAGCGATCGTTTTAACTGCTCACTGAACTCGTGTAAATGAGTTACAAAGGCTCAAATATTCTGGGGGCCACTTTCTTTGGCGAGGCGGCCATCGGTTGAGAAGGCATTTGCATACCTGCTCAGGATATTCTTGCGTTCCCTGAGCGCCCTCGTAGGATCCTGCACGTGCATGGGTCGGGAGGGCAAGTTGTGTCGTGCAGTATTTAAGAGCGCTCTTTTAGCCTGACCGTTCCACTCTTTTTCCTACCTCTCGACCTCACAACTTCCAAAAACCTGAACTTGACGCACTACAGCCTTCGCTTCCATAATCATCATGGCGCCCAAGTACACCATCCAGGCCATCAACAGCCTCTCAGAGGTGGAAAAGCTCCGCCTCGTTCTGGCGTATCTTCACCACAACGAGCCGAAGAACGTAAGATCTTCAACAGCAGCCCAGCTTTATCGAAGCCATCCTTTTGCTAAAAAGAAGATCTAGGTTGATTGGGCCGCTGCTGCCGCTCAGTCGGGTTCCAAGTCCAAGGAGAGCTTCAAGGTCCTCTTCAACGGCACCCTCAAGAAATTGGAAAAGCAGTCGTCTGAGGGCGGTGCCGATACCAACGCCACTTCCCCGGCTGTCAAGGCGCCCAAGCGCAAAGCGGACTCTAACGCTCCCGACAACGACAAGCCTACGCCCAAGAAGCGTGGACGCAAGAAGGTCATCCCTGGTACGTCACAGTCGCGTTTTCCTATTCTTTGTTGATTTCTAAATCAGATCACAGAGGAGCCCGTCATCAAGGAGGATCCCGATGTCGACGATGAGGTGAAGGACGCTGCCCAATTCGCGACGGAGAGCTTCTTCGACACCGCCGAGGAGTTTTAGCGGAGGTGCCTTGTCCTAGTGCTCTGCGGATCTCTTCCAAGCGGAAATCGGGTGAGATGGACTGGTCAGAGCTGGTGATTATGAAACTGGATTGCAATGGGCTATTGAAGGAAATAACATGCGTGCGGGGATCTGAAGAGTTCGCCCTGGTTTGAATGCATAAACAAAATAATGACACTGATGTCCACCCAACTGCTTTGATTCCCTATGGGTGCTACGCTAGCGAAGACCACTCGGACCCTGGCTGCCATCTTTTTAGGCTCGTAGGCAACAGCGACGACCCGGTTTCTTGCATCGACCGATTTTCCGCTGCGAGATATCACTTTTCCTTCCCGACCCACGATTCCGAAGCCACCACCTTGCATCCCAAACTTCAACTTCCCCACTCAAACTCCAAAGTCTCGACCAAATCATCTCACAATGGCAGCGAACGTCGAGTTCAGCCTCTCCGCTATCGCCGCGCTCACCGAAACCGAGAAGACGCGCCTCATCATCATGACACTCTACAACAAAGACCGTAATAACGTGAGCGACAGGCGATCCACCAGCCGTTCTTTCACTTCTTGAAGACTTTGCTGACCTGGGCGAGCATAGATGGACTGGGACGCGGCCACTGCCCTTTCTGGCGCCAAAAGCAAGCATGCTTTCCAGGTTTCTTACTACGCCGCCATGAAGAAGCTCAACAACAGCGCCAATGGCGGTGACGGCGGCGGCGGTAGCAGCAGCAAGGCCGCCACGCCGAAGCGCAAGCGTGCTGGAGGCGGTGACGGCACGCCCACACCCACGCCGAAAAGGGGCAGAAAGGGCAGGAAGGCGATCAAGTGTAAGTGAAGCCTACATCTCGTGTTTGGAACGGCTGCTGACGATTGCTTTAGCGGAAGAGGCGCCTGAGTCTCAACCCGACAGCGGAGCTGATGCCGAGCATGCCACTGAGGCGGAGCTTGAGCTCGAGTCATTCTTCGACGCCGAGGAGATCTAGAGGCGGAAGGACGCGGTCCGCGTGAGAAACTTCATAAGCATTGGACACCATTTTTGGGCTTGATGCTACAGAACTAGGCAAAGCTGTTTCGTGCTTCTGGAACAGCCAAGGGACTTGAAGCAAATTCAGGAATTCAGATAACAATTGATTACTTCCGAGACGATGGCCCTAGAGAGAGTGAACCCTTGTATGGAGTATGCCGAGTGTAGGAGAGGCATGAATTCACGCGACGCGCCCAGTCTAGATACGGGCTTCTGATTGAAATTTTCAACTTGCGAGGTTTTCGGTCAAGCACCTGGAACTAGACCCTGAAGTTGTGACCATCACTTTCCGTCGCGCCCCACGCAGCTCTACGCGTGACATATTAGCTTGTTTTTCCTCCCGCACGAAAACACAGCAACCTCCTTCCAAGATCTCCCATATCCATCTCGACTCTACCGTTGCTGTCCGCGTCAGCGCCACAAACCGAACTCCACACGCGCTCTCTCCATTTCAAGTGTGCGAACACCATGGCTTCCCTTGATATCACCATCGACGCCGTCAAAGGCCTCAGCGACGCCGACAAGACGCGTCTCGTTGTCGCCTACCTCCACGGCAATGATCGCGGCAATGTAAGCCCCCACCACCCTTACATCAGCGTTGATCTAAAGAGAGAATCAGGTCGACTGGCAGACTGCGGCGTCGTTCACGGGTTCTAAGACCGCCAACTCTTTCCGCACCAACGTCTATAAAGTCATCAACAGGCTGACCGACGCCTCAAAGAGCGGAAGTGCTGGTGGCGAGGCCTCGTCGATCGGCGCGTCCAAGAAGCGCATGATCCAAGCCGACGATGGCGACGAGGCTGCCGACGTCGGAGCGAACAAGAAGGGAGGAAACAAGAAGCGCCGCCTCAAGAAGCAGGCCGCTAAGAGTGAGGCATCCTCCCCGTCTAAATAAAGTGTCTGGAATATTCTAATCGGTCACACAGAGGAGGACCTCGAGGTCAATGAGGTTTGAGCTGTCGGAGCCGGCTTCAAGATCAACATCGAACGCTGATCCTTCATGACGAGCTGTCAGAACGATCTGCCATATTGACGTTTGGCACATTGGAAGTGGTGTTTCTTTCTTCCATGACTCCCCCATTGGTGGCGGAGCTATGCACATTCGTGTAAAGACAAATATGAACACAAGTTCAGACAGCATGGATACCTCAATAATCAATTGGTAAACTTGCGAAAGAAGCAGCAGCCTATCTATGATAACGTTTGTGACGTGTTGCCGCTGTTCCGTGACATTTATGTGGGCTATCTAGGCAAGCGCAGGTGAGCGGGCCCGCGACAGCCGTCAACCTCACTTCCCGTTTCGCTTGTCACAGGACGACTCTTGCCACACTCTTGACCCCACTTCTATAAAGCTCCTCCTTTGACCTTCCAGGGCAGAGCCTCCACACTTCCACTTTGCACGCCCCTCTCATCAAACCTACCGCACACCATGGCGAAGCGAGACCGCTACCGTGACCGCATCAAACTAACTCAGAGCACTGCCGGTGCCACGAAGAAGACCAAGCCCGCCATCGACAAGGTCAAGAAGAAACGGCTCGGCTTCCTCGATCTACCGGGTGAGATCCGCAACATGATCTACGCCTACTGCTTCGAAGACGAAGTCCAGGTCAACATGACGCCGAACGCGCATCACACCCTCGAAGAAAAGAAAGTCCAGCCACGCACCTGGGCGTCTGCCCCCGCGCGATACGAAAGGCCCAAGCTCGCCAACGACAATGTGAGCAACAACCAAGGCAGCAACGCCAACCGCACTGCCGCCGTGAACAACAGCGCCCCGCTGCAGCTCACCATCATCGACAGAGGAACCGCGGTCCTCTCCATCCTTGCCGCTGGCAACCCTCGCCCTCCAACACATCCGGAACCCCGCTCTATCAAGTACAAGCCCTACCGTCGCAGGCACAACGCTTCCCCCGCCAACCCATCTGAACAACCACCTGCAACCAAATGGCCTACTTCCGTCGGCGCCCTCGTCCTCACCAACCGGCAGATCCACTCCGAGGCGCTGCCCTTCTTCTATGCGACGCCCCTGTTCACCTTCGAGACGACAAACGCCCTGCTACGCTTCCTGGCGCTGCTGCCGCCGCACAAGTTCGCCTACATACGCAAGCTGCAAATCGCGCACACGACATATGGCGACCCGGTCAACCCGCGCGACGACATGTGGAAGGCGCGGCACGAGCGCGCGTGGGCGCGGGCAATGGGCGAGACGGCGCGGCTGCTGACTGGCCTGCAGCTGCTCCGGTGCCGGGTCGTGGCCAACGAGCGGCCGCTGGTCTTCGGGCTGGGCGTCGGCTGGGCCCAGGCGCTGACCAAGGCGTGGAGCGCGGCGTGTCAGCGGACGATGACGCCCGAGGAGACGAGGAAGAAGGGAGGTCTGGAGCCGCTGCGGGTGGAGATCGCGGTGCAGAGCGCGTGGGTGGTCAAGGGCGCGGACATGCCGAATGGGCACCTGAGGCGCGCGCTGGTCGAGCTGCACAGGCTGTTCGCCGAGGCTGTGAGGAGGCGGCTGTATGGCTGGAGCGAGGAGGATGCCATGGTGGAATACAACCTGGTCAAGTTTGATAAGTACAAGAGGCTGTCGGGGAGGTACCCAATGCCTTGAGGGAGCCTGTCTTGGTTGTGGACATCTTTGGGTGGTCTATGACCGTAGGCAAAGCTTCATGAGGTCTATGATGAAGCGGAAATCGTTGGCCTTGAAGGGTGATTGCGTTGGGATAAGCGGAGCGAGCAGCAAATTCGACATCCATGGTTAGAGAGATATCATGCGGGATGGCCGGCGGCACATTTCCCTTCTGTTTTCTTTCCGTATTCGAGATTGAGGAGGATGCCTGCTCGGGGATTTGAGCAGCGAACGAGTGCGAAGACTCACTTCTTTTCCCTTTCATTCTGGTTGAAATTTCAGCCGTAGTAGTCTAGTAAAGAGCTGTACAATCTTAGACAAGCATAGCGTATACTCGAAGCGGTGCTCGACTTTCGAGAGACAAAGTACTAGTATACTCGTCTTGACTGGCTGTCAAAACGTCGTGATTCGCTCAATCGACAGGCGCCGTCGTTTAGAGGACCCTCCGCTCATTCCATTCGAAACATGGCGATCACATAATGCGGGGCACTAGCCGTTACGCATAGCGCGCCTCGAACACACAGGAGGGCGGAGTTCATCGAACGGCAGCAAATCGGGACGAGTCCGTGGTCTGACGGGCAGCAGAAGAAAAAGCGTGACGTCAGCGTCGCATTATTCGTGCGATTGGCGATTTTGTGCAAGAGGGGAGGGGCCCGGGCCGGGGGGACAGGGCGCGGCGGCGGCGGCGGTGCCTGGGACAGGAAAGAGGCTGAGATAGGGTTGGCTGGTTCATCGAGCGGATATACGGGGATAACGGATTTGGATCAAATAATGCCGCGCCGCATATAGTACCGGCGGATTGCTCGGGAGAACGCGGCCGCAGAAACTGCGACGACTGGGAAGTGGAGCCGGGCCATGGGGCGAGATACGAGAGGTATACGAGGGGCTGTGTAAGGTTGGTGGTGCCGGGGGGAGAGAGGAAGCAGGAAAAATCAAAATTGGGCAAAAGGAGATTGGGAGTGTTTGTTCCCTTCGAGTTGTTGTTGTTCTGCTGGGTTGCCAGTGTTTTGCTTGTTTGCGAGGTGCGAGAGCGAGTGCCGCGTGTCAGCCCCGCATCATCCTCGTCAATCAGGTGGCTTTTGTTTTTCTTTACATGCAATCGATCGTCTGCGGTGATTATTGTACGCTGGGCGTGGTCAAGAGGTCTGAGCCGGGATTGTTCAGCCGCGCTAGGGGTCCGTGGGCATGGGTAATGCCTCGAGGCTTGTCGGGCCGTAACGCCTCGTTCCTTGGTTTCCTGCTGAGGTTTCGGCGGTAGGCGTGAATATGGAAATGATCGACTTTTGCGATGACTCGAGCTGAGGAAGTGGTGAGCTGAGCTGGTGAGAAAGAAGGGTGAAAAAACTGGAGGTGATGGATTATATGGGATGGGATCGGTGAGCTGGAGAGAGAGGTGCCAGGGGATGTTTGCTATTCCGGGGCGTGTGCGCTCTCCTGCTTCTCGCAGGCCCAGGTCTCGTGACGGTTGCTGTGCTGGACTGACTCGTTGCCTCGAGACTCTCAATAGTCCCACCTGCAGACCCCATGGGCAGAGGTGCTAGCGTCGAGCGGGCTAGCCTCAGGCTGGGATCCGCTTATGCCCGCATCTGCTACTCTTTCGGTCCAGCCGATAGCCAGAGACCCGAATGTCGATCAGAGACTGATGAGTCTCGAAATTGGAACTTGCATATGCAGGGGACTTCGAAAAAGGAAAAGAGGCAGCCAGGCAGCCGCTTCATCGTGATCTCGGTCTGCTGCGGCCTGTGCGTTGCAACCCTGGCAACAGTCTGGTGGAGTTCTTGATTGCTTGCGGTTCATATGAGAATGAGATGCGGCAAGGTAGACGAGCAGGCGTGGGCACGGGTGTGCAGAGACGGCCCCGGAAACAGCGATCCGAGGTGCTCTAGCGCGAGATGGCCACTATAAATGGCGCAAGAGCGATCTGTCGGCTCAGGCTTCTTTCGACCTCTTCGGGTAAGGCCGACGTGCAAACCATGGCATCGTAGGCAGGCAGCAGGCGTCGTTTCTCCAAGCCAATCGGCGGTGCTTTTGGGCCATCCGCGACTTATCGCGACGCGTGGATGGCGATGCTGCAGGGCCGGGTGGCTTGACGGGGTGTCAGGTGCCTGGGCGGTTCTGATCTCTTTCATCTGGGCGTGCGCATGTCCCAAAGCGGCGAGTGAGGTTCTGGACGCAGGCGGTTAGCGGCGCGATCTAGATTGGAGATTGGGCGGAGAACGTGGCTTGTCCGCTCGCGCACGCGGACGCACGGAAGAGGCTGGTGGGTGTGGAAGCTGCGCAGCTGGCTGGCCGAGATATCGATTTTATGGCGCCGGGAGGTTTGCATGGGCGATGCCGTCATCAGGCATGTTCCAACGGCCTGGGAGCGGGACGAGCATCCGCGGCGGCGGATCGCATTTGTGCGCGTCTCCTGATGCGGCCCACCAGTCGCGCCAATGAGTTTTTGTCATCAGGTCGGCGTTGATGCCTGCGAGCCGAGCACGGAGCCGCCATGACATAAGGGGCTCAGCACTCCGCCCATCGTCGCGCTCTGCAGCGCGAGATAAAGTTTGCGCGCCTTGGGCGTAGGATCTCCCATATCGGACGACCACGCCCCGCGATCTGACCGCAAGCGACCCCTGCTCCAGGGTTGCAGCGCGCTGCTTGGCGGCCGGAGCTGGCGCTGGCGGAAATAATACAGGAATAAGCTGAGGGCGCAGCGCACGCCCGAAGCTAGCGGCAGCCGCTGTTCTAAGGCATGCGGCAAGCGGCGATCCATCCCAGGGGCGCCGGCCCACTAAACAACGGGCAGCGAGCGTCTTCTGAGCACTGCCCAGGGACCACGGCGGGCTCCCCCCTTGCATAGCCTAGATCCGCCGCGGGCCAGGCGCGTGGCTGCGACGCGCTTTGTTGCTGCAGGCAGCATCTGGTTGTACCGTCGCGGGCGATCCGCTCAGGCGAGAGTGTGCTGGACGTTGCCCGCCCGCTCACTGCATCGTGCGAACCATGCCCGGCACCTGACGTCGCCTTTTGTAGTCGCACCCTTTCGCGCGTTTGTGGAGACGAGTAGATCCGCCTGGTCTAGACGCCTGCCAGCCAAGCTTACTTACCTCTCCTCCAACATCTGCAACCCCCCGACGCGCCTCTTCTTCTTTTCTCTTGCGCGACCCTTGCCACCGCGCAATCCCCTCCCCCGGCTCCGATCCGCCGTAATCAGCGCCCGTCTCCCGCTCGACATCAGGGTCTTGGTTCCAAACAACCGCTCGCTCGACATCCCACCCGCCGGGCCGCATGCCCTCCTTTCACGCCGCGAGCCAGCACGCGTTGCGTTTCTTCCGCCTGGCCCACCGCTGCCGCCTGCCGCATTGCTTTTTGCCACCGGAATTTTTGGTGTAGCTCTCCTGCTGCCACGCTGGCGCCGTCCGAGGATGAGGAATGGTGTCCCGGCGACGCCTGAGGACCCGCAGAACACCATCGACCGGGACACGCTGTGCGTTGCGTGTCCCGAGCCCGATGTAGTCCTCCACGCCGGCCAACCTGGCTTCCGCGACCGCCTGCTGCACCTCTACGACCCCGCAGAGAGCAAGGCCGCCGAGCAGCTCGTGAGGTTGAAGGACCGTCTCCGCCGCACCACGACCGAGGATTTTTTCGAGGCCGTTACCGAAGGCCTGGCCCAAATCCTGGGCGCCCAGTATGCCTTCGTTTCCAAGCGCATCCTCGTCGACGACGAGAATGTCGCCGTCGAGATGCCACCCATCGGGGAGCCTGGAGCATGCCTGATGGGTGCCGGTTTCTACGTGAACGACGGGCACGACATCCAGCTCAAAGTCAAGAATTTCAAATATCACGCCTATTCGTGTCCATGCGCCTACATGAAGCACGACAAGATTTTCATTGTCCCGGAGAGATTGAACGAGTTTATTCCCGAGAATCCTAATGCTCTAGTTATCCCCGCAGAAGCCTACCTGGGCGTCCCGCTTTGCGCTGAAGGCAAATGCTTCGCTCATTTCGGCGTCATGTGGTCGCGCGAAGGCGCGGAGAAGAGGCAGCTGCGCTGGTCGTATATGGAGATGATCTGCCATGCTCTGGAAGACATGATCCTAGACAGATTATTAGAAGGAAAGAGGTTCGCTCCAGAACCAGTGGCCGATCTAAGACCCTCCAAAGTCGTTCCTCACGAGGCAGTCACCATTGCCCAATCTCTGAAACCATACGCCCGGAGTCTTTCCCACGAGCTAAGGACACCCATGCAAGGAGTAGTCGGCATGTTAGATGTCATGTATGCCACAGTCCAGGAAGCAGTTGAGGGCCACGGGGATGGCGCCCTCCGGAAGGTTTTCGAAACCTTGAAGGGAAACATAGAAGTGGTGCAGGGTAAGTTCAATATCCCCCCCTCCTGCATTGTCGCGAGTACCAACACGCCACAGACAGCTCCAGGCGAGCGGTAGAGGCAGCAGATAATGTCGTCCACGCCTACGACATGAATATGGGCGTCCCCGAGTCGCCGGAATCCGCCATGGATGATGAAAAAATGGACCTGTCTCCGGAAGCACAGCCGGATATCGTAGTATCAGGGAACCACATGACGCTCGGCCTCCACGGACACGGGAGCAAGAGGAGGAGGGAAAGTAATCCTTGGGACTCTGGAAAGAATCTGAAGATGCACGCAACAGAGGCACACTGGGCCACACGACCCAAGGTCGATCTTCCTCCACTCCGCGGCAACAGGCGTCATTCTCAACCCAGCGATCAAGCATCTACAGCTAGTTCGGACAGTTTCGCATCGATAGCGGTGGGGAATGTGGCCCGGAGAACGCCGCCGGCAACTCCCAACTTTGCTTCGGAAAGCACCGTCGTGCCAGGTCTTCGACATGCTAGCATACGAGACGTGATTCAATACGTGATCAACGACTCGCTCAAGCTTGGGGGGAGGCCTGAATCAGCCATCGCCCACGAGACAGACGGCGGAGAGACGATCGAGGTATCAATGAGGGATTTTAGTGGCGCACAGAGAGTTAAGATGATCGAGTGGTCCGTGGATAGCGCTATCCCGGACACGATTCTCAGTAAGTGCTCTTCCTTGGCGGAAAGTTCGAGTTCTCACGCAGGGCAGTCGACGAGAGAGACCTTGCCAAGATGATCTCATGCGTTTTCCTGAACGCAGTTAAATTCACCGAAGAGGGTAGGATAAGCCTGACGGCTCGACTTAACACGACGCTTAAACATCGATACATTGTCATCAAAATCGAAGACTCAGGCACCGGGATTCCCGAGGCCTTCATTCCCAACTTGTTCAAAGCATTCTCCCGAGAAGACGACTCGTTGACTCGACAAAGCGAAGGCCTCGGCTTAGGTCTCCTTGTGGCCAAAGGTCTGGCCCGGAAGCTAGGAGGCGACCTCTTTTGCACTCGCTCAGAGGTGGCAGGGCCCAATCGAGGGTCGGAATTTGAGATTAGAGTACCGCTTCACCCAGGTGAAGTTGTTAGCCGGCCGAACACGCCTATGGGATCGAGGTCACCCTCGGCCAAACCAAGAACGCGTGTGCAGAGCCCGCACACTTTGAATGACGTGCAGGGCACACCGAGCACTGAGCCTCCCTCCCTCGGCTCGCGTTCACCATTGCCGCGACAGCCGTCTGCGCGGCCGTCTGAAGGGTCCCCAGTGGAGCCTCGGCCACGTCCCGGTATCCACAGGCGGCGCACATCAATCAAGAAGAATTCGTTCGACCGCGACCTTGCGCAGCGGCACCCGCTCAATTTTTTGGTGGTTGAGGATAACAAGATTAATCGGAAGCTGCTCGTCAGCATGTTGCAAAAGCTTGGGTACACGTCGATCCGCGAGGCGTACGACGGAACGGACGCGGTGCGAGAAATGCGCGCGCTTCGCGACCAGGCTCATCGGATCGACGTGGTGCTCATGGATCTCTGGATGCCGCTGATGGACGGGTATGAATCGGCGAAACGCATTCTCGAGATACCGCTGGCAGAGGCGCAGCCGACGCACCCCAAGATCCTGGCGGTGTCTGCAGACGTCACAGACGGCGCGCTGGAACGCGCAGCGAAGGTTGGGATGACGGGGTTTATGACGAAGCCGTACAAGCTCATGGACTTGGAGAGGCTCATCGTGCAGTACTGCAACAAAGAAGCAGACGAGTCGAACAACATCATCAACGACCATTCATGACGATGACTCGATTTTATTTATTTTTCTTTCTTCGCTTCTTGTTTATATGGATAGTGCGGATGGCTCGGCACTCGGCACGGAAAAGGCAGGCGTTTGGTGGGCAGGATTACGACGCGCAGGCCGAAAGGCACGGATGGACGGCCTGAGGGGCTCGGAAGCCGGGCGGGAATGGCTGCAGGATCCGGGGAAAGCTTCGCGCCGCGGCTCAAGTGAAGGGCCAGCGCCGCGTGAAATGGTGTGCTCGCTGCGACATGTCACTCAAACAAAACTAGTAATAAAACCTGCGCTGCATGCGCGCCTTTCATCGACTCTCTGCATCACCTCGCTCCTCGCCCCGTTCGCCGGGAGTCGGCAGGCGGGCTGGTGGCCGCAGGCGGGGCGGCGACCAGCACGGTGCCAAGACGCCGATTGCCATTCGCGGTCCAGCCGCATTCGAAAGTTCGATGCCGAAGAACCGTAGGGCTAGCAAAGTTGAGGACACCTTTGACCAAGCGTGGGGCAAATCGTTCCCGACCACAACCACCCAGCCGTCGCTCTTTGTCGCCCGCATTCTTTCCTCCTCGTTGCAGAGGCGCATTACACCACACACGCGCGCGACCGGGCTCGTTCGGCGCATACATCATCGTCTCCAGAAGCTTGGTCCATACATAGCGAGCACGTCCATCACTCAACCGCGCTGCTTGCACAACATCACTCCCGCTCCCGCCCAGCGCTCCTCAGAGCCGCACCCGACGCCATGGAGAGCGCGTACGTGCGCACGACGCAAGAAGTCCTCAGCCATTTCCAGGTCACCGAGGCACACGGCCTCTCCGACGACCGCGCCAAGGAGCAGCAGCAAAAGTACGGAAAGAACGGTACGCGCCTCGACGCCTCCCGCGCCGCCCTTCCGCGCTGACAGCGTGCAACAGCACTCCCTGAAGATCCCCCGACCCCGCTATGGGAGCTGGTGCTCGAGCAGTTCAAGGACCAGCTGGTCCTCATCCTGCTCGGCTCCGCTGCCGTGTCCTTTGTCCTGGCGCTGTTCGAGGAGGGCGATGATTGGACCGCCTTCGTAGATCCCGTTGTTGTATGTCGAACCCCCATCGCGACGCCGTGGCCTCTGCTGCGCCGCCCATGCTTACCTCGATCACACAGATCCTGACCATCCTCATCCTCAATGCCGTCGTCGGCGTGTCCCAAGAAAGCAGCGCCGAGAAAGCCATCGCCGCCCTCCAGGAATACTCCGCAAATGAGGCGAAGGTTGTGCGTAATGGATCCGTGAAGCGCATCAAGGCCGACGATCTCGTCCCTGGCGACATTGTCTCCATTTCTGTGGGTGACCGCATCCCGGCCGACTGCCGCCTGCTTTCCATCCAGAGCAACAGCTTCAGCGTCGACCAGTCGATTCTCACCGGTGAGAGCGAGAGCGTGGGCAAGCGCGCGGACGCTATCAAGGACAAGGATGCTGTCAAGCAGGATCAGGTCAACATGTTGTTTTCCGGCACTACGGTCGTTACCGGACACGCCACGGCCATTGTCGTCCTCACTGGCGGCAGCACGGCTATCGGAGATATCCACGAGAGCATCACGGCGCAGATCTCCGCGCCCACGCCGCTCAAGGAGAAGCTGAACGACTTTGGCGACATGCTCGCCAAGGTCATCACCGGTATTTGCGTTTTGGTCTGGGTTATCAACATCAGGAACTTCAATGAGCCTGCTCATGGCAGCTGGATCAGGGGCGCCATCTACTACCTCAAGGTGGGTCATTTCATTACTCGTGTTGGTGAATACATGCTGATTATTATTAGATCGCGGTCTCGCTTGGTGTTGCTGCAATTCCCGAAGGTCTTGCGGTGGTTATCACCACTTGCTTGGCACTGGGAACTCGCAAGATGGCGGCCAAGAATGCTGTCGTCCGTAGTCTGCCCTCCGTCGAGACGCTTGGCAGCTGCAGCGTGATTTGCTCGGATAAGACTGGAACTCTTACCACCAACCAGATGAGCGTCAACAAGGTCGTCTTCGTCAACGAAGATGGCTCTGGCCTCGAGGAAATTGACGTTGAGGGAACCAACTTTGCCCCGGAAGGTGCTTTGACCTTTAGGGGCCAGCCTTTCCAAAACCCCGCCGGCGCTTCTTCCACTATTGCTCAGCTGACTGAGGTTGCTGCTCTTTGCAACGAAGCTAAGCTTGCTTACGACCCCAAGAATGGCACGTACAACTTGGTCGGAGAACCCACCGAGGGCGCCCTTCGCGTTCTGGTTGAGAAGATCGGAACCCCGCAAGGCGCCATCAACGCCAGGAGGAGCAGCATTTCCCTGGCCGAGCGTGTCCACTGGGCCAGCAAGCACTACGAGGAGAAGAGCCGTGTCCTTGCTACCTATGAGTTCTCGCGCGACAGGAAGAGCATGTCCGTTTTGGTCCAGAATGGAGGCAGCCAGAAGCTGTTGGTTAAGGGTGCTCCGGAATCGATCCTTGACCGTTGCACTCACGTTTTGGTCGGCCAGCAGGGACAGAAGGTCCCTCTCAACGGCAAGCTCTCTAGCCTGATCTCTAGCGAAGTCGTCGATTATGGTAACCGTGGCCTTCGTGTCATCGCCCTCGCTACTGTTGACAACGTCGACTCGAATCCGCTCCTGAAGACCGCTACGACCACCAAGGAGTACACCCAGCTCGAGCAGAACATGACTCTGGTCGGCCTCGTTGGCATGCTCGATCCCCCTCGTCCTGAAGTCTCTGAATCCATCCGCAAGTGTCGCCAGGCTGGTATCCGTGTTATTGTCATCACTGGTGACAACCAGAACACCGCCGAATCCATCTGCCGTCAAATTGGCGTCTTCGGTTTCGACGAGGACCTTACTGGCAAGAGCTACACCGGAAGACAGTTCGACGATCTGAGCGACTCTGAAAAGCTCGAGGCTGCCAAGCGCGCGTCTTTGTTCTCTCGCACCGAGCCTTCCCATAAGTCTAAGCTTGTCGACCTCCTGCAATCTACTGGCGAAGTCGTGGCGATGACGGGTGACGGTGTCAACGATGCCCCTGCCTTGAAGAAGGCAGACATCGGTGTTGCCATGGGCTCTGGTACGGACGTTGCTAAGCTGGCGGCCGATATGGTCCTTGCAGACGACGACTTTGCAACCATCGAGAGTGCTGTCGAGGAGGGCCGTTCCATTTACAACAACACCCAGCAATTCATTCGCTACCTGATCTCGTCGAACATTGGAGAGGTTGTCTCTATCTTCCTTACTGCCGCGGCAGGTATGCCTGAGGCTCTCATTCCTGTTCAGCTGCTTTGGGTCAACCTCGTCACCGACGGTCTTCCCGCCACTGCCCTCTCCTTCAACCCGCCTGATCACGACGTCATGAGGCGCCGGCCGCGTAAGAGGGATGAGGCGCTCGTTGGCGGCTGGCTCTTCTTCCGTTACATGGTCATCGGCACCTACGTCGGTATCGCAACTGTCTTCGGTTACGCTTGGTGGTTCATGTTCAACCCTGCCGGCCCGCAGATCAGCTTCTACGAGCTGTCGCACTTCCACCGCTGCTCCACCCACTTCCCCGAGATCGGCTGCGAGATGTTCTCCAACGAGATGAGCAAGTCAGCCTCGACCGTCTCGCTCAGCATCCTCGTCGTCATCGAAATGTTCAACGCCATGAACGCGCTGAGCAGTAGCGAGTCGCTGCTCACGCTGCCGCTGTGGGAGAACATGGTGCTTGTGTACGCCATCACGCTCAGCATGATTCTGCACTTCGCGCTGCTGTACATCCCGTTCCTGCAGGGCCTGTTCTCCATCACGCCGCTGAACTGGGGTGAGTGGAAGGCGGTGCTGGCGATCAGTGCGCCGATCATGTAAGTTCAATCCCCTTTTCACAATCTCTCGCTGGGTTTGGTTTGGCTAACTTTAATCTCTAGTGGCATTGACGAGGTTCTCAAGCTTGTCGAACGCCAGTTCTTCATGACGAAGCTTCCCGCCAAGTCCGCGAAGCCGAAGAAGGAGTAAGTGATTGTGGTTGTGGTGGCGTAAGAGAGTTGTTTTTGGTCTTGAGAATCCAACACATGTGATTGATCTATTTGTGTGTGTCTGTGTGCATAGAGACAGCGGTGGGGGTAATCAAGATAAGAAAGGAGTTCGTGCATTTCATTTTTCGTCTAGAAAGGAGAAAAAGAACACACACCTACCTTGTCCATCCTCTATACGTATATACCGGTGCGACACTTCCTTTCGGGTCTCCTCATCCTTGTATCATCATCATTATCATTACTTATCTCCCTTTTCCCTTGGTATCGTAGAAAGAAAGAATCAAAAGAGAAAGACGGGCGGCTCGCGCGCGCGATTGACAAAATTGTTCTTGCTTCTTCCTTTCCCTTTCCTCTTAGAGGTCGTGTTGGTGTCGCTTTCTCTGATGCTCTCTTTCTCTCTCTCTCCTGGTTGAGAATGACGGTGGGAGTGGTAGATGGCTAAGTCCTTGAAGAGCTGTGCCGGCCGGTTTGCATGTATAGGATCTTTTCCTAACATACGGCGGGCATGCGTCTTCCAGATTGAATTCGCGGGAAGCGTCTGGTGACTTTGGCGTTCGTTTGCTTTTATCATTTTCTTTAGATAGATCAAATTCTCTCATTTTAAATCTGTCTAATAAAAGATACTTTTAGGTGGATAACGCACCGAGCTTTTATAGACATAAGTAAAAGGTATCTGGTGGCTAAGAGCTCGAATGTGCTGGCTGAAAGACTGGCTAATGCAAAAGGTAATGCAAGGTTGAATTCTATATAGCGTGGTTTACCTATGCTCTATGCGATAGACTAGTAAAAATCGCTATGGAATGCTATTTTAGTAGACTAGGTATCTATTAAGAAATGAATTTAAAACAATAAAAGAACGAAACTCTTTCTAAAAGGTGCTTGAGATGAGAAGTCGATAAAACTTTAGTTTATTGTAACAAAACTATGAGCATTAGAAGTCGATTGACAGCGGATCAACTGTGATAGGCAATTCAATCAAGCTAGCTGCTTCAAAAGAGAAGTAAGAAATAGATAGATAAGGCAGATGTGAGTAACGTAGCAAGGATAATGTGTCAACTGAAAAGACGGATAAGATTTTTGTCCTCAAGACCAGACGTCATACCTTTGGGCGATGGGATTTCGTGTTGGAAATTGAACGGGCATGCCAGATAAGCTCAACCTTGTTGACAGGTATCTACCCGCACGGCTCTTATCTATAAGCCGCCCTCCACGCCACAGGGTGGCGCCGCTTTGGTTAGCATGATATGCTCATACAAGGATGCGCTCGAAACGCACACAGCCTCAATGCCGAGAGAAAAAGTAAGACGGAGGATGAGCTAAAAGCTGTGAGTAACGGGAGTCCCCGTCAGACCACTGATCATACATGCACCTGCCGCCCTTGCCCTCACCTTCACATCCCACGTCCAGTTCTACGCGCCTGCATTATCTGCTTTCGCATTGCATCACCGCTCGCTCGCCTCCACTTTACCCCTGTGCATCCCTCACAACGCTAACTACCCGCTCATTGCCGGGAAAGAGGATCGTCGGCATCACCGCACTACAAAAGGCAAAACTCCCGGGACCCATGTTCAGCCCCCCCTTCCCCCCACGAAGCCAGAGACCAACCAATGATATCGCATATATATACAAAAAAAAAAGGGCTGCAAGTTACGACGTACACTAACGTAGGAATCCTATACAGCGCTTTCACCTCGCTCTATCCGCAATCTTCCGTCACTTCCTCCACACCTCCCCACCAAGCTGCGCGTAGGATTGTGGAAGTTGCCGCTTTCCCTCCGACCGACCATGAGTCCAAACCCACACGCCTGATCTGATCTGTAAGACGGCCATGCCCGTAGAGAGTATCGGGGGAAAGGCATTTGTCTGGGCGTTTCTGGGCGTCTGGATCCACCATCGAATTCTTATTTCGCCGTTGCGAGGCTATTTTTTTTCTTCTTCCTAATTTTCTTTCTCTCATACCGAGCCCCAATAGCTATTTCCCACACCTGACTAATGCCTCTTTTTCTCTCTCACACATACTCGGCGACTCGGCGCATGAACCGTGGTGTTTGGTGGTTCGTGGCAATCGACAAGGGGCGGACGCTTGATTACTGCCGTTTCCGTTTCGATTCCCCTTGCCTTTTAGAGTAAAAATGTACGGGACAGAGGGGGATGGCGTGCAGGCGGAGAAGGGAGGCGATCATAGTGCCGAAAAGGTAACCGCCGGCATGGTCACCATCACATTTTCGGAAAGTGGGTAGAGTGACGGAGTGTGGGGAAACAGGGGGGGCGGATGGCCGGCTTCGCGGGCTAGGTTACGTACGCTCCAAAAGAGCTGGGACGGCACGTCCTCTGCGGCTCGAGAGGATGCAGCTGGTCATGTTTTGTTCTTCTTTCGTGCAGGCTGAACGAGAGAGGGATAATGGCGGGTTTGAATATCTTTCCTTTTGGCTTTAATTGCTTCATTCATCACATCGTGTGCTGCGATCATATCCGTTGTAAGCCTGGAGTGGGGGATGCTTCCATTCAAAAAAAAAAAAATCTAGTTGCAACAAAGCCCCCGCTTCTTTTGAATTTATTCCCTCTTATCTACTCCCATAGCAGCGTCAGCGGCTTCAGCCACTTGTTCTTCTGCACCTTTGGCGGCGTCTCCTCAGCAATGACATGATCCAATCCGGTGTGCAAGTCCACTTCCGCAGAGTCGTATACCCACGCCTCTTTCATGTGGGAGAGTCTGTGGCCAAAGTAGATGCACAGGAAGATGGGGATGCCGATGTAGGCGGTCAGGAAGGAGGAGGCGCTCCAATTCTCGGGCCAGAAGACGTCGAAGCCGTTAATCAGGCAGAGGAAGGTGAAGGCCGTCATCGAAATGTAGGTGCCGTACGGCTGGACCCACGAGCGGTAGGGCAGCTGGGACTCGATGCCCTGGACCTTACAAGCTTTGCGGAAGCGGAGGTAGACGATGCCGCAGCAGACCCACGAAATGAAGCCCGAGGTGTTGGTGAGGTTGACCTGGAGCGAGACGATTAGTGGCTATTGATTGGTGGGATAAGCGGGGTGTACATACAAACCAGTTGAAGACGACCGAAGCGGAACTGCCGACGTTCAGATAGGCAAGCGCGCAGAACAAACTGCTGGTCGCGACGGCACGGTATGGCACGCCGGACTTGGTGCAAGCGCTGAACCAGCGGGGCGCGGAACCCTGCAGCGACATGGCGTATAGGGAGCGTGAAGAGAGGTATAGGAAGGAGTTTCCTGACGACCACGCGGAGATCAGAATACCGGCGTTGACGACTGAGTCGAGGCCCTTGATGCCGTTGCGCTTCATGCCAATGACGAAGGGCGACGAGCCGGCACCAGAGCCGCCATTGGTCAATGTCGGGTCGTTGCTGGGAACGATGACACCGATACACAAGACGCAACCGATGTAGAAGAAGATCAGACGGTAGATATAGCGACGTCCTGCCACAGGCAGGTTGCGGCGCGGATTCTGCATCTCGCCACCTGTCACAACGAGGAGCTCGGGGGCAAAGGCGAAGGGGAAGGCAGAGAGCACCATTGTTGAGAGCAAGGCAATGAAGCGGCCTGTATCGCCTGAAGCCATGTAGGTATTGGCAGCGCCTGGGTCCTTCCAGTAGCGGAATCCGAGGCGGTCGTGGGAGGGACCGCCGCCGAAGAACAGGATGACCGAGACGAAAAGCAGGCCCAGCATCATAATGACCTTGGTGCTGGCAAACCAGAACTCAGTCTCGCCGTAGAAGCGCACGGGCAGGGCGTTCAGAGCGACGATGACGACGAGCATGACGGTGATCCACACGCCAATGTTGACCGGGGTATTCCAGTACTCGATGACAATGGCAGCGGCGGTGATTTCGTAGGGAACCAGGATGCCGAGCGAGTAGAAGTAAAGCCAGCCGAGAGCGAAGCCCATGGAGCGAGAGACATAGCGATAGCCGAACAGGTTCATGGAGCTGCCGGGCGTGGGCAGCCAAGTGGCGACTTCGACAATGGCCGTGACGACGCAGAAGACGAGGAAGGACATGAGGCAGAAGCAGCCCAGGATGAAGGCCGGCCCTCCTCTGGCTAGCGTCTGGCCCGAACCGACGAAGAGACCGGTGCCGATGGTGCCGCCCAGTGCGATCATCTGCGCGTGTCGCGACTTCAGGCCCTGGGTTGTGAGTCAGCAATGGGCTCGGCGGCAATGCAAGATGAGCTAGCTTACTCTCTGGGTCGACTGGGCGTGGCCCTCGAAGACCTCGCCGGCCAGGACGTCAGTCGCGAGGCCGGAGCCGCGGCGGGCGGCGTGGTGGGAGCCGCCATCATAGGCAGGCAGCTCATTGGCCGGAGCCTTCTCGTCAATTGCCTCGACGTCTTTTCCCATGATGATGCGAAGAAAGTGTCTGCAGGAAAGACGCTTTCCATAGGGGCGCGAGAGAGGGGGTGGGAGCGACCAGGACAAGCAGGAGCCGGGGTTTATGTAGCTGCAGCTGACGGGGCATAGCGATCCGGTGTGCCTGATATCTTGGCTTCCTAGGCTCGGTTTGTGATAGAGGCCTCGTACCAAGCAGGGCGGTAATTGGCACTGTGTCAAGCGGCTGTGTGACGATTGAGGTTAGGCGGGCACAGTGGCGGCGCAGGGCAGAGGACCTGCGGAGGCGGGAGATAGCTGATAAGGAAGAGGTGGTCTGGGCGGACGCTGGCGAGATAAGCGCAGCCCGCCCACCGTTGCACGCCCGTCAAGGTAGCACGGTGCTACGTATGCCCAGCGGTGCCCAGACCTAGCTGTTGGCTAGCGCAGTCAAGCTCGGATTTGGCTTCTGGAAGCATGCCCGTTCAGCGAGTCATGCCGAAATCTTCCTGGGCTTAGCTGCAAACCCCATCAATCGAAACATGTACCTTCTCATCATGCTCCTTTACTGACGTCTGGACCGTAAAGTGCCAGCCCGTCGGAAACGAGTTGGTGGGTAAGAGGCCTGGCGAGCAGAAGCCCTACTCTCTTTCTCGTTGCCTGTCTCTTCCTTTGTTGACCTCTTGTCCCGTCGAAGATGAGTCCGACGAGCAGCATTAATGTTCCCTTCTGACGTCTCAATCCCCTTGTTTCCTGCCTGTTCCTTTGCCGGCTCCTCGTAATTCCCAACGTATGACATCCTCATCAGCGCTGCCGCGTCCATCGTACTCGATCTTGCCTTCCGTAGTTGCTTGGGAGCTCTGTCCGCCTTCATGGGCACCGGCACCGCGCCCTGCGCACCAGCGCTGATATTGAAACCTGTCCGCTTTGCCAGTTCTTGGAAGCTCGTCTGCACCACCTCCTCCGGCAGCAACCCCATCAGCTCCTTGAGTCTCGGAGCCTCGTAATCCATCGTTGGCCATGTCGAGAGCACAACCAATATCTGATTCGCGATTGTCGCCTCCTTGAGAGCCGGCGCGAAGTCGGTGGGAAAGACCGCCTTTCGCAGAGCCGCGACGGAATAGTTGTAGTTCTGCCACAGTCGGTACCAAGTGAGCATTGATAGCCGTCGCGGATACTCGTAGTGTCTGAACATCGTTCCGCGCTCCGAATCTCTTCTAGCCCATTTCTGAGCCCATTCCTCAGCCGCCGCCCAGTGCCTTCTGGGGTCGCCGGATCCACCGTCCGTCGAAGGAGAGACTTCAGGTAAGACGGCGTCTTCAGCCAGCAGCCTTCGCAACTCCGCCATCCTCTCCTCGTTTCCGGGCGGCATGCCGTAGTATTTGATTGCTCCGACTATGTCTAGCGCAATAAGCTTCGACGGCCGCTCGGATGCATACTTAGTCCCGATAGCATCTATGGACAAGTTCCAGTGATCCCACAAGCGGTAGTGGAGGTAGCGATAAAAGCGGTGCTTGTCACAAGGCTCATCAAGCCGAGCTCTGGCCCATTTTTGCGCCTCGTCGTATCGTTGCTCTAAGACAATTGCTCTCATCGAGTCGTGCGTTTCTGCCTGGCTCCCCGGTGCCGCCATCACGGCGTGACTCTCCTTTGTGAGATTTGACACTCTCACGAAATTTTTGACATGATCCGACGACTTCTTGTTCAGAGCTCCGAGGAGCTCTTCAACAGCTCCGTCGTATGGTAACCTGTTTGTCGAAATTTCGGAAAGAATCCGTTCGGCTGGCACTCGCCGCTTTTTTTCTGGAAAGTCGCCGCCGAATACCACTTGTCCAAGGGCTTGGAGGTCCCAACGGTGAGAGTGCCACAGTCGGTAGAGGCAAAGCCGTCGCAGAACCCCACTGTTGTGGCGAGGGCCGCTTTGGTTAGCCCGAGCATCGCTTGAACTCCTGGATCTCAAGAACCCCACCGCCCATGCCTCAGCCTCATGGTATTCTTCTAATCCACGATGCCCAATGCCCCGTAACCGAGTTGCGTGAGACATAGAGGACGGCTGTGCGCTGCTCCCGTTTCTCCTGAATTCGACCACCCTGGCTATTCTCCGATACTTCTCCGCCCACAATACCTCCTCAGGCAGCATTTCTACCAGTTCCGATACCCTTTTCTCATCGTACGGCACTCCATCTCGGTCAATGGCTTCCAAAATGTCCGTGGGAAGCGCGTTCGCCATCTCTGGGGAAAGATTCCCGGCTATGGCTAACACGTCAAACCCGCCGTAATGCCACAGGCAATAAGAGAGCAGTTGATGGCGACGTGAGCTCCCATCTGAGGAACTGACCTCTTCGCTGCCTAGGAAGCTATTAACCCAGCTCGTAGCCGCGTCCATGACATCCTGTCCAGGCTTTTCCATTTCCGTTTCCGTTGCGCTCTTCCAGATATCCGTGAGGGAAGGCGATGCCGAAGTAGTCTGGGAGTCCGTCGGCTTAGAAGCTGTGTAGAAGTCATCCGCGTCATCCGCGCCCTCTTCCGATAGCCCATCTGGCAACCGCCTGGCGCTGTTCGGCGCAGGAGCTTCCGAAAAGGACGAAAAAATACTTCGCCGCCTCTCCCATAGCGCCTTCTGCTCAGCACTTCGCTGCCTATCCAACAGCGCCGCCTTCTCAGCCTTTTGCTGCCCCTCAGCATATATGGTATGCCACAGTGCAAAGCAAGCGTACACGTTTGATCCCATGGCTACTTGGTCGGTTCGCCGAAGTCGTAGTGCCAGATCGACCGTCATATCGGCTGCCTCTGGGTGCAAACCATAACCCAGATATTCAAACATCAGGTCCTGAAGAGTCAACGGCGAGCGAGACACAGTTCTCCCAGCCTTTGCCTGGAGGTCATAGTGTAGGTCTTCTAAATCGATAAAGCCTCGCGGGTTGACGCCTAGGAACTTCTGCAAACGAGCGCATTTCTCCTTGGAGCCGACAGTCACCTTGAAAATGTCCGGGGACTCGAGCACCCTCTTGATCTCTTCCGTGATCAGCGGCTGTACATTCCTCTGCCGTGCGAGGTGGAGGAGATGAATGGTCGAGTCCGTGGCGATCATCAACAGCGAAGTGTTGGCTTTGGGTCCGTCCTCGTCCCGGGCCACTGGCTTCCACCTTAGATCAAACCCTACAAACTTCCCCCCCAGCCCTCTGAGAACGTCAGAATGCGTTGCATTGGTTGCGTGATAGCGCAGCTCCGGAGATCCAGGGAGGGGCTCCTGCTCGTCTTGAACCCTTTCCGAATTTGCGTGGTAGAGCTCGTAGGAGAAATATGCATGATTGCTCCTCTCCGCCGCGGCCTTGTCCTCAACCACATGCTTGTCCAAGTCGTAGCGTGGTTCCCGGTAAGCACCAGCCAGCTTTAACCGCTTGTCCTGATCATGCCTCCTTTCCTCTGCGAGTCTCTCTGCCTTGCTCAAAACGCCCTTGACGCGGTGGACAGTCACCTTGTCGCGTCTTTCTTGAGCAACACTCATTTGCTCTTTCAATCCAATCATACCAGCTTCAAAATACCTTTCAGGCCACATTCTCATGAAAGCCCATAGAACAGTGGGAGCCATATCTCCTGGCTTCTGATCATCAAAGAATGATGTATCCTCGCAATGCCGGAAGAACGACTCAGTGAGGGAAGTTTCGATGCGTTCGCGGCCTTCTTCAAGTCGCTTTAGGCCTCGAAGCTGTTCGCTGACGCGCTTTACCTCGTTATACAAATCATACAACTCCTCGTCTCGGACGTCGTTCCAGTCTTGAGCTGCGCGTTTGAATTTCGTTACCAGTTCTCTTCGGCGCTTCCATTCCGTCTGGCCCAGCACTTCGATGATTTTCCCACGGTTGTCCCAATACCAATCTTCCATTCTCTTACGGACTCGGTTGAAACCCGTGAGCCTCTTGCCGAATATTTCAAAAGGCTGTATTATGTAAGCGTTCCGCAAGACTTCAAGGTCGCTGTTTCGACGCTTGAAAAGTGCCATGAACTGATCCCTGTAGACCAGGTAGTCGATATCTCGCTGGATATATCTGTTGAGAGTGGAAATCTCCATATTCAGCTCTGCAATTCGGTCGTACACCTTCAAGATGTGCCGGGTATACTGCCCGTATGCTGCATAAATCTTCCAGTCTCTCTCTCCCTTGAGAGTCTTCCAATAGAGCCTCATCTTCGAGAAGTCTTGGTCCAGATGCATCATTACCTCTCGGACTTCCTCGAACGTATCACAGATTTTGAGCACCTTCTCGCTGTTCCCCGAATATCGCCTCTCAAGTGCGACGTCTACCTTGTGTATTTGATCAGACACCTCGACTCCGAGCTCTTCGTACTCATTCATTCTCTCTCGCCACTTCGCAGCAAAATTTCGTCTTGAGAGCAAGATAGGGTTGTGTTCTCTTAGTTTCCTTTCGAGGAGCTCCGTCTTGTAGTGGACTGTTGGCAAGAGCTTCGCCATATGGTCACTTAAGGTGGACCAGATCTCGCTCGCGGTTCTCCTCCCTATCGCTTTCCAGCCATAGATGTTTGAACGTTCCTCGCGACGCTTCTGTGCGGCAGCGGCTGCGAGCTGTGGCCGCCACTTGTTGATTTCCTCCTCAAGATCGTCCGCTTCGTACCGCAGTTGCCAATAAGTGCTCGGCAGCATCGTTTCTATTTCCAAGCATAGGCTCTGCAAGACAGCCTTGCGGCGGGTTCCGATTGCATATATCTCTGACCGAATGTCCAAGATAGCGCTTTCGACGCCGTCGAGTCGGCTGCGTAGCCTATCCATGCAGTCATTTACGATTGCAGCTATTTTTGACTGGATGGCCAAGATAGCTCTGTTGACGCTGTCGAGTCGGCTGCGTAGCCTATCTATGCGGTCATCTACGATTGCAGCTATTTTTGACTGGATGGCGATGGTGGCGTCGTTGATGCACCCATACCGGGCAGTTTGTTTCCTAGTTCTTTGCCGGCTCTGTTCGACTATGCGTTTCCACTGTGCCTGGATGCGCTGCCGCACTATCTTTGCTGACTCGCGCGGTATGGCCTCGAGCTCATTTTGCAAGAGTTGTAGCTTGGCTTCTGCGTCCTGGACCTGTTGTTGCGAGGTTTGGCACGCCTGCACCCATTTCTTTTCCTTCTCTCTCCTCTCCCTGGCTTGCTTATTCTTAAGGGCCTGGTCCTCCAGGGGCTTTCTCTTCGGGGCTTCCTGGTCTCTCTTCTGGGCTTTCAGGGCTCTCTTCTGGGCTTCCTGGACTTTCTTTTGGTCTTTCAACTTTTTCGCACCTTGGAGTTGGCGCAGGAAGCTCTCGGTATCGTTGAAGTCGTCAAAGAAGGCAGAAGGGGTGGAGCGAAAGTGACGTGCATGCGCGAGCCTGGCGGCGGGCCGTCAGCAGGAGCTACGAGGGCATTCGAGCGGCAGCGACATACGAGAGACGCAGCGAGCTCGCGCAGGCGGCGCGAAGCCGTGGCGAACTTCGGGCCAGAGTGCGGCGCGCGGCGGTGGAAGCGGCAGGCGGCGAGGCACGGCCAATTGCGCGTGAGAGCGTCATCGCGTTCCATGGTTGCAGTGAGGCGACAGGCGGAAGAGCAAGCGTGAGATAAATTCTGAGCAAGGGCCCCAGGGCGTTGCGCTTGGCCAAGGCGCGCTTTTCCGCGTGCCGAGCCGCCGGCTGCCAATCTTCCCATCAACCTCCACACTCCAGCAGCACCAAACATTCGCAAAGATGGCCTCGCAACTCCTCCCTCTGGGTTTGTCGCCCGCCCGCCCTTGCCCGCCCCGCTGACCATTTCCGCCAGAGTTGATCGACAAGTGCGTCGGCTCCAAGATCTGGGTCGTCATGAAGGGCGACAAGGGTACTCAAGAATCCTCCACTTCGTACTACTGCCCTCCTGACTAAGCCTTCCCCAGAATTCAGCGGGACCCTCCTCGGCTTCGACGACTACGTCAGTACGTATATCCATTGACATGAGGCCCGGCCGTGCCGTAGCTGACGCCCCGCCAGACATGGTCCTCGAGGATGTCACCGAGTTGTACGCATCCATCCGTGCCGCTCCAATGCTGCCGTTCACGTGCTAACACGACCAACCACCACAGCGACTACCAGGGAAACCAGACCAAACTGTCCAAGATTCTGCTCAATGGCAACAACATCTGCATGGTCATACACCTGCCCCGCCCTAGAGATGCGCCTGCATTGCTAACCTCATGCAGCTGATTCCCGGAGGAGAAGGCCCCACTGCCGCCGCATGAACTGCTTGGCCTCAAGCCCGCGCCATCGACCACCCGAGAGGCATCATGGCACCCGACGCTCGCATCCGAGGTCCATCTCCTGGCAGGCTGCGCCACAAATCTTCGCATGCTATTCCACGTCGTGTAGACCGGGCCTGCGTTTGCCCCGGCTAACCAGGATCATCGAGCCGCCAAGTAGGCAAAATGAAATGGAAATTCATAGCCGTGTTGTCGTTTGCCAACCTGCGGGATGGTCCACGTGACGTCCATGCGACTTATAGGTACCCACCACCATCTCGAGACGCAGATGGAAACGGCGAGCTTGCACACGATGAATCCATGCGTTCTTTTGCATGACTCCGCAATGCGTAATTTTAATTATTAGTGTGTTCTCCCCCTTTTATTTATGGTGGCTCCAGAGACTTGTCAACCTCTCTCATGAGTCTCAGGAAAAGATCATTATTCATCAGTCCGGGGAAATACCGGCTATTCCATCTCCTCTACTGCAGAGCTTCCGCGTCTCAATTTCCATTCGAAGTCGAAATTTCCATCACATCAACACGAAACGGAAGAGCCGCACATATTTCCATTACAAATTTCCCTCCTGCACACGATGTTCGGTGGCAACCACAGTATCGTAAAACCGAAAGGATATACTTTGAACTTTGAACCACACCCAAACATAGGCTGTCTCTCAAGACACCCACCCTACGATCCGATCCTCGTCTCCAAACTCCTCCCTGCCAACCACCCTCTTCCTCACTCTCCTCACCACCTCCATCGCCTTCGCCTTCTGCTCCGTGTCAATCACCCGCAACCGTGACTCCAACTCCTCCTTCAGCACGCCATCCTCGTTCCTTCTCTCCTCCTCCAACTTCCCCACCACGACCCTAGCCTCCTCCTCCCACCCACCCCAGCCCGCAGGCCCATCCCCCCTCGCCACCGCCTTCTCGAACACGGCGGCCCTCGCCTCCTCGACGCTGACGGCAAACTCGGCCTCGTTCAGCAGCACCTCGGCCTCGTGGAAGCAGCGGACCAGCTCCTGCGCGCGGCGCGCCAGCTCGCCGACGACGGCCTCGGCGCGATCCAGCAGCCCGCCGACGCCGACACCGCCGTCGGGGTCGTCGTTGGCCTCGACCTGCCTCGCCGCGGCGCCGACGGCCTCGACCGCCTTCGCCACGGCCGCCAGCCCCGCCGCCATCCACCCCTCGACGCGCTGCCACGTCTGCCGCGCCCGCACCTCCTCGTCGGCTGCCGCCCGCGCCGCCGCCCCGAGCCGCGCCGCCGTGAAGTGCTTGCGTAGGTCGAGCAGCTTCTTGCGCGCGTCGGCGTCGGCGTCGGCTGCGTCGCCCGCGTCGTCTCCTTCTTTTTTGTCTGCTGCTGCCGCTTTCTTGCCGCTGCTGGCGGTGGTGGAATGCGGGTTCTCACACTCGTCGAACGCGACCAGGAACTCGAGTGGCGCCGTCTCGGCTGCCGCGTAGCGGGCGTCGCGGTCGGCGACGGTGGCGGCGAGTAGCGCGTGCCGGGCCGAGATGTGGGCGTGCAGGGTGAGCAGGGCGCGGGCGGACGTCGTGAGGGTCGTCAGGGCGGAGAGAGTCTGAGCAACATTGGCGGCGGCGGCGGAAGAGGTAGGAGCAGCGGGGTCAGGGTGCGATGGTTTTGCTGCCGCGGTTGCGGACCCAAGGCCGTCGACCGTGATGACCTCTCCCGTCCGGGCATTGATCTTGACGAGTCCGCTACCAGGAGCAGCAGCAACTGGGGCTTGTTGGTGCTCTTCTTCCCCCTCCAACGCCTTCACAGCCTCGGCCCCGACGTCCTCCACGACCGCCAACCCCTCCACGCCCGCCCCGACCTCCTCCCTCACCCTCCCGTACACGCCCGCGAAGACAGCTTCCTCCCACGCCCGGTACCGTTTGCCCGCGGCGTCCATCAGGCCCGCGGCGCGCGCCGCCACCTTCTCGGCGTCCTCCTTCTTTAGCGCCTCGTCGCGGCCTAGCAGCTGCGGGTACGTGATCTCGTTGGCCTCGAACGCCATGTCGTTGAGGACCTGCTGCTCGCCGCGCTCGGCCGCCAGCTCGTCGTACAGCACGCGCGCCTGCCGCGCCGCCGGCGCCGCGGGCGGCGACGAGCCGTCGAAGGAGGCGTTGAGCCCGGCGATGTGCGCTTTAGTGGCGTCGAGCGGCGGGAGCGCGGAGAGGGTGGTGACGATCTGCGTCGTGGTTTCGGCGGACGACGAGGATGGCTTGAAGTTTGCGAGCAGCGCTCTGAGGCGCGCGGCGCCCGTCGGTGGCGGCGGTGGTGGTGCCACCGTCGATAGTGCGAGCGGTGCGGGCGTGAGGCTTGACAGAGTTGGCTTCGTGCCGAGCGCTGGGGGCTGTGGCGGCGGCGGGGTGTGGGACGGCGTCGTTGGGTACGGGAGCGAAGTTTCGGGCGTCGACACCTCGTCGGGTGGTGGCGCTGTGATGGATGGAACAGGCTTCGGTGTGGAACTGGAACTGGAACTGGAAGTGGCTTGGTCCTTTTTGCTGTGCAGCGCGAGAGGGGCCGGGAAGAACGTCTCGGTGTGCTCCTGTCTGATTGGCGATGAGACCGACGAACGGTGCGGGAAGCTGTCACTGCGGGGAAAACTGTCCCTACGCGGCAAACTATCCCTACGAATGGCCTCAGCGGCCGGAGTGCTGGGAGTGTAAGGCTTGTACTGAGCTTGCTGAATTGCAGTGGCCGGGCCGGTCTGCTCGCTGGGTAAGCCGGTGGGGGTGGGAACTGCCGGTTGGCTGGACCCTTCGCCGTCGGTAGTGGATTGGCCCTGTCTGAATGGCTTGTAGGCTTGTTGTTGGTTCTCTCCGGGCACTGTTGTCTTTGCCTCGTCTGAGTTCTGGCGATCCTTCAGTTTAGGACGCCAAACTGGTCGGCCGCCAGGACTGTATTGGATTTCCATCTCAGTCGCCGCATCCGAGGGCGGGATCTCCAAAGGTAATTTCGGCCTTTTCTCTCCATTGTTCACAGATCGCTGTACATCATCACCAGGAGGCTGTGTATAGTACGGAATACCTCTTAGCTTCGATTCCGTAGCCACAAATTCCATGAATGCAGCCGCTCTCTGCTCATCTGAAGCAGCATGCGCCTCCGTCTTCAGCATCGAGATGAACCGCTCAAGAGAACTGGCATACCACGGTCCAAGATCCGGGATGAGGTCCTGAGGCCGTGGAATCCTATTGTATCGTGTGCTGGGTTTGGGCAGAACGATAGTCGCGTCCTGCCCGGCCATCCCCTCCTTACTTTGGTCTGCAGAAACTTCCGGCTTGACACTGGGTTCCATGACAAAATCGGCAGGCAACTCGAAAATGGCATTCTCGCCTGCGTCGTCGCTCTTCGTTTCCGCTGCAGCTGGCGGCTTCATCGCAAAAGGTGCCGGGTCACTTGGCAGCTCCACGGGCGAAACGGGGTCGTGCTCCACCGCTTTGAATTGGTCTTTCGCCTCACTCTTACCCACAGCCACTTCCTCTTCCTCCTCGTCCTCTTCCCCCGGCGCATCGTAGTACTCCCAACCTCCCGGCCCTCCAAACCCGAGTGCCGAAGCCGAAGTCCCGGCTGCTGTGGTCGCACCAGCACCGGTAGGCTGAATACGCTGACCACTGACCCCGCCAACGGCCTCAGACTGAGGCTCAGCCTTTGGCGTCGCCGGTCGTTCCCCAAGCGTCGAAACGGTAGAGAACGTATCATGCCGCTCGTGTGCTGCTGTTGTCGATATACTCGAGACCGTGTCGTGACGATCACGCGCGCCTTGCTGTGAATTGACCGATCCCTGACGGCTAACCAGGGGCGAGACGGTGGGGATGGGAGGTGACACTGGCGGGTTATACGGGTTGTTTCCCAGCGAAGCTGGCCTCTGGTACGGGTTGTTGCCCAGGGAGGGCGGCCTTTGGAAATACGGCTGGGGCGTTGTCGAATGTTGGAAGTAGTCTGAAGGTGCAGGGCCGGGTTGCATGGGCGGAGGCTGAGCCCAGTTGTATGGTGGCGGACTGACGGAGGGTACTTTCAAGGGCGTCTGCTGGGCAGGGGACTGGAACACCTGGGGTGGTGGGGGGTAAGACTGATTGACAGGAGTATGGGTGGTAGCGTACAGTTGTTGGTCATGCTGCACAGGAGAGACGGGTGTTTGCTGATGCGCAGCTGGCGCCTGCCATGTCTGCTGCTGGGGGGTGGTCGTGTAGATGTTCTGGTAGTTGCCTTGATTATGCTGCTGCCATGCCTGTTGGGGCGGAGGAGGGGGGAGAGGAGCTGTAGGGGTTTGATTCTGCAGGGCGCTTGGAGGTTGGAAGGCGTTCGTGGGTGTCCCAGACGCGTCCTGTAGAACATGACCGTACTTTCGGTAGATGTGGTGGGCAGTTGGTGGAGGGCTCTGAAAACTGGGCGTGCTTTGAACCGTTTGGACCTGCGGGCGCGACCAGGCTGAAGACTGATCTGTTGGGGGGCCTTGGGTTCCGGGACGGGGTGGAAGAGGTGGAGGGTGGACGCTATAGTCTTGAGGCTTGGGAGGAAGTGGAGGCGGGGGAGGGAACATCGACTGGAAACCTTGCGTCTGCTGTGGCGTCGGAGCATGTGCGGATGCATAGGAAGAAGTAATCGTAGCTGTGCCGGCATGACTCTGAGGGGCCGTCGTCCACGACTGAGAATTCAAGGGTCCGTATGGTGGAGGAATCGGCGGGCTATTGTACGTGACTTGAGTTGGAGTCACCAGAGGCTATAAAGATAGAGAAACCACCTTGTTAGCATAAAGTCCGCAGGCTGCAACATCAGACAACAGTACCGGGGCAGGTGGACCGGGTGCAGCGAGTGATCCTCCCGGCATCGATCCGTATGCGTTCTGGCTATAGCCTGACGCGGGCGGAGGCGGAGGCGGCCCGGCTTGCTGCCATGAAGTCTGCTGGGATACATTTGAGTATCCATACGGATTCGGGTCTGGGCGCGCATGGTTAAGAAGGGCGCGAGAGTGACTGCGTGATAGTCCAACGACTTACCGCTTCCCTGATGCTGTTTTGAGGTCCCATGTATGATTCCGGACTGCTGAAGCGTCTTCTGGATCAGCCCGTAGGCATGCTGAACGCGTTCACTCGGCATGTCTTGCTCGTGTCTCCGCAGCGTTTCAGGGACTCGTCATGTGCGGGGCATCAACGAGTCTCGAGACTGCAAACTTGGTAGCGCAGTAGAACGTGGGAAAGCAACAAAGAGGCTGGGAATCGACGGCGTATAGATATCGCTGGCGCGCGCTAAAATATGCGATGACTGGGAAACGATGAGAAGTGGGCAGTTTGCTCAGGTGGATGGTGCATGTGAGGCTGAACTGCAGCCAAGAAGCGAATGCCGGCTAGCTCCGCGCCACGTTCCGGGATCGACACGTAACCGGGGCGCAGCCAGCGATTCTGCTATACTTAGACCTCAATATCGCAGTTGTTGCTGCCCAGAGGCAGGCGATTCTTTTTTCCGCTCAGAAACACGACTTGGGCGCGGCAGAACCCGAAGAGAACCCCGAATCAGATACAGAAGCCCAATCGAGTCAAGACGTCGATCAGGGTCCACCGTGCGGTGAGCTTGACTGTCATCCTAGTTGCACATCAACGACACGTCTGAAGCTTTTGGTAATCAATCGATTCGAGGACCGGCCAGGTCCAGATAAAGAGGCAGCAAGACGCTCAGCGCCCTCGCCAAATTTCCATCAGCCCCCTAAAAAAAACGACCAGTGGTATCTCGAAAGCAAAGAATAAGGAAATCACCTGTCTCATCCCACAGCTGCTGCAAAGTGCGTCGCTGGATGCATGGCATCTAAGACCTCTCACGTCTGTGCGGCTTCTCCCGAGCTCCTCTTGTCCATCGTCCATTTAATGAACAATCCCACATCCTTGAGCACAGCACCGGGTACGCCTTGCTTTTGCACAATCATGGGCAAATAGCCCTTCGCATCGCTTGCTGTCGCCATCATCCACTTGACATCCCCAGTCTCCATGATCTTGACCCGCTCAACAGACACATACATCCCTCGCGTAATCTTCTTCCTCGTGAGGCCCGGATCTGCATCGCGCTTGTTCCGGCCATTGGCATACAGCACGTCGCCGTCAGGGAAATCCGTCAGATCAACCGGAATCTGAACCACAACGAACGAGTCCGGGCTAGTCTTGGCGGTGACAACGACAACAGGGAAAACGCGGTTCGTAAGCGGCGGCGGCATCTGGTGGCACATTTCGTAGACTGCAGTGATGGCGTCTCTTAGCCAATCTTCAGGCACCCCCCAAAAAAGAGGGGAAAAAAGAAACCCCTCCTCAATAATCCAATCTGAAAAAAAAAAAAAAAAAAACTCACCACTCATGGTGACCTCCTCGTACCCGCCCGGCACGTTCCCGCCTCTCACCGCAATCAGCTCGTTCCAATCGGCCACCCTGTGGGCGTCGAAGACCGAGGGCGTGTATTCCATTTCGTGCTTTGAATGCTCGACCCGCAGCCCGTTGTCGAACTCGGCGAAGGTCGCGGTGCCCTGCTCGCTGACGTTCTGATGCACGCTCTCGCGCGCGAACCACGATTCCGTTGTCGTCTTGCCGTCGGAACCAACCTTGATGTCGCGCGACAGTTGGTGCACCTTTGCCACGGCGGGCGGCGACTCCTTCACGCGCCCCTTATTGAACGTCTGCGGAACGTACTCGTCGGCGAATGCGACGCCCTCGTCCAGTACCGTCTGTAAGAAATTGAACAGGTCGACGTTGTGCGGCGACGTCGGCTTGATCGACGGATGCGGCGGAAGGTCCGTCGTGGTGAGGATGCGCAGGCGCACCAGGTCGCCGGGCGTAGGTTGCGACATGGTGTATTGTTGGGGGGGACGACGCGGGATTGCGGCTTCAATTGGGACAGGAAGACGCAGCGTGATGTTGATGATGACTTGTAGTAGCAATGGCGTGAAAGCTCGACGTGCAAGTCTGGTGTCAAGGCGAGAGAAGCATGATCGATGGGGATTGCGGAAGCAGTTGCTGGACCTGTTCCTGACGCCTATAGCAGGGTATAGGCAGGCGCAGCCGCTCTCAAATTGAATTAGCCGGGCGCTGATGTCATCAGGGAAAGCGCGGCGGGAGGAAAGCACGGGCGGGCGGAAAGCGTTCGCAGCGGAAATGCCGTCATGGCGGGAGCGGGAGCAACAACCTCAGCAGTAGCCGCAAGCAGCTCTCGAAGGTGAGGAGTTGTTGATAGGGAGCTGGCGGGCATGCGGTCATCAGCCACGCTCCCTTGCGGATAGTCAGGCATCCAGGCACGCGGCTGGGCTGGCATTGCGGAGGCGGGCAGCGACGCCTCTCATCCGAAGGCGCACCTGCGTCACAAGAGCCCCATGCTAAGGCCAGGCATCCCCGCTGCGCATCGCTCAGCGCGCACAAAGCCAAAAGCTTCTCCACCGACGGCCGATAACAATCGTACGAGTACTATGCGAATTAGCGGGTCGCCTGGCCCGTCAGCAGCCGACAGGGAGCGGGGGGAGGTAGGCGGCAAGGGAAATTTTCGCCCGCTGCTGCGTGCGAGCGTGGCAGGAATAGGCAATTTTGCAGACCTCACAGCACCCTCCTCGTCCAACGCAAGAGTGACTGAAGACGGACACGATGGTGTCGCGCCGAGAGCTGAGAGGGCCACCTGGACGGCACTGATTGACTGAGAAATCTCGGACATCGATTGCTCAACGGCCTGGTCTCGTGCTGCGGCGTGATCTTTGCGACTCTGGCTGGGATTTTGTGCTCCCAGCGCACGCCGTGCTCATGCGCCCGCTGCGGCCACCAGGCGGCCACCGTGTCGCCCGCATCCACGGGCATCGAGTTTTGCGATGCTTTAGCGACCACCAACCAGAGGTGGCACAACAGCAAATAGCCGCTGGCGCAATTGCAGGCAGGTGGCAACCGAGCATCAGCAATCACCAGCACTCAATACAGCACCACCAACTTCCTTCCCAAAGCGAACCCGGCGCGCCTGGATTGGGAAGCCCGAGCCCTGATCCGGGCCGCCGTTGCACCCAATTGCGAACAGACCGCAACCTCCATATCACTTCTTCTCCGATCGAGATCGCAGACCGCAGACCATTGTGCTATCGAGATTCCGACGCCGAAACCCCATTTGCCGGCAGACATTCCGATGTCTGGCCCTAGGGAATCACAGCACGACCGCCCGAGGCCACACAATCCCAGCAGCAGAGGTAAGAATGGCCTGATGTACAATCGGCTAGCGCCCCTGCCGGCCAAAGGAACACAGGAAAACAAAATAAAACGGCCGTGCTACGGACCGTAATCAATAGATCCAACCTCTCATCTGATTTCCCACCGCCTGACGAACCGGCGTCTTCCCTGTCTTGCAGGTATTGTACATGACTGTGTTTGTTCTTTGCCTGCCCGCCAATGCTTTCGTCTGCTGCACAATGCGCGCCGAATCGCCCGATCGTTGCAGTTGACCAGCTCGCACCTTGTCGACGGCGGACGCGGTCCCTACCTCCGCCTCTCCACCATGGTTTAGCCCTGCGGCACCTCATGTTGGCCTTCAATGGGTAATGGGGGAACATCGCACCACCCACCTTAATTTTCGAGCCCGTTGGTGCTGATCCCAATGACGGCCATCGCATGAGGCGAAACGGCCCCCAATACACACAAACTGCATCGGCCCTCTTTCTGGGTTGCCTTGTTGGTTCCTGTCATCGAAGATGCGGCCCGCCAATACAGTCGGTATACATGGGAGAGCACGGATCTAGACTTCCTGCGGAATCCCACACCGCACATTCCCATCGCAGATCCATTCGACGACCATCCATCCGTTTGCAAGAGTGGAGAATACTAAACGACAGGTGCAGCACGTTCGATGGAGTCCCTCCACTCCGAATTACCATCCGCCCTCCTTCCAGTAGGGAACAAGAACGTACGCGTGTTCCACAGGCGAGCCGACGTCGGAAAGTAGCATTAAAGCAAAAAGTTCCAGACCCACGAGCCGAAGCGGGGGAGACGGGATGATGGGGTGACGAAGGCGCAGGGCATCGGCGCTACTGCAATGCATGCATGGCTTATCCGCGCGTTCTTTTCTGGTCCTCTGTCTCTTGCTAACCCATGACCGAAGCTCCCTGCATTAGCATGCAGCCGCCGCCTCCGTCTTTTCCTGGCCAATGCCCTGGGCGCGAGCGCGAGGGTTTGAGGCAATGCGCCCTGCCTATCACTTTATTGCTTCGGGGGACTCGTTCCGTACCGGTAGGTGCTTTGCAACCTGCCCATGTTGCACGCCCAGTGTTGTGCCGTGTTAACCTAGTTCCGAGGATTTGCAATGTTATTGGAGATCGGTTTTCGGAAGCGAGAACGAACGGCCTTGGCCTTCTGTGGAGCAAAAGAAAATGCCGAACAATTTTCTGACCAATGAAAAGAGCCTTAAACATGATAATCTAGATAGTAACATGTCTCTAGTAGATAATTGAGCTGCTCTACATTACTCCCGCTCCCTCGATTACCCTGGCCACGAGCTGTTTGTTCATGACAACATCTACCTGAAAGCCGCGTGAAGACATCCCACCACAACGACCAACATACAACGCCCAACAACCACCAACAAACAAGCAGCCGAGGACAGAGAAAATCCGAAAAAGCCAGGAAAAGAAGGGGCTCAACATGCCAAATAGCCTCCCAATAACCCTGCGATACCTGGGGAAAAAGGACTGAACTGAAATGCGCGAGCCGAAGAGGGGTATATGAAAACCATGCAGTCTCCCTTCTTTCAGGTGGTTTTATGTTTTTTTTTTGCTCCCAGCCACAACCACCAACAAATAGCAGATGAGCGGCCACCAAATAAGACACAGCAGTACCTGGTTTCTCTGCAGAAACGCCGCCGATGATATTGAGAGAATCGTGCGACAAGAAAAGAAGAAGGGAAAAAAAAAGACGACAGAACGTTGGAACGCGAAATAATATTAGAAAGAAAACAAAAATCAAAAGATAAAAGTTGACCAAAATACCCTGAGGCATCAGGTCGTACCTGCGTCCACCACTCCCATATTGTTGCTTTTCTGGTTTTGAATGAGAAAGGAATAATGACGAGAATAGATAGAAAACGAAAAGAAAATACAATTGAATAAGCCTAAAGCCAGTCTCTCAGACGGATCGGCCATCTCTTCTGCCCACCCTCCCGCAAAGTCACCACCTTAATCTCCACCTTTTTCTTTTTCTCAGTGTCTCCACACAATCCCTCCTAGAACGATGACGATCATGCCGCAATGTCCCCAGACGCATCACCCAGATCCCAATTTCCCAACTTTCTTCGACCCCAAGAACCCAAAGGCCCCCTTGCATTCGCATCTGCCATGGAGAAAACCTCCCCCCGCAAACATTGCCACGCGAACCTTGTAACGCCCCTCGCTATTTGACACCCTAGCGTACCAAATGGGAAGACTGCCGCACAACGTGCAACAAGTGCAAAGGGTCAAAGAGGCACGGGTGCAGCCGAAGCAAGGGGCCGGGGGCGAGAGGAGGGGTCCAGAAACTCCGGCTCGTGGGAGATGGTATTTTTGGCGTAACCCCACGTGGTAGTAGCTAGATGGCAAATTAATGGTGCCAATTGTCCGGTGGAAAGGTTTGGCGGTAGCAGGTCCAGAAAGTCGCCGGGGGGGAGGGAAAGCAGGGGGAGGGGTGAAGCCAGCGGGTGCGGCGGCTGCAGGGCGTCGAAACTAATGCAGAACGAATTTGAAATACGGCGGAGGAACGTCGAGAAGGGATCGTGCCGAGCAGCTTCTCTGATCACTGAAGGGCCCATGTCGGGCCAAGAGCGAGGAAAAGTGGGTGAGAACGCCACCGAGGTTGTCAGCAGGTGGGCAAAAGAAAAATACCATATGTACTCGATGTAGTTACGATGGTAAGGATTAGGCAGTTTGTTTGTTCCCATCATGGTTTTCCTTGAGGACATCGGGTATCAAAATGGTCTTTTGTGGTCCAGATTCCGGCAGGCGGCCCGAGACGTTCTCGCCCGCATCGGACGGGTGGCAAGGACCGCGGGGTCGCCTAGAGAGAGAAAGCCACCCGGGGTCCGGACATGAGGCGAAGGAAGAGCCGGCCGGGGAGAGGGTGGGCCGGGGCGCAAGCGTGGCGGATTTAGTGCCAACGGTCTCTTGCAGTTTGCGGACGTAGCGAGGTGCGCCATCGGCCGGCAGATCGAGGGGGCGTTGCGTTGACCGTTGCCGAAAATGGTAAAAGGCGAAAGAGAAGATACGACGGAACAAAGGAAAGAAAAAGCGGCGATGAAGCAATCCAGAACCCGAGGCGTTACGTCATGATGGTGTAGTCGAGCGCCGTCCGACCCTCGTCCCTTGCAAATCAAACAGTTTGACCGCCCATCGCCACAAAGCTTGCCCTGTTTCACGAATGTTGTTTCATCATCAATCCCTAGAGTGTCGGGGCATGTGATGGCATAACGTGGTTGTGATGGTGAGCGGCAGATCCTCCTAGAAGAGGGAAAATTGTTGTAACCAGATGTTTGGAAGAGACGATCTTGTAGAAAGCCGAGATGCCAGGGCCAATCGGTAAGGAATCGGCCGGATCGACGTTGTCCATCGACGGTACTGGAGTCCGCCTCCGCGTGAAGAACAAAAAAAAAGTGACCGCAGAAATAAAAAAGAAACGCAGTCGAAAAAAAAGTGTGTAGGCCGAAGAGCGAGCCATGCTCTGCAGTGTCACAGGTATTCGAAGCAAGGGAGGCAGGGCTGCACCTTGCAAGAAACCATAGAACACGCGTACAGGGGCCCCAAAAGAAGACCCAAAAGGGGGGCAGAACTGATCTACCGCTTCGAAACTTCCGTAGCCAAAGGGGAGGCTCTTTCTTGGGTTCCACCAGTGGTAATTGTCTTGACCATGTGCTTCAACTGGTGAATCCCGGGATTTTCCCATCCACGTTCCCGGATGGATGTTCGTTTCGCCTCCCCCTGGCCATAGTTCTACAGCAGCTCATCTGCTCACCATTGTGACCCCCATTTTGGAGCCTGCACAGACCGCCCCTCGTCACACTCAAGCTTGACGTTGCGGCTTGACGGAGCCGGGGCTGATGTTACCTGGTCTTGTCTCTGGACCAGCCCTAGCCTTCGTCAAACCTGTGAAGCCCCCATTGCGCGGAGCTTCGGCGTGATTAATCTGTTCATGGAATAGATGACTCCCATTCTTTACCCTATCGTTTCACAAGGAACCGAGAAGGGACCGGAAAGAGAAAAACCTACGCCAATCCAAAAGAACCACAAATGTACCTGGTTGATTCTGCAATTCAAAAGAAACCCAAAAAGGCCCCTTTGTGTGTAAACTAAAATAATGTGTTCTCCCTGGGATGGCCATCCCCGGCTTTCCGCTAGAAGACGTTTTATAAAGCTCGGGGACACGGAGGCCATCCCAATAATGCGCCGAACGATAAATGATGCTCCTGAAATTTTTAGACCGTTTGGGCCCCCGCAAAGCGCAGTGGGGGCTTCCGTGACGTGCTGATGAGACGAGGGGTGTCGTGATTGCGTACGAAAAATACGTTTCATTAGTGTGGCCGATGCCCGAATATGATTTGGTCCCTACTCCGGCAGCTACGCCTGGGTCGTTTGACTGCCGCGACAGACAAAAGGACCGGGCGCCGCAAAGCCGAAAGGGGAACATCGGCCATGTTGTATGCAAATTTCATGAAGCGAAAGAAAAAATCCTGTGATCCGGATTACAGTGGATTTTCTTTTCCTCCGAGGGGGTCGGTGTCGCGGTCTCGCGCCAGTTCTCCTGCTCGTAATAACACGGCCAAAGACGACGTCTGTCGCGGATCAGGCTGTGGGGGCTGTGCTGGTGGGAATTTTGTTGGTGGTTGTGGTGGTAGACCCGGTCGCTGATCGAACGGAGATGGTACCATTGATAGCGACGACGGTACAGGCTGCGGTAACAATCGGTGTGCTTTCTGTGAATCCGCAAGTGGAAGAAGCGAGCCGGTGTAAGGTGCGCTGGGGGGATTGTTGCTGAGGCTGGGAGCATAGCCGCCGCTGTCGGACGATTGGTTAGTGGTGTTGGTATCCTCATGGACCAGAGAGGGTATCGAAGAGGGTTCGCGCTGGAGACGTCGGGATGACAGGTCGCGGTCGCTGGGAGCGTGGGTCGAATAGAGCGAGGAAGTGGAAGGGACAGTCGCCAGCGGGGTGCCGCTGCTGTTGGAGACGCCGAATCCGTGGGTTGTCGCGTAAAGGGGGTCCTGAAGGCGTTCCCGTGAATCGATTGGTTGGGCCTGGTGAGCGAAGTCTGGCTCTCGGAACGCCGTGGCCGATGTGGGCGAGGCTGACAGGGGAGAGTATTGCCCGGCAATCCTAGGGGAATTGACCCCGGAAAATGAGTAAGCTGCAGGAGAAGTCGATTCAGAACCTAGCATGCGTCCTCCAGCACGATGAGAGCCCGGGGGCGGGCTGGAGCCAGACCGATTATGGACAAGAGGAGGGGGTTGGCTAAAGTGAGCGTCGGATACTCTGCGGTGGGACTTGTCGATATTTTCATTGCTACTGCTTCGGGCATTGATACTGGTCTCAGGCTCAACTTTGGTTCGCTTGCCTTCATGCGAAGCGGTTAGTGGGAGCGTCATTGGTACATGATGGGACTTCAAGGGCTGACCAGATTGCTGCTGGTTATGCTTGGCTCTGAATTCGGCCAGATATTCTTGATACTGGGCATACTCGGGGGTTTTCTTGTACTCCGCAAGCTCGGCATAGTACTTTTCCTTGGCAGCGGCTGCTTGGCGTTCACAAGCCTCCCGTGCCCCAGGCGAGAGAGTCTGCCACCGTTCACCTACAAGTTTGGCGATCTCGGTAAAACTCAGCTCCTGTCCTTTCAGGGACTCTCTCGTCTCTGCATGCGAGTCAGCGCGATTGATTGGTCACGTGGAACAAACCACGTACGGTTCGAAAAGATCACATAGGCTGATGCTGGGCGCTCTGGCGCGTTCTCGTCGGGCTGGGGTGACGGTCAGCTGCAATCGGCACAAGACAGCGAGGGCGCTCACCTTGGGATGACGACGATACTTGCGCTTGGTGGTGCCGCCGGTGTTGGCCGAAGGAGGCTCGGTCCGCTTGTGGTGGTTGAGCGACCTGGTCTCCGAGGCCGAGTCATCGCTGCGGTAGGAGCCGTCGACGCTCGAGGCGGCGTGCAGATGAGGGACCGCACGGTCAAGTCTTTCAAGCGGGATGCCTCTGGTCTCGGCAATTGCACGCTGGAGTTTCTGTGCCGGGTTAGCGGGGCACGGGGAGACGGGGATGGGTGGAGGCGTACCCTTCGGTGGCCGAGCTTGACATTGAGAGAATCGCTGTCGGGACGAAGGTGAGCATTTCGGGGAGCATGCTTGGCACGGGTGGGCTTACAGGTCGGATTCTCTGATGTCCAAGACCGTCTCCCATGTGTCGAAGCCTTCGGTGACGAAGACGTCGAGGTACTGCGACAGACCCAGTTGCTCCAGCTTCTGGCGCAGGTCGGTCATGAAGAAATCAGAAGGGGAGGATGGGCGGAGCGAGGAATGATGGGGTTTTCGAGCGGAAAAGGCCGGGCGGCCAGGGCTCGGGCTCGGCGGCCAGGGCTCTCGTCGACGCTGGCGGCTATAGGGCGGCGCAGCAGCACGACAGCGCGTGACAGCCAGGATGGAGCGGCGTCGCGTCGCTGTCGCGGCGGAGGCAGGCGGTGGTACAGATGGAAATGGATACAAAAGCAGTAAGGATGGGTCGGCAAAAGTGTGGCTTGGTCCAGACCCGGGACACTAAAACTTTAAAAAAAGAGCAATTGTTGCAGAGCGAAGAAGCGAAGAAGAACGGCCCAGTCAGCAGGCGACACGGGCCATAGACACGCGTGGAGAGGCGGCGGCGGGAGGCTGTGAGCGCTCGGGCGGGCGTGGGCGGGCGTGGACGGCGGGGCGCGGTGCGCGTGGTGGGTGCAGGCTGGCTGCGCGGTGGTGGATGTCAAGTAACGGGCGGCCGGGGCGACGACATGGACTCGCAGCGGGACAGGCCTGGGAGCGGAGAGGAGCTGGAGCGGCGGAGCATTGATGGGCGCGAGGACGACGAGGAGTTGCAAGCGCTGGCTCGGGCGGGCAGGGAGACTGAGATGGACGAGCTGGCAGCCGCAGGCAGCGGTGCGTCTTCAGGTCGTGTCGCGCGTGCTGGGTTGACGAGAGTCGGCAGCGGGGCGGCGAGCCGCGGTGGGCAGGGCAGTGGACGCGCAGTCTCGCTGCCCGTCGAGGCCCGCCAGCGGCCGTTCGTCGATGGGCAAGGAGACGATCAATTACTCGGGGCGCCGGGCGTCGCCATCGAAGCTGCGCAGGCGGATCGTGAACGACGCCGCAGAGGCCCGCGCTAGCGCGCTCGCCGCCAAGACGCGCGCCATGACGGCAGCAATGGCAAGGGGCGCGCTGCATCCCCGGATCTGGCCCTCTCCAGCAGCGGCGGTGGCGAGATCAGCCAGATCTGCTGCGCGCTGCGACACACTCCAATGGGCGATCGCCGTTGCGCTGCGCGTCTGCTCTCGCCAATGCCGCATCGAAGATCGATGCCAGCCGTCAGACGACTGCGGTACCGCCAACCCATGTTTCTGGCCCCGGCCTAGCATCGCAATCTTCGATTCCCTTCTGCAGCCCAAGCCACGCGACCGGGTCGCGGTCCAGCCCTCCCCTAACCCCGACGCCGCTGGCATCGCCGATGGCCACAATCTCCCTCTCGAGATCTGCGCCTGTGTTGGGTCGGAAACACGTCCGGCGCCGCTCCGCCGGGTCACGCCTTTGTCTTCGTGTGAGACTGTTGCTCTATCGACATCGGCAAATCCCCTCTGCACGCAACAGCGATTCCACTTTCCGCCATGCGCGCGGGCATCGAAGCCGGGCTTGCTTCTCCGCGTTAGCCCGTGATGTCATCCCAATGCCTCATCCGCTGCCTGCCATCTTCGACACCAGCCGCTCGTAATCACTCATCTCCGCCTCAGACAATCAGCAGCGACGAAGCCCGCCAAGCTGGTCCCTCGCGTCCTTGCTCCAGGTGCGTCGCCCTTGACTCGCTTGCTCGCGCTCAAAAACTATCTGCTCACGTCGGATCTAGCACATGGCACTTGTCCAGGGCATGTTTGAGTGCCAGCGGCAGATGGCACTTTCCCCTCACGCATGTGCATGGGGTCCAGCCCGAGCCGCCGGCGTGGTTCACCCTAGCCTGATCAGGGCGTCCGAGAGAGCTGGACATCTCGATGTTCTCCTTGATCTCTGGACACTCCAGCGGGATTGGCGCGGCAGCCCTCCGTCCATTGCATCACCGCCGCGTTCTGGACTGCTGAGAAGCCATTGGTGAGGTTCTAGCCGTCGACTGCGGAGTGATTGCCGGTCCCACCAGTGATGTCATGGGCCCTGCTTCCCTGCTCGCGGCCCGGTCCTGAGCAGCTCCTCTCCACTTCTGGAAATCTCATGGCCATGTCAACGTATAATCCCCATTTTAACCTGGGAAAGATCACTTTGCGGCACCCCCACACACTCGTGTCCAGGCTCTACAACTCCTCTCCATCTATGACTGAAATATGGCTTCATTTTCCTGACGTGCGTATGATTTTTCTGACTGCCTCTCCACCAAACCGAGCAATTCCTCCGTGTCTTTCATTTGTGGTGCAGATCGTCGAGGGTATCACAACGACGCTAGAAGCAGTCAAAGCTATGACAAAGTAAGAAGTAGAAAGCCAAGAAACACGGAGACCTCCGCGAACAAATCCGCCGCCACGGTGTTGCGAGTCGCGGCCACTAATCCACTACAGTATAGAGCGTCGTCAGACGTCTGATATTGTAGTGAGATTTCCTGTGTCAAACCCGTTAATCTAACATATCATCTCACCAGCCCTCTTGTGCCGACGAACGCACGTGCCGCGAGAAGAGATCCATCATCGCATGCTAGTACATGCTTTTCATATGATGGATGAGCTCATTCAGAGTCCATACCGGTTTTTCCCCCCCTCGGGATGAGCTACGAGCCGTGCGGCGCGTGGAATACCTACACCACAGCTGGTAGTCGAGCGGACTTGTGTCCGGCACTTATTACATACCCGCTCGTCAACCACTTTTCGTGGTATGTCGTGGAATATGGTCCATGTCGCGATGCTGATTTACTAAGTCTTAGGACACCATCAGTTTTACTGGATATTTTATTGTAAGCGAATATTGCAATGCTAGACGCACCAACCTTTGTTCGAACAGGCAGCAGCTTTTGGGATTCGCAAAACAAAGTGCCTGCGCCACCCATCGTGGCCGCTAAAGCCCAAGCTTTGTGGCTGTTCCAAGAACGGTATGCCAAATTAGGCAAGGCACTCAACACCACGGACCACCAGACGGCGAATCCAGCTGATTACAGTTCAAAATAGACGTAGCCACATGTTAGCTGCCGAATCTGCAAATTCGCGGCCTGGATTTCTAGAGTTCCACCCGTAATGCTGCTGCCTGTTCTACGAATCCACTGAGTTGGCCTCTTCCATCGCGCCTCCTTCTTACTGGAATGCCGTCGTAGCGCTGATGCTGCGGATTATAGGAATGCTATAAAGATGTCTGTCAATGGCTCTAAGGAAAGGAATAATACAAACACTTCATCGCTCATACCTTTAGCCTCTACGCCAGCTGCACCGCTTAAAAATTCTCAAAGATTGCACTAAAGACCAAGAAAAAGAGGGAAAAATTCATAACACAACCATGACCTCCGTCTACTCCTCTAATCAACCACCACTCGACCACATCGCCGCTATCAACGGGAGCGCAACTAAGCCTGCGATCCCCAGCAAGCCCTCCTACGGTGTCGATTCCCCCCTTGGACTCATATCCTCACTCCCGTTTTCCCCGCTCTACGTAAGTCAATAGCGAGAACAAAATTCCACAAAACCCACCCTCATCTCAATCGCCAATCAATTGAACACGGGTTCGTCACAGCTTTACGCCACTCTCAAGGGCAAGCACGATCTCTGGGACTCCCTCCTCTCCTCCCTCCCCGACGACGCCTTCACGCACCCGACTCTCGACGCCGGCTGCGGCCGAGGCATGGTCCTGCTCAAGGTCGCCCAGCGCAAGGCGGCCCTACCCTCCACTACCACCACCACCACCACCACCACCACCACCACCACCACGCCCTCCTCTCCCGCCTACGGCATCGACATCTTCAGCACCGCCGACCAATCCGGCAACGCGCCGTCCGCAACCTGGGCCAACGCCGCCGCCGCCGGTCTTCTCGGGACGACGACGACGACGACCTCTCTGGCTGCCCCTCTCCCCTCCCCCAGTGACGACGACGACAGCAGGACCAGCAGCAACAGCAGCAGTGGCCCGATCGTCCTGCACACGGCGAGCTTCACGGCGCCGCTGCCGTTCCGCGACGGCGTCTTCGGCGTCGTGACGAGCTCGCTGGCCGTGCACAACGTCGGCCGAGCGGGCCGCCGGCACGCGCTGCGCGAGATGGCGCGCTGCTGCCGGCCCGGCGGCTACGTGCTGGTCGTCGACCTGGCGGGCTACGTGGGCGGGTACGCAGAGTGCCTGCGGGGGGGGCTGGGGTGGACGGACGTCGAGAGCGCGTGGGGGGGCGTCGGCGTCATGTTTGGCGTGTGGCCGTGTGTCGTGCTTAGGGCGAGGAAGCCGGAGTGAGGTGCTGGTAAAGGGGGGGCAGGGGTGATTTGGTGGAGTCTGTTTGTGGGCTGTGTAAAGGTGTGTTGTTGGTGGACTGCGGGATCGAGTGGCATTCGATGCTTGCGCGGGACTGGCATTCGCGCTCCAAATGGGTGTCACACGGTTTTTTTTTAACAGGGTGCAACGATTTGAAAGCGCAAGGGAAATGTCATCCACGAAGAGCAGGCAAGTGTACTCCATCCGGAGTCTCATTTCCCATAACGACGGATAAACCAACAAACAACGCGCACCAGGCGGCTCTAAATGAAACAGTACAAGACATAGTAACCTCCTCGCTATTCACCGGGAGAAGCCGTGCGGGGACCCAGGGCTGCTGGGTGCTCCTTCCAGTGCCGCCGAAATGCAAGCGCAGCAGACAGGTGACTCGGAACTGGAAGCGACTTAGCGAAGGGCACCCAAAATCCGAAACAAGCAGTAGGCCCGTTCCACATTTAGCTCCGATGCTCGTTGGTTGATTCAGTGCGGAGCAAATTCCGATTTGAAGCCTCAGCTGAGGGCCCACCACACCTTTCGGCACATCGACGTTGTACTAGCGATCAGCAGTGACTAGACTGTGTCTCCGCAGATTATTTCTATCAGCGTGACAAATATTGGTGCGCCAGAACATCACCGTCATAGAAGCTCCTAGCGCTGCCATTTTAGGCCTCAAAAGGCTTATTCTCAGGGGAAGCCCAACACGGCTGGAATGTGGAATCGGCCACAGCAGATGGAATCGCAGGGTGACTGAGCCAATCGGCTCTATCTGCGTAGTCTCGATTGTTGCGAAAGCACCTCCACTTAATTGCTCCGTTTTCGCTCTGATGCTAAGCTCTGCTCAAAGACCGCCATCTACTCTAGTACTCAGAGGCAGCCTCACGCCCGAGTCAGAGCCAATCATATCACGGCAGTCAGAGGATATGGCGGCGTTTAAGCGGGGCTGCTATTGAAAGAGAAGCACAGACTAATCATGCTTGGTGATGAAGTGTTCACTCAGCTTCACCGTATGTTACAAATTACTCAGCTTTTTCGAGCGTATACGGCAAGGCATGTTACCCCCTCTCCCAAAGAGGTTGTCAAAACAGTCATCATGACGTACATATGCTCTACGGAGTCATTTCGAGGTATATATTCTAGTTAATTTTTAGAACTAATGAGCTGCCCCGAAGACTTCGGAATGTAGAATACAAACTACGCCAATCCACTTCTAAATGCCTAGTTTGACCATCGTCTGCGCGATACTGAGAGTCTTGCAGCAGTATCCTCGCAGGAAGACGATAAAACGACTCGAAAGACCAGTGAGAAAAGTTCGGAGTCTCTCTGCCGGCCGTACGAACAGATTCATTACTCTTTGCTGTTGCGTGCAATTTAATACGAGTCCAAGCGGATGGTACCTGGAAACTTATTCGGACGGACCGTTGTACCTCAGTGCATCTACGGGGGCTTACCAGCTATATTAGGCAAGGGTTTTCCGAGTTAAGTGTTCAGCATACGAAGCCGAGGTTTGTACATGCCCGTGGTTGTAATTGAACCCAAGCAAAATGCAGACATCACGTTCACTTCAGGGTTTGTTTCACTAACACACTAGCAGAATCCCAAGTGAATCGTAATCTGCATTTCTTTTCATGGAAAACGAGGTTATGAAAGAGCTGCACAGTGTGCTAGACAGATTCAGCCCGACGATACTTAGAGCCGATCATTCTGCATATTATAATGCTAAATATTTGGAGACGGCACGTGCATCGGCACATCAAAGATATGGCCCCGGGTACCGGAAGCATATCAAATCGATTTGCAACGGAATTACCGAGATTCAAACGGGTGTCTTCCCTTAATAGCTTAAAGCGTGAGTGAAAACAGTGCTGCAGTCAGAGTGCATCTCCAGAGCCAGAAACTGACTAACTAAAAAGACGAAATAAGGCTCTTACAGAGTTGACATCAATTCAGGACACGTATATACGGCTGTGTTTTCATGGTGATACTGTACGCATCTGAGAGGTCGAGGTGTATAGATTTGCAGCCTCAAGCATATATCCCTTAGTCGTTAGTAAGACTGGATACTAATCGATGCCACGCCGAGTTGTTCTGCTGAGAAGGTACGAGTGTATAAGATATCTAGAGAATGGTACTTTTATTACATCTGGTGGCCACCAAATTCTTCGATTACAGCCTAGCCAAGATATCCATATGGTTAGTGTCCGTTTAACCCATTCTCAACCCTATTTCTCACTTCTTCAACCCATAACCTAACTCCATCACGCAATCCGCCATACCAATAGCCGTCGCTTCCAGCGTTTTAAAACCAACTCCCATGTACTGCCTTCCTTTCCGCAAGAACTCCACAATAATTCAAACCCCGCTTCCCCCGGGTGTCCGCCAGACACACTTTCCTTAGAGTCCTAATCCCAGCCCACCAACAACCTCCTGCACCATGATTGCTTCACCCGCCCGTTCCAAAACCCCGACTAGCCCATTTCTCCCCCTCCCCCCCTCCTTCAAGAACTGTTCAGTGGTCTCACAAAGACGCCCATCCAGGACAGGTCCAAAGCGTTGCACGGTCCGCAAAGTGAGATGATTCTGAACAGAGAAACTGATTCCGAGGGCAGGCGGTAGTAGGTAGACCAGCGTGAACCGACGGCGATGCGTGGGGATCAGGTGACACCAGCGTGTGTCCGGCGCGCCTTTGTTGCTGTGACACCACCCACATTCCAATGCTGTTCCAAAGCGCGGAGATGCTCCGGCTGCTGCAGTTGGACGAAGCGCAGAGACGATGGCAAAAGCTGTCTCCGCCACCGGCCCTGTCGCGATCGCCTCCCTGTGTCCGCGGTAGAGCACTGTGACACACAACCATCCGATCGCCGACCGGCCAGGTCTTGGGGTGCTTTGTACGGGATGTAATCCCAGGAGCGGATACGTAGCCGGACTATTAGGCGCCATGGTAGGTGTCCATCTGGTTGTTCTCGGCGAAATTCGTGGCTGGTGTGACCTGGCATGAGGTAAAATAGTAGGCAAGAGTGAGAACCTTGTGAGTGGTGGACTGTGAGCGAATGCTGGTGCCACGCGTGAGAAGAGTATGGAATCAGCGTAGCCAGAGCTGCCCGTGGTGGCGAAGATGATGGTCTGCAAAGAATTCTTGATGGTCGACAACATGGTATTGAGCTGGAAACGGTCTAGACTGAGGAATCGAGTGGTGTGAAGCTTTAGAAATTACCCTCCAAATCGTATCCTTCCTCCCATCACTGGTAGTTGATTTTCATCGGGATCGCCGGTGGGGACGTGCATTCTCTGCCTGCGATAGCAGAAGAGCATCGGGGCTGCTTCATGACTCTGGAAAGTTTCGCCAAATAGGCCGGCCGGAAGCTTGTTTCAACGTTGGTAGTGGTGCAACATGAGCGGCTCGGTATTGGTGTCATCCAATTTGGGTCGAGCTGGAGGAGGAGCGCCAGGTGGATTCGGGCCTAGTGTGGCTGCGCGGAGGAACGAAAGGGGAATGGCGCGGTGCATCCAACGTCCGTCTACCACGACGTCGCGTCACGCAACTGCCAGCTCTGGTGTAAGTCTCGATGGCCCACGGCGGAGCGCAGCAGCCGCTCACCTGTCTCGCGCAACTCCCCCGGCGTCTTGGACCTTTGCACTCTTTCGCGGCTCCGTGGCCAGCTGCTGGCAGGTGCGTGCGGTGCGCAGCTCAGCCCTCGGGCTCCTCCTCGGCCTCCAGGATGCACTCGACCATGGCGTCCAGGCCCTGCTCGAACTCGTGCTCGCTCACCCACTCCATGCGGCGCAGCAGGCGCAGGCCCTTCTCGACCCACGACTGGCAGTTGAACTCGCGGTCCGAGTTTTCGATGGGCACCGAGGCCAGCAGCTGGACGAGCTCGGCCTTGGTGATCTCCTTGCGCAGGGTGCCGACCAGCACGGCGCGCACGAGCTCGCGGCCCGGGTCGCGGGTGGCGTCGTAGCGGTCGTGGACCTGGAAGCCGAGCTCGCCGGGCGGGCCGGTGATGTGGATGACGAGGGCCGAGTCGGCGGCAGGCGGGCCGTCCTGGTGGAAGAGCGGGCGGAAGCTGAGGGCGGTGTGGCGGTGGCGCTGGTAGTCGAGCGGGTCGCCCTTGAAGACCAGAATGCTGACGCTCAGGCTGGCGGCGCGGTCGTCGTCCACGTCCATCTTGTGCCGAGCTAGCGTGAGGGGAGAGCGGGCCCTTTTTGTTTCCTCTCAGCCGGCCGCCGCGTCGCTCGGCTCGTGTCAGCTTTATGCCCTGCTCCAGCCCAAGTTTCCGCCCGCCAGCCCAACCCTCAGGTCGCGCCCGACTGAGTCAGTGCGCCGTGCGGCTGTTCCCGCATCACGACGTTATTTCCGCAGCTCATACCACTGAGATCATCCGCCGCCGATCTCCCGGCCTCCCTGAGACGCCGCCCTGGGTTGCGTGTCGTTTCTTTTGCCGCTTCGCTCGACCTCCCCACCTGGTGACGGCACGCCGGGCTCGACAAGCCGCTGCCGCGGTTGCGGGTAGCCAGCACGGACGGCACGTGGCCCTTGAGAAATTGCGACAGCCCTCTCGCCATAACCATGCCCATTTATTGCCTTTATTTCCTGGGGGCAGTCGGTGGCGGCAACATCATAGTTGCCAATTTTACACTCCCCCTCCCCCTCGTCGCCTATCCAAACTTATCCCGCTCCCGCCTACACATAAGCATACATGTTGCCCAGAACAGCAGGTCGTCCGTGCCGCCCGCCTCGTACCGCTACCCAGGATTGACTTTTATTTTTATTTCGTGCGACTCGGCGGCAGATGCCATGTCGCTTCGCCAGAACTGCCGTCTTCATAGGGGGTTTCTTTTTTTATGCCTCGGATTGGCGCACCGCACGAACACCACCACAATGTCCAAGAACGCGTCACCTCCCATGTTTATTCGACGCAAAAGTCAATCGTCCTCCTCCTACCCCCCGCCCCCGTTTGCCGAGCCCTTGACAAGCCATGCAAAGTATCCGGAACCGAGACAGCCCCCTTCCTCGGACGGCAGCGGAATGGACATAGCAATGATTGTTCTGATTCCCCATCCACTCCCAATACGGAAAGACGCCCTGTGAATTAGTGATGTGTCTGTTGTGGCCTCTTTTTTTTTTCTTTTTTCCTTCCCCTCTCGCGTGCCACTTAGTCCGCCGATTATTACTCATAAATCACACTACTTCAAGATATTGGAACGACGATGCGGCAAATAAATTCTTCTTGTTAGAGACTGTCCACAAAAAAAAAACTGGCACGTTTCATACATTGACACAAACAACGGCTCAGGCCAGCATCCTACTAACCACCCCCCAGTACATAGTAGCACGGACCAAAAGGCGCCGCCTCGGCTGAACTGCGCGCGCCAATACTGCAAAATTACGGTAGCCAGCACTTGAGTTGTTTTGACTCTTTCTTTTGCCTCGCTGACGCCATATGTGCACATCGCGCCCTATTGTTGAAGTTCGAAAGGAGGTTGCGTAAGACGCTTTCTCTCGCTCCCGATCACCTGGGAGGGAAAAAAAATAAGCAAGACTTGGTCCGTGAACAATTAAAATGCCAGTTTAGGCATAGATGCGCGTTGAGAGGCTATAGATCTACCTAACATCATCACCTCCTCCACCTCCACGTCTGTATCTGTTTCTATTTTAATTCCCGCTAGTATAGTCGACCGGCCCATCGCAATCTAAATCGCCGTTTGCATCGTCAGACACTACATCACCGGACACAAGTGTGCTCACATGCCCTTTTTATTGCCTATTAGAACATGTCGTCACGCGTCGATCACTGACGAGCTCATTCGTAAGCCAAGTAGAGGGATGACATCAGGGACCTTTCAACGAGTCGATGCTTCAGCCCTGGGCTTGCATGTCGGGACGCTCCAACACATCAGCATTCATCGTTTCTCGGAAGTACAACTCTCGTCCACGAAAGGACAGTAAGAAAAAAAAAACGGGATAATCGAGAATCATCCCTCAGTCGACCTCATCACAAACCTAGAGAGGAAAAAAAATCGTACGCCTTCATGAACGCCTACCGCCTCACGTCTTTAATCTGATATCGATGCCACCCGTCCATCGTGTATTTTTTTTAAATGCCGTCCACCCACTCCGAACGCTCCCGAATCTCAGAAACTCTGCGCGACCTGTCCTCTTCCATTTACAAATCCTCATCCATACCATCCCCCGCCTCGACAAAGACAAGCCTCGTGCCCTCACCTGCCGTTTGCCACACCTGCGATACACGTTAGCACAGCCCATGTCGAATCTCAAAAAGCGACGGCGAAAACTTACATCGAGCATGGCATACTCATCGATAGCCTCCTCGAACTGATCCGCCGTGAAGCCCTTGGCCAACACCCTCTCCCGCACCCTCCTCAGATCCAGCTCGCCCGCCGAGCCGTCCACGACGGCCGCGACGCCGCTCTCCTTCATGGCGCGGATGAGGTGGTAGATGCGCGACTGCGGCGTCTGGTCGGCGCCGCGGCCGCGCTCGTCCTGGTACAGCGACGCCTTGCTGACCTCGACCAGGCGCAGCGCCTCGTCGACGTCCTCGACGATGACCGTCTCGGCGAAGCGCAGCCGAGCCAGCGCTTGCGCCAGACGGAGCACGCCGAGTAGCGTGCGAGGAGACGTGTGCGTGAAGGCGCGGCGCTGCGACTCGTCGCGCGCGTGCTGCTGGCGCATGCGCACGTAGGCGCCGACCAGGTAGTCCGACACCTCCTGCGGCACCGTCGGGCGGTAGCTGCGGGCGCGAGCCACCCATTGGCGAACTTCGTTGGGCGTGAATACCGGTCCTTTGCCGTTGCCCGCAGTCTCGGGGTGCTTGTTGTGGATGTGGACGTGTGTGACGTGACGGGCGAGCTCCTCGTCGGCATCGCGGGATGGGGTATCAAGAATAAGGAAGAGAACATCAAAACGAGAAAGCAACGCGGCAGGAAGGTTGATATTCTCAACCGGGGAAATGCGAGGGTTGTAGCGGCCGTAGAGAGGGTTAGCAGCAGCAAGGATAGAGGTACGGGCGTTGAGGGTGGTTGTGATGCCGGCCTTGCTGATGGAGATGGTCTGTTGCTCCATGACTTCGTGAATTGCGGTTCGGTCCGAGTCATCCATCTTGTCGAACTCATCGATGCAGCACATGCCGTTATCCGCCAGGACAAGAGCACCTCCCTCAAGGACCATCTCATCCGTGACCGGGTCTCTCATGACCGCTGCGGTAAGACCGACACCACTGCTACCACGGCCAGTGGTGTAGACACCACGAGGCGCAACCTTTGTGATGTACTTGAGAAGTTGAGATTTGGCAACACCAGGATCACCCATCAAGCAGATGTTGATATCGCCACGAATGCGCATGCCGTCACCCATCTCCTTCGTCACACCACCAATCAGCTGCAGCAGGAGCGCCTTCTTCACATCCAGGTGTCCGTAGATTTCGGGGGCAATGGAGCGGGAGAGATACTCGTAGAGCTGGCCGGACCTCTCAAGTTCGTTCATGCGGCGGATGGTGGGCTGAGCGAGAACAATGTCATCGTAGGCCTTCTTGTGCTGGTTGACGTGCTGCGCCTCGAGGTAGGTATCGGTCAGGAGACCAGCCCGGATGGCCTTGAACCCGGTGTATGGGGTGGGGAGGAAGATACCGGCGACATCGATAACATCACCAGGGTTGATCTGACGGACAATTGCGCCATGCACGTGGACCGTCAATTGCCTGGGGATATGGCCGACGGGAACCTGGTCCGCCATCTCCTGAATCTTGACCTCCTGGAAAGGCATGAACTTTGATGCGCGGGTGGAGAGGAACAGTTGGCCTCTGGCGTTGTTATCCTTGCATTCCTTCGAAGGACACTCGACAAGCGGCGTGAACTGCTTCGCAGTGACGGGCTGGAAAATCTCACAACCACAGCGGTCGCAAGAGTATGCATTAACCTGGACGGCGGGCTTGACATCCGATACCCTGGTTGCGATACCACGCACGGTGATGAGGTGTCCTATGTGCTCACCGCGCACATTCCTAACCGCTAATGCCTTGGAGCCGCGCTCGCTGCTCGATCCGGAGGGAGTGAGGGGCTTGAAGTTCAGAGTGTATCTTCTAGTCAGTTCCGCCGGGAAGACAGAGTCGGCAGCGGTGGCCTCGTCTTCTGCATCGGCGTATTCCTCTATTCTCTCGTTACGCTTCACGCGCTGGGTCATGATAATGTCGAGAACGTCGTCCTTGAAGCTGTGCCAGAGTCAGTAGAGCATTCACCAGCGCCTCGGGGGAATCGTACGTCGGCTCCGAGGTCGGCTCAGGCATGACTTTGTCGACTGCCCGCGAAAAAAGTTCGATGTAGTGATGGGCGTTCTTCTCGACCGATTCGACCAGGCGGAGGTTGGGGCTGTCCTCGCCGAGACTCTTCTCATACTGCACCACCAATGTCAGCAGTGGATCAGCGCAAGCTGCAGGAAGCTCGCACCTGATCCAGGTCATCCAATTCTATCAAAACGTGGTTCGTCCTGCGGTCGGCGACGTCATGCAGAAGCTGCATGTACTTGTGCTTGGGGTTGCGCGCAGGGCGATTCGTCTGGGGGCCATTGTCGTCCGACTCGTCCATAAAATCGTACTCGTCGTCATCGCCATCAAGCTGCAGGCCCTCTAGAGCGTCCGTTGCCTCGGTGGAGGACGACTTGTAGTTGCGCAGAAAGTCCTCAATGGCGGCTGAAGCTTGTGTTAGCTATTGTTTGGAAAGTGCAAAAGCACAACATGCGGAGGCGCACCCTGCTGCTCGCCATAGTGAACGGGGGACCGATGAGTAAGGAGCGCCATTGCCTGCAAGAGCGTGGAATTATGGGTGAGGCAATGCGACGGGCGGAATGGGTATCGAGGGTGGGTGGAGGGCGGGTGCTGGGGATTGACGGGCTTTGCGCACAAGAACGAGAAGCCGACAAGACCCACGCCAGCCGCCGCGTCCAGACGCGTCGGTCGATGCTCAGCGACGCGTGTTGCGCAGACGACGCGTATGGGCTGCCGTAGTACGGCGCACCGCACAGCCAGCCAGCGCGGACATTGCGGAGCGGGCCGAGGTTCGTGGATGCAGCTGGACGGAAGCCGCTTCAAGCTTCACAGCAATGCGCCTCTCCACGCCCACTCTTTCTCTCGCCTCCTCCCGCAACTATGGCTCCGGCGCCGAAGAAGCCAGCCGCCGTGCAGGCTGAGGTCGCCCTCTTGCACTCCCTGAAGAACTGTCTCGTCAACCTACCCGCCTCGCTGGTCTCGGTGCTTGTGAACGCGAACACCGTGAGATGCCCGCCGCACCACCAACCACCACGCCCAAGCTAACGCGCCCCACAGGTTGCGCAAAATGTCGTTGTTGAACTCACGTACCGTCAAGCGAGCTTCGACAGCTCTGCGGCTTCCAATGGCCCCAAATCCGTTCAGCGATCCGTCTTCCTCGGATGGACGGGAATGCAGGCCCAAACCAAGCCTGCTCCGGTTGTCGGTAGGGATGGACTTGCAGGAAGCAGAGGGACATCTGTCAGCAGGGAGCAGGACGTCGCTGCCGTCGAACTGGATGCCACGTTCGGCCGTCTGCTGGGGCTTAGCAATGGCCAGAAGGTACGCTCCGCTACTTGAGTGTGGCTGTCATGAGGCGTACACTGACCGGCGACAGTAGGTCGGCATCTTGCTGCATCTGGATCCTCCGCAAGCCCACACCATCAATATCGAGCCCTTGACGCCCGCCGATTGGGAGAGTATGTAGGCAGAGTCCCGCCGAACCGCCCTTACTAATCCTATACGCTACGCAGTGATTGAACTCCATGCCCAATTCCTGGAACTTAATTTCCTGTCGCAGGTCCGCGCTTTGCCTAACCCCGCCTTCGCACCGCCCTCCGAAGCCGACAAGCAGCCCGCGCATCCCCTCACTCTCCATCTATCCCCGACGTCAACCGCCAATATAATAGTAACCTCGCTAAATCCCGCACCCCCACCTGCTTCCCCATTCGTAAAGATATCACCTGACGCCGAAGTCATTGTTGCACCCAAAACTCGCCAAAAGCCAGGCCGTGGAGACAGCAGGAGCGTCGCAAGTACAAGTCGTAAGAGCCAGGGTGGGCGGAGTTCAGCCAGTACCGTGAGGCGGAGAAGCAGAAAAGATGATGCTAGCAGTCGTGGTGCCGTCTTCCTGCGGGGTGTTGACCGTGCATTGGGCGGCGATTGGTTCGACGATTTGGAGGAGAACATGCAAAACGCGGGCTTGAAGGTGTGGATTGATCGGGATCTACTTCTTCTCAAAGCCTTGCGCGGGGTGACTTGGGTCTATGTTTCCATTGTCAAGCCAACTGGGATCCAGGAGCCTGTCGATCCGCAAAAAGAGGTAGAAACTGAAAAACCCGGGATAAAGATTGTGGCACGGTTGGATGCTTGGGATGACGCCCCCGATAGTCAGCACGTCGCCATGTCCACGACTTTGTGCAGGGCACTTGGAGCAGAGGGTCTACTCGGTGGTCTAGTCCGGATTGAAGCTGCGCCTCCACAGGCTCATAAATCCTCCCTCATGAAGACCACTCCGGTCAAGGCCCTGAAAATCTTCCCTTTTGCGTCGGCCGCGATCCAACAAAACACAGGCCTGAAGTTTGGTGGCGAATCGAAACAGGAAAAGGAGGAAGTTGCGCAAAACATCAGAGAACTTTACGGTCAAGATCGCGTCAATGCTATTCTCGACGGTCCGCTGACGTGCGGCATGGTTTTACCTCCTGTAGAAGGCAAGGAGAACCTGTGGGCGGGTGCAATCCTCCGGTTCGACCCACCATCTAGCACTGTGCCAGACTCTGCCAAATCCCCGGCCTGGTTTCTGGGAGCGGAGAAGAAGGGGATTCCGCTCGAGGTCGAACCAGATATCAGCAAGCCATCCAACATACTTCAGAGCTGGTCACCAGGCGAGGCGCTTCCGTCGGCGCCGCCAACTCTGGTTGGCATAGACCAGCTCATTGAGCAGCTCATGTCTCATCTGACCCATTCTTCGTCAGTTCTCTTGACCGGCGGACTTGGTGCTGGCAAAACCGGCCTTGCACAACTCTTGGCGCATCGTCTTCGAAACGAGTACCTTTTCCACGCCGCCTATTTCCCTTGCCGCTCGCTTGTCACGGATGAGACACGTGTGTCAACCATCAAGGAGACATTAGGCAGGCTGTTTGCTGCAGCTGCTTGGGGTGCCAGACTAGGCGGCCACTCCGTCGTCATTCTAGACGATCTGGACAAACTCTGCCCGGTTGAGACAGAACTGCAAGTGGGCGGCGAAAACGGCAGGAGCAGGCATATCAGCGAGAGCATATGCTCCATCGTCAAACAGTATTGCTCAATGGACTCGAGAGTGGTTCTTCTAGCCACGGGCCAGAGCAAAGAAGCAGTTCATAACGTCATTATTGGCGGTCACGTTGTTCGAGAGATTGTTTCCCTCAAAGCACCAAATAAAGAGGGAAGAAGAAAAGTGCTCGAGAAGCTGGTCCTTCCAGATGGCGAGGCAAACCGCTTTTCAAAGCTAAACGGGACAAGCAGCCATCAGCCATCAGCGTCAAATGGAAATGCCTGGATGGATGGCTCCGTATCTGGAGGTAGCCGACCAAGCACATCCCACAAGGCGGCTGAGGACAGTTTCCTTGTCGATCCGAACATCGATTTCTTAGACCTCGCCGGACAAACCGATGGTTACATGCCGGGCGATCTTGTCTTACTTGTATCTCGAGCAAGAAGCGAATCTCTGATACGTTCTGTGAGCGACACTTCACTCTCACAATCAGACTCAGTCATCCTCACGCAAGACGATTTCTCCCGCGCCCTCGACGGATTCACGCCAGCATCACTCCGCAACGTGACTCTCCAATCCAGCACCACGCGCTGGGACTCAATCGGCGGTTTGCACGCGACCCGTCAAACGCTCCTTGAAACCCTACAATACCCCACTACCTACGCCCCTATCTTCGCACAATGCCCGCTACGCCTACGTTCGGGTCTCCTTCTTTACGGCTACCCTGGTTGCGGAAAGACTCTGCTCGCCTCTGCCGTCGCTGGTGAATGCGGGCTCAATTTCATCAGTGTCAAAGGACCCGAGATCCTCAACAAGTACATCGGCGCCTCTGAGAAAAGCGTACGGGACCTGTTCGAGCGAGCAGAAGCCGCCAAACCCTGCGTCCTCTTCTTCGACGAGTTCGACTCGATCGCGCCGAAGCGTGGCCACGACAGCACGGGCGTGACGGACCGCGTCGTCAACCAGCTGCTCACGCAGATGGACGGCGCCGAGGGCCTGTCGGGCGTGTACATCCTGGCCGCGACGTCGCGTCCGGACCTGATCGACCCGGCGCTGCTGCGCCCCGGCCGCCTGGACAAGAGCCTGATCTGCGACATGCCGAGCTTCGAGGAGCGCGTCGACGTGCTCAAGGCCGTGACCCGCAAGCTGCGCGTCTCGCCCGCCGTCCTCGACGACACGGGCGGCGACGCGCAGACGATCCGCGAGATTGCGCGCCGCACCGAGGGCTATTCGGGCGCCGACCTGCAGGCCGTTGCGTACAACGCGCAGCTCGAAGCCATCCACGACGTCCTCGGTGACGACGACCTCCTCGTCGAGGATGACGATAACAGCGCCGCCGCCGCGGGCAAGCAGTCCAACGGCGTCGGCAAGGAGAAGAAGAGACTGGACTTCATGCACTTCCGCTTCGGCGACCAGGAGGACGACGGAGCCGCGGAGCAAGACGAAGGCGCGAGCGAGAGGCAGAAGGCGGCGGCGCTCGGCGAGCGCGCCCGCCTCGCTGCGCGCATCCAGGAGATGCAGGCGCTGCGGCGGAAGCAGAAGGAGCTCCAACAGGCCGCCGCCGCCGCAGCATCAAACATGCCCGCCCGTGGGCTGAACAGCAAGAAGAATGGCAGTGGTGACGACGACGAAGGCGGCGAAAAGGAGAACAAGGAGCCCGTCATCGAGTGGCGCCACTTCGAGTCCAGCCTCGCGACCACGCGCAGCTCCATCTCCGAACAGGAGCGCCGCCGCCTCGCCGGCATCTACCGCGAGTTCGTCGTCGGCAGAAACGGCGAGATGCCGTCCGGGCAGGGCGGCACCGAGATTGGGGGGAGGACGAGTTTGATGTAGCAGGAGAGGTAATCGTCACGTTTCATTCTATAAAACTTTTTTGTGTGTATTTCTTCTTTGGTGAGGATTTTTGCGCAAATCTTGTTGGGTGGTGATGAGGAGGATGTATGAGGGAAGAACGCTTGAACCACCCGTTTGTGCTTGGGCTCTGATGGTGTGTATGATTCGATGTTGCTGCTGAAAATGATGAAAGGCGAAATCATGTACTTCCAAGAATCAATGGATTTGCAGATCTAGGCGGATAGTAGGCAAAGAACACTCGGTGCTTAACTGCTTAACGTATACTACAGTTGCTAGAATATGAGTGCCATCGATAAAAATGGACGAATCCGTACGCACACAAGACTCCGGGAATGGAAACGGCACAGTAGGGCAGAAAAAGTGTAAACCGGGAAAAGAACATAAAGCATGAAATCTCTCTTGGTCTTTTCAGAACATACTTTCGGTAAGGAATAACTGATAAGAGTAGAGGAGTAAGGAAATTTTCAACACGAAAGTATCATGGTAGACTGGGATATCGAGCCGAGCTTTTCTGTCGTTTTGTCGTCTCTTTCCCGCCGAAAATGGAGAAAAGTTGTGCTCTCGCCTACTCAAATCACGCATGCGCGAGCTCAGGCAATTCTCACGCGCTCGTCCCCCGTCATAGCTCTCGCTGTATTTCATGCCTTTAAGCGCCGGTGACCTTGGCCTTCGCAGCCTCGAGGCCTTCCTTAGCCTGGGCCTCGAGAGACTTTTCCCTGCCGCCCATGCTGTTGAAATGGTAGTTAGAAGCGCTTTCAGAGTTGCAGAGGGGAGTTTGACGTACTGCCAGTGGTTCAGGTAGCGGTAGCCCTGGACGGTCTGCGCCGAGAAGTTGACGAGGTGGCAGCCGAAGAGGAGCCAGTTCCTGGGCTGGACGGCGAGGGCGTAGCGCATGAAGGTGGCCGAGTAGCAGACAAGAGCACCGGTCATGCCACCGGAGATACTATTCGAGGAAGGGATACGTTAGCCTTTCTATTCGGTGGCGGTTCCGAACTGACCCTGGTGTGCTTGGTTCGCGGTTGAGCGCTAACGGCCTCCTGTTGCGGTACAGATGACGGAGTATATCCGCGCCTGCACAACGAGTGCGAGGCTATGCCGTCAGAAGCAGTCATGGAACATGACTGAAGCTTCCGGCCCGCCGCAGCCCTCCTGCCATATCGATCCGGTGCCCAATGCGCGTGTCCGCCATGCGTGGAACGCAACGACCAGGGCTCAGCAACGTTATTCCGCCAGAGGTATGGTAGCCAATACGGCGAGCACCGATGATGGTGACACGCCCCGGACGTCTCGTGGGGAAACGCGAACCGTGCGCGGCGTAGATCGGGTGATTCCGCAATGTGGAGCGAACATTTTGTACTGTCGGGCGGTGCGGACTCGAGGGAGTAGGGTCGGAGCAGAGCATGTCTTACATTTCAGGGTCCTTCTGCGTGTCCATGACGGCGGCGAGCGGGATGCCGAAGTTGGAGGCCGGGCCCCAGAAATCTGCGAAACAGAGCTCGCGTGTCAGCGCGATGAATCATTGCTAGAAGTCGGAATCTGGAGAAGCTGAGTGAAGAAGAGTTTTATTTTCGGGCGACAAGGGAATTGAGGCTGCGATAGAGGGCTGAGCGTAGAAAGGGTGGGCGCGGCGCCTGTGCGGCCGAAGCCGGAAGCGCAGCGCAATAGGTGGAGTAACAAGACGTACGGGTCGAGCAGAAATAATCCAGCGCCTTGTTGGAGCGGATTTTAGCGTTGATAGCTTTGATTGCGGCGGCCATGACGGGCAGAAAAGAGACCTGAGAAGCGAGAGGGCGAAAACGGAGAAAGTGCGGCGAAGGAGATGTGGTGAGAGTTGGAAAGTGGTGTTGGGGAGCTTCCAGCGGAATGACTTTACTCAGCGGCGGAGTTCCGAAAGGCGGCGGGTGTTGAGCCGCCGCGGGAATTAAGTGGGAACCCGGTCACGTGCCCCGCTTTTGCGGCTTTAACGCCGTCATAATTGGCCAGCATTTCCGCCGTCAGCTAGATGTCGGACAATTGCTGACCCTTGGCGTGATCCTCGTGTCGGTATCGAAATTGAAGCCTCCACAGGCGGACTGGCGTGCACTTGATTATAGAAAAGACGTCCTGCTGTGACCAGAACAATCGTTCCTTAGCCGGACTTAAGCTACGCTGCAAAAGGCCGGGCCAGATTATCGACAGGGTCATACCACGGAGTCCAATTGCTGCTTATGCTACATCATTTTGCCCTTTTCGCAAGTTGAATGACTCCCCTAAAACGCCCTTAAGAATTTTCCCCATCCCATATACCTCGTATGGCGTCCCACGCACCACGGTGACGTTAGGCTTCTGAAAATGCAGTTGCTGCCGCATGGCCGATTTGTCGGAGCTGTCCAGGGCGTGCAACGGCTGTTGTTTGGGCTCAATAACGGGCAATCCAAGCCCACTTCTTCACGATTCCTTCCGGCGCCAACAATCCACTTATCTGCCTCCGTATCCAGGAGGGAAACCACGACCCTGTCCCGGGGGCTGGAAGCCAGGCGGCGGCTGGAAGCCCGCTGTAAATTTGTCAGTAAATATCTCATGAGCTGAACGGCCAGTGAAGACTTACGAGGAGCGCCACCTGGGGCGAAACCTGCAGGAGGGAAGCCGGGGGCGCCAGGAGCACTAGGAGGGCCACCGCGGCCTGCAAAGCCAGGAGGACCACCAGCCGGAGGGAAGCCGCCTTGAGGAGGGAAACCCCCAAAACCACCAGGACCAGGACCACCGACACCGGCGGCAGGGCCGGTAAGGCCAACGGGAAGACCTCTGCCAGCGGGCCTGCTGATGCCCGGGCCTGCAGGGAGCGAAGGAGCACCCGAACCACCCGGAGCGCTTGTTCCTAATCTGGCCGAGGGGTCTGCGGGAGGTGGGCCTTCAACGGACAGCGAGACAATGTGGCAGCCGCGGACGATGGTGAGACCAAGGGTGCGCTTTTCTTCGGTTTCCACGAGGGGAGCGGCGGAGGCGCCGGGGGCCTGGCTCTTCGTGCTCTTGCGCTTAACGCGGCGGAACTCCTCGGTGTCGGCGAGGACGAGGTTCATGTGCTACTCGAAGTCAACGTCATAGGATTGCAGAAAGGTTCGGAAGCTGTCACGGACCTTGTCGAAGGCAAGCATCTGGCCAGCCATTTGGCGCCCGTCATTGAGAGTAGCGCGCATGCGGTAGTTGATCTAGACGAGTCAGAGCTGATCGCACAGCGCGAGCGCGGAGACAGGCTCACCAGATTTTGCTGGATACTCAAACAGTCAGCTGGCGTCGTTAACGAACAACTCTGCAGTTTCTTGCGGACGTAGGAATGGACTCACCATCTTTCCTTGCTTATTAGCCTGCGCCATGGTGAGTGTGGCGCCTGCGAACACGACTTTGCTAGCGATAGAAGGGGTTGGCGGGTGGATGTGCGAAGTGGAGGGGCCGACGGGCGTTGCTGTCGCGGGCGAGCTGTAGAAGTTCGCGAGGTTGCAGCCAAAGCCGCGCCCGGCCTTGGCGCTATGAGCTCACGCAGGCATGCCTGAGGCAGCAATTCCAGACACGCCATGCGGAAATTCGAGCAAGCAGAGAAACAGCGGTTGCTACCAACATCTTGCAAAACACAAAAGCGCAATTGCACCTGGTATCTCAGTACTGTTTTCCGCTGCTGCGGCGGACGGCCTGCTCGACGTCTTGGCGGCGAGAAATCGAACGGGCCAAAGCTCGGCTAAGCGAACGCTAGCGGCACCCTCCCACTCTCCACCAAAATTGTCTTCGTCTTGTTCCTCGACGCTGACGACCATCCGCGACACCACCGACCAAACTAACAACCGCAGTCACAATGGTACGCCCGCCGTCGCCATGGTAGTGACCCCGCCGTCGCGCTGACGATGCTTTCACACAGGCCGAGAAGTCCGACAAGAGCGCCAACCCCATGAGGGAGTTGCGCGTCCAGAAGCTGGTCCTCAACATCTCCGTCGGCGAGTCTGGTGACAGGCTCACTCGTGCCGCCAAGGTGCTTGAGCAGCTGTCCGGTCAAACCCCCGTCTACAGTATGCATCGCCCGAGATCGAATCGCCGCTGCCGCACCCGCCCTGACTGATTTTGCGTCCGACAGGCAAGGCCCGCTACACCGTCCGTACCTTCGGTATCCGTCGTAACGAAAAGATCGCCGTCCACGTCACCGTCCGTGGCCCCAAGGCCGAGGAGATTCTCGAGCGTGGCCTCAAGGTCAAGGAGTACGAGCTGAGGAAGCGCAACTTCTCCGAGACCGGCAACTTCGGCTTCGGTATCAGCGAGCACATCGATCTCGGCATCAAGTACGACCCTGCCATCGGTATCTACGGCATGGACTTCTACTGCTGCATGTGCGTACACCCTGATTGAGGAGACTTTGGCGGCAATAGTGGCATGATGTGGAACGGCAGAGCTGACGGACTTGACAGGACCCGCCCCGGTGAGCGTGTCGCCAAGCGCAGGCGCGCTAAGAGCCCCATTGGCTCGTCCCACAAGATCACCCAGGCCGAGACCATCAAGTGGTACAAGAACAGGTTCGAGGGTATCGTCAGGTAAATGGTTTTAGCGGCGCGGAAGCATTTGGGGGTTTCTCGACTAAATCCCGGGGCCTACGGAGACAAAAGGAGTCTGGGGCCTGGGATTTACGGGTTGGTCGGCGCACCAAAAAACGATTCACCATGGTGTAATTACCAGCAAAAATTACGACTGCGGCCTATCAATGGAGCTTTTCAGCAAGATCACAGTGTCAATGGAGGCTTCACTAGGGTGTTGTCCGTATAACCATTGGTGATTTGCTTGGACGTCCAATCTGGCTTTGCCAGAGCGCATGCGTGACTTTTGTGAGTACTTACATTGCCCAATCATGTGGTCAGCTAGGTAAGTGGCATCGTAGATGGTATAAGATTGTGTTCTCAACGTTACTCCATCCTGTCTAGTTGCACACAACCCGACCATCTTTCATTCTGCAACTGCTCAGAATCGTCGAGTCCAAGTGTCGATCTGTATCATACGCTACAGTATGTCTTTATTTTGGCTTCTCCCGGGAACTTATTCACGGTTGCTTCACATTTCAATGAGATACATCACTGTCGATCGACACAGATTATTGATATGAACGGTGTCTGCTTGCTAGGGCTATGCTAGAGAAACGCTAGGAACCTCTGATCAGCAATGCTCAAGTGCTTGGCATCAGTTACGCGCCTTGCCATGTCGACACCTGCATCGGTCCCTCTGCGCTCTTGATGTACCCTAGTGCGCATTCGGTAAATGCCACCCTGTTCTGGTCCGCATATAACTTATCAAAGCGCTCGTCAAGCGCGTCCAGCAACACATTCACATCGCCCGTGGGATGTAGTACCCGCCACGGCTGTGTACAGCTTGTGCCGGCGCATGATTTCAATACCATAAGCAGACTATCCAAGCGGTGAACAACCGTTTGAAGGGGTCGATCAAGAAGGGTCATGTTGGCGGATGCGGTGGAGGATGATAAGAGATTACTGAGTTGGTAAGGGTCCACCTGTTCAAGTGGTAAGCATGACATAGGATAGAATTATTCTTCAAGTTGGCTCACGTTCATGTCGTAGAGTTCGTGTTCGTTTGTGCACCACACGCTGTAGGCCAACGAATATGAATCTCCTATGATCCGGAGGAACTTGTAGGTGTTGTTGGGTGTGTCGGCTAGCATACCGTCAGTCTCGTCTCTCGGGCATAAAGAGACGGAGGGTAAAGACTTACGTCCGGCGTACATGCCCTCCCCTTGTCCCTCTCCCCAGAACTCGACCGTCACATGCTCGTACCTCCTCCGGCTCTTCCCCACGCCCTCCCTCCTCGCCGCCTCGACGTCCCTGTCCCTCACCGGCATCGGCACTCCATCAAAGTCATCCCTCAGTCCTATCCCTGCCAGCTCGAAAATGGTAGGCGCCACATCCGTGTGCGTCGTCGGCCAGTCGACGACGGCGTTCTCGGCGACGCCCGGGCCGCGGACGAAAAACGGCACCAGCACGTCCTCCTCGAAGCCGCACGACTTGCCGGGCGGCAGGCGGTGCTGGCCGATGTGGAAGCCGTTGTCCGAGGTGTAGAAGACGTACGTGTCGTCCGCCAGTCGCCGTCGTCGTCCTGTGTCGTCGTCGTCGTCCAGCTTGGCCACCAGCGCGTCGACCAGCTCGTCGACGCTCTGCAGCGCCTGCAGCCGCCGCCGGTAGAACTCGTCGCCGTACGCCACCTCGCTCGCGTTCAGCGGCGGCAGGTCCTTGAGCCAGGACGCCGGTCCGCTGGCGGCGGCCGGGTTGAAGTTGGGCGTGCGTGGGACCGAGGCGTTGGCGAAGAGGCTGCGGTGCCGCGGCGCTGCTTCGGGGAGCGAGAAGATGGGCCGGTCCGGGAGGATGATGGCGGATGAGTGCGGCCCTATGGGAGAGACGACCATGAAGAACCTGGCGTGGGGCTGGTCAGCGTGGTGTCCGAACGTTTGAGAGTGGCGAAATGGGGGGGTGGGTGGACGAACGGACGGCCCCCGTTGATGGCCGCGTCGGCGGCTTCGTCGAGATAGTCGAGGGCTTTGCGCGTTACGAGGTCGCCTGAGTATTCGCCTGGATGGTAGACGGGCGGGTCATGGTTGCGCTGGAAGCTGGCATTGTAGTATTGGTATAAATTTGGGGAGACGAGGACTGCGGACGTTGTTATTTCAGCATTTCCCCTTTCTGGCTTCGCGCTTGGAAAGGGAGGGCTTACAGTCTGTTCCATTCCAGCCGGCAGGATACGGACTGTCGTAGTTCTGGACGCTGAGCCCGTTCATCATCTTCCCGACGTAGTAAGTGTTGTATCCTGCATTTTGGAGCCATATCGGAAGGTAGTCATCATTATGGCCTTCTTTGATGAACTGAGGCCACCCGCTGGATACGTAAGTGAGGACTCTTCCAAGAAGACCGGTGGTTCCTCCTTACCCGTACGGTGGTCTGGTGTCCGTCACATTTGTATTATGCGCAGCTCTGCCAGTCCACATGCTCACTCTGGATGGGCAGCATTGCGCAACCGTGCAGTAATGGCTGCGAAACTCGGTTCCGCGATCTCGAATGGCTTTTTGAAGCAGCGGCTGGTAGTCCAGAGAGCCCATGCGCCTGTCCTGGTCATCGGCCATAATGATCAAGAAGTTCGGCCTCTGCGCTGAGCACGACGGCTCCTCCGCCATGCAGCCATAACTCAAGCGCAGCAACGACGTTGCCAAGGCCAAGAAGGATAGCATAGGGAGCATAATTCAGAACTGAAGAAGCACCCACGACGAGCAGACAAGCCAAAAGTCGTTCCCTCCTTCTCGATTCGAGCGAAACAAACTGTTAGCTGGTTTGAGTTTGTTGGGGGTCCTGAAGTCCCCGCAATCTAAATGAAGGCCAAGGCTTCTCCCGAAGCTTTCCGCGGCAAGCCCATACTTCATAGGCTCGTCCCACAAATTAGACTTCTGCTTGTGCAGCACCTCCCTGTATCATGCTGCACTTGACGCATGCACGCCGTCTTGGAAGGGCTTCTGCAGGAACAGAATTTTGAGCATGCTGTATAACGGTCCGCCTAACCTGGCTGACGAGGGACTTTAAAATTATGCGCAGCGGCCGTCCCGTGTCATATCCTTTTTTTTACGGCATTTGGACTGATGCATTCTTGGAAAGCAGACTAACCCAGTAGCATCGCAAACTTTTTCTGTAGCGTTGCAAGGCCTTGCTTGGAGGTGATGCCACAATATCGCGCAGGTCGGCTCAAAGTAGCATACAGAGGGGCATTGCAGCCGACGGCTAGCTTGAATTTATTTTTCGCTCATGTCATGGGCAGTTGAGGATATCGTCCGGACGTGAATGTATAATTATTAAACCCACATTTACATCTGCACGATAGCTTCAACTACCCATACCTATATGTTCTTGTTCATTGAGAGAGGGAACGGGCGCATACTTCCGCTATGCTCCACGGCCCTGCTATTCTTCGCGCTAGCCATTGGCTGCTGCACCCCTCTGCTGCACCTGTAATGGGTTCAGAATCATATGTGCTCCAAAAGCAACCGGGTACTTGACCACCACAATCCATCCGCCAGTCACGACTAGCTACGATAGTTAAATTAGCTTTGCACAGACCCCACAATGCTAGACATTCCGGCGGTCAATTTCGGTGCTCCGAGGTCTCTTCGGCCCGAACGCGGCAACCTGCAAGAATTTCCTCTCCCATCCGCACGCATGCCTACCTCGACCGCGAACAGAAACAGTTCTACAAGGGTCCTGTACCGATGGCCGTGTTACGTGAAAACAAAAAGATGTGGCCGTCCTCCCCGCCCTCGTTTTGCCCGCGTACAGCCCGCCCAAAATCTCGACACCACGGACTCCATCCACAACGCCCTCCCCACCACAAAACAACCACCAAAACAGCAAAAGAGAACGAGTAGGTCCTACCCGGGATCGAACCGGGGTTGCAGGAATGCTCTGATTGATCAGAATCCTGAGTGCTAGCCACTACACTATAGAACCGGAATGGCTTCTAGTACCTGGAAATCGTCGTTTGCGTGTTGCAATTAACTACCTCTTGCTGTGCTGACGTCATAGATAGGACCAGCAGCGTGATCTTGCTTCGTGCCGTCGAGATTGAATGATACTCCACAGCTGAGGCACGTTTTATCATATAATTTTCTTAGCGTTATCGGCTTTTTAGAATGAATAAGATGGAGATTAGTACTCTAGCTTACACAAAAATCAGTAAATCTGATAGAAGGGGCCGGGGGAGAAAGGTGTTAGAATGGCTAGGTAGTTATAATGTATAAAGGTCGATATAAACTCTTATGTCACTAAAACGAGTATAAACCCCCGACCACTGGATCCAGGACACGCTTCCCTACAGCGATTCCCGCCTAAGCATTCCGGTGCACCAAGGGGCCGTATGCCTGACCCGGTATTGTTCATGCTTGGTCCGGTGGCTTTTATTTCGAGGTCGACCTCCAGAGCAGCTGCTCATCAGCTTCACCAAGATCTACTACACGATACCGTACAGGGCAAGGTCGTCATCTAATTCATGCCGCGCTCACTGGAAACTCAAGCCGGGCACAAGCAAACTTCCAGTAGATTTCTGGCAATCAGTCACCAGGTCTATAAAAGACCGGTAGATAGCAAGAACACAGCCACCATGCGATCTTTTCAATTGGATCGTGTGACGTACGTACAAAATAAAAATACACCCATTCATTTCATATGTGGGGTATTTTAACATAGGTCAGATTGTGCTACATAACACCCGGGGGGAAAAAAACAGAACCTTTTCGGTGGCGCTCGAGCAAAAGCATATTCAAATGATGAAGGTCTACTCATATCTATCAGATACAGGCCATACGTGTAATTTCAGACTTTTGAATCCAAGTGATCTATAGAACGTCGGCACAATGGTTCCCATGGGGAGATATTGCCGCCTACACTGGAAGCCCAGCTTATTTTCACGCGGAGATTTGTCTCGCTCGATGATTCGCTCAATATTTGCAATTCTGAGGCTGTGCTCATGTGCCATGTTCTGCATCCTGAAACGCAGATCGTGCGTGGTGTGTCGCGGTATTGCAGCAGCCATTGCCTGAAAGCGCTTCGGCACGCCAATCCGATGCCAGCTTGAGTCTTCGGTTCATCGTTACTGACCATGCAAGAGGGGAACATACAATCCATTCAATTTTTCCAGTGCGTGTTGCACCGTGACAAAATTTCAGGGCTGTGCCTGTGCAATCTGTCTTGATATTCTTCGAGGTTGCAAAGAGAACCATTCGCTGGTCTATTTTGACGAAACCGACCATGTCGGTGGAAGTAAGAGGTCGATGGTCTATTTTGCCGCTGTAAATGCGAACAAAGCAGAAAGGAATGAAAGAATAGAAGAATGAAAGGAGGAAAACCGACAACCTTCTGTCTCAAATCCGTAACGCCCCAATGAAAACGCCGTCGATAGCCAATTTGCGACGGAAGGAAAAGTGGAACCAAACTCCCAGAAGAAATTCACCGGATGCGAGCGCCATGACTCTTGCCTCTAAATGCGGGCTGTCGGTAACGCAAGCTATGCAAGCGCAAGAGTGCCAAATCCTGCTCGGTCGTCGAGCCGCTAGGATGCAGCAGCAAGGGAACTAGATCAAAAACATTACGAAATAGAAAACAAGTACACTCCATACGCGCGTATTCTGCAGGGTATCGGGTATCTCAATCATCGGCAGGTCTGCATGGCCCGCTTTGGTGGCAAAATCCTAAAAGATTCCGAGCTCGTTTACCAGAGCACATAGTCAACGTTGTGACTACGAGAGCAATTTCAGTCAGGTCGTGCTGCAAAATGCGGAAGTTTCGCCGGAACAAACCCTTCGTTTTCTTCCTTGGTCGGTCTTATAGGAATGGCATCTCCGGGACCATAGTGGTTCGACGTGGGCGACGTTGCAAGAGAAGCCGGGTGGCTATCGAAGCTGGGGAAGGGTATCGTGCCTCCAGAACGTGGGCTTCGGGGCGGTGAACCAGGAGCGCTCCTTATCTCTGACATGGCTGCCTTTCGTTTCGGCGATCCGATCGGGGTTTTGTCCTCGGAAGATATAGACTGCACCTATACTTTAGTAGAAAATCGAGCCGTAAGGGAGGTTTAAAACAAACCATGTGCTCGTCGACCTTCAGGCCACGCCTTACGGCAAGTGCCCGAGCAGCACCCCGTCTCCTCTCGATGCTTTCCTCCTCTTCTTTCTGGACCCTCACTTCCTCGGACTTGAGCTCTGACAAGGTTGGAACCTCGTGAATGCCGGCTTCGGAGTGTTTGTCAATGGAGGGAGAAGCGGCGTTTGAGCGCCTTCTCGATTCTCGGGTGCTCTTGGACGATATGGTTCTCGTGGACATTCGAGACCCGCGAGGGCGCTTGGAGTACGGCGTCTTGCCGCTGCTTGTATCATCCAAAAAAGTAGCAGTGTTACGACGCTCGAGCGCCGAGGCAAATTCATCATCTAACGGCACGGCGTCGTCCAGCTCATCCTCGCTGGGCAAAATATCTCCTCTGGAACTCAACGAGTCGGAGGTCACGCCAGACTCATTCGTCGAACTCCTCTGTCTCCGGTGGGCCAAATATGCAGGATATTCCTCAGCCTCTTCAATCAATGGAGCATGTTCCTCTAGCGATCTCCGGGACGCGCCAGGGTGGTCTTGAAGATCTGCAGCAGACGGCTTATAGCGCAGTCCCTTGCCGCCGATTCTGAATGGCAGCCTTCCCAAGAAACCAAAATACGAGCTGGTGGGGATTATGGTGGGATCGGGGCTGCCATCGTGCGGCGGGGCAACGCTCTTTCGGCGCGCATCGCCGCGGCGGGCGCCATAGCTCATGGCACGTTGACGACCGGGCTGGGTGGAGGTGCCTTGGCCAGCCAAGAGGCGGTCGAATTCGCTGTTGCCCCAGGAAAACGGGTCGTCATTCTCCTCCTCTTCCCAGTCGTCGTAGAAGTCAAAGTAGTGTTCTGCGCGGGCGCGGCCACGGCCCCTTCTTCTACGGAGCAGGCGATCTTCGCGGGAACCAAAGCAGGGAGCAGCGCATGCCTCAAAGCACTGGGTCACGGACGCGACGCAAGGGTTGATGTAGTTGTGCGAAAAGGCGTAGATGCCTTCCTGGGCAGCCTCGTTTGCCGACTCGAAGTTGTGAGAGAGCTCGTCCAGCGTGCGCCTCAAGCGCGGGTCGTTGCGATTTCGATACATGGTGAGGGAGCGGGTGAGGAGAGGCCGGCGGTTGGACGAGGGTGTTGGGCCGAGAGAAGTGGGTCAGCGAGGCCACATGGGCGAGGCAGCGACGACAGCCTGGAGTCGCGCAGAGGGTGCGCCCGCGCGGCGACGGGGACAGCAGGCGGCAATGAGTGTCTCCCACGTCAAAAGGCGGTCGGCATTTGCACGGCTGCACAGCAGCGGGTACGTGAGGCAGGCGGGCGGGCGACAGGTTGGGTACGTCAGACGCGCTTGGACCGCGGAGAGGAGTGGCGGCTGGAATAATGTTTGGCCGGCCTGCCGGGCCCGGACGCGGAGCGCATCCTGGCAATGGTCGGCCTGACCGCACCTTGCATCGCAGCTACACCGCAGAACTGGCATGGGGCCAGGCCCGGACACGCCACCGCTGGTCGGCCTGCGGCGCCAGTGACGGTAAGCCGCTGTCGGCTTGCCGTGCGGCCACGATTGCTGCCATTTTTGGGATCTGGGGCCGCACAACGCGCAACTCAGCCGGCTCCGGCTAGGCGACTGGATCGAGATAGCGAGGGCCTGGACCGCTCGGCACCGCGTGCTGCTGCTGTCACCCATCACCACCTGCTACGGCACTGGCATTTTTGGCGCCACGAGCGAAGCCAGCGCCCAGTAGCCTGTTCCGGCCAGCCTTTCATAACTTCTGCGCGCCCCGCTGCTGCAGCGCCCGCCCGCCCGCCCAGCCGCCATCATGAGGTACATTCGTTTTTTAAAGGTTCCCAAGACCGACGGCAAGACCATCACCGCCCTGATCACCGTCACCTCAGATCTCGGCGAGGATTTCCTGGCCGCCGATGTTGCCCTCGCCGCGACCATTCGCTCGCCCGAGTACAATGGCGACATTTTCCTGCGCAAGAGCATCAAGTGGACTGCTGGCATGCGCGCCCTCCCCTTGACCTTCGACGTCCGCCACTGCGATCTGGACTGGCCCGTAGTTGTGCACGTTGGCCCCAAGAGCAACCAGGTTTCCGACCGCTTTGAGAGGCAGAACAACAACCCTGAGCTCCCCTCCCTGATTTCTGCATGGAGCTCCATTCTCGACGCCCCGGCCGGCATCAAGGAGGCCGAGAAAAAGGTGGAACGCCGCTTCACGCCGCTGAGCAACCGCACCCTGAGCATTTGGGAGGAGACCGGCGACAGCATTGCGCGCCATATCTGGTCCGTATTCCTGCTTTTTGGTTTCTCTGTCCCTACACTGACGCGTGCAAGGGATGCTGGTGTCGGCATGGCCGCCTTTTTTGACAAGACGATCGCCATGCAGTACGACAGCCTGCCGATCCTGGACTCAACCCTCAGCTCTGCCACTTACAAAAAGCTCCACGTGCTTGAACTGGGCACCGGATGCGGCATTGTTGGCATCAGCCTAGCGCAAATCATCCCCGACTGCGAGGTCACGCTCACGGACCTTCCGGAAGCACGGGAGATTGCCGAGAAAAACATCGAGGGCATGAATCCAGCCATGTCGTCCAGTGCCACTTTCGTGCCATTGGACTGGGACGAAGAGCTGCCCCAGGTTGTGCGCGAGCGGCAGTACGACCTGGTCATCATCTCAGACTGCACGTACAATCCGGACAGCAGCCCAGCCCTGGTGAATACCCTCAAGGCTCTCGCCGCAAGATCCCCAAAGGCCATTATAGTTATGGGCATGAAAGTCAGACATGAGAGTGAGGCCATTTTCTTTGAGCTCATGAAAAAGGGCGGCTTCATCCAGGCCGTTCAGACCCGTCAGCCTCTTCCACGTGACGATGCAGACTTCAGCTTGTCTGGCAACATCGATATTTACATCTACCATTCTGCGTACCGGCCTCGCTCCCCTAGGGATCCGCGCAATGTCCTCGATCGCTCTCCCATCTCTTTCTAGCTGATCCAAAGCGCCATTAGCATGACCATGGAGGATATATCCTACCACTCGAGACGGCGTTGACCGTACAGCACACAAGCACCAATGTGGATATCTCAAGCCCACCCGCCGGTGGGCTGCTGCCGGCCATGGAACCTTTTGACTCCCAACGGAGCATCCGGCTTCGCTTTTAGGCCGAGATCCAGGATGCTACATCATCAAAGCCGGGGCGGCACAGTCCTCAGCCGCCGCCGTTCGCAGAGCCGCGCGCGAGACGGCGGCAGTCGGCCGCCCGGGAGTGGTGCCCAACCGATGTGTCTGACTCGAGACGCAGGCTGCACAGTCGCTTGTGAGGTAATGGAAGGAAGCTTGTCTGTAATTGCAGGGTGTGTGTGCGCAAGGATTCGACCATGCAGAGGCGGATAGGGGGGAATGCTTTCTCAATGGCACCGATGTGGCTTCGCATTCGTGGACCCGGGTTTACCGTGAGCAGAGACTTGTGTTCCTTGTGAGCTTGAGTGCAAGAGACGTCAGCTGCATTGCCCCAGGGGTGGCGACTGTCGAAATATACGATCGCTGCCTTGGGCGATGGCAGCCCTACGCGTGCCCGTGCCGTAGCGGCAGTGCCGGGCAGCGTGCCGATAGCGCGTGGCCATTGGCGGGCGGGCGTGCATTGTGCTGACTGAAAAAGCCGGGAACTGGGATGCGTTATTTTCTTTAGCGCGGCAGGTTCTGGCTGGGGAAGCGGCCGGGCCTGTCGTCACCAGGCACACACGGGCAGCAAGCTCAAGCGCACCCGACTCACTCAAAATTCACCACGCCCCTCGATCGCGACCTCTTCCTCCTGTCGCTTCCCCCAACGTCTTCTCTCACACGTGCATCCCACCGACATCCGCGTCGCTGCTCTCGCCAGCTTCAATTGCATCCGCGATTTGCTTGCCTTCCAGCCTCGTCGCAGTGACTCACTACGGTACGTAACCACAACCCTCGCCCGCATGCGCCCGGCGTGCGTGTCCCACGGTCCTGCCCTCCTGCAGCGCCTGAGCCCGCCACCTTTCACCGCGACGCTGCTGACGCCCGCCCGCAGACGTCCTGGAACTCTCCTAATTTCGACTGCCTTTGGTCGCATCAAAGGCACCGCCTACAAGACGGCCCCAAAGGCCTCTGCAGCAGTCGCTCTTCAAATTGCCGCTCGCCCCAAAAACATCGACACCCTTAACAACCTTCCTCCACCTGCTGCTGAAGTCGCCTGCTGAACTTGAGAGTTTGATTTTCTCGTCAAATCAAACCTCACCCCCCGATTTTCCACACACCCAGCTGCCGCATAGGACGCTCTCTGTGGTTCTTCCTCTCCACGAGGAAGAGTCGAGGAGGCCTCGCCTGTCAACACTCAGCCTCGGATTCGAGCCGTTCCGCCCCCCTTAACAGGACTTTCCGCGCGTTTCCATAATCAACCCAATCCCACCAGGCGCAGAGAACCCTGGTTATGGCACCTTCTGCTATCGTCACTACTGAGCAGTACGCACCGTTGTCGATCAAGACATTTACACCGGTGGAGCACAGCCCTGTTGCTGTTGAGATCAAACATGGCGCAAAGTATGCCAAACAACTAATTGGCGAAGCGTTCAAGAAGCGTGTCGACGCTATTGATCATGATTCCTGTGAAGCGGGCGAAGAAGATGCCTTCTTCGTGGCTGATATGGGCGAGGTCTACCGCCAGCACCTCCGTTGGAAGATGAACCTCAAGAGGGTCAAGCCACACTATGGTAAGCTGCCCTCGTGAGCCGCGCTGAAACCGACGTTGCTAACTTCGCGAAGCTGTCAAGTGCAACCCTGACCCTCAAGTTCTCCGCCTGCTGGCGGAGCTGGGCACCGGTTTCGACTGTGCCTCCAAGGCTGAGATTGAGCAGGTCTTGAAGATGGGCATCGACCCTTCGCGTATCATCTACGCGCAGCCCTGCAAGACCAACTCGTACGTGCGTTATGCTGCCCAGCAGAACGTCAAGCAGATGACGTTCGACAACGCCGACGAGCTGTACAAGACCAAGAAGCTCTTCCCTGACGCTGAGCTGTACCTGCGAATCCTCACCGATGATTCGGCCAGTCTGTGCCGCCTCAGCCTCAAGTTCGGCGCACCCATGGACACCACCCAGGACCTGCTTGAGCTTGCCAAGCAGCTGGATCTCAACGTGGTGGGCGTTGCCTTCCATGTTGGTTCCGGCGCGTCCGATCCTCAAGCCTTTATCAAAGCCGTTGAGGACGCTCGCACTGTCTTCGATCAGGCCGAAGACCTTGGCTTCAACATGCACACTCTGGATGTTGGTGGCGGCTTCTCCGGAGAGACTTTCGAGGAGATGGCCGCTGTCCTGTCTGATGCGCTGGACACGCACTTTCCGCCACACATCCGTGTCATTGGCGAGCCTGGCCGCTACTACGTCTCTTCAGCTTTCAACATTGCGTGCAACGTCATTGCGCGCCGCACCGTGCGTGACGAACAGCTCGACACCACGTCTTACATGCTGTACATGAACGATGGTGTCTACGGCAACTTTTCCAGCATCATGTTCGACCACCAGCACCCGGTGCCGCGTATCCTCAAGTTGGGCGACCGCTTTTTGCACGACCAAGAGGCCTGCGAGTTCGATGTCGACGGTCGCCGCCCAACCGATTACTCTATCTGGGGCCCGACCTGTGATGGCATCGACTGCATTGCGGAGAAGGCGTCGTTCGCCGAAGAGATCGATGTTGGCGACTGGCTTTACTTCGAGGAAATGGGTGCCTACACAAAGTGCTCCGCGACTCGTTTCAACGGCTTCACCGACAAGCACGAGACTATCTATGTCTCCAGCGAGCCCGGTGCTAGTGCCCTCCTGGGCATGTAATCGTCAGTTTTGTCTTTTCAAAGTTGTTGTCCTTGGGAATGACGGGAAGTCTGATAGACGGAGGAACGCCTGCTTTGTCTCGGTTTTTTTGTTCGTTCACTCAACAACCCCTTGACACTGTAGTCTTTTTTGGCCTGCCCCTCACGAGCAGGAAATAATCCTTGGGCTTGTTGTTGTTGTTTTTGGTTTAAAAAAAAAGTTGAATAGAGTTGGTTGCATGCTTTTAAACCCCGTCTAGGGTTCGGAACTGCTATTGCCGCCACGACCAAATGAGCGGCTGTTTGCGTTCAGTCTTTGGCTTTTGGTGCTCGGGTGGCATAATTTGCGGCGCTCCCCACCCTATGTCTTAAACACCAGTATTACTACAAAACAGAATGAACTAACTTCCAAGTCGTTCTCTTCATTTAATCGCCCCTCCTATGCAAGTATAATACTGTGTGTGCCGTGACAGGTTACCGTGCGTATGCGGATCAATCGTGTCTCATATCTAGGCCTACCCTCTGGCCTGCTTTTCCCCAGCTCTGCAGCATCTCTTCTATCCCAACGCCAATGCTTCGAAGCATAGTTCTTTACCTCCACACGCCCTTCTACAGGACTTGCAGAAGCGCCCTATCTTCCCGTAGTCTGCCCAAGACTTTTAACTCATCATGACGATTGCGACGTGTAGGAATCCATCTGGATATGCTGCAGCCTTCAGCAGGTCCTCTACCGGCGCGCTCAGCGGCACCACCGCCCCGTGCAGCACCGGCTGCGCGAGCAATGGACTCCTCCGACTCGGAAAAAGCGTGGGAATGATGGTGTTCAGCGCCGTGCCCATCGTCTGCGGCTGTCCTGCTGATCCCCCGCGCGACGAGGCACCGCCGCTGCCGCCGCTGCTGCTGCTAGTCAGGGTAGGCGGGACGAGCGCTTGCACGACGCGGAGGGAGGCGATGGAGGAAGCTGAGCCCGCGGGTGCGGGCGATTCCGTTGCTGTTGTCATCGCTGCTGCCGCCGCATCGCCTCCCTCGGCGCCCGCCGTTGCCGCCGCCCCAGCAGCGTCTTCGGCCCCTCGCACTGCCGTTCCTGCTCCTCCGTTATTGCCGCCACCGCTGCCACTAGCAGGAGTCGGCGCGCCGGGCAGGTACAGCTTCATCGGCACATGCCGCAGCGGGCCCGCGCCGGGCGGGCTGACCAGCAGGCGGCCGTGCACGGCGTTCCAGGCAGCCAGGTCGTTGCGGCCGACGGCATCCCACAGGCGGTCCGAGGCGTCCTTGGACAGCGACATGGCCGCCTTGGCGGAGCCGTTGCGCAGGAAGTCGGCCTCCTTGACGGCGTTGACGAAGGCGTCGTGGTGCGCCTTGTACGCCGCGTCCAGCGGCACCAGGCTGGCCGGCGCGGGCGTCGTGAAGTGCGCCGTCAGCCGCCACGGGAGGAGGCCGGGCTCCCCGCCGGACGTTGTTGGTGTTGTGGGAGAGGAAGAAGAGGACGGCGGCGGTGGTGGTGATGGCGGTTCGGGATTAGCGGGCTGGTGTAGGCTGTCCGGCGTGTACGGCTCGAAGCCGGAGTAGAGGTCGTAGAGCAGGCCGAGTGGGTGGTGCCATTTCAGCGGCACGTCCGAGTAGGAAAGCCAGCCTTTGCTGGGATGCACGTCTGGGTCGATGAGGGAGGGCGCGAAGAAGGCGTGGAGGCGGGGGAGGAGGAAGGGAATATAAGAGAGTCGCGGAACTTGGATCTGGAAGGGAACGATCAGTTTGAGCTCTGTGGCTTGGCGTTGAGGACGTGGAGGCGGAATACTAGGTACGGGTCTGAGTCGTCGTAGGTGCGGCATTCGGTGCTCGCAAGCCGTATTTCCAGCGGGATTGAGCCGCTCCATATTTGCTTCTGCAGAGCGCTGAGATCGCGCTGACTGGCCATCGCGGCGGCTGGCGCCGGAGGCGGAGTTGTTGAGAAGGCGTGGGTTGAATCACGGTGGTGGGGTGGTGATGCGGCGGAATGCGGGCAGCAGACGGAGGTCGTCGATCACCTTGCGGGACGGTGCGGCGTCATCGACTGACTGGAAAACGCCATGGCTAGCTGGCGGACAGAAATCGCTGCTCCATGTGGCAGCACGTTTACACCACAGCAGGCAGCACTCGAGCCGGCAAAATGCAGCGACTACAACACGACATTTCCGTTGCGCGAGATGTACCTGCAGGGAAGACAGGCTAAGCCTGGCCCTCGCCCGGCCCGTTTGCCCGCGCGACCACTCGCAGCGCCCTAATTTGTCTGTGCAGGCGCGTTTTCGCGTGCGTCTGGGATACTACCCCAGACGCGCGCACTACTACTCGCTCGCCGCGGCTACTTGCTCCTCCCGGCTGACCCTCACACTACGCTTCCCCGCGGGGAAACTCAAAAGCCCCCTTCCCTTTCCTAGACCGGACGGACCCAATCACACAAGGTTCTACCCTAAAAGAAGGGATCAGATCATGCTCGCGCCAACTGCTCCGCCGTACCCGTAAAATCACGCTTCAGTAACTCCCTACCCTACTTCTTCCCTCTTCCGTGCCTCTGCAGCCGTCCATTCCTTGGCCAAATCCTCACGTCTCCGCCGCCGCGAACCTCGACTGGCCGTCGTTCCCGCAATGGCCACCGTCAGCCCCCTCTTCCACGCTGGCCCAGCAGCAGCTTTCGACATGACCGTCTCTGACCCACGGCCCGCTCCTGCGAGCCGCAAGCGCTCGCGGAGCATGATCTTCGAGGAAGAAAAGGAATATGAAGAGCATTGGGGTGGCAGAACGGATGGTAGGGCAAGCGACAGCCCGGACGAGAGCTCTGGTCTGGAGGACCTGAAGCGCACGCGGACGACAAGTGATTTGGACGCGTTGGGCGTGGTACCTGCCAGCGAATCGTGGCAGCTGCAGAGTGTTGCAACCGACCTACTCACCTCCGCAGATGCCACCGTGCCCAACGCGTTGAAACACTACGTAGCTGGCCGCTCGCCGATTGTGCTCTGCGTGCTCGAGCACGTAGACATCCATTACCAATTGCTATGGTACGGTTGAGCCCCAACTTCGTTTCTAGCGAAATCCTCCTTCCTCAGCAACCCCCCATTCCTCACCAATGTTTTATTACATCACGAACCATTATCGTTATCCACTCACCAACGAAAACAGCGCCGCCCTCCCCGCCCTCCATGCCCGTTTCCCCACCGCCCAGCCCCTCCTGCTGACCCGCTCGCCCTCCTACGCCCTCCCGCACCTCTCCCCGACACCGCCGCCTTTCCCCATACTCCCCGCCCAAGGCTACCCGCACAACCATTACCTCAAGCTCGGTCTGCTGCACCCTCTCGGCGGCGGCCAGGCCGCCATGGACGCGCTGGTCGTGCTCGACGCGCGCGGCCGCCGTAGGCTCGTGTTGCCGTTCGGATGGGGGGCTGGGCGGCACGTCGGCGAGGCGGTCGGGGGTCGCGAGGTGCAGGAGAGGCTAATGGCGATCTTGGGCGAGGCGTTGCAGGAGTTGGAGTGCGAATCGGGTTGAATCGGAGACTTTTTTTTCCCTCTCGAAGACGTCTTGAGCTGCATGGCGAGCGTGCGGTAGAAGAGCTGTTCCTCGTTTTGGATACCTCTTGTTTGTTCTTGTCATCCAGTTTCTGCTGGACTACGGTGTTCGTATTATTATTTTTCTCGACCAAAGGACGGATATACCATTTAAATATAAGGCAGGGAGTTTAGGATCTTCATACAACACCAGGGCTGTGCGAACTACACATGTTCAGCATCAAAAAAAAAAAGCAAACAAAATGGGCTCTGTGACTTGGTAGTTACTGAGCTAACTTCTGCAATCCACTGTAATAGATTTAACTCTCTACATGAATAGGATGCAATATCTTTAGAAGGGGTTGAGAAGATCAAAATCCTTTGTCACTCACTATTCTGCTTATCAAGCGAAGAACGGTAAAGAGTTCGATGGTTTGGCATCTTAATTGAAGGTCATCTGCTTCTTAGTAAAATCCCTGTATATCTCTTCTAGAGCTTCCCTCTTTCGCTTCCTTGTCTGCTCCTCGTGCTCCGCCTCCTCTCTTTCTTCATCATCCACCATGACGTCCTCCTCTGTCCGTGGCGCCCACGCCCTAATCGTGCCATCGGCATGCGCAGAGTAGACCTCGACGTCATGCGCGCGCCACGCCAGCGCCGTGGTCCGGTTCTTCAACTGCTTCTGGTTTCCAGCCGCACCCACCGTACCCATCGAACGGTGCGGCGTTTTGAGACGCTTCAACAATCTGCCCTCCAACATCTCGTAGACCAGAATCTCGCGCTCGCTCGGATAGAACAACAGCTCCTTTCCCGGCGCCGTAAGCGCTGGGGGCGACAACAACGGCAGCAGGGCGGACAAATGCGCGTTCTTGATCGTCGGGCCAAAGCTGGCCAGGGTGTTGGCGCCCGTCGCGGTGTCCCACACGCGCACACGCTCGTCGTGGCCCGTCGTGACGAGGTGCCGGCCGTCGTCGGTCCAGACGACGCCGTTGACAGCACCGCCGTGCGCACGCCCTTGCTGCCGATTGCGCGCGCCGCCGCCCACTCCGTCGAAGCCGACCGTGCCGACCGAGTCTTCTTTGTCGAGCAGGCCGAGGCAGCCGGCGCTGCGCCGGATGTCCCAGAAGCGGACGGTGCCGTCTGCGCCGCCGCTGGCGACGACGTGCTCGGCGGTGGGGCTCCAGGCGGTGGACAGGACGGCTCCGCCGTGGCCGGCAAGCGAGTGCGTCGCGGCTCCGGAACGGAGATCGACGAGGCGGACGGCAGGCTGCTGGGTGGCACAGGCCACAAGGAGATGGGTAGCTATGGGGGACATGGAGTGCGAGTAGACGACATGGTTGAGATCAAAGGACGCGGAGACTTGGAGGGATTCAGAGGAGTATATTTTGAGAGTGTGGTCGTAGGAAGAGGAGAGAAAAGCGAGTGAGTCGAAGGGATAGAAAGAGACGTGCGTAACTCCAAAGCTGTGAGCTCTGGAAGTTCTGGACACGGAGTCAGCGTGGGACTGCCATGGCGGCGCAACGGACGCACTTTTGCAATGCTCCCAGCGGGTACAAGGTGTTGGCCGGGCTAGCTTCACGGGACTCGAGATCCCACATGCAGATGGATGAATCGGCGCCACCAGACAGAAGATATCGCCCCTCGAACTTGTCTATAGTCATGGCATTCACGCCCGCGGCATGCGCCTTGACATCTTCTGGGAGCGCATCGCTATCGGGCTCAGCCGAGCCATCAAAGCGGACTGAGGTGGACTGCAAAGCATGTAGCAGGCGGGTGGTCTCATGACGCTGAAAGGCTGGCGGCGATATGGCGCCCAGCGCGCGGTTCAGGAGCAGAGCATTCATGCATTGGCTGTGGATACGGTGATGGTTGGTGGAGGCAGCAGCTGCGCGGCCGACAGCGCGCGGCGCGTAAGTGACGCAACCGCAGGGGCAACGACTTTCTGACTCGCGCGCCGGAAAATGTCTCGAACCCTCGACTACTCAATGCACCTAACCGTGCTAATTTCCACGGCTATCCTCCTGCTAGCATTCGTTTCCCGCAGCCCTCCTGCCCTCGATCCCATTATGTTCAGAGGTGCGGTCAAGGCCCGGAGACGTGGCTCAAGCCCCCCGCCGGAAAAGCGCAGAAGAAGACCGATTTCTGTCTACGACTGCGTTGCTGGTAAGCAGCTTCTTTCCGCAGGAAAGCTTCCCCTAGCTCGGCTCACGCTTCCCAGGACGCGTTAACGCCAACGGCTTCATCCCTGAGAAGGCGCATATCTCTAGTGGGCGGATGACCTCGTCCAGCTCACGAGTCCCTGTCCCGCCGGACGAGTATCTTTTCAAACAGAGAGACGCGCCACCTCGCTACGAGGAAGACGACATCTACTTTGCTGATAGGCATCTGGCGCCTCACCAGCAGCTGCCGGATTCTGACCTACTTAAAGCTCTTCACGCACACTCCTCTGAGGTTTACGCCCAAGCCTACGGTAGACATGCCAAGACTCTCTACAAATCACTAGACGAGACGGCGCTCCTAACGCTGGGAATCCTTATGGAGGAGGCGGCAGCCGACATTTTCGATGAGGTTGGTAACATGAAGCTCGAGAAGCCTGAAGAAAATGGCCATGTGAATGTGGAAAATGATTCCTCCAGACCGGATTCTGGAGGCAAGCGCAAAAGGGATCAGACGTCTGGCAGCGAAGACGAGGAGTCAGACAATGGGGCCTATCACGATGTCAGGAGGCACTGGCTGCAGGATGAAAAACAAGATTAGTGCCAGGCACGGCTGGAACGAGTCTGGATGATTATTCGTACGAGGCTGGTCTGTCTGATATTGCAACAGAGAGGATGGGCAACTGAAGTGTCCATCTGGAAGCGAACGCACAACGTATCTATCCAGACAAGAGCTTCACTGACCTTGGCCCTGCGGCAATACTAAGAAAACCGACAGTGCAAGGGTCTTAGATCATCACTCATTCTAGTGGAGCCACCCCATCGAGAGGTCGAGGTCTGGTCACAGCTCCCCCGCCTCAAATGCCAACATGTTTGAAGGATGCAGCCACCTAGGGGCACGAGCACCAGAAGTCAGCGCCACTAGGATTGCCTGATTGGTGCGTTAGGAATGCTCGCCCGGTTTTCCGAATACCGAGTTGCTGGGAGCGAAACTACCGACATCGTCGAGAGCGTCAGGCTTCGCTGCATGACTTGTACCCCGTGTACCCAGGACATCCGGAAATGCGGCGACGACCGGCAAGGTACGAGGTACCTGCATGTCCAGGCGATCGCTTGGTGGGACTTTTCTGGAATGCGGATAAATCAAGCAGATCTGATCAATGATGCCGCACTACGTACCGGCTCCCTGTGATAGGCGGGATACTACGGCAGCTTCCACACCATCCATCCAACTGCAGCCGAATCAGAAACACATCAAAGGGCGTATGCAGAACTGGGCCGATCAGGGATCCCGAAGCGTTGTACCGCGGATTACAAAGAGCATGCAGCGCGATTCCATAGCACCGCAGAGCAGCCTGGAACCGATAGAGGGATCTTGAAGGCCCTTCCAGCCGGGCTCTCGCCAAAAATAAATGGCAGTGTTGTGGCAGATCCGCCTCTGGTGCGGATGCAGCGAGAACAGGCCCAAAACAGCGGCGCTCCCATGTGGTAGATCAGGCTATTTGCATGCCATTTAGCCGCGCACCCGCAATCCTCCCCCGGATGCATCCTTGTACCCCAGCTTTTACCCCACCATTGAGCTGCCACACTCGAGTCGCGCCACCGTCTTTCGACTACTGATGTTTCGCTCACCGCGAATCCCTCACTGCATAGCCAATGATCATTTTGCAGCTGTTGGTAGTTCCCGATTAATTTCTCCGTTTCATGTCCAGAACCTGACAGGCATGTGTGAGCCGCTCCCAATTCATCGCAACATTGGCTGTTGCAGTACTTTCCGGACTCGCCAATGACTCAACAGCAGGACTTCAGTCGGGGATAGGGTTAGTACTGCGAATGGCGGGAGCAAGTCACGCAAACGAGCACCTTACACAGTGAGAGGGTACCCCGTGCCGACAACGCTCTGTTAGCGCCGTTGCCATCTCGCCCCCTCAATTTAGGCAAGTTCCTACCGGCACCAGGCAGCGTCTCAAACCAGGTATCATGCCACGGTTCCCCATTTTCACGCACGCGCATACGCCCTCCGAAAATCGCTTCCAGCTCGGCATTGCGTGCCGCACCTTGGTGGCTGACGAGGAACGGCTTGCTCAGCTCGACCGGACCAGGGGCCACAGCCGGAGCCCCGGTCCGGGAGGCGCTCTGGGCGTTTCTTACCACTCCGCCTAGCTTGGCTTCTCGTGAGAGATGGCTTGCCGCGCCGGCTAAATTCGATTAACACCCATGCTCTTTCTTCGCCATGCACGAAAGCACACGCTGCTATGGGTTTGTATATAGGGCTGCGGGTCTTCCTCCATAGGTGCGTTTTGAAGAACGCACTCCATCCTCCTCTGCGCCGCCGCTTTTCCCTACGCTTCCCTGAGGCCTTCGTCCTCTCAGGCGCCTCAGTGACAGCAGTCCTACTGCTAGAGTCCCAGCAAACTACCACTTCGCGGTTCCACAATGGAGGCGGCAACAAAGGGCCACTTTCGCCTCGGGGGCAGGGAGTTCCCCGAGGTTAAATGGTGGAAAGAACCCAACATGCGGAAGACCTACATCTGCCTGATGTTTGTCATCCTTACAAGCGTGAGTACTCTCAGAGAGTTGAGCGAAATCGCGCCAGCACTTGTACAGGAGTTGGCTAATTGTGCTCCAGGCAACCAATGGTTTCGATGGTAGCATGGTCAACGGACTGCTTGCTTTGGAGCAGTTTCAAGATTGTAAGTGCTTGTGCCTGGCCTTTCCCGTCAAAGAACGCCTTCGTAAACTGCAACATCAGCAAAATCACTGCGCTTCTTGGCTCCATCATGACCTTGCACCAGGAGACCTGCCAGTGTGTTGGTCTCGAGAAAGGATCTGAGGCTGATTTTCTTCTTCCAGATTTCAACGACCCCAAGGGTTCAATTGTTGGCCTCTTCAGTTCTATCATGTTCCTAGGCGGCTTGGTTGCACTACCTGTTGTCCCTTACGCTGCCGACATGCTCGGCCGCCGGATGGCCATTTTCATTGGCTGCATCATCATGATCTTTGGAGTTGCTCTCCAGTCCGCCAGTATCAACTTTCGCATGTTTGTCGCTGCCCGGTTCTTTATCGGATTTGGCGTTGCCATTGCCCATGGTGCCTCGCCGCTACTGATCACTGAGCTGGTCCACCCGCAACACCGTGCTGCGTACACGACCATCTACAACACTACCTGGTACCTGGGCAGTATCATCGCTGCTTGGCTCACTTTTGGCACAAACCACATTCCAAACCACTGGTCGTGGCGTATTCCTTCTCTTGTGCAAGCTCTGCCCTCAATCCTCCAGCTTGCCTTCGTGTGGATAGTCCCCGAGTCTCCAAGATGGCATATCAACAAGGGTCATGACGACAAGGCTCTGGCTACCCTTGCTAAAGTCCACGCAGAGGGCAACAGTAAGTTCCTCTTCTTCATGGCCCACGCGTTTAAATATCGAGGCTGACAGATTCCATCTTATAGTCCACGACGAGGTCGTTCAGGTCGAATTCGAGGAAATCAAGCACACTCTGGCAATCGAGAAAGAATTCGAAGGCAACGGCTGGTTTGAGCTCATTAGGACGAAGGGGAACCGCCGCCGTGTGATCATTCTCGCTACTCTCGGTCTGTTTTCGCAGTGGTCTGGCAACGGCCTGGTCTCGTACTACATGTTTGCGGTGCTCAATAGCATCGGCATCGAAGACAGCAACCTCCAGCTGGTCATCAACGGCGTGCTGCAGATCTGCAACGCCATCGTCGCCATCAGCTTCTGCTTCTTCGTCGACAAGATTGGCCGCCGCAAGCTCTTCCTCGGCTCTACCTTCGGCATGATGTTTTGCTTCATCGTCTGGACCATCTGCTCCGCCCGCTTCGACATTGAGGGCCGCACCAACCACAAGATGGGCAACGCCGTCGTCTTCATGATCTTCCTGTACTACGTCTGCTACAACATGGCCTGGTCCGGCCTGTTGGTCGGCTACGCCGTCGAGATCCTGCCGTACAACATCCGCGCCAAGGGCATGTGCATCGTCTGGTTCACCGTCGACGCCGCCCTCTTCATCAACACTTACGTCAACCCCATCGCCCTCGACGACATCGGATGGAGGTACTACATCGTCTACGTAAGTTTTGGAACCCAATTCCAAGTCTGAGAATTGAGACTGACTATTACCACCCATAGTGCATCTGGCTCGGCATCGAGTGCGCCGTCGTCTACTTCTTCTACATCGAGACCCGCAACACGCCCCTCGAGGAAATCGCCAAGCACTTTGACGGCGACGATGCGGCCGTCGGTGGTGCCGCGGCCACGGAGAAGGGCAAGGTGCTGACGACCGAGATGGCGCTGGGCACCGCGGAGAAGGCCCCGGTCATCGAGCACAAGGAGATCTAGAGTAGAGAGACGATTGTATATTGTAATGGATCTTTTCCCTTCTGAGGGAAAGTGGAACATGGCGAGTTTATGCTTTACATTTGTGAGTTGGTGATGGGTAGATACCACTTGAACGAGAGGTCCTTTTCAAATGTGTTCGCAGAGAGGCGGGAGTCAAATTATCCAACATACTTCTCTGGCTAGATGCCGAAAATCCCTGGGCTGTTCCAACAAGCGCTTCAAGTCCGCTGTTTAAGATGAGAGGCTATGTGACTGAGGGTGTTTCTGAGGCGTAATGGACCTTCCCTGTGATTGTTTTCAGCGGACCAGACAACAGCACAGGCACATCGCAAACAACTCCCTTTACCGGTGAGACTATGTCAGCTTTATGCAGAGTGCCGAGGAGAGGTCGGATATGACTGTTGGAGCTCGCCTGCTGGAGCAGCTATGCCTACTAGAGCTTCCAGTACTGGGGCGCCTCTTAAAGCACACCTATCAAAGGAGGCATTTACTATACGCCAGCGCTTACTAAAAAATTACGCGCTCCTTGCTTCCGTAGCTCCATCAAGATATTTGCTGTGTTATATATACCCAATCCTACTGACACGGGGAGCAACCTCAATTTTATTACACTGATGAAGAACCGACGCTCCCATGCTGAATTCCATAACGCTGTAAAACGCCACTCGAGAACGACAGAACGAAATCTTGGTCTAGACTTTACCCACTGCTTGAGTATCCTTCTCGCCACGCTGCGACAAGGTCCATCCACAAGCATGAAATGGTCTCCATCGCAACTCCCACTGCCGTGCGCCAGAAGGCTCCAGACCAATAAACTCACCAACCCCATTATTGTCCAGTTTAAAAACTTTACAAGTACTAATTAAAGCGTAGAAGTAACGTCCAATGGTGGAGGCGTTGTCGTTCGTCGTGAGCCGTCCGTAAGAGACTTCCCGAAAACAGAAGCCCATGACCAGGTTAGAAAGGTGTCACTGGAACTGATTCTGTAGCACGATCTGCTCACTGTCCGCCAAAGTACCGCTGTATTAATATCATCCAAAGGCAGGCCGGCCAAATGGTTTGTCCCGTACGATCGGCCCATATAGCCCTAAAATGCCTCCAAAATGCCAGACTCATCAGATATCATGCGGCATAGCTGCCAGTGACTGGATAGAGTCTACTTCACTCGTAGGCGAAGGGTTTTTTTTCCGTAGTGTTATACTTTCAGTAGATTAAATAACAAATATAAATAGTTGCACAATTTGAAATCAAATGTACTTGGAAGTCAAAGAAAAAAGACGTCAGTACATGCTAAAGCAACGCAATTAGGTAGAAACATAGTACAGAACGTGACAAAAAAAACTTAACTGTTCCTACGTATTATATCTCATATAATTTTAGAAGTTTTATCTACATCTAAATCTTTTCAATTAGTTATGTAAGAATATTGTCGCGTCTTCTGCGGTGTGTAAAAAGATCAAACTGTCTACAATCTACTGTGATGGAAGGAAAATGCTTCATGCGCAAATAAGCATTTTCTCGCATCTAGCCCGGTCGATGCCGTTCGAGCTGTTAGGCTCCAGCCCTCGTGATTGCACGTCGAAAGATTTTAAAACGCGGTTTGCGTCTGGGTCTGTCACATCCGCGATCCTACACTTTGCATTGCATCTCTCCACCTAAGCACGGCGGACCACCAGCGGTGAGTATCAAACGACTGATAAGGCAGAATCCAAGCGGGGGTGGCTTAGACCGGTGTGGGGAACGGCTCTTATCTTTTCTTGTCCCGCCTTCTTTTTACTGTTTGCTGTTTGGCGGGCTTTGCGTGATTGTGGACCATAACAGTTTCACATATGAGGCAGCTCGCACCGCACCTTTTCGAAAGCTAGGACCAAGGCTGATTCTCGCACTTGCCACTCGCAACTCCAGCCGAATTCCGCTGATAGCGACGAGCAACTGTCCAGAATCCCAGTCGGAATGAGAATTCTGCACTGCTAAAGCGGCGTGGGAAAACGACGCAGCTAGCTAGAAATCCGGAGCTGCGAGTCATCGCAGTAGCATCGATTCGGAAGGTAGCTGGTAGAGTCGCCGCTTCCGCTGGCTGTCAAGCTTGACCGTGCCCAGTTTCCAGTGGAACTCCGATGCGGAATTGTAGTTGATTTGAATTTCTGTTATCCATTAGTCTAGCAGTATCGTTGCCCGCGGCTTAGGAGGGAAAGGGTATGAAAGAGTGGTTGAACTCTGGCATGTTCCAAGGTCGAAGCAACTGCCTGCCGGTGAACATGCCGGGATAGTGGTGGCTTTGTTTGGTCTTGTGAAGCTTGTCGCTTCTTCACCGATGGCTCAGTAAAGCTTAGTTCGATAAAATGCCCTCAACCCAGTGCTCAGGCGGCACTGTTAGCAATGTACACAGAATCTGTCTAGTCACAAAACCCGGACCGCAGAGTCCATTCCATCGCGCCAGAGCTAGAATAAATAGGAGACATAGGCAGACATAACCCCCCAGCCTGTCGCCGATCCAAAAACGCCAGCCAGTAGCCCATCCATGCAAGTGTCTCCGGACCCGTAATCGCTACACAGCAGGACGCCCACAAAATCGTTACAAAACATGCTTCATTACTGGCTTACTCCGACCCATCGAGGATTGCTCGTGGATCCTTTCTGATGGTGAGGTCAGTGAAGTTCTCGTCATTCTCGATGACCAGGCCCTTCTCGTTGGCCAGATGTAATAAGCAGATGAAGCAATAGCTCGTCGAAATGTCCGCCAACTGCTTCTTGGGGTAGACTGCCTGTAGATTATTGACGACGTCGGTAAACTTGAGTGACCCATCCTCGGCCTTCGGCGCAGGTGGGGCGGGAGCTTTGTTTGATAGGATGGACTGCATACACCTGTTAACTACCCAAACATTCATATTCCAGGGAGAAGCTTCGTCAGGACTTACATCTTCATTGTTCTCCTCGGGGACTTCGATTCCGATGCCGCGCCACATCTCCTCCTTCAGCCGCCGCACATCCACCTTCTTTGCCACACGCGCGTACTGAACGTACTCAGGTCGTAATCTACGGCTCTGAGTAACCAGTTGTGTACCAAACGCGCCTTCCTGGTTGCCATTGAGCACGCTAGCCTCGCCGGCCTGCGCGCCTTCCTTGAACTCAGGTGGTGGCGAGAACATCTCACGTGCATCGGCAAATATGTCACTGTCGTCAGGTCCACCAATAGCTCCGAGTCCGTCATCTTGGAAGAAATCGGCATCATAGTCTCCCTGTGCAGGCGCGTCGTCGTTCTCCGGGTTCTGAACATTGGGATCCTCGTTGCGTGCCCAGAATACCTCGTCCATCTCACCCTCGGGCTCCTGCTGCCTCTGGTTCTCACTCCGGCCCTTGTTGCCGCCAAACTTGGTGCGCACGCCCAACCGAGTCTTGGGCTTCAGGAAAAGGCGAAGCAGTTGGCGGGAGTTGAAATGCTTGTCGTCGGGAAGCAAATTCCGGCTCTTGGATTTCCATTGAGCCTTGGGCAGCAGAATGGCGGAGGATGTGGTTGCCGGGGTGTACAGCGCATCGGCTGTCGACTGCGTCATTGGTGCGGAGAAGTCGATTTGGAAGGGTTCCTTTTCCTTCCTCTTGGTCGGTCCAGCTTCGCTCGCCTTATTGATGTCCTTTATCCTTCTGATGCGCCAGTGTTCCGGGCCGGCCCAGTTCTTCGATAGTGCTTTGTCGAAGTAGTCCAGGATGTTCTCCTGGTCGTGTTCGCGGCCTCCCGTCAGTGTGACTCCGTAGTCCGCATCGAAACCCCCGACTTCATCCATTCCCTCTTCACCGTCACGGTCGTCGCTACCCGGCCCCATGGTATGCACGCGCATCTGTGTTTCTAACGCTGCCTCTCTTGCCCAGACCTCACCGCCTTCACCGAACCCGGTTTCGGCGGGCAGATCGAATGCGCCCATGTCGTCGTCGTCGTCAAATCCACCCTCGAGGAAACCGCCCGCACCATCGTCTTTCTCGTCGTCTTGGTTCTCGTTTCTCCAGTCGTCAGGGGCTTTCAAGAACGGCAAATTTGCAGCATTTGAATCGCCCAAATCGAAGTCTTTCAGTGAGGGGCAGATGTCTTGGCCGTCGAGGACCGACAGATCCGGGAAGAACTTCGCTGCCAGCGCTGAGATGTCGATATCGGTATGTGTCGTCTCCGGCTCCGGCTTAGCCTCTTCGCCATCGACTTCCATCGCGTCCCCGTCTTGCTCCTGTTCCTGTGCCTGCTCCTCCGCCTCGGCTTCGGGCTGTCCAGGCTCCACGTCGTCACTACTGTCGAAGACGATGCGGCCGGTGGCATCGATGGACAAATGGTTCAGCAACAGGCCTTTTGCGCCGCCCTCGTCGAAATCGGCAGAGGCTTTCTTGAACAGCGGATCCACTGACAGCTCCATATCCATCTTTTTCAGCTGTAGCTGTGCGAATGACGATACCAAGGTGGACTCGGCCGACCTCTGAGCACGCTTGCGCGTCTTCTTCCTCTGGCCGTCCTCGCCCTCTTCTTCGTCCTCGTCCTCGGCGTCCCCATCGGCATCGTCTCCTTTGCGCTTCTTGCTATCGCTGCTGGTGGCCAAACCGCTGAGCAGCTTCCCGGTCTCGGTGGCGACGCTATCGATTCTGCTCGTGTAGATCTTGACGCAGCCGTCAAGAGTGCAACTGGCACGCTGGAAATTGACGCTGTCGCCCTCCTTCAACAGCGACATGTCATGGAAGTAGTCGATGAGGGCAAAGTTCCACGAGTTGTTGGCATTGATTTTCTGCCACTATAGTTAGATTGTCGCGGCATCGGCCCCGGCGGCAGGCGGGGGAGCACTCACGTTGTCGGTGGCCATCTTCATCCATTCCTCAAAGTTGGCCAGGATCGGCACGCGTTTCATGGGGGTGACGGCGTCACCGCCCACGTGGAAGGTGTTTTCGTCATTGTCAACGAACGAGTGCTGGCTCTGGCCGCTGAGGGTCTGGCGACGTCGCACGGGGGTGGCCGCGGCGCGGATCTGGTTCATCTGAGTCTCATGAAGGGCCTGGCGCGACTGAAGGCGCTTGGCCTTCTCCTGCTTGTCGTCATTGAGAGGGACCCTGCCTTGCAGATTAGCAGAGGGCCTTGTAGAGGAGCAGCGGAGACGGACTTGATCGGCGTGTGCTTGTGGGGCGTCCCGACGGACGAGTAGCGGTCGCGGGCGCGCGGCATGACGGGGCTCGGTCGTGGTCGCGGGTCAGTCGTGGCGAGGGGGGGTGGCCATGCGCGTGGTCGAAATGCCGTCGCGTTTGTTTATCGACAACGAGCGGGAGGCCGAGCTAGTGCCAATGCCGCCGCCCTAACGCACCGCCGCAGCTGCCCTGTGCTCGGCCGACCGACGCTATGGCAGGCGCGTCATTGGTGGCACGCGCAACGCCGCTCCAGATTCCATGGCACTCTGCGCTTTAAGACCAGCTCAGACTCGGCGTGCGAGCTAGATGTCCACCTCGCTCCCCGCTGCTCTTCCTCATGAGCAGACCTGTCGCCATGGCAGATCCCACCTCTGCAGCGCTGCGCCGGCCGCCGCTGCCTCGGTCCGCGAAGAAGCCCGCCTTCTCCGCCCGCCCATTCTTTACAACCCTCCTCGTCGTGTGCGCCATCGCCGCCGTCAGCTTGTTCCTGCATGCGCCCGAAACCGTTGCCTTGCATGATGCCTCAGGCCTTGGCCGCCGTGGCCTCTCCGCCCAGGACGAAGAGGTGAGTAGACGCTCACGCCGCACCCAACCATCAGCACTGACGGCGTCCTAAGTGCCGCTTGGTCCACCACGCGCCCGATAAATGCGCCTTCGTGCGCGCAAACTGCCCGGACGAAGAGGCCGGCGTATTCTCCTACTTGCAGCTCTACTACTGCCGCCTGCCGCACGCAAAGCCCGTCGGCTTCGCCATCCTCGTGGCATGGCTCGCCCTGCTCTTCTCCACCATCGGCATTGCTGCCAGCGACTTCTTCTGCGTCAATCTCAGCACCATATCGGGCCTCCTGGGCATGAGCGAGAGCATGGCTGGCGTCACCTTCCTGGCCTTCGGCAACGGCAGCCCCGATGTTTTCTCCACCTTCGCTGCCATGAAGACAAACAGTGGAAGCCTGGCCGTTGGCGAGCTCATTGGCGCCGCCGGTTTCATCACGGCCGTAGTCGCCGGCTCAATGGCAATTGTCCGCCCCTTCAAGGTCGACCGCCGGAGCTTCGTCCGCGACGTCTTTTTCTTCATAGTCGCCGCTGCCTTCAGCATGGTATTTCTAATCGACGGGAAACTTTCGCTGTGGGAATGTGCCACCATGGTTGGTTTCTACATCGCCTACGTTCTCTTTGTATTGTGGTGGCACTGGTGGCATGGCAGGCGGCAGCGACGAAGGTTCATTGAGGCCACAGCAAGAGGCCATTACGTCACTCCTGGTGGGGAGGAGGCCGAGGTATTCGAGCCGTATCGGGACGAGGAGGATGCCAGCCTCGATGGCAGGAATCAACACCACTCCCGCAACACTTCTGTCGACGACTTGCGCATGCTGGAGCAAAACAACGAGGACGATGAGGATCTTGGATTCGAGCATGCCGATGAGGAAGTCCGTGAGAGATGGCTCGGAGAGCTCAATCGCAATATGCGCTTGAGTCGACCACGCCTCGGAGAGCGTCGCAACACCAGGCCGCCGCCTATTCGACCCAGTTTGGTTGGTGCGCTGGAGTTCCGCGCCGTGCTTACTTCCCTGAAGAGGTCCCGCAACATCCAGTCCATGCCCATCAATTTGCGACGCTATTCGGACGACCCGACATTCACCACCGCCCAGCAGCAGGACTACATGTCTTCTGCATCCGATCCTGCCGCAAGACCGCCTTACGAAGTCGAGACTGAGGGGCAGCATGATACTTCTCCGGTAGTCGTCTGGCCGAATCAGGACGTGCGCCCTGGGGCTGCACCTCGCACTCGAGCCGTATCAGTCAACGATGCGGACGCGTTGAGAATACATCAAGCTGCTTTCAAGCAGCATCTCGTGCGGCAGCAAGACCTCTTAGGCCCACTGGATGAGGATAATAACAGCCTCAAGGTTCCTCCCAACAATTCTAGAAGAACATCTGATGCTTCGAGTCGAGCCGGCCAGTCTCCTATAATCGCCCTCTCTCCATCACCTTCCCAAGAAGCTTTGAAAGGCCCAGGTCCCACGGTCCACCAGCATCGCAGGTCGCTCTCACCGGATCACCTGGCTCCTCCTGAACAGATTTTTGCGCCTGGCCCGCAATCCGGTCCGCATCTATCAGCTACATCGTCCACCGCTGTCAGTCCGAAGCACCTGCCAAAGCTGGATATTCCGAAAACTGGCCCAGCGAACTCAGATGTCTCTCCATTCCCTGCATATCGTGACTATTCTTGGTCCATCCAGAGCGGCTCACGCCCCGGTAGTATACGCTTAGTGTCCCCGAGCGCTTCTCCGGTATCTCTGTTCCCCAACGAGCATTTCCCTGAAATTGAAGAGGAGGAGGAGAAGCCCCCAGCATGGTGGCCAAGCAGATTCCTCCCCACTCCGCAGAGGATCACATCAAAGCTGTTCCCCACTCTGTGCAAGTTTAGCGAGAAAAGTATCTGGGGGAAGTTACTTGGAATTGTCGCGGCACCGAGTGTTTTCCTGCTCACAATTACTCTTCCTGTTGTCGAAGCAGACAGGGATAATGAGGACACCATGCCTGAATTGAATCTCCCAAGCCCAGTGGTTAGGACGCCTGCCAGCCACCATCGGTCCGCACCGAGCACTATCACCGTCATTGCTCCCGACGACGACCCTCCCGCACAAGAAGGCCATTCGCGTACATATTCGTCGGAAACGCAGGGAGTCGCTGGCCACGGTAGCACGGCCGGCGTTGCTGCAGCCCACGAAACTCAACATAGGGCTGCTTACCACGACTCGTCACCAGTGGTGATCATATCGCCCTCTGCGGGCCCTATGCACCAATCTCCAGAAGAATATGCTTATCGTCCGCAGACTGCCGGCTCTTCTTCCGAACCCAAGCCGTGGGATCGTTGGCTTATCATTCTTCAGGCATTCACCGCACCTTTGTTCGTTGTCGTTGTCATCTGGGCCAATTTTGAACTGGACAACCCCCGTGCCCTTGTGCGCCCCGTCCTCATCAGTCTTGCCTGCAGTCTTGCTATCCTCCTCCTCATTCTCTCCACCACAACCCCCGATCGAGCCCCGAAATGGCGCATCTCCCTCTCTTTCGCTGGCTTTATCGTCGCCATTGCTTGGATCAGCACTATTGCCAATGAGGTGGTAGGCGTCCTCAAAGCCCTCGGTGCTATCCTCAACATCAGTGACGCCATCCTCGGTCTCACCATCTTCGCTGTCGGAAACTCGCTCGGTGACCTCGTCGCCGACATAACAGTTGCCCGCCTAGGCTTCCCTGTCATGGCTCTCTCCGCGTGCTTCGGTGGCCCTATGTTGAACATCCTGCTCGGCATAGGATTAGGTGGCTGCTACATGACAATCAAACACGCCGAGAACAAGCACGAAAAGCACCCGGACCGTCCCCTCCACTTCAAACCGTACCACTTGGATATCAGCAGTTCGCTCATTGTGAGTGGCGCGACGCTGCTGGTCACGCTCCTCGGTCTGTTGGTCATGGTGCCGTTGAGGAAGTGGCGCATGGACCGTGTCGTCGGGTGCAGTCTGGTGGTGCTCTGGGTCGTGAGCACCATCGGAAACGTTGTCGCGGAGTTGCTGGGATGGGGAGATGACAACATCAACTAAATTGCACGAATACGTTTTTGTTTGCGCCAAAGACAGCAGCTTTGGCTACAAATTTTCCATTGCTAGAGACTGGTTGCTGCATGCTAAGCTGAGCGCGGAGTTGGATGGCAGGACATGACCACCGATGGCCGGAGCTTTGCTGTTTTGTTTACACATGTATCATTTGGCGCTCACTGTGTTGGACTATTGCTCTGCTTTCTACTGCTTGGCGGCCTTCCTCTCTTTTCATTCTTCCATTGTCAAGCATGAGGCGCTTTCTATCCTTTTCTGTTTCAAAGTCTGATATCCCCACCCCTCTTCATGTACCATTCTTCCTCCAGCCCGCTTGGATAAAGGAGCGAAAGCAACACTCTCTTCTTTCCCCATCACCTCCAACGGCCAGATACCCAGAAACTTGCACAGTCACCCCATGTATTGAAACGGAACGCTTGAAAGACGAATGTATATCTTTCACCGATCTGACCTGACCGTCTTGCCTTTTACTTTTTCATCATCTTCCTCTTGAATAGGTTGTTACGTGAGGTGTTAGGAGCCTTTGGACACCGCAAGACCCAGTACGTGATGAGTGCTACATATTTTGGGAGTTGGGTAAATACTTTTGTACGCTAAGACATTACTGTCTCCGGAGCAAGAGCTTGTGGTCATTAGGAGTCGAAGGAACTCACGAAAAAGAAAATTGATAGTGTGCTCAATACCCAAGCGATCACGTTCATGTATTTCAACCACGGCAGGAAACCAAGTGATCTATGAATGTCCTTTATTCCTGAAAGCCTCATAATGCCATTTTTGTAAAAACCCAACCGCCCAGTCTACTGGCATGTGCGTGACATCATCCGCATCCTACAATCGTGCCCCCTGACCTTTTGTCCTTCTCCACCGAAAATTCCCCCCTTAGCACGACGCATCAAATCTAAGAAACGACCTCCTCGGTCTCCTCGATGATCTCCTCGACGACCTCCTCGATGACCTCGCCGCCCTCGGCCTCGGCGACGCCCTCGGCCGTCTCGCTGGGGATCTCGATGTGCTCCTCCTTGAGCTGCTCGATGACGCGCTCGCGCCACGCGACCCACTCCTCGAGCTGGCGGCGGCGCTTCTCGACCACGGCGCGGTTGGCCGTGTTCTTCTTCTCGAAGTCCTGCTCTTCGAAGATCTTGCTGTACTCGCGCAGGTTCTTGCGGATCTTCTTCTGCTCCTCCTTGCTGAGGAGCGTCGGCGGGCGTGGCCTCCACACGAACTGCTTGAACCGCTCAATCTGCTCCTCGCGCAGGAGCTGGCCCTTGAAGTCCCAGACCTTGTAGCCGTTTTCCATCTGTTTGCGAGACTGTTAAAAGATCATTCCAACTCTCTATAAATAAGGGGCGCTTGTAACTTACGGGGTGCATGAACGCGGATGAAACAGTCGCGACGTAACGTCCGGAGGGGTCCCACTCGACGCTCGTAATGCCGTAGTGCTCACCAGAAGCCATGAGCTGCAGGTTAGCGTTGATGTCCTTGGTGGCCTCGTCCGGAGCGCCTTCGTAGTCCAGGTCCCAGAAGTCAAGATCGAAGGTGGCCTGGGATCCGAGGGTGGCAATGACGACAAAACGACCCTTCGGTGACCAGTAAATGCCGTTGCTGGACTTCCTGTCAAGGGTGCGGACGTGCTTGAAGTTACCGACGGTATTGCCCTTGGTCTTCTCGGGAGCGAAGAAAGAGACGGAGGTCTTCGGTGCCGCAGGGCCGGTGGGGAGCTCACCGGTGGTGATGAGACAGAAACGGTTGCCCTTCGGTTCCCAAGCAAAGTTGATGACGGTCTCCTTTACGGAATCGATGACTTCAACGGGAACTCCCTTCTCCTTGATGCGGAAAATCTCGAGGTTCGTGGTCATGGACTTCCGCGACTTGGTCTTCTGGATATCAACCTTGACGCAAACGTAGGCGGCATCCGACTGCCAGTGGAGCTTCGCGTCCGCAACGTTGAACAGGTTCCGCGTCCGCACAATTTCCTTGGAAGGAATGGACATGAGACCAACCTTGGCAGGAGCGCTGCCGAGCTCGGGAGTCCAGTAGCAGAGAAGCTGCTCGTACGCCTTGATGCCTTCACGCTGAGGGGTGGCCGGGGCCCACTCAAAGTCCATAACACCATCAATCTTGATAGAGGTCTTGTCGAGCATGTTCATCCGGGGGAGCTCGTAGATGGCAATGGACTGGCCCTGAGTCATACGCGCAACGTACTTGTCATCGGCAGACCACTTGAAAGTAGGCCACTGGAGCTTCTTCTTGACGGGCTGACCGTTCTCGTCGGTCGAGGGAGGGAGGTCGATGGTAACAAAGGAACGGAGCGGCTTGCCAGTTGCGATGTCCCAGATGATGTAGTTCTTGCCGTCCTCGTCGGCGGACAAGTTGGGGATGGGACGGGTCTCGTCGACCTGCAGCGGCTGGGGCGACCAGGTGACGAGATACCTCTCACCGGGCGAGAAGTTGACCAGCTTCACGCCCGGGTGGGCGAAGCGCTTCTGCCTGCTCCACGACTTGCCACCCCACAGCTGGACACCCTGGTCGTGGACGGACATGAGGTAGGTGCCGAGCGGCGACCACTCGACGAAGAGCTCGGTCCAGTGCTCGCGGTCGACGACAGGATCCGGGGCATCCTCCTTCTCGTGCCAGAAAACGCCCACCTTCTTGTCGCGATACATGGCAATCTGGTCACGCGGGTCGGACAGCCATGAGCGCAGGTGCTCCTTTTCCTGGAAAGGCTCGATGTGCGGCTCCTTGTACTCCTCTTCGATGCGGCCCTCGCGGCCGAAGCGCTCGATGTCGGTCAGCTTGTTGACGAGCAGGGTGTGCTTCTTATCCAGCGGGGTGCCATTCAGGGCCTTGACGGCGGCAACGGCCTCGCTAGGGGCGCCGAATTCGACAAAGGCATATCTGGGCGAAATAATTAGTATGTAGGCGGCGTGGCGGCGGGGGACGCGGTGGGGAAGCGAACCCTTCGGACATGCCCTCGTCATTCATGGGCATGAAGACGCTCTCTTGCGAAGCGCGACCGACGGTGTTGAGCTTGCGCAGCAGGAACTTGATGAGCTTTTCGTGGCTGGCCTCGGGCACGACGGGCAGGCCGTCGATGACGACGAACGCGTCCAAACCCTCCTCCAGGCGCACCTCATACTGGGCTTTCAGGTCGGAAAAGTCGATCTCATTCTCGTCGAAGTCGTCGTCGACGGGCAGGTTGTCGTAGCTGGGCGCCATGGCTGCGGGCAGGCGAGAGGTGCGGTTGCTGGGCTCTTGTGGGGTCGCGAAACAACTGAAGCTCGCGTCGCTAGATTTCACCAAAGTGTGTCGCCGAAGTTCCGACGTTTAGCCGAGAGCCTTGCCGCATCGGGGTATTATCTTAGCCAAGGCCTTCAGGGCCCCCGAAGCTCGCGGTAAGCGGACAATGGTATATATACGTCTGATCGACAACGGGTTTCGGGCAGAAGTCTCATGAGACAACCAGGCGAAATCGAATCCAGTCTGGTGTTATGAGGTCCAGTGTGCTTGCAATGGCACGATAGCTACGTTGGGTGAGTTCACCATTTCTGAATCATGCTTCGGCCCACAAGCGGACTGCGGCAACTCATGCAGGCGGGCATCCTATGGGTAGCAGAGCACTCCTGTGGCGGTTGTGGCAAGAGTCCTAGCTCATTGTTAAATGCGTTGGCAATGCAAAAGCCAGCAACGGAAAAGTAAAAAGAGCGGGCTCCGGAGTTATTGCATACTTGGCGCTACTTATGCGACTCTCTACGAGTCCCCTTATCTCTTTTTACTCTACCTTGCGCCTGGAAAGACCTTGACACAGTTGCTGAAGTGTGAAGTATAAGTGCTCGCCGCTGGGCCTAGAACGCACCACGACGGCCCCGTCTTCAACGTCTCTTTCCAGCAGGAAAAGGAGAACAGCGACGCCAATCGCGATGCGCTTGCTGGTCTTTTCCCACGATAGTTCATCGCTGATGTGCCGAAATTGGGCTCGGATTGGCTGCCAGCAGCGCTGGATGTTCCTGCCGCACATGACCATCCCTTGCCTTCCAACCCGGATTAGGAAATAGTGGAGCCGACGAGACTACCTGTTTGGAAAATCCCCCACCAACCTTAATCGCACCACCTTTTCATGCCTTTCCCCGTCGTACGATATCGATGGAGTTCTGTGCTCCTTGTTCACCCCGTTGGTTGGGGACATACGTTGGGGCGGATGAGAGCCGCCGTTGACGATCGGCACACCTTCCAACATGCCGTACGAGCGCGCCTAGATGCAATCGGCATGATTATGCTCCTCTGGAACCCAAAATCTGGCGCTGGGTGCGTTGCCGCTGAAGGACAGTGCTTGCGCCGACATGTTTGCGCCAACGTCATGAAGCCGCCCTTAGTCGATTGGCTCTACGGCGTGAGCCGACCATCTCCAGTCGCTTTACTCCGAACGCTAATATTAGAAAGGATGAGTACGTCTCTGGCCGAACGAGCTGGTAAGTGGATTGGGGTCTCGTCAGCGTCCCCAACCATAACGTCATCCATGTCGCGTCGAGCCACTGCGTGCGAGCGTCCAGACGGGCTGGTTGGAAAACCGTTGGGGAAGACGGCCTGCGCAACGCGGGTTGACGCGGCGTCTGCGACCATGAACCAGACGCGGCAGGATGTTCGTACGCTGGGCTGTGGTTCTCCTGATGCGGTGGCGCGGGCGAGTCTGGTGGAATCAGCTGCCAATTCCACATACCGACGACGCGTGGCGACACTGTTGACCATCAATTTCATCCGCTCGTACGGCAGAGTCCAGAATTGGACCTCACGTGGTGCGACCACTGGAGGGCCCGACGTAGAAGTTTCGATATGACGCCAGCCGTCTGCGCCTCAAGGAAACTCGGGCACCACACAGGCGTCGGCGGCTGCTCACAGGGCTAACATCCGCCAATTTCACTAACGCAATGCTCACCAGTGTACACGGAAACACCGTTCATGTGCGACAAAGGGCGGCGCAGGAGCTGGCGTGCGAGAATGTCCTCGGGGAATCGGGAAGCGTGATTCTTCCAGAACGCACATTCCGGACGAGTTTCCGACCTTCACTGACACGGATGGTACCACTGCACCCGGACGGTTCCGCTGGAAGCTCGACATGTGCTCCCGACTTCCGGCGTGCCCGACGACGTCTTCGAGCTCGGGCTACATGCTGCAGACAGCGTGCACACACGACGTGGTATCCTACAGTCACCTGTCAGCAACGAAGTTTTCGTGGCCGATGCTCTCTCCGTGCGCTCGAAGATGAAGAAAGGGAATTTGCAGCAATTTGAGCCGCCGGCATGATGGCCACCGAGCCGACATGATTCCGACTTTTTTCCAGTCCTACCCAACGACTGTCTGAGATTCTCTTGACAGCACGGGCGTTTTGAATGAATTTTGTCATGATTACTTTGTGCTGCCGTGACGGGTGGCAACCAAGCCACACTGCGAACTGGTCTTGCCCACGACTATTGACTGGCCTGAAGTTGGCAATTCGGCGCGCCCTTCAGGGTCATGCTCATCGTCGATGAGGGGAGAGCGCCAGCATTGTGACGTCGAGTGAAACTCAAAGCTTGTCTGCAGCCTTTGGCAGGAGACAGGGGCAACCGTGGCCTGTCTGGGGGTAAGGCGCCGCCCGGAGCGCCGGTAGGGCAGAGCTCGTTGGCTCGAAAGGGAGCTGCGAGCGCCAAGTACTCGAGCACCAGCATCAGTTTCGACGAGATATGAAAGCTGGTCAATATGAGCTTCCCAGCTTATAATTATCGAGCTTGAGAAATTTGGATCGTCTGCAATGGTTTGATGGCGTGCTTTATTCCTTACTATTTTTGGGCGGACCGACCGACAAGGAGCATCGTATCGGATCCGACGCCTTGCAGATGGCTGGCTCAGATCTCGCGAGACTCTGGGGTTACTCGTAGCCGATTGAGGAACCCACAGTATCGGTGCGCATCGATGGATATGCAGGACTATCCCCTGGGGGCGGCCGCTAAGAAAAGCCACGGCTGGTTAAGGTTCCCCAGGGGTGGTCCAAAAGCAGCGGAAAAGGAGGCCTATCGTCCAGATGGCGGAGACCCGGAAGCCGCTAACGTCACTTTTCACGGCATGCAGGGAAAAGCCTGCGGCCAAAGCAATCCAGTACCCTGATTCTGGGCCGGACCCTTGCGGCTGGCTGAATCCCTTTCTTTTTGGCCGTGCGGTCGTGTCACTACCACTGCACCGATGGTGATAGCGGACCGGAGCTGCGCGCTTTTCCGCCCGCAAGAGCAAAGAGACGCGCAGCTTTCGCCACAGTCAGAATTCTCTGCACCTTTCGGCGCGCAGCGCTCGGCGGGAGAGAGCTTATTTTAGCGTGCGGCGGGCTGCCTGACGCGACACCTGCTTCTTCTGTGGGGAGCGGCCATGGGACGATTGCATCATGCGCCTATTCCGGGAAACATCATGCTCACCCTCCAATTCGGGCGGCCAGGGAGCATTGAGCATGCTGAGGTCGCGAGAGGTCTCGAACTCTGGTGTGCGGACGCGTAAGACGGTACGGTTCGAGCGCCGAGTCTTTTTTGCAGAACTCGAGGTCGGAGGGTGCTGATGGCTGCCCTTCCGCCCGGCGCTGGAGGGAGCATCCCAGCCGCCCCTGCTCGTGTAAGAGCGGCTCGATAGGAGAGTTCCTTCTGGCGCCAACCCGCCCGAATCGGGACGTTAGGCCCAGCCGCGGGCGGTCGGTTTTGGTCGCTCGCCTGCTATAATTGGGTGTTGTGACTCCAGAGGGTGGTTCAGCAGCGGTTCTGGGGCGCCGCCCTGCCTCGCGCTGCAGCGCGCGGCTGATCGAACACGATCGTCAGGGGAGGAGACGACGGATCTTGTTCCGATTCATTGCCCGGCGATCACTGCAGACGCGATGAGTCAAGAGCAGACGCGTAACCCGCCCAGGGGCGGCAGCCGTGGCTCAGCCCGGCGGGAGCTGTCGATACGCCACGTGTGTAAAGTTGGGCTGTTTTGTTGCTGCTCATAACAGTTTCATGACGATCTCTGCGACCCGCGACTCGAGTTTCAGGGGCCTGCGGGCGCGAGTCACCTGATGGCGCGGCGTGGGCAGACGTGGGATCATGAGCGCGCGCAGCGTCTCGGACTCGCTGCGACGGGCTGGGTGGAGCGGGGGTCGATTGGCTGCTCTTCCGCGCGCCGGAAGCGCTTGGCCGCATTGCCGCAGGCGGACCGGCGCCCGCGACACGTCGGACGCATGTGTCGTGTGTCGTGGTTCGTGGTGACAGCGCAGATAGGCCGCTGCGCTTTGCACGCGCGCGCTGGGGAACAGCAGCCGCAGGCGCGCATCGCTGGGCCTAGACCGATGGTCGCTGCAGGCGCCGGATCGGCATCGAAGCAGCTTCTCGAACATTGCCAGCAACGACAGGCCCCCTATACCAATGGCTGTCTATGGACGGTTAGGCGCCCGCCTCAGCTGCCCTCGGCTGCGCAGGGCGCTGCGTTTCAACGCGAAAGGGGTCTCGTTTTGTAAAGCGCGGAGCCCACCCGGGAAATTCGCCTGCAGGCGCAATAATATCGGCCGGGGCGTCTTATTACCAGCGCCTCCAATGCCGCCGGGTCCCGTCGCCGGATGGCCGCCGTCGCAACGCCGCCGCCTTCTCCCCGCGCGCGCCGTCGCAGCACGCAGCTCGCAGGCCTCAATGCCCAGGCACGGCGGCGCGGATTGGCCGGGAGGGCGCAGCAAGGCAGCGGGAACGCGGCCGCCGTCGCTCAAGGCCGCAGCACGGCCGAAGCTTCCATTATCGCTGCTGCTGCTCGTGCTCTGCGACAACTGACTGCAGCGTGAAGCAAGCAGGAGCAGAGCGGCGTCCCGGGCGGTGAAAGGCGCGCAGCTGGGCGAGTGCGAGTCATTAGGCGGTGCCATTCCTGTTCCTGTTCTCGACGGTGGCTTGCCCGCCTCCCATCCCGCGCTGATTGGCATGCGCGCGCGGGCCCCCCTGATGTGGCCCTGGCGCACAGCCACGTGAGGACAGCGGACGACAAGGTGGCCAGTGTGCGCTCCGCTACAGCCAGCTGGCGTACTGCGCCTCGTCGCCCCAGAGGACTGGCTGCTGGCGCACGTCACAGGCGCCACGCTCCGGCAGTCGATGGCTCGAGGATGCGCCTCACAAGGTGACGGGGAGCTGACATGGATCATGGAAAGCGGATGAGCTTCCACGATGCACAGAGATGGCGCTCGCATCCAATCAGCCCTGCCATGCACGAAATGCTTCCCTGCGCACAGCCTCCACCGCGCTGTGTGCTGAGCTTGACGAGTGAGTAGGGTTGGCGGCAGCTGATGATGATGATGATAACTCCCGTGCCAGACCCCCCGTATCCCGCCAAAGTCCAGAATTCGGTTTCAGGACCGCGCTGAAGCATTCATTACCCCTTCCCAGAGGCTGCCCTACACACCCGCTCAATACATATATACACCTCCCACCTGCTGTCTTCTGGCCCACCATCAACCAACCAACCAAAGTAATCTACACACCACACCTTAATACAAACTCCTCCGGACCCACGCATTTCCAATTCGACCTTAATACCAACCACCACCACCACCACCACCACCACCACCAACAACAACAACAACAACAGCAACAACAACGACAACAATGGCCTTCACCAAGACTTCGACCGTCCTTTCCTCCAATGACCTCGCCATCAAGCACCAGCGCCGCGTGCTTCCGATCTGCCGCAAGGGCGGCGACGATAAGGAATGGCCCCGTGATGCCGGTGGCAGCTAAATGGTACGTTGACCTCGTGCTCGCTCAATCAATCCATGGCGGCATGGCTGACTCGATAATTAGGCCTAATTACTCCCGCCCGAGCTGCCGCCAGGGTGCCTCGACACCCTTCACGTTTTACCGCCTCTCATTAATCCTTCTTTGACGAGCATTTTCGTAATGCCGACGATCGCCGGCTTGTCATCAGCAAGAAATTCCTAATTAGCCCTCTGGGCGCCGGAACCGGACCGGTATCCTTTTTCGGCCGTCCACGGAGCAACGACTTTCTTCTTTCGCGCCGTGTTGCGCGCGACTGTACGACCATCGAACCATTGCATTGAGCCGGCGCTTGTGGGACTCCATTTCTGATTTCCTTCGTTACTCGGGCTGTTGGGAGTTTGTCTGGCACTTCAGCGGCATCGCCAGCGAACTGTATTGCATTTGAGCGGAGTTTTTGAGTTTTCTTCATCATAGACTGGGACGGGACGGATACACTAGACGGACTACACGGAGACCTCGCGGTCGGCACCCCCACGCAGGGGCTTGTGCTTGGGCAGACGGACACACGGGATTAGAGGCGTTCTTCAGCTGGGTGTTGCTGTCTACTGTATCATTAGAGTCCCGAGGGACTACTACACACAATTTGCATCTTTTGCTTCTCCAACTTGCATCTCCACCTCCACGACTGTGGTTTATTCTTAGCAGGTGCCTGGTGGTCCCTGAATCATGTGCGTCATAGTGCAGCGTTACACGACCGCTCGCTCGGGACGCTCGTACTTGCGGTTCTCCCCAGTCTCTCGCGTTGGCAGACTTGACTTCTTTCGTCGCGATCCCATCGTCGTACCAACCACGGTCGCAGCGCCGCCCCGTCGACGAGCCTTGCTGCCACCGACGCGTGGGCTTGACTCCTGCTTGTCTGATCGCCCGTACCCGCACACGACCCCAGTGCCCCTCTTCCCGGTTTCCGCTGTCGCGCCATCGTCGGCGGAAGCTCGACGCGCTATGCCGCCGACTCCCAGCGCACACTTATAATGTCGCGCCGCTGGCCGCCGCACAGCAATACCTTCGCCGGCAGAGTCATGGGACAGCAGCGGGCGAAGGGTCGCGCGCTCGACGTTGGCCCCTCGCGCCGCAGCAATCTTTTACGTGATGGATACCCAAATCCAGACGGCTCCTCTGCACCTGGCCGTACAAACCGTCTGCTTGGCAACCCGGAGCAGGCGGGCAACCCCGTTCGTGCGTCGGCGAAGATACTGCGGAGTCGAGATTTTCTCTCCGCATGATGTGCGCCGCCCTGCGCCCGGGCGCCGTCGCTGAGAGTGGAGTCGGGCGAGGCAACCAGGTAGTATAATCTCACTTCCTTCCTTTCTGCCATAAAGCCGTCGCTCCTGCCGCCGTCGTCGACGCTTTTCTGCTGTGCCGTGACATCCTCTGCGTTGGTTTCTGCTGTCCTCGGTGGAGAGAGCGTAGGTCGCATCGCATCGCATCTGTCGGTCGCCTGCTACTGACTCACCGCGCACACGCGAGTTTCGAGCACGAGCTGCCTCGCGACTTCCGCATTCGTCGCTACCAGCAGAGGGTCCGTCGCCGACTGCACTTGACGTCAAGTCGTCCCTTCGCAAGGCTGTCGGGCTCAGCAACAGCTTGAACACCCTCCTCCCGACACAGTCACACGTACTGCGCACAAAATTGCTCGCGATCGAAATATCCGCTGCTACATTTTCATCTCCTTCGAATCACTCCACCGTCATGGCTCTAGACCCGCGTACCGCCTCTGACGGCACCGGCTCAGACGTGAGGAACATGTCGCACGGGCGTGGCGGCGCAGGTACAAGCTTCCAATATTCTCCCTTTTCCTCCTTCAGCCTCCCGCTCCTTCCCCTTTGCCCCCTCTCCCTCGGCTGCCGGGGCACTAGATTGCGCAATCGCGCGTACATGGGCTGTACCACCAAGCGACGATGGCGTTGATCCACGGCACACGGCACCCGCTGCTCAGCCACCGAGGGCAGAGTCGATTGTCTGCAGATTCGCGTGCACCACAGGAATAGCATCCGCGGTCATTTGAATCTCCAGAAGGGGGGCCAGGCACAGCCACCTACCCTATACCGGCAGCTGACATATATCCCCAATTCCGTCTTTCCACCCATCAATCCCTCACACCACCCCCAATATCGTTTTCCGATGTCAAAGGTGCACGGCGACTGACGCTAGGCACGTTTCCCCCCCTTTGCAGGCAACATGGCCAAGACGTCGCGCCGCGAGTCGTCGTCCAACCCGCGCGATCTGGTGACGCCGACGATCAAGTCGGCGCTATACACGACGGGCCGCGGCGGCACGGGCAACATGGCCCGCAACGACCCGCAGCACCCAGAGATCGCGCGCGCGGCCCAGGACGTCGAGGCCCCGCCCGGCGCCGGCCGCGACCACGATGGGCCCAAGCACTTCGGCCGCGGCGGCGCCGCCAACGTGACGACGGAGAAGAGTGCGAGCCCCGAGGAGGAGAGGGAGAGGCTGGTTGAGGCCAAGGGGGGCGCCACGGCCGCGCCGACGAGCCACGGTCAGCACGAGGACGTGAGGGGGCTGGGCGAGAAGGCCAAGGACCTGCTGGGGAAGATTAAGAAGTGAGAGCCATTTTTGAAGGGGACGGAGTGTTGAAGGGGGTGGGGCAGCAGGGTAGTGTGATTGCCTGTTCTGTTTTCAAAAAAATTTGGGCCACGGCGGGGTGTTGGGAATGGGAGTCGTCATGCCTTGGACGACTGGTGTCGCGGTCATTATTCCGGTATGGGTGGGACCTTCGCTTTGTTTTTGCCTGGCTTTTCCTTGTATTCACCTCTGCTACTCGATATACCTATGCTGCTGTTGAGGGAACAAAAGGGAAGGGCCTATGATGCTATTTGGTTTTCCGTTTGCACCTGCTCTAACGTGCAATTAAGAAATACATATCCTTGCTGTCACAACCACCTAGTCGCAGCAGATTAATTAGTTTCCTGTAAAGCCCACCTATCACGCACATCCCTGCGCACCTGTCACAGCAAGATCGCTGTTCAGATAAGCTTCACACGAAGCCGAATCGACCTGCAACCCACATCCCAGAAAAGGCAAGAAAGATCAGCACGCAGCGTCCGGGCCGAAACGAGGACCCATACCCGTACCCACGTCGACAGCGATACTCATGGGGAAACAGGGCCAAACGAGGGGGAAAAGCGACCACCAGCACAACAACGACAGACTGATAGAGAGGAAAGAAACCTCGACGATAGAAACAGCAAGGAGCGATGCAGCGAGAATCTCGGCTCTCATTCGTTCGGAGATGGCCGAGGCGCGGAAGAACAGGAGCTGCGTGATCTCCATACACAAGGAGTGATATGCCGCTCGTGGAAGCCTCAGGCATGATGCGTGTGCTCTTACCGGCGGCCTCGTCGCGACGATCTTTCCCGAATCGGACCTGCAGGCGTTCCGCCAAAACTCGAGGCTGCGAGGCTGTCGCGTCTATACGGGCGGCTAATGCGTTTCTGCGGAGAAAAGAAGGCGATCGTTTCGTTGGTTCGACGTGTCGGAGAGAATGTTTTGTTTTGACATGGGGCTCCCTCTCCCACAGACGCACGTGGCACGGAGTGCAGGGATGTTTCATGTGTGTGAGATTCTGGGGATGATGACGTTTTGGTTGGCTCTCTCTTTTCCTGTGAATTTCACCTCTTGTTTTGCACTATCGGCCGCGGCATAGGGTCGCCTTGATGGGTTTGATACATCGTAGCTAAATGAAATAATATTCCCTTTGTCTTGGAAAAAAGACGACTTGTCAGTCAGGCGGTCAGGCCCAAACACCGGCAAATATTCAGAACTCCCTTTGTCTCCATATGCCCTATAATCACAGTCGAATGCCCACCTGCTGCATCTACACAAATGATATTTTCCTCCAGTGTCCCCCAACGACCAAATTTAACGAGCCGCCGTTTTAAGTGAAAGCCATGCCCTTCTTGATCTCGGCGATGGCGAGGGCCGGGTTGAGTCCCTTGGGGCAGGTCCTCGAGCAGTTGAGAATCGTGTGGCAACGGTAGAGGGACATGCTGTTGTTCAGCTGGTCCTGGCGCTCAGCCCTCTTCTGGTCACGCGAGTCCGCAATCCAACGGTAGCTCTGCATAAGGATGGCGGGGCCGAGGTACTCCTCCGAGTTCCACCAGTACGAGGGGCAGGAGGTGCTGCAGCAGGCGCACAGAATGCATTCGTACAGGCCGTCGAGCTTCTTGCGCTCCTCCTTGGACTGCCTGTTCTCGCGTCCATCGGCCGGGGGAGTGTCGCGCTGCAGGTAGGGCTTGATCGAACGGTACTGCTTGTAGAACTGGGTAAGGTCGGGGACAAGATCCTTGACGACGTAGGTGTGCGGCAGCGGGTAGATGCGAGATTCCTTAGCGGTGTCGGTGGGAATGCGGCCTGGGTGGCGAAGCAGGTTAGTCGTGCACCAGAGGACTGCGTGAGATGCCGTAGCCATTGGCTGCATCACGCTACAAAGGGGGACGTACAGAGACATGCCAGGGTGTTGACACCGTCGATGTTCATGGCGCAACTACCGCAGATACCCTCACGACAACTGCGCCTGAAGGTCAGGGTGGGGTCCATCTCGTTCTTGATGCGGATGAGGGCGTCGAGCATCATGGGACCGGTCTTGTTCAGATCGAGGGTGTAGGTCTGCATGCGCGGCTTCGAGGTGGGCTCGTCGGGGTTCCAACGGTAAATGTGGAACTTCTTGATCCTCGCGTCGTTGCTGGGCGTGGGCTCGCTGGCGGCCGACGTCTGCGACTCGGGGACCACCGAGGCCATGCCGCGCTTGAAGACGGTCGAGGAGACAGGGGCCCTCGAGGCAGCGGCTGATGCATGGTCAGCAATTGTCGGCTGTGTTGTTGGCAGTGGCGTGGAGGGAAGGGCGGGCGAGAGGATGCGGGTGTGGGCGCGGCAGCGCTGGAGACTCACTTGCGCTCCTGGAGAGCCTTGCCAATGCTCGCGTGGTCGACATGGTGGATTGTGAGATGCTCGCTCGGGCCAGAGACGAGGGGTGGTACAAGCAGCGGAGGTGTCGAGAGCGTGCTCGAAGTTGGCCGTGACGGATGAAGCACGTCGTCCTTGACAGCCGAGGGAAGCGGGATCCGGGCTTATTAAAGCCGGCCGCTCATTGGCCGCTTCGCTACCGGTGATGTATTCGATTCCGACGGCCAGGGTAAAAGAAATCGCGGGCGAGCGGTGGCAACTTATCCGGCCTTTCATTGGGCAAATTTCGATCACATGCAGTCTAGCGGCGCTTTTGGCTTAACATCACCCCAACGCGGCGTTTCATTACGCGGCGCCGCCTTTCCCCCCTCTCGGCATCTTCGGGCGGGCACGAGTACTTTTCGGAAGCGAGAGAGGGCCGACGCTCTTGCTCGCAAGCAGTTCGGTCCATGATTATTGCTGGCCGTCGAACCCTCGCTGCAGTCCCCTCGGCGCTGTGCAACCACTCCATTGCCACCCGCTTGCTCTTCGTCCGGCCCTTCTCGCCGCTCCGCCTGCACCCAATGGCATCCGTGCCCCCCATCCACCTGGTCCTTGATTGGGACGGCACCACAACCCACAAGGACACCCTGCACTTTCTGGGCAAGATCTGCGCCGACCATGCGGCCAATGCCCCCGCCGCCACGACTTGGGAGGAAATCGTAAAAGCTTACCTTGACGACTTTTCCGCCCATGCCTCGTCGTACACGCCCGCGAAGAGCCAGCGCACGACCATCGCCGAGGAGAAGGCATGGCTCGCAAGCTTGGCCGCCGTCGAGTCCAGCAGCGTCAAGCGTGTCGAGGACTCTGGCCTGTTCAGGGGCGTGACTGCTGCGGCTGTCAAAGCCGGTGCCGCCCAAGCGATCGACAGCGGCGAGATCATCCTTCGGGACGGGTGGTCGTCTTTGCTCGCCTACAGTCAGAAGACCACGATTCTGAGTGTCAATTGGAGCGCCACTTTCATCCGGGAATGCCTGCGCGCAGCGGCTGCAAACGACCCCGATGCAAAGGCTGCGGTTGAGCGTGTGTCTATTGCGGCAAACGAGATCGCCGGTCTCCAGGACTCAAATGGCTCTTCTGGCCTACTAAACGGCCGGACTGAGGTTTCAGGTGAAGAGGCGGGTGCTATCCGGACCAGCGCAGATAAGCGCGCTAACATGCCTACTCCTGTCAAATATGGCGGTGAAGAGCTTGTTGTGTATGTGGGTGACAGTGCCACCGACTTTGAGGCATTGTTGGTTGCCGATGTGGGAATCTGCATCCGTGATGAGGAGCCCAGCAGCGGACAGAAGGAATTGGCTGAAACATTGGAGAGGGTAGGCGTGGAACAGCACAGGATCAAGTTGTTGGCCGAAATGCCACCAGCGGATGACAGTGCTGTGAGTGTTTACTGGGCCAAGAACCTTCAGGAAGTTGCTCTCTCTTTGAGCTCGTACTCCTGATTGACTTTGCTATCGGTAAGTCCTCAAGTCATGTCAATGAGACTTAACTGATCGTGTAAGTCTCCTATTCATCTTTCGATGGAGTTGTCTTCTGTTGTCATTGCGCTCTGGATACCTGCTATTCTCCTTGTCTCCATGTAGATGTCAACTGCTCGGTCCATGGCTGCCCATTGCTATTCATGGCCAACTGAAGCTCACACTTCAATCGAACCTTTGATCATTGATAGGAATACGACTATTATCCAGACTCTTTCCCCAGCGAACTCCTCATTCGCCTTTGTTAGTGCCACTAAAGACAGCCGGAACTGCATCGATGAATATTCTCACTCTACTCTCAAGGATTGATCCGTTTCACAATCGAAGCCGACCAGATAGCGGCGCTGCTGATGCCGACGATTGGAGTAAATTCACATGCCGCAATCAACCAATAAGGCCAGACCTACTAGTCATGGATCCAGCAACTAACGCAACATCTGACTCGAAAAGGGTGACGCGACATAACGATGCAGTGTCGCCAGACCGGATCATCAGCAGATGCCCCGCGCCTCAGAAGCTCGGATCCCGACTCCACCGACATTATTCCACCCCCGCATTCACGCCGGCACTAGATCATGGGTTCAACTGGGGACGACTACTACGACCTGGGGTCCTTCCACCGGGAGGTCACTACCCGGAATGCCACTGCCCAGAAATGGTTTGACCGCGGTCTGGTCTGGTGCTATGGCTTCAATCACGAAGAGGCGGCACGCTGCTTTGAGAAGGTCATTGAAAACGATCCGGAGTGCACCATGGGGTACTGGGGGCTTGCGTATGCGCTTGGGCCCAACTACAACAAGCCCTGGGAGCTGTTCGACGAGAAGGATCTGGAGACGACTCTGAGAAGGGTCCACGATGCGGTGCAAAAGGCACAAGAGCACGCCGCCAAGGCCACGCCATTCGAACAGGCCCTTGCCCAGGCCATCCAATTCCGCAATCCAAAGGACGTCGCGGACAAGGACTACTCCCGGTACAACAAGGCCTACGCCGACGCCATGGAGACGGCGTACCGCCAGTTCCCTGACGACCTGGATATGGTGACGTTATACGCCGACGCGCTGATGAACATCACGCCGTGGGAGCTCTGGGACCTGCGCACCGGCGAGCCCACACCGGGTTCCCGCGCCATTGAGACCAAGACGGTGCTGGACCGCGCCGTGGCCGAGCACGAGCAGCAGGCCCACGAGCACCCAGGCCTGCTGCACATGTACATCCACATGATCGAGATGTCGCGCACGCCTGAGCTGGGAGTCGCGCTGGCGGACCGGCTGCGCGACCTCATCCCAGACGCTGGCCATCTGCGGCACATGCCCTCACATCTCGACATCCTAATCGGCGACTACCGGCGCGCTATCGCTAGCAACGCGGCCGCCGCCGTGGCCGACGATAAGTACCACGCGCGTGAGGGCGGCATGAACTTCTACACGCTATACCGGCTGCACGACTACCACTCGCTCGTCTACGCCGCCATGTTCAACGGCCAGTCACGCATTGCGCTCGACACGGTCGCCAAGATGGAGGAGCACCTGCCCGCTAGCCTGCTCAGCGTCGACTCGCCGCCCATGGCCGACTGGCTCGAGGCCTTCCTTTCGGCGCGGCTGCACGTGCTGGTGCGCTTCGGCCGCTGGCAGGACATCCACGACCTCCAGCTGCCCGCCGACCAGCAGCTCTTCTGCGTGACGACCGCCATGACGCACTACGCCAAGGGCATCGCGTGGGCCGTCGAGGGCGACGTGGCCCGCGCCGAGGAGGAGCGCATCCGCCTGCACGCCGCCGTCGAGCGCGTGCCCGACTCGCGCATGGAGTATCCCAACCGGTGCAGCGACATCCTGGCCATCGCCAAGGCCATGCTCGACGGCGAGCTGGAGTACCGCAAGGGCAATTACGAGGACGCATTCAAGCACCTGCGCAAGTCGGTTGAGCTCGACGACGCCCTCAACTACGCCGAGCCGTAAGTGATCGACCCATTGTCAACAACCACTGACTCCCCCTTACATTCGATCCCCTTTGCTAACCTGCGATCTATTCTTCCCTTCCGTCAGCTGGGCCTGGATGCAACCCACCCGCCACGCCTACGCCGCGCTCCTGCTCGAGCAGGGCCACGTCGAGGCCGCCGCGCAGGCCTACGCCGCCGACCTGGGCTTCGACGAGACCCTGCCGCGCGCCCGCCAGCACCCCAACAACGTGTGGGCCCTGCACGGCTACCGCGAGTGCCTCGCCCGCCTCGGCCGCGGCCGCTCCGCCGAGGCCCGCATCGTCGAGCAGCAGCTGCGCCTGGCCGTCGCCGTCGCCGACGTCCCCGTCACCGCTTCGTGCTACTGTCGTCGAAGCGACGGCGGAGGTGATTACGACAGCCCCGCGACGGCGGCCGTGGCGGAAGCGGTAGGGACGAAGTCGAGCTGTGGCGGTTGTTGAAGACAAGTGGAATGAGCGGTGGTGAGATTAGGCATTGGCTGGGGTGTTTTTTTTTTTTTCGGTTGTTCGTGTTGCTTACTGGTTTGGATTTGATGTGCAGAAAGATAGACGAAAAACAAAAAAGTAAGCCATACCCTTCCCTCTCTTGGCTCGGCACTCGGCCCGGTCCATTTCAGCTGCTTGTCGCCACTTTTCGCCACTCCAGATCTATATATTTTCTACTGTTAAAGGAAACCTTAGCGGAAAGGCGCTAACCGAAACAGGGAAACCTTTAATATAGCATACCACTCTTTATATAGAGCGCCAGATACTTGCATCGTTGGCAGCCGTGCCTATCCAAAGGCACGAACATTGCAACGGCGCAGCGCCAGTCATCTACTGCAAGATCACTGTTTGGGCACAGTTTGAGCTGAAGAATCCTTTTTGATTTTTTCCCACATTGAACGATACCTAGTACTAGATAACCCAGAACAGAACATCATTGGAGTATCACAAGCCATCACCTTCGTTGACATCATAAAATCCATCCCAATCGTCGTAAAGACACAAAACGCTTTCGCTGCCTCGAAGGACAAAAAGAAGAATAATCCGAGAAGGGAAAAAAAACCAGCGGCGTGCGTCCATCCCGAGGCGCCGCTCCGGAAGAAAGGTAATTTTGTCTTGTTCAAAACACACACGAGCCCCCGAGGACATGCAAAAACTCCTGTACAGGAGAAATAAAACTCATGCCTCCAGAAAAGCCACCGACTGTTGAGCGAAGGGTGGAAAGATACGGCTTCCGTCGACGACGAGAAATAATCCGGTTTACATGACGACGCACCCGGCTTCCGCGTTGTTACCATGCTGCGGATGCCCACCGTGCGACGCTGCTGCCGAAGCCGAGCCACCGCCTCCAGTTGGGCTCTCAGGTTTTTTTGCCCCTTTTCCCGCCGGCCGGACCGCGCCGCCCGCAGTCCAACGGAGGAACCCCACGTTCGGCTGGGGCTTCGGTTTTGCCTTCGCCGGCTTTGGTACCGGCATGGGGCCCGGCGGCATGGGACTAAGGATCTCGACCATGGGTGTCGGTGGAGGCCCCACATCGATAATTTGCGGTGGAGGAGGTGGTGGTGGGGGCATGCCAGGACCTCCAGGTCCTGGGGGAGGTCCGCGCGAATGCTTTTTGTGCATCGGCACATCTCCAAGAATCTTGCCAGCTCGCCCCTTACCCTTCGACGGCTCACGGCGGGGCATGTTCAAGCCTATCCAAGGCTCACCACCCAACGATGGTGGTGGTAGTGGCCCCGGTGGCATAGCTGCCGGGGGTGGGGGAGGCGGAGACTTGGGGGCAGGCTCCTCCATCGGCCACATATGCATCGTGATGGTCCAGTCAGGCTGGACCATCGTCTCCCAGACCTGAGGCAGAATGATCTCTCCATCAGGCCCAACGAGGTCGTAATGTCCATCGTGTACGTGCTGGCCAATGACATCGACGTGGAGGAAAGCCTGTTTGATAAGTTCTTCCATACCCTGTGAAGACGTCAGCTTGCATGCCCAACCGACCAGTGATAGCGAATTGTGATATACGTACCTTCCACGTGCAGCAGATGTGCCATGGGAAGCTGAATTTCCGGCCCACGGCATCCTTGAATTTGATAGGCGGCTTCTTCTCTGCCGGCGGGGGAGCGGCTGCAGCTGCTGCCTTCTTCTCCGCCTCTTCCTTGGCCTTGGCCTCTTCTTCAGCCTTCTTCTCCGCTTCTTCTTTAGCCTTCTTTAGCTCCTCTGCTGCTGCTGCTGCCTCGGCAAGCGCCTTCTCGTGCGCCTCCTTCGCTGCCTTAGCCTCCTCTGCAGCCTTTGCCTCGGCCTCCTCTCTCGCCTTTTTCGCTGCAGCCAGCAGCTTAGCTGCGTCTTCAGCTGCCTTTTGCTTCTCTGCTGCGTCTTTGGCAGCCTTTGCATCAGCTTCGGCCTTTTCTGCAGCACGAGCAGCGGCTATAGCCTCGTCGCGAGCCTTCTGCTCCTCACGCTGAGCGACCAGAAGATCATGCAGCTTCGCCAATTTGTCTTCCTCGCCTTTCTTCTTAGCTTCAGCCTCCGCGGCAGCAGCGTCCTCAGCCGCCTTCTTCTTGGCAGCCTCCTTGTCTGCTCGCGCTTGCGCCTGCTGCATGAGGAGCTCTTCTAGCTTCTTGAGACGTTCCGCCTGCTCTGCGGCCTGCGCCATGGCCTCCTTCTCCGCAGGGGTGGGCTCTGGGGGAGGCAATGGAGCAGGCGGTGGCGGCGGCGGCGGTGGCGGAACAGCGACGGGAGGAACAGGCGGTGGTGGTGGTGGAGCTGCCGCCGGGGGTGGGCTTGGTGCCTTGGATGGACCATGTTTGTGTCGGCTCGATCGGTCAGGCGACGGCTCCGGTGAGTGGCGATACGGCGCTGGAGGGTAGCCATACGGCGGCATTGGCGGCGGCATACCGTAGTGGTGATCGTACCCAGTGTAGTATGGCGTCATACTGCCAGTCGGGTGGACAGGAGGCTGGCCGGGCATGCCGCCAACGGAGTAACGTTGACGCCCCATTCCAGGACGCGGCCCCTGTGGATGGTCGTAGAATCCAGCACCGACCATGCTTTGATTCTGAGAAAACGGATTGGCATGGTGGTTTGGTGCGAAAGGGTTCCCCTGGTAGCCGTACGGATCATTGGACATGTGAACCAGCGCCCTATCCATACCAGCGCCGTAAGGCGCCGGTTGGAAGCCGGACATCATGCTCGGAGCGTAGCCCGAAGTCACGCTAGGTGGGATATGTGACCATTGGTTGTGATGTCCGGGATGCGGGCCACGGGGGTAACCCGGATAATCGTCTGGTGGTGGGTACTCCAGCTCGTCTATGTCGCCGGGCGGTGGCCGACGACGATGCGTACTGTGTTCGCTCCGTTCTCTCGAATAGTCTTCCCTGGGAATGGCTCTGGCCCGGTGACGACGGGGCGCCTCTTGCGCGGGGGCAGCGTGAGAGCGTGAGCGGCGATGGCTAGTTGGGCGTGTCTCGGGGTGGGCGCGGTGTCTGCTGCTGCTGTGTCTGGTCTGACGCGGGCGGGAGGCCGAGTCGGAAGGGTCGAGCTCGTCCTCGTCGACTTCGATCCACTCTTCTTCTCCAGAGTGGTCCAGGGATTCGTCGGTGTCGTCGTGACTACCGGCGTTCGAGTCGCTAAGAGGTACGCCGGTGCCGACGTATTCTTCGTCGGACGAAGGGTGGTGCTCGGAGCCCGAGGAGTGGATGAAGTGAATGCTTGAAACCCTTTAGGATGTTAGCATGGTGTTGAGCATGTGAGTGGGCCTAGCGCGCCGTGTGATGCGCCGAGATTGCGACGTGCGAGCGGGGAGAGGGGACGACTTACGGCATGGAGACGGTGGTGGTCAGGGATCACCTCACTCGGAACCTTTCTACCAGAGAAAGTCGAGAAGGGGGCCCAGGAGTGACAGGCAGGTCGGGTGGGCGAGCTTGCTGTGGCTCAGCGCGGGGTGGGTGTGGTGTTGGTAAACAGCAGCCAACGGTGGTCGGCAGCGAGGAGGCAGCGCGCGAACGGGTGGCGGGCTGTAAAATAGCAAAGGGATGCGCAACGGGCGAGGGGCGCGAGGGGGAGGCGTGTCGCAGGCGTCGGTAAGGCTGAAGATGATTCGAGGAGGACGCTGCTGCAGCCGGGATTCTGAGGCAACAGCGGGCGCTCGTTGGTGCTGCTGGCGCTGCGGCCGTCGCAATCTCCTCTGGCGCGCTCGTCGCCTGAAAGCGAGGCTGGGAATGGCGACGCGCGACTGGGCGTAGGCGGCGATAAGTAAGGAATGCGGATCCCTGCGTGCCTCTGGGCGCTGCGAGCCTGACGTCCTCGAGCGCAGGATCAGGCTTCAGTAGCCGCACTACTGCAGTCTGCTAGTCAGCACCAAGCGTACGTGACCGGTCAAAAAACGATGATGCGCATTGGGCTGCACCTCGGGCACGAACGTGACCCGTCGCTTGGCCCGGCGGGGGCCAGAACGGCGAGCGCACTCCGGCCTCCGCGACCTTCGACGCTGACGTACCTTGCGATGCGATGCGGTGGTGTCGCGACGATGCCCTGTGCTCGTCGTCGGGGCAGGGAGAAGAACGTGCTCGGGTTGCTCAAGCAACTCCCGCCGCGCGCAAATCTGGAGAATGGGCGTGCGGCCGTCGATCAACGGTCGCTAGGTCTCAGGGCGCTCGGACGGGCCTTCGGGGTCTGCGTAGGAAAATGTAGCTCCGGTCGTTGGTGTAGCAGAACATTGAGAGGCGGACAGGACGAGGGCGGCGCAGAGGTCGGTGCAGAGCGTCGACGAGGGCGGCGGCCGTCCTTTTTGTTTTGGCCCAGAAGCCGGATTGTGCGTGCGCCGTACAACAGCGGGTTGCGTTTCAGAGCCCTGCGAGACACAACACAGTAAGGCTGGAGCGGGATCGGACAAGGATCACAACCTGGCGTCCTCTTTGCCGTTTGCTGCGCGCCGGCCCCTGGCCTGGCCTGCCGCGCCTTTTTATGTCGTCCGCCTCCTTGGGCAGAGTCATCGTCGTCAAGGACCTTGCATCCGCCCAACGCAGCCGTCACGTACAGCCGTTGCTGCTGGCAGCTGGCCCTGTTCCTCTCATGCGTCGCTACGTGGCCGTCAACACCGACGCTAGCCCCAGGCCCCCGACTTCCCCCGCCCTCCAACCAGCTCCCCCATTGCCAGCCAGAAAAATCTTTTTCTGGCACCGGCCAACCGGTCAGCCGCTGTAGGCCCTGCCTGCGGCTCACACACGCCAATGGCTAGCCATTTGGTTCGCACGCGGCGCACCTGCGGAGCGGCACGCCGCCGCTGATGCTAGTGATGCAGCCCAACATGTCTCGCCCAACTCGGACGGATCTGCTAAGCGCCTCCTGCCCAATCCTCCCCGCAGCTTGCCACCGCGTCCAGATCTTCGGGTCCAGGAGCAACGGCTGCCATGTCAAGCCCTGGGTGGGGCTGTGAAGTATCCGCCGTTGGCTGCTGCAAAAGCAATGGCGTTCTCTTTCTGCTGTAAGCTTTATGTGGTTCGTCGTGATTCAGACACGTGCGCTGAGTGAGGCACGCTGCATCCTTGGGGGCTGGACCTTTTTTTAATCCAGCAAGCTAACCGTCGTGCAACGTCGAAACAGGTGCGGCGGCGGAATTCTGTCTTTTAGCTATGACTCTTACTTCCATGAATCCAGCCCTCGCGCAAGCGAATATCGGGAGCACCCGGCTGCGGCTCTTCGGCTCAGCAATGCAACTCCTTCAAGCCAAATCCTCCCTGCCGCTTACAGAGCCAACCTCCTTGCAGCTACTACTCATTTGTTTCCCCCATCGTCAATTGCGAGTTGGATGGCGTCCAACACTTCGTCCACTGACGGCCGTTCCGAGTATGTGTAGAGGCCGAGGGCCTTCATGGGGAGCCGGCGCAAAGACCTCCCGGACATTCCGACGCACTTCTTCGAGAAGTGCCATAGCTTGAACGCCAAGCTATCCTCGGCGGCCATCAGCGTTAAGTATCCCAGAGATGGAAAAAGACGTGGATCCTCCATCATGGTGCTTGCGGCGTCAGCTTTCCTCCAACGTCCATCTTCAGTAGAGCCGGCTGTTCCGTTGGTCGTGCGAGATGGCTCTTGGGATCTGCAAAGCGTGGTAGACGTCAGGAGGTCCTGCCTGATGAGCTCATTCAGTGACGATCGAAGTATGCTGTAGACTGCATCCGACCCGGGATTAGGCACGGCTTGTGACATGTCAACACGATCCAGGAAGGCGGAGTCCTATTCCTGATTAGCAAAAGTCCGACGCCCCGGAACCCACACGGGGATGGCCAATGAACAAGAGTCGGCGTACAATCGCATCGGGAAGGTTGCTGGTACACAGCACCATGACGTTGGGGCGGCTCCGAAGACGGTCAAGTGCGGTAAGTATTCCATTCGTAACCTTGAAACGTCAGCTAATTACTACCAAGTGAAACGGCTCGTCTCACCCGTATAGCATCTGCAACTTCGCCACACATTGACTGTTCACGCGGAGAGACTAGGCTCTCGACTTCGTCAATCATCACACAAATTAATGTCTGTGTTTCCGAGTTCGCAAGGTCTTGGATCTTGTCAAAGATTTTGGCGATAATCTTTCCGCTCTCCCCAAAATATTTGCTGAAAAGCGATTCTGGATGGATCTCGATCATCTTGCCGTGCGTGTATATTTTGCCCAAACGAATCTTCAGCTTCTGGGCCAATCCTCGACTATTCAAGCCATGTGGTCAGCACTACCAAGACAAATGGGCTCGAACTGCCAAACAGCATTACCATAGTGTCGTCTTTCCACTCCCTGGTGGACCGTGGAGCAAGAAGAGACCGTTCCAGCTGATGTAATGACTGCTTTTCGGGTCCAGAGCGTGTTTGTGCAGAATAGTCACTGTTATTGTCAGCATTCAGCTTCACAGTCATCGCTCTAACATGCTTACACATGCGTGTTGCAAGTCGTAGCAATTTGACATGGATATTTCCGGGGTAGGCCAGACTAGGGTGACGTTGGTGAGTAGCTGTTTCTGGATGCGGGAAGAAAGTAACTCACGACTCCCACAACCCGTCCAGGTTGACATTTGGCAAGGTAACCGCGCGCATCTGATGTGTCGTGTTATCTTCAAGATTCCCTTCATCGCCAGTCAAAGTTATCAACGTAGCAGATGCTGCGCCTTCGTCGTCTTGGAGCCGATAGACTTGAACATCAAGCATAACTTCCTGAAGAGAGAAACAGCTGCTGCCCTCATTGTTTCCAGAATAACTGTCGACGTGGATGTATTCGATGCTTTGTCCACTCTCAAGGCTCTCTGTATCGAGGGTAAACGGCGACTTCTCCGCGTCGTGGGTCGCATTGAGTGCTCACCATCACCAGACACCGTCTCTCCTACCTTCAGGTAACTGAATTTCTGCAGTATCCATTGTGAGACTTCATCTCTGACCTGGATGTATTACTGTTAGTTACGGTTACAGCGGTTTGACGATGCCGGCGTGTGACCCACCTCGTCCGCGCGCCAGAACGGGCAGGGTGTGTGGCGAAGGCGCACTTCTACGTGTAAGATGCCTTTCGACGTCATCGTTGTCGTACCTTTGGAAAGCGGTGTAACGTTCTTGTCATGTTCGCGATTGAGTGGAGGCGTTTGTGGTTGTACTAGGCTGCAAAATGAGCGAATGCGCGGAGAGGCAGCTGCTCCCAACGGAAGGTGCAATCAGCACACGTGCAAGCGGGTACCTGCACACCCGCCCTACAACTCCCACGGATTATTTGGCGTTATCTTGAAATATTGCATACAGTTGTTGTCAAATATTTGAATATTCTGGCAATTGCACGCCAAGTAATATACATGTGCACATAGAATACACAGTAGAAAAAGTGCAGCCCCATGCACATTACCTCTAAACCGAAATCCCAAGGCATCGGGGAAGCCGCTTATTTGTTCTCAGCTGCTCGTCTCTTCGCTCTAACCTCAGCCTTCCTCCTCTCACCGCCATCAACCTTGTGTCCTCTCCTCTCCTCCCACAGGCCCTCTTTCACTGCTACCCTCGCAATTTTGTTCGAAACGGCCTCGACATAGGGTCCAACGATAGTGTGCGCGCCCTTGACCTTCAGACCGCGCAGCGGCTTCGCGTTTTTCAGCACCTGCTCCGAGACCTCTACGCCTTGCGGCACGTTGACAACAATCTTCTTCGTTCCCGGCGCCGAGGTAGCTGTGGCAAGCTGCGGATGGCTGGAAGCACTGTCGGACGGCACTTCGGCAATGCGGACCTCAGCAACGCCGTCCGTGACGTGCTTGGCGTCGCCGGCCACGCCGTACTCGCCGTTGCGGAACTTCTCCCGCCAGTGCAGTAGATAGCGGCGCGACCGTGCGGGCTCGACGCCCAGATCGCGCAGCTGGTCCGAGGTCAAGCTGAACAGCGCTTCCCACGAGGGTATTTTGGCGGCGTGCTGGGAGAGCTTACGGCCGATGACGGTGAGGAAGGTGGTGACGTCCGGAACGAAGGGCGTGGGCTGGGGGATAGGCCGCTGGGGGATGCGGTTATGCAACTGGCGGACGCATTGGTACGAAATCGATGTTGCAGGCGCGCTGGACCGGAGCAGCTGCGCCAACCGGGGGTTTGGCCGGATAATCATGGTGGTGATGCGCGACTCGATGTAGCCTGCAGTAGCCGTCAGGACGACGGTTCCGACGATTGAGGTCGGCAATGACTTGCCTGAAGCACGACTGCGGCGAACGGGCTGTCGGGCGCGTGGGTTTCAGTGGTCGCGCTGAGAATTGGGCGGAGGTGGAGCTGGAGGTCAGACGTTGCTCGCCGCGGGAACTTTTCGTCGGCGGACCGCCGCCCTCTGGCGCCGAATCCCTGCACCCGGCGCCGCCTGGCGTAACTCCTCCCATCATCAACCACCAGCTCCCAGGCGCCCTACATCTGCTCGCATGGTCGCAGCTGCAACAGGATAGCAGCCCTCGAAGCTACCATAGCCGCATCAGCAGCCATCTGCACCAAGCTCAAGGGACTAGCTCCACCGCCGAGGCCGTCTTCCTTTCACCTCTGCTCCGCTGCGATCATCTGCCATCAGCCAGCCTGTCTCGACCCTCGAAACTCGCTACCCGTCCACTCGCCCTCGCCATAGTTATTCACCATGGCAGTCTCTCCGGCGGAGCCCTACGCCGCGTCTGCCAACGCAAATATCACCGCCGCCAAAGCCAAAGCGCTCACCGTTCTACAACACAATGCCGCCAAAGCACTGTCTCCCCGCACCGCTGCCGCATCAACAGGCTCCACCTCTGACGATGCGCCGCGCGATTTGTCTGAGGCGATGAACGAGGAGATTAAAAACAGATATAAGAAGAGTATGTTCCCAGCCAGTGCACCGTCCTACTGTGTAGCCATCGACACTGACACGCTCCACTCGAAACAGCAACAAAGCTCGGTGAAGGTACATACGCCATCGTATACAAGGGCGAAGTTGTGGCGAAGCCCGGACAGTTTGTCGCCATCAAGAAAATTAAAGTGAACGCCGAGTTCAAAGACGGCATCGCGATGGACGCCATCCGAGAAATCAAGCATCTGCAGGAGCTGGACCACCCGAACGTCATCAAGCTGCACGCCGTGTACAGTTCGAAGGCGCAGAACCTGAACCTTGTTCTCGAGTTTCTTCCTCTCGGTGACCTGGAGCAAATGATGAAGGCGCGCGACACGATATCCTACGCGGCGGCCGACGTTAAATCGTGGATGGGCATGGCGAGCCGTGGTCTTTGGTGGTGCCACGCCAACTTTGTTCTGCACCGCGATATAAAGCTCAACAACTTGCTCATCGGCGCCGACGGCGAGGTCAAGCTGGCCGATTTCGGTCTGGCCCGCTCCTTCGCCGAGCTGTACGCGCCCATGACGTACAATGTCATCACGCGGTGGTACCGGCCGCCCGAGCTGCTCTACCAGGCGCGCTTCTACTCGGGCGCCGTCGACGTGTGGAGCATGGGCGTCGTCTTCGCCGAGCTCGTACGCCGCGACTTCTTCATGCCTGGCGACACCGACCTCGCCCAGATCGACCAGATCGCCAACGTCTTCGGCACCCCCACCGAGGACAACTGGCCCGGCGTCTCCAAGCTGCCCGGCTATATCAAGCCCGCCGCCGACGGCGCCGACGTCAAGCGCGGCTGGCCCCAGGGCTTCTGGGACTCCGAGTTCGGCCTCATCGGCCCCCTGGGCATCCAGCTGCTCCGCTTCATGCTGACCCTCGACCCCCGCAAGCGCGCCACTGCGAAGCAGGTCCTCGAGCATCCCTGGTGGACGGCGGAGCCGAAGCCGACGCCCAAACAGGACCTGCCGAACCCCAACAAGACGAAGGCCAAGGCAGAGCTCGAGAAGAGGATGGGCGAGGATCTGAAGAGGCGCGGCGGCGAAATTCCTGGCGAGGAGGGCCGTGGGGACAAGGTGGCCAGGAAGTTGGATTTTTCGTCCTTCAGGTGAACGTTGACCGACGATCCTTTGTGGAGCTATGGGGATTGACCGCTTCGATTTTTTTGTGGCCCGCCGCTCATCCTCTGTCGGCAGACGGAATCGGATCACCGCTGTCTCCCGCACCAGCTCTGGTTTTCCTGGCTACACGTAACAGACGAGGCGAGGAATGGATGCCAGGGCTCGAGGTTACATCAACCTCGGGCGGCGTCCTCTCTTCTGGGCAACCTTGACGACTGAGGAATGCGACAGCTGAAGCGTGCAAGAAAGATATGCAAAAGGCCCGGAGCGGTGACCAGCGGCAGCGGAAACGTCTCAGCCCGGCCGTTCTCCACATAGAGGCTTTTCATCCTCTCACAGGCCTTACCAGGCCGTATGGTCGGCAGAAGGGAGTACGGCACTGCAAACTGTATGCATCAGTTTGACTATCTTGTGGTGCACCAGTCGGACTAAACTTGGGTCTTGGGCTAGTGAGCTTGAATGAGGACAATCACCAGTTGCAGGCGGTGCCACAGTGGATGGGGATTAGAAAAGAGTTGTTGATTTGGATATCATCACTTGATGGTCCCAAAGCGGAGTCGCATCGTAGAAGACTAGAGGACACAAGACGCTTCAGCCAGACGATAGAAGTCACAAAGGCCTAGAACAGTTTCATTTTGCTCAACCGTACGGTCATAAAATCGAGAGATATAAAAAAAGTCGTTATTTTGTTCTGTCCATTCGCCGACCGTTGTGTAACGTCATCAATACCGCTCGTGAAGCTGCAGTCCTGATGTTAAATACTCATCTTTGCTTCCAATTCGAAAGTAACCTGAGAAACCCAACCCAAATAACACAGAAATACAAAATTGGTATGTGTGCGAAGCCGTGGGGATATCAACCTAACCAGGACTCTGAAGCAAAAAGCAAGTAGAGAGAAAGAAAAACGAGACAAAGGTGTTTTGATATCCAAAGTTTGCGTATGCGCTGGTGCTACTAGGCACTCTTTAGGGAGTCGGTGGCTGTCTGGATGAGTCCAGTCCAAGGTAAAAATGAAATGGCAGAGTTGCAGGTGTGGCTTGCAACCCATGACGCGTAGCTTGTGAGTCCGAGCATACAGCAGGGGAGTGGATTAGAATCTCTCCATAAACCGGCTGTCCCTCTGGGGACTCTCCGTACTCCGTTTCGTCGTCAACCGCGGAGGTGGCTCAAGACTCTCGCCCGCATCGACAAATTGCTCCTCGTCATCGTCTACACCATTTGAAACACTGCTCACTCCAGTCGCTGCGCTACGCTGCCGACCTCGACTGCTCCAGCTACCCGCGAATCCGCCTCCGCTACTGGTACGAGCTATTTCACCACTCTCCAGGCTGCTGATGCTAGGTGAGGAACGGCGTGCCGGTGGGGTTGTGATCATGGGCGTCGTTTGCTCAGGAGCTGGCGGTTGATCGCGCGTAGCAGCAAGGGAACTCTGCGAGCGGAGTGCCGCACCGCCGATGAAGCTGCTGCGATGGGAAAGTGTCCCAGGCTCGGCCTTCTCAGACTTCTCTTTGGAACGACCAAGGTGGGATCGGCGCTTTAGACGATTGAAGAAGGACTTGAGACCGCGGCTACCGCCTTCCTTTGGAGAAGTAGTGTGGTCGATAGGGGAGGTAGGCGCAGAAAAGGAGATATCCTTGGCTGATTTGTTGTTTTCATTGTGTGTAGGTGTTTCGATGGTAGTTGCAGGCGCGGTAGCCACACGGCGTGTTTGATGTGACTCCTCGACGGGGTCGACCGTATGTTTCTGCTTGTCTTCCTCGTCAGAGGATGCAACCTCGCCTATCGCCTCGACCTCTCTCTGATAGCTTGGAATTTCAGCCAAGGGCGCAGGTCGCTCGTCTCTGTGAGTGCTTGAAGTCACAGGTCGGGGCTCCAGAACGGTCATGGGCGCATCAGAGTGGTCCTCGTGTTCTTCTTGTTCCGCCTTCGACTTGCGTTTTTCCTCTTGCTTGAGCCGCTTCTCTTCATCACGTCGCACCTTTTCAATTTCCTTCTCAGCCTTTGCAGTAGCTTTTTCTTGAGCCTTACGGGATTTTTCTTCTGCCTTCAACTCACCTACACAATGTCAATCATTAGGATCCACACACAGTTATTGGATGTACTCACTCTTGATCCTCTTCTCCTCAGCCTTTCGCTCCGCCTCACGCTCCTTCTCGACAGCCGCAAGACGTTTCCTCTCCTCTTCCTCAAGCCGTCGCTCCTCGTCCTGAGCTCTCTTAGCCTCGGCAGCATCGGCTATTTCATTCAAGGTCGGGGCGACTTTGCTGGCGGCAACAGCATCGATCTCGGACTGGTCTAGAAACTTTCCACCCCCAACGTGTACTTTGCCGTGATTCTCCATGCGTTTCTCGCTCTGTTCAGATGCTTTGGCGCGGGCTTTCGCTTCCCATTCCTCCATGATCGCCGGTGGCACTTTCCCAGTTTCCATGAAGACCTTCTCGTCCATCGTGTGCATCTGAGCGAGCACTTTTCGCTCTGCGGCGGCGAGGAGGTTTTCGCGGTCTTTCTGCCTCTTCTTGGCATCAACTTGGGCAAGCTTGGTGTTGAATATGGACATCTGATCCCTGATCCTCCGCGATTGTTCTTCGTCATCTGAATCAATCAGTCTACTGTCGCTGGAGGCACGGCGCCTCCCTCGACGTACGGAGAGCCGGGAGCGCTTTGGCGTGCTGCTGTAACCGTAGTAGTCACGGAAGTCATTCGTGCCATCCGCGTCGAGTTTGGCCAGTCGTTCGGCAGCCAGCCTCTGAGCCTGACTCTGCACCTTCATGTATTGCAGCGCCTGTGTTCTGAGGTCCGCAGGTGAAGTGGTGCTGCTCGCTATTGACATCGGCCGTGCGCTGGCCCCGCGAGCCGCCGTCTCACCAATGTTGGAGATGCCAGCTGCCTCGTTGATCGCGTGCTGTTGTGTATCGTACATTTTCTTGGCCATGGAGATTGCGGAGGCCCGAAGGGCTGCTTGTCGTCGCTGTTCCTCGACCTCGATCGAGACCGGTGGCGTCGAACCGAACATCTCTTTCGGGACATTGGCGCCGATGTTGGTAATCCGTGCGGATTGCATAGCTTCCGAACTCGTGCGGTTGGTGTCGTGAGGCTTCTTGATCGACGGTCTATGTGCGACAGTGGCGGCGTTAAGTGAATTGTGGGCAGAGTTTGCGGCATCAGGATAGTTTGGAAGCGGCGCGGGTGACGATTCTGCCCTTTTCCGGTTCCTGGCAGCCACTGCCCCTGTTGCAGCTGTGAGTGCATTCCTCTTGCCAGTATCGGAGTAACCATAGTCAGGCTGTGGGCTCAGCGCCTTGTTACGCATGGCAATGCCAGCAGCCGAATTGCCGTCCGCACTTGCCTCAGGCATCCACAGGTTGAGTTTGGCGCTATCCCGATGAGCGAGTAGTGCGGCCTTGGAGCCTGCCGCGCTCAGTTCTGGTTGCCAGAGAGGCGGCATCTTGTAGTCTTTGGCCAAGAGAGCGGCTTTTGCAGCGCTGTCAGACGTGCCATCAGGCTTCCACCACTCGATTTTTGTCTTGTTTCCCGCAGCCAGCAGCGCAGCGGATCCCGCGGAATTAGCTGTGTCAATGCCTACGACCGGGAAGCTAGGGAGTTCCTGCGCTCTGGCGTACTTGAGAGAGGTGGCGGCGCCTGTTGCTGCGCGGTCAGTGGGTGCAGTCCCTAGATCCATGGCATTTTTCTGGGAAGCACATACTCGCCGAGGAGAGCTTTCCGTTAGAGCCAAGCGGACTCGTTTGCTCAATGTTTGTCGCGCGATCAGGGTGTGTGACGTAGAGGGCAGCGGTTGAGGCTTGTTCTTGAAGTTTTTTGTCTCGGCCATGAGCGGACGGATCCGGACAGGCCATATCGCCAGAAGAAAAGGGCTTGGCTGACTGCGAGGAATAAGCTCCTGCGTGAGCATTCTCGAGAGCAGCGGTGGCAGCCATAGTGGGAAATATAGGGCTGCGGACTGGAAGGTAAATTCCTATAGGAACAGGCACGGAACTAGAGACATGCGGCGCGACAGCGGATTGGTGAAGTGTGAGATAATGTCTGCCTGAGGAAGATGTGCCGCAAGGATGCGAGCAGAGCGAAGCGCGGAGGCCAGGGCGAGGGTTGTATAGGACATGGACGCCATGACATCACCTGTGTGGCCAGACGCGAGACCCTTGCCGCCTAAGCCGCAACGGGCTGGCGGGCACGACGGCGCCTCCAGTTTGCACGCTGTCACGAGCGCCAAGAGAGTCCGTCGCCTTTCGCGCCCGGCGAACAGTCGGTTCTGCGCTATGCGCCCGCTGCGGCTGTCGTCCCACGGATGACGATCTGCGCAAGTGGAGTGTCCCTGGGAAACTCCAGCGCCTGCAGCGCAAAGAATGCGTGGGGCCGATCGGCACAGGGAACCCGCCTGGCAATCTCGACCACCGACCAGCGTCGCAAAACCTGACCTCCATCCCACGCCAACGGCTGAACTCCTGTCAGTGCGGCCACGCATCCAGTACGACCGTCTTCTAGCCCTGCCGCCAGTTCAACCAGAGCACGACGCAACACAAGCAGACCTCTGTCGCAGTCTCTTCAACGGAAGCACCAGACGCAAAGCAGGATACCTGCCGCGCCTGACACAAATTTCTTTTCTCGTGCGATCTGCGTTACAAAGGATTATCTGCGTGCCTAAATCTTGCCATTTGGACAGTTGCTATTTTTGGTTGTCGTCGCCATGGCCACCGAACAGCCTCGTTTTGAGAAACTTCTCAATTTCCGCGATGTCTCCTCCCTCCTCTCTCAGCCTTCAAGGCTCAAGGCGGGCAGGCTCTTCCGCAGTGCCAGGCCAGGTATGCCTCCAATGCGAATCCCGCTCCATCGCACCTGACGCTCCGCACAGACGAAGCCACGCCCGCAGACCAGGCTCTGCTAGGCAAATGCTACAACATTTGCACCATCGTCGATCTCCGCAGCCCAACCGAGCACCTCGAGCAAGCTAAAAAGCTCGCCGCTCAGGCCCGGATTGACGACCATGTCTCCACCGTCCCGTCCCCGTGGAGCACCTCTGCGTCCGCAACGGCGGCCGACCTTCCAAAGATTCCGGGAATCACGTACCGCGATGTCAACTTCAATGGTGGTGCCTACATCCGCTCGATGCTATCGCAACTTTCCTGGCCCTCTTACTTGACTGTGCTAGCCTACTATGTTGCTGGTTACCGCGTTGAAGCCGTGCAGATCATCGGCCACGAGGTAATGAGCCCCCGTGGCGTTGTCGGCCTGATGCTGGACAGTTTGGCCGTTTGTACCAAGGAGATCGCCGTCGTATTCAACGAGGTGCTAGCGCGAGAGGAGAGTTACCCAGTGCTGTGGCACTGCACCCAGGGAAAGGACCGGACGGGACTGGTGACGATGTTGACGCTATTTTTACTTGGCGTGGACATTGATGATGTGCAGCGTGATTACATGGCAACGCAGGCAGAATTGGAGCCTGAAAGGGAGGAGCGTGTAAAAGAGATCGCCAGGATTGGGCTAGGATCGGAATGGGCAGACTGCGATCCCAACTTGGTGGCAGAGGTAAAGGAGTTTTTGGATGAAAATTATGACGGTGTCGAGGGGTATTTAGAGAAGGCGGGAGTGAGTCGCGAGACGCAAGAGAAGATCAAGAGTATTCTGCGTCCATAACGGAGTGAATGCATGCATGACATTCTGTACGACTGCCGTCAGGGTGTGTTAGCAGGAATGGTCTGTGTGCTTTACTGATCTTCGCCTGGCACCGAAGCATGGTGCAGAGTTGGGTATTTGTGCAGGTAGGGCTGCAACTCTTAATTAGAAAAGCTGTCGACTTGCCTTTTCTTAAATGCATCACTGCCATCCCCACTTCGCCTTTCCACTGCGGTGTCGGCCTTAACTTTCTCCTGATTGTACCCCACATAGCACATCCGTCATCTTTAGTATCCGCATGTGTACCTCGTTGCGCGACAGGAGGTTCCTGCAGACATGTTTGGTCATCCCAGACGCCGGTCGCCACATTGACGCACAAGTCTCGGAGGACCATCTACCGTTCACGCCGTTCCTAGTACTCCTTTTGAAAAGTTTGCTCGATGGGTTTGGCGGCCTGAGAGTGTCAGGTGTCATCATTCAGCCTCCTTTCAATCAGGAGGGCGCTTACCTCGATGAACTTCTCCAAGCTCTCGTCCAATTTAGCAAGGTCCTCCTTTCTTTTGTTGTTCTCCGCAATCAATCCCTGCTTCTTCTTCAGCAGGCCTTGCCTCTTTTCCTCCAACGCCAATCTCTCCTTGTGCTCATGCTCGATCCTGGCCTTCATCAACGCGTCCTCAAACACCTCCTCCTCGTACGCCGTATCCTCGTCTCCACCTTCCATGCCCACATCCTCCCCTCCCGACTCCCCGCCTCCCGCCTTATCTCCCCTCTCAAGAACCGCCTTCTGTGCAGCTTCCCTACAGCCCTCCACTACGTCCGGAAAGGTCGCTGCAAACTCGTCCTCGGGCATCAGCGGGAGCTTCTGATACGGATGATCGTAGCCCTGGCAGGCCTTTATCTCGGACTCCAGATGACGCTGCTCGTAGTACAGGTTCTGCAACGCCAGGTGCAGCGTGTCGACCTCGTGCCTCGCGTCGGCCGTCGCGTGCTTGGTCGCGCGCACGCTCAGCAGCGCCTTCCGATTCTGGTTGCGCACCGCGGCGAGGTGGGCGTGTAGGGCCTTTTGCGCCGACGATATCTGCTCGGCGACCTCGGGCGGCATCTGGTTCTCGGCGGGCCTGGACGACGATGGAGGGAGCGGGTGCTCGGCGAGCAGCGCTAGCAGTGCGTCGCATTGCTGCTGGGCGAGCGTAGCGGCGTCGAGCACGGCACGTAGGTCCGGGTCGGTTATGATGTCGGCAGCGGTCATTACGGCGGTGGTGGGAGCAGTCAATGGGGCGGATGTTGTTGTTGTGGTTGCTGCGCGCGGAAGAGCGACGGGCAAAGTTCCAGCGCGCGATTGCACGGCCGGCATGATGGCGGGCGGCTGTGCCCGTGCGTGCGGCCCGCGGATGACGACTGGAAAATCAAGCCTGATTGGTTGTTGCAGTTGAGGTGCAAGGTGCGGAAATTCAAGTTGTATCAGCAGGAAATTTTCAAAGGGTCCTAGCTGAGATGTTGAGAGTGAGAAAAGGCGCAGGGTCGGTGCTTCTGTGGTACATTGGCCTGCGCAGCTTCTCGTTCTGCCACGGCTCAATGGTGATGGCCATTTGCTTTATGCGACAGGCCCGCCCCGCATGCACTCCATCACCGAAACGTTTGCTTGCATGGGACCATAACGACTAGGCAGCTTACTAAAGTACAGCAGAGAGAAAGAGTTGCTGCCGTTCTTTTTTTTTTTTTTTTTGCACAACTCTTCCCAATAGCTCTGATGGAACGTGGATGGTGTTTAACGCCGCACTCGGAGATCAGCCGCATGCTGAGACACGGTCCAATTTCTGGGAAACATTTAAGGCTCGCGTATCAACGGCGTTATCTCTCGTCCGGGGTACAGCGGTAGGCCCCTTAGTCACGCCCCTATAAGGACGAAACGCGGTATAAGGACCAAGCTCCCCGGGATAGGGAGTATATTGGCAGAAACCTCCTGCAGGAGGAGCAGCAGCGCTTCGCAGCGTCGATCGACGTCACAACGGGATAGATCTGCGTGTTCGCCAATAGCGCGGAAGTTCGGCAGGGAGCAGCGCTTGATCGGGCGCGGCGAGCTCTGGGCAAATTTCAGTTGGGAACTTTTAGGCGCGCATGGACCCCAATATCCCTTCGGACTTGGCCCGGATACGTGCATGAAAGACGAAAAGCTTTGCGTGCTCGGCCGCGCAATCGGCCACCGCTGGACGAAGCCCGTAGCGGACCAGACCAGACACTGCGACACCGTCAGCTTACCGGGCGGTGCTATGTACCAGCTAACTGCGCGCTCGAACCCAACGCGGCGGACGGACGCGGCGGGTCTGCGGCCACGGTGCTGGCGCAGGGCGATAAGGAGCGCTAGGGCCCATGTTGGTGCTATGCGCCTTGGGGCACCCATGCGCGGCATCGTAGCCGAGCTGTAAGGCTGGCCCTGTCCGGTGGCAACTCGCACGCCAAGCGCCGCCCAGGGCCCAATCCCAATCCCCACGCACGCCGCTGCAGGAGCGCTGTGCGAAGATGAGGTCGGGCGTGGGGAGCGGCGGCCTTTGGGCGCGCTCGTTGGTGGCTTTGCAGCGGCGGGTTGGCTAAGTAGACAAGTGCTGCGGCCCACGAGTCAGCTTCACATGCCCCCGGGCCCGCCCCACCCGTCGCGGCGTGCAGACGCGGGCACCCTTCAACCAACTTAAGCCCGCAGTCGCCCACTGCCGCTCCTTTCCCTGGCCCACGTGTAGATATTTTGCCGTCTCTTCCTTCCAAACCCCTCTTTATCTGCAGCCACGCGTCGGCTCTCAATTCACGCTCCCTTTTCCGTTTTGCCGCCGTCTCAGCTGCCGTCTCACCCGCGAATCGTCCCGCCTACAATATTTGCACCACCTCCGCACCTGCGCCGACCTCGACGACCAGCGCCTGAATCCACCTTTCACCGCCGCCTCCCACTGCTTTCGACCGCGCTTCCACCTCCCGCCCACCATGGCGTGCACGGCCACGTCCATCATGACCGAGTCCTACGAGGAACCCGTTATCGGCACCTCGTCCGGTCTCGCTGTCCGCCGAGAAGAGCTGCGCCGGCGCAGGCATTCCTCCTATCACCGCCGGAATTGGTCCATGGAGGACAACGTACAGGTTTTGGTGCGTGCGCCCGCAGCGTCGTGTGAGGGAAGTCCGAGCGGAGATTAATCAGTCTAAATTGCAGGTCGACCGATTTCTGATCGAGCTTGAGCGCCGCCTTGACTTTATAGAATCTTACGGCCAACTGAAGCTGGATGCCGGCATTGAGCGTGCCTACAACACCCTCCACACCGTGCGCGACTCGTGCTCGAGCGTGAGGAACGACGTAATAGACGCCGGCAAGCGCCGAGCGAGCGTCCTTGTTACGACCCTGGAGACGATCCACCAGGATGCCTTGGCGCGGAAGGAGACCATGGAGCAGAAGGTGCACGAGGGTATCCGGTTGTTGGAATTGACGCTGGCCGACTTTGAGGCCCGCGCCTACGCCATGCGGGACGCCGGCGTACGGGCCGTAGCCCACGAGATCTACGGCGAGGGCCACCGGAGGATGCACGACGCCAAGGTCAAGGCGAAGGAAGTCATGGGCGAGGGTCTGGAGAAGGCGAGACGAGCCAAGGACAGCATGAAGGAGAGCGTGGAGCATGCCGTGGGACACGCATTGGCGAGAGCAAAGGAGCACGGCCTGATCAGGTACGAGGATCTTCCGGAGCCCTGGCGCGTGAACCCCCACATCCTCAAGGGATACCGATTCCACGAGGACAAGCTGGACTGCATCCTGTCCGTCTTCAATCTTTCCAACGAATCCTTCAACATCTGGTCCCACGCCATCGGTCTGGTCATCGTCCTGTCCATCGCCTTTTACTTCTATCCCACCAGCGTCAACTTCCACATGTCGAGCAAATCCGACATCTTGATCGCCGCCATGTTCTTCTTCGCTGCCTGCAAGTGCCTGGTCTGCAGCACCATGTGGCACACTATGAGCAGCATCTCGGAACAGAAGCTGATGGAGCGTTTCGCCTGCGTCGACTACACGGGAATTTCGCTCCTCGTGGCAGCCTCCATCATGACGACCGAGTACACGGCGTTCTACTGCGAGCCCGTCTCACGCTGGATCTACATGGGCACCACTCTGATGCTTGGCGTGGGCGGCGTCATCTTGCCCTGGCACCCGACCTTCAACCGTGCTGACATGGCTTGGGCCCGTGTTTGCTTCTACGTGTCGCTCTCGGCCACCGGTGCTATTCCGGTGGTCCAGCTCATTCACTCGCGCGGTCTTTTCTGGGCCATTTACTTCTACGCCCCCATCGTCAAGTCCCTTGCCGTTTACCTCACTGGAGCTGTGCTCTACGCCGCCAAGATTCCCGAGCGCTGGTGCCCGGGCATGTTCGACTACGTTGGCGGCAGCCACAACATCTGGCATGTCGCGGTGCTCGGCGGTATTCTTTTCCATTACGTGGCCATGCAGGAGTTCTTTGCGCAGGCTTTCCTGCGCGCCCAGACACAGCCGCAGTGTTCGGCGTATTGATTTGGCTGTGTTGTCCATCGTTCCTGGATTCTCATTTGTCATCGTTGGAAGCTTGCATCACCGTTCGTTTTTTCATTTTTATGTTTTACATCTCAGCATAGCAGCGTACATTTTGCATAATCACGGAGTGCAGTTTTTTGCGTAGAGTAGAGGATGGTTGCATTGGCATCGGGAGTATGAATATCCCTGTTGTGTTGCAAATTAGCGTTCGCTCTGGAAGACATTAGATAGCGCCGCAAAACCTTTACCAAAAAGGAAAATGAGAGAGCATTCTCTGGTATACCAATCTTCCCCAAAGCTTTTGTGAGCGTGAATCTGTAACGAAGCCCATGTTCGACGCTTTGCTCTTTCACCACAATGGAGGCTCCACGACAAACCTCTTCTGCAAGCGCGACCCTTTCACGTTCTCCATGGACATTTCATTTTGTTGTTCTTCAACGGCAACTGCAGATGGAGTTTGATTTAACGTCTGTTGCGGTACTTAAAGACAACATATGGGCAGCTGACTATTGTCCGGACGTAGATGTAGAATTTAAAATGATACATATGCGTCCGGACAATAGCTTCAGCTCCCTACATGTCAAATTCCAAACTATGCATCTCTCAAATATTTAGCTCACCTGCCTCATTTCTCATATACGGCGAATTCAAGTTCATATTGGCGAATTTTGAGGTCTCCTATCGTATACACAATGCAGTCATCTCAAGGAATACTCTTTCGTTCTCAGTGAGCTTTTGATTCCGAATGCTACCCAGTAAAAGAACATCACCACGCTCCCAATGAGTTTTCCACACGTCTCCTCTTCTGCTGGCATAGGCTGAATCACGTCCAGCACGGTGGTTGTGGTGAAGGTGTGGTGGAAGTTGTTCTCAATCCGGATGAACATCGTAAGTCTGGTACCTTGGGATGATTGCATCTCTGTCAAAAGCCTTACGAGACCGGCCTGCAGCATCTTTGTCTGGTCTTTGGTGCCACTGTCCACATTGTGGTCAGGACTGAGCAGGTCCTTAGCTGTGGGCTCCGTGAGAGTGGAAGCGTCAACGATGGTGGTGCGAACCCTCTGGCGTAGTGTGATGATGTGGTCCATCAGCGCACGGGGTTTCTTCTCAATACTGGGCTCGAAGGATTTCTCGCCCTCGTCGATCTTGGATTTAAATTCAGCGAGTCAGCCCTTAGACTCACCGCGGACTGTCAAAAAGACCTTCTTGCCACGCGTAATTGCAATATTAATACGACAGTCGTCCTTCATAAAGCCGATGTCAACAGCCTTGCCAACACTGACATGAACGAGATCTTAGACGCCGATATCTGCTTTATAGCCCCAGGAAGAGTCGACGGTGGCAGTACGAAGAACGTCGCTTGTCGTCAAGTTCTCCGAGCGACGAAGCTTGAGGATCTGGTCATCACACTCCTCGCGCTGACGCTTGTGTGGTGCAAGGATGACAATAGTCTCACTCATTTTCTTCATTGAGGCCCGTCAGCTGCTCGATGGCACCCGTTACCCACTGTACGTTTTGAAGGTCGGCCCGAGCATGAGAGCGGGACGAGCGGCGCAGAGTACTCCCATTCGCTTGCACGTCTTGTAGTCGGGCCTTGTCGTACTGCTTGGGATCCTCGCTGTCCATCTCGGATTTCGCTTCAGTGACATCTGCGTGAGTGAAGGGGTCGATCAGCGGGGGGCTCAGCGGGATCGTGCTTGAGCAATATAGGCCAGAGATCCTGTCGGCAAGCCTTCAGTTCCTGACATGTATAGTGTCCTAAGATTTTAGGCGACTTCCACTTTGTGAATACACATCGAAACCGGCACCATAAAGTTGCACCAGGGACTACCGTCAGCGTTGTCAGGGCGGGTTGTGTGATTCCGGCGCTGTCGCATTCAACAACCGTGAAAGAATCTCCAATTTCGTTCTGCCAGGCTCCACTAGATGTCGATAGCAGACTCGGTGGGCTCTGTATGGTCTGTGAGCCACTCCCTGCTTGTGAACTAGATCAAGGCGGCGGCGTGGAGGTCCTTCCTGGTGAGCTTTTTCCATTTGCCCTTCTTTGCCAGCCTCAATGACTTATGCGTATCAGGCCCGACACTGTTGGAGTCATTGACGATGGTCAAGCTATCTCGGACGTGACTAACGACGACATCCAAACGCCAGCGGTCTTGAACGAACACCGCTGCTTGCTCACCTGCGGCAACCAGATCGGCAATGGCAATGTCCACTTCTCCACCTTGGACAGCGTCGACAATGCATGCCTTGAAGTCGTCCTTAGCGTTGAGGAGCCCAATGGATCTTCTCAGCACTCATGTGGCGCAATTCTGCCATGTACTGTCTCCTCTGGGAAGCGTAAAGAGTGACAATGAGGACTTCCTTGGCTTCAAAACCTGTTGCAAGCAACTTCTAGATCAAACTGAACGTGTGGCTAGTGAAAGGTTTGTTGATTGAGCTCGTTCCATCCTTGAGGCGCTGTCCGTTGTCGAGATTAATGAGGATCTTGTCCTTCCGAATTCCAAACTCGGTCTGAGGGAATGCTTGTGCCTTGGGCCGATCGTCAACGTCAGTGCCAGGTGCTTTCTGGACAATTCAGCAGTAAGCGTAGTGTGACCAGAAGTGGAATCTGCGCGACGCTGCTGTCGGAGCGTTGTGGTGGGAAAGCTCAAGTCGCTTGAGAGGCGAAGCTACTCGGCAAACTATTACTTCCTAGCCTTTGTGCAGCTCGCGGGTGAAGCAAAGGATGGTGTCGGTCGGAGGAAGCAGTTGCGAAGTCAGGAAAGAGCGGTCTTGACGAGCCCGCTTCATGCCTAGCCAGCCCGCTAAAGAAATATATGTACCGGCTTCCACTACTGCTAGCCAGAAAAGAACCAAAATGATCCCATGTACCCTCTTTTGTCACCAGTGGTCTGTAGTTGTCTTGCTTTCAGGACTGGGTCTCGTCGAATTTGCTTGAGAGTTCTTCATCATGAGTGTCGGGGTCGGTGAGCGGGGTTTCGTGAGGCGGGTCAGATACGAGCGCGGAATGGTGACGTGCGGGTAGGCACCATCTGTTTCGCTGATTGATCGTCTCCTCGATTCTGGGATGGAGTGGGAGGCGCGGCAGGGAGGTTTCCTGGGAAAAGAAAATCAGCACTGGCTCGTATCTAATCAGAGTTCATCTCACTTACGTATTCCATGGTTCCATCACAAACAGAAAACTGCACTGAAGGTGCGTGGGTTGTTTCCGCTGTCGCTCGATCGCCTCCTGAGTCTCCTACGATGTGCTCTCTCCATGTGTACTTTTCCAGATGAACGAGGTAATCTGAGGAAAACAAAGGCGCCGATATCCCTCAAAAGTGCATTGTCTGAGCTGACTGGTATCGAGGTCGTTGCTGGTTTGGTCAGTTGAACGCGGTGGTAGCTGTGTGCGATTTACTCTGAACCAGCCTTGTTGAAGTTGATGACATCAAAGTGAAACCCAGTATTTGCATCCGAGTTTGTGGAGGTATTGCGAATGCTGAGGGAAGCCGTCGGGGGAAAGACCATGCAACTCATACCTCAGGCGCTTGCGAGATCCCGATGACTGCTTTGTACAGGTGAGGCGCATGACGAGCACGGTTTGAATTAAGCCAAATAACCAGCACAAGGGTTTGGGCTGATGGCTATCGCAAGGGAAGCAACTGTGACGGTGTTTGTTAAGTTGGTTGAGTCTGTAGGGTCTGGGTGGAGACTTACGAGAGGGTTCCAAAATCAGAGAACCACCGTCACAATGTTTGAGAAAAGTATTCGGTTTATTCATGACGCCCCTAGGCGCTCTGACAATTAACACAAGGTTGAAAGCCAGGTGTTTTTGCGCAAGAACAATGCATTTGCGCTATGCCTTTTTCGACGGATTGAGTAGAAACTCCTGCTGACAGCAGGCTTTTCTCAGGAACCTCCTCCATGTGTACACCTCGCTGGGCATTGAGGAAGATGAGGGCCAGGATGTCAGGTTTAACCGCGAGAAAGAGCGCGACCATGTTGAAAAAACTTTCGAGCAGTACAAGGAGAAGTTCTTCACCGAGCTGGAACAATGTCACCAGGAGTAGTTCTGCTCAGAGATCCCTGACAGAAACCGGAACAGCAAGGCGGCAAAATATGCTCGGAAGGGAGAGTAGGAAGACCGCAGGGCCGTCATCAATCGGATCAAAGATATCAATCTCCCTCAGTTTGACGATAGCCCCGTCATGCCACGGGCCCACGACTATTTCGAGCTTACACAACGAGAGCAAGAGAAGATCCGGCTAGAGCAGTGGAACGTGAACGTTGCCGTGTCCCTGTACTGGACCTGTAAGCCAGGCCTAAAACTTGTTTACTCAGCAGGATGCTAATCGAACTCTTTAGTCCATCCCGAGATTGCCATTGAGAAGTGCTTTCAGCATGAGTTTATGGAAGTAACGTTCTGCATCTTCTGAATGACGACTTGAGACAAGTACATACACCCCAGGCTGGTGCAGATCGCATGCAACAACTCCGGCGATGAGAAGCTGACCAACCTGACGTCCACAAAGCTGTTTGCGCTGTCAATGACGATTGCTTTGAGGAAGATTTTGCCTGCCAGTCCATCGATGCTGTCTGGGTGCCGGAAAATCAGGAATATGGCAAAGTCACCCGGAAGAGGAAGGCAAGGGAGGGCACGGAAGGCGACGCCAGGGACGAGCCAGGTATTGGAACTCTCTTGCGTAAGCGCCGTGCAAGCTCCAATTCTACTACCTACTCACATCCCTCATCCCACAACGAGATCGTGGGACCGAAGCCCGTGTGGAGACGCAAAGAGGTACACGCGGCAAGGAAAGTTGGCTTGGCTTCTCTTTTTCTCTTCACAGTTTCTTTCGTATGGGCTGCGTTTTCTTTCGTCATCTCTCGGTGTCGAAAATTGCACATCTGGAAGGTTGCCGACGGCATATTGGGGCGTTTTGGCTGAATTTGCGCCTGTTTTATTTTCTTTTTTGATTGGGTTCTCGTAGGACTGCAGCGCGTACGATGTCGGAGGAATTGGCTTGCGGCAAGAAAAAGAAAAAGAAAAAGGACAATCTAAGACAGGCTTGTACAAACCTCGTAAAGAAGAGGAAAAGAGGGGAAAGTTTGGGGTAGGAAGGCGAGGTCCTTTTACAGGCATGGGTGCCACGGCAGGCGGCTGCCATCAGATTTTTTTTTTTTTTTGGCTACGTGCTAGCTAACTACACTTTTCGAAGTATGTGAGTGCTTGAATCACACCTCCATACTCGAATTATACATAGACAATGGTCTGACGGGTCGTGGATCTGGTTTGAACTTTGTTCTTCCGCGTGACGGTGAACCAAAAAGCCGAGCGAAGGCTGCCAGTTGGTAATGCCTCTGCAGTCGTCCAATTAAGTAGTGCATCCAAGCCAGATTTTGCAAATGATGATGACACGCGTTCTCTGCTCATATTGGTCTCAATGGTGTTCTTTCACTATCGCAACTCGCTGGATGCGACGATCGGTCTTCTGGAATGAGCCCAGCCCTTGAGGCAATCTGTCGTCCGCGCAACGCAATTCTCTGCACTTGTTTCGCCATTGAGATTGCCTGTCGCCGTAAGTCCGAAGAGTTCATCACAGAAATTTGCTCTAGGCGATACTCGGCCCTCTGCACGCCGCGAGGCGCGGTTGCGCTTCTGGAAGTTGATCTCCGACCTCTCTCAGCTCCCAGATCTTATATGCGTTAAGCTACGATGCTTATAGAGCGCGCCGACGAGGGAGACACCTCGCAATTGAAAGCCTTCCTCGCTGACATGCTCAACATTACCGTCTCGGGGCCTGGCTGGCAACCCCTCGCCTCCCTGGACTCGCTCACTCCGCGATGCAGACTCGAAATAAGGACGAGTACGTGCACAATGTTTATGTGTGCCCCTCGCACTACTCGGTTTATAGCTACTTCGTACGGTCTGCCTTGAGCAGGGCCGCGCAAACTGTTGATAGCAAATCTGCTTCTTGCGTTGCACTGTATCCCATGCATGTCCTCGTCTCGAACTACTTCAGCAACGGGCACACGGTCGGGAAATTTCTAACTGCCACACACAAGGCAGTTTGCGTGGGAGCAACGATAAAGTATGTACATCCCGCGAACTATGACGCAATGCTAGAAAGCTTTGCCAGGAACTAGTCTGCCACCTTCTCCAGATTTCAGAAATCTATCGCGATGTTTTTAAAAGTTGGTTTTACTCTTAGTGGTTCTCGAGGGATAATTCTAACCGTGCGCCGGATAATTTTCTAACCGGAAGCTAGGTTTCTTAAACTTTAGGAATGGTAATATAACATTAATATATCTTACCGCAAGCTCGTCTCCTGTCTAGTATAGACGCAAGAGCTTTATAAGGCTATTTAAACCCTATTTTTTAATTGCGGCAGTTGTAATAGAAAATTTACGTTGGAAAACTTACTTTGACTACATATCTAAAGCATATATACTCAACAATTTTTGATTACCTCCAATTCACTCTAATACCGTGCCCGGCTGGCGCAATCGGTTAGCGCATAGGTAAATTAACCTTTACCACTATGCTTAAAATTCATTAACTAATATTTCGAAGGACTTTTACCTGCTTCCCGCAGTAATCCTGGGGTTGGGAGTTCGAATCTCCCGTCGGGCGACTATCTTTTTTTTCCGTTTTCCTCATTTCTCCTACTAGCTTTGTTGGGTTTTGCTCTTTTCTTTTGTGCGGTGGGACAGATCCCCGCAAATCTCGGCTCGACCTTCCTACGAAACCGGGGTTTCGAAATTACATCTACCGTCTTAGACCTATTAACGTAACAGACCCATTAGTATAACGGACCAATCGTATTATTCAGACAAGTTAAGAATGTATAGGTTAGATTCTTCCTAATAAGAACGTAAAGCTGGCGGACAAATAAGAGACTCCGGATACAGCTAATAAAGTATAATTTACATTAATAGATCTGTTATACTAATAGATCTAATACGGTACCTATAACTAGTAGCTAACGCTAAGAATAGTAGATCTTAGAATAGAGGTTAACTATATAGAGAAATAATTATACCCTACTATCTATCTATTAGACTTAAGAATGTGGTATACAACGCTTAGAGTGCTAGCTGGGCTTTAAGTAAGTTAAAGTCGATGATGAAACGGGAAAATCGTGCTATATCGAATTTCAGATAATGCATGTGACGAGTACATGTGGGAAGGAATCGTCGTCAGCGCACGACATTTAAATGATAAAACGTGTTTGAAAAATTTCCATAAGACATCATCTAGCCTCAATTTCTAATATGACAAATTGCTTTAAGCTGCAGTAGCCGCAGTGGAGAGGGGAAATAGTAGAGTACTTGCTTGGTGCTGCCACAGCCAAGCCCAACAAGAAGTTTCTTCTTGCCGCGGCGTCCAATTCGAAAAGCTGGGCATCACGGCTTCCGTGATTCGCTTCCAGTCGACCGACCTGACTCTAAAGAAGGTCGGGTCCGATCTGAAGCAGACGAGGTGTCAAATGCTCGCGGAAGCCGAAATCAGTCAAATTGTCGAAGTCGTCGAACAAGGTCATACCTTCCCTGGGGCTTGGCCTACTGATGCTCGCGCAGAGAACTCTGAAGCGCTTTTCGACGGACTCGTTGACTCATTCAAGCCCTGGTGGGGTTTCCACGGGGTGCCGAAGCAGAACATCGCGCGTCCTGATGTCAGAGAAACTAAAAAGCCTGGCACTCAAGACGATGATGACGAGGCAATCAATCCCGACATGCAACTCGGGTTGGGTCTTGCCATCAATCAGATCCGCGATGAAGCTTCCATCATCGGTAGTGACAAGCGCATCGACAGTCTTATGGAGTGAATGCTAACAGCACTGTGCTTTCAGCCCCACAAAAAGGACTGCTGAATTTCAGCTACCGGAATTAAATTGTCAAATCAGGGGAGCTGAAGCTCTTCTCCGGACGCAAATATCGATGTAAAAATTAGACAATCACGTCCGGACAATCGCTTCAGCTCCCCAGCATTGTGTGAATTGTAGTCAATCAGATTATGAGTTCAAATTGTGTCGTAAGACATGCTGCACTTTATGGATAGTCGCAGCCTTCGTCGGGATGTTTTTATATCTGCTACGTCCAGACATTCGCTCCAGCTACCCATGTCAAGAGTGCAGTATCTTCCACGACTGCACACCTGTACTCCACTACAATTCCCCAAGGAAATCGCCCTGCCACATGGGGCCCCCCAGCCACCAACCCAGAAGCGAGGCGAAGATCGGCCGTCACCATCTCCACAGTATCCAGCAAAGCAGACGGCAGCCCACAACAGCTCTTCGGCAAGAAAAATGCACGGATCATCAATGACGACAGAGGGGTCAACGACCGTTATTTTTTCTTTTCTCGTTCCATTCTGTGGTTCGCAAAAGGTTAAAAACACCGCCGAAAGCAAAATCCGAGACAGCGGCACCATCCCCACATGGCTCGGTCACGGGATCGACCGGTCAACGACGACTACGGACGGGAAAAAGGCGAAACACTGGCCAACAACACCAGAAAAAAAAAATCCCCCGCCATGACGCCGGCCCAGAGCCATGGGATCGGGAAAGGCGGTCAGTGCAAAACAAAATTTTGTTCATCCTTCACCGACTCGGTACCGTGGCTAGGGTGTGCTCTGTGCGGGATGGTGGGAATGCGGGAACGGCAGCCGCAGTGGTGATGGATCAAAGCGAACGGCTGAAAAAAACAATGGAGGAAGATGTAGATGATGGATTGGGACTACCGATGACAATTTCAGCGGGGAAACGATGGGGGTGTGGGGGTGACGATTTTTTCCCACCCACCAACAAAACAAGGGTTCTTTCGGCGGCCCGACTCCAGCTCGTTGCTAAAACCGCATCTTCGGGTTGCGACGTTCGAAGTTGCAGCGAGTCGGGATACCCGCCCAGCTGGTTCTGCGCGCGTGCGCTACGAACCGTACAGACGGGTCCCTCCTGCAGGAAAAAATCACATGCGGAAAACGACAACCATGATGTGAGGAAGACGTTATGCTTTGGAAGGTGTGTTTTATTCGTCATTTCTTCTCGTGGACCCTATATACTACTATCCTATATACCAAATCGCGCTTCCGGCGACCTATCTACAGCTGGGGTTATATAGAAGCGCGTACAGTTCGTTGCGATTAACAATTAAGAGCTCAGACAAGAAATTACTGTAGGACGTCTGCTCGCTGTGAGGGCGAGACACGTGCTGTAGGTTGATGAAAGAACAAAAACGACGCCGCCGAAATGCTTGTGGGACTCGCCTTCTTGAACGCCTTGAACGGTGTATGCAATGTATGTATAAACAAAGGAGAGCAGGTGCTTCAGCCTAGAGAGGCATGGCCTTTCTCTTCAAGCCGGAGTCGATCTGATCGATGGGGTTGGTGGCAGTGTATTCGCCCCACACCTTGCACTGGTCGCCAAATGAGGAAGGAATGGCGAGCTTCTTGATGTCGTTGGGACGCTCGAGGATGTTGAGGTAGAGGCCGGCGGAGACGTGCCAGGCAATGTGGCAGTGGAAGGGCCAGAGGCCGGGGTTGTCGAGGTTGATCTGGATGACCATGTAGGAAGAACTGCCAGTCGGAGCCGGCTGCAGGACGTGGACGTCGCGGTACTGCGGGTTGTTCGGGTTGGCGATGGTGCCGTCCCAGTGGCCGACGCCGTCAGCGAGCACCCAGAAGTTGTGGCCGTGCATGTGCATGGGGTGGGGAGCAGGCGAGTCGTTGTAGATGACGAAGCGGACCGACTTGTTGGAACCAAAGTCGTGGACGTTGCTCTGAGGACCGAACTCGGCGTTGCCCTGCTGGATCTGGTACAGCAGAGCGTCATTGAAGTCGGCGCGGTAGGACGGTCCGCCAAAGTGCCACAGCCAGTGAGTGCCGTTCCACTCGTTGGTGATGTGGAGCTCCGTAGTCGTAGACGGGTTGGGGTCGGGCATGACGGGGTGCAACGGGAGACCGAGCGAGATGTCGTCGTTCTTGCAGACCGTCAACTTCGCGTCGGGCTGAGCAGTCGAGGCGGGAACGACGTTGGGATCAGCATGATCGTAGACGACGACTGCGAGGGCTTCAGAGGCAGCCTTGTTGAAGGCGTTGCAGCCGTCAAGGCCAATGTCCGAACGCATCCAGTAGGAATCCGATGGCTTGCCGGTAGCCTCGACAACGACATCGACACGCTGTCCGACGCCGAGAGTCAAAGCGGTCACTTCGAAAGGTTGGACGGGAACGAAGTCGTGGGCAATGACGGTCATTTTGTGGCCATCAATACTGAACCTCTGCATGGCCTCAGCTCCGGTGTTTGCCAACCGGAGGCGGTGCTTCTTTCCTGCGGTGAACTTGAACTTGGCCACACCGGCATCGGGAACGCAAGGCAGGTCGGTGGTGGAGCAGTCGAACTCGCCGAAGCCGTTGATCAGGTTGTTGTCGGATGGCGGCGGGGGCGTGGGGTTCTTTCCGGTCGGGTCGGCCTGCATGGTCTCCTTCACGATGTCGTAATACTGAGCATGATACCAGTCGGAAAGCATGACAGGGCCGAGATCGATGTCGTAGCCAGCGCTGTCCGGGCCGTAGACGACAATGGCGCCGGCAGCTCCACCAGCATACTGCGCGCTGTAATGGCTGTGGTACCACGAGGTACCGTACTGGTCGGCACGGAAACGGTAGGTAAAGCTGTCGTCCGGGGTAATAGGGCACTGCTGGACGCCGGGAACGCCATCCATCCACTGGCTCTCCTTCTGCGTGAAGCCGTGCCAGTGCATCGAGGTACCCTCGCCCTCTTCTTTACCCAGAGCATTGTGGACGGTGACTTGGATCCAGTCACCCCTGAGAAAAGTCAGCAACGGTCTCCAAGACGTTGGCGGCAATGAAACATACCAGTTCGCCTCGATCATCGGGCCGGGAAACTGGCCGTTGACGAGGACACCCCTCTTTGTTACGCCATCAGGGGCGATATCCTGGTACGTGACGGTAAAGTCGTACTCTCGTGTAACGCCGGTATTGGGCATGCTAGGGTTCTGGCCGCTCCAAGGAGGCTGGCCTATGCAGAAAGGCAGATGTGGTGCATCCACAGTACCCAGGGGACCGCCGCCTACAGGGAAAAGTCAGGCATGGGTGGGCGTGGAAGAAAAGGTGGGGAACATACCGTTTCTGGCCTGGGGAGAGATGTTGCCTTGGGTGCTGCCATGAGCCTCCCAGGCACCGGTCCACGATTCGTTTGTGAAGGTAGACCGAGCGGCAAGACCTCTTACCACGGACCTGGCAATGAAAGACATTGTGATAGTGAGAGAAGTGGAAAAGAAAAAGGAAAGTCAAGGAAATATGGGCTGAGAGAAGCCCGGGGTTCAGAAGTGAGTGCTGGACAAAGAGCTTGTATCTCCAAGCGAGTAAAGATGGTGAGCTGCAGATGGGCATGATTGGGATGGGGCCATGATGGATTATAAAGTGTTGGTAGCTGGGGGCAACGTCTCGGCGGGGCTGTCCAGCAGGGGCTGTGTGAGCAGGCGATGCCATGATCTCTGCGTCGACGGTTTTTGCCCAAAAAGGAAATACAGCAGGCGGAGGGAGGCAGTATGTCGGCGCAGTTGGTTACTGGGCCAATCGGAAGAACCATGGAAGTGACATGAGGTTGAGCCGCCTCCTCCTTGGAGTCAGCAGGGCGGCGGCGCGGTGCAGGGTGGAAGGATGTTCGCATATGCAACCGTCAGCGGAGACCCGAGGCGGCGATTGGTCTCGTACAGGGACAGTGCGGCAGCCAGTGCAGGGTGTGCCAGTCAGGAGAGGCGTGGAAGGATACTTTGACGTGAGAGAAGGCGTGATGAGGCGCCACACCGCGTGGGCCGCTATTTTGGGGCGATCGGATAGCCAGTAGGAGCAGGGTGCCGTGGGCCAAGCAACAGCGCTGCGGCAACCACGTCGAGGCGATTAAGCATCTGACGGATCTGACAGTCGTGCAGGTTGCGGCAGCTCGAGAGCGGGTCGCAGCCGGGTCGACGGTAGCAGGCATCGTCACAAGTCGGGTCGTCCCGCTCGCGCACTGCAGCGGTCAGGCGATCAACAGAGAGCGATGGGGTCCGTGGTTGCTGCGAGAGGTTGTTGGCGAGCAGAGGGCAGTCGCGACCCGGCTGGAGAGCCGACGAGCGCTCAGTCGTGACATCACCCGCTACCGCTGCACCGACACCACCAACACCTCGCAGCTCTCCCTCTCAACACCCAGCCAAGGCTCTTGGTATTCCTCGCGCCCGCTCTCGCCGGCGTCGGCGCATGCCGGGCGACGCAGCCAGCCAGAGGCTTAGGACGGAGCTTACTGCTTCCAGCCCGGGGTAGCGCTGACGCCGCAAAAATACCCACCACTGGTGGTGCGGGGTGGCCCCACAGCCCTGTGGCTTCGCTTCAGCCCTGTGCTCTGGCCTGCTTCACCATCACTGCACCATCGCCTTGGCGCTCACTACGCGTATTCTCGTCGTCTGGCGCTGACTGAACAGCACTCCGCGCCGACAATTATCCTCCTCTGAGCCAAGAGACAACACCATCTGTCGTCTTCTCCTCTGCTGCCGCGTGCACTGAGACCGCATCTTACTGCAGATCCACGTCTGCCTCGCCGTATCAGGAGACCCGCGACTATGCACCGTCGCCCCGAACCACGTTCGCATGCTTCGTTCGCCATCGCCGATACGGCCGCTCGTCCGGCCTCCCTTCGCTCGTTTTCGTTACACGTCCCATCCTGGTTTGTCAAGCGACCGCTAATATTTAACCTTACTTCAGCTGACATCTGCCTGGCCCTAGTCCGTTCTGGCAAATGCTGTACTACTGAGAGGCATACCACGTGCTCCGGCACTGGTCTTATCCCTCGGATCCTCTCTCGTCGACTTTGGCTCGGGGAATCCGTACACATCCTTCACCCCTAATCGAGTAATCCGCCTCGAGTCATCACTTCACTATAGTCACATTTCAAATCGTGTCCAATTTTAGGTCTCTCACGGCCAAGAAGCCTCGAAAATCCAAATTCCTCAATCAGCCCAGCTGAGCGCCAGAAAGACGCGTCACGCCACCTTGCTTGCCGGTAAGACGGACAGCAAATCAGCCTGGGCGCTGCAAAATTCATTGAGGGAAAAACAAAAAAGCCCCCAAAATCTGACATCGGCGTCGAAAGCTCCGCGCAAACACTTCCATTTTACCCCGCCAGCAAAAAGGACAACGCCATGAAAATTTGAACCCATGTCGGGGTGTAACCCGCGCTGTCCGCGCAAGGGCTGGCGCCTCTCCCTGGCAACCTTTGTCCTAAACCATTTCCGGGCAAAAAGGCCTGGTGAGGCATCTGGTAAGCTACGAAAACCGCGCTCCAGCAACGGCCGCCGTCTCCGTTCCGCTACCATTCCTGATAAGAAACCAGTGAGCATTCGTTTTACCTGATTGGCTCGGGTGATGCTTTCGCTCGCTGGTTCTTGGTGCGGATCCCTCCTGTCCGGTCGCGAGCGGTACGCCGCCGCGACAACGAGGCTGCACTATGGCAACGGCAGGAAGACGGTCCGAATTGTCTGAACACAAGCGCCTAAAAAGATCTCAAAGACAACAAAATGCATCAGGGTGACGCCAAAGACCTTGTAGATGTGTTGCCGAGATGCCGGCATGGCATTTGGACGCGTCGCGATTTGAGGTAAATACCAGTTTCCCCAACAACTAGCTTCTTCGTACAGCCGCCGAGCCGCCGGAGTGGACTGTGCACCCAGACCTTTTCGCTCGTTGCGCGATAAACTGGATGGCGCGACCCATAGCTGCTCTTGGTTACTCCGGCGATGAATCCAGATTGTTCCGATGTGCACATAAATACCTTGTCCGATACCCCATTGAATTCGCAGTTAATTTCAACCTTCAAATTGAATAGCATACCGCTATTGAAAAAATCTCCATCCAACAACTTCAAAAATTTATGGCGAGTCTCTCCCTACCCGTGAAAGGAGAGGTTACAGACGACCTGTCAGTAAGTTGCATATTAGTGGCGGCATCAAGGTAGCCCAAGAAGCTCGTCTTTAGTGAAAGGCTAACTTAGTTGTGAAAGATTTGATCAAGATGCTTCACCTTGGATTGTAGGATCCTATCGCAAGCTGTTACGTCGTTGATATACGCTCCGCATTGGTCATGGAATTCCCGAGGTATGGAATCCAGTTGACTTTGAACGTACAGAGACGAGATTATGGACCCAATCAAGGCTACATTAAAAATTCCTGTCCTCGGTGCGAGCTGACTATTAGCTTGTACTGGTCTGTCGCCTTCACCTTCAGTAGAAGAAAGCCGTGGTGTTGGTGACCAGAGTTGAACGAGAACCTCGAGTCGCACTGACAATATCCTCCTACACCGGCAACAGATACGAGCCGTCTCCTGGAAGCTCGTGTAGCCCTGTTATATCCGACCTCCGGCTTCTCAATCCACAGTACAAGCCAGTAGAGCCTCTTGGGCATGCTAAATGGTACGAGAAAGGGGAATACGGCCTGCATGCGTCTACCAGGGGAGGCTGCCGCTTAATATGCTTCGAGAAGCATAAGAGGTGAATGTGGGCCCCAAGAAAGGGCAATCGAAAGCCGAGAAGCTTCATCTGTGATGCAGCGTCGATGCACAAGTTGGTGAGGACTTCGTGCTGGTGGGTATGGGGGCAAATCACGTCGAATACGTTCTTTTCAGTACCACACGTGTATCAAGGCTTTGTAGAAAATGTGCGTGAACAATATTCGAGTTCACTCGCCGTCGAGTGCTCATTAAGTACTATAGAGAAGCATTCCGGGTAATTCTAATGAGAAGTGCCGTGGTTCAGTAGTTTGCAAATGGTTGCTAAACTCTTCTCACTACATTGGTAGTCAAAAAAAAAACATCCAGACGTGAATGTGGGATTTAATGTTGTATCTTGGCGTAGGATTCAAATTCAAATGCCAAGCAGAGTGCAACTAATCTGATGGAAATCGTCTTCAGTGGCATTCTGTGATGGTAGCAAGTGTACCCCAAGCCCCGAACAGGATTTTAGGACGAAGGAAGAGCTCACTGAGACAGTTAAGAGATCGCCGGTGGATTGTGGGCCTAGTGGAGATCAGAGTCACGAGCCAGTAGCCTCTAGGGGGATCTGGTAGGAAGGGCAAAGCGAAGACTGTTTGGTACGTTAGCTCGTTCGGCTTTCCGTTCCCTGATCGGACTATGAGAGAGCTGCACCTGGACTTTAGGCACCACTAGTCTCGGAGTGTCCTACCAAGGCATCTTCGCGGAACATGCCAAAATGGGCATATCAACAGAAAGATGGAGGCTCAGTATTTGCTGGCGGAGATTGGCTGATACGGCGATGAGGCGTCAGCTCAGACACGGCTATGGGAACAAACAACCTCAAGCAGAACCCATAAATTTAAAGACCCATTTCGAAACTCATTTTATGCCAAGGAAAGACCACTGCACTTACACACTTTTAATTTAATATCATATTAATGCACTGTGATTAATCAGCCTAGGTGTTCAGAGTGGGGGTTCAATACACGCCCCATGCCACCATTGACTTTAGGATAGACGTTCATCCATTTTACTTCATTCAACACACATATATACTGTGCAGGTTTCTGCTGCCTTGAATACGGTTACTAAGTTCCAAGGTAGTTACGGTTCAATGTTTTACGGAAGCTGGACATAGCTTCTGTATTTAATAGGCAGAGTAGCTGAATACTTGCGAATAGATACTTGCGTAATTGTCTCTAAAGAATGAGCCCTCTACGGATACTTCAATTAATTTGAGATGCATTTCTTTGAAATAGAAGAATACACATCCCCCGGCATTCAACTTTCTGATGTCCCTACTGGACAACGAAGCATTTAAAAACGATTAAGAGAAGAAAATCAAGTTGGGAAACAAAGGGACTACAAACCACAGCCTCCCGTCGATACGGACCCCCCTTTTCAATCAAACTTCACCTGCCCGAATTTGCTCTGGCGGATGCGTTCGCCGTACCGACTGAAGACGATGGGTACGGGCAGCAGGGCCAGGGCGAGGAAAGCGAGCAGGGTATTGCCCCAGCCGAGGCCGAGGGCGTTGTACATGTCGAGCCCGGCCAGCGGCAGGACGGCGCCGAAGACGGAGCGCAGCACGGCGTTGGCAGCCATGGCCGAGGCAGCGTACTGCGTGTAGGCGTCGACGAGGTAGGTTTGCACGCACATCTAAAGCAGAGGAAATGAGATGGGACGGTCAGCGACGAAGTGATATTCTAGATGGCATGGCTGGAGATCAGGGGGGGGAGGTCATACCATGCAGGCGAGCAAGCCGAAACCGATCAGCATGGTGCCGAACAGGGCGATGGCCCAGTGCTTGTGGTACTCGGTGGTCCAGCCGTAGATGAGCAGGCCGGCGGGGATGCAGGCGGCGGGCGGGCCGGTCAGAAGGAAGGGCAGGCGATGCTCGGGCTTCATGGCGCCGCCCGACGCCTTGACCTTGCGCAGCGTGGCGTCCGACAGCTTGCCGACCATGGCCAGCCCGAGGATCATGCCGATGCCGATGCCGATGTAGGTCAGGCCGACGGTGCCCGAGCTGAAGCCGTACCGGCCCTCGAAGACGAAGGTGAAGGTGGTGAAGAGCAGGTACAGGATGCCGTACGCCACGGCGACGTACAGCGACATCAGCCCCACGATGGGGCTGAGGAAGAGCATCTTGGTCGGCCGGATGATGGCCCGCATAAGCAGTGCCCGGTGCGGCACCCCCGTGTCCAGCTTGCTGCGGAGCGCCGCGTTGCCGGTAGCTTTGCGCAGACGCGCCGCCTTGTGCCTAAGGAGCGTGGGTGCGTACGTCTCGCGGAGGAAGATAAAGCACGCGACGGTGACCGTTCCACCCTTGGTGAGCGTTGCTTGTTAGTATGTACTGTTTCTCGTTGGACGGTAACCACTCACCAACATGGCAAGGAGCCAGAACACCCTTTGAGACGAAGTCAGTTTTGCCTTGCCCTCTTTAGAAGCGCTGAATGCCACTCACCACCTCCAGCCCTTCGCCTCGACCAAAAATCCACCGCAGATAGGACCAATCACAGGCCCCAGCAAGGGTCCCATTGAGAAGATGGCCATGGCTCCTCCGCGCTTCTCAACCGGCATGACATCGGCAATCGTGCCTGCTCCAAGGCTCAAGCAGACTGCGCCAAAGCAGCCGGCCAGGAAACGGAAACCAATCAGCATGCCGAGGCTATCGGAGACGGCACAGGCGATAGTGAAGATCAGGAATCCACAGTTACCCGCCCAGTACAGGGGGACGCGGCCGTACATTTCGCTGAGGGGAGCGATGATGACTACGAGTCGATCAGTGAATGAAATGGAGAAGATGACAGAAAGACTTACGAGGGCCCAGTGCAAATCCTAGAATGTACACGCTCACCACAAATGTGGCTACAAGATTGTTCGTCGTGTGGAACGTCTTCAAGACCTGGGGAACACCGGGAGCAAACATGGACGAGGCAAGGGGGCTATAATGGAAAAGCGTCAGCTGGTACCCGGGAGACGCCCAAGCCGATGTTCAAACCTACGTGATGAAGGTGACGCAAGACATCAGCCCCAGATTCGACCATTTCTTCTTGGTTGACCAGTTCATGGGGTTTTCAGGGTCATCATCGCCATCCCACCATACCAGGTTTGCATCTTCATCCTGCGATTGACCTTGCTCTTGTCGGTTTTGCTGTTCCCCGTTGACCGTCTCGCTGGCCGATGTGCTCGGTGCCCTGCTTATGCCTTCACCGCCAATGCCCTTGCCAATACCTTTCTCTACTTCAGTCTCCATTCTTGTAGGAATTTTTTCTATCTTGGCCCGGGAGTGTACGGTGGAAGTAAACGTAGGGCGCGAGAAGCTGCGTAATCGATCTTGTTTGATCTTGGGATAGTTTCTACACAATACCCGAGCAGTTAGTAAGTGACCATGTACAAGGCTCGACTGAGCGCAGCAGCATGATGAAGTGGCCTCGACACGTCACTCGCTGGGACATGGCGGTCCAGGATGAAGCACATCTATGTGTATACAACGGGGGTTTGAATGACCACCGGCATGGCTTGAAAGCTTGTACGAGTAGACGTAGGAGATGAAAAGAGCTGCAAGTTGGGTTCGCGCATGAAAGGTAGATCAGACTTACTGCCCCCTCGCAACGCTTCTGCTGTTCCCAGTTAGCGTATTCGGTAGCGTAGCGCCGCTGCAGGATGTGACAGCAATCAAGGCGTTTGAAGTATAACAGATCGCATCCGAGCCCCTGGGTGGAAACGCAAAAGATGATAAAAGTCTAGGGCACTCGATCCACTGCTGCGAAGGAAAGAGGTTCAACCAGGATTCTTGCCACCTTTTGAACGGTTGCAACCGTGTGTGCAATGAGGCGTTGCGGCGTGGAAGCAGCTGTATCCGTACCCGACCATTCTTGAGTTATGCCGACGATTATGCAAAAATTATGCACGGCCTACGCAACGTGAGGCTTCCCCGCTCCCGTCCCGCGCCATCGCCCAGATCTTGCAGACCCTGTGCACCTGTTCTTTCCAGCAGGATTCACGCTTGATCGGGCGACCCTTCTCCGGGGATCTTGCATATGTCCAGGCTGACCAAATTTTTCATCAGCATCGGCCATACGAGGCCCGTTCGCCGGGGAACACAGCAGTGAGACTTATTGAAAGCGTGTGATTGAAGCGCCCGTGTAGATGCTGAAAGAAATTAGTCACGATGGCTCAGATCTTTCGGCACTCACCGTGGAGTGAATGGCGAAACGCGCATGGATGTTTCCCGCTGGCATTACAGGCGTGCAGTCCCCTCTCCCAGCGATGGCTAGCGTGGATTTTTTATTTGCTCGTGTCATGGGTAGTTGAAGCTATCGTCCGGACGTGTATGTAGAATTTTTAATTCGACATTCTCGTCCGGACGATAGCTTCAACTACCCACGTATTGTTTTTCTTTTTCTTGTCAAAAAAAGAAGCGCTGAGGCATGGTTACGCTCTATTCCAGAGCCCTGCTCTTCTTCGCGCTAGCTGTCGGCTACAACACCCCTCTGTAGTTGTCGTGCGCCTAAGCTTTACGCGAAATGGAAAGCGAAGAATGAGCTTATCTGGGAGCTAAAATGTCGCACATCTGATGGTTGACAAGGTAGATAAGCTCGGCTGTTGCGGAGACCAATTACTCATCACGAAGCATTTCGCACCGCATCAAAGCTTTTGAATGATTAAATTTGGGGTACAATCCAAAAAATCCCGTACTCCCAGCGTTACTACTTTTTGTTGATTCAGTATCTACACCTTCTCCTGCACCTGCACCGGCTCGTGGGTTACGCTAATGCTGCGCTCCACGTCGGAGGCCTCGCTCGTCTTTCCCATGTGGCCGGTGGGCAGCATGTTGAGCTCATCTTCTTGAGCGTCCAGCTTGCGGTAGCAGAACCAGAAGAGACAGCCACCCACGAAGGAAATAACGGCCATGGAGCCGTAGTTCCACACCAGAAGTGGGTCGGTCGACAGCGGGTTGAATGCCTCGCCAATAGCGGCGGAAATGGCGCTCATGAACAGCGCAAAGGCGGCAACCAACGAACGCATGTTCTTGGGCGCCTTGGAGAAACCGTACTCCAGCGAAGTGATGGAGGCGAGGATCTCACTGATAGCAATCAACTAGATGGGCAAATTAGAACTGACGGCGTATGCAGGGTCCTGGAACACTTACCACGTATGAACCCGTCTGCGCCCACACGTTGATGCTGACATTTTCGCACCCATCACCTGACGGGTAGTCGCCGCACTCGCTATCTTTGTAGATGTAGTACTGGAGAACGCAAGCCCAGACCATAGCCATGCTGCCGGTGAAGAAGCCGCCGGTGATCTTCTTGATGGGCGTGAAGTTGATGCCGGCCTTGCGCAGGGCAGGGAAGATGAAGATGTCGCAGATGGGAATAAAGATAATCAGGGCAAGTGGGTCGAGGTTCGAAAGAACATCGTTGGGGATGCCGTGGAGAGCCATGGTCGAAGCCTGAGATGTCAAGTTGTTGTTGAGCTGGTTGTACGTGATCCAATACAGGGGAAGCCACAAGAAGACGCTGCACGCCTTCCAGCCACGGCTGACTTCGTCGACCCAGGCATCATCGAACGTCATCCAAGCCGGCTTGGCCACGCCCAGCTTGGACGGCTTGAGCTCCTCCCAGAAGGTGCCATCGTGAAGGTTGCGGTAGAAGGCAACGGGGTTGATGGAGAAGCGCTTCTTGGTTCCTAGCAGCAGGAGCTTGACGGCAGGTCCCAGCACGCTGCCCTCAGGCTTCGTGTGGGCATACCACTTGCGGCAGAAGAAGAGAACCGGCAGGGCGACGCAGAACAGCAGAGTCGGCAACATGAAGGAGAGGTAGAAACCGACGTAGCGCTCGGCGTAAGCCATGCTCAGCTGGCCGACGAGGGCACCGATGTTGATGAAGAGGTAGAACCAGTTGTAGACCCTCGCGGTCGTGACAGCCGGATCCACGATGACGCGTTCGCCGTTCTTTTTGGTGTGGACGTACATCTTGCGGGGGATTTGCTCAGCGATGAGCGGAGAGATGTTAGGCTTGAAGCCACCAGTGCCAACACCCATAATGATCAGACCGATGACGAAAGCCGCCAAAGCATGCTTGGGCACAGCCATGACGGCGGGTGCGGCCGATACAGTGAGGATCACGTGGCCCAGGATACTGATGCAAACAGACATCCAAATGGTCTTGAAACGTCCCAGATAAGAATCGGCCACATATGCGCCTGCCAATGGCATTAAATAAACAAAAAATTGATTAAAAGTGGTGAGACCAGTGGATGCTTGCTGGCCCATACCAAGGGCACCGGGCTGGGCATCGTCGGCGCTGGGGTCAAGGGCCTTTCCGGTGGAAGTTCCGGGGTTATCTTGCTGGATGAAGTTGACGAAGACTTGGGTGGTGCCGTAGTAGGAGAGACGCTCAACTAACTCGACAAAGGCAATGGTGAAGGCCTTGAAAGGGATCTTCTCGCTCACGCGGTGAAGAGTGCGAAGCTCCTCCTCGGTGGGAATGGGAAGATCATGGTCGAAAAACTCGCTTTGAGGGACGGCCTGGCCGTCGACCAAGGAAGGATCTACCTTGTCGACGACATTGTTGTCGGTGATGTCGCCAGGCATGGTTGGTGAGGCGGGGGGAGGCACGAGGAAGGGTGGTGCTTTGGAGCCGGACGGTCTGTAGCTCGACGTTAAATAAGACACATTGCTCTTGCACCAGCGACCGGCGTCGGCGAGAGCTGGACCATTGCGACGTCGTTATCAGTGCAACGTTGATTAGGAAGGTCGGAGCAGGGGTGAGGGCCAATGGGGCGTGGAGGCGTTCGGCAGCCCGCCTGTTTTGGGCCTCTCCCCGCCGCCAACCCCGGGGCAAGCATCGCCAACCAAAGCCAACCAAAGCTTTGCCGTCTCCAAGCATCGCCTTGGCTTCTTGCACCACCACGGCGCCCGCCACTCCTGCTCGTCATGGCCCGTCGCCAACAGCCACCAGACGAAGACCCGTGGAAGCGCTGAAGTTTACAGGGCGGTCGCAAGGGCGCACGACTCGTGCCTGTCTCCGACGGCCGGCGCCGTCGCAGGGTTGTTGGACCGCAGCGACACCCCCGCATCCATGGCCTTCTGGAAGCCCGCGCCTCTGCATGCCATGTTCTCGACCAGGAGCCGCTTGTTTATCGTCCAATCGCCATCTCTCTGTCTGCAATGAACATCTGGCGAGCGGCAACCCCGAGACACGCTGATCACCGGACCGCTCGATGTGGCGGGAAAAAAATAGGTGAGTCCAGGGAGGGCTGACGCAAGACATCCGTTACGCGTGCTCGGCCGTTGTCGGTGCGCGTTGCTCTGACCGAATTTTTTCTCTTCCCGCGGCGCACTGCTGAGCCCGTGCCGCACCTTATCGATTCCTCTCACTCCACCCCGGCGCATCCCGCGAGATAGCGAAATTGACGTGCTCTTCAAGCCAGCGTCCAATTTTTCCGCGCCAGCGCGATTGCGACATCGATTTCTGTTAGCAATTGCCGACGCTGCCCTCGCTGCCGTTTCGCAGCGCACGCCGACACTCACTTGCTTCTGCCAGCAGACGTTGCCACCGCATATCATGATGCTTCGGCGGTGCCATATCAGCCGGCAAGCCACAGCACTGCGACCCCTGCCGGCATCCCCACGCAATCGAATTCCAACCACCTGGTTTGTGGACCGTGGGACGCCGCCTGCCGTGGGCCGTGCTAGTCCGACCTGCAGCTGCCATATGTGGAGGTTTCGTATTATTTGTGTCGCCTTCTTTATCTTTGTCCTTCCCTTCTCAGACAGACCCAAATCCTTCCGGCTGCCAAAGCATTGGTACCGACTTATTAGATGCGCAGGGAACCGCAGATATCGCGACTCGACGAAGTGGATTCGCTTACAGCAGCCAATGGCTAGCGTGTATTTATTTTTACTCATGTCATGGGTAGTTGAAGCTATCGTCCGGACAAGAATGTCAAATTAAAAATTCGACAAAGACGTCCGGACGATAGCTTCAACTACCCACATATGTCGTTTTTTTCTGAAAAAGAGCTGGGGCATAGCTACACCAGGGGCCTAATTACTATTCTTCTTCATGCTAGCCGATGCCCCCCTGTAATATTGCAAGGATAAGGACGGGCAGTTGGAAGCATCATCTGGGCATGGATGTGCACGGCATCAACATCAACCGGCCTGGCCCAACCTCATTATGACGCTCAGCGCAGGTGATTAACTCGACGGTGTCGCAACAGACTTCGCAGCTTCACATGCATCGATGGCAGTTCCAGAATCGCTCGATCACGACCGGTCAGCCTGCGATGGGGTGCAGGTCCCAGAAAAGAGATGCATCACCCCCCGCCGCCGTGCCCTGGTTTCCTCCAATCAAAGAATCATTTGGTCCCGAAAGACGCCGCGAAAAGAGCAGACGGTTTCTTCTTGCACTGTTCAGTTTTTGCATCGCTTCTCCATGTTCCTCTTCAACAGCTGGGTTTCCGATTTCGGCAAGCCGCGCTAACTGCTTTTGTCGCTAGCAAAGTCTGGGGAATTTTGGCCGTCTCAACAAGACGTCGGGCTGTGGCTCGGGATGGCGGCATGCAGTGCCACCCTGCACGGCCTCGCCGCTGCCCGACCTGACCGGCGCAGACGGCGCGCACATTGGCCCAGAAGGAACGCGTGGTAACAGCGAGCATAGCAACTGCACAGCAACGAGCAGGCGCATGGACCGCGATCAGCAAAAATGCCTTGGATGGCCGAGCGTCGCACCGCCATACGTCACAGACGGTCCTGCCAGCAAAGCCGCCCCCACGTGACCCCAGCTTTTGTCGTCGCTCTTAGAAGAGCGCCCGCGTTCGCAACCTCGTCGCTGCCTAATAGCGCCAACGCCGCCGGTGAGCCGTTTCCTCCGCAATCATGCAGCCTCCCGTCCAGTCGAGGCTCAACTCCACCTACAACTAGCTGCCGCCTGCTCCCCCACTGGCCATGTAGCCTGCGACTGCCTTCTGCCATGGCCGAATTTGCCCCCATTATCCAGGTCGTGGCCTGGGGAACAAAGCTGTCGCTCGGTCTGTACGACTTCGGCATCTCCAATCCCTCGGCCACCCGAGAGCTCAACCGCACGGCAAAGAGCGTCAGCCTCTTCTCGCTCATGCTGAAGCAAGTCGGCACCCTTCTGCGCGAAGACGTCACCTCGCCCTCGCCCGAGTCCTACGAGACGGTCCAGGACATCACTCTGCTCGCCCAGAATGCCTTTGCCGCCATTGAGGAAGTCCTGCCCACCAAGCCGCTCCCGCATTCCGACGACCCTGCCTCTTCACCCCCGCGGAAATTGGATCTCGTATCCAAGAGCAAGCTCCACTATCTCCTCGCCTACGTCGATTCACTGAACGCCACCCTGTCCGTCATGCTGCAGGCTTTTTACACTGTGCGCGTCATTGCATGGTCCAGGTCAGACGACTCGTCCCACTATCCCATCTTAGACTAACCTGCTGCGCTACAGATCTCGCCAAGACCGTGCTCCAGCCTCCGCCGCTGATGCCGTTGCCAATGAGCGCTCTCAGCTCGAAGTCCTGGTCATCGAGCAACAGCTCCTCCTCCTGGATGTCTCCGAGGCCCATGCCGAGTACCGCCGAAGTCGTGACTTCGCAACCAACTCTGACCAAAGAGATCCCAGCACAGTCCAGGATACCACCCCGCCTCCCGACACGCTTGAAAAGTACAAGGACCAATCGATCAAGGCCGCAAATCTTCAATCCAGCATCACTGAGAGCTCCGCCTTTGTCCGCCGTATCTCATCCACATCCAGCAATGACATTCTGCACAGGTGGACAAGGCTCAGTGACATCGAGCGCCGGCTGTCCTCCACGGATGAGTATCCTGGTACTCTGCAAACGGTTCAACAGGGACTTGAGCGGCGAGACAGCTACCAGCCCCGCGTCGAGTCTGATAGTGAATCCGAAGAGAGCCCCAGCCTAACGCGGAGAGATTCGGAGGCGACGTCCCCGCGACCACAAGTACCGCCAGGCGTCCACCATGCGGGTGTCACGGACCGAAATGCTCTTCCTACTCCGACTGCAAACATCCAAAACATGCGATCAAGCGCCCTTTTCTCGCCTGGAGGCTCATATGCCTGCCTCTCCCCTTCCACCACATACGTACCATCAGGACCGTCACCAGCTCGATCAGTAAATTCAGGGTACTTCCCATCTCCACGAACCAGCTCCAACACGCTCGGCTCGAATCACGCCCCGGCATCCGAGGGAAGAGAAAGAGCCACCAGCAACGGACTTGGTATTCCATGGAGGCTCTGGCAGGGAAGCAATCGCTGGGATTTTGTCGACGACCAAATAATGAACACCAACTCGCAGGCGCCGGTGGAGAAGGCATACACGGAGCGCAGTAGCTGGACCGAGATCATGCAAACTTGGGTACGAAGAGAGGCGCTCGAGGAAGCTCGATATAGTTTCAATCAGGTGCAAAAAGAGATGCCTGATGGTAACCGCACAAGATTCGAGACCTGCTTTTGCATCGGGAAGCCTCTGACTTATGTGGGTTTCTCTTGATTCGTATATCGTTTACGAGACTGACGAGAACAGGCCGAGATCCGAGGCCTTGTCGACCGATCCATCGAGCTTTTCCGGCAAGCACAGTACCCTCCACGGCTCAGTGCCGACTTGAGTGATTCCAGAGGTAGCATCCGAAGCAACAATAGTGCGGGATCCTACCGACGCGATCGAAACGGGAAGAGTTACAGCGACCGATCGCGTGACGGTCACGATTCTTCGGCAACCGATTCCGACTCCGACGCTCGTCCTCGTGCGCGGCGCACCATCTCTTCATCGAGCATCAAAAACCGCAGAAGTAATAGCAGGCGTAAAAAGGAACGCGAGAAGAGAAGCAGCGGAAGTCATACATTCGGTACCTTGGCCAAGTATGGTGGCGTTGCAGCTCTTCTCGAAGGTCTGCCGGAAATCCTGCGGGGTATCTGAAGTTGATGGTCTTTTTTCGTGTCTCTTTAAGCGTAGCATAGCGGTGGTCGAAGCTGATACCCTAAAGCAGTCCTTCAAGTTGGCAAGGATCGCTGGCTTTATTTGAGCATTTCCCTCGTTCGTTGACGATACCTAGGTATTTTATCAATTCCAGTCCATTCACACACATCGGTGGCTGTTTCGGTATTGCTGAAGTACTATCGAACAGGCCCAAATAGCCATCCAAATAAGATGGGAGCTTCTTTGACTTGGGTAAGGCGAGTCTTTGGACTCCGAATCGCATTGGTCAGACATAAGCCACGGGCAAAGGCAGCTCGGCAATCCTTCCCATCAACGCTCTTCTCGGCCTTCGTGGTGCTGTAAGCAACGCATAAGTTCCCTGTTTGGGCGTAGTCCAAGGTTTAGTCAGATATCCAGTCATCAAACAAAGCCACCACAGGCAAGCCTCGTCTCTTGGAGAATCCTGGGCAGAAGAGTAGACCCCGCAGGACCCTTCGTCTTTCACATGTGTGGAGATAGAAAGGTATAAAGGCTGCTATCCCCGAAGCAGATGGTGATGTCCGATTCATAAAAGGTCTTTGATTCTGGAAAACGTCAGAAAGTTCCTCCAACCAACATATTCATTTCACTCTGCCAGCATGCCGTACATCTGGCTAATCACCGGCTGCTCGTCCGGCTTCGGTAGGGAGATTGCCCTGGCCGCAGCCCAGGCTGGCGACACGGTCGTCGCCACGGCCAGAGATGCATCCAAGCTCGCCGACCTTAGCACGGAGGCGCAGGGCGAAGGCAAGATCATTACGAGGCGTCTTGACGTCCTGGCCAAAGACGAAGAGATGAAGGCTACCATTGACGAGATTGTTGCCACTGTCGGAAGGCTTGATATACTTGTCAACAATGCCGGATACGTGCTGGAGGGTGCCATCGAAGAGTGCAGGTGTGTCGCATCTCACCACCCCTCCTCTCCCTTTCGAGATAGCTAAAGTCGATCAGCTACGAGGAAGTCGACGCGCAATTCGCCACCAACGTCTTCGGGCAGCTCAACGTGCTGCGGGCGGCGGTGCCGCACATGCGCTCGCAGCAGCAGCCGGCGGGCGGCGTCATCGCCAACCTGGGGTCCATCGGCGGGTGGCGCGGCACGCCGGCGGCGGGCGTCTACTGCGCGACCAAGGCGGCCATCGCCGTCTACTCGCAGTCGCTGCGCGCCGAGCTGGCGCCCTTCGGCATCGACGTCACCTGCGTCGAGCCGGGCTACTTCCGCACGCGCCTGCTCACCGGCGCCAACAAGACGGCCGCCCGCAACCGCATCCCCGAGCTCGACGAGGCCACGCGCGCCACCCGCGAGGCCTTCGCCCGCGTCAGCGAGAGGCAGCCCGGCGACCCCGCAAAGGGCGCCAGGGTGCTGGTCGACGCCTTGACCAAGAGGGGCAGGTGCCGCGACATGCCCCCGCTGCCGCCGCGTTTGGCCTTGGGGAGCGATGCTGTGCATGTCATTGCCGGCGTGTTGGACGAGAGTAAGAGGGATCTGGAGGCGTGGAGGGATATCGTGTCACAGACGGACTGTGACGATGTTGCTGGTTGAGTCAGTCACGCGGTGCTTGACGTCGTTTTGGACGTCTGTATGCCCCCGTTTCTGTTGGAGGGGGTTTCTGATGGCAGGCTGCGAACAAAACGTCAGCTAAGTACGGGACAATTGAGCAGATACCCAGACGTAAACGTGAAGTCCAACAATCCAGCTGGGCTGCTTTGCTCTTAAATGCTGCTTTTGGAAGCTACGGGTGATGAATGACAGCGGCCGGTTGCCCTGGCAGACCATGCACGTGTGTGGAAGAAGCGAATCGTGTACCGATGGCTATAAAACCCCTTCGTCCCTCGAGCTCCTCTTCCCTTCTTCGTATGCTGAGCGCTGCCCGCGGACGATCATTTGAAATAGCCAGAACCAACCCATGTAGCTGCCAGCCAATCCTCCAGCTACCGCTGTGCGATGCACGCCTTCGCATCCCCGCCTGACAACTCCTCAGCTGCGCAATGTGCTCAACCACCTTCAGACCTTCTGGTCTTCGGCCGGCATTGCTCAGCGCACAGAACCCGTTACCTCACCTTGACAATCAGCTAGCAAGGTTTCTACTTCCAGCAGCTTCAAGATCCTTCGCCGACTGAGAGCTCAGCGCAAAGAAACTACCTTCCGGTTGATCCTATATTCACTTCAAGGTTCGACAAGCAAGAGCTCTCCCTTGAAGGCTCTCTCACAACTTACCGACCCCCGCTTGTTCTGCATCTCGCCGACCAATACATGCGGATCCCCTCACCCCAGCAACCGTCCGTGTGGTCCCACCTCCCAGCAGTCTGAAGAACCGTCAACAACTCACTCTTCTGCACACATCGCTCGGCTGCATCCCTTTTGTAGCTTCATACCACCGCCGAAGCTACCAGAAATGACACTGCCGTCGTGCGCTGTCAAATCAACACCCCAAGCTCAACCTTCAGATCGCTCATGACCCCAACGAAAGGCTTCTCCGTATAATAATAATACACAGTCAACCACTACAAACGTTCTTCAGCAAGATGGCCGGGTTCGACTACTCTGCCGCCCATGATCACAGCAATCACAGATGCCATGCAGGATGAAAAAGGCAACTTCCCGTATCCGGCAAGCGACTGTGTCGTCTGAGTGAGCTCGATCATACCACTTCTGGATCAGTGGCTCCCGAGCGAATGAGGTCAGGGAAACGGAGCTGAAGGAAGGCTAATGCAGTCGGTAGTTAAGAATGCCCGGAGGAGCTGAGATTCGATCAAAACGTCTCGGTAGCTTTAGATAGTGGTCGGAATTTGCATTTCCACAGGTGCTTCGTCCGTTTCCCGCGTATTTCCGCTTGTGACTCTTAGACGGACAGGGACCAAGAGAAATAGAGATGTCATTCGGCCAATTTCCGTCTCGTCCCTGCAGTTGTGGTGGGTTGTGAATTTCCTTTCGCACGTCCAATGTCCCAAATTTCTAAGTTGAGGCATATGTTTCAACTACCTACAATAGCATATCCCCTCTCAAATGAGGAATATGTCACACTGACTGTACAAGCAAAGAAGCCATAGAGCAGTCCAACAAGAGAGTGAAGAAAACAATGCAAGAGCCTTGCTCGAAGTTTGCTGCAGGGCTTGTACTGCCAGATCTTATCATTACGGTGGAGAAAGTAAAGAGCGTATGACGGACGCCGAAAGGAGCGCAACAGCCAGGCATTAGTATCAAGGGTATGAGTGACAAAAGACGAGAAAAAGAGTATCGGAGAAGGGTGAAAGTAAAAGGAGCCGATTACAACGAAAAAGATTTCCAAGAAGCCATATGCCCATGCACTCGCGCCAAGCCCGCGGAACCGGGCAGTATGTGTACCCCTCACCACCAATGTTCATTTCCCTTCAGACCGCGTCACACCATAATCAAACGTACCGGCCTACGCCCCTACCATTGTCCTCTCCAGAATTTAAAAAAAAACCCCCTCCTGCCTAGCCAGCCTTGGCCACCCTTCTCTGCTGGATCTTCTTCCAGGTGAACAGAGAAATCAGCAGGATGGCGATGGCGCCGATGATGCAGAAGACGAGGATGACGCCGGGCTCGCGCGCAGCCCAGTTCTTGCGCTTGACCAGCCGGTGGTACGTCGTCGTCGTCGCCACCGCCCCCAGATTCGCGAGGTCAAGGGCGGGCATGTTTTGACGTCGGAGTGGTTGTTTGGTTGGTTGGTTGGTTGAGGTGGGTCACCGAAGGGAGGGAGGAGGAAAGCTACTGGAAAACAAAGGAACGAGAAAAGGAACAATGGTTGGTTCGAATTGTACCGCCAATTCTTCTGAGATTCGAAGAAAGTGAGGGAATCTAGTGAGCTTTCTTTGAAAGTGGGATTTGTTAGCAGGGAGGGAAAGAGTTGATGAACCTGGAAGACGATGGTCAGCTGCGTGACGTACCTTCGCGTGAAAGGTGGAGAGAGGAATGGCGGCGTTTGCTGCAGAGCTGGTGGAGAAGGTCAGTCGGCTGCGGCAAAGGATGCACGGAAGAACGAATGGGAGAGGGCCAGCAAATGAATTGATTGACGTGCGTCATGCGGCGCCGAGAAGGCTTGAGAGGAAACACAGGCGCTCACAGCTTGGCATGCGGTATCCCCGGCACAGAGAGGGGCCAATTGCAAGACTGGAGGAAAGAGTAACGTACAGGTGCTGGAGCGGAAGGGTTGTGCGGCCGGGCAGACGGTGGAGCTGAGGAGGGTGCGAGGGAGGAGGTTTGATCTCGCGTGCGGAGTCGCTCTCGTCCTTAGCTCTGGCGGGGTCGACGTACCGTGTGTCAGCGGTGCAGCGCCCTGGAAGCAGCGCATGGGGCGCCCGTGCTGATTGCTGGCGGGGAGCTGGACAAGCGACCCTGGCCCTTGTCCTAGCGCATCCGGGGGTGGAGACGCGGGCGGGAGTCCAAGCTTGTGTCAGCACCCTTCACGTCATTTCTAAACCTCGCCGCCGACCAAACCTCGCCGCCGACAATCGCTAGCCGCTGCCTCCGATGCATCCGGCAGCGACCGCCTGCGCCTGATATCATCGTGCCGCCTCGGTGCAGGCCGCGAAGCTCCTTTTGCATGCCGCCGCCGCGCATGGACCACCCGATGCGGGCAGGGATCGTGCGCCCATCAGCGGGTCTGCGGTTCGGCCCAGCTTGGACCACCCCTTATCTCACCACCCCTTCGCAACGTCGCAATCAATCAAAATTATGCGTATATGCAACCAATCCACGACTAAAACACCGCTTGCTTGAGGAAGACGGAAGGGTATAAGTAGCAAGCCCAAGCAATCCCGGTCTGAAGAAAAGACAAAACAAAGCCCGCCCCTAGAATCGAAGAAAAGAGAAGAGCTATGTCCATGTTCTCGTAGATGCCTCCCGCCTGATATCGGTGAAATTGGACGAGACCCAACCTTGGCAGCACTCAGCTGCGCAGCCTGGTATAAAAAAAAAGTATCCCCCCCAGCGAATGCTCATGTACATAAAACCCCCCCCAAAAAATGCTCGAGGGAGGGCGAAAAGGGTAGTCGAAGTTGTGCTGACGTGGTGCTTCACACTCGTCGTCCGAGGCGAAAATGCCGTCTTCTTATCGTTTCAGCGTTCTTGTCCATGTCGTTTCCTCCACTGTCATGGAAGCAAAATCCTCGTGTCTTCTGCCGTCTTTATTCAAATGCGCTCTCTTCTTGTACCATGCCCGACTCTTCTCTCAGTCTCTGCATCGAGCTCTTTCGTTGGCCGCCAAGGCCCATGTTCATCAGAAGCATTCCGCTTTCCCTCTTCCGAGCTCTCGCTTCGCGCGACGTTGGGGCCGCAAGTGCGGCGCTGTTCAGACTCCCGTATCCTTCTCCGTACCCATATGTGGCGCTGTCATAGCTCGGTTGCATGGGAATGAAGCCCGTGTCGTAATGCGGCGCCGGTTCGCGCGTCCCTGCAGAATTAGAAGGCCCTGTGTTCTGCTGCTGCTTGTGTTGCTCTTGGAAACCCCCCTGGTACGCCGGCGTGGGAAGATCCGAGAACATCTGATGACGCGGAGACCGGACCGACTCGGGAGTGAGCGGCGCCGTAACCGTGACTTCCCGGATAGGAGAAGTCGCCTCGTCCTTGGCCGTGCCGAATATGTCATGATAGTCGGTGATGAAGAACGAGATGAGCGGCCCCGGGATGTTCAGAGTGGGAGAGAAAACAATTCCGACTGCGCAATGTCAGCACCAGCCCATCACGGGCAACGGACTGTGCAGCTCACCGTTCCGAATCGTCATTTTGTTGATGTCGTAATTATTTGTAATATCAATCAAGAAAGACGAAAGAGCGCGCAGCAGGTCCAAGTTGACGGGCGGCAGCTTGTGAACCAGAACATTGAAGGCGTCGATTTTCTCGGACCTTTGATCCAACTCTGTGATGACGGTCAGCTCGACAATTGCAATCAAGGAGGTGCCTGAACACACCAAGTACTTTGAGAAAGTCCAAGTGGAGCTCTCTTGTCAGTATCGAGACAGGCAGGTCACGCAGATAAGACTTCAGCAACGAGGCCACGGCGTGAACGTCGTAGTACTCGCCCTCCAACAGTCGGATGTCACGTTCGGTGTTGAACCGTTCCCTGAGCCCCTTGATGACGATGTTCGAACCGCTCAACCTGAAGATGCCCTCTTCACGATGAGCATTCTTCGCCTTCAAGTACTCAAGACAACGGTAAACGACGGCAGGTAGAAGGACATCGACGCCTTCTGGCTGAGTGGCCTCGACCGCCTCGGCGAGAGGGATCCCCCAGACAGGCCGGCCTTGCTGAGGGGTCGGCTCACGCGGCGGCTGGCTCTGGCCAGAGTTGTTTTGGCTCTGTCCAGGTGCGAGGTCGGTGGACGATCGTCCTCTTCCACCGCCGAATCCGAAGATACTCCGCTTCTTGTCTCTGAGGGGAGTCTGCGTGGTCAGACTTTTGTTCCCCCAAAGCTCGGCGTTTTGAATCACAGCGCCGTTCGTGGGACCCGAAATAATACGGTCTGGGTGGAAGCCTCCTCCCAAGGGGGGAGAGGGGACACCTTCCCTGCCTACCATGATTGGCGCATCGGCCGCCACCGTGCTTTCGTAGCTCGTCGCTTGGACTCCATCGAGATGCCTCGCCCTCTCCGGGCTCCTTTCCTTCTTTTTCTCACGCTGCGAGCCGCTGTGTTTCGATTCCTTGCCAGACTCGTTGCTACGAGCAGAGCCAGGCTCACGCACCGTTTCGCCCGAAGCTTGCTGGCTCTTGTCCTCTGTCGATTCCACATACTGAAGGAGTGCGTCGATCCAGGCATCCCTTTCATCATCGCTTTCGGCGCACAGAATGTGCGAAACCTTGGTGGTCGGGTCCTTGCGCTTGGGCTCCAGGATGAGGAACGCATGCCTCATCTCGTCGTCTTGCTGGCTCGCCTTGTTCCTGGGGTTTTGCCGGCCGATCTGGGCGCTCTGGAGCTTGATGGATCCAAGTAAAGGTCCTCCGGGCGATTCGAAATATCGGAACTCGGAGCTTTCGAGCACAAAGTATCTAGCCTTCCACCCACCAAAGTTCTTTCCACGCTTGGTCAAGTAGCCCTCCTTGGTGGCCTTCGTTGGTGGCACGGTAGGGTTCTCGGGAACAGAAAGGTTGGAGGATCTCGGAGGCTCCATCTCGGCGCCAAAAGCATCCGTAGAGAAGAACTCGCAGAGAATCAGGGCAGCCCTCTCGCCCATGGGGGTATCGAGTATTTTATCAAAATAGGCATTCAGAGCCGCCCTCCGCGCGTCGATCTTCGAGGGGGCATGGCCAGTAAACAAGCTCCGGTCCGGAAGCTGACCGGTAAACTCGCAAAGCTTCTTCAGCTGCTGGTCCAGCGCTGGCAGCGCGTTGATTGTCTTCTCGAGACGCCATAGCTGCTTCCCGTCAGAGCGGGAATGAATGGCAAGGATGAAAACCGGGTCTTCCTCGGACGGGCTGGGAGCCATGAAACTGTGGCGGGATGGACGCAGGCGAGAAGAGAAGACCTTGACCTGGATGCCGGGCAGAGCATTCGGCGGAAGAAGCAGATTGGGGTACTGCTCCGACACCAGCTCTCGACTGATGCCGTCCGGGGATGTTGGCTCTGAGCCATTGGAACTACCCTTATTCGACTCAGAACTCGAGTACCCTGTGCCGGGTACTGCAAGCTTCTCGGGTTCGCTCTGGGGCTGCGGTTGGTATTGCTCAGCACGTGCGAGGTGAGGCGAAGCAACAGCAAGCGGCGTCTGCGGTGGCAGGGGAATCGGGCCTCTCGGAGCGCGTGGAGAAAGCGGCAGGCCATTGGCGCCGCGAGGGGACATTGGCGGAGATACGATCTCCTGCTTTGGAAGACGGGGTGTTGGTGCACCTGGAGGTCGGTCGCCGGGACGCGGGCTTACAGGCAGACCTGGGCTCATCAGAGGGGTGTTTATGCTTCGCTGTGCGACCATGGAGCCGTCGGAACTGGCGGGACTGAGCAGCGCATTGATAGAACCGGGGGCTTGAGCGAGGCGGGGAGAGCTCGGTAGTCCAAGTGCGACCGGCGATCGGGATGCTGAAGCAGCGGCAACCTTGGCCGTGTCCTCCGGCGCCGCCTGGTCGTGACCTGACTTGCTTTTGCTCTTACTCTTACTCTTGCTCTTCTTCGAACGACTGCGCTCCTCGAGCTCTTTCTGCACGAGAAGCTCACGCTGTTTGTCGTCTTCTTCCCGCGTCTTCTTCCGCCCACGCTGAAAGACGGGCATTTCATCTACCTCCGAGACTTCGTCATATTCTGAGTCAGAGTGGCGGTCATCAGGGGGCGGTTGCTGCAGATGTTCGCTCGGGCGCTGGGGCTGTGAGAGATTAAGAGGTGCAGGTGGGGCTTTTCGTTGGGGGCGTTCCTCAGGGCTGGGGAAGCCGTTGGAACCTAGAACAGGAGTAGGCGCGGTTAGTGAAAGTGAAGGAGTCTTTGCATGGAACGACGACTGAGCGACGGTCGTCTTGGGCGATACAGCGTCGTCATAAGCAGCCTGCGAACCACTACCGACGGCCTCCTCGCGCAGCGTTCTAAGGCGAAGATCGCTCGGTTTTGAATCACCCGCAGGAGGCTCGTTTGCACCACTCCGCGACTCGACGGTAGAGGCGGAACCTTCAAGCGGCGAGGGCTCGCTGCTGGCTGGATCCTTCACAGAGGTTTCGGCGGATGCGGAATCAGTAGACTGGGCCGGGGGCGACTCTGGGGACAGCAGCAGCGAACCGCCGTCGCGAGGGTTTTGGCCGGGCAGCGTGCTCTGCTCAACCGAAACCTTGCGATTGAGGCCATCGGGAATCACATCCGGCGTGCTGTTGTTCCTACCGTTCAAGACGGCTTCTTGCGCTTCGCTCAGTGCCGGCGAAGAGCTGTGTTCCCGATCTGGAATCTCGATTTTTTGCGCCGCATGTGGCAAAGGCGGCACCTGAGCAAGATGTTCCTTCAGCTTCTTGCGATAGCGCTCTCGATCCTTGAGGGCGCGCTCCAAGTCTTTGTTCAGGCCCACGACCATGTCCTTCTGCTTGGTGACGATCCGCCATAGCTGCTGGTTGTGGTTCTCCAGACTCTGCTTCTCGCGCCACAGATTATATAACGCTGCCTCCGGAGAGCCTGCAGCCTGTATCAGGGCGGCAAAGTCGGGCGTCTGTGCATTTGCCATGGGCTGGGACGACTTGAGGTTGACGGCAGAGGCATTGGAGGATATGGAGGAGACGGCAGAGTCTATGGAAGTGTTGCGCGCGGCGTTGGGCCGGGAGTCGGCAATATTAACGGGCTTGGATGCAGGCATCACGGAGGTAGGGGCAAACGGAGGGCAGAGGCCGGCGGATGCGAGCAGCGTGACGGAAACGGCTCGCGGCTGCGCATATGAAGACGGTTTCGGCGCGGTGCTGCTGCTGATGGTGGTGATGGAGGTGGAGCGCAGAGACAACGGCTCGTGTCTGTCGCTCTTTGGCGCGGCGGCTCGAGCAAGACACGCGGTGGCCAATAGGGCGTCCAGCACTTGGCGGCTTGGTGGTCGTGGAGGCGCTGGATTGGCGGGCAGTGCCTGGCGGGCGGCGGCAGCAGCAGCGCGCGGCGAGCGCGGCGGGGTGGAGGCGTCGACGCAGGGCGGGTTGGGCGTCGGGCAGTGGTGTTGGCCGCAGGTTGGGTGAGGGAGAGTGCAGAATTGGGTGGAGGTGCAGGTGCAGGCGTGCGCCGAGAGAGGCCGCGGGCGTGGAGGCTCGGCGGCGGAGGCTTCGCTGGCGGCGGCTGCGACTGGCGCAGGCGGCGGACGGCGACGGCGTGGTCGGGCGGGCTTGGCTGGTGAATGGGGGAGATGGTGAAGAGCATGGCAGCTCCATATCCAGAGGCATATGGGCCGGGATGGTGCCCAGGCCGAGCATGCACCGTCGCTGCGCGCGCGCGCACGACTCCACCGTCGGCTCAAACCAGGCTAGGCGGGCACGGTGCAGGCCCGAAGCGGCATATCGTGCGGCGGGCGGGCTTTGCGACAGCCAGCTGTCTCGCTGTGGGGTGCTGGGGCGCTGCAGATGGTCTCGAGTTAGGCGCTCGGCTGGCCTCAGATCAGCGCAACCTCTGACGCGCCTGTGCGGGCAGCCGCCGCCGGGACCATGGCGAATGGGGTGCTGCAGGAACCAGGTCAAGGCTGACTTGGCCTGCGCCGGCGAGCGCTCCACGGCGGGCGGTTCGTCAAGGGCGCATCACAGGCGATCCTGAAACACCACGGCCGCCCAGCTCATAATGCTGCCTCTTCAGGCCGCTCCCCTGCTCATCACACGAGCCCGCTGCCCTGCGCCCGCCTGATTGGCTGCGCCGCCTCCGTGGCTTCGCGTCGCAAGTCCAACCTTCAACCATCTGACCCTCCCGGCGCGGCTGTGATGCCCATCATTGGCTGCGCGTCCTACCACGAGTGTGACGGGCCCTGTGCTGCCCGCGCCTGCAGCTCCGCGCCGCCCACCACCATCACCACCACCACCACCATCAAGGGGTGTTGCTGCTCATTGCGATCGCTCGCGGCCGCGCAGAATAAGAGCAGCCCGCAGGCACGGTCCAGAACGCGGCCGGCACAAGCCGGAGGGCTGCACGTCGACAAAGTTGGACCTCGACCGCAGCAGATGCCACGCGTGCCGCCAGTAATTATATGCGCAGTCAGCCGGCACCTCCGTGCGCGTACCCTGGCCGGCCATATTTCGCAACGCTTGCTGGCCCGCGCCGCTCCGCCCACGCTGCCGCCGCTGCTGCACCTCGACGGACGCACCCCGGGGCGGAGCTGATGATTGCCGTTGTGGCGCTGCTCAGTAGTGCCGCCCGTGCAGGCCGGCTCGTGGCTCATGTGCGCCGACGTCTGCTGCTTCGGGCAACATGCATCGCGACGCCGCTCCATGCTGTTACTATGTACTGCTGCTCTCCCTTTTCCGGCGTGGTTTGTTCTGCGGTCCGCCGGAGCGGTTAGCGCCGCTGCTGCAATTTCCATCGCACGTTTAGTAGGAACCGACAACCAATTTCCACCGCGTCCATCAGCATCAGCACGAGGCCCCGGCGTCGGCCCCTCGCCCGCAGTGGTGCCCGCCTCGTCGCCTCCCGCCAGACAACAATAGAACAGACTTTGAAGCATATTTGGCCGCAATTGCTGGCTCACACGATGCGTTACGAGCTGCCCCATGTTCGCTCAGCTCACCGACGAGGCTGAAAGGCAGTCATCAACATTCCTTGGGACCGGCGACATCCTGCAGCAGCCTCGCGGCGCAAGATTCGGGGCAAACAGCGAAGATCGCCGTCGTTTCCGCCTTCGCAGCCCTCGGATAGCGCGCATCAGCCTTTTGATGGCAATCAATCGGTCCGCTTCTCAGAAGTGGCGTCGACAGCTTATCATGGATACCGTCGCTCGAGATCAGACGGACGCGGGCCCTGTTCCGGACCCCAAAGGCGCAACAGGTGCCCCACACGGTGCTATTCATCTCGGAAGAGCCGTTGCGCTTGCCCTCAGCTCGGTCCAGGTCGACTTGTCGCCTTAGTTTGGACGCCGGCTCGACATGAGACTTCCTGGCTAGCTCTCAAGCGGATCTGGTGATCATTCAGCTGGAACCGACGTGCTAAACGTTAGGACACCTTGCGCCACAGCAACAGTTGCCCTTTTACCGCGCGAATTCTTGGGCAGGGGAAGAATAAATATTGGAAGAGGCTACCGCATAGCCTTCTTCATCCTGCTGTCATTTGATCGGCGCGGAACTGCACATGCTTTGGGTCGTGATTGGCAGGAGTGATCATTTTCCTCTGAGGTCTGGATGCAAACCGACCGAAGCGGTTTCCTGCGCCTCTTCTGGATTCGCCGCAGAGGTAAGATTGCTCATCCTAGTGCGGATGACTGATGCGGCTAAGTATGTTAGCTTCACTGCCTTGTGAGGCTTAGAATTGCCGTAATGTACCTACTACCTTCCCTTTTGCCATCTCCCCGAAACACCATCATTCCTTCTCACTGTCCGGACAGCGCGCACGGCGACCGGGTACACAACATCTTTATCCTCTCGCCCCTCAGCTGCATCCACTGTCGATGTTCAGGGCAACACTCGAATGACTGTCCTTTTTTCCCCTCTTTAGAAGATTTCGGGCGCAGCCTCATTTTCAGACCATTGAAATTTAAAAACCTGTTCCCTCTTTTTATTTAGCTGGTCCGTTTAGTTCATTGATATAAACTCGCTTAGCAGCACGAATAACTTCGCTCAAACTGCCAAAAGCATCATACTATGGCAAGCCTCTAATGAACCCATTGTTCCGTGGCCCCTTGGAGACGTGCTGGAGCCGAGCATGCATAATCTCATCACTTCCTATTGGATTTTGCTGCCGTCCTATAGGTAAGCAGTTCTCCCGTTCGCACGTGTGCAATGCCGTCTTGAACGTCTGGTCCGTGCCAGCGCTTAGCGCTCGGGTTGGCAGGCAGCCCACATACGCGTGCTTAAACCTGTTCAACCGAAGACTCACGCCATCACGCATCCGGAAGTGTGCTACTTCTATATGGGGTCTGAGCGTTTAGCAGTCATACCTAGCGCGCGTCTCCCCTGCATAACGCTTATAGTATTGCAGTATAACAAGCATCCGAAGAAAAGGCGCTAGGCGCTCGGGAATAAAAAAAAAGCAAAGAGTTACAATAGAGAGAACAGGGTTCGACGCACCGACCTGCACCCAAAACCTCCTGTGTGCCGGCAGCCCCACACCGGCCCTCCATATATGTTTCCCGACGCTTGGCATTGGGGAATGTTATAGGAAAAGATCTCTATTTCCCCCGTGCGGAGCCAGAAGCCGCATTTCTGCTTACTAAAGCAAAGCAAAGTGAAAAATAAAAGAAACGCCGAAGACCAGCTGGAACCTCGACCATATTCACGCAATCTGAGGCTAGTCAGATATGTTAGTGCGAAGCCAAAGGAAAAAAAAAAACGATGCAGTGTTGAAATAGCGAGCTAAAAGTATAGCCTCTGTAATGATGAAAGTGTTACACGCTGCCGTGTGAGATAGACTTGAGCGTTATGACGTGTTTTGAAGGTAGAGTCAAATAACCCATGGAAGAGCTCGGATCGAGGCTTTCCTGCGGTTAAATTTTTGAAGTGTCTCATATGTGAATGAAGGTTGTACGAAGCGAAACGCCCATCCAGATATGAGTGTCGGCATTGTGGACCTCAAGCTCTTGCTCCATGAACAAATTCCGTCCAGCTCACATATCGTAGCCAGCCCACATTTACAAATGAAGGATATGATTCGTAGGTCCTCTCCGAAGAATAAAAATTTAAGATAGTCGTGATGGTGTAGCCCGCGACGCAGTTACTCCTTAATACTGCTGCCTGATGCACAAGCTAATCCAGCTTGACAGCGTGCTTTCCAACTTAACTAACAGAAGACACGCTGTCATCGTAACCCTCATCCGGCTCGATGGCTACGCTGTGCTCTCCATCAAAGTCATCGAAGGCGCCCGAGAACCCACCGTAACCCTCATCCTTATTTTCTTCCAAGCCATCGTTCATATCTCTGTCAATGACACGACCATCTTTTGCAATGAATTTCCTCTTTATCACTCGAGCTCTACCATCGCCCATAACCCAGGCTCGTGCACGCCCGTCCCTTGTGACCGCCCAGACTGTCAGATCCGGCGTCTCGTTCACTGCGAGCGCCGCGCAATCTGCGTCTAGCTTCCCCAAGATCACTCCTTTTAGCCTGAGTGGCCACGGAGCGCCTCGCTGCTGCGGGAGCATAGGATCAAGGTCGTCATCGTCCTTATCTGGCCACCAATCGAGCCAAAGATTGTTGTCGCAATGTGTTTTTTGCTGAGATGATGATGAGGCGAATGTGCAACTGCATCCGTGGTGTGTCCAATGATCGACACCATGTTCCAGTTGAGAGGCAAGGAGGAAATCCGGTGGGACCGAGTAGAGTATCACCACGTCTCCAGAGAGGGTATTTTGAGTATAGCTGATGTCCGGATTTGTAGAAATCTCGTCAACACCTTCGACTTGGGAACGGCGGAAGCAAGCGGCTATTCGAGCACCTTCCTGGAGGTCCGCGCCTACGGCATAGCACCTTGGGATCATACCAGGATTCGGTGGCAGCAAGAGGACTTTTCGAATTAGCTTAGTAAGGCCACCAAGAGGAGCATCGCTGCCAAGGTGCAGAAGCGACGTTGCAGGGTCTATGAACATGTGATGAAATCCGTCCGATAATGGCACGGCGCGGTAGTGGTCGTGAACTCCTGGCGTTGTTCGACGCCACGACCCAGGACCGGGGGTACGATAAGCCCAGGAAAATGGTGCAGGATGTGCGTACTGAGAGAAATGCTTGTGAATCGCTGGTCGGTCCTCTGGGTGAGCAATACTAGAAATGATACGAAGTTTGTGCGTGGAATCAATGCCTGTGGTATCGTATCAGCCAACTCCGCTATACGACAGATTGAACCGCCACTTGCAGCTGGCATACCTGGCCTCGGGTTGAGAAAGAATAGGTAATCACTAGGTGAAGCAACGGGAAACCAACGGTGCAAATCTTGCCCAGTCTGCTTGTCGACCCAATGAAGCTCAATGCCGCCAGCACATCCAAATGCCACGCAGCGTCGTTGAGGGCATAACGCGACACTTCTAGGGGGATCGTCTTGCGAGCACAAATGGCGGTAGATGGTACGCGGCCCGTTGCACATGGGCATGAGATTGCGCTTGCCGAGAGAAGTTGAGTCTGTCAAGACAGAGGCTGAAGCGGTAATATGATCGTTCCAGGTCTGATTTACGAGATTCTGGGTGTATCTCACAGGGTCACCGATCCCGTGGAGCGTAGCATCCATATCACCACTGCGGACGTTGACGGTGTCGAAAGCCGGCCTAGAGTGCTCAGTATCCTGCTCGACGGCCGTGGTCCGCGCGTCTCGAGGATACGACCTGCTCGTGAAGATTGACGACTTGACAGTCGTGCGATATCCAGAGGAGCTGTCCATGAAAACTCCAGGCTCGAGTGGTCTGGCAGCCTCCTTCGATTTTCTTTCCAAATCCAGGTCGCAAACAAGACCCATGCGTCCATCTAGGAGCGCAGCGACTGCAAATCGACCCGCGGAAGCATCCATGCTCATAGCAAGAACCCTGCGCGGACATGTTACGCTAGTGACTGGAAGAACACCAGCCTCCTCGACCGCGTATATGTATACCATGCCTGCCTCAGCTACCAGGAGGAATTTGCCGCAGACGCTGGTGGCAAACACAAGCCGCGGATCGTCTTGTCTCGCCGGCCCGCCATAACCGCTTGCAAGATCAGTAAAGTCAGCCCGGCATCGTTCAACGAGACCGGAGTAGTAGCCGGTGTGGGATGATGCGGTTGCGGGAGACGGCGAGGCCTCCAAGCCATTTCCCGTCCAGCCAGCTGCAAGAGCGCACTGTCGAGCAAGATGCCGACTGAGAATCCATGCGTCAGAGTCACTGCTGTTGCGTGCCCAGAGAGCCGTATAGACTCCAGACCACCAACCACCTCGTTTCAACATGCAAGAGAGGAGTCGTTGATCGAGACTTGCTTCCATCCAACTTCGACAGGTATGGCGGGCGGCATTGAAATGGACCGGCGAGAGGTATTCAAAGATCTGCTGAATGATCTCGCAAGGCAGCGTGTCCATTGCAGAACGATCCGACGGCAGCTTTGTGCGACACTCTGAAGCGACTGAATTGGGCACCATTGGATCAGGGCTGACAGACGAGCTATTTGACGCGATAAGCGGCTGAAGTCTTAGCTCCTTGGGCGCTGGAGAAGCGGACGCAGAGGCCGAACTGGCGACCCCTCGCGAAAGGAATATTGACGAAGACGTTGTCGCCGTACGAGCCTCTAGGCGGAGCCTGCTGAGGACTGTTGGCAAGAGAGCGGCAACCGTGAATGGTATGAGATTTAGGACGAATAGGTGTTGATATCCAACGAGGATCGATCGATCCCCGGAGTTGCGAGCGTGCCATGCCGGGATACATAGAGGCAGGGGCAGTGAACCAGGAGCGGCAGGATCCAAACTCGAGAATCGGCGAACGGCACCCGGTCTTCCAGGAAGCGGCTGATTGCAGTTGCTGCTACCAAGAACAGGAGGTTCCCATGCTGGATACGGTTACCGCATCCGCGTAGCCCCAGAGGCTTGATACGCACATGTCTCTAGCGGAGATCGCGAGAGATGGGCAAAGCGTAGCAACTACTTTTACAGGACGAGAAAGGCACACGCAAGCGGCAGGTTCCGCCAGAGGGTCCGCGAACGCAGCATCGACAATTCCATTAGGCAAAGCAGGCTTGGCGTGTCTGACGTAGGGATAGCTTGTGCAGCGGAAGCACGACAAGCAGCTGCCGTGAGACGTTGCAGGCGCAGAGAGCCAGACGGTCTGGGGCCAGGGCCGACATCATGAGCTGGACACTGGTCGAGGAGCGGGGATCGACGGGAGCAGGGCGGCGGGTCGGATTAGGGTTCGCAGACGGAGGGCTGGGCGGGAGGATGACGCGCGGTGCTGATCCAGCGAGGCCCAGGGTGGGCGGGCAGAGGACCGTCTGATGGGCCCTGCGCGCGGAGGAGAGCGGGTAGGGCAGGCGGGGAGCGGGTGCGAGGCTGCTCGTCGCGATCTTGGCTAGTGACGTGGGCCGCCCCCATGCACAGCGACGCTCGCCCGCGCCCAATTCACGTCGACCCTTCGGGCATGCTCCGCCACAACCGCTCCCAACAGCCCGCGAAGCGCTGCCCACGCCGACGGGCCTGCTCCAGGAACACCGCAGCAATGCGATGATCCCGCTCCCTGCTGCCCTCACCGCCAATCACCGCTCGCCCGCCCTGTGTCTAGCCGCGCGAGACTTCTGCCCTCACGGCCCGCCAAGTGCAACCTCGCCGCACCGCGACCATGAGCTCCAAGGACCCAGACGCCCGCCGCCGCCGGAAGGACCGCGATTCCGACCTCGACTCGTCGCGCTCCAGGGACAAGGACCGCCACGCCGTCCGGAAGTCCTCGCACAAGAAAAAATCGCACTCCAAGGACCGCCTGCGCGACGCTGCGGACCGCGACCGCACTCACTCCACCCGTTCGCACACCCACTCCAAGAAGATGTCGCTGGTCCCCGAGCTGGACCGCCGGCCGCCCTCAGCCTCGCCTTCCTCCAGCCGCTCCTATCCCTCCTTCTCCAAGGCCCACAGCCGCGAGTCGCTGGAGCCGCGCAGCGATGACCCGAAGAAGGGGAAGCCGCTGTATACTCCAGACCCTACTGACCTGGGTGGCTCGCCGAAGGACGGCCGCCAGTCTCCCAAGCCTGCCGCTGCTGCACGTGCGACTGCTGCTCCTCCAAGCCCGCCTTTGACCGCCGATGAACCCGACCTGAGGAGGAGGGGCAGTGGGAACAGCATGAGAAGATCCGGAGGTAGCCAGCGGTCAGACAAGGAGGGCAGGAAAAGGAGCGAGAGCGGAAGGCGGAGCTCTAGCGGGAGACGCAGCGTAGGCGGAGATTCGCACCGAGGCGCCGGTCCTAAGATGGCGACGTCGAAATCAAGTTTGCGCCAGGCTATCCCACTCGACGAAGACTCTCAAGACTCTGACGGCTCGGGCTCAAAGCCAAGCACCGCTCGCCGCCATGCGACTCTGCGGAAAACGTCCTCCGATACCTCGACGGCGAGATCGCAGAGGACTGTTAGTGGAACGCACTCCACGACGGATTCCGATGCTACCTCAATCGCCCCAGATCAGACCAGAGTACGCAGAGATCCGATCTCGGATTCCTCCCCATCAGTTGACGACTCGTCCCCTCGCACACCGACTGCAATCCACCCCGCCTTTGCAAACGCCCCGCCCGGCCAAAAGGGCACGCCGATGGTTCAAGTTTTCTCAGGCCCGGACTCTCGCGCACCGTCTGCAGATTTCTGGGGCGGAGGCACAAATGCTCCGCCGCCACCGCCCCCGCCGCCGCCCCCGCCGCCGATGGTCATGCCCACTGACGTACCTCGCGTGGACTATCTGCTACAAAACGGAGGTCTGCCCCATACAATTCCCAAAACGCTCGTGGCGGCCGTGGAACCACCAGTAGGATCATTGCAGCCTCACTATGGCTCTCCAGGAAGCCGACCGCGGCCGGCGGACTCGGTGCAGCACATTTTCGCACCGTTCCAGAAAATTCTAGAAGACTACAATCACGTCATGTCGAAGAACGGGTCCATAGCCGTTGCTACCGGATACCGCTCCGTGGCACGACGGCTGCTCGACAGGCTCGAAGCGGTGTTCGCTCGCGACATTTCCTCGGAAGTCTGTCGCTGCGTCATGTGCCGCCTGAGATCAGACGAGGTGGAGCCGACTGAAGAAGAAACTGGTGTCAGCTGGGGAGAGATCCTGGAATTTGTCTCTGGCCGGCGCGAACTGCCTCCCTGGCCACCATTCTCAATCGACACGGACGCCGGCGGCCTTGGCATCTCCGGCTTCAACCAAGCAGCGCCGATGCAAAAGCTCGACATCGACGTCCCCGAGGAGTATCGTGATCACTACATCAAGCAGAGCAAGAAAACGAAGCAAGCGGTACAAAACTGGCTCGCTACCCAACCGGAATTCCCGACGAGCCCACCGCAGGAAGTCGATGATGAAACTCTCACCTTTGCCATGCTCACGCACCTGGAAGCAGAGAAGCGCCCGGTTTTCACGGCCCTCCTCAGGGGGATGAGCACCATCCCAGCTTCCCGCACGCCGACCCCGCTCAACGTGCCAAGGCCTGACCTCCTAGCGAAGACTGCTACTGCTCTGCAACGGCTGTATCGCCTGAGCAAGGCCCCCCGCGACCCCGAATGTGCAATCTTTCTGCTCAACTACCCGATGCTCCATTCAGTCTTGGCTACACTGGCTGCGGTGAGCAGTGGTGAGTGGGAAATACTCATTTCAGGCAGGTTCGATGGGTTTTTGTGGAGCGGTGCGGAAGGCCCAATTCCGCCCGGTGCTCTCGGGGGGTCAACCATTTCTCGTGGACCAACCGCCACGCCGTTGTCACGGACCACGACTCCCTTCAGCATGGGGGGAGGGCCGTCTCGCGGGCCCACGCCCTTCCAGAACGGCAATCCTGGGACTGCGAGGTCGGCGTCGACGGCGCCAGGCTCCTTTGGCGCGCCTGTCCAGATGGACGAGGAGGTGGAGATTGCCACGCTTGCCGAGGTGGAACGTGAGATTTTCTTGGGCATGGAAGCGCTCGAGGACGCCTTTGAGGCGCTCCACTGCAAAGCTGAGACGGTTCGCAGAGCGCTCCGAGAGCGAAGCGCTGGCCTCGCGATGGCGGCGCAGGCGCGCCGGGGATCCATGGATGGCGGCGTCGAAGTCCGACTCGGGACTCCAGCTTCTGGCATCGGAGGCTGGGGAGGCGGCGGATGGGAAACGGAGACTGACGATGGACTTGACGAGAGGTCGGAGCTGGCTCCCGACGACTCGGCAAGCAACATTAGCTACAGCCGGCGCCGGCGACCTGAGCGGAGGAAGCAGAGGAACACGCCGGCGCCAGTGGAAGAAGAGGACGAGAGCGAGGTGACGGAGGAAGCGCAGCGGAGGAGGTGAGGAGAAGGGGGACACGTTTGCTATCTATCATTATTCTGCATCTGGGAGGCGAATCACGAAAGCACTTGCGCAGATTGGGCGGGTTTAGGTTTGTACTGTGTTAGTCTTAGTTATATATCCCCGCCTACGGCCTCGGATCGCGCGGTGGATCTGCGGCCACGGCTGTCTGCAACTGGCTTGTTCCTGTCGCGCGAAATGCTGCCCGCCAAGGCTGAATCGAATGGTTGCCCGGGCCAGTGGATCTGCTGCCGGCTGCTCGCCAACGCAACACGCCCTGGGCGCGGCGCACTCTGTGGCCCGCCTGCCATCACCGTCCAGACCGCATCGACGTCAGCGGCCTCCGCACTGTCTTCACGCGCGCGCGGTTGCGAGCCTGCGACAGCCGGGCTGCCGCGTCTCAGTTATAGCGTCGGCCGCAGTCGCGTCGAGCTGGGCGCATCTTTTGTTTACATCCGCCGCTTGGCTCCCCGGTCACCCACGCTCATCCCCGCGCCACGACGGGAGCTGCCCGCACACTCGACCAATCGCGCGCGTGTTGCTGCGTGCAAGGGCTCAATTCGACGACCGCTGCCTGCTTCGGCGGCTGGCTAACCCTCTTGAGCAAGTATATCAACATCCCGAACTGTTGCCCGCCCACGCACGCCCACCTTCGCCCGCTCAGCTGCCCGACCGCCAGCACGCCCAAGACAGAGCTCTTCGTGTGTGGAACCCGACCGCCTCCGCTCGCGTGGCGAATGTCCTCCGCGCTCCGCCTGCTGTCCACTCCCGAACGCCGCGACACCGCGTCCCCGCCACCTGCGCCGCGCCAGCATGGCCGCCACGTACAGCACCAGCGGGAGCGTCGACCCTGAGACGCTGTACACCAAGCAGAACTGCATCGGCGGTGGCAGCTTCGGCAAGGTGTACAAAGGGTACCCTCCGCCCCGCCCCTCGGTCTCCAGAGAGCCTCCTGTCTGACTTCAGCGTAGGGTCGACAAGCGCACCGGGCAAAGCGTGGCCATCAAGATCATAGACGTCGAGAATGCCGAAGACGAGGTCGACGACATCATTCAGGAGATCTCCATCTTGTCGGAGCTGCACAGCCCCTACGTCACCAAATACTACGGGAGCTATCTGAAAGGCTCGGACCTATGGATCATTATGGAGTTCTGCTCGGGTGGCAGCTGCGGTGACCTCATGAAGCCGGGCCTCATACCGGAAGAGTACATCACCATCATCATACGAGAGCTACTCATGGGGCTGGAATACCTGCATGGCGACAACAAGCTGCACAGAGACATCAAGGGTGAGTGTCGCATGCGGACCCCTCTCGTGCGCAAGTCTAACCGTCCCTCTCATGACCAGCTGCGAACATCCTTCTCAGTGCCAACGGCCAGGTCAAGTTGGCCGATTTTGGCGTGTCTGGCCAGCTCTCGGCGACCATGACGAAGAAGAACACTTTTGTTGGAACCCCCTTTTGGATGGCCCCGGAAGTCATCAAGCAATCCGGGTACGATCACAAGGCTGATATCTGGTCCCTCGGCATCACCGCCCTGGAATTGGCCCACGGAGAGCCTCCTTACGCCGACATCCACCCGATGAAGGTGCTGTTTCTAATTCCAAAGAACCCGCCTCCCCAACTCGAGGGCAGCTTCAGCAGATCGTTCAAGGATTTCGTGGAATTGTGTCTCAGAAAGGAGCCGCGTGAGAGGCCCTCGGCGAAGGACCTCCTAAAGCACCCTTTTGTGCGGAAGGCCAAGAAGACCACCTACCTCACGGAATTAATCGAGCGGCACGAGCGGTGGGTGGCGAGGCATGGCAAAGGGAACGAGAGCGAATCAGATGAGTCGGACAACGAGGCGGAACCGCGTCAACCTGTGGATGAAGATTTGTGGGATTTTGGCACAATCCGGCCCGCTGGCAAATCCCACGCCTTGAAGGCGATGAACGACGCCGCGGCGAACGCGAGGAGCCGGACAGACAGGACTGCCGATATTCAAGCAGTGCCACCGTCGCCTCGCAAGGCCGCCTTGACGAGCACAGGCGAGGAGAATGCGCCTGTTTCCATCAGTGGGACGGTGAGGAGCACCAGTCCTGTTAGACCGGCCCCCCAGCCCCCGAGGGAGCTCTCTCCACAGAAGCGGATCTCACAGTCATCTTTCGTCCCCCTCTCGCCGGCAAAGGTCCCCTTGCCCCCATCTCCAGTCAAGCCGCAAGGTCCACAGGGACCTCGTTCACCCTCCCGCGAGAAGCCGTCTCTTTCGAAGCCCCTACCCTCACCGGCGCCGCGGCTCAGCGATCTGGATATTGACGATTATCTCGGACAAGCGATCGTAGAGTCGGATCTGCCATCTCTCAGCGTCTCAGAAAACCATTCCCTGCCTCCGACGCCAAGGCACGCAACCCCGACAAAACCCCCGCCAGGATTGTCGCAATCACCTTTCAATCTTCCGCCTATTCCACCATTCAATCCTAATCGATCGCGCCAGTCCTCGCAGCAAAGCGTGACCAGCCCGTCGGGTAGTCCCCAACGCCCACGGCTGCAGCAAGACCACGCCCCGTCTCTATCGCAGCACCCGCTCCCATCCTTCTCCCCAGCTCCTTCGCCACTAGAGCGTAAGCCGGCGCCGGCCGTGCAGAAACCCACACCACCTCTCCCAACGCCCGGAAGCGCCGCACCGCAAGTTCCAGCAACACGCAAGGTCTCCGATGGCAGTCGATCGCTGGGTCGGAGCTTCAAATCCATCGGAAGCTCGAACGGTACGGCGGGGAGTAACGGTAACAATGCCAATCCGCCAGAGATTACGGCTTTGACCGGTGTAGTTTTGCCAGCATTGGAGGCGGCACTGCACCGGCGGACCTACAATTACAATGCTCTGCAAAAGCAATCATCGTACACGAATCTTCGAGCCGCCAGTTCGGGAGCTACAGCGCCCAACAGCTCCTCGGCAGAAGAGACTCAGAAACGGCGCGAAGTTCATGAGAATGTGCGGCGCCTGGTAGGAAAGGCCGCCAGGATCTTCGCGGAAATTGACCAATGGGATAACCAGTCCCCCGTGGGAATGGGAGAGGATGTGCAAGGCTTCTTGGAAGGGTTTTTGGAGGAGATCTTGGTGAGGGTTGAAGCGGAAGACGAATGATAAGAGGGAGTAAAAGCTGCAAAGATCATTTGGTCTTGAAGGCGGATGTGCGAGGGAGACCAGTGCCTCCGATGCGTGATGGACGCCGAGTGGTCGTCGAAGGTCGATTTCCTTTTTCTTTTCCTTTTCCCCCCTCCTGGGACGGGATTTCTTTGGTGGGTTATGCGAAAGGAGGCTTCAAATCGGCGCATCACGGATCGAACTAGGGAACCTCTGCCTTGATTTTCCATTGTTTGTCCCGTTATCTGGGCATCCAAGGTTTCCGACTTTCGAATGGGATGACTCGGGCGTCTCGAGATTTTTTTTTCTGTCTTTCCCACGCATGCATACGGTTAGACTCTAACTGTTTCTTGGCGTTGTTCCTTGCCGTAGCGCTACGCTTGTAGAGACTATCGAAAAACTTTCCATTGGTCCAAAGCTGCCTCCACCCTGCTGATCTTGACTTGCATGCGTTCGGTACGAGAGAGAGATGTCGACCTGGGCAGGCGCCCCCTCTCCTCAGCCACGTGGAAGGCGTGGCTGGTGAAAGGGTACGGAACGTGCACGCGCTGTTCCTTGAAAATGTTTTGGTCTGTGTTCATCGTGATCTAGCAAGGCTGGATCGCGGCGATAGATTAAGAGTGCGGAGCGGCTCCCGGCTGGAACGAGTTCCGGACCACACTTCGAGTAGCCTTGCGTCAGGTCATCGGCTAGGTGTGTGTTGTGGCTCGTTATGCTCGCTGATGTCATGGCTGGAGTGGACTTTCTCACCGCATGCGACCTCGACGAACGGCAGTCACGGTGGCTTGACGGAGGTATTTCCACCCACCGCAGACACGTTTCGCAGTACCTACGCGGGCAATTGAGGCCAGCGTCTAGACGTCGGTGTACATGACACTCTCCGACCTGCATCAGCGCGCGGACCTCAGCTACCTATAGATAGAATAGCAGCATCTCTCTCTCTCTCTCTCTGTGCTGGAAGGCCTTATGCTGGTAGCCATTGGTGGCGGTTGCAGCTGCCACATCGGCTCCTGTTCGAGCGAAAGAGGGGCGGTGCAGCTCGGATGAGGCGGTTGTGGTCGGGTGACGGCTGAGCTCAGATTGCGATTGGGCTGGATCGAATTTTGGGGGCGAGAAGCCGGGGAACATGGCGATGAAAAGGCAGGGGGTGTTGGTAAACGCATCGGACCAACAGTTGGCCCGCTCGGCGGAGGCCGAGGCCTAGGTAGGTAGCTAGTTGCTCCCTATTGCCTTGTTTTCGCTGCACCATCATTCGTATTTTGCGAGCGTGTGGCGGGCGGAAAAGCAAAGGCAGCTCGACGGATGGCTGGGCGGATTGCATCACGGCGGCGAGCTGAGGGCGAAGCGAGGGCCATGCGGAGGCGCCGGTGGCGTCGAGCTTTCTGCAGTTCCAGAAAGACGGGGAGCATGGACGTCGATAAAAGAGTGCATGGCGTCGGAAACGCGTTTGAACGTTCCTGCATGTACGTCTCACTGTCCCCGTATGACGCAAGCGCTATACAGGGACGCCGCCTGTTGCGGCCGAGAGCTGCTGGCCGGAGGTAGCTCGCTTGGACGGCGGCAGGAGACGCGTCGTGCGCGCGTGTCCAGCGGCGGCGAGGCCAATCGCGCAGTGGACTGACGGCAGCAGTCCGTTTTGTGGCGGTGTAGTGCGATCAACAACGGCCTCGGACCAGCATCCGAGCAGCGCGCGCCAGCTGGTCGCCGAACCGGGATGGAGGCGCACCACGGCCGTCCGCAGGCTGGTGTTGGAGGCTGGGCTGCCGCCGCACGTGGTGAAGGCGCGCTGGAACTTCAGGAGTCTTGCGACGTGCCTGACGATCAGCTGGCGCGCTGAGGAGACCGTGTCCGCGGCTGGTTGCGGGCGGTGCGATCGAAGATTTGCTCCGCCACACGGTTTTGCCGCCTGCGTGCGGCGCTCTGCCTGCACGCCCATCATCATCGCCGCGATCGCGATTCTTGTCAGCGTCGACCAGGCCGCCAGCTCGCCGCCCTCTTACTCAGCAGTCGCCTCGCTCGCACCCGGGCCAGCCTGCGTCAGAGCTGCTGCCAGCGCCTCACCACGCTCACCCGCTGCAACAGGCGTGCTCCGATCCCGTCCCACTGCCTGCGCCCCATTCGGCCTCTGCGCGCCGCCCGGGCTCGCACCGTATTGTACGTAGCAAGCCCCAGGCTCTTCAGCCACGCTCGACCGCTGCCCTCCAAACACCACCGCCTCCCCAAAGCCTCGCAGCTGAAGCCATCCCAGCCCTCTCGCCGCCCGCCGACCCACCCGCCCACCCGCTTGCCCTCTGCCCGCGTCCGAGCTTGGCCTGGCCGCCCCCCGAAAGCCTTGTGGCAGCCGCAGCCGCAGCAGCGCATGTCTCTGCTACCGCTGCCCGGCACCTCGCAGCTGACTCTCCTCACCTCGCAGCGCAGCCCTCCCGCCGTCTGTTGCTGCCTCCTGCGGCGCGCGACTCGAGCCTCGCTTGCGCGCGAGCCACCAGGCGTTCAATTGCTCCTCTGCGATCAGCGCCGCTGCCGAGTCGACTGAGCCGCCCAGCGTTGCCAGCACCGCGCCCGTCCCCCAGCCCGCATCGCCGTGCGCTTCCGATCTTGCGACTCCGTGGACGGATGCAGGCGTCGACATGCGCACCGCTTGACGGCTTTCTGGGGAGCAGTTTTCGGACCACAATTGTTCTGCGCAGCATCGTCATCGCTCCGCTTGGACCCTTGCGCGCCGCCGCGAGTTTCGGTACGTAACGTAACGCTGTCTCTCCCGCGCACCGCACCGCCCTCAACACCTCCTCCGCCACGCCGGCCCGCGCCCATCGCCTTCGAGCACCCGCTAACCGCCATGCCAGCTCCAGCATCACCCTTCGCCGAGCGCCCCCGCGCTCTGTAACCCGCTCCCGCGCCGCCCCGTCACGCCTGTCCTATGGCCTCTACAGGACCCTTCCCGCCCTCGTCGACGCACACAGGACCCTTCCCTCCCGCGCCGCAAGCTCCAGATACGCCAACCTCCGTATCTCCCGTCCAGCAGCCGATTGGCGCCCTCAAGGGCCACCACGCGCAGACGCCGCAGATCACCCTCGACCCGAGCCTGCCCTCGCCCACCACCGCCCACACTCCCCGCTCGCCTGCCTTCAAGCTCACTCCCGCCTACTCCCCCCAGCCGCTCACCGGTGCGGCTGCCATGGCGGATGCGCGTCGGCACCAGGACGAGCAGCGAGCGCGAGAGATGTCCCGTCAGGTCTCGCCCAACCCCGCGGTGAACGCGTTGAACAGCCTTCTCGGCGCGAACCAGCTGAGCAAAATGCGCGACGCGCCCGCCGCCGCCACCACGCTTGCCGAACCCATTGCGAAGGCGGCAAAGAACATCCAAATCCCCGAGTCGGTGACGGGTGAAAATATGCAAACAAGTCCAGTAAGTGTATCTAGCTTTGGATCTGTGGACAGCACAACCGCACCAACCGCCACGGCTAGTGCCACCGACACGGCACCGGCGGGGCAGCTTGGTCCTGCAGCCATGTCGGCCGCCGACGGCCCGGCCAGCTCGGCCGCCCCCGCGACCTCGGGACCCCAGCCTGGCGACGGTGGATTTGCCAACAATCGATCTCAGACCTTCCCGGTCCCCGCGCCTGCGGACCACGATCTCCGACAGCCGACCAGGGTGCTCAGCATGCCCATGGCCGGCTACAGCCAGAACAATAGCCCGAGATCGCCGAGCGCAAAACGCCACAAGTGCCCCTACTGCGCCACGGACTTTACCCGTCACCACAACCTTAAAAGCCATCTTCTCACCCACAGCCAGGAGAAACCATACGAATGCCCAACATGCCAGGCGCGTTTCCGCCGGTTGCACGACCTAAAGCGCCACACCAAGCTCCACACTGGTGAGAGGCCGCACACGTGCCCCAAGTGCGGCCGGAAGTTTGCGCGTGGCGACGCCTTGGCGAGGCACAACAAGGGCCAAGGCGGCTGTGCCGGCAGGCGTTCCAGCTTTGGCATTGACGAAGATGGGAACGAGCACAGAGGAGATGATATGGACGGCGTTCTGTACCATGGGGATGGCTCGGAGGATAAGATGGATGAAGATGGCCCTCAGGGCCGTCGAGTCAGTGAGCCGAGCGGCAAGGGTCGTCAGGGCTCGCAGGCATCTTATCATCAACATTCGAGCACATACCCTCCGATTGCTGGCCGTGCTATGGGCAACAGTGTTCATTCGATGTATCCCCCGGGATCTGGCGCTTCTGCAACCTCCAGGGACCAGTCCGGCCACCCAAGCCCAAAGACCGGGGGGTCCAGCCTTTCGTCGATGCACTACCCGGGCCAGCAGCCCCCTCCGTCGGTTTTCGCGCAAGGTAGCATGACGGAATCGCCGAAGCCCATATCCCCGGGCCAGATGGAGGCGCAGCGTCACCAGGGCATCCTAGAGGGAACAAGTGTGCCGGGGGCCCGATCGCCCAGCATGTCGCAACAGGCGCATCAACAGTATCAACGGGGCGCCGGTCGCGGCTCCTCTCCAATGAGCTTGCCTCCACCCGTCGGCAACTCCCACGCGCCGCACCTCCCTTCTCTGCCGGGATTGAACGCCGACATGAGAATGTCGATGAACAAGATGCCGTCGGGGCAGGCCCAGAAGCAGAATGCCCAAGGCGGGCCCGGGACGAGCATGCTCCACCAGCAAGTCTCGGCACCCGGCACGGCGTCCAATCCGGGGAGTTTATCGAGCCACGGGCCCAGCAGCGGCGGGAGCATGCGCGAGTACTTTGGCGGTCGAGAATCGGATCTGTTCGCATACATACGAGATGTCGAAACACGCATGTTGCGCGGGCACGAGGAGGCGAATGCGCGCATAGCCGCCCTGCAAGAAGAAGTCGCGCAGCTACGCGCTCAATTACAGCAACAACAGCCGAGCCGCTCGTAGAGGCGGCCGAAGGAACCTCTCTTCATGTTAATCACGAACTTCCATCAACTGTTGTACTATCACTCTGGCGCCGGGAGGAGTTTTTCCATCTGTCCGACGGGGATCGGCACTTGGCGTCACAAGACTGCTGTCAAAAGAAGTCCCGTACACGATAGCGACTTCTCGAAACATAGGGGCGGGGCTACATGGCGTGGTGTTGGGAATGCGACGAATGGAAATGGGAGGGGGCGTTTGATCCGTTTCTACGAGCGTTAAATCTGGCCTTTACCAATATCCCCGCCGTCTACACTTTTCCGTCTAATTTTTACTCCGACGCAAAAAGAAAAAGTTGGGTTTGCACGCGTTCCAGGCATGGCTTCTGAGGTCTTGGTCTCACTGCAGCTTGCTCGCTGCCAGGCTTCATTTTTTGGCATCGTATGACAGATGTATAACAGAATAGTGCTGACCGCAAGAGTCAGGGAGGTTTCTGAGAAGATGGACGTTGCACGGTTGGATATCATGGTCTTTTTCCCTGTTGATTTTATTTGCGTGCTTTTCTCCCAGCTGCATTTCTTTTTCCTTTTTCCATGCCTGGCTATCCACCTTGTTCGATACCTATATTAGTCCTGGGGCGAGATTAACGGATTAGTTGTGAAATTGAATCAATCAACTCAGCGGTCCGGCGGGGATAGACGGCGGAAAGACAGGCCTGTTGCGTAAAGTCTGGATTCGGCAAGCGGTAGACGCCAAGCGGTGCAACTCACAATCCTTTGTTCTACGTCCGTTCCCAAGATTGGTTGCTGAAACGACGCGTTCGTGGGCCAAGTCGACGCGAGCGTCCCTTCTTTGTGTCCATTGGATGCTCGTGGCCAACAAAGGCTCGATTATCATCAAGTGTAGACTTGACATCTCCGCGCACCGCATCACTACTCTCTCCAACACCACTCGGCGCAAGCGAATTCCCTCCAAAGGCCTGAGAATAGTCCATCGTTCGCTCAACAACAGGCACCGATGCCACGCCTCTTCGGCACGAAGCAGGGCGCCGTCGCCATACCACGATGGTTCTCTGCACTGCCTTCTGCACAACTTTTCTTCGCCATATTGATCCTAGCGCTCACATCATACGCGCTGAGTGCCCACAGCGGAAGCCAAGTATGAGGAACCCACCCGTGCCCAATGCTCTGAAGCCTTGCTCACCCGCTCCAGATCCGCCCCGCTCTGATCCTTACAATCATCACTGCAGCACTCACCATCTTCCCGACCTTTCCTATCACAATTCCACTTCCGACGGCGGCAATTCACCCACTGGTTACATTGATTACCAATTACATCGGAACGCTGCTCTGGCTTGCTTCACTGACGGCGCTTGCGAGCTATCTTCGCATCTTTAGCTATTACAGAAAGGTTGAGAGGATCCCGTGGGCCCCGGGAGCACCGCATATCGCCAGAGCATGGAGGTGCGGCGTTGCAGCCTGTGTGTTCGCCGTCATCGAGCTGTGAGTGTCCTTGCCACGTTTTTCTCGGGTGTACATCTCTGTGACTAGAAGGCTGACACTTAGGCTTTCCGCCAAACGGCTGCATAGCCTCCTGTTCCTCCTGACCCTCAAGATGTTCGGATATTTCTATCACCACCACCGAGCTGGCACGCAACCCCATGCAGGGTTCCTACGCGGCACACTTCCCGCCCCCAAAACGGAGTCACTTCCTCTTGAAAGCACCTCTGTCGCCGCCGCAGCAGCAGGAGGAGGAGGAGGAGGGTTCAATCGGTTCCAACCGGCGCCTGTACCAGCCCACCAGCATCAACTCCATCACTCACCACCCGTTTCTCCGCTACAACCCACCGCCTCGGCTCCCTTCGCCAGCAATCTCGCGGACCACAACGGCAACGACAACATCCCTTCCATCACACACACGGCGGCCACCCCCACGACCGCCACGCATCCCCACCAGCCAGTCATCAGCAACGCTTTCGCCGCGGTGTCGCCATCGTCGCAGGGGCACGCGAATCCAATGATCCCAGATCCGAGGGCGAGGGCTGTGGATGCCAGAGTGATTGGCCGACCACCATATCCGGTGGATGAGGATGAGGAAATGGGGGCAGTTGGCCCGGGTCATCATCGGCGTGATAACAGTGGCGGTGGAGATGGCGGTGTTGCTGCTGATACTACTACAGCGGGAATGGTGCCGCTGGTTTTGACACCGGGGGTGAGTGAGCGGTGAATTTTATTTTGGCGTCTACGCTTGTCAGGCGTGGAAAACTATAAGGGATTTCGGAGGGTAGTGCTTGGAAGCGGGATAATTTGTGGTTTGTCTATCGATGATTTAGGGACTACTTCTGCAATTAATGCTTGCATCTCAAGCGCCATTATCCATTCTGATGCCCCAAGAATATGTCATATTCTATTTCGTTTTTCATGGTAACCCGGGGGCGCTCCCGACGCACAAGATGGGCTTCAAGAGAAATCTACCTCGATGCATTAAGATATAGTTCCTAGAAGAAAATTATTATATTATTTATGGTTGATACTGGTAAAAGGGGTGTAAATCTGGGGTATTACTCAACCTGGTTACCCCAAGTAAGAGAGATAGACGTATAGCAACTAAAGGTCGCCCTAGATTACCTTGTAGGCTCGTATTAAGTCGGACACAAATTTATAGGAAATAGAACTACTAAAGCTAGGCCAGTGCACTCCATGCTCCATGGCTTTCTAGCAGCCATAGGAGTTCCATTGATTTTCGAGATTGCATAAAAATCGTGTCACTTGCCGCAATCATTGGTGGGCACTCGTTTGCATTCATAAACCGCACTCAAACATGCCGGTAAGCCTACATTTCATACCTCTGCAGCATCGATGCAACACGTATGTACATTCGATAATGTCAAACGGTGCTGAGGAATGCTATGGCTACGAAGAGAGGGCGCTTCATTTTATTCAATGGAATGTCTTGTAAATAGTTCGATATGCACTTGCATTCCGTTTCAAGCAGCGCAGGACGAACAAAAACACATATTTGACCAATTACGCTCACTCCTCAGCTGACCTGTTGCAATTCGTCTGCCACAGGCCGTGGAAACCCATGGCTCTGCGGGTTCGTAAGAAGCATCATCTCTAAGTAGGAGCGGCTCTTCGTGTGATGTATTCCGAGAGGAAGAACAGGGAGCAAGTGATCCCAAATCGGTCACGATTTCTAATCTCAGATACATGTCCGGTGACCTTCATTTGGAGGTTCGCAGTACAAGCCGGCGGCCCAGTGCCTGTAGATTAATGGCATTCAGTCTATACAATGTCACGCAAACATCTGAAAGGAAATTCGTGTGCCCAATAAAGCCATGAAACCGATCCGATCGTCCAGAAAGCTGACCTTTGCGCCTTCCACCGCTTGCCAATAGTGTTGCAAAAGGAGGGGACATTATGAGTTGGAAATAAAACACTTGGATGTTGAAGGGGAGAGTCATCTTCTTTTTCCTTTTCGCTTTCTTCCGCTGCCGTTGCCGCTCCCGCTGCCACTCCGACCAGTTGCATTTGCTTCACGCTCGAGTTCCTTGGCTCGGCCCCCCACGCCTATTCGAGGCCCAAGGTTCGCGTCATGGATCCTGACGCCTTGGTGGACACCGTCGCTCTCTCCGCTGCTTCCACTTGCACTCGGTGGGTCATATTCGACTTCGACTTCGAGGGGCCTGTTTCGCTGGCCGCCTCGGGCTTTGTAACCCAGAGTAGGATCGGAGATGCTGGCGTGACCCAGCCCCGCGAGATCGTTCAAGCGTGAGCTGCTTGCCGCAGAGACGGCTCCCGGGGGGACGGGTACGCGGCGCGGAACCGCGGTGTACGCGACACCTTCTCCGGCTGGCGGCAAGGCAACAGAAGAGCCAAACACGGCGCGACGCTGGCTGCTTGGGCTTGAAGATGCGCTGCTGCGCGCGTACAGCCCGGGCGGAGGGCCGCCCGTCTGGTACATGAAAGGATCAGCGTCGGATGGCCTCCCGCGCTCGCGCTCAAACCCATAGGTCGGATACGGCGGCGGCGGCGGATAGCCTGGCGCACTCGAGCCTGAGCGCGAGCGGTTGGCGCGACGGGCGAGGTACTCTGCTTCCTCGGCGGGAGTGAGTCCGATCGAGTCCCGGCTGCTGGGTCTTGCGTAGTCGCGAGTGGCAGGATCGTAGAAAGGGTCTGCCCATTCCCGCCCGATGGCGGTGGCATGGTAGGCTCCGCTAGCACTGCGAGAACCGGGGTGAGGAGTCGGATGGGACGCATAGCCCAGTGGAGCGGCACCCGCACCGGGAATGCGCAAGCCTGGTGGTGCAGCAGACGAGGCTTCAGACTCATGAGCGGAGCTGTTGCGACGATTGCTGTCCGACTTTCCCGAGCGGGGTCGCGACGAGCGTGGCGAGGAGGAGAAGAGCGAAGGCCTCGAGCTGGACTTCTTCGAGCGGGTGCTGCTGTTGTTGTTGCTGCTGCTGCTTGGGCGGCCCTTGGAGGAGGGCCGTGCGGAAGCGAGGTCCGGCGGCTTGGGAGATTGCTGGATGTGCGGACGCGCAAGCGCCTCGAGCTCCTCGTGCGAGAGGTTGACGTTGGGTTGGCCGCGCGAGCGGGCGATGCGTATGCGGTCGAGAGCGCGTTGGACGAGGAGCTCTTCCTCGTCTGGATTAAGGCGGACACCATAGTAGTCGTCTTCAAAGGCCGGCCTATAAACTGCATTATCGTAATCAATTCCTCCCCTTGCATTCCATCTTGGATCAATGCCGTCGTAGTACAATGCATCACTGGAAGCGGCTCTTCCTGGTCCCCCCTTCTGCACCATCGGATCGAGAAACACGCCCCCTTGGCCACGTAAACCGCCGGCCGAAAACTCGTCTTCATCGCTGTCACCCAGCTCCTGCAACCTGGCTCCATACGGTATCCCATTCCTCCCCATGCGGGGTCCCCCTGCCCCTGGTGGTCTTCCCCAAGGGGGCACACTAGCGTATGGAGTTCGCGGCCGACCACCTAGACCGCCTCCTCGGAAAAAGCTGACTCAATGGGCTTGTCCATGAACGACGCGTGGCCGAGAATGGTCACGGCCGAGGCGCCGATGAGCCACAGCGCCGTGTAGATGGGCGAGGCCCACAGGCCCAGCGGGACGGCGACGCAGAAAAGGCCCGTGTAGAGCTGGCTGGAGGTGGCGCGGGCGAAGCCGACGTCCAGGTCCGCGCCCTGCAGCTTGCCGATGCCGTACATGCCGCCGATGACGAGCAGGATGACGAACAGCAGCGTCAGGTTGGTGAGCAGCGAGTAGAAGGCCAGCATGACGAACAGCACGAGGTAGTTGGAGCTGAAGTAGGCCAGGTTGTAGTTCATGCGCGACTGGACCTCGCCGAAGTTCTGGGGCTTGCTCAGGCGCTTGATGTCAAAGAACTCGCTGACGGGGCGCAGGTTGGCGAAGCGCGAGGACAGCGACGTGTTGCGCATGCCCTCGAAGCGCGAGCCGAGCTGCAGGCGCGACGTGAGGGCGTCGATGGGGATGTTGATGCGGGCCATTGTGGCGGATGGGCGTCGGAGGTGCTGCAAAGGGCCTGTGTGAGCTCGACGTTGTTTCTGGCGATTGCCGGGCGCGACGTACCTGAACGGGGCCAGAGGGCGGCGGCGCGTGGAGGCGAGGCGGATCGTGGTGGTGAAGGTGTTGAGGGCAGCGCGGACTCGTTGGCGGAAGGGAGACGTGTGCGATTGCCCGCCTGCGCCTCGCTCAGCCACACGCACGGCGGCGAGCCCCCTGAAGATCAACCGGCCGAAGGCTACGCTGCGGCAGCACGGACGCCGCCAGTTAACACGTAGAGAGAGGACTCTGCAGAGCGTTATCCTGCGCGCCCCGCGGGCTTTTATCCTCGCCCACCCTCTGCCGCCGTCGCGCCCCGGGCAGCTGTGCGCCGCTGATTGGTACACGTTAACGCTCGATCGCGCCTGCATATCCTCAGCTCTGGCTCCACCGCACTCGCCGCTCCCGCATCCCCCAGCCCGCCCCGTCTGACCCGTCGCCATGAGGCTCGCCGCGCTGGCAGCATTGCTGCTGTGCGTCTTCGTTTCGTCCGTGGCCGCCTGGTCCAAGGAAGGTGCGTGCATTGTGCACAAGCCCGCCCCGCCCCTCACTTGCAATTGACCTTTCCAGACCACGAGATCTTCCGCCTCCGCGACGAGGTCGTCGCCAGCGAGGGCCCCGATGCCACCTTCTACTCCTTCATCGGCGTCGCCCCTGCCGCGTCGCAGGACGAGATCAACAAGGCGTATCGCAAGAAGTCCCGCCAGATCCATCCCGACAAGGCCCGCCAGGCCTACCTCTCGACCTACGCGAAGCCCACCAAGAAAGACAAGAAGAAGGCCGGCGTGACGGTGCGCAAGCAGCCGTCGGCCAAGGAGCTGCGCCAATTCGACAAGGAGGCGTCCGCACGCTTCGCCCGTCTCGGTGTCGTCGCCAACATCCTGCGTGGCCCCGAGCGGGAGCGCTACGACCACTTCCTGAAGAATGGCTTCCCTGCCTGGCGCGGGACCGGCTACTACTACTCGCGCTACCGTCCGGGCCTCGGCTCCGTCCTCGTGGGTCTTTTCGTCATGATGGGAGGCGCCGCTCACTACGGCGCCCTGTACCTCGGCTGGAAGCGCCAGCGCGACTTCGTCGACCGCTACATCCGGCACGCGAGGCGTGCTGCCTGGGGCGACGAGCTGGGAATCCAGGGCATTCCCGGAGGTCTCGGTGGAGACAGTGGCACTTCCACGCCCGTCGAGCAGCCTGCGCCGCAGGAACAGCAGTACGTGGATGAGAATGGCCAGCCCGTCACGTTGAACCGCCGCCAGAAGCGCATGCAGGAAAAGGAAGCCCGCAAGGAAGGGAAGGGCCCCAAGAACGCCAAAGCCGCCAAGAAGGCTCGTAATTCTGGCGTCAGCACCCCCGTCGAGGCCGAGCTTACCAGTGGCGGGCCGCGAGGTCCGAAGAAGCGTGTCCAAGCCGAAAACGGTAAAATTCTCATCGTGGACAGTGCTGGCAATGTCTTCCTGGAGGAAGAGACTGAGGATGGCGATGTTCACGAATTTTTGCTCGACGTAAGTTTGCTTCGCTGGCCCTGCGCCGCGACCCATGCTAATTGCCTTGTGTAGGTCGACGAGATTCCGAAGCCCACTTTCCTCGACACCGCCGTTGTGCGTCTCCCCGTTTGGTTCTACAAGAAATCTGTCGGCCGTCTCTTTGGGAAGTCTTCTTCAGATGTTGCCGTAGACGCTGCCGCCGAGGACTTGGAGATTGAAATTGACGAGAATGGTGCATCGAATGGTGACGCCGACGCAAAGGGGGCCAACGACGCTCTGAAGAGCGCTACGGCAATCAATGCCAATGCGGAGACCAGGAAGAGGAAAGTCCGCAGGGCTAAATAAATTGGGGTTTATCATGAAGATGGAAGTTGAGGATATGAAAAGGGGTTATACTGCGTGGTTCGCGTGGAGGTTGCATTGAAGGCGCATAGAAGGCACAAAAGCTATCTTACATTACCATTCGTACGCAAATACAACAGCCATGGAGAAACATGCTCATTAGGCTTCTCCCAGCACAAGGTGACTTTAGAACGAGGTTGGTAGTGGTCCAGCTTGATAACACGTGCGCGTCTTGTGACAATAGCTCTGGTAATGCTAAAGTATGTCGGTAAAAAGAGACGGTTCCTCCAGACTTGATTTCCCCATCTCGAGAATTTAACTTACACCCCGACAGAAAAAAAGAAGATATCTCTCTTGGCTCTTCACTCCTAAATAACAGAAATCTTAAGAGTTATTAAAGGTACTACTATCGTAAAAAGCAAGTTTATGAATACTAAATTACCATCACCTACGCAATTACCACCACCCCCCGCTTGGTTACGATTAGCTGTTACGAATAATTACTTAAGAATATAGGAGTTTGCTTATAGTAAAAGCATAAATATGCTAATATAAATGCTAGAGCGCGTTTATCAAAGTTCACTACTTTTATCTCTTTCGTGGGCGCGGTCCTCCGGCACGTCCTTCTACATTTTCTTTAGGTCTAGTGCTTGCCCAATATTGATCTTAGTAGAGCATAATCAGCTCTTTAGCCAATAGATAAGCTACGATACAGATTTAGTCAGGTATCGGAGGACGTGCCGGAGGACAGCGCCCACGAAAGAGATAGTTGAGAATGTTTTCTCCCAAGGGCTGCGCCAACGAGGGGCCGCTAAGAAGAATTAATACATGCTAGTGGCTGTTCTAATCATGATACATCCATCGTATTATGCGTAGAGGATTTGCTGTGCTGAAGCCCCGGTGTTTAGACCTCAGTCTCGATTCCAGGTTCGCGCTCCTGGTGCTTGAACAAAGTCTCGACCCTCTTTTCTCCATGCTCAACCTTGTGCTTCATCCATTGCAGTGTCCTTGGACCTTTCCACTGCATCAAGCCGCGATTCTTTCGGTGTAGGTGCTTCCTATTTTTCTTATACTCCTTGACCGATGCCGCCAGCCCCCTCTTCCCGTTCTTGCTGAGGCTATCTGATCTGCTGCTACCTGCGCTCTCACCACTGCATCGACTCGCAGAGGTTGTGGGCGTGACATCACCATCTACGGCCTTGCCGTAGCCGCTTTCGTCGTCGCTGTCGTCGCTGCTTGAAGAACTGCTGCTGCTTGAGCTTCCACCATCGCCAATGTCAAAATCCATCTCGTCGTTGTCATGTGCCGTGTCCAACACCTCCATGACCTGCGCAATGTTGGGGTCTTTGGAAGCTAGTGGGACATGATAGCCGGACAAACCACTCCAGAACGTGACGCGAAGGGCCACTGTACCGACCTTTGTGGCCCCTCGTATCTCGTCTGCGCAGCACGTTAACGCATGCTTCATGTCACCACCTTTCCAGATGGGGACAGTAATGGTTTGCTCCTCATTGTCCGGTATTCCCTTGAGCCAAAAGACGCCGTAAGCCTGCAGACCATCCAGCACAGACTTCGGCTTCTTGAATTCAACAATGACGGGGCTGGCATAGCGCTTGCGAACCGCGAGCTTGAGTGGCTTGGTGCGCCTGCTCGTCCACACACCACCGGGGCGTTGCGGTTGGGTTTCACCGGTACTTGAGGTGGAATAGTACATTTTGCCTCGCCCAAGGTTCGTCCTGACCTTCAAGCGTAGATTCTTGAAATCCGGGGGAAGGTTTGTCGATTCCGTCCTCGGCACGACTTCCAGCGTACCGTAGTCCCAGCCAAGCATACTGGGTGGCGCTTGCAGATAGACTGAGCGGAAGACCATGGAAATACGAACGCGCCCGTACCCAACGCCGCCGGACAACGGGAAGAAGGCATTGACCTGGGATCGATTCGCCAAGACCCTACTCAGCGGCAAATACACCATCCCGAGGAGTGCGTCATCTTCGTGGACTCGGGAGTCCCGCACTGAAATGTGGATGTCGGTATTTCTCCAGTCACGGATGAAGCGCTCACAGCCGGCGTTGAAAAAGGGCTGTGAGTTTTTGGGCTTCGTCCTCGTCCGAAAGACCTTCCCATGATTGATGATGATGGTGCAGTACGAACTCGGTAGGTCATCCCCCTCTTGCTCTTCGTCGCTATCTGCCTCGTGTTTGCTAGCTTTGTTCTTATTGATGGGCTCGAGTTCGAGTCCTGTGATCTGATGGATGGTGATCGAGAGGATTCCGCTCGGGTATTCTTGCGTTGGAGGTGAAGATATGAGCAGTTGGTCTTGCCTCTCCTGAAGCTGCTGTTAGCGTGAGGACTACCGGGCGCCGGGGGGCACCAGCAGCGACGTACCTTGAAGTCCTGCGCCTTCTGTTGCTTGAGTTCAGTGGACTCGTCCTTCTTCGATTCGCGAAGTTTCCGTTCGCTTTCCTCATCAACAATCTTCTTCAACTGGTCCACAGAACGGATCTCAGGGTCTGCCTCCTGCTGGGCCAGCTGCGAGTCGAGCACACGGACTTTTGGAAAGTATCCAACACTCCACTCCAAGCGCCCCGGCATGGTTTCGCCAGCAGTGAGAGCTTTGAAGCCGTCTACTCTGTCCATCATCTTGCCACGACTTTCAGACGACCGCATTAGCTGCTTGATGTCCAGTTCGATCCTTCCCAGGTCATCGTCGGCGGTCGTGCGGTCAGAGTCCCACAGCTGGACACGCAGGCGTTCTTCAACGTTCAACTCATCCGCGGTCACAAGCACGTAGGCCGTTTCGTCCCAAGCTGGCTCCATTTCCGACTGGATGATCCTCGTTGACCACAATGGCTTGCTGAACTTGGCCCAGCCCACCGAGACATAGCCGTCAGTCGAACCTTTCTTCCACAGGAACCCAGCGTCGCCTTCCTTGAAGTCAAAAGCGCGGATGATCCGGACCACAATGACTCCACGAGCAGCTGTGTCCTTTTTGAAGTCGTCGCCCATAAGCATGTCCTTCAAGTCGAGCGTGAGGGACTTGGGTGCGACGTATTCGGCCATTGCAGCGTCTATGGAGCTCTGGACGAAGTTGGATATCAGAGGCAGGTCCATGATGTTGAGCCCGCGCTGCGTCAACGGTATACAAGAGACCGCAACTTTCGGCTGACCCAGGAATGTCATCGTACAGAGACTGAAGAAGGGCGGATCCGGGCAAAGCTGAAGTCTCAAGCGCAGAGTGCCGACGAGTCCGTGCAACTCAACCCAGACAGCTGTTCCGCCAGGATCAGCGTGGGCTTGGAGAGGGGGGGGGGGGGGGGGGAAGAGATGGGGGGATAAGAAGGCGGTAGAAGCCGTCACATCCGCATGCCCACGCGCGTGCGCATCGGGGAATTCCCAACAGGGTAGGTAACATACTCGCGTGCAACACCCGGCCCCCGCATTACGAAAAAGCCGAAAACGAAAGAAAAGATGGACGGGATAACTCTAAAGCACAACCTTATTACGACCCTTTGGAAGATGGGAACCAGAGGGTTGGGACCGACGACGACCACGGCGCGGTGCGGCGTGGCTATGCTCACTCTCACGAGATTGTGATGTAATCACCACCGTGGGCTTTTAGTCAGCGATGCCCTGACGATCGCCAAATAGAGTGAGACACGGGGGCCAAAATAGAAAATGCGTCAGCGATTGCCGCTCGGGGTTTATCTTTGGCAAATGCTGACGGACGGGTCGGTATAGCCGAGCCCGTGACTTTCCTGGATCGAGGGGGTGGAAAAAAAAAGGAAAGCGGCCGGGCAATCCGGGGGCTCTAGACTTGTCGGAGGCTATGCAGGTTTTTTCGGTTTCGCACATCTTGCATTGCAGTAGTAGGCGCCCGGGTCATCATGATAACGGTAGTAGTGGAAATATCCCTTTCTTTCGGTGCGCAGGCTATCGATCAACCGACCGCTTCCGAGCCGCCCAACGATAGGAGAGCCTGAACGCTGGTACGAGGGATCATTTGAGGCTTTCTTGAGTTTTCCGGCCTCCAATCAAGTGATTTTCCGCTGGCATGCACGTCGTACGAAGGGTGCGTGAATCGAGACCAGATGCCGAGAGGGAAGTTTGCGGGGCAGCGAGAGCGACCAAGAAAGCGGGAGAAACTTATTGAGCGCGCGACTGTGCCAATGCTGGGCTTTATCATTTCCCGCGACCGCGGAGAGTTGGCGCCAAGCATCACAATGAGAATTGACGGGGGCATGCTCAGGATCGGCCAAGCTTTTTGCGGATTCCTTGCAGATTTAGGTTCCGTCGTCGATCCGCTGGCGCTTCTAGAGCCCAGCGGCATACTCCGGCTGCAATTGCGTATTTGCGCTATTGCGTAGTTGCGGAGAACGAGTACCAAAAGGTAGAATGCAGCGCCTAGTGAGCAGTGACATTTGCAAGCAACAGAATCCTGAGTTGAGCTCTCACCTAACCTCCAGACAAGATAAAACGCGTATCGGATCTAGAAGCTGACGTGCCTGACAACTGGCGTGAATCTCACGAGACAACTCTCGGAGCAGCCCCACGTGGTCAGATTGTATCGACTGGAAGAACCTGGCGGTCGGTATTCCCCCGTTAGGCACCAGGCGGACCACGGTCGAGCTAAAAAAGCGGGCCCAGTCTATTCTTGCGCGGATCTGATGCAAGGAGGCCCCCCGTCTCAGAGTCAAAGACATGACTGGGTCGGCTCTCCCCGGTTGCACTTTTAACCCAGCGACTGTAAGGTTGTCAAGGGGTCTGGGCTCGAGAAATCACAAGTGGCATGGACGGTCGTCTATGCCAGACGGTTGGCAGGAGGCATATACTTGACTGGTTCGTTAGGCAAGCATGAGTGGTTGACTCAAACTGAGGGGACCCGTAGGATGATAGCCTTGGCCTTGATACGTGTATCCGGACGTTGGCCACCCAACCAGCCACACCTGCTAGATGGCGGAATGGCGGGAAGCCCTAATCGCTCGAGGCTTGATTTCAGCCTTGCCGGCTAGAGTACCGGACTGGACACAAAGCTTCGAGTCGGTGGCGTGACGTTTTTGCGCAGGAAGCTAAGCGATAGGGCGGGCGGTTTTTTTCCCCTTGGGGACCTAGTGGGCGGGTGTGAGAGGGTTGAGTGGCGGACGGGCAGATGTACGCTCCCGTTTGGTAGCGAAGGTTGGGCTCGGTTAGGTCCCGCGCACCAACACAATGAGAGGAAGCACGAAATTTACCACGGAGCGAACAAGCTCGGCCGAAGTGTATCGTCGGACGTCGCGATGCAGGATCTTCATGCAGTAGAGCGGTGTTCCCATCTCCGATCGTGTGGCGATCAGCAGGCACGAGAGTGGATCGGTTGGAAAGGAGAATTAGAGTGTTGTTGCTTCACTGTTCCATAGCATGAAGCCACGAGGGATTCAGGGACAAGTGAGCCATGTGGAAATTCGCAGGGCGAGCTGGGGGTGTCGAGTTCTCGGGGCGGCGATGACGAAAGAGCGAATGTGGCTATGAATAGGTGCAGCAAACTTCAAAGCCAATCTGAAATAACGGGGAGGCGTCGGCCGAAGATTGGTTGAGAGAGAGGCGAGCGGCGGGAGGGTCGCGGTGGATGGAGTGAGGTTGGCAGCCGGAGTTGGACTGTCGGCTCTCCACACTACGCTAGTCCGACGGGGGCCTAGCGCCACTCGCTAGCGGGCCGGCCGTCGACCGCAGTGTCGCTCCTGCCATGAATTTTCCCACGGCTGAGGCGCCAACTAGGAGCCAAGTATTGGCGGCCGCCTCGTACGCCTCGTTGCGCCCTCGCCGTCAACACCATCAGCCAGCCTTCGACACATGTCTGCCAGCGCTAAACTAGCATGTCGGCACTTCAAATCCAATTGCACATATCGCGGCATGCGACGGCTCCAAGCGCTGACTGTGAAACAACTGTCTGTGTTGTCCCACCATCAGATCGCCGTCTTGCGCGCGCACCCCTGCTCCACCTGCAGATCCTCTCACTCAGCAGAGATAGTCTCCGCCTGTCACCGACGAGCCCGGACTTCGGGTCGTGGGGCGGAGGGCCTGCTCTAAGCTGAAGTCATGCTGGGCCCTGTTCACTCTGTATGCCTTGCTGGCCGTAGCGCTTCCCCGAAAAAGGTGAGACTTTGACGAGACAAATCCATGCCATGCCCCCGAACTGGTCAGAAGAGCGCGCCCGCATCCTCCCAAGCTCTTGGGGTCTCCCGAATGTCCGAACCACCCAAGCGGCTCCCATATTTATTCATGCGCGTCACATGCCGCTTGCCTCCATCGACATATAATCCATTACGCTTCCATCTTTCTTGTGCCGCCTAGTTACACCCCCGACCCTGCCCTTACTGGCCTTTACTTTGTACCATCTTCTGGGCGGAACGCCTACCCTTCCCTTTCAGCATGGCTCTCCTCACCCTGGCTGCTGCTATTGGCGTTGTCGCTCTGGTTGCATTAATTAAAGCTGTCTTTTTCCCTGCGAAACAAAAGATACCCAAGGGCTTGAAGCCCCTTCCCGGTCCCAAAGGTTGGTGCCACCCTTTTAACTGACAAAATCATATAGCTGACAAGGGATACAGGCTACCCCGTCCTCGGCTCCGTCCCCGACGTCCCCGAGCAGAACAGTTATATCAAGTTTTACGAGTGGTCAAAGGAGTACGGCCCGATTTACAACGTGAATCTGGCTGGCAGCAATCATGTCTGGATTTCCACCGACGAGATTGCCCGCGACCTTCTCTCAAAGAAGGCCGCCATCTACTCCGATCGCCCTCACATTCCCGCGCTTCTCCATGACAACCGCACAAGCGCCGAATACCTTCCGCTGATGAGCAAGAACCGTAGGTATTCACTTCTCTCCAATAGGGCACTGGCTAACGTCCCACAGCGCACTGGTCTCGTCAGCGCAAGGTTGCGACATATATCATGCGTGAAGCAAAGCAGAACACCTTCTACCACTACCCCGAGCTTGAGTCGATCCGCCTGCTGAAGGAGCTCATCGACGAGCCGCACAAGTACAACCACGCCCTCGAGTCTTTCATCTCACGCGTTACGTGTAGACTGGCATGGGGCCACGCTGAGGCCAGCGATGAGCTTAAGCAGCGTGCTCGCGAACTGCTGATCTCCGTCTCTCCCACCGGCCACCTCGCCAACAAGCTTCCCTTCCTCATGAGCTTGCCCGACTGGATCTCCCCTGTCAAGGCATGGGAGCGCAAGAGACAGCGGACCGAGCGCAGGTGGTTTGAAATCATGCAGAACCAGGTCAAGAAAGACGTCGCCGAGAAGCGCGCCGCCCCCAGCTGGATGAAGATCCTCCTCGGAACCTGGAACAAGTGGGATTTCTCTTACGAACTCGAGGGTGCTTTCTGCGTAGGTATGCACGGCATCGCCGGTGCCCTCACCATCGCCGCTCCCATGCAGACCTTCTGCCTCGCCATGTGCCACTACCCGCAGTATCTGCCCATCCTACACGAAGAACTGGACCGCGTGTGTGGCGACCGTCTGCCGCGTGCCGAGGACCGTCCCAACCTGCCTGTTCTGCGCGCCTTCATCCGCGAGGTCATGCGCTGGCGCCCCCCGGTCCCCACTGGCATCCCGCACTTCCTGATTCAGGACGACGAGTACAAGGGCTACCACATCCCCGCCGGCAGCGTCATGCACCCTCTCGAGTGGTAAGTTTTCTGGCAGCCCCAGTCCTCAAATTCCCCCCAAAAAAACAACCAGCTAACCACCCAAAACAGGGGCATCGCCCGCGACCCCGAGCTCTTCCCGGACCCGGACACCTTCAACCCCATGCGCTGGCTGGACCCCGAGTCGCCCGTCTACCGCGAGCCGCTGACGGAGCACCCAAGCATCATCAACATCACCCAGTTCGGCTACGGCCGCCGCCTCTGCCAGGGCCAGCAGGTCGCCGACGAGGATCTTCTCATTGGCCTCGGCGCGCTGGCCTGGCTCTTCGACATCAAGAAGAACGGCGCCACCAACGAACCCACCCCCTCGTCCCCCATCGGCAGCGCGTACCTCAACGAAAAGGCCAGCATCTCGTCCGAGGAGCTCAGCACCGGCATCGAGCGCGACCGCAACGACAGCGTCATCGGCTCGCCTTCCGGCGGCGCCCTGCCCGTCAAGCCCGGCGACGCCTCCATCGTCAACACCTCGACCGAGTACGCCGCTGCGGCGGCCGCCCCCGAAACCCACCCCATCCTCACCAGCCCGACCGACACCAAGGCGCCCGGCGCGTGGCCCATCCGCACCGCCGACGCCGAGGCGCACGAGCAGTGGGAGCAGGAGCAGAAGACGGCGGCCGCGGCCGCGGCTGCTGTCGAGGCTGGTAAGAAGGCGGCGAAGAAGGTTGATCCGACGCTCGACTACACGCATTTGCTCATCGCGAAACCCGTGCCGTTCGAGTTCAGCCTGACGGTGCGCGAGGGCATGGACAGGCGGAAACAGCTCGTTGAGGAGCTGTTTCAGCAGAAGCGCGCCGAGGGCGAGTTCCCTGACGGCAAGGATTATTGGAAGACTGAGGATAAGGAGTATGGCTGGGTGGGCGTGGCGAATAGTAATGGGTTGAAATGATTGCTGAGCGTGTTTTTTGATTCTCTTCTTTTTTTTTTCGTCAACGAGCCTTTCTTGTTGAACATTCCCTTGCAACACTGCATCGTTTCCTTTTCTCTCAGGTTCTATTGGCTATTCAGTCTGGTGTAGGATTACGGACAGACTGTCGACACCCCCCAACAGGCACTTTAGACTAGGCTGTTTACGATTGTTATACCATCGTCGAATTCATAATAACCATCCAACTTCACTATTGTTTTTCTCTCGCGCTGCTTAGTGACCCGTTGCACTCCCTTCTCCTTGGTTCCGTGGCGATCACGGCAGGATGGATGTCTCGAGGAGTAATTGATAGTAAGCACAAAGCCGAAGTGTTCAGACTAACCGTTAGAAGCAAAGCGCTTTACCCAAGATGGAATGTCGGAGCACAACCGTCTCGCAGCACCATGCCGAATGCGGAAATTGAGCGCATAAGAGCATCCAAGAAACGCTTCAGAATCCCACGTCAGCTAGAGCATTTGTCAGTCAGGTTTGGCCACGCAGTAGCGTATCCTGACCGAGAAGGTGGGTGAGGGGTTTCCTTAGACCATCGTTCCCAACCCGGTGGGAAGAGAGAAAAAATTTTGTTTCCAGATCGTCAGAGTACCTGTCCATCTCCCGTCTAGTGCTGCAAGGTGTCACCGGGTTCGTCCAGTCGGACAAGCACATGCTCCAAGAGAAAACAAGCATACTGTTACGCCACCTGAAAACCCTGACCCTCGGACTCAGTGGCCGCTCTCCCGCCACTCTAGTATCAGGGTGGGAATAAAAAAAAAATAAACGCTAGCCACGGCCAACTTACCCAGCAACCAACGCCGCCATCCCCATCATTCTCGCGTCGCCACCCGCTAACTCCGCCAAAGCATTCCCACTGAGAACGCGTAACACCCTAGGCAGAAGTCATCCTAACGTCGCGCAAGCAGTCCTGGTACCGAGTACGAACCAGGCTGAATCAAGACAGCAGAGGTCTCACCTTATTTTGCCTGCCTGCCCTCTGTTACTTCCTGCGTAACCAACTGACGTCTCACACACACCCTATCTCTCTTATCAATTACACCTAGCCGGTTTATCCTTTGGGAATGGAAGGATTGTTGGTGTGTCGCATTGCATACCGGGTGTCAGCAATCCCAAGTCCAACAAATATGCACGTCGAGGGTACAGTACCATGGACCGAACCGCACACACCATACCAACGCATACATACATTACAGTACACACGCATACACACACACACGGCTGCGTGCCGCGCCCGCGCAGTAGCCGCCCGCGCGCCGCAATGCAGGGCTCTCGGCCGGCCGGATCCCTACATTTTACATTACCCATCCATGCAGTATGCAGCTCGAAGCCTCTATTTCCAAGGAATTGGGGTAATAATCAGCAGGGACGCAGCGCCACGTTTCCAACGGGCAGCTGCAGCAGTTGGGCGCAGTAGGTAGGTAGTACATTACGCAATCTAAGTCTTTACAGGATTTCCCTGGGGGCGACAGATGAATAAGGAAAAAAGAAATGGCGCAGGTCTGGAAGTGTCTGTTCGTACGACCGGAGATCAGGGCAGTGCAGAGATAGAGAGAAGTTCAGCTCGTGGTTCGCTTTTTTTTTTTTTGCCGCAGGCTGAAATGACACATACGCGCTGATGCAGCACGGCTCTTCGGCAAAAGACTGGGATGCCGGGTGCTCTAGATGGAGGATTGGTAGTTCAACCCGCTCAACAGAGAGGACGAGCGGTGGAAAACTGGTGGCCGCGTGTGGGAATGGTCTACTTGCACAGTACTTTTACCAGCACAGATTACAAGTCGAGCGATATCTCTCATTCGTACCTCTACTTCATCTCCTCCTCTCCCTACATGCGCATAAACTAAAGATATTAACCTCCCTCCTACCCTGTTTCCTATTTCCTTGATATGGGGGTATCCAACCATCCGAGATCCCCGGGGGTATAGAGTATTTGCGTCGTAAGTAAAATAATTCATCGTCATCGTGATTCCCCTCCAGTAGATGCCGGCAGCCGTGGAGCTCGTCGTCCATCGTGCATGTTTTCGTTTGAAACCCCAAACCCCAAATCTTTTCCGGAGAAGACGCCAAAGCCCAAAACTCCCAATCTCAAACCGAAATGGTATAACAAAACAACAAATGATGAAGATATGGTGTAGAGTTCTTTAGGGGGTATTCCGTGCCAGCCAGAAGAGAACGCCTGTGAGCCATCAAAAACGCCATTCCGCACTAACCTTCGTCCAGCGATGCCTAAAAGCGTAGGTATCAAAAGAGCAACAGAAATCATCTGCAAAAAAAAAAAAGAACAAAAGAAACGTCGAGGGAACGTAGTCCTTACCTCACACCACTCTCACCTCTTCTCTCATGATGGTGAGTCTACTCCCAACTCCACCTGACCTCCTTATTCTCCTTTGCAGCCATCCGATCATCTTCTTCCACGACCTCCACCCCCCTTCCCTCCCTGACCACGACGACCGTGGTCCCCAAACTCGTCTTGACGGGACGAGCGGATTTGAAGATTTCGCTAAGTTCTTCAAGGGTGCGGCGCTTGGTCTCGACGTAGGTGAAGTAAATGATGATGAGCTGCAGGCTGTCCCATGCGATGAAGAGGAAGTAGTACTTCCAAGCGAGGTGCGTGAAGGCGATGCCAGTGACGAAGGTCTGTCATGTGTCAGTTTCTATCAAGGAAGGACAAAGGACGGCGTGGTAAGGCAGGCGCAACTCACGTTGTAGAAGTTAGCCACATTGACGAAGAAATTGTACGTGGCCATTCCCTTCGCCCTGCTCTCATACCGCAGACACTCGACCGGGTACAGTGCCTGCAGCGGCGTGAAGCCTGCCGAGTACACGAAGCCGAAAATGAACACCACGGCAATGACGCCCCTGGATCGCGCTTGGGAGATGGCAATGGGCGTGCCGCTGTCGTCAGTGACGGGGAGGCCGGTCTCTGGATCGGTGAGGATATTGGTCGCGTTGAGGGCGGTGACGGCGACGAAGATGAGGGCGATGACGAAGGTCGAGGTCATGAGTTGCTTGCGCCGGCCCCATTTGTCGGTGAAGGCAGCGCCGATCAGGGCGCCTGTGAGTGAAACGAGGGTCTGGAAGCCGTTGAGGAGCAGCCGCGTGTGGTTGTTGGTTATGCCGGCCCCTTGGAGGACGGCGGGATAGTAGTAGGAAATGGGACCGTTGCCAACCCACTGGAACACGGATCAGTCAGCTAGGTGGGGGAATGCTTGGGAAAAGGGCACGAACTTGACTAAAGAAGGCAAAGGTAACAACGATGAAGGTGCGGTAGCGGGTTTCGCGGGTGTTGAAGAGCTCGCGGTAGTCCCACCAACGCTTGTCAGCACCGGTAATGGAAATGTCCTCGACCATCTCCTTGTACTCGAGTTGGACAATTGCAGAGTCTCTGTTTCCCTCTCCATGATACTTGGCCTGCGCCAATGTCAGTCTCTCTGCTCTGATGCACGAACTATGCACTACGTACCATGACGTTCAAAGCCTCCTCGTGCCTGTCATTGGCGATCAACCACCGAGGAGTCTCGGGTAGCCAGGGTGCGCCGAGGAGGACGATTCCGGCAAAGATCAACTGCAACCACGTGGGGATGCGCCAAGCGCGGGTGCCGTCCAACATACTGGTAGCATACGGGACGAAAGTGCCGGGAATAGCACCCACGTACCAAAACGTGTTGAACAGGCCGGTTAGTATGCCTCTGTAGGCTGGGTGTGCCATCTCACTGGCGTAAGCGGGGCCGGCTGTGGCGCAAATGGAGACTCCGAAGCCAAGGGTAAAACGGCCGCCCATGAAGGCACCCAAGCTGGTCGATGTTGCTTGCACGCATGTTCCCAGGACTATGATTGCGGCTCCGAAAAACATGCCCCATCTGCGGCCGCGCCAGTCGGCGGCGGGCCCGGCGGCGAAGCTCCCTACGAGGTTGCCGATCTGGTAGATGGCATATGCTAGACTGGTAGTTGGCGTACCGTTGACGGGATCGAAACCAAAGTATTCGCGATACTGGGGGTACGAGTTGATGGAGGACATGAGGGTGCCATCGTAGCCGTTGATCACACTGTTGACCGTCGCAATGAGGAGACAGAGGTAGAGCTGCGCGGATGGTGAGAAGGTCACCCAAAGATAGATATCGTGTCTGGGATCATACGAGGAACATGCGCTTCGTCCACGGAAAGACTTTCGCCTGGGCTTCGGCAGAGGCGAAGGCGACATTGGCGACGGCAACGGTTTGCAGCTCATCCTCTTTGTCGTGCCAGCAGTAGGCCTCCTGTGACACAGCAGTTCCCCAGCCGTAGTCCTGCGCCGAATCCCGAGGGTGAGCCATGGTGTTGGGTTATGTTGGCAGCAGAAGCGTTTGGGAAGTCGAGCAATAAGTTGACATGGACTCGAAAAAGAAAGGAATGCTATCAAGATCAGACAGCAGGTGGTGGTGCGCGCGGGCGTTGGCGGTGGGCCGGGGCAGATATAATATTGGAGCGTCAGCTGCATAGAGTTGAGGTCTAGGCGGCAGCTAGAGGCGCCTTCCCGCAGACCCTGCTCGCGATCCCATTTGCATGTGTGACCTGATGGCGGAGGGAAGCTGGCGGCGCATGCGGCGCATCTTGCCTAGGGCGACAGGGGTGCTCCGGGCTTGCGGAGATGGACACGGAGGCTCGTGTAGGGACATGGCTTGGATCACCCGGCCCAGGTCCCGGGTTTCGCGAGCGTTTCTGCTCAATCAATGCGCCGGCTGCTTGCGCAATGCCGGCCCGTGTGCTGCGAATGGCGAAGATGGTTCGTGTCGAGTCAAAACCCCGCCGTAGCGACGGCGCAATAGGCAATGCGCAGCACAGTCAGGCGAGCGGTGGTTGGCTCCAGGTTGCACGGAAAACGAGGGATTGAGGCACGGAGCGAGAGGAATTGAGCCGGCGCGGCGGGTCGTTCGCTGAGGAAGCGGCGAGGGCGGAGGTGGAGAGAGGCAGGCGCAATTCAGCCGGTCCCCGCCTCCACGACCGACCCCAGTCTCGCACACATCCCCAATCCAGCCGCGCTGCCGCCTTGCCGCCTTGCCGAGGCCGGGACTTGTTCCAGTCCGCCTTGGGACTCCCCGATTTTCCCAGGAAACACGGCCCGTCAGCTTCAACTTTCCGTCTCACGAGACCGCCCTCGAATTCTCCATGACCGAAGGCCGCCCTCGACTCCGGCCTCGATACTGCTCTAAGCGCGCTCACCGCTGACCTCCCCAGCAGCCAGCTGTCAGCCAACGGTTCCCTACCACCGTCATTCCAGGCTCGCCTGTCTCCCCCGAGCTGTTGTGCAACACTGTCACAATAAAGTTGCAACGACGCACCTCGAAGGAGAAGCGCCGCCCAAATTTAGCGCCCCGCGCCCAACGGCGGCTTGAGTCAGTCGGCGGCGCGAAACTCAGTTGCACAGCAGCGTTTCCCAATGCGCAACCACCGCTGAAATCACACCGACACTCCCGCCCCCTCGAATCCGAGCTGCATGCTGCCTGCGTGCTCCACGATCTTTGGTGTTGACTCCTGCTGACTGCGCCTGTTGGCCCAAAAAAATATCCCGGCACCTGCGCCCCATCTGCCGCTGTCGCGTGCGGGACTTGGAAGAATGGCAGAAAACCGCTGGCGTCCGTGCCGCATGCGGCAAGGTGCATCGAGTTTCAGCCATTCATCGAGAAGCCAACAGCCGACGACGGATTACCGATTCAGTGTGGGAGGACCAAGTCTATCGATACCACTTGCATGAGAAACCTCTCGTCAATCGCTCGAATCGTGACTCTAATGGACTCCAACTACCTAGCTGAGATCAGTACCGTTGCGGGTGCGACATGCGTTGAGCTACGCAAGTGACCAGGTAGCTCCATGCAAGCCATCAACATGTTTCAAACCGGCTGTCCCGGCTGAGGCGTCCAGAAACATCCCTAGCCACCACCAACATCCAGGCTTTGTGAGAAGAATGCCATCTAATATCACGGGCCAAGCCACCTATTCCCCACCTATTCGTGCCCCATTGGCTCTCTGCTAACCTTGAGGTTATGCATCTATACATTAAAGCGCCCGGGGTCCAGCTGCATTCAACCCGGCTTCCCAAATTAACTGCACGACTCGCGGCTAATCAGGCCCCATTCTAGACGCATCCCAAGGTTACAGTTTTGTTTCGTCGAATCTTGAACTATGAGATCACCGTCACGCTACTTCGTACAACAGACTTTGTGCCGTTGCGGTAGGCTTGTTGGCCTATCTCTCCACCAATGTCTCATTGTCCTTGGCATGTCTATCTCATGAACATCTCATACCCATTCGCCGTCCTGAGCATGTGGTCTCACAGAATCCACCCCTCGCCCTGTTTAGGAAAGTCCACTAAAACATAAACATTGTCCACATTCAACCGGAATATCAGCTACGCATACGTACAATAACCATTGAGCGGCTCCGCTCCACTTAGCAATCACCACCCACCCTCCTTCACTGCCAATCCTTCCCTCAAGCCATTCTCGCTGCATCTTGACTCTCGTAATCCACACCCGAAGTCTTCTCTCAAAGCATTCCGTGCGATAACAAAAGGGGGCTTCACTCGGAACCGCGTGGTCAGCATAGCCACCACCGATGCTCGTATACGCGCTATCCCAAAATACCAGCCAACAATGCACTTGGATAACCTTTTTTTTATCAAGTGGCCTGGCGACAGGGTGTTTGGATGTTCACGGTGGCAAACATTCCCGTTGCTCGCTAACGGTGCAGTGAGCGAGTGGAGACAGATCAATTCTGCTCATCTACCCGTACCTCTCCCGCCACCTGCACAGTCTTCTAGCTGCCGCTTCCGCCCGGCGCCTTCTCCCCACTCAACTCTGGCCCCACGTATTCAAGCTCCACCGACTCGGATCACCCACTCACCCGCGTTGAATTCTTTTCTCCGGTTAGCCCCTCGCTCTTCAAAACGCCCGACGATATTCCCATCACGATCAGCACCCGATGATAGCGCCGCCTTCCCCGGCCCTCCCGTTCGCTTTCAATTATCGCTTTCTCGGAATGTACGCACTTTTACCGCTGCTGCAGGGGAAGGCAAACCAACCTTGTAGACCAAACCCGAACGCTTACAACCCCACCGCTCTTACTCCGCATACGAGCAGCCAAAGCATCATCCTCGTCGTAGAAAAGGCACTGATGGATGGTCCAGGTGGTGAGAGTTGTTGTTGCTGAATAAATACCGGTTGATTTTTCTCGTCTTTTCCCCAATCTGTTTGAACTTGCAATAGAGGAGGAATGTTGACATCGATACAGTTCCTTCTCTAGAGATTCCTGATGCAGTACTCGCTCCACACTGTTTGCCGCCGAATGTGACGCCCTTGTCTGATGTGTCGTTTTGGTGATTCGCTCGTAAGTCCGAATATACGTACCCTCCTCGGGGTTTAATATTTAGCAACGTTCGTATAGTGTGTGCGGATAGTTTGAAACCAGGCAAATGGATACGAAAGGAGGAGAGCCGGTGCATGCAGAGCGTAGCGGCACGTATGTACTTTACATCTCAACACGCGACACTTGCGTCCTATTTCCCCTTCGGAGAAGAAGTCAATCTATCCTGCAGGCATGCGGAAGCGGGAGACACGAGGCAGTGCAATGCCCGTGCAGCACGCGACATCGCCCACTTTTTAAGCTGAGGCTGCTGCACCTCGACCCGCCAGCCTCTTCTGATGCTCCGGTCTGACGCGAAGTCTGTGAAGCGTTGCAGGATTTGCAAGATTATTCCCGCACTCATTGCTCCGATTGGGAGCTGATACCGTCTACAGCGCTGCTTATTTTGGGTCTGGTTACTCACTCGATTACCAATACCATGCACCTGAGTTGTGCGCTTTCGATCCGTGTGTGATACGTTGACGATAGCACCGTTGATCCATGATGCCGATGCGTCTGGACATGAGCTCAACCATTTACAGGAGTTGGGACGATGTCCGCTCGAAAATCCAGTTCTGCGTCAATTTTTACTTTTGCAGGGTCTTCTGGGACCAGTCATCGTGCTTGAGCCGCACCAATGGTTGAGCTGCACTGCCTTAAAACCGACATTCCGGTGCACCTTCAGGAAAACGTGGCCTTGTCGCACGCATGAAGTCACGGACAGGATGCGAGGTGCAAGAGGAGCTTCGAAGGTGACGATATCTGCATACATCTGTAGCATGCATGCATTTGCTGTATAGTCCATGACCGTATCCCGCTTCAGTCTCTCCGAAAATCGACGGGAAAAAATTATAGCACCTTACTTCTATGGGGCGTCGACTCCATGGTCTGGATATATCTGCAAAATCTTGCATGGTAAAGGCTACACTCACGTCCCGACGCTTGGTTCAACTGCGTACCGTGGGTCGGCTGGAGGAAAAGGTGGGAACGGTACCCAAGTAGGCATTGAATATATACTACCGGCCACGACTACCCATACCTTTCACGCAAACCGCCACCATGAGTGCTAACGACCATGTTCTGACCTCGAATCCCTCTAGAATTCCCGTGGAAGCATCATCTTACATGTCCAACAATCCATTCATCATTGATATGTCCAAACATTCCCTAGACTCGGACTATAAGCCATGTAAGTGATTTGCTCACTTTCATTGGACTTGTTGCTCATATTGAGAATTTTTAGCAGTGTCCACGACAGGAATCAGGCATTTTATTCGCAAATTCTCCCCCTGGGCCCTCATTTCCGGGATCATCTTTATCGCATACACGGCTTTTTTGTTCTTTCCATTTGCCAATGACGGCGCTCTACTTGAGACTCTTTCCGGGCACTCTTGGCAAAAACCACTGGGAACTTGATCTCGCTGTCGGCGTCGGGCCTACCGATACCAGAAGTGGTGAAGGACCTTCTACACAGTCATCGGGCTGATTTGGGGATCAATTTCCGGGAATCCCAGGACCCCGTTTACCCACCATATCCGGGCCATCAGGAGGGGAGAACATCACTGGGAGTATTCTAGATGGCGATGTTGCCCTACTATAATGCATTTTCGAAAACAGAAATGTTGCTTCACTAAGAAGTTTCAAGTCTCCAACAAGAGATATATTGAAGTATTGAGCAATTCTTGGTGATGCTGATGCAAATCACCGATGAAGAAGATGATGATATGATTCATATATAAGTGATGTTTACGTATTTGTTAGATATGCGGTGTTGAAGATTTGAGGGGATCTGCGTTTCTAGCTTGATGCGCCGCGGAAACGGAAAAGGGCAGTCTTCCTGATTATCCTCCCCAACTGCTTGTGGATTTCGCGTGGCGTACTGTGGAGCAGGATTGTTTAGTGAAGCCTTCCTTCAAAGAAGATACGGATAATATAAGGAGTCGAAGGGCGTAAGACGAGAGTCAAAGCTACGGGGCCAGCAGACTAGTTTAGCCAACAATTTTGAAGTATGTCAGCTGGCGGGGCTGTGGTCATAAGCACGGTGCGTAGGACGGGAAGCTCGCAACCTTAAAAACCCACTCGGCTGCCTTTCTGCACACCAAGCAACCATTTCAAGCTGATTATCAGCAATGAAGAAAAACCACGTCGAATTTCTTTACTTCTGCCTTGGGCAAGAGCTATGTTGCCATCCTTTCCCGGTCGATCACCTTGTTTCGACACCACAGCATTTTCCTTCCCAAAATCGTTCCTCAACCATGAAGCTTAGCATCAAAAGATAATGATGCGCTCCAGCATCAAGCCATTGTTGCTATACCATTGAGATCAGCTCACCGAGCCCACTGGCGACAGGCAGTCATGAGGAGCCCCCGAAAGAGCACCCAGAGTAGTTGTGGTATGATGTCAGGTCTCAGAGGATGCCCTAGAGGATGTTTTCCGTCAACTCCAAAGAGCCGGAAGACGCAGGCAGTAAATATACCCAAAGAACTCAGAGGTCCGAGCATGTGCCACAGTGTGTCACTCTGCTGCCTCCGCGCAAGCGCACCGGACCACCTCAGAGCGCCGGCCAGCTGACCCGACGCTCGTCACCTTGGTGCAGCTGACGCCAGCTGGCTCGTGACAGACGTCTCCGGCGGCTTCTCCCTTAGTGCGAAGCGTGGCTTTAAAATTAAAATGGGATCCCGCCTCCGAAAAGTCCAGGTTGGGACAATGAGCTCGTCTTGTCGCGGGAACTCAAGGAAATCAAAATGTTACTTGCGCTCTGGTCCTTCTGTCTGTTTCGATGTCAGCTTCGCATGTACATTATCAGCCAGCGGGTGGAATATAGTAAACTACCGTGAGTTAGCATGAAGCTGATGTCCTTCAATAAGTGAATTATGCAGAAGATCACCATCACGTAATGATGATGGGTTTCACTAGCTTGAAGATTCACATCTCAGTCTAGAGGGGCATTGCTGCTGAAGAATCACAGGCCCCAGAACAGGGGGCTATTATGCCTCATCAATTAACATATGAGGGTAGTTGAAACGGTCATCCGGACGAAAATGTCAAATTCGTGTCATGGGTACCTAAAGCTGTTGTCTGGATGTGAATGTATGTTTACCAAGGACAACATGTGCATGCCGTAGAAACCATCGTCCGGACGTGGGATGTATGATTGTCAATCCGACATTTACGCCCAGACGATAGCCTCAACTACACTCAACAAGAAAAAACACATTCACGCTAGTTTTCCGCCACAAAACCCCTTTGTAGATCGAGAGCGCTTGTCACACTCACCGAGCGAGCTTCTGGTCGAATGCACTCAACCAGAAAACGTGAAAGCCAGCGAAATTCCGTGGCCGATCAAGCTCACCCACACAAAACAAAAGCACGCGAAGAAGAGACCCAAGGGCCAAAAACTTCTCAAAACCTCGTCACGAAATGTATGCGATTCTCAAGCCTCGTCAGGTTCCTATCTCATATCCAGACTAAACCCCCCTACGCCTCGCTTAGCCAGAGCGATACAACAAAATAACGCCGCTCTCTACTTTTACTGAGGAATTAAAAAAAAAATCAACGTGCCCTCCCACCAAAAAAAAAGAAAAGAATCTCATTAAAACTCAACTCAAGACCGAGGGAAAAAGATGAACGCGCGCCGCCTGCAGGTCTTTCCAGTCCCCAACCACCACTTGTCTACTTCGGCGGCGGAACTACCGAAAACGGATAATCCGGGTCATTCGGGTCCATGTGCGCAAACGTGTTCTGTTGAGGCGTAGATGCGGCTCGCGTAGGAGGCGGAATGTCCACCGAGCGGACGAGCCGTCGGCCCAGCGGTCTCGGCGTGGCCACGTGGGAAGTATCCGTGACGTCAGACAGAGGAAGACCGCGGGGGGTTGCATGCGAAGAAACCAGCAGCGCCGGATCGATGGGAGTGGTGTTGGAGAAATACGACTGTTCGGCATTCCACACGTGCGCGAGGCTGTGGCGGCCACGACTGTTCGACCGGAACTCGAAAGGCAGCGAGGAAGTGCTGAGCGGCCTCTCGCCGAACACCAGAGGCAGTTGTCGCGGATGTGACTGACGAAGATTGGGGAGACTGGTTGCACCTATGCCCCTCGGTCAATTAGCAGAACGCGGACGGGGACAGGTGGCAGGGCAGCGGAATGGGAAAGAGGTTATCCAAATGGCTGGTCATGATGCTCGTGATCTCAAGTAATGGGAAACTCAAGTCTAGTAAGCACCTTGCGCCATCGAATAACCGCCGCCCATCTGCGCCTGCTGCGCCTGCTGTTGCGCCGCGATCTGCTGGGCGTTCAGCTGCTGCTGCTGGTGCGCCTGAGCGATGTCGTTGAACCACGGGTGCTGCAGCGCCTGCGTCGCGCTGATGCGCATCTCCGGGCGCAGCTGCAGCATGCTGCTCAGAAGGCTGAGGCCGAGCGAGTCGATCTGCGGGAGGATGAGGCGGAGATCCTGCGTCGCGTAGACGTGGAAGTTGGGCTTGTATTCCGGGAACTGGCTGATGCCGGGCCACGAGCGCTCCGAGGGCGTGCCCATCAGGCGGAAGATGCGCTGCAGCTGGTCCTCGTTGGTGGTGCCGGGGAAGAGCGGGCGGCCGGTGTACATCTCGGCCATGATGCAGCCTGCGGACCAGATGTCGATACTGGTGTTGTAGGTGCGGCTGCCGAGCAGAACGTCGGGCGCGCGGTACCACAGCGTGACGACCTCGTTGGAGAAGGTGTTGACGGGGATTCCGAAGGCGCGGGCAAGACCGAAATCGGCGAGCTTCAGCTGGCCCTTGTTGTTGGTGAGCAAGTTCTGGGGCTTGAGATCACGGTGCAAGACGCGGTTCTCGTGGCAAAAAGCGACGCCGCGCAGCAGCTGGTACATGAACGACTTGATGGTCACGGGATCCAGCTGGCCTCTGTCGCCGCGCGAGTCCATGTACTTCTTCAGGTCCCTGTCCATGTACTCAAACACGAGCATGAGCTTGTTCTCGGTGTGGATGACATCGTGCAGCGACACGATGTTCTCATGCTTGAGCTCCTTCATGAGCGAAATTTCGCGGATGGCCGTCGATGGAGTGCCTTCTTCGGAGTCGAGGTGGATCTCTTTCAGCGCGACGAATTCGCCCGTCTGGCGGTTGCGACCTTTGAAGACCTGAGGGGCGATCAGCGACGGCGCTGGAGCGCATGGATGCGGGGCGTCTTACCGTTGCATAGGTACCCTCACCCAACTTCTCCAGCTGCTGGAACGAGCTAGGGTGTCTCTTGTCCATGGTGGGCAGGCTTTGTCCGTCACCGAGGTTGCGGACGCTGATGGTGGAGTCGGTGCGGTTGTTGACGGCGAGGGTGCCGACGTGAGTGGGCCGGAGGCGGGTGGGCGGCGGGCGTCGGGTGTACTTGGGGTTAAAGAGGATTGCGCCTGCGGTAGTAAGCTGCTCGGCGATGGCCAACGGTGAGGGAGGCGCGGTTGATGAGCGGGAAGCGGAGGAGCGGGATGTGTGGTTTGCCGTGGTGGGCGGTCGTTGGTAGCTCTTATAAAAGAGCTTTTGGGCTGGCGGGAAGGCAAAGGAAACGGGCGCAGATCGTTGCTCGACTCAGGGATCGTGAAGGCATGGTATGAGTCGGCGCGTGGTGGGGAGAACAGCGCGGCTGCCCAGTGCCGGCCGGCCAATCATTCGTCGCTCAGCCGCACAAAGTGAACCCACCAGGGCCCAGAGCCCAGCGCCCGTGGCTGCCTCGTTTTCTCGGCGCTTCTCATGGGCCTGTCTCACTTGCACGCAGTCGCCACAACACACAGGGATATATTCAGCAACCTCAGAGCTATCTTCCTTCCCATTCCTCGCTCGCCATCTTAATTCATCACAAGTTCTTCTATACATGCCATGTTCAAGCTTCGTTCTCATCAAAAAGAAATTCGTGCTCGCCACCCCAGAACTCCGCATGCTCCATGCTCCCATCTTCCGCTTCGAAACCAACCCCCCAATCAACTCCTGTCCCCATAAGCTAGAACGCTAGAGCCCCGCTTCAATTTTGGATCAAGCGATAAATGTGTTGATCCACCACAGCCGTCGACAAATTCGCATCGCAAATGCTGAGTTGGCCATAAAATTTGGCCACGCAAATTGTGAGGCAAATCGTATGCGTACAGTCGCTTTAGTGGTGGAGCTACGGACTTTGTCTTTGGCAAGATGTCGTGGACGAGTGTGGGAAGACAGCTGCCATTCCCAGCTGACAGGAGATTGCGCTCCGTAGTGTTACGCTAGAGCTCCATGCCACTCGGCTCACGGAAGCCAAGAAGTCCGGCAAGAAATGTTGCGAGCAAAACGAGGACCGTAGTCCCCAGACGGTCATGCGTAGGTCGCTTGACCGAGGTGTTGCCGCAAAATGTCGGCATGCAAATGCCGCTGTTGGTGAGTCCAAGTCAAGGTGCCTGGTGTGAAATTGCCCAAAGTTTGCTACAACTCTTTGGCAATGCGGAGGTAAAGGTCAATGGAGATCCTGTGCCGCCTCTTCATCTGATAACGCCCCAATCCTCAACAATGCCAAGTCCTCCGGCTCTCTCCTTTTTCTTGAAAGCATTCCAGAACCTGAGCGTTTCGTCGCCTGCTCCAGTGACGATGACTTGGCCATCGGGACTCATGGCAAGGTACAGAACACGATAGGTATGGCCAGTGAGACTGACAACTTGCTGCATGGACGGATACTTCCAGACAATGATTTGGTTCTGGCTGTAACCGTGTGTCGAGACGATTTCGTTGCTGTTGCGGGACCATGCAAGGTTGCAGACCTGGGATCCTGTGTCGAGGCTACTGATCAAGTTCGCAGGAGTAGTCGTGTTGGTGGGAGATGCGGGGTTCGAGTGTTGGTAAGCCTGGGCAGCCATGGCAGCCGATGACGGTCCGTGAGGTGATATCTGGGTGTTCCAGAACTTGATCGTACGGTCTGCGGTACCTCCACCGGAAGCAAGAAGACCGCGCTGATGCGGACTCCATGAGATAGCTTTGACAGCAGCCACGTGCTCGCCCCACTTGAAGGTGGGTTCTGCGTTCAGCTTCTCCCATACCATGAGCTTGTTGTCGTTACCGCCGGATGCAAGCTGGCCGTCTTCAGAGTTCCACTTGAGACCGCAAACTTCCTGCTTGTGGCCGACGAGTTTCCGCAGCCACTGGTCGGGCTGGCGCACATCTCTGTGGTAAATCAGACGATCCCGCGAACCTGATGTCAGGATATGCTCGTTCCACGCAAGAGCGCCAACCCTGGCTGTGTGGCCAGTCATAGTTCGGAGACGACGCTGCGTTTGCGCATCCCAAATCTGGACAAACCCTTTGTTTGTGCCGATGGCGACGTGCGAACCCTGCGATAGTTAGCGTCCGTGCTCAAAAATAAAAATGAATAGAAATCATACTCTCTGGATCCAGTTGACGCTGGTGACTGTGTCATCTGGGAGCTCACAGAGCTTCGTTACCCGGCCAGAACTCGAGTTCCACATATATACGCATTGACCAAGACCCACACCAAGAATGTTTTGGCTGCCCCAGTCTACAAGATTAAGGTAGAAGTCGTCGGCAAGATCCGGCGCATCAAGCACCTTGTACGGCACCTTGCTGACGGCCCTAGGTGTTTTCCTAGGGCTAAGGAGCATGACTTGACTGCTTCGCTTCACTGGCGAAAGGCTGTAAAGTTCAGACCGAGCGTTCAAGTTTGGCCCATGACGGTGCGGGGTCTTGTGCGGGGTGGGATGCCCTGAGGCGCTTGCATGTCGAGGGGACATGTAAGAGAAGAGGTTCTTGTGCGGGGTTGACGGCGTGAGACTAGTAGCAGGCAATGACGAGCGTCCCGGTGGTGTTTTTGACCGTGAGGGGTCATGGTAAGTGGTACCCTCATTGAGGGAGATGCTTTGAGGAATACTATCATCGAACATCTCAGAGCGAAGGAGACTTGAGTATGTCCGGTTGGCTTCTTCAGCTGCAGAGCAATTAGAATTGACACTTTTGTCAGGGAGAACTATGCACGTACTTTTCTGAAAGTGAAGCTCGTTATGAGGCGTTCTTTTCGCCGACTTCGACGGAGTTGCGGGAGAGCCATCCTCGTGCAACAAGCTAAAACTTGCAGGAAAGTCCTGGCCTGACCGATTGGGAATAAATCTACACCACCCCAAGTCAGCAAAAGCCTCAAAGCCTGTGGGTGTTGCGCGATAGCCCGGGACAAGGTCCCGCAACCTCACTTCAGCCTACTGACCTGTCGCCATAGACCCTCTGCCTCTTCCTGCTGGGGCTCAGACCAGGCGTGGGATCGCGCTGTCTGCCGGCCTGGAAGGATTCCAAGGCCTTGCTCAATGCACTGGCGTCCAAAGTTTCCGCGCTCTTTCCATTTCCAATTGCGCCGGGTGCGGTGATGTTGCGCTTGTTGCGCGCAGTCGGGGGCGTCTTGGACTCCGGGGGCGATATTAAGGTCGGCGTGTGGACGTCATCATTTGCAGTGCCCGCGCCTTCGGTGAGGCCAAGGTCGGCCTCTGCGTGCCTCATGGTCGACCGCCAGATCGAGTCGGGACGGCGTTCGCGTCGGGGCACGGAGATACAGGCGACGAATTAAGCAGCGACACGGGCGGATCTGCGCGAGAATGTCGCGAGGTTGGGGAGAATGCGGCCGTGGTGGGCGGTTTTGGGAGTGAATGCGACAACCAGCCACCCCTTGTGGTGGATTGGTGGGCGAGCAGCAAGGCGGCGAACGGAAGCGGCGGCGGCGGCGTCGGAGACGGGCGCGGGGGGCCAGGGTCGACGTTCAGCGATTGCGATTGCTGCGCATTGCACGGCGGGGCGGGTTTCGGGCGGGGCGTGGTGGGTGGTGATGAGTCGCGTCGGCGGAGGAGCGTCGTGGAGTGTTGCTCGTTGTCGATGCGGGCCCGGCTGGGTTGCCCTGACGGAAGCTGATCTTCGCCCGCACCGTGGAGCCGCGCACACTAATGGACTGCCTGAGGCGCGCTACCTCACCACAGCAACAAGAACAGCAAACGCAACAAAGGCACGAATCGACTTCTGGGCGAGCAGAGGGCGGGCAGGAGGTAAGGACGGTGAGCAGCACGATGCAGGGCGCTGGGAAGGGAGCTGCGAGAGGAGACGCTCTGGTCGCTCCGAAGCCCGGCTCTGTTGTTGTCGACACGTCCAAGACGCGCCTTTGCGCCTTTGTTGTGCTCTCGGTCGCGTGGGTGAAACGCGACTTAATTGGCCACTAGCCCGATAGCCCACGCTGCTTTGCAACAGCTCCCGCCCGGCGCTGCGCACCGCGCCGCCCTTGACCGCATTCGTCATCCAACGTCACGTTCCCCTGCATCTCGTGCCGCCAGCTTATCGAACCTCACCTGCACCGCACTTCTATGTCCGCTGCGGCACTCGTCCTGAAAGCTTCCCCGCAGCGCATCCCCGCGATCTTCACCTCTGCCCACAGCTTCGCACGCTCTGTCGCAACCATGGCCCCCACCTTGCAGCATGCCGACGACTTTCTGTCCTTTGTGAATGCCTCGCCCACCCGTGAGGAATCCCTGCTACACCGCTAGGAGCGAAGACCCCGGCGCTAATGTGCTACTCCAGCCTTCCATGCCGTCAAGTCTGCGAAAGAGCGGTTGGAGAAGGCTGGTTTTACCCAGATCAAGGTCTGACACATGCCATTCCTCATGCACGTCAACACGCGGGATTGACTCGCATCTGCAGGAACGGGACTCGTGGTCCTCAACGCTTAAGCCTGGCGGCAAGTACTACCTCACTCGCAACGGCTCGTCCCTCGTCGCCTTCGCTATCGGCAAGCAATGGAAGACCGGCAACCCGATCGGCATGATCGGAGCCCACACGGACTCGCCGTGCCTTCGCATCAAGCCTGTATCTAAGAAGCAGAGCGACGGATTCCTGCAGGTGGGTGTCGAGACGTATGGCGGTGGTTTGTGGCACACCTGGTTCGATCGCGATCTCAGCATCGCTGGTCGTGTGATGGTTAAGACCAGTGACGGCACCTTCGAGCAGAAGCTCATCAAGGTGGACCGCCCTATCCTCCGCGTGCCCACGCTTGCTATCCACCTCGACCGCCAGCAGGACTTCATTTTCAACAAGGAGACCCAGCTATTCCCTATCGCCGGCCTCGTTGCCGCGGAGCTCAACCGCCAGGGCAAGACGGAGGGTGAAAACACGGACAAGGTTGAGGAGACTGGGCAGTATGAGCCTCTGAAGACGGTTTCGGAGAGACATCACCCGTACATCGTTGAGATCATTGCCGAGGAGGCCGGTGTTAAGACTGTTGATATCCAAGACTTTGAGGTCGTTCTGTACGATACTCAGAAGTCAGTCATCGGCGGCCTGAACAACGAGCTCATCTTCTCTGCCCGCCTTGACAACCTGATGATGTCGTTCTGCAGTGTCGAGGGTCTCATCCACTCACTCTCCTCGCCGTCTGCCCTCGACAACGACAACACTATTCGTCTCATCGCCCTCTTCGACCACGAGGAGATCGGCAGTCAGACCGCACAGGGTGCCGACTCTAACCTCCTGCCTGCAGTGATTCGTCGTCTCTCCGTACTCGCCCCGTCTGAGTCCAACAGCGAGAAGTCCTATGACAGGCTGGACGTTGACGCAGCCACCGCGTTTGAGCAGACCCTGGCCACCTCTTTCCTTATCTCCGCCGACATGGCCCACTCCGTCCACCCCAACTACCCCGCAAAGTACGAGTCTAGCCATCGCCCTGAGATGAACAAGGGTACAGTCATCAAGATCAACGCCAACGCTCGCTATGCCACGAACTCGCCTGGCATTGTCCTCCTGCAAGAGTCGGCTCGCCGGGCGAAGAAGGCGTCCACCAACGTCAACACTACTTCAGACGAGGGTGTTCCTCTGCAGCTGTTCGTTGTCAGGAATGACAGCAGCTGCGGCAGCACCATTGGTCCGATGCTGGCAGCGAAGATGGGCGCTAGAACCCTGGATCTGGGTAACCCGCAACTGAGCATGCACAGTATTCGCGAGACCGGTGGTGCTCACGATGTTGAGCATGCGATCAACCTGTTTGAGAGTTTCTTCGTCCACTTCGCCGAGTTGGAGAAGAAGATTCTGGTGGATTAGATTTTGGATCTGGACTTCATGTGTCATGAAAATAGTATGAGCAAATGAGAAAAGAAACGCAAATAACGTAAATTCGGGGTTTCGATAGAAATCAACAACGCTGTCTCGTGCTGGATTGTGGAATAAAATGCCGATATAATGAGTACCTCCTTGGACATCAAGGTGTCGTCCGGCTGAATACTGGATACCCGGACCTGCGATGAGATCATCAAACCAGCATTCGTTATGCTCCCACTATGTCATTGCTCTCTAACAGGCACTCTATTTGTGGAGCTCAGCCCTGCGATCCAAACTTCTGCTAAGCCCGTTTCTGCCTACTGGGGTTCGCGCCTCTCCTTGCTATTTTGGGTTTCAAGTTCACACGCGTTCACTTCGTTCGACTCTCGCGTTTTCCCAACAACAAAGCTATCCTCGAGTCGCGCCAAGGGACGCGGATCGCCGTTGAAGGAAAGTTTACGCTGCAAGGACAACATCGAGCTTACGAAATACGGAGTCCCCGACCGTGGCGATCTCGGGCTATTGCCTTGCAGCACCTGAGAAAGCTTTTTGTCGTTAGTTTGCGTATCACCGCAGTGGTGGCGGGAGAAAGACTACAAAGAGCCACATGGACCGAAGCTTTCCAAATAGCCTTTATGCAAGGGCAGCCGGCTGATCACTGTGATCGCGCACCCTCAGTGTTTGGAGTGCTATGCGATCATGACGTAAATAATATTATTTGTCGACCTGAATAAGGCAGGCGTAGCTCCTTGTCACATACGCCGGGAGTAGTCGCTTATAACCCCATTCAATTGTCTTTTTGCTGATTGATTAATCCGCTGTAAAAAATCCACGCCAACTCGCGCCGCAAAGCAAGTCAGGTTCCTTCACTTTCCACCAAGCTTTCACCGCTCGTAATCCACCCAGCTATCTCCAATGGATTCCAGAAAAGGTAATGCTTATTGATTTCTCCAGCGCCAATTCCGCAAATCGCGAGAGGGTCGTGGCGTGCTGTAGTAGGGCGCGATCGCCCGCACGCTGTGGCTTGGGTTCGCTCTCATTTATGTCGACTTCTTCGCCTGCGCCGCCTTGAGGGCCTTCTTCCTGTTGCTGCGGATCATAACGCTGGCCAGGAAGCTGCCGACGACGGTGCTGCCGAGGAGGATGAGGATGACGGGGATGCGGATGGCCCAGACGCGCGGCGGGAAGAGGGACTGCAGGGGGTGGTCCTCGTCGACGAAGGGCTGTTGCAGACGGTTAATGCCAATTCGCATGACTTGATCTATTATACGGAGGTCTTGGTGGGGTTGGAGTATATGTTCCGTTTTGGGCGAGGGATGGTGAGGGGGCCGCTTTACCATCAACAGGGTCCAGACGGTGTAGTAGGTGAAGACGGCGGTTGCTACGATGAGCATGCTGAGTCCGACGAGGCGATCAAGCTGCGGAGGTTCTCACATCAGCGTTCGCGTCCTTCGTTTACTTTGTTGAAGCTTGCGAAAGGGCTTCCACAGACAGAACTTGCCATTGTGAAGTAGAGCTGCGTAGCGCGATTACGAGGGCGGAACAAAAGGAGCGGAAGAAGGTAAACGGAGAGCAAAGAAAGAGCGGATGGTGATTGGCGACCGGGGTGCGTGGTAGGCTTTCGTGGGCGGAAACAGCAGCGTTTCTGGGGGAGAGGACACGGAGGGCTGATGAGCGAACGCACTACTCTACGCTCCCGCCGCCCGCCCTGGCCTTGCGCCGACGCGGAGCCCAGGCTTGCTTGCTTGGGCCGGGAGCTTGGACCACCACTCGCGGCGCTTCTGTTTCGCCGCTCGCCGTGGTCTCGGTGACTCCCGTTGTGGGAAACTTCTTGCGCAGAACTTCTGCTTCCCCATTTTTTCTTTCCTTTTTTGCTTCAACATGCGCAAGGGTTGCACATCCTGGTCTTGGATCATCCAAAAGCATCACAAACACCTCGCGTGCCCCCAATCCCCTCTATGCTTCAGTAAGATGAACGGCTGAAGTCTGGGTTACACTTGGGATCGGTCCCGGTGGAAGTCAATCGTAGACGGTCGCAGTGCGACATATTTTTTCAACGGGACCTGTTGAAAACCTGTACGAACTCCTACAATTTCGCATTGGTCCTATGGTCCCAAGAACGAACCTTTTCTCAAGCGTGTTCTACAGGCTGTCCTACCTGCTTCGTGCTTGTGGTGGAGAGCTTTACTTTCACGCTAACATGCAGAGCCCTCCACTGTCACGTCTCGGACGCCAGATTAGGACAAGTCAATACACAATCGCTTACACCACGAAGGAGCGCAATTTCAGCAGTTGAATCATTACTTGTCATTAAGTTGTGCTCGTTTGAATAAACAAGCCCGAGATGTTGAATCTAACTAATCATTACGTTCCCGCGGGTATCATCGCCATAACCGCACCAAACACCAGACAAAAAACTTTTTAAAACACCAATCGACCCATTCCCTTACTCCTCGTCGTCCTTGACCTTGACGAAGATGCTCCGCGACCAACCGTCGTCGTCGACGAAGACCTCCTTGCGCAGCTTGTAGCCGCCGAGCTTGGGTAGTAGCTGGGCCCAGAACAGCCAGTAAATGCCGCCGGCGATGATGATGGCGGTACCGACAACGCAGTGCAGGTAGTAGGGCAGGTCGTTGTAGACGTTCTGGTCGGCCGTCTCCGGCGGGATGTACGGCGCGATGACGAGGTAGATGTTGGACAGCAGGAAGAAGATGGTGACGGGCAGCGTGGCCTTGATCGGCGGGTGCCAGTTGTACTTGTCGCGGTTCAGGTAGAGGTGCACGAGGCCGCCCGAGACGAAGACGTTGACGATGGCCAGCGGGTAGGAGATGACGTTGAGGACTGCCGGAGTGTTAGGAAGACGTGTGAATGGGTACGAATCACAAAGAACTTACTGAAGTTGTAGGCATCACCAGGAGGAGGCGCGAGCATGATGATGACGGAGACGACCCAGTGCTCGAACAGGCCAGCCAGGGGCGCGTTGAACGGCTTGTTGCTGGCGAAGAAACTGGAGAAGGGCAGGATACCCTCACGACCCAACTCCTGAACAATACGACCCTGTGAGAAGATGACGGACATGACGTTGCCGAAAGCAGAGAGGGCGACGAAGACCGAGAGAGCACGCTCGGCCTTGGGGCCGAAGACGTTGCGGAAGAAAGAGGCGGCAAGGATGCGGCCACTGTTGGCAATCTCATCGCGAGGAACGGCGGCGAAATAGGCGATGTTGACAAGCATGTACATGATGCCAACGGAGATGATGGCGATCGGTGCGGCACGCTTGAGGGTACGGACGGGGTTCTTCATCTCGGACATGGCGTAGTTGGCGTTGCTGTAGCCGATGTACGACCAGATGACGTTGTAAAGCGCCGTCACGACACCGTACGAAGAGCCGGTCGTGCCCTCAAAGGCGTTCGAGAAGTTGTCGGGCTTGTTGTCGATCTTGAGGTGGCCACCAAGAGCCGCAAAACCAGAAAAGATGATGATCAAGATGATGATGAGCTTGATCACGCCCAGCAGGTTCTGCAGGCGCAGACCCCACTTCAGGGCCAGACCGTGGATCAGGAAGGCAGTGGTGATGCAGGCCAGACCAATACCGCGCTGGTTCCAGCGGTTGACTTCGACGTTGGCAGCATTCAGGATGTACTCGCCGAAGGCGACGGAGTTGGAGCCCGCCCAGCCAAGAAGAATAACATAGCCGGTCTACGCGGAGAAGTCAGTAAGTTAACTTCATCCAAAATACGGACGACTTACGTAGAAACCAGTGACAAGGAACTTCGGCTTCGTGTACACGTATTCGAGGTAGTTCTTCTCACCACCGTTGCGAGGCAGGCCAGTTCCGAATTCCAGGTACACAGCCATACCGGCGGCAGCAATAACCATACCGGCAACCCAAATGAACAGGGCCAGGCCCACACTTCCACTGAGAGCCACAATGCTGGAAGGAGTGGAGAAAATACCAGTGCCGATCATACGATTAAAGATGCTGCAGGGTCGATCAGACTAATTGCTGGGGTGTAACCATAATGGTGGGACTAAATGCTTACAGGAAGACGGCGCTGGTGAGACCAATGGTTCTTCTCGAATCACTGGTCTGGTAGATCTCTCCGCCATGCTCGCTGTCCTTGTCGGACTCAGCGTAGGGTGGAGTTTGCTCCTCGACGGGAGTGATGTCTCCCTTGCCCTTGAACGAGAACATGGTGACAAAAAGGGCAACGATAGTGTTCAAGGTTCCCTTGGTGGTACTAGGCCGAAAAAAGAGCCGGGTGGGTAGGCGGGCGGCTACCTTCCAGTAGTTTGCCGGCGGGAGCGGGACAACAGCAGTTGGAACAACAAGTCTCGGGCTGTAGAAGGGCGGAGCCGGTGCTCTAGATACATACTGGGCGGCAGCGTGCAGAGTTTTCCGTGGGCAAGATTGTGCAATTCGCCTCTAGAAGGCGTCATACGCCAAGTGGGCTATTTTGGCCGGTTTCTGCAAAATCTGAGGTAACAAAAATCCTAGAAAACCCCGTGCATTGACCGGCCGCGGCGCAAAACAGCCACAGCATGTCGCCTTTGCCCAGCCGCTCCTGCGCACAGCTACATGCTGTTGACACCTACCTTTTCCGCTCTACTACAGAGATAAGCGGAGCAGCCAAGGGCGGAACAAAGGTCCTCTGAGGTCAAGCATCCCGCGGTCTTGGCGGCGACCAGTTGCGCCCCGTCGCGTTCAATATCTCGGCGGAGGAGCTTGGTCCGCTTTTGGTCAGACCATAGCGAAGCGTGGAGAACATTTCGGCCGAATCATCGGCACGCTCGCAACATTCGAGCGTAGACAGAATCACGGGTTCAGAGAGGGTGGAAGTGAGAGCAAGCTGGTGTATGCTTCTGTTTTCGTTGGCGGGATGACTCTGGGCAGTCTCTAAAGTTTGGTACGAAAATCTTGGAGGCCGCATCTAGCCGCTGCAAGCCTTCCGATGCGCCACCTAGATGGCCGGCGGCTCCGCAATGGCTGCTCTATAGAACGGCCACGACTAAAATATGCCGCATCGTCACTCTCGGTCCACATCACAACATCCGCGACGCCACACAGCCTGCCGCCCGCGCCGCTTGCGATGCCTCAGCCCTACGGAAAGCCCTTCTAGAAGCCGCATCATTCCACTTTGAGGCAATTGCGCGACTCGGCGTCGCAGTCATCCCGCGCCAACAGACCAACCGCAACGCCCAGCGTTGCAGCTGACGCTTGCGAATATACGACCAATATGTCGTCTTCTAGTCATGCTCACAAGCCAGCTTCAGCAACGCATACTTTTCTTTCAGCCTTCACGGTCTCGAATCTCGCATTCGCTTGCTCCGTCCGCGAACAACTGCAGACCAATGCCTAGACCCGCCCAAGTTCCACGGCTCGCGTACGCTCTACACTCTGGCCCTTCACGCCATCCTTCGCCAGCGTTCCTCTCCTCCCAACTGCGTCCTACGGCCTGCCCTTAGCACATGCGATCCTCCCTCCATTTATTTTTGGGATCAGACCATCGTGTTCATATTACCGAGTTCTAGACATGTCCACGATTCAAGAGCCTGGAGTGTGGTGATATGCAGGGGTTGGAGTGTTGGAGTTGGAGGGCAGGAGACCTTCCCGGTAATGATAGTACGGCGCAGTTGGGGAGGGGCTTGCCTCCTACCTCTTCACTGTCGTTGAACAGGACCTGTAGCCCAGCATACTTGCTTGGTGTGTGTTTATACCCATCTTTTATTTCGTTCAATCTCACCATGATTTCTCCTTTTCGACTTCTTATGCCTAAAGTCGAAGTCTTGGTCCGAATGCACATGTCTATGGTTCATATTTCCTTAGAATTACTTGTGAGCGGCTGGTCCACATCTTGTCGGCCGTTCTTCTGATTTCTTTAGGGGCTTCCACACTAACCAAACACAAAAGCACGCGCAAGATCATCACCCGGCATTTCCATGGAGTATCTTGATGAGTCCTAACATACAGTCACTCATCTCCCACCGGTGCTAACTCCCACCAATGCTAATTATCCGGGGCTATGACAGATGGCGGGGCATTCTAAACCCATAGCGATGACGCGCAACTCCTTCTCCAAATGCGGGGAAGCTCGCTTGTTTCCTAATTTCCCAACTTCACCATTTCCTGTTCCTGACAAGTAATTGATTCGAAACAGCCGAAATGTACTACCTAGCACATCCGCCGCCGTCCGCCTGCCTACATCATCGCTTGCCAATTTAGCCTGATTGCGATTCGGACAACACCCGCTTGACCGCCGCATCATTACCCCAGTAAATATACCCCAGGAATACGGAACAAGAGATAGCTATATACTGTGGATCCCCGAGTGCCACTGCTTGAAGTGACATCGCAATCCTCGTGGCTCTGGTGCGTCCGATAAGTCGCACAAGATGTTACTCCCGGCCATCTCCCGCTTGCTATTGCTCTGCATCGCGATCCTCACGCAGCATGCCACCAGCACGCCCTCTCCTTACGAGCCCACTTTCCACGAGTCTGTCAACCGGCGGCAGGATGGCACCAACCAAACAGCAGGCCGCTGGCTCGCCGCCTGGACGTCGATGCCGCAGCTAACGGAGCCGGCGAACCTGCCACCCGCACCCTTCAACACCAGCAGCGGCCTCGTCTTCCAAAACACGACGATCCGCCAGACGATCCGGGTGACGGCCGTATCGACGCGCATCCGGCTGCGCCTGTCCAACGCCTTCGGCCTGACGCCGCTGCCCATCACGGCCGTCACCATCGGCAAGCCCGTCGCGCTGTCCACGCCCGCCTCGCCCAACAACACCGGCGCCGGCTCGCCGGCCGTCGACGTCGCGACGCTGCAGACGCTGACGTTCTCCGGTTCGCCCAACTTCACGGTGCCGAACGGGGCGCTGGTCGTGTCCGACGCCGTCGACGTGGACGTCGCGCCGGGCGACGACTTGAGCGTCAGCATCTATCTGGCCGAGGGCCAGACGGGCGGCGCCATCACCTCGCACCCAGGCTCGCGCACGACGTCGTGGCTGGCGTCCGGCGACCAGACCTCGTCCGACGACCTGAGCGCAGCCGCAGATGCCGCCAGCGTCGCGCACTGGTACTTCATCAGCACTCTGGACGCCTGGGTGGCGTCTCCCCCTTCCACCTCATCTCCCCCCGGCACCCTCGCCATCGTCGGCGACAGCATCACCGACGGCCGCGGCAGCACGACCGACGGCAACGACCGCTGGCCCGACGCGCTGCTCTCCCGCCTGCAACACTCAAACTCCTCCACCTCCACCTCCCCGCTCCTCTCCCGCATCGCCATCGCCAACCAAGCGGCCGGCGGCAACCGCGTGCTGGCCGACGGCCTGGGCCCGAACGCGCTGGGCCGCTTCGATCGCGACGTGCTGGCGCAGCCGGGCGTGCGGTACGCGGTGGTCTTCGAGGGCGTCAACGACATCGGCAGCGCGGCCGACGAGGCCGGCGCGCAGCGCGCCGTCGGCGACGCCCTGATCGCCGCGTACCGCCAGTTCGGCCTGCGCGCGCACGCCGCGGGGCTGCCGCTGTTCGGCGCCACCATCACGCCGTTCAGCGCGTTCAATTTCGACGCTTCGCTGCAGCCGTACTCGGGGCGGGAGAGGGAGACGACGAGACAGCGCGTCAATGCGTTTATTCGGGATAGTGGTGGCGTGTTCGATGCGGTTGTGGATTTCGATGCTGCGGTTAGGGATCCCGAGGATGAGACGAGGTTGAGGACTGAATACGATTCGGGGGATTATTTGCATCTGAATCCGGCTGGGTATCGCGCCATGGCTGAGGCATTTCCGGTGGAGGCTTTGGTGCAGTTTGCGGGAGGTGTGGATGGGTATGCGTGAGGGCTGGTGTTGAGGTTAGCAGGATTGTAGGAGTGGGGGTTATCGATGCCATAAAATTTTAGCTGGGCCGCGCTTGGTGACGACACATTCCATTGAGAGGAGCAAAAGGTTCAAGAATGGAAGTTGAGAGGGCGATTTGAATCTTGATACGCTAATCTGCTAGTTGTAGATTCACTGGATAGTTGGACGCGTGCCGTCGATTTGATTGAAATATTTGAATTCGTACGATGATCTACATGTTGACAGTCACAATTTTTGTTTTATCACGTCGCTTCTGTGATCGTGAGCTCCTATACTTCAGCCGACAAATGTAGTCTGGCAGACGTACTAGGCAAAAAGGTGCTTCGCGGCCCACTCCACGTGCTCGTCCGCGAAGGTGGCCATGAAGTAGTAGCTGTGGTCGTAGTCGGGCTGCATGCGCAAGTTGATGCCCTTGTCGTTGCCTGCCTCCTTGGCCGCGGCAATGAAGTTCTCCGGAAGCAGCTGCTTCTGCTTGTAGAAGTTGTCGCCAGTACCCTGAATAGGAGAGAAGGTGGTTAGATAAGATGTGCGGTAGAGTGGAACGAAGGGAGGGTGGCTAAACTCACCACGTCGATCAGCAGCTCCAGCGGGCCCTTCCATTGCTTCACCAACTCCGAGGCGTCGTGCTCCTTCCACTTGGCTTCGTTCTCGCCGAAGTAGCCCTTGAAGGCCTTCTGACCCCACGGGCAGTTGATGGGGTTGGAAATGGGCGCGAAGGCGGAGCAAGACTTGTACTTGCCCGGGTTCTTCAAGAACTGCAAGTGCAATTGTTAGTCAACTGACCGATAGACTCGCGACGGCTGTGGTCACGTTTCTTGTTGGGATTCACATACCAGCGTCAGAGCACCGTGACCGCCCATGCTGTGGCCGGTGATGCTGACTCGGCTGCTGTCCAAAACCTCGAAGTTCGCAAACAGCGTCTCGGGCAGCTCTTTCGTGATGTAGGTGTACATGTTGTAGCCCTTGTCATACGGCGCGTTGGTCGCGTCAACGTAGAAGCCGGCACCGCTGCCAAAATCGTAGGCATCGTCTTCGCCCTGAATGCCCAGGCCACCTATAGGGATTGCGGAAGCACCGGTCAGCCGTTGTTCTAGGTCAATTGGGGTTGCGAGATCACCCGATGGGCAATTGCCGAGAGCCAAATGCGGGGTTGTCCTTACGAGGGCTGGTGTCGGGGTAGACGACGGCGATGCCCTTCTCGCTGGCCTTGTGCTGGAAGAAGCCCTTCTCGGAGCAGTTGTCGCCGGTGCACGTCAGGCCGGAGAGGTAGAAGAGAACGGGGACCTTCTGCGTCATCTTCTGTGCAGAGAAAGCCTGCGGGGGCAGGTAGAGGTTCAGCGCCATCTTGCAGTTGGTCGCCTTCGCCTCGTGGGTGAGCTTCAGAAGCTTGCCGCCAAACGAGGCGATGGTCGCAGTCGTGGTGAAGGCCATTGTGTGGTGTGTTTCGAGCCCAATCAGGTCAGTCGCAATGGAAGAGGGTATCAATGAAGAGAATTGGCGAGGAATGAGCGCGGGCGTGGTGTTTTGAAGGCTGGCCCAGCGGAGCTCCGGTTAGTGGGGTCAACATTCAAGCTCGAAGGAGGGGTCGCGCCGCCGATTCGTGACGTCTGTTAGTGCCCAGCCCACTTCTCCGCATTGCCGCGAACAGCAACATATTCCGAGTCGTGGAGAAAAATGCCCTTTGCAGCCAACTCATGGAATTTTGTCTAGCTATTACTCAGCATCGACCCGCAATTGCTCGCGATGCGTTTTTCATCCTGTAAAACTCCCATCGCCATTCCAAGAAACCATTCAATGCCGCCCAGAAAACTCCGCGTCATATGCCCGTCCCAGTTGCTGTTGGCAACTATAGGAGCTCCTCGCACGTCCAATCCTCGTAGCTGCCATGAATCATTAGCCCTTGTCACTTGCCATCTCTGACGTGCCGGAAACTCACAATCCATCAGGGAGGTACCTCCGCACGACGAGAGGAATCTTCTTTTCCCGAAGTTCCTTGAGCGCGATCTGCAACGGGTCTGTCTCGCCCTCCAAGTCGACAAGGACAGGCGCGTTCATGCTGTAGCCTTGTCAGCCCACTCTTGTCCACCACGAATCCGCCATGTCCATCCTATGGCGTACCTGATCTGCAAAGCCCGTGTACCCAGCACTCTGGCCCTCTCGTACTTTGTCATATAGGGAGTCGTGGTGCGCTGGTCATCCGGGACCTTCTTCTTGCTTTGCTCTTGGACCGAGTTGATTTTTGCTGCCGCGGCGGCGCTAACATCCCCAGCAACAACAACGTTCTCCCCTTCGCGCCTGTGCTGATCCGGGTCCTCCTGGCCGCCAGCGACATCCTCTTCGTCATCGTAGTACGCGCCGGGCTCTTCGGGTTCGTCAAAGTCCTCGTAGACCTCGTCCTGGACGCTGTCGAAGGGGGCCACGTCAATAACAAAGTACTTGCTAATATAAATCATACTGCTTGAGGTAATAAAAAAGCCCAAGGAACAATGGGCGCGCAAAATGCGTACGTTTGCCGCCTGTATTCCACAGAGCGCGGCACATACGCAGCAGCGGGGAGTACGGCAAGAACATGTCAGGCACTTACTTGTCGAGTCCACCGTCGTCGTCGCCGCCGTAGTCAGACATCTTGCGGGGAAACCGGTAGAGGGGTGTTCGTGAAAGGCAGCGACAGAACGCGGAGGCGTTCGAGGTGGCAGGTGGAGCTTGGGAGATCGGGGCGCGCAGCCGTCGACAGGTGAAAGAGAAAGCGCGACTTGACGGGAGCCGCGTCAAGAATTCACTAGCGCGCCAAGATTTCGAATTTTGCCGCTCCACACCGCCCAATTTTTCTAGGCACAACGGGCGACGGCTCACCTCCGCGACACCTTTCTTCCCCTTCTCACTGCTAGAGGTGCTGGAATTGTCGTCGCGGTCGCCATGGCTGAGACTCTGACACTGCGCAAGAGGGCAGCTCCGCCTTCTGGCACCCCACTGCCTCAGTCTAAGAAGGCTCGTCAAGGTCAGCAATTTCGATGGTGCGCGTGTCGCCGAAGACGTCACTAACAGGCCCAGCAGATCCTACACCACAAGAGTCTGACGCAGCCTCGAGCTATTCGCAATCCGCCTCCGACAGGACTTCTACAGTAGACGATGATGCTGCGACCGCCGACACTCCGCCATCTCCGGCGCCGTCCCAGCCCAAGAAGAAGCCCTTCCGACCGAACAAATATCACTGCACTGTGGATGGCTGCGGAAGGTCTTTCAATCGCCCATGTCGCCTCGAGGAACACCTCCGATCGCATAACAACGAACGTCCCTTCTCCTGCACATACGATGGATGCGACAAGACCTTCATTCGCCAGACGCACCTGAATCGCCATGTCAGGGATGAGCACGAGAATGTTCGAGAGCATGTTTGCAATTGGCCGGGCTGTGACAAGACGTTTGCAAATGCAACCCGGTTGAAGAGACACACTGAAGCCCACGAAAGCAAATTCCACTGCACCGACTACCCTCCTTGCCGCGAGGTTTTCCGCAAACATTCTACTTTGCAGAAGCACATTCGTTCGGCCCACCTGGGCCAGAAGAAATACCAATGCCCGCACATTGATCCAGACACTGGCAAGCCCTGCGATCAGGCCTACGACTCTCCTTCAAGTCTGAAGGCTCACGAAGGACGTGTTCATGGGGGAATCAAGCACTACTGTACTCAATGTGCCACTGATCCTGACAACCCATTCGAGAGCTCACCCGGCTTTCCGACTTACACAGCCCTGCAGGTCCACGTCAAGGAAGCACATCCTCCCACGTGCGAACACTGTGACCTTGTTGTGTCCACCTGGAAGCAACTCGAGGCGCATATCGAACTCTTTCATAGCGGCCTCACCCTGGCGGACCGCAAGAAGAAGTTCCCTTGTCCTTATCCCGATTGTGAGTCCAGCTTTACGAGGCAAGGGAACCTTAATATGCACATCAGGCATGCTCACGAGGACGCCGACAAATGGATTTGCGGTGAGACGGACATGAGCAGCAGTAAGAAGGATCACATCAAGGAGTGGAATGGCGAAGGCTGCGGACGCGGTTTCTCTTCCAAAGGTAACCTGGAAGAGCACATTCAAACGCAACATCTCGGCATGAAGGCCACCCGAAAGAAGAAGAAGCCAGCAAAAGACCCCAACGCACCGAAGAAGTCCCGCTCCCGCGAAGCAAAGGTCCCGATGGCAACCCGTCTCACTGGTATCGACTACAACGACGCCACTGGTCGCAGAATTACTTGCTTGTTTGATGATTGCGAGAACCGCTTTTACCGCGACTACGATCTTCAGGTCCATTTGGAAGCGGTGCATGGCATGGATGGTACAGAGGCGGTGGAAGCTATCAAAGAACGCGCCGCCGACGAAGGCGGAAACTTCTGGATTGGCGGTCTGGATGAAGTTATGGGACAGCCAATGGGAGCACACTACGAGTGGGACGAAGAAGATATACAAGCACAGCAAGAGCTGGATCGCAGAGCTGGAATCTTCAATGCCGGACCACCGGTGAACGTTCACGCAGCTGGACTCAGTGATGAGCCACAGCACGGCGAAGTGTACAATGCTGTCTGGAACTACCTCCATGACCAGAGCCAGTAGATGGTGGACTCCGACCAGATTGCGGATGTTCCAGACAGACTGCAGCGACGTTATGAGACGTCATGAATGCAGGTTGCTGCGTATCGGACTTGAGAAAAACAAAAGAGGCTGGGCTGCAAGAGACGCATGAGACTAATGTTGAAAGAGGCAAAAAGTAAATGGTTTGGTTGTATCGATACCCTCCTCGGATCTTCCGAGGGCTTGCTGAAATCTTTAAGAGAATGGGAGGTAATTTTGCGGCTGGTGCACTATCGGGATGGGGCTCTTTCTGGTCTCTTATAGTTTTTTTTTATTGCTCATGTGTTCTGGCACACGATTTCACCGGGCTTCTCCTTGCTATACTGGCTGTAAAGGAATTTGTTAGCGTCGGCGTAGACACTACAAACAATCATATGTAAGGAACGCATCAAGCTACTTTTGCTTCAATTGTCTCTGCCACGCTGGTGCGAGAAGTATTGAACGGCCTCAAAACCTTTTACTTGGTCATATCGGGTTCAAGCATTTGAACAAGACCACTTAATGCAGTCATGAAAAGCAAAAGCAAAAAGTGAAGCATGTGGAGCATAGCAGGCGTTGCGCACAGACCACATTTGTGGCTGGAGCTTTGACGGCGGATCGTTTTGCCGCGCGCTGCGACTTTTGCCTGCTTGCGTGCCTGCCACTATCAGCTGCAGTCGCCATCTATCCGCCCTCCTTGAATCTTCCGACTCGCCCCTCAGCGGATTCGGTCGCCTCCCGCCGTGCGCCTGCCGTCATCCGCTCAGCTACACATTTGTGGCTGTGGCTCGACGTCAGTCTCCTCGCGAAGAGCCCGCTCAATTCTCCCCCGTCGCGACATCAACTCCAACAACCATGGAGATCGAATCCGCCGTCCGCATTCCGTCGCCCGAGCCCGAACGCCCGAGGAAGCGCTCGCCTCCGTCGCGCTCGCCATCCCCCAGGCGCTACCGCTCCCCTCCGCGGGGACGGTCGCGTACCATATCCCCCGATCGCCGCGATGACGACCGAACACGCGACCGCCAGCGCGACCTGGAATTCCGCGCCAGACAGCCGTCGCCGCCAAAGCCGGTGACTGAGGAGCAGAAGCAGGCCGCCGCCAAGGCTGAGTACGAAAAGCTGCTCAACATGCGTTCCGGAGGCACCTACATTCCGCCCGCCAGGCTGCGCGCGCTGCAGGCCCAGATCACGGATAAGACCAGCAAGGAGTACCAGCGTATGGCGTGGGAGGCCCTCAAGAAGTCGATCAACGGTTTGATCAACAAGGTCAACGTGTCCAACATCAAGTTCATCGTGCCGGAACTGTTCAACGAGAACCTGATCCGTGGACGTGGCCTGTTTTGCCGGAGTATCATGAAGGCCCAAGCTGCTTCTCTGCCATTCACGCCGATCTACGCTGCTATGGCAGCCATCGTCAACACGAAGCTTCCGCAGGTCGGCGAGCTGCTTGTCACCAGATTGGTCGTGCAGTTCAGGAAGGCTTTCAAGCGCAACGACAAGGCCGTCTGTCTGTCCTCAACAACTTTCCTCGCCCATCTTGTCAATCAGCAGGTTGTGCATGAGATGCTGGCTGCTCAGATTCTCCTCCTGCTGCTCCACAAGCCGACGGACGACAGTGTCGAGATTGCGGTGGGGTTGACGAGGGAGGTTGGCCAGCATCTGGAGGAAATGTCACAGCCTATTGCCCTGGCTGTCTTTGACCAGTTCCGGAACATTCTCCACGAGGCCGACATCGACAAGCGGACGCAGTACATGGTTGAGGTTCTGTTTCAGGTTAGGAAGGACAAGTACAAGGACAACCCCTCCGTTCGGGAGGAGCTGGATTTGGTTGAAGAGGAGGACCAGATTACGCACAAGATTGGCCTTGATGATGAGCTGGAAGTGCAGGATGGCCTCAACATCTTCAAGTTCGATTCGGAGTGGCAGGAGCACGAAGATGCCTACAAGCAACTGAAGGCTGAGATTTTGGGCGAGGCCGAGGGAAGCGATGATGACGATGAATATGAATCGGACGACAGTTCAGACGAGGAAGAGGAGAAGAAAGATCGCGAGCTCGAAATTAAGGACCAGACGAACACCGATCTCGTCAACCTTCGCAGGACCATCTACCTCACCATCAAGTCGAGTGGTGGATTCGAAGAGTGTTGTCACAAGTTGATGAAAATCAACCTACCAGCAGGCTACGAAAGCGAACTTCCGTCGATGATTGTGGAGTGCGCATCCCAAGAGCGCACGTACGACAAGTTCTATGGTCTCATCGGCGAGCGTTTCGCCAAGCTGAACAGGCTTTGGAGGGACCTGTTTGAAGAGTCTTTCATCAAGTACTACAACACGATCCATCGATACGAGACCAACCGTCTGCGTATTATCGCGCAGTTCTGCGGCCACCTTCTTGCCAGCGATGCCATTGGTTGGCACGTATTGTCAGCTATTCGCCTGAACGAGAACGATACTACTTCGTCGAGCCGTATCTTCATTAAGATCCTCTTTGAGGATTTGGCTCAGTCCATGGGCATGAAGAAGCTTGCCGAGCGTATGAAAGAGGACGTTCTGCAACCCTACTTCGACGGCATTTTCCCCAAGGACGAGAGCAGGAACACCAGATTTGCCATCAACTTCTTCACGGCCATCGGAATGGGTATGCTCACGGAAGACATGCGCGAGTATCTCAAGAACATGCCGAAGCCAGCCCCTCCTCCAGCTTTGCCGGAGCCGGAAAGCGACTCGGAAAGCGCTTCGTCATACTCAAGCTACTCGAGCTACAGCTCTCGGTCAAGGTCTTATTCAAGGTCGCGGTCGCCATCCAGGTCACGGAGACGCAGGGACAGCTACTCACAGTCTCGGTCGAGAAGCCCTCGTGGAAGGAGTCGGTCAAGGTCGGAGTCGTATACTCCCCCGCCTCGCCGTAGGCGCGACAGGAGCTATTCAGAGTCTGTCTCTCGCAGCCGGTCGCCCACTCCCGCTCGTCGCCGTACGGACCGCTCGTACAGTGGCTCGGTTTCACGATCCCCGCCGCCCCGACGCAGACGAGCCACGTCATCGATGTCTCGTTCTCCGTCGCCAAAGAGGAACGGGCGCACGAGGGACTCGCTGTCACGTTCGCCCACCCCTCCGCGCACAGCACGCAAGGGTCGCAGCCCCTCTGCGTCTCGTTCGCGCAGCCCGCCTCGCCGCAGGAACCGTAGTCCGAGCTACTCTTCGCGTTCGCGTAGCCCTGCGCCCAAGGGCAAGGGCCGTCGATACAGCACATCCCCTTCGCGGAGCCCGAGCCGGTCGCCGCCGCCGAGACGCAGGTCTCCAGTCAGCCGCGACGACAGGAGCTCCCGTGGCGGCGGCAAAGATGACCGATACTCACGCAGACGGAACACTAGCTCGGTGGAGGCTTCGCCACCACCTAGGGCGAAAGCTAGTAGTGGAAGGCGCAGGAGTCCGTCTGCCAGCGTGTCAAGGAGCAGAAGCAGAAGCCGGAGCGGAAGCCCGGCAAGGAGAGAAGACGCAGGCAAGAGCCGGGCGAGGGCTAGCGATTACTTGTAAATATATGGGATATGAGGAGTTTCGTGTAAAAAAGTACAGGGCTGAAGGAAGCAAATTGGTCGTTTAGCGATGAGTGGTGGAATTAGGGAAATTGCCGGGCGCTGATAGGGCGGTGGGGCGAGGGCGATGAAGAGCTGAGGCGGGTTTCAGGGTTCAGAGCTCCGTGGAAGCGAGCGCCGGCTTCTAGAAGCTAACGCTAGCGTGCAGAGCAGTAGAAATTAATTCAGAGATACCTTTGCTCGGACAACATTCTTTCCGCATTCCACGTGCATCATGAGTAATGGACCTCGGATGATGCAACTACTGATAAGAGAGCCTGGTATTAAGTTCATGGGTCCTTGGCTTTCCCCGCGTCAGTGACCTCTCTGAATCAGCCACCGGGAACAACGGAGGTTGCTACCATGTGCAGATCCCCACCGTCAGAGCTCCCTCTAACGTACTTAAACGCACTGATCGGCTGCCCCGCCATGTTTGTCCTCGTGTCCTCTATTCCCTTCTCCCTCCTTATACTGCTGGCTTTGCCCTAAGAAAGCTGCAGAAGCATCAGCAATGTTGGGCAAGATTCTTCCTGCAGTGGTAGGTTCCACGCGTCTTTCCACCCCGTCGGTGACCGAACTACAGCTCACACGGCGCCCCGTTCGTTGCGGTCATGCCACCGCGATTGCTCCTCGACGAATTGGGCCCCTTTGAGAAGAACAAGCGCTGACGTTGGACCGCACAACAGGCCCTCGGCGGCGGCGTCGCCCTCCTCTGGCCGGAGCTGTCGTGGCGCGTCGACACGCTCAAGCTCGTCACGGCGGACGTCGCGACCCTGCAGAGCGTCACGACCTTCAAGGAGCAGCAGATCAAGCACCAGGACATCCTCAAGAACTGCGAGGATGTCATCGTGCTCGAGGACCAGGGCGTTGCGATCCTGAGCTGCGACCCGCAGCGCGATGCGTGGAATACAGTCATGGTGAGATAACTCAACCCCCAATTGCCCTTCGGACGGAGAAGTCAGAATGAGAAAGAAAGGAGGCCAATGAATTTGCGAATTTTAAGCTTAATTGCAAGCAATTGGCTATGATATCGCACTGCCGAGGGGGACGAGACCGTATAAACGAGGAAATGAACCAAAAACGCTCACACACCAATCTCTCTCTCCACCAGGGCACCTTCATCGACCCCTCGCAACCGGGCGCCATCTTCCAATGGTTCTACAGCGACCCGACCGCCTTCCCGCAGCCGCTCGCGCTCGAAGGCTTCGGCGGGCGCGCGGGCGCCGACTTCCACCCGCTGGGCATCGAGTACCACTCGGACTCGTCCACCCTCTACATCGTCAATCACGCGTCCACCGGCCCGACGATCGAGGTCTTCGACTACGTCCCGTGGGGCGGATTCGGGCGGGCGTCGGCGCAGCACCGCGCGACCGTGGCGCACCCGTCGGCCGTGTGGACGCCGAACAGCATCCACGCCCTCAACGCGACCAGCTTCCTGCTGACCAACGACCACGGCTTCCGCGCGCGCGAGCGCTTCATCCTGAATAAGCTCGAGACGTACGCCGCGCTGCCGCTCGGCAACGTCGTGCAGATCACGCTCCCCACCGAGCTGCCCGCTGCTCAGGAAGACGAGGACGGCAACAGGATCCCCCTGGCCCTCGGCCCTGAAGACGTGAATGTCAAGACCGTCGCCAGCGGCATCCCCTTCGCCAACGGCGTCGCGCTGCTCAACAGCACGACCCTGGCCGTCGCCTCGACCAACGGCCACAGCCTGAAGCTCTTCGACCTCTCCACCAACGCCACCGAAGACGGCACCGTCTCCCTAACCCACAAAACCGACGTCCCCGCCCCGGCCCTCCTCGACAACCTCTCCGTCGACGCCCAGGGCCGCCTCCTCGCCGGCGGCCACCCCCGGCCCGGCGCGCTGACCGCCACCGTCGCCTTCCGCGCCTCGTGCCTGCAGCTGCGCGCCAAGGCGCAGGCCATCGCTCTGGCCGCCGAGCAGGCCGCCGAGCAAGAGGTTGAGAAGAAGCTCGGCGATGACGAGGAGCAAAAGCCGCTGATGGACGATATCGCGGACGCGACGGCCAAGAAGACGGTTGAGATCGTCATGGCCGAGGAAGAAAAGGCGCTGCTGGAGCGCTGCGCTGTCGACTACGACAAGACGCCGCCCAGCTGGGTCGGCGAGCTGGTCTTTGACGAGCAGACCGGCGTGCCTGGCTGGAAGGAGGTGTATGTCGGAACCGAGTTCGGCGCGAGCACCACCGCGGCGAGGGACACGAAGGAGGGCGTCGTGCTGGTTGTTGGATTGTACGAGAAGGGTGTGCTTGTTGGTAAGGAGTAGATAGAGGGAGGGGGAAATTCGTGATACCGTGATTTTCTATTAGATTGTATGATCGGGTCAGACGGCTTTGGACGGCGCTGTATCATGAACGGTCAGAGACAGAATCGAAGGTTTTGGAAACCGTGCAGCTGCTTGTAAATCAATGCGTGATGACCGCTGAACAGCACATTTCCCTGGACTAACCCAAGCTATCATAATACTATACTTCCAGCAACCCAGCATCGAGCCCAGCTTGAAAAAAAAAACAAAAATTTCATTGATCTGAATCATCATCGCTGTCCTCCGATCTGTATGTATCTAAGCCAACCGCCACCACCAGATGCTAGCCCTCGAAACTCCCCGGAAAGAGAGGGGAAGATGAAGAAGAAGCCGCCGCCATGAAAATCCCGGCCCTGTAAACACCCTTGAACCCGAATTCACGAGAGCAAGCAAATAAAGCCAAACCAATCAGTTAGCCAAGCCAAAAATGATCTCGTCCAGATCCCTAGTAGTGAACTGCACCCGCGGCCTGGCAGCGCCCAGCCTACGCCTGAGCCTCTCGCCGGAGTGCCAGTGCAGCACGCGCAGCAGTCTCCTGTCCGCCTGGCCGAGACGGAGACGACGCGTCCAGATTCCGTTGGTGGGTCCGCTCAATTCGAGCTTGAGCCCCGTGGGACCAGGCAGGAGGCGGTATCCGACGTTGCGTAGAGCGATCCTGAGGATCCTTTCAGAAGCGGTGCGACCCTGTGGGAAAGAAAGAACGACATCCAGATCAGTGTAGACGTCGTGAACCAAATAAACGGAAAGGAAAAACGGAAGTGCTTATGGATGCCAAAAAGAGGAAATGAAGGAGGGTATAGCATTTTTTGTCCGACTTTCGAGTTTATGTTCCTTTTCTCTGACTTCGCCCTGTGCAAGCTCGAGCCTCTCCTTCACATCACCGTGCAGTTTTCTTCACTGACAATTATCTGGTGCGGACCACCCTCGACATCATCGTCGTCGCCGTCCGGGTTCATGTAGAAGCGTTGGGCCAGCTCGGCCAGCATTCCGCGCTGTGGAGACGTAGATCAGTGTCTCTCCTTGTTGATGAAAGAAATGAGTTGACGAAAGACGGCTCTTAGGCGTGCCTCAAGCGCAGGCCGAGGGCGTCTGTGATACAGACAAAGAAAATGTAGGCGGTGTCTGGCAAACGACGGATACTCACGGTGATGTAGTTCTCTCGGCTTCCACCAGCGCGGTTGACATCATTCTCGGACGTGATGCGATATTCATCATGCATACGGCGGCGACTTGCGAGTCCGTTGCGTGTGGCGCGCTCATCTTCGTCTTCATCGCCTTCGGGGACGGTGGTGGTATCGACCTCATCGGCAGGTGGCTGGGAACGAGAAGGGCGAGCACGGCGTAGGCGACCGAAAGAGATGGACGAGAATTGCGAAGCGTCACCGGGGGTTACGCCAATGCCAAGGCGGGCGTTGCGGCGAGCGCGAGCGTCGGGACTGAAGATTTTGACGGTATGATCGATGCCAGATACAGCAATCATTGGCTCGTAGGGATGACCTAAACCAGTTAGAAGTATCAAAATAAAAGGGGAAAGAGGATTTGCATTACCTTGAACCACATTGACAACCTCTCCGTCGCCTTCGAGAATGTTGACGATCTGCATAGTCTTCTTGTCCCAGATGAAGAAGTGACCTGAGTCACTACCGCTGACGACGTACTCATCCTCCAAGCCAAAGAAGTTGACATCTTTGACGGTCTTCACATTACAGTGACCACGGTACTGGCGAGTGTGCGGTAAGCATGGCTTGTCGACCTCAACTTTCTCTTTCAACCTCGAACGCTCGAAAGCAGAACGGAAGAGAATGCTAGTAGGTTCGTCGTCGTCATCGTCATCATCTTCCTCGCTGTCATCTTCCGAGTCATCACCGTCATCGCCCGCATCATCATCGTCATCGTCCTCATCGTCATCGCGATGCTCAGTGATGATCTCGGTAAGCTCCTCCAGAGCCAACTGCTCACCGTCGCTCTCCATTGTCTCGCCACCATCCGCAGTTCCTTCGTTTCCAGAAGCTGAATCTCTGGTGCGGCGGACAAGACGCGCGCTTTCCACAACCCCCTCATCTTCATCAGGGTCGATCGTCTGCCAAGCCCTGCGAATTCTGGCTTCGTCTTGTCGGATGTTCATATCGCCCCTTCCCAGACCACCGAAAGCGCGGTCTACGAATGCAAAGTCGACATTCTGGCCGGCATTCATTAGAACACCCCTACCAACCTTGAATCCCCAGAACCTGAGAGCAGCCTTCCGGTCTTGCGCTCCGATAGCCTCAGGAGCAGAGCTACCGCCTTCAGCGCTTTGGGAAACTGGGACAACCGCGCTCGATAGATCTGCAAAGGGTATCTTGAGTGCCTGTGCGAACGCAATGACAGCTGCTTTCTCAGTGGGGAAGACGACACGGTTTTGGTCTGTCTCGAAAGGAGAGCTTTCAATGTTGAGGATTGGTGTTTCACTGGCCAGCTCCAGCAGATAAGGAATAAGAACCTCATCGATGGCATCGATGCCGGAGTCTCTAGGGACAGGGTAACGAGGGTGAGTGCGAGTCACATCCGAAGGCCTAGTGAACCCTTCTAGTACTGCTCCAACGCCACTATCCAACCAAAGTAGAATAGCCTTCAGGAAGTCGTATCCAAAGTGTTCGTGGCGGGGTATCTCATTGGCTTCACGAGGGGCCGGGACGATCTTCTCGAAGTTAGCCAGGGCGGTACTTGTGTTACCGCCAGCTGTGCGTAGCCTTCCACCAAGAACTCTGGACAACGTTCCTGCGGCCTGAACAAAGCGCCTGGCCGATCCGCGTCTCTCTCGCAGATTGTTCTGGAACCTCACGTCAACATCCAAAGGATTGACCGGATAGCGCCAGTCGCGAGAGATCTCGTCCATCTGCGGTAAGAAGGCAGCAGCATAGCCAAGGACTGTCGTCAAGGGAACGGCGTAGCCGGTAGGGTCGGAGTCTGAAGTAGAACCGCGATTTCCCAGCGTGAAGAGGTTCTTGCGCATGGCAACTACATTCTTGGCGATGCGGAAGCTTTGCTTCTGAGCCTCGGGAAGGACAGCCTCACGAGCTTCTGAGATGGGGCTGCGTGCATGAGGAGGATCGATGGGAATCTCTTCGCGCTGTCCGTTCTCATAGTGGACCATGAGCGACATTTCCTCGTCCTCTTCAGCCGAACCATCGCCAGTTCGCGGTCTCGATCCAGCTCGTTCTGTACTCTCCTGAGAAACGCCCGTCCTAGCCCTCTTCCTCTTGCGGTCCTTTGACTCCTTCGCCCTGCTGCTAGCCCTAGTAGACTTCGGCGTGGTCTCATCTTCTTGCTCAGCAACGTCGGGGCTGTGAATAAGATCAAAGCTGTAAATTAACTCTCCCGACCAACTCACGATCATTTCATTCGGATTATGGTCACTGATCTTGCAGGCCGTGATGTGGCCGCTGTCTGTACGCTTCATACGCTTCTGACCGTTCGGTGCAAACTTCCGAACGCATTGAGTAGCCTGCCTCATCATCTCATTGTCGTGCTCGGAGAGCTTTCCCGGAGAGAGAGGGGCGCCCCTCTCACGAAGCTTGTCACGGCCAGTCATACGCCGATCGTGCAAAAAGCAGTGTAGGTGAGCACCTCCTAGCGCAATGTAATGCGGCTGACTGGGCGAGCATGAGATCGTATTCAGATCGAGGTGGTAGCGCTTGTAGGAGATAAGAGGTGGTGGAACGTTATCGTCGTTGGAGGTGCGCCTGGCCAATGAGCTAGATCCCGGATAGTTGGACGCAGGTTGGCGGATATCCCACTGCCGCACTTCGCCATCTTCGGAGCATGTCAAGAAGAGCCAGGGCGAGGATTCAGTGACAATTCTCTTGACCCTATCGCTGTGCGAACGGAAGACCTTGCAATTCGCAGAGTTATCGCTGAGGTAGCGTACACCATCATATACCGTGTTCAATCCCCTAGCACGACCAGAAGTGTTCGACGGCGCAGAAGGAACGGTGGAGCTTCCAGCATATTCGATATCGAAGATGCGCACTTCGGCGTCTCCGGCAGCGGTCACGATTGTACGGTCATTGGTGAAGGGCATGAACTTGACGGAGAAAATGTTGGCGCGGTGTCCGGTGGATATGGTCGTGGTGAAGTCGAATTGCTTATCGGGAGACTGGGGCATGTAGGAATGGATGTTGACGTGCTGGTCATCCGAGCCCGAGGCCAGCAGCTGGCCGGATTTGGACCAACTATGAGGAATCAAACGTCAGCAAGGCGGGGTCGACTGGCTTGGGGGAGGTGTTCTCACCAAAGGGCGTTGACGCAGCCCGAATGGCCCGAGAGCTCGTTGACAATGTCTAGATCGCGGATCCATTGCTTGTCGCCGTAGATGTCGTGCACGCGTTCGTACTTGGTGTCGCGTAGACCCAGCTCGCGATTGAGCAGCTTGCTGTAGAGAGGGTACTTCATGCTGGAGCGGCGCACAGCGGCGCGGAATGCAAATCGAAGGCAAGAACAAGGGCGGCTTGGTGATCGGCGCGGAGTGACGAGCCAGTGGCGGAAGCGTCGCTCGGTCGAACGGTCTGGAGCTCGTTGGAGTGGCGCGGAAGCTCAATCCGGAAGGAAATTGGTGTCGCGGTGCTGGAGACGCATCGCTAGGCGCACCGGCGAGCTGGATCTTTTGCAGACGGCGGACGGTGGAGCTGACGGAGCGAGCAAGCACAAGAGGGTCGCAGGCGCAGGCGAGGAAGAGGGTGCGAGCAACTGACGCAACGCCTCCAGGCCGCCGATTCTTATCGATAAGAGCCATGCGGGCCCGCCCTTCGATTCTGCACCCGACGCACCCGACGAGCCCTCACTCCTGCACTCAAATCCGCCTCTCACCGCTGGTCTGCGCCAGGTGAGCATCTATCATCACTCAACTTGACACTCCGCAAATCATGACTCGGCATATTTTCTTCCGTCATTTTCATCATCCTTCCCGTCCATCCGTCCGTCCCATGCGCGTCAACACGTGAAAATAAAGCTAGCAGGCACTGCCCTGATAGGTATCAGTCAATGCGAGTCATGGTGCGTTCCCTCCGCTGCGCTCCGCCGCTACGGGAGTGCACCTCCAGCTAAGACATGGTAGTAACGCTCGTCAACCGCCCTGTCGCACAAAGAAAAACTACATCGTGTGTCGAAAGAACCTTTCATATCTGCATTCCAGAGATTGCACCCTTTCTGCAATATCACTACCCAGCCAGTGTCATCTGATCGCACTCTAATGAAATCTCTTTGACGCAGACTCAATAGCCATGAACCTTCAACCATTGCCGACTCCTTGTTATCATTGCACGCACAGTAACTTTCTTCTTTTTTGCCTCTACCGTTTTCATTTTGAAGCAGCGAAGCCTTGTTCTTCTTCAAGATTGGTTATGCTGAACTCTGGATACCTTTCCGAGACAAAGGCAACGTAACTTTAGCCATAGAAGCTGGTAGCAGCGAAGTCGGGAGCAGCGAAGTCGGGAGCAGAGAAGCCGGTGGCAGAGAAGTCGTCATCAAAGATGTCGGTACCAAAGACGTTGGGCTCGTGGTCAAAGCGACGTAGTTTGTACCAGTTCTCGCGCGCGTCTTTGTGGTAGGTTGCGCTCATATACGAGTAGAACCAGGTAGGTTGGCCATGCTTAACTCCACGGCCGCGGCAGCCCCTGTCCCAATCCTTGATTTTATCATGGTTCCAGTAGTACCAATCTGCATCGTGAGGTGCACCGGGTTCAGTCAAGGCCATGCAGACGAGACAAAGACCATCGAAGTATCCCGACACCTCGCGTATGGTATTCTTGACTACTTCTTCGCAGCGGATCTCGCAGCTGGAGCAAGGCTTGTGTTCGGACTTGTATTTGAAAGCCTCCAGCCGGCCAAGAAGACCTGTAATACTCGTGTGTGAGAAGGTGCGCTCGAGCGGCCACACGCTGACGTCAAGTAAAGCTTTCTGGTACAGAAAAAGCGTAATCTCCTTGCAGTCACAAGTGGCGTACTTGAGCGGGCGCTCGATTGGAGTCCACAGTATGTCGTGCATCACGGCCTTAAGACGGCCTCTCGCGGCGTTGAGCTGTTCTGTACTATTATTAGAACAGGTCGAATTTTAATACCAAAAACAAATTAACTTACGGATGATACGCTTGGGAAGGTGCAGGTCCCGGTGCTTGGTTGGATTGAATTCGGTAATGTGCGATGCAGAGTTGTAGACAAGCCATTTCGTCGCTGCCGCAAATCCCGGCGCATGGTCGAAAGCCCAGCACGGATACAGAATGACCTGCGCCAGCTTGGCGCCCCGGCCGCCCATGCCGCCCATGCCGCCCATTGATTTGCCCAAGTCCTTTCCCTTATTCCTCTCCCAGCATTCTTTGAACCAATCACTGAACCATTTGATCAGGCCCTCCCTCTTCAGCTTCCACATGTTTCCAGCTCGGACAAGACTCCAAACCACCGCAACATCCGCTTTGTAGCACTCCTCCGTCATGGGCACACCATGAAAAGCGCGAAACCAGATCTCCATGGCTAAGCTCATGATCCAGTCATTCTCCTTCAGCTCCACGATGGTAGTCCTTGATTCCATCCAGCCGCCTTGGAGCATCGCGTCGAAAGGTTCAGAGCTGGCACGCATGATTGTCCTTGAAACAGCGTAGTCGGTAACGCTCTTGATAGGAGGAAGCCGTCCTGGCGGTGCGTAAACATCCTGGTACTCGTAAATGCGGACGGTGAGGTCGGGTTCAGCGGCAATCTTGACTGAATAGTGAGGGTAGTTGGCGACCGAGACGGTGAGCTGCGTCTCGGAGGGTGAGTATGATGCAGTGCCAGGCATGCTGCACGTATTACACCGACAGAGTTTGGGCGAGGCAAGCACAAAGCGATGCGTTCGTGAGGTGGTGTTGCGGCTGTCGTTGGAGAAAGAAGAAGAAGAAGAGGAATGGCCGATCGGGAGTTAGAAGGCAGCAAGGTAGCTCGCAACCCGATTTAGGAAGGCAGCTGCCGGGTTCCCAGCGGCCACAAATTTTAATTGGAAACTGCGGAAAGACCAGCGAAGTGAGGTCGTGAGCAAGAGGGAAGCCCGCCATACGATGCATCCTCGCGACAGGCCCTGTTGACATGTGAACGCGACGTGCTTCTTCACTTTCATGGCCTCTGTGAGCTACTAGGATCGAGGTCTCTCTGATCACGGAGTCATGTCACTTGCGTCTCAACACAGATGGAGAATGCCTTGTTCCCAGCCCATGGTCGAGTTCCACCAGCGAGGTGAGGTTGCCAAAACTTCAGACCGACTGACTAAAAAGGATATCTGTTGCAGAAATGCCTTTCAGATATTGCGCCCGTAATCATCATATTGCTGTACACGTCCAGATTTTAGCATGAAATATCGATAGCAGGTAGTGAGTAGTTACCAATTCATGTGGCACGCCATTCACGATGTCACCCTGCCCCGACCTCACCACACATCCTCTCCAGGAAGATATCACCTCACCCGCTATCGCGATGCGCGAACAGCAACCGCACAGTAATAATATTGTCGGAAGCTAGAAAGATAAGGAGTGCCGCGATGGGATCCAAGCAGCGTTAGTAGCGCCGGTCTCGCGGTAGTGGTGCGCATTGGGGAGAAGTTGATATCCCAAAGAAGCAACAGGGAAAAAAAATGGCCATTGGGTGCGCACCTTGAATCGAACCAAGGACCAATGGACTTGAATGTAGGAGCTAACCACTCGCACCCGGATATAGCCCTGTTACGTGACCTCCACAAGGGTTACCACTCGGTTCCAGCTCCTACAGCGCCTTTCGGTTGGCGACATGGTGACCTATCACTAGACCACGATGCCGTGCTACATCAAAGGCGGCTCACGGCAAACCGGCCTGTTCCCCGGCGTTACAAGGAATGGTGGCCTTTTCCTTTTATACACCCCAGAAAAATGCTCTTGCCCCAACGGGCGACCGTGCGACTCAGTGCCGGGTTTGACGCGCCCGCACCTGCCTACACGCACTGCCCCCCACAAAGCTGATGTCTCTTCATCGGACATATCGCCACGTAGCTCACTCACCGTTCTTCTGCCCAGTGTCGTGCAAAAAGTGCCAATGCTAAAGCCATGAAAGGAACAGAATAAGAGCCTTCACACGTAAAGAATGCTTACCAGACGCTTCTGGGGAATAAAATAGGCCGCTGATAGCTGCGAAGTCATCGCTACATACCCCAAAACTTGACTCACCGTAATGGGTGAAGAGAATCTAATGTAAGTTTCGTCAGAAGTCACTCACAAGTACTCGGGCAAGCTTCTCGAGCTGTATGCTGAATATATTCCTTGTGTTCAAGGCTTTTTTACACCGGATGTGCGGTGGGGAGTTGAGTGGCGTGGAAAGAATTATGAAATAAACAGGACTTTTCTCACATGGAGGAATCCCAACGAAGAAAGTAGAAATTGCAAGTGTAGCGACAGGGACTTTTAATTGACTGTGAAGCCCTAGCTTTTAACAAACCGCTCGGATATGCGGACGGAGATACCCATGCATTCCGCTGAGCTGCGATAGATCCAGGAGTGATGGTGTGTAAGCCCCCTGGACTGCAGTGGATCAGTAAAGATTGCAACAGAGTGAGATGGAGAAGATCAGTATGCCCTTTGTCGTCCCGTGTAAATACTGAACTTTCCCTACATAGGTAGCTGAATCAGACACGCAGAAATAAGTCTAAATGTTAGGACTTCCTAAAAGCATCCCCATGGATTTTCGAAGTAGGGCGTAGAATGCTGGCTGGGTTCAACTGGGGAACTAGAAAATTCTTCTGCAGCCGATTGTGGTACCAGAAGCTCACTGTAGTACAAACAGGCTGCGGTACGGAAAGTCGAGCGTAGTACAAAGCTATTCCTCAATGGAATTGTTAAATACATAATAAGGGTGGAAAACAGGCGACATGTCCGTGCCACTCGTGGTCCGGAACTCAATTGAAAGTAAACATGCCGACAAAGTAGAAGCCAATGGGTTGGTAAGAATGCCCGCGATGAGCGAAGGGATGGACGGCAAAGAGGCAAGTGGGCCGACTCGAACCAGAAAGGGAAGAAGGTGCGGGAGCACCCGCCCGCACAACTGCCCGGGAATCTCTGCCAAGCTCGCTAAGACACGTGGGGCTGCTTTTCCTTGCACACGACGACAACGCTGCCCGCTGCCTCTCCACTCTGCATCCAACCCATCCGTCCGTGTCTCGCCACTTCCCACGGCATCTTAACCGACGAGGGAACGCTGCCCATTGATTCTCCAATGAACGACGTGCGTAGTGGACAATGATTGTACATCATTTCTCCATCGCCTTCTTGCCTTTTTGCCTGCATTCCGCATCGTGGGAAATCCATCCCAAAATGACTATGGCTCGTCCCAAACCGCCGTGAAGGAGCCTGACCCCCCGACATCGCCTTCTCGTTTGTAAACACAGCTCATCTGGCCATGCCATGCCAATGTACACTGCATTGTTTTGAAGATCGCATTTCTCGCTAACCGTGAAGTCACAAAGCCGTTGTGTTAAGATGTAAAATCCTGCCAATTCCCCTGGACGACGAGCCTTGTCCGGCTCCACTCGTACCGGAACTCTTGGGTTGCTCCTCCAGCGCACACCCGTCCTTTCGTTTTTGTCAATCCTTCGGCTTTCCGCTTTCGTTGGAATATCCTGTCGTTTCTGATCCAACATCTGTAGGTAACTTTTGATTGGACTGGTGCTAATAGCAGGTGGCGATGATCTTACGGGGCCTCGCTGGAGGCTTGTTGGTGCCACTCGTGGCCGCCGCCGCCCTCCGGCCCCGCCAAGATGAAGACATTCGCCCTTACCGAATTCTTCAGATCGACGTTCAAGCCAGAGTATTGCTGCAACCCATCGTTGTCGACACGTTCGTGCGGCGAGCAACCGAACTAGCTGTCTTTCCCGGTCTTACCATCCCTATCACTAACGCCCCAACGCTTGTCGATACCACCGTTACCGGTACTACCATAACCCACGTCACATCGTATCGGACAATAGTTACGAAAAGACCGGAGGGTACGCAGTCTCCGCCCCCTACCGGTTCTTCGACGCTTCCAAACGCGACCTTCATTCTCCCAAGCGCAACTTTTCCGCCTTCTATTTCGATTCTACCCACACGTCTCCCATTTCCTAGCTCCTCAATCTTTTCCGCGAGCGACGACTCATCCGATTTTACGTTCAGCTTCTCTGAGGATGAACTCACCGTATCTCAACTGCCTTGGTCCGTACCGTCATCTTCTACGTCGTCATCTACGACTGTTTCTGAGGTTTCATCTAGCGGCGTGAAACCATCTGAAATTTTAACTACCGTGGAGCGGTCTTCAACTTCTAGCGTGAGACCACCCCCGACCTCGACGTCTTCATCAACAAGATCTTCTACGACTTCGACGTCGTCATCCTCAAGTTCTAGATCATCTTCTTCAACGTCGTCCTCTACAACTTCGAGGTCGTCATCTACGACATCCTCCAAGGTTTCGTCCAGCGTGCGATCATCCTCAAGTTCTACGTCATCATCAACCTCGACTTCCACGACATCGTCTACAAGGTCTTCAACCTCCTCGACTGCTACGTCATCGTCGACTGTTGCCCAGATTCCACCTGTGGAGAGTCATTTGGCTCCGCCGAATGAGAGCACGCGTTCATCGACCAGTACTCGTGTGTCAACATCGACCTCCAGACAGCTTCCACCGGCAGTCACTGCCCTATTCCCGTCACGTAGTAGTGAGACTTCATCCACGAGGACTGATGTTTCAACTTCATCGTCCAGCGAGCTCTCCTCGGCGGAGACGAACGTCTTCCCGTCGGGTATGACTGAGCTCCCACCGGCTATATCTGCTTTATTTCCGTCGCAAACCACTTCAAACAACGAGCTTCCACCGGCAGTGACGAATTTATTCCCGTCGACCAACGAAGAACTGCCGACCTCTAATGAATCTGCAACGGACAGCATCAGTGAAACCTCGCTGGAAGGTGTACCGACAGAATCGTCAAGCGATTTGTCGTTGCAAGAAAGCGTATCGACTGCATCCAGCAATTCGCTCGAAAATTTCAGCATCATTATTGGCGAAACGAGTGCTTCAATCTCAACCGAAATTTCACTCCCTACGATCAGTACCGAGGGGTTTGAGATAACTATTCTCCCGCCAACCAGTACCGAGGGATTTGAGATAACCATTGAACCGTCGACCAGTACTGAGGGGTTTGAGATAACCATTGACCCATCGCTTAGTACCGAGGGTTTCGAGATTACCATTGACCCATCAGCCAGCACCGAAGGATTCGAGATAACCATTGACCAGTCAGCCAGTACCGAAGGATTTGAGTTAACCATCAACCCGTCGGCGAGTACCGAGGGATTTGAGTTAACCATTAACCCGACGGCTAGTACCGAGGGATTTGAGTTAACAATTAATCCGTCGGATCTCTCTAGTGCCCTGTCCTTGCCAACGACACTCCCATCCAACATTGGACCCAGCACGGCCAGCTTGACCAGTTCCCAAGACCTGTTTTCAGTCATTATTTCGAGCCTAAGCGAATTGGTCAACAGCTTGCCAATCCCTACAGCTCTTGTTTCCAGTGTCGGGAGCTCAATCGGCAGTTCTTTGATCGACACAACCAGTCTCAGTAGACTGTTGAGCTCCGTTGGCTCCTTACCGACTTTAGAGCCGAGTGCTACCCTCTCTGTGAGCCCGAGTGGTCTTCTCCCGACGACAAGCAGGATTTCAGTCCAGCAGCCAACGCTCAGCTCGAATGTGTTATCCAGTCTTTCGAGCGTGCTTTCGAGCCCTGGAATATCCGTTTCTCCAAGCAGCTATACATCTATCATAGCTCGTCCAAGCAGCTCCACGAGCCCCTCCCTGGCCGTTGGAGTTTCTGCTTCTTTGGGCGTGTCCGCTTCCTTGGGAATCGGACTCAGCACCCTCAGCTCTTCAAGCCTCCCTGTTGTCAGCCTTTCCAGCACTTCGCGGGTTTCCCTCGGTTCCAGCAGCCTCCTCGGATCAACACTATCTCCTGTGTCCTCATCCTCTACCCTCGTAATTCTTGGGTCCAGCTTACTGAATTTGCCAACCAATCTTGCCCCTGGAGTTTCTTCCTTGAGTTCACAGGGATCCTCCGTAGGACTGCCATCCGCTAGCTCTGGGTTACCATCTGTTGGCTCTTCAGGGTTGCCGGCTGTCAGCTCGCAAGCCAGTATTAACTCCATCTTGAGTAGCCTTTCAAGAGCTCTCTCGTTGAGCAGCTCTGGACCCGTGCTTTCTGGGCCGTCAAGCATTATCTCTGGATCGGTTACGCTTAGCAGAAGTTCTCTCAGTAGCGCCCTACCCAGTGCTGTGCAGTCCTCGATCAGCAGCTATATTTCAAGTATCAGCGCCGTATCGAACAGTCTCACTATCAGCAGTGTGCCGCTCGGTTCTTCAGGGCCTTCTCTCAGCAGTCCTGGGATCTTTAGCACCGCCAGTGGTGCGTCATTCAGCCTCCCAATGGTTACACAGCTCAATCCTGGTTTGAGCAGCACTCCATCGAGCATCGCTTCTGCGTTCTCCTCGCCGAGTAGCAACACTCCTGGTAGCAGTGTCTCGTCGAACGTTGTATCGAGGTCATTACTGTCGAACAGCCTTTCTGTCAGCGGCCTGCCGGTTAGTTCGCCCACTCTTTCGGCAAGCAGCTTCGTTTCAATCAGCAGCGGCTTCTCAAGCGTACTTTCCGGACCATCTTCGCTGCCCAGCTTCTCTCAGAGTGGCGCGCAATCCATCCCATCAGGCTTCTCAACCATTATCTCCGGATCGAGTGCTAGTCCCCTGTCGTCCGTCATTAGCAGCGTAATTTCGGGCGGTACCGCGCTTCTAAGCAGTGTCCAGCAATCATTATCGCCGAGCGGGTTCAGCTCGATAAGCATTAGTGCTGGATCTGTCGGATCTGGTTCTGGAATTCCTTCAAGTATCCTGTCTTCCGCGGCACCAAGTGTTGCATCTCTCAGCTCTCTGCCAGGGCTTTCATCACAAGGAATCATATCCAGCCTCTCTTCCGTATTATTCGGCACAAGCCCAAGTTCGATTCAGTCACTCGCATCTCCAAGCATCGGTACTGTCTCGGCAGGCTCTACGCTCTTGCTGTCATCCGCCTCGACTTCACCAGGCTTCTCGCAGCCAGTCACGACACTCAGTCCCTCAGGACCCAATGCCCCCAGCTCCAACCCACAGTTGGGTGCGTCTGTGTCTCTGTCCGCCGGTATATCCATTGGAATTTCCATTCCTGGGTTGAGTTCGCCGAACCCTTCAAGTCTGTTGCCAGGGTCTAGTTCTCAGGTGGTGATTATTCCAAGCATGATTCCGAGCGCCTTGGTGCCTGAACAATCCTCGAGCAGCGGATCGCCATCATCAGGGAGCCTGACTCTGCCATCGCTCTCGGCACCGTCGCTTTCGGTGCCTTCACTTTCTTTGCCGTCACTTTCAGTGCCTTCGTTGTCGGCACCATCGCTTTCTGTGCCATCGCCTTCTTTGCCGTCACTTTCCTTGCCTTCGGTCTCGCTGTCAGTTACGGTGCCGTCAATCTCCGCACCTACCGTTTCGTTACCGCCTATTTCTTTGTCCCAGTCTGCTTCCTTCGGCACACTCCTGTCGCTGTCGCAGCTATCGGTCTCGGTGCCGTCAATACCGCTTCCATCCGTTTCACAGCCATCTGTATCGTTGCCGTCTGTTTCGGGACCATCTTTGCTGCCGTCGGGCTCACTTCTATCTATTTCTTTGTCGTCGATCCCACTGCCATCCGTCTCGCTGCCAACAATTTCAGGAATATCACTTCCGCAGCCGTCGCTCTCATTGGCAGTTTCTCTTTCGCTTCCCTCAGCTTCGCTTTCCTTAGCTTCGCTTTCGGCTTCGCTGCCACCACTTTCACTGCCATCGGCTTCACTACCATCACTCTCACTGCCATCGCCTTCGCTACCATCGGCTTCACTTCCCTTGGCTTCACTTTCGATTTCACTTTCATCACTATTATCAAGTTTGCTACCCTCAGTTTCCCTGCCATCTGGGCCTCTGCTATCTAGTCCGTCAATCTCCTTGCCATCGATTCCCGGATCACTTTCCCTTTCGATCAACATACCGTCACTCACACTTCCGACGCCTACCCTGCCTGGGGTTACTGGACCCTCGCTCAGCGTGCCATCTCTTACTCTACCAACTATCACCCAGCCTCCGATTTCTATCCCGCTCGAATCGCTGGGCCCGCAGCTATCTTCAGCACTTTCGCAGATTGGAGGTCTGACGAGTATCCTGCCGCCGCCGTTAATTTCCACACTCGTTTCGAACATAATTGCACTTCCTTCGGTATCGCTTTCGCTTCCACTGGACACCCTCATATCGCAGGTTCTCGGAGTAACGTCAGCATTGCCAACTAATATCCCAGTGGATAGCCTTCTATCACAAGTTTTGGGAATAACCTCAGCGTTGCCAACCAATCTTCCAATTGAAAGCCTTTTATCGCAGGTCTTGGGGATAACTTCAGCGTTACCGACCAGTATTCCAGTGGATAGCCTCCTATCCCAAGTTCTAGGAATAACTTCAGCTTTGCCAACTAGCCTTCCAGTGGATAGTCTCCTGTCCCAGATTTTAGGTATAACCTCAGCGTTGCCGACTAATCTTCCAGTGGACAGCCTCTTGTCTCAAGTCTTGGGTATTACTACGGCGTTGCCGACCAGTCTTCCTGTGGAAAGCCTGTTGTCTCAGATTTTGGGGATAACCTCAGCGTTGCCAACAAACCTTCCAGTAAATAGTCTCTTGTCTCAGGTACTGGGTATAACTACGGCATTGCCGACCAACGTTCCAGTTGACTCTCTGGTCTCTCAACTTCTTGGTATCACCAGCGCATTGCCAGGTCTTCCAACGGATGTCCCGATCCAGTCTTTGGTTTCCCAGATTCTTGGGATTACGACTGCTTTACCTTCCGTCCCAGTCGAGTCTTTGGTATCTCAACTTCTGGGGGTTACTTCGGCATTGCCAACGAACGTCCCAGTGGATAGCCTGTTGTCTCAGGTCTTGGGGATTACCTCGGCGTTGCCTACGAATCTCCCGGTTCAGTCGCTCGTCTCACAGATCCTAGGGATTACCACAGCATTACCTACGAATGTTCCCGTCGATTCTCTAGTATCTCAGCTGTTGGGAATTACAAGCGCATTGCCCACCAATCTCCCAGTCGACACCCTACTATCTCAAATTCTTGGGGTTACAAGTGCTTTGCAGTCTTTGCCCACAAATCTCCCAGTCAACTCTCTGGTATCTCAACTTCTGGGAATTACGACGGCATTGCCCACAAACGTCCCGGTTGACTCGGTTATCTCGCAACTGCTTGGAATCACTTCGGCGCTGCCTACGAACGTCCCGGTCGACTCTCTCGTATCGCAAATTCTTGGAATCACTACCGCATTGCCCACGAATCTTCCAATTAACTCCCTCGTCTCACAGCTTCTGGGAGTCACTTCGGCGTTGCCTACCAATCTTCCGGTCGATTCGCTTGTCTCGCAGCTTTTGGGAATCACTAGCGCGTTGCCGCCTTTGCCCACCGATCTCCCCGTCAATTCGCTCGTCTCACAGCTTTTGGGAATTACTAGCGCGTTGCAATCTTTGCCCACAAATCTTCCCGTCAATTCGCTTGTTTCGGAAATTCTTGGGATTACTTCCGCGTTACCCACGAATATCCCTGTTGAATCTCTGGTATCCCAACTTCTGGGAATTACCTCGGCGCTGCAATCTCTGCCTACGAACCTCCCTGTCGACTCACTCGTGTCCCAACTGCTAACGGGGTTGCCGTCTTTGCCAACCAATCTCCCGGTTGATACTCTCCTTTCGCAGATCCTGGGTATTACCACGGCATTGCCACCGCTCGCAACCAGCATTCCCGTAGAATCTCTGGTCTCTCAGATTCTTGGAATTACTTCAGTATTGCCACTTCCGACGAATATTCCAGTAGATTCGTTAATTTCCCAGGTGCTTGGAATTACTACAGCATTGCCACCACTCGCAACGAGTATTCCAGTAGAATCTCTGGTCTCTCAGATCCTTGGAATCACATCAGTGTTGCCTGGCCTTTCTCTGTCACTGCCGCTTCCAACCAATGTTCCCCTGGATTCACTCCTATCTGGTGTCTTGCCGAGCCTCAGCCTTCCGATTACTCTTCCCAATGGCCTACCGACAAATCTACCAGTAGACTCGTTGGTTTCCCAACTCCTCGGAATCACCTCCGCCTTGCCGTCGCTGTCTCTACCGTTGCCAACCCCTTCCATCTCTTTGGCGCTGCCAAGTCTCACTCTCCCTCTGACACTGCCGAGCGGTCTGCCAACGAACATTCCTTTGGACTCGGTAATCTCAGACTTGCTCGGCGTTCAGACTCTACTGCCAAGTCTTACAATCCCCCTCTCTCTTCCGAATGGGTTGCCTACAGGTATTCCGCTCAGCGAGATAATCTCGGATGTTCTGGGGCTTACCACGGTTTTGCCTGGTCTATCCCTTCCCTTACCAAGCATTTCAATTCCACTCACCCTACCGAATGGCTTACCGACAAACGTCCCTCTGAACTCTCTCGTGTCGGACATATTGGGAATCACGAGTTTGTTACCACCTCTCTCTCTTCCAACTGGCTTACCAACCGGTGTACCTGTTGACTCTTTGGTGTCAAACTTGCTCGGAATCACATCGCTTTTGCCTGGTCTCTCGCTGTCGCTTCCTCTATCGCTATCACTTCCTCTCACGCTACCAACCCAGCTGCCTTTGCCGAGCAATATCGTCCCGGTTGATTCTGTGGTTTCACAGCTTCTTGGAATCACCACTGCTCTTCCAAGCCTGCCACTGCCAACCAATCTCCTCGCCGAATCGCTCGTTTCGGAGCTTCTGGGAATTGCCACTGCTCTTCCAAGTCTCCCGTTGTCATTGCCGACAAATGTTCCACTTGACACGCTCATCTCAGAAATCTTGGGAATCACGACTGCTCTCCCGAGTCTGCCTTTGACGCTGCCAACAAATCTACCGGTTCAGTCACTCGTATCTGAACTTCTGGGGATCACGAGTGCTTTACAAAGTCTGCCACTGACGTTGCCGACAAATATCCCTGCCGACACACTAGTATCTGAGATATTAGGGATCCTGACTGGTCTTCCAAGTCTGTCGCTGGCATTACCGACGAATCTGCCCCTCAACTCGTTGATCTCGGAAATTTTAGACATCAGAACTGCTCTCCCGACGAATCTTCCTCTTAACACGATTCTCTCGGAGATTTTGGGGATCACGTCAGCTCTACCCAGCCTGCCCCTTCCCACGAATCTGCCACTGAACCCACTTATCTCGGAACTTCTTGGACTCACTACCGCACTTCCGGGTCTCTCGTTGCCGCTTCCATTGCCTACAGACCCTGGCCAGCTGGTGTCCGAGCTATTGAACCTTGAAAGCGCTCTTCCTACGAATCTGCCACTCAACTCACTTGTTTCGGAGATTCTTGGAATCACCAGTGTGCTTCCCGGTCTCTCGTTGTCACTCTCATTGCCAAGTTTGGCTCTACCTAGTATCTCTCTTCCTCTCCCCAGTGTTTCTCTTCCTCTCCCCAGTGTTTCTCTTCCTCTACCCAGCGTCTCCCTTCCTCTACCCAGCGTCTCTCTTCCCATCTCACTCCCGACTAACTTGCCCTTGGATTCGGCCTTGTCCGAGCTTTTGGGTATTACGAGTGCTCTTCCCGGACTTTCCCTTCCGTTGCCCCTGCCTACGAATTTGTCGCCTAATGAGCTCGTGTCGGAGCTTCTGGGACTTACGTCTGCACTCCCTAGTGGATTACCGGTCCAATCGCTTGTTTCGGAGATTTTGGGCATCGTCACGAATGTTCCTAGCCTCCTACCAACCAACGTTCCGGTAGACTCGCTTGTGTCGCAATTGTTGGGACTTCCAACTGCGCTTCCAAGCCTTTCTCTCCCGACCAACGTTGCAGTGGACTCGCTCGTATCACAGCTTCTAAGCCTTCCAACGGCGCTTCCAAGTCTTTCTCTCCCGGTCAGCCTCCCTACGGACTTGCCAATTAATTCGATCGTCTCAGACCTTCTGGGGATCACTTCGGTTTTGCCGGGACTTTCTCTGCCCTTCCCGCTGCCCACTAATGCCCCGCTTGAGACGCTTGTGTCGGAGTTGCTGGGCGTCGTCACCGCTCTTCCGAGTCTACCGTCGAACCTGGCCGCCGAGTCGCTTGTGTCAGAGCTGCTTGGAATTGCCACTGCTCTTCCTGGCATCTCTCTTCCGCTGCCAAGCGTATCTTTGGGTCTTCCTCTCAGCCTTTCATTACCGCTGCCAAGTAACCTTCCGCTAGAATCAGTGGTGTCGAACTTGCTGGGAGGCTTGCCGACCAATGTACCCCTTCAGTCGGCCTTGTCAGACCTGCTTGGACCGCTTCCGACGAATGTACCTCTGGAGTCAGCCGTATCTGAGTTGCTGAGGTCCCTGCCGGTATCCGAGTTGCTCGGAGGAGCTACAAGTCTCTTGGGTAACTTGCCCACCAACGTTCCGCTCGAGTCCGCTCTTTCGAACCTGCTTGGAGGCACAAGCGGCTTAGGGGGTCTTCCGACAGCTCTCTCGCTGCCTACGGACCTTCTTCCTCCGCTACCCGTCAGCAACCTCCTCCCTCTCCCAAGCGTCAGCTTACCGTTATCCATTGGTGTCTCGCTGAGCGTGCCGCCGCTGTCCCTGCCAACAGTCGGCTTGCCGTCGCTCCAACTAAGCTTGCCTCCTCTTCCCACCGACGCGCCCGGCTTGTCAAGCGCACTTGGTGGCATCGAAAGCGCTCTCGATGGCGTCGAAAGTGCTCTGGACGGTATACTGCAAACAGCTCCTGCTATTGCGAGCGGTCTTTTGTCAAACGTGGAGGATATTCTTCAGAGTTTGTTCCCTACCAACCCTGGTGGAGCGCTTTCCGCTATTCAAACTCTCCTCCCGAGCCTTGGTCTCCCGACTGCTGGCCTGCCCTCTCTTGGTCTCCCAACTGCTGGATTGCCCTCGCTTGGTCTTCCCACTGTTGGAT